CGTAAGAAGAAAGTGTAAGTGACAATGGTATTTTCACCGATGTTCAGTACAAATTGATAGGTACAATTGAACTTAGTTTATTGAGAATATTTCAAGTTCGCGTCTAGATTATCTCCTCTGATTTCCAGTTAATACTTGAGTCATTGAGACTGCTGTCGTTAACTTTTAAAACAGTTTTCTACTCCAGACAAATGATTTGTATGACTTCCTTTTCCCCTCCTACCTTCATTCAAAATCATTTCCCATGAAAATAACAAGCGAATGATGGAAACTATTCGATCAATCAGCAGCGATGCTTCGTACAAGAAAATCACATAGAGACAAGCAAAAGAACTGTAATAGTACTCGTGTAGGCAAGTGAAGAGAGATGTGTCAGCGGATTGAACATTCCAGTTGCCAATCAAACGACCATCATTATTATACGGTCTATCAAGGTCTCTACTACAGTATTATGATTGCCGTCATGTTCTTAGTGTACGCAAATACATGAACTTTGCCCTACTCCCTTTTTCGTTCGTTTATTTACTTTCTATCTGGTTTCCTTGTAGAAATACATTGCCGTACTGTACGACTCGTAAAGTAGAATAATTTGGATAAATAATCAGGAAAAACTACTTCGATCATTTACCTGACTTTCTCTCACGTGTCACATTGAACTAAGCAAGGAATAGCTTCTTACTGAACTCTTTCTAATGTCAATCACTAACCGATGATGCCCCCTGTTCTGAAATCGATTAGATATTATGTCGTTTCGTGTTCGTTTACTTCCTTACGAAAGCTTTCATGCTGGTCTGTCTTTTAGATGGAAACAGTCTCCAGATCGATTTCGAAATTATTCGATGATACTCCAAAAGATGGTGGGAGATTTTTTTATACGTAAAAAAGAAGTGATGAGGAACCGGTGTCCCTACACATAGCAAGATTGGCCAATAATTCCATCTTGTTCAATGAATATTTACGCGAAATGGCTAAGCTGAATAAACATGCCAATGGTTGAAATTACATTCATAGTTAATCTATACGAACACTCGAGTTGTCTTTTATCGCTGATTCTTCTCGCGTTGATTTCCTGCTCAGGCATTCTTGAATGATTTAGTTCACATGAGACCATCATGTATTTAACTTGTCCTTATCCTGTCAGACTATTCCATCATTTGATCCATTATTACGAGTTATTCGTTATTCTTTCTGATTATCATCTTTCACAGTAAATATATCGCTTCTACTTCACATTATTTACGTAAATGGAAAGGTCTTATGTCATGGTTTAATGACCTTTCATATATTGAGCGACTGCTCAACTTTATATGATTGTTTTTCGTAACAAAGCTTTATTCGTATAACACGAAGGCTGGACACGTGATGCAAAAGAGAAAGGGGCCCATAACTTATGCATTTTATTCTAGAAGAAGAAAGATTAGAAGGTAAACACAAAGGAAATCATAGGTTTGTGATATATCATATGGAAAAGAGCTTAAAAGAAAGAGAATATAGTGCTTTAGACGGTTTCGATTTAATCGACAGATAAATTGATTTGTTTTTGTATTGAATACAAGTAGCGCTCATCCGTTGGATTCGCTGACCCTTTTCTGAAATTATCAGAAAACTAGTAGATAAACGCTCTCTCTTAGATCTCAATCTAATTGGATTCGAATTGAAGTCACTTTTATGCTCATTCTCTGCCTCATTCATGTCAGATTACTTTCACTTCATTTGTCCAGACTCGTAAAAAACGAACACTGTTTATAAAAATTTATTCGTCGATTCTCTTCAGACTACTCTGAATAAAAACTCAGTTTATTTTCACTTATTTTATCTCCTCTAAGCAATTCAAATAAAACGCCTAGTTGTTCGTCGGCCTGCCTCCGATCGGCCACTCACCACTAGCCGTTAATGTCCAACTTTCATTCGTTCATCTAGTTTAGAATTCCCTTCCATTCCCTGCGCTGAAGAATCACCAACTTTGCGCCGTTGTGACTGTCCAAAACAACATTTCTCAGAGGAAGTATTACTTTGAGTGGTTAGCATCAGATAAGATTTGCGTATTATAACTGTTTGTATAGTCGTGATATTATCAATGTGCTGATGTGTATGAATATCCAACAATCCGATCCGATGTTAATCAGTTATTTCGTTTCAGTTCTACATATTGTCCCAGGGCAATGATTCCGGCTCCCGGATCCGTGTAATTCTAGCAGGAAACCGCGGGAAAAACCAACGGTTCCTGCAGGAAGGCGCCGGAAACCAACGGGAAGTGGAAGCAGGAACCATTTAGCCGGATCCAGCCCGTACTTTTCGACATGGGGTTGCTTAAAACACTATTCGCCTAAAAAAACATCCTTGCAAAAAATCGACCTTTGACTACAAAACAGAACAGGACTTTTTATTGAGATACTAACAACAGATTACCCTTCGGTCAACCCTTACTCGACACCAGAAAATTTTTCGTTTCTTAATTAGTAAATTAGCTATTTGGCGTTTCGAGAAACTAAACGCAGATTCGAGATCCTCGACCTCAACTACCTTGCAACAACCACTTCGTAAGGAACATCGTGAAGTTTTCATTGATTTATGAAATACTACAATCTGATCGGCTTGGACAAACAAACTTTAACCGGTTTTAACGCGACTATAACCCTTTCTTTCAGAAAAGGGAATATTTATTTAAAAATGAAAGCCAATCTGTTATTTTAGTTTAGATGAATTGATATCACTTTATGAAAAATCTCCAGTAAACGAACGTGCTTTCTATGAAATCATCTTTCCAACAGACACGACAAAAACATACATACAGCATGAGTCACTAAATTTTGCTCATTTTTATTTCAACTGTTATAAAACAAAGAAAAAAGTTATATCTTCAAACGATGTTCGATATGAAAGCAACGAGCTTTATGTATAAGAAAAACTCGTTTTGGCTAGTTCGCTAAAACTTTAGCAATATAAACTTGATCGATCTTTTTCAATTTTGAATTTGTTCAGTCGTCCTTTTAAATAGTCCCAAACAGCATAATCCGTGGGAGCTGCATCGGGTGACTTAGGCATCCATTCCTCAGGTTTTTTACATAATTAATTTTTCTTTGATTCAAAAATCCGATGGTTTTTTTTAGGTATGACTTGGAGCATTATGATGGTGAAAGACCATTTTCTTTTTGTCGGTGTCTGGAAATAATCGAGGGCGATCAGGAAATAAAAATGGTCTCAAAATGTGGTTTATATAATAATCCGAATTGATTTTTGTACCAGAATCAACAAAATGAATAGATGTTTTACCATGAGATGAGATACCGGCCCGTACCATGAAAGCTTTTGGACGAGAAGAATCTTGTTGAATTATCATTCCTTCATAATCTGGATCGGTCTTTTTTACATAACAAACTTTTGCTTTCCCTTCTGTTCCGTTTGTGACAAAATTTTCATATCGATAAATGGCTGAACGTCGATAAAGTCGATAAGCACGTTGATAACGTTTCTCGATATTTAATGATGATAATTTTTGAGCTTTGCGTTTCTTCCTGAGAACAAAATTGGTAGATTTGATGCTTCTTGAGACAGTAGAATGACTGATGTGACAAGATTGAGCAGTTGAACGTTGAGTAAGAGGATCTTCTACATCAATTTGTTGGATTACTTTCAATACAGTTGATGGTGTAGCTGCTGGTCGTTTTCGATCAAATCTGATTTTTTTCTTTTGCATTACGTTGAACACCAACCTTTCTTTTAACATTAGATACAGTTCGTTGAGATGCACTGTGGCATCATTTTTCAAAATTTTACAATTTGTTTTTGACAGTACTTAGTACCGCATACCGCCGATCTCTGATACAATCTCAAAAACAAGTAATGATATGTAGTTGGAGATTATCTTTTCTTTTGAAAACTGTTGAAAAAATTGTCCCCTGCATATTTCCGTTTGTTCAATCTAAATATCATTGAAATCTTCTTCAAGCAACTAAAGCCGTATATTGCTAATTGAGGAATGTGAGGGTGATACTCACCCAAACTATATTTGTGTCCGTTAACACTAAGAAAGCCATCCAAGATGTGCTAGATGCTGTAAAGCCCGAAAATCCGCTCAAAGATGATTTGCGTTCAAGTCTGTTGTTGATTTCAGGGCGCTAAAGTAACACCAATATGTTGGTAGCAACAGATTAAAAACATTTTCACGTCATAATATACTGAGAAAGCGAGCGTATTAGTAGAATCACTCACTGTGCTCTAATGTCGGTCTAGAATATAACTACTGAAAGGCTTATTTGATTGTGATGGAATTCCAATGGCGTATTGTTACGTCAGAATCTCACTGGAGCTCGAAGTTCAGACGGATTGGACATGTGACTCCTGAATCATTGAGAAAATATCGATAATTCTCTGCGTTTTCTTTTTGTTTTGCATCTGATACATTTTTGGAGCATATCTAACTTTCGGATAAAATCCGGCATGTTCCTATTGATTTAAGTCTGTTTCGAGTTTTACATGTGCATTGATTAACCCTTAAAAACCGAAGCGTTTTTTCTTGAATGCAGGGAATGAAATAATCGTATAAATGTAGGTTCTGAAGTATGAATATGCATATATCATGGTCAAAAACGCTGGGTGATGCTAAAAATGTTTTCCACCCAAACGGTCTGGGCGAAGTATGATTCTAATAAGTTTTCGCTTGGGTGACCATGTAGCATAGTTCAGGACCACCGCGAATTTAATCTCGTGATATTTTGAGGTATCTGCGATTATTGACTGAGCAAAAAATTTACAAGTACCTAGGTTACTATGCTAAAAATGCCTGTAAAACGGTACTTTTTTTACCACGCCACAATGGCTTCTTATAATAGTAAAAAACGTGCAAAGTTGTTTTATATTACAGTTTACGATTGTTTCTCATGATATTATTCAAAATCTGTATTGTCTATGCCAAGGTATAGAAATATCCGCGCACCCAATTTTGCTTAAAAATAGATTCTCACTCGGAGCTATATCGAAGTCCGCGAAAACTGTTTTAGCGTGATTTTCCTCCGTCGCACATTCATTTTGACTGTCTTTGTTCAGGAAAACAGTAGCTTTCATGAATACAACTTAACTCCTCTGTTCTACGGCGATCAATCCAATGTCCCTAGGAAGGGACATCTCGGCTTTTACGGGTCAAGATCATAAACGATAGTTAAAAGGATGAATTAAAATAAACTATAACCATTGTTTTAAATTATACTCCTTGTGGAATTAAAACCAGTTTGTTTCTACTCACCCTCAAATGTGGTTCTTTCAGAAAAAAAAATCACCCGATTCCTCGAATGAGTATTGCCTGAAGACTACCGACAAGAAAATGTTAGAAAGAATAACAACCAAGTTCGTTAAAGGCTTCTTACCTGCTGCTCCTGTTTCGAGCATCTTAAAGCGATTTTTGTGTTGATGTTTTTTTTCTTCCTTCGTTATTTTACTATGAAAAAGCTCTCTCAAGATTCAAACATTAACATAAATATTTTTCGTCCCCGAAAAGATTCAAGAAGCGAACGACGTCATTCGCTGCCTATATAAAAAAGAAGCGAATTTCTTCATTTTCACAACAAAACAAAATACTGTGAATTTCAGTTTATTCACTAGAATGGGTGCACAAAAATCAAAATCAAGTTCTACAACGACAATGCAGAATAACCAACCGCGACAACGCGTGGTTCAAAACTACCTCTTAGTTTGGGTGGATGCCAACATCGATGAAAAGGGCCAAGACTGTCAGAACACTTTGACACACTTACGCAGTGTTGTCAATGATGTCAATATATACACTCAACCAGATGCTTGCGTTCAATTCCTCAAAAGCATCGGTGATGAAAAGGCTTTCGTCATCACATCGGGATCCTTAGGTCAACACTTAGTTCCCGAGATTCACGGCATTCCACAAGTGAATGCCATCTACATCTTCTGTGGCGACAAGTCCAGACAAGAAACCTGGACAAAGAACTGGTCAAAAGTCAAAGGTATTCACACAAATATCAAAGAAATCTGTAAAGCACTGACCACGGATGTTAAACAGCACAATCAAGATTCCATCGCCATCAGTTTTGTCACCGCAAGAGGAGAGGGTTCCAATGCCAATCTCAATCATCTGGAACCCAGTTTCATGTACACGCAAATATTTAAGAAGATTCTCCTCGACATGAAGCATGACAAGAAAGCAATCAAAGACCTGGCCAATTACTGTCGGCAGCGTTTTCAAGACAACATCCAAGAGCAAATGGTTATCGATGAGTTCGAACATAACTATCGTCCAGACAAGGCCATTTGGTGGTATACACGCGAGTGTTTTACCTACCAAATGCTCAATCAAGCACTTCGCACTTTGGATGGCGAAGTCATTATTAACATGGGATTCTTTCTCCATGATTTACACAAACAAATACAACGGCTGCATCAAGAACAGGTCAGTAATTACAAACGAAAACCTTTCGTAGTCTACCGTGGACAGGGACTATATAAGACAGATTTTGACCAGTTATCAAAAACTGTAGGTGGTCTTTTATCGTTCAACAACTTTTTATCCACCAGTATCAAACAAGAGAAATCTCTTGAATTTACCTACAGCGCTCTCGGTGATCCCAACAAGGTGGGTGTTCTATTCGTGATTACAATTGATCCGAATATTGGTACTACTCCATTCGCATCGATTGGGGATCTTAGTTATTTCAAAGACGAAGCAGAGATCCTGTTTTCCATGCACAGCGTGTTTCGAGTTGGTACAATTCGACAAGTGGGTGACAAGAATAAACTTTACCATGAGGTACAACTTCAGTTGACTGCTGATGACGACCCACAACTGCGTGTGTTAACGGATCGTATTGAAAGTGAAGTTCAAGGTAGTACAGGATGGAAACGTTTGGGTACATTATTGCTTAAACTCGGACAGCTGGATAAAGCAGAAGAACTGTACACTGTGTTACTGGGACAAGCGTCTGATAACAATGACAGAGCACTCTATTATCATCAACTTGGCTCCTTAAAAAATGATCAAGGTGATTATAAAATGGCTATAGAATACTATGAAAAAGCACTTGAAATCCAAGAAAAAACTCTTCCTTCGAATCACCCTCATTTGGCTCAATCGTACAACAACAACGGTTCAGTGTATGTAAACATGGGAGAGTATTCGAAAGCACTTTCATTTTATGAAAAAGCACTTGAAATCCAAGAAAAAACTCTTCCTTCGAATCACCCTGATCTGGCTGCTTCGTACAACAACACCGGTGCGGTGTACATGAAGATGGGAGAGTATTCGAAAGCACTTTCATTCTATGAAAAAACACTTGGAATCCAAGAAAAAACTCTTCCTTCGAATCACCCTTGGTTGGCTACTTCGTACAACAACATCGGTTTGGTGTATAACAACATGGGAGAGTATTCGAAAGCACTTTCATTCTATGAAAAAGATCTTGCAATATGCGAGAAAACTCTTCCTTCGAATCACCCTTTGTTGGCTACTTCGTACAACAACATCGGTGCGGTGTACTATAAAATGGGAGAGTATTCGAAAGCACTTTCATTCTATGAAAAAGCACTTGCAATTAGAGAAAAAACTCTTCCTTCGAATCACCCTGATTTGGCTACTTCGTACAACAACATCGGTTGGGTCTACAGAAACACTAAGGACTATTCGAAAGCACTTACCTATTTCGAACGCGCTCTGGACATTTGGCAACGTGCATTACCGGCGAATCACCCTAATATAAAAACTGCACGAGAAGGTATCGAAAATTGTAAAAGAGCAATGAAGAAATAAAAGATTACTGTACCTTTTCTACTTGAAATAAAAATTAATGATTTATCCGCGCGCGCGCGTACAGAGTAGAACTCTGTATAGAGACAGTAATGATGAAACATGGCGGCGATACACCCATCCAAGAAAGGCAATACACATACATACGGGCATAACTGTGTTTGACACATTACTCAGTATCAAAAGTGAGGACTTACGTATGATTTGACAGGATTGCTTGTTTGCGTTGTTGAACGAGGCCTCGATTGCTGTTGATACGAATGAAAGTGAAGGAAATCGATGTATATTTATATGGACGACTATCCATTGTCTAGAATAGACTGAACACGAACAGAGAATAGATACAATAGAGAGAACGTCAGTCCATGTTTTCATTTGTTCTTTCTGTCTGTTGAATGAAAGTGACCGAAGAGAGAAAAATGAACGCCGAATCGAGAAAGGACGGATAAAGAAAGATATTAGTCATTGTTCTCTTGTCTGAAAGAACACGTTATATAATGACGTCATACAATCATACGTTCATCCATGAGATCAGATGTTATCACATGACGTCATCTGTTTTATCCATGATACATGTGTCATGTTCTTTTTCCCTTTGAATCTTATTCCCTTTTCTGAAAGAAAGGGTTATAGCGTCATAAATCAGGCCACTAAAATGCAATCAGATTCCAGCATTTCATAAATCAATGAAAACTTAACCAAACTCATCGGAAAATGACTGAAGACAGGTAATCAGGATCGAGGATCACGAATCCGAGGTTAGTTTCTCGAAATTCTAATTAGCTCATTAGCTAATTAAACAATCAAAGTTTTCCTCGTTGTCAAGTAAGGGTCGACCGAAGGGTAATTGGGGTCGAGGATCACGAATCCGTGGTTAGTTTTTCGAAAAAATCTTTTTTTTTATAAGGGTTGACGGAAGGGTAATCGGGGTCGAGGATCTCGAATTCGAGGTTAGTGTTGCTTAATTAATTATTAATTTTTCATTAACTGGCCACGACTTATTAGCATCCATTTTCAGAGCAGGCCGAAGGATTTCTGACGTCGGGAAATTCGAATTTGAGGGCGAATTTCGTTTTATTCGCTGAGCCTGGGCTTGTTCGTGCTTCTTTACAAAAGAGATATATTTCTTTATCTGTTCTAAAATCTTTTGTAGAGGATGGTGAGCTGAACGCTATTCACGGACGTCATGTGTACAAAGATAGCAGCTCAAGAGCTTACAGGAAAAGATCTAATGCATTGTACATAATGATGTTTCTAATTTAAGAAATCCGAAAAAGTGATATGCGCTTAGTATCATATCGTTTCCGGGGAATTTAGTAGAAGTGGTTCGCAAAGTGATATACCCGTCGGTGAAATTTCATCTTAGTAACTACAGACGCGTGGACTAACCCAGGTAATTCTCACTCGGTCGGAACCAGCCGGTTTCTTTAAATTCCTTGGCGCTGGATTCCGGCTGGATTTTTACTGGTTTTTATCGGAAAGATCCTATAGGTTCCAGACGGAAACGATGATAGTTCTGAACCAACTGGATCCGGCTATAAAAGTATTACTACCCATGTCAGAATGTATACATCGGTTCCGACCGGTATCATATAAATCCGATCGGAATCCCAGGAAAATTTACCGAATTCTCAAACGACGAATTCCGACGTTGGAATAGATCAGGATCCGTCGATAACAGAATATTTTCGCTAATATCACAGGATCCTGACTGAATCGAAGTCGGAATCTCTTACGCATTATTCTTCGATCTGGGTAAAACTGTTTCCTCCTCTTATAATGCGGATTATATACCCAGATCGATTAATCCTGTCCGGAACCGACCAGATCCTACGTCTTTCAGTCTCTTCGTGGAGAAAGTGCCGCAGTGCAAGACTCTGCTGAACAGATTAGGCAGCTTTCCACCGGAACCGACAAGAAACTGTCGTATTCGATAGACCAGAATGTTGGCCCGCTCTTTCAATTAGATGTCTAGTATTTTCTGACTACTCTCTCCAGGCGCTGCGTCGGAAATGGACGGAAGATTACCTCCAAAATCATCATCCTAGAATACAACTCGTTGGATAATTTGAACATCTTTTTTCGCTGTCTTTTTAGTCCAGATCTACGAGAAATTACAAGAATTGTTCCCAAAGGAACCTATGAAATTCACAGTAACAAGAGGCTGATATGAGAAAACATAAAAGTATAAGTAACTTTATACACAACATTACTTACCTTCAACGGCAATAATGAGTTAAGTCTCAGCAAGTACACGAATAACCGGTGAAACCAAAAACGGCAAAAACGACTTTTTCCTATACTGTTTGTTCATTTTCTGTGCGTGATATATCATTAAAAAGAGCATAACAAACTGCGCCGCATGGACTATTCAAACGAGTGCTTTTTGCTGAAAAGGTGTATTGACTAAGATCCATACATCCTAATTACATGCACCCTCTCGTATTGTCTCGCTTGTGCCTTGAAAGGACAAGGAACAGCAGCTTTGTCAAATCTAGATTTGTGAAGCATTGAAATTTCGATGAAGCTGACATACCTTAAATCCAAAGCTAATCAAATTTAACCGGAATACACATCTGTTTCGTTATCATTATCTGATAAAGAAAAGCTCTTTAAAGCCTTCACCATAATCGAGATTTGAACATCATCAGACAAAGTTACATAGAATGAGAGCTCTCATATCATTCACTCTACATTGTTGGGTCAATAGGCTTAAATACAAACAAAACATAAAAATGTCTCGTTTTTCAATAGTATTCGTAACCACTGAATTTCATAATTCAACGAACAATCGAGATTTCCGTTAATGTCTACCCACAGAAAGCAAAAGAACAAAACACCGGATTAGGCACGTACTCAACACATACCTTCGACCCACGGAGTACCCAAAATTGCTAAAATAGCTAACTCTTTAGCAGCTCGCTTTCCAGCGCAAATTTCCTGATCTTTCGCTTCATAATATTAACACCTATGTAATAGACTCGACCCATTCAAATTCTAGGAACGCCTGAACGATTTACAAACCAAACGTTCATTGTCACTGTCATCTTGACGATAAAACTCACCTCAATACGTTTCAGTCATGAAGCGACCACCTTATGATTCACAATCACGAAAGACAATTACTCAAACATAGTTGACAAAAGAGGCGTTCTCATAAAACTCATAGAAAGTTTCCTACGCGGGCTTATAAAATTTTGATTCCTAAGTACTTTGAAGTACTTCAGAGACTTATAGATAGATTCAGAGTGGACATATCTCATTTTAAGTGTGAAGTACTGGGGAGTACTTCAGAGACTTATTCATGTATTCATGGTGGACATATCTCATTTTGAGTGTGAAGTACTGCGAAGTACTTCAGAGACTTATATATATACTGGTAGTGGACATATCTCATTTTTAGTTCGAAGGACTGTGAAGTAGTTTAGAGATTTGTACATGCTCAGCAGATGGAGGTGTCTCGTATGCGTTGGAAAGCATTTGGAAGGGAGTAGGTAATTATATGGTTATCGATGTGGAAGTATGTTGCTGTGCTTTATTGGGGTGCGGATGCAGAGAGAAGGATATCGTTGGATCGGAAGTCAACTTGGGTGTCCCAGAAATGGAGTTTAAGTATGAATCTTGAGATTTTGTTGCTGGAATATTATGGAAAATGGTGGATGCGGCGGTGGAGTGACCGGAATGTGAAGGAGAAGGATGGATCCGATGTGACAGATGTCGGAATTGGCCGGATTGTGGCGGAAGCGATGGTCGGTGTGTTTCTGTGGTTCCTGTTGTCGGAAGTTGGGGTGGAAAGTCGGATACGGTATGCGGATGTCGACTGATGTTGTGGGAGCCGGCTGTATGGGGTTCCGACTAATTTCACCGGCAGGAGGTTGGTGAGTTTGCACGTTTCCCACTAAAGATGTTTGTTGGAAGGTATAGGAAAAGTTTCGTGAGTTGTCTTGTCAGGACCCACGTTCCGGAAATGCACAGAAACAGGGTGAATCCGGCCAAATGGTACGGCCGGAACGCTTAGCAAGTAGTCATTTATGATTGCATGAGGATCCGCTGCCAGGAGTACGATATAATGATAGCGACTCCGATTGGAGGGAGTGATTGGAACAGGTCGGAAATTTCCGCATGAAGTCCGGCCGGAATCCGGCGTCAAGGAACCGGTGAAGTTCCGTTGCTTTCCGACACGGAGCCGGCTGGTTTGTATGGGTTTCCGGCGTTTTCCGTCTTGGTTCCACTCTGGTTCCGGTGGTTGGAACTATCGACCTGGGTATACATACAGTATTCTGAACACATGCAGCACTATGAAAGACGTTCGTTTCGAAGCAAATCATACAGTAAGACTTTCTTATCTAGCTTCTTTTGATAGTCGAAGCGACAATACAAGAAAGCCCAATCATTCAGTTTGAAAGTTAATAAAAGGCGAAAGGAATAACAGACACAACATAGCAGCGGCTAGACGTTTAAATGCCAGATTAATCGTTAAGTGTACGCTTAGAATAATCTTGCCAGGCTTCCGATAATTTTGAAAGGGATTTGACGAATGGATATTCCTCAATGAAAATATTCGACAGGGAATCATTTCGTTGACAGGAGAGAAAAGAATCGATTTATCATTGGAAGACACAGGCAAATGTTCAAACTTGTTTTTCAATATTTCTTGGATTTTTTTCGTATTCTTTGGATTGTCACCGTACTCCTGGTATTTTCACGGTACTGCCAGGATTTTAAAGTATTGATTCTTCCAAATATTTATCATGTTTTGTGATGATCTTCTAAAGCTCAAAAACCACAAAATACTCGACACTGTTTTCAATGAAATATTGAAGAAAAAAGAATTCTTTATCGTCAGATGTTTAGACAATCACAGTGAGATATGAGTGTAAAAAAACTGGAACAATAGAGCTGATTAGTTTAGTTATATTTTTTTAACAGAAAAAAGCAATACAATAATTCTAATCTATTTGTTAAATTAACACCACTACATTCAAGCTTCCATTCACCTATTCACTGCTTTGCATAACTCGTTTTGATCGATCAGCTGATAATTGTGGTTTGTAATCCGTAAAAAACCAACAGGCTGTTTGCTTATGAATATACTTTTCTTTCCCGTCAATTTCGACGCGAAAGCATGAATTTGATAACGATGGATACACTGTATCAAACACTCTCATTGCATTGAATTCGGATTTGCCGTTCCCGTCGATATTTTCGAGATATCATTACTGAGTAATTTCTATTTGCATTGAATTATTTTTTGCTGATTCTCCTGTCGACAATGATGAGTTGCAAATGTAGATCTATACAAAAATATTTCTATTCAGTTAGAATCACAGGATGTATCATTTGCGATAGTAATCAACGTTATATTTTGTTTTCGAATACATCTCTCCATATTTTTCTTTATATAAACTCAAACTAATATTTAGGAATCCATACTCTACAAGCTACTTTGAAGTCGACGGCTAATTGAAGGTAACCACTGGACTAACTGAGTACTTAGCCGCTCATAGATCGATGCGATTATCTGTATCCTATCAACAATTTCCTTCACAATTTTATTTCATGCTATGCGCCGATCCGAGCGACAAAAAATATGTTGATACAACATAAAGATAAGTATGCATTCAAACAGTACAAACACGAAAGATCGCGTCGTTATTTTGCATACGTGTTCCACGACATCACTGACGTCTTAACATATAATAAATCAACGTTTTTCTTTTCAAGAAAATACTCTACACAGGTATCATAAAATATTTTGACAACTATATTTACATCTTTTAGATTACTTCAATAACTGAATTCTACAGTCGTCAGTCATTTCGAAAGTGGCTCCAAATCAAGCACAATTATCTTATTTCTCTCATTATCAGTCTTGCCCTCATGTATATACAAAATCATATTTATCGAAATTTTTCAAAAATAAAGTTCCACTACCATTCACGGCTGTTGTTTGCATGGGCTTATACATGAGCAAATACAGGTACTGTATTAGCAGCAGTGTTCAACCTGCCATGACAAGTACTTGGAGAATTGCGACTCACTTCATCAATATTCTTATCTTTACTATCACTGGCATTATCCTCGCTGGATTATTCATCGGTACTGCTACCGACATTTCTGCGAAAGACTTCGGATTCTCCGTTGTTTTGTATATTATGATCCATGTAGGACGCCTTGTAACAGTTATAGTATTATATCCATTAATGAAGTGTTCAGGCGTTCATTTATCATGGAATGGTTTACGTGGTAGCATGTCGCTTATCTTAGTATTAATTGCCAGTCTTGATACAGAAATCGAAACAATCACACGTCATCGTTTTCTATTTCATATCTCAATGCTTGTCTTACTAACTTTGATTATTAATGGAAGTTTGCAGATGTTGACTGGACGAACTTAACCGAATACTTAAACTATTGGAAGAATTAGATGAAGAAAATCACACTAATCATCATCAACAATTGTCAAGAACAACAGATGAAATTTCTTCAATATCTGCTCGACAATCATTCCATCAGAATGCTCTTTTTGATCATGATTCACAAATGAACTCGATCGTTGAAAGAAGGGAAAACTTCGTTCCACCGATAATCGATGATTATCAACATGATAAAAATATTCGTAACGAATTAATCATCCGTTTTCTTACGGTGATGGCGATTGATTATGAGAAACAATAGTATATGGGTATGATTCGCCGAAAAACACTCAACATTTTCATCAGATCGGTCGAACAAGCTATGGGCGGACGGATTATTCTTCGATCATATTTTCCAAACGATCGAATTGACTTTGAGTAAGTTGAAATGTTTTCTAAAGTATCTGAAGAATTGTTGTGTACTTTAGGTTTTCATTCTACTAAAACTCGACTTGATAATATTGGTTTACAATTCCCCGAACTGGGTAATTTGAACGAACGAATCATGGATGAAATCTGTGATGAAGCCAAGACGTATCAAATCAATGCCATGTATATTCTCTTGGACTTGAAACAATCCTATCGATTATGTTGGATTGTTCAAATGACACGGCGATGTGCTTAAATACTTCTAAAATATGGATCAATTGCGATTATTCAGTTGTATGAAACAGGAATTCTTGCAGATAATGAATACTCACACATACTGAAATTGATTGAGAACAAATTATTCAAGCTCGAATATGGAAAGATCCGAGTGTTTACAAATCAAAAGAAGGAAATCAAAGAGTCACAAATGCTTATCTAATTATTCGTGGTCTTGTTCAACATAAAAATGGTACATCAACTACTTATTATAAATGTGGAAGTATCATCGAAGCTGATGCCTTTTTTTCATAACAAATCCTCATCGAATGGAACTTATTATGCAAGTTGTGGACTCGTGGAAACATTTTTGATTGACGCAGCTGTGTTGCGTAGTTTATTATCTGATGAGAAAATATCTCGTTCGATCTATAATGAACTAGCAGTACATGTGATTACAAATAACTATCAAAGTTTAGTACATCTAACTCGTCCACAACTGAAAGCTTTCCTAAATGAGAAAGCGATATTTTACAAAAATCAATCGAATCTAACGATTGAACTTCAACCAAATCAACGACTACTTCTCTTATCAGGAACAATTTCTTGTTATTCAAGCAATGATCAATGAACAGAATATCGATCTCCGATAATGTGCGAACTGAATTCATCGAGTATCGCTTATACATGGGCAGATGAAGATGAACTATGTTACTTAAACTCTGAAAACAATGAAGCGTTTTACCCATTGTACTTAGGCGACGACATTCAGGGCCGATGACACGTCCGATTGAAAATTTAAATAATCTACAATTCATTCCAACTGAAATAGATATCAACAACGAACAAGATCTCCCTATGCACATCTATAATTGATTTATATGGCCCTATCTATTTTTTGAAACAAGCCAAATATAAACTGATTTACCTTTAATTTTTCATCCTCTCTTATATATTTCACATCCCTCTATGACAATAACGTAAAAGAAAAGCTCGATTCCACGAAATAAACGAAGTATTTTGCTTGCAAACTTATATTAATGATGAGATTTTCTCCCACTTCTAAGACGTTTCCTTAGTTTTTCCCATTTTTGAAAATATTTTCAGATAGATCAAACAAAGTTTTAATCCTTGTCCGGTTCGATGCCCAAAATAGATTTGTTTCTTTTTCGTAAACTTCTTCTGATCTTGAAAACGTTTAGTCATGTAGTGTAAGGTAGAATCTATTTCACCGTTCCTATCAACCTGACCACCTTTGGCAACCAGCGATCTCATCATTAGCAAACACCGACGCTACCGAATGGTTTTCAGATATTTGTTTTGATATTGATGATCTAGAGAACGAATTTAGGTCTGCTTATGATTTTCTGGTAAGCACCCAGGTTGACTTTTGCATAAAAATCAGCTGAAAAGTGGCAGACTATTTGAAGTTTATTGTCAAATCATATTTATCGATTCGACTTTAAGATCCAACCAGGTTTTGGCAACTACGCTGAATAGTCATCAGATTACAACTTTGGATTATCATAGAGACGTCAGTCAGGGTATTATGTTGAAAAAATGAAAATGGCTNAAAGCGCCGCGACGCCCTTGCCGCCGTCGCGCTCTCACGGCGCGCGGCGCGGGGGGGGGGCAGCGCCCCCCCCCCCCCCCCCCTGAAATTTTTTTGCCGGCCCGCCGATGGATATTACGTATGTTAAGAAGACAGAACAAGAAAAGATCGAAAAATTAGTCAGATGCACTGAATTCGTTTTGTATTGTATATGTCGTTGCATATATCCCAAACGTTTCGTACGTTGTTCCGATATAACGATTTTTGATTATATATGATTAGCAAGTAGCTTCGGTTGGTTTATTCTCGAATAAGTCGAGCGTAACCTTTGTGCGAAGACAGTTGTATTCGTGTGAGCAAGATCATTTTCGAACGATTTAGTAAATATGGAAGACGTATGCACTTGCGGATGTCATCAAAATCCTGGTGTCCGACATTTTATGCCATGCTGTCAAACTTGTCCAAAGTGCCGCCAGCCTATTACTAATCAAAATTACCAAGCACATATTCAAAAATGCCGATGAACCTACTTCAAAGCTAACTTTATGCTTTCATATGACTCTATTTTTGCTCTTACGTGCTTAATATCATTAATCTTTCTTTAAATTCAGAAACAACAGAAGAACTAGTTTGTCATAATTATTGCAAAACACAAAAAAACGTTCGTTCTAATTATCTTGGTCGCAGACAGATAGTTCGAAGTTGAGCCTGTCAGGCAATGGCTTATATTACTTCGATGATGTTCTATCTATTGAGAAAACAATGAACCAAAGAGATTAGATTTTCATAAAAAATATATTACAATGTATGCCCTCGATCAATAAAGATCGCAATCGTGATTAGATTTTTTAATGTACGAAAGCAATGTAACGTATTTGCATCTTTGAAATTGATATCAATGCTATTCGCTGATAAAATTGAACAAGTACACTTGTTCTCAACATACAAATATTTTTTGCATTGATAATTCGATCAGTTAGTCAAGAGTCTTAATCAGTGAATGTTCTAATAACAAAATAGAACGAACAAAGAATTAACATTGCCATTAACTGAACAGATCTTCGGTTAGAACGAGATATTGATTAGAAAAGATCCGACAAGCATCGAAATCTTAATTATTAAAATGTTAGTCGAATCATTTTCTCAGGCGAGAACATATTTAGGAAGAAAATTCTGATTAATAATTAACAGTCTATTCACGCACACAAACATTACTATGGTTTTCAACACTCTCCGAACGTGTATAAAGTGGAGAAACAACGAGAAAAATAACAAGGAGTTAATAAGAGTGCGAGAAAGGTCAAAAAGGAGTTGGTATTAATGATCTTCTTTGTCAGTGTATGAGAACTCAGTCATCATCTTCATGTTCACCGTTCGGGATTGGAAAAAAAATATCAATTAAGAGATAAACGGACGTCCTTTTTATCTCATATCCTTCGTTCGCTGTACGTGGAACAGCATGAGAAGAAAAAGATGTCAACGTCATTTACAGTAAGATCGAGTGTTTCCAGCACGAATCGTAACAAGTAGACCAGCTTTTCTTTAGTGTTAACAACGTTTGGAGAGAATAGAAATAGCGAACCGCCTACATATTCTCTCTACATTTTCCCTCTCCCTTCCTTTTTTTTCTCGCGCTCATTCTCCGACGACGCACGATCGAAGAAAGGACAACATCTGAGGCTATATATATATTAGTATGCGAAAAACATTTCTTCTTCTGTTCTATGTTACTATTATGTGCTCAAGTTAAACAGACGCAAGCATCTAACTGAAAATCAGAAGACACACACAGGCAAAAAATGGTTAGTATCATATTTCTTTCCAAAGGTGTAGAATTCAGGGCAAGAAAATAAAGCAAATTCTCAATCGAATAAGTCGATTGACAGTAGAACCAAAAAGTTTCTTCTATGACTAGATGAGAATTATGAATGCATCATTGAATTCGAGATTGAGTGAAACGACTTTGGTGACATATTTTCTATGGTAATTTATTGACAAATTTGAATGAGAACTTAGTTTTGAAAACTGCTTATCGCACTAGAACAAAATAAAAGTGACAGATGCCAAACAAATCCATCATATTTAATAATGACAATAAAACTAATAACATTCTTATCTTTGCTGCCATGTAAATTTCATGTGTTGTTTTCATTATTTCTAAATATTTAGAATCTTGATTCACTTCAACATCACTATGGCGTACTAATTGTCCTGATAACATTTCTCAGTCGTATTATATTTATCGGATTCTGTTGGAGTTATGGAACAGTTATCGTGGAGTTTAAAAAACAAAATTCGACCTTATCAGACACTGAAATGAGTATGTGATTTGAGAAAAATTCAACAAGAATATCGATCTTATTTTGCGATTTAGGTTGGATTGGAAGTATTGGACAGAGTTTTGGTGGAATATTTGCACCGATCATACTTCTTTGCAGTCATCGATTTGGCTATCAACTATCGTTTATTGCCTCTCTGATTATCTGTATTCTCTCTTTATTCTTCTCATCCATGGTACAAAATCTTCATTGGTTGTTGTTGACTTATTCATTTCCGTACGGATTCGCCAATGCCGCCATCTTCATTCTTGGAACATTGGTTTGCGGTCTATATTTTCCAGTGGGTCAACATCCAAAACATGTCCTCGTAATGTGCATTATCTCCACCGGCTTTCCAATTGGTTATCATATCATGAGTGCATACATGTTCTCTGAAATCGAAGAACACGGTTGGCAATCAATGAAAAGACGCGTAGCACTAATTGAACTATTGGTGGCATGCGTACTTGGCCCACTATTCACGACAAAAGGTCTATTGAACTCATCACAGGAGTATCAATATCCAACAGCGCCGTTGATTCCGGGCACTAACAAGAAAATTTACTATTCTAAACCAATCATTTATTGGATGATGGGCATCTTTACTGCGATGTGTGCCGTGAATAATTTTCTCCTTCATTTGGTATGTTTGACTTTGAGAAAAATAGACGCGTTTGTTATAATTATAACTTCTATATTTGTTTCCAAGACACCAAATAGTTTACTAAGTCATTTGTGCTCTTTTTAGCATAGTCATTTGGAATACTTACTCATATCACCTGTACGAGCAGATCTTTGGTTTCGTTTACATGGTTTATTTGATGCTGTGTTTCGTCTATCGATTCCGTTTTTAATTCGCTTTTATCCAATTGACATTATCTACTTATTTCCAGCAAGTGTTTTTACAGGTTTAATTGTTTTGACATTAACATTCAGTTTGCTCTATACGAGTTTAAATGCATTGGCAATTTTTCCGATCATCTGTAAGTGACGAATTGATATGTTACAAAATTCATTGAATAAATGTCATGGGAATTTATCGTTTCAGTGTTCAGTTTCACTTCAGCGGTTGTAACAGCGTTGCAATATACAGTTTCGAATCGCATTTTCGAAGAAGATCGTACTGAACAAGGTTACGTTTATCACGTGATTGTTACAAGTCTTGGAACAACCGTTGGTCCTGTCATTGGAGGTAAGCAATATGAAATGATATGAAGATGAATAACGGCGGATGTGTTTTTTTTCTAGGTCTACTTCTTGATATGACTGGAAGCTATAAATCTATCATTCCAACGTCGATATTTTTCCTTTTCGTTAGTTTTATTTCATTCGGATCAACGATATTAATATTAAACAAGAAGAAAGCTAATGAGCTTGAAGAAAGTCAAACAGCATCGATTCATCAGCATGACAATGCTGCCTATGGTTCATCTTATTAGAATCGATTGAAGTCGTTTCGACATACATACTCATATATCTGTATGTATAATCTTTTTTGTGAAAGTTAGATTTAGTCTATTTATCTATTCATTGTTTTATGGAAATGGGTTTTCTGTTTTTTCTTTATTGTTTTGTTGTGCAAGTATTTGTGCATTACGGTTTGGTTCACTTGTTCGAAGAAAATGATCGTAACCATCACTGTCACATTCGACTAGTTGATCTAAGCACTTACCAAGAATGGAATTCATACGGTTTCGCTGTTCAAGAGGGGACTGAGCGTATTTGCTGATTAGCTTTCGTTGACGTTCAAGACGTTTTTCATATTCGGACTGATCGAGAAGAGAATGCTGCAGCCAATGATCAAAACTTTTCTCGAGCGGAGCTTTGAATTGTGGTAATAGACAGCCGTAGACATGTCGTTTTCTTTCATCAAGAGGATTTTTTGATTGAAATTGAGTTTGTGAACGATGTATTGAAGGTAAAGCATTTTCATCTTGGTCGAGCAGATGTTTTAAACGAGCACGTTCTTTAATTGTCATTTTTGATCGTTGATAGATTTGTCGTCGAGTTTCTTTATGCAAGTATTCGAATTGACGGCGTAGTTCTGTTCCACGAGCTGTTTGCTGATGATCATACCAACGTAGAAGATGAACCAGACGGCAACGTTGCCGTTCAAATTCAGCAAACAGCGAACGTTGAGTGCGTGATACAGGATCAAATCTAAAAAAAAACCATAAGTCACATTGCTGTTCTTCCATGAAGTCATTTAAGTACAGTTATACTCAGTTGAATTATCTCGGAAGAAAAAAACTAGTTGCAAAAAGGACATAGACTATGATTGTCACATAGTCAAGCAGCACGCTTGTTCACATCTGCACGTTGCCCTACAATCAAATCGTTCATTCGTGGTGATTTAATACTGAGCGGTCGTTTCTTTTGTCTGTTCAATGGCTAAAATGATTGTATGTAGATGTTTTATCTAATTTATAAACCATTGCAATCATGATGTCATACGATGGGGACAAAAGTAATACATCAATTGATAGCGAAAATCGTCCAGTATACTCTTTGCCTTCTTTTGTGGTAACCTTTTTCTTTCGGTGCATTATTTTGTTTTTTTTTTACATATTCATTACTTTGTACGATATTGGTGAATGTAAAAATCTCGATAGCTTTGATTCATTAAAATTTCTACGAGAAAAAGAATATTCTTTTTTCGAACCTTGGACAGTGTCAGTAGAAACAGCACCGTTGGTGAAAAATTTTCAATCGACTTACTGTTTTAGGAGATCATTGGGATCGACAACAACATCGTCCATACTTTTCGATTGTTTGTAACAAAAGAGAAAAACGAAAATGGAATGCGAAAAATACAAACGGAATTAATCTTGTTTTCATATGAGACGAAATTTGCATATTTTTAATCATTAGAATCAATTTGCTGCAAGAGAAGAAAAAGAAAGCCTACACATGTAATAATTCATAACAGAAATTGTCTTTTGACTGGACGTAGTAAGAGAAAGACTGTTTTTCTTTAGAAGCGTTGCTGAGGTGGTGGAGGCTGAGTTGGTGCTTGTGGACGTGGTATATTAGGAAATGCATTTCGTGGTGGCGGCGGCCGTTGCTGAAACGTTGGTCGCGCGTCTGGCGGAGGTTGCTGTTGCTGATGAAATGTTGGTCGTGGTTGTGGAGGAGGAGGAGGAGGAGGAGGAGGCTGTTGTTGGAATTGTTGTTGTTGCTGAAATTGTTGCTGCTGCTGAAATTGTTGCTGCTGCTGTTGTTGAAATTGTTGTTGCTGTTGGAAAAACTGTTGTTGTTGATGAAACTGTTGCTGTTGCTGTAAAGTCTCTTGATACGCTTGGTGTTGATGAACTTCAGTGACCAACTGCCTAACTTGTGTTTCGTTTAGAACAAATCGTTGTCCATTCATTGTTACCATAAAATAGTTTTCTGAAGTGTCTCCATTAGTGGCATTAACTCCATCCGGACTGAAACTAGCAGGATCGACGTCGTCCAACATTTCGATTAGAATTCCTTGCGCAGACATCATTGGATGATAGCTTTGAAACCCATGTGGAAAAAATGCAGGTCCTGCATGCGTATGCGGATGTTGAGCACGGATGAATTCTTCCGGAATTCCCTGTCGTCGTCGTTGTTGTTGATAGTGATGTTGATGGAAAAAAGAAGCAGCAGAACCGGCTGGCATTGTTAATACAGTTGGCGGAACAAAATTTTGATTAAAAAAGAATTGCGAAGCATGCGGATGAAAATGATGAGAATGCGATTGATTATGATTAGTCTCAGATTGGGATCTGTGGATTTTTGGTGGATCATCTGGTTCTTCAATAATCGGTTTTGGCGACGATGGATCTGCGGTATTACATGAATCATCGTCATCAGGATTAAGTTCCACTATTTGAGGACTCTGCAGTCCGCTTTTACGCCCGTTTTGATCGTGTCGTGCTGCATCAGCCTTGTGTGGATCTAGAATATAAGAAAGATTAGGTTCTTTTTCAAATAAAAGTATAAATTACATACTGATTAATTTCTGTAATGCATAGTAAAGTATTTCTCCTCCATCTGGCGAACGTCTAAGAAAGTCATGTTTAGTCAACAATGCTAACGCTTGCCCTTAAACACAAAATCACAAAAGGAAAACGAGAGCCTAATGATATAATTATTATTTATATCAATCTTACCATTCATTTCGAACTTTTCAGCTGTAGCTTTTCGCAGTTCAAACTTTTTACATTGGTCCTTTATCCAATGTTGAACTTCGATTGATGACCACTTATTCACATCTTTTCTGTCGACAGATTTCGACGCGTTCTTGTCGATATCACCAACGGATAACGAATTTGCTATACCTTTCTTATTACCATTGCCCATGGCTGTAGCATCGGTAGTAGATGTGGTTGTTTTCATTTGCGTTATTGACTCGACGTTTTCTTTTCTCTCATACAATTCGACATTGATTTGATGATGAATTGGCGACAAATACAAATAACAACCTACGAGTCGTGTTGTTTACAGTCAGGAGCTGATAATCAAAACGTGAGAAATAAAAGAAAAAAAAAGGGAAAAGAAAGAATATCAGAAAAGACAAGTATATCTATACTAAAATGAGTAATGCAAAAAGCGTCAGCATCAATATTCAATACGACGCAGGATATACAAGAAAACGAATGAATGAAAAATATACAATCATACAGTCTGCTTTTTTCATATCATTCTTATTCTTTTACCGCTAAATTGATGAAACGTATCGGTATATAATACGAAAAAATTTAGACACGGTATGATGTTGTCTAGGTTTCATCATAAACACGATATGTTAACATATCTAATGGAAGAACAAAATCTTTTTAGTTTATTCGTTGAGCACAATTAGAAGGAATATGCAATAACCATGACACCAGCCAACTTGCCGAGGTTTTTTCTATTTCATACCAAATTAATTGCGAGTCACTGAAGCATGCTTTTTTTTAACATATGTAGACGGGAATACGAAACATTTGATATTCACTCAGGTATCAATTGCCTGTTTACATAGGTGCTATACAATTTAAAATTTTGTTCCGTATTTTTCAATTTTTTACCGAAAATAAAAGAAATTGAGCGTGGTGACGATTTTGCCTACCGACGTCAACAATATACACCGGTGTTTTTTTATTATTCACTGATTATACCGAAAAATAGACAATTTTCTATTTTCTTTTGTACCTGATATAAAATCAACAAAAATCTCGCTCGCACAAAAACTTCACTCTTGTATTCAACGTTGCCAAAGAGGAAAAGATCAAGAAACACGCTCATAGCCATGTACGATAGCAAGTTAGTTCAAACGGGAATCGATCTGAAATCTTCAATCAACGAAACAACTTATTTGGTTTTTATCCTAAGAAACTTTACATTGTAACATGCGTCAGACATGTTCCTATGAAAATTGTACCAAGCTAATTGCTTTTATGACGTAAAGAACAATTGCTGTTAATCATATGTCATCATAGATTCGAAAAATATGACAATATTTCATTCATCAATAAGATAGTGATCTGATGCACAAAAACATGATCGTTTTGTGGATATTCTACGTTTTCTAAGCAGAGCTAACTGGTGACATCTGAGACTCATTAAATCAACGTGAACCGAAAGGAGGAAAAAATGATTTCTTTAGTCGAATTTCATGATCTATAAAAGCCATTCTAGCTACTGTTCCGCTTGATACATGCAAACGAGTTTCCTTGCAGAAATTGCGGGTTCAATTGTGCTCATTTCTTCAGACAGCGAAATTTGAATATTGAGATTTTCATACAAGTGATAACTTTGACGCTTAGTTGTATGAGTTGTCTGAACCACCTGAAAAGATGATTTATAAGATGTCATTTGACTTTGGTGTTTACAATTTAGCTGAACATTAGTGCTGTAACAAGAAATTTTTTGAAAGCACGAACCCGTCTAGATAAACTTCAAATCCATTCAGTGTTTGGAAAATGGTAGTAGAAACGATTTTTAACTGGTGCAATCTGAAGATACAGAAATATCTTATTCTCAGAAATATTTCATACAAATGTGTAGAGCAGCATCTCCACTAGTAATTATATACCCTGAGAGCATGTTGTGTTTCTCGAAGAAAAATCTGCCAACATTGAACATGCTCTGCTCTTAAATACTTCAAATAGAGGAGAACGACATTTGCAACATGGATTTCATATATCCTACGTTGAGTTGAATACATGCCAAGAAGTTACACTAATGTGTCTTGTCTTCGTCTTCGACCATCATTTCGATATCGATCCATGAATGTGTTAGTTTTGATCTATCAGTATGCAAGTTGTTCAATCGAATGACTAGTAGATCTTGTGGTTTACACATCGTTGGATATGCTTCTAAGTAACGATTACATTAACTATCGAAAATGCTAAAACGACGTCGTTCAATCATGTGTAATCTTCGATGTTTATGCAATTAGAAAGAAAGTCGCCCATAGAACTAGTTACTCACTCTCTTATTTTATTGACAGCCAGTTGATCAAAACGAGAGTGGGAGGTAAAAAGAGAAGGATACATCTTCATGACGTCACATACACTCTCGATGCTCACCTATGTATTCAAGCGATATTACTGTATCTGTACTTCACAATATCGGCGAAAAAAGTGCATTTAGGTCTTCATCGTTACAACAGTAAACTGTTCGTCTACTCAATCAAAGTCGCACAAGATCAAGTAGGACAATCGTTTCCTATCATTTGGATTGCAAGTCATAGGCTATCTGTAGTATATCCAACACACTCGAATAGCCTTCTCAATTATAAATGACATTTGGCTCGAACTATCATTTTTTAAAATCTGATCATTATATATTTGATTGACATTTATTTGTCAAATATAATTAAAATCACGAATCGTTTCATAATTCGTTTTCCTTTCATAATATCTTGCACTCAATTTGAAAATATTTCACGTTCATATCGTTTTATTTTTCTTTCATATTGAAAAGCCAATCTTACGAAACAGATATGTCATATTCACTTTCAGGTACTTTCATTACTGTAATGTTGACTTATCGTTCGTTAGTATCATAGACATTTAAAAGATTACTGATATTATGGTTAGGCAAGACTGATTTCTATCAGGTGAAATAGAAATTACTTGAAATTGCAGGAGCATTACGACTCGATAATTTCAGATCGAAAGAAATAATTAAAGATAGAGGCGAACGAATCGCAATATATTGGAACAGAAGAATATATGATTTACAATGACTTTTCGAGCAAAAAATAGTTTTGTCCTTCGTTGACAAATGCGGCAAATCATTTGCTGTGATAATTTCTATAGAAAATTATGCGTTTTTCTTGTCTAATGAGGTATCATTTCAAATGTGATCGTCTAAATCATCCTTTAGACGTACAGAGAACGAAACAATTATTAACGCAACTGGCGATTCGATTTGACACCTATGCAGATAGATATTATTTGAATGACAGGCGATTTTTGACGTTGGTGATATTTTGCGCCGAACAAAAACATCAAAGTACACAGTAAGATTGTTTTGTTTAGCCACTTGCATGTCGGTGCAAATATATTTTTCTAGGCTAGACACTGCGCAGGTACTAACTTTCGGAGGTGTTGATTGGGATTCGGAAAATATTGCGTCCTTTGCTTTCGAATAGTTGAAAAGTAATGAGAAAATTTCGCTTTTTGATAATTTGAAAAAGAAAACAATATCCTTAGATTGACAAAACGACTTGTCCTCGCCTTGACCACATGATGGATAATTATGAGGTGACGTAGACACTACTTTATCACATGCATCTAGCATATTTTCATTAACAATATCTCATTTTAAAGATCGAATCACATTTAGAAAAAAAGCTTGTCTTAAAAAAGTGAACCGTGACTGAATGATATCTTAATATTCATCTATGAAATACAGATAAAAAAATATCATAAGAGTAGTAAAAGTAGGTTTCACTGTATTTCACTTTTTTTCTATTCGTATCAAACATGATTAAGAATGATAGGCCAAAATTGCATTGTAGACGCCTTCATTCCTGTCTCATCATCAACGAAGTGTCATGTATTGATGGCTAATGGCAAATGTGGCCTGCCTAAACGAAACAAATCGTACGATTGAATGCGGCGCGAAAAAAAGAAAATGAATGTATAAATGGATAGATGTTTATCTATGTGCTGGTGTATCGTGCCCATCAATCATATATATATATGATGTGAAGGCAAGAAAATGTCAATATAAGAAGGAAAAACGAAAGGAGATTTGGTGACGTCAATGCTTTATAGACAATAGATCATTAGACGAGAAGTTCGTTTTCTCTTTTTTATCTGAAAAAAATGTCTTATGATTTTGACCGTGTCTGTTTGACAGAACGGAAAACAAGTGAGCATAGTTCTTCCTTTCTCCTCTTTCTATTCGTATATTTATATATATATATATACATATATATGTGTGTGTACATTTATGATCATAAACGTAATTAGACGCCGCTCTTATACTATTCATTGAAGCGTAAAGACATGTATGGGTGAATGTCTCTAGTTCAGATTGTTTCATTTTATTCGGGAGCATTATAAAGATGACCTCTTTACTCTAGCTGAAGAATAAAACCTATTCTCTATCTTTTCTTCTGCACGAATTTGAAGTAGAAATATGTCTTGATCATTGTATTTCCTTCTTTCTTCGTCTAGAGATATGACTACTCGGGTCATTGACAATCAGTGGACAATTGAGTCGGTTCCGTGGAGCATGCCGCCACCGCCACAGCTTGTACCAAGCAAGAATACATCACCAATCAATGCTTTCGGTGATTATATTTATCCGAAAAGCGATCGTTTAGTAAGACCAATTGATTTCGATTTATTGTCGTCTAATTTCGTTGATTACTTTCTTCCTAGACACCGACATATATGGGTAATAATTTCCTTGAATTTCACAAAATTTATGCCGATCGAACATTAGTGACACCCAAACAACCCCCTGTACAAAATGGAAATAAAATAATCAAAAAAACATTCAATCGGGAGTATCGCACATTGAATTGTTTGGGCAAAGGCGGTTTCGGACAGGCGTTTGATGGTCGACGACGATCGGACAATACACCGGTTGTTATTAAATTCTTGCCGAAGGAGCGTATTCTGAATTGGGGAACATTCGATGGAGTATGTCATTTGCTTTCTTTGAGCTTTGATTGATCTATCTGCTTGCCCGTAGAAACGTGTACCGTATGAAATTGAAATTCTCTGGCGTCTTCGCGGCGTACCCGGTGTTATCAAAATCTTGGAGCATTTCGAAGAGCCAGATCGTTTTATATACGTGATGGAGAAGATTCCGAACTCGTGTACACTTTTTGATTTTGTCATGAAGAGTCCACCATTGGCAAATACGGAGCTATTGCGTCATATTTTCCGAGAAATCGTTCGTATTAATATCACATTACAAATGTATGGTGTTTGGCATCGGGACTGTAAACCAGAGAATATTATCTACTGTAAGAATGATCGTTCATTACGTTTCATTGATTTTGGATCTGCTGCACCCGTTCAAGCAGAAGACTTTCACGAATTTCAAGTAAGCTTCATCGTTTTCCTAGTCATCTCGTCGGCAAAGCATGTTGATGTTCTCTTCTCTAGGGTACTTTAGAAATCATGGTACCCGAATGGATAGTTCAACGACGTTACAATGGTGAAAAAGCATGCGTATGGACAATAGGTGTGTGTTTGTTCTTTCTTCTTCATCGTCAATATCCATTCCGCACAAAACCTGACATTGTCAAAGGACGATCAAATTTAGCGAATGTAGGTGCATTAGATAAAGACGCTTATCATACGATGAAACAATGCTTAAATGGTAACGAAAATCGACGTCCGAAACTGAATAGTCTCCAGTATTTACCATGGCTGAATTATTAGAATGATCATCAATCAAATCAACTCGCACGAAACGAAATAGCAATTTGGAAAAACGAAATTCCTTGTAAATTATCTCAGATATGAATACGGAAAAGTCACTTGAAACGATTCTGTTCTTTTTCTTTGCTTACTTTATTAATGACTAGTTATTGTCGCGACCTTGAAGAGTAATAAGCATATTTTATATATCAGTCGAGTAAATATGGAAAAACAAGAAAAACGTATGGGAATAAATATTCAAATATGTTTATTTCGACTTCTTTCGTCTTTCTTTTTCGATGGCTTGAAATGAGAAAGACATTTTTGTATGCTTCTCATTGTTTTTTTCTTACTATTAATTGCAAAAACAGATAAAATTTTTTTTGCTAAAAATAAAACTGGTGGAAAAAGATGGCCGAAAGAGAAAAACATATTTTTCTCGTCTCATGCTTGACTAACATATCTACGCATAGAGTATGAAATGAGCGTATCTATTGCAGCAAATTTTCTATCTTTCACTACTCGTTATCGCTGCGGTTTAATTAACATCAAAAAAAGAAACAAATTACACTTTTCGTTGGTATTTTTACCGATGTCAATATAGCACGGAACAGAACAACAACATGTTGAAAGTCAATTCGAATCGAGTCGCCGATTTCTTCGTCTGCCGAAACTACACCAGTATTTGTCAGTAGATGTTCTTACCGCGACATATTTGAGACAGTTATGATGCAGCTTCATAACGAGACTTTTCTCCTATGAACACACGAGAAAACTAACGATATGATATGATAGAAGGAAGAGATTTGTATCCGGGATATCTTTACTATATCGTTAGTTGATGCGAATTCGTCATTGATGTTTGATAAGCGATGCGAAAGAGAATAATGAGTCAATAAATATCAGATATTTAGTGATTGGAATAGTTTACCATGCGGAACGATCGTTGGATAGATATAAGCGAAAATAAACTTTCTTGTATTTTTATTGTACGCAAAAGAAATTCTGTCATGAAGAACAAAACAAATAAACATACACTGAGACATTGAAGGAAAACAAAACGAACAAGAGTCAAGTAAAATTCATCACAATGTCTGGGTTTTTTTCTCTTCTGATACATTTCACAAAACAAACAACATTGAAAACAAAGTCTTATCTCCGAAAGAAAAAGAAGCGCAGAAATGTCAAGAATTATCAATGAATACATAGATGTGAGAAATAGAGAAGTAGAAGAAGAAGAAAAAAAAATCGAAAACAATAACAAAGAGAGAAAAAGAGATGAAGTGGACTTCCGAATAAAATACATTGCTTGTAGATGAATCATATAAAGCACAAAATAGAGAAGTTTAGATGATTTATCACCGGTCTTTGTGCGTCAGATGTGAAATAAATAGATGCTCATTTCTAGGATTCATTCACTTCTTGTTTAATAGTAAGTAAACTTTCCACGACAGGTTCACTTTTACTTTGATCGTCGTCATCATCATCATTCTGACCATTTGCTGTTTGTCCGGCCATCAATGGCCCCATAGCTGTTTGCATAGCTTGCTGTAAAAATTTGGCTGCTGCTTCTGGATCCGTTGGTAAAGAAGATGGAAGCTGACCTTGCTGCTGCTGCGGTAGCATCGGCGAAAGCCATGCAGCTTGAGATGCTAAATAGTAAGACCAAGCTAATAACAAACGATAATCCGGTGGAACTGTTGTCCCTGTTGGCACATTGGTTGTCGGCGGCAAAGGCGGTTTCGATATAGGTGTTTGTGGAGGTGTTGAAATTGATATATTAGATGGTGACGGTGAAGAGACATTTTGAACAGAATATTCAACCGATGTTTCGGTTTTCACTGATGGACTCTTACCTGATTTGCCATTACGTGCTGGAACTTTAACACGGCGAGTGTCGATCACTTTGAATTGATCTAAAGATAGATTCAGAATAATCTGTGATTTTTCTAATATAGAAAGTTTACTTTTCTCATCATCTTTCTTCGCTCGATTGACGTAATACTGTGTCACATCAGCTTTGTTTTGAATAAAATTGCGCGGCATACCAGCGTGTTTATACTTAATATGGTATGTTGCTGCATAACGTGTGTAGATTTCTTCACCGCAATACCCGCATCTAAAATAAGAACAAATCTGTTGTATTGTTTCGCTCAGATCATTTGAAAAATATCTTTCTACACTATCTCGTCTTGCTTTCATTTAATAGTCGATAAAATGAATAGTTCTCAATTTCTAAACATCACTTTGATAAACAAAAAGAAGAGCTTATGGATAGGGTTTCATTCACACGTGCCATTTCTTCGTTAGACTGTATTTGATTTTTTATTGACAATCAACTGAACAGTTCTAGTGTACACGCTGTTAATTTTCAAAGCCACATCAAATAAAATTTTCGGCACGGCAAGTTATACAAATAACTTGTTCTTACACACTCTCTCTCTCTTTCAACTCGACTATTAAATGAACAAGTGGAGCCGGATATTTATATTTGTTTTAAGAAAGAAGGAGAGAAAACAAAATGATGATAATGGACAGACGGTCAATCAACCGTCATTTGTCAATAGAAGACATGTTTTAAGAAAGAAATAAAGATCAAAGTGACTTACTTGTATGGCTTCTCATTCGTATGTACAAAGACGTGATCTTCCATGCTTGGTCGATGATTTGTCGTGTAGGAACATAATTTACATGCGTACCTAAACAGAAAATGCTCATTTCAATCGAACATGTAAATGAGAACAAGTTTACTGTTTATCAGGCTCATACAATGAACCGTAATACTGTTTAGGACGATTATAAACAAGAAGATATTCTGATCCATCTGAAATAATTATCAAACAATGGATGGTGGAAAAATCTTTTCTCATTAAAGTTTACCATCGGAATCTGATTCTTTTGTAATCGGTGGTGTTGATTCCATTGTTGACATTTGCGGTGGGGGAAGTTTTAGTTTTAGTGATGGTTTAACCATAGTCGGTGCTGAATCATATAGGTTAACTGATGTTCGTTGTTCATCATTCTCGAACGTAACTGGCTCAAGATTTTCTGTTTCACTTGTGTCATCACTAGCTGACAGCGATTCATTGTCGTCGTCAACTATTGTTTTCAATGAAATAGCAACGCCATTGATCGGCGCTGATTCACTATCATACTGATTTGAACAACGTTGCTTTTTAAGTTGCGGTTCTTGTGTATTTGCAGCTGTAGTTGCTGCTGTGCTGGCAGTTACAGGATTAGTCACGCTGGAATTGGATGTAGACGTGATCTCTGAACTGTTCAAATCACGATAGAAATCTTGTTCGCGAACACGATTTTCGATAATTTTCACTTCCATATTTGGATGGCAAAGTTCAATATGAACCATAATGGTCGATTTTGTTGTTGACTTGTGTCCACAGTATGCACATGCATATGGCGTCAAATCAGTATGACGATAAATATGATTTTGCATAAGTGATGTGGATGGTGCTTTATAATCACAATGTTTACATTGAAAACGAAGCGGTCGTTTATTTGATGATATTGTTCCTGTTTGCTGTATTTTCATCGTGCCTGATGTGTCTAACACTCGTTTGTTAGTTGGTAGATGATGTTTTGGTGATGATATTAACGATGAAGATGTTGATGACGATGATGGAGAAAGTAAACTAGATAGATTTTGATTTTGCTTGAGAATAACTTCATTGGAAGCTGCTAATGAAGATGGTTTCTTTTTCACACTTAAATCCAGAACATCTTCGTTATTGTCTTCGTCATCTGTTATGACTTGAGCTAGTTTCATGATCTAAAAGTCTTTGAAAAGAGAAAGAGAAACCGTTTTTTATTCGTATGAACAAGTGTATATTCGAAGACATTAAAAGAGTATAGAAAGAACAGTATCAACATATTCTCCACCTACTTTTTTTATTACTTACTACTCCTGATGTTGTGTATATACGAGCCTAGTTTTTTTTATTATATTCTTGTGCGTGGTTTGTTTACTCAGTTTAGCAAACAAGACCCGACTCTTTCTTCTCTTTCTTCTTCTTCTTTTTTTTCTACTACTTATAGTTTAGACTCTTGCTGCTTCGTTTTTGCGGCAGAAGAAGGAGACCGATATATTTATATATGTGTGTATGCACGTTTACTTTTTCTCTTCTCTTCTTACTTGTATACAGTAATGTGTATAGATCAATTTCAAAGCATGCAAAAATTTTTAATCATCATTCAACGCTTAAACTTAGTCGATTAACAATGTACGCAAGAGCTTTAAAGAACGCGAGAAAGAGAGGAAGAAAGAGAGAAGAAGAATAGAGTTTGAAAACGATGTTGTTGATATATATAATAGGCGCGCTTGTTCATGTTTGTATAGTGAATAATTTTCAAACTGGTGGAACACGATAAGTAAATATTGAACAATTGCTAATAAACATCGTACAACAGCAGAGCTTACCTTCGAATTAGTTGAAAGATGTGTGAACACAAAAAAATAAGCTTCGGCTTGCCATTTTCTTTGTCGAAGACGAATGTATCTCAGGTGAAAGTAAAACGACATCAAATGCAAGGCAAGCAAAATGACGATGAATAAACAAACTCTTAAAGATGATAATTGTCAAGTGCGTTTGACAAATGGACGCAAGAAAGCGAATGAGAAGGATGTTTACATAATATAATCAGACTTATAAATATGAATAAAACAAACTTCTTCCTCTTTTTCTTCTCTCTAGCCGTTCTTGTTTCGACAAATTGATGGGGTCTACAGAAGAACACATGAGGAAAAACGAATAATGAAGAAGCAAAAAAAGAAGGAAGAAAAAATGTTAATAAAAGAAAAACGGCTTTACTTATTTATTTATAAATCGTGATGGAAGAACACAAAACCTGACATACGGGAAACAGCACCATCAGGTACTGTTTATTTTTACTAGCACATATAGAAATGTGCGTGCGCAAACATTGTCCGAACGTCTTTTTCTCTTCTTGATTAAAAAAATTGTTCGAGGGAGAATATGAACATGATGAATTGTTTGAAAGATTTGATTTCAAACTTTCTTCTTTCATTAGATATGGTCAAAATAAATATATGTCATGAAGTTTTTATTTGTTTGAAATCGTCTATATCCATTGTTTGCCTATCGAAAAAAAAAACGCTGCCTTCATCTTTTTCTCTCTTTTTGCTCGGTATTATTGTCACTTCAATCGAATACACACACAGAGAGAGAGAAAAACGATATCTCCCTTCCTCTTGTTCTCTTTTACTCAGATTTTTTCTTCTTTACCAACTCAAGAAGATTTTTGTCGATATATTCACTTTTTTCATCGCTCTCTTTCTCTGTTTGATAAAGCTTTGTGTAAATTGTGTGCATTTTTATCGAATGTCTCTCTCTGCTCCTTTATTCTGATGCTGTTTGAAAAAGGCAGATGGCGTTTCTCCTGTATGCACATACATGTGTTTACTTCTTCTCCCTGTGTATGTGCGTCTCTCTCTCTCCTTCAACGTCGCCGTCATTTAAATATTTTGGGTTAAGAATACGAATAGTGAAGGGAAGTGTAATCCATCGTTGACGATTGCGATCAAATTTCGAAGTGCAAGAACACGCGCATGTTCCATAAATCTTTACTCTCTGTTTATTTTTCGAAAATTTGTTGCGCCAGCAACTAAAATGAGTAATTGCTTCTCTCGAATGGATAAAGAGAGAAAGAGCATGAGTAGGTTATTTGAGAACTTGTCATCCGTTGCGCGTGCACACATACAATTGCTCTGCTAGGCAGGAATTTACGTTGACTGATAAGAGAAGAAAAAGGCGAGAAGCATGATTTGACTTCTTCGATAAGGGAAACAAAAAGAAGAAAGAGAGAGAGAGAGACAGAGAAAACTCTTTGATCAAGTAGGTATAAAGTCTGTGTTGTGTATTTAAATGACATCGATCATAAAATTCAAATCGGTTGTCAAAAAGATGAGAGACGACGCATATAAGATTCTTACCTTCTTCTAAATAGTGCTAATTCATCTCATTACAACACATCGATTTCAAATGCAAGCAAATGAATGAAGCTGTCGGGTGACGTGTGTATACATTGACATTATATTAGAGCATTTGCTTGCTCTTTCTCTCTTTAGCAAAGAAAAGACTCAAACATACACACACACAAAATCAAACAACTCTTTCTCTCTTTTGAAAAAAAAAATGAAGAGATCCGATGATCAGTACCACAACGATTTGCACGTGTCGTAGGCGCTTGTGATGTCATACAACATACACGTCTACATAGGCGGTTGACACAATAAAATACTCGTTTTAGATTAGAATACGAATTGTTATCAGTGTAGAGCATAGCGACGGTGCGCTTTTCCTGTTTACTCGTATCGTTACCCCGATCGCCTGTAAATAATCAGGGCAGCAGAGACTCTTTGTATGCAAAAGACATATTAAACCGAACGACAAAAAAAAACGAGAAAATGTACATATGACGATAAAAAAGTCTAAAGTGGATGAAAAAGAGACGAATGAAGAAATAAAAACCAAACAAAGAGCGAAGAGAAGCGTTGAAGAATAATGAAATGAATGTCAAGCATTTGCAATTGTGATTATATCTATGTTTGATCGAACCCTAAAGCTTTTTTCTTGGCCGTACTGCTGATTTGTTTTTTGATCGAATAACTTAAATGAAAAGTATCCAATCGTTTTTGCTTGGAGACGTTCGACGAGATATTATATTCGATTGAAGTTGATATTCAAAGATAAGCTTGTTTGATATTTCTCAAGTGGAAGTCAATCGGAGAGACGAAGAGAAAGACAAAACGATCTGTATGAACAAATTTAGTTTTTATAGATTCTTGACAATCGAATGAAAAACAATCGGCAAGCTGTAGATGAAGTTATGTAAGATGCAATTCAAATGTATGTTGATCAATACTGCTCTGTATACGGACGGAAATAAGCCTTTTCACCTTCTACAAGGTTTCTGATGGTTTCAATCGAAAGAAGTGAATTGGTATTCGTGATATGAGAATCACCTATCTCAGCCGAGCGATCTGACTTTTTATCTGAATCTACTTACCTTTTGCTAAGCGACCCCATGATAAATAGGTCATGCATAATTTTTATTGCACATGAAGATTTAATCAGTAGAAAAGTTACCAATATAATACTGTTTATTCAAGCGATAAGTTTATTATTTGGTATCCTCAAACTCAATATCCGAAATCGCTGAAAATTCTGCATTGAAGAATTCGTTTGCTTCATAGTTCAAGTCAGGAAAATCTGCTGGTTTAACAGAAGATTCTTCATTATATTTATTCTGCTCATTCGATGACAATCTTTCATACAATTTCGATTGCATTGATGTGACAGGCGATGATATGAACTCATCTGATGTTACGGACTTCTAAATGAAAAACAAAGTTCGACAAAGGTCGAAATATGCCTTTTTTTACATACGCTTGAATGTAGTTTATGTTTATAAGCAGTAAGACGTTGTTCTATCAATGAATTCCGAATGACTGTTTGTTCAATGGCAAGATTCACAGTTTTCTTATGTTTTGCCAATTCGTTCTCGTCATGCTTTTCTCTGTCAGAATTTTGATCTATTCGATTGTACGCAATCAAACATTCGCGGATGTCCAAGAGACAACTAGCCATTCGTTTACGATATTTATGAGCATATCGCAAAGATTGATTTTGGAAAAACGGATTGAATAAAACCACTCGGAGTTTATCCATTCCGCATTTCAATTTTGTAACGATCTGTTCAACTCTTAGACGAAGTTTCTGCTGTCTTGTATCTTTACTGTCACTATACTGTTCATCAATTTGTGTCAAATCCGCGTACGAACTAATTGATTCATGTTCCTGAAATGTTCGCAATTCCGATGGATTTAGCAACAGTGCGATTCTCATGAGTTCGTATTGAATTTGTTGACGTTCAGATTGACTTCCGAAGTTTTTCGCAGATAATTCATCGAATCTTGATATAATCACATGTGTATCGTTATGCAGAGAAATCAAACTTTTAGCGAGTCGGTCATGCCATACATTCATGTTGGTTTCGATTTCATCTGAATGGAGACCTAGTGCTCGATCATCATCGGAGTCGTCGGTAGAATTCTGTTTCAATGGTGAGTTATGTGTAGGTAAATACGACTTCAAAGATGTGCTCGGTGAAGTGGGCGAATTGATAATCAGCGAGTTGACGAGCATTGTTTTTGACGAGATAAATTGTATGTGTGAATATTATTTATGATCGATTCACGGTTGATTTATTTTGTTTTCAATGACGGAAAATGCTCTTTTCGACATGTGTGAATGATTGAATAGTTTTATTTACGAATGAAAAACAAAATAGAAGAGAAAGAAAAGAACCTAAACACCGGTATTTGGTATTCCAGCACGAGATGCGCGAGGTTCAAGTTTCAGTGAAAGAATATAGCATTGGTCTTCAGATAATAAACGTGATGTATCCAGTAAGTACGAGCACATACGTGAATTATGCTTGATTTTGAATGATGTTGATTGAAAACGACGAACTTCACTGATGATATGTGTTTTCTACAAGAGAATAAAAGAGAATTTGCGAGATTTCGACTGAATACGAGATTACCATTCGCATTTTTGAAAAGTTTATTAGGTTTTCTTCGGACAAATCCTGTGAGCTTTCTTCAATAAATGTTAAATCCGATAAATATAAACCAAGATAAGGTACACATGGTGGATCTACCCTAATACACAAAAAAAGACACAAGAGATATATTCGCATTTGATATGAACATAAATCGTCAGTTCTACTTTGTTAATGTATCACGTAAGTTTTTGAATTTTCCATCGGAATGAACAAGACTCTGTAGTTTATTAATCACTTGTTTGTTTTGCTTTGATATACGATCCCATGTTTGTTTCAAACGATACACTGAACTATTGACAAAAGCAGCCATGATTTGAAGAACGCCGTTGAAGTTTCGTAAATAACGACATATATCAGCAATGGTGCCTAGCAAGTAAATATATGAGCGTGTGCTGTCGAAATCACACAAATCTTTACCCCATTTTTCAATACACTGAACACGCCCATTCGCCGTAGGTTCAGAAAGAATTTCTGTTATCACCAGACGGCACATCTAATCGAGGGAAAGAACGTGACAATCTACTAAATGAGTACAGTTTTTGGTAAATTACTTCATTGAATCGTCGTGATATGAGCGCAACATTTGGTGCTAAATCATCACGGCCTGGTTTCATCCAACCTTGTAGAATCAATTCTCTATGAGATAGGTAGATTTGTTTAATAAATATAATTCATTTTCTCGTCTTATCATACTCGCTGTTTAATGCGCAAAATAATTTATGATCGATTAAAGTCATTTGTTCAGCGATATCAGAAACAGCTATTTGTTCAAATGTGATGTTGACAGGCTACGGTATTATTGATTCAATTATGAAAAATACATCGAGTCTTTTGTTTCATACCTGTACTGGTGTGAGAATCATTCGTAATTCGGCATTACGCTGTTCGATTTCATTTGTTTCCAATTGTTTGATGATTGCGACAGCTGCTTTATGTTCAGTCGCGATCAAATGACCATTTAATAGCATATCTTGCAAAAGTTCCAGAACCATCTAATATAGAAACATCGAAGTAAATATGACCAACTTGTTATTTAATCAGTTACTCACTTCTTTCAATTTGGGATCCTGATGAAAGTCCTAGAAGATGACGAATATTGAGTAGAAAGAGATTCAGAAATGGTGTTTTTACTAGAGGATGTTTGGTTAACCAGTGTCTCACGACATTGAGAACTCTCATTGTTGAAGCTGTGTTAACAATGGTATATTCGTTGGTCTTTTGTTCTCTTGGTGATGTTCCTAGAGGATTACTGCCTGTTGTCGGCTGTGGTGATGTTGAGTTTGAACCTGTTTTGTTTATTTGTAATACAAGAAATTTAAAAACGACAGTTTCGTTCCTGCCTAGCTTACCTGTAGTGCTGGTTAGTCTTTCATTACGTGTTATTTTTGGTGATTCACCAGATGTGGCCACAGCGAATGCTTGTGTAGCAGCTGCAGAACTTGTTCGACGACGAGATGATCGTGATGATGTGACTACAACACCAGGTAGAACTTTCTTGAATGTCCCTTCGGCGGCATTCCGCAAACTTTGTCGCGGTGAAGAAAGTACTTCGCTTAAACGTTTAGCTAAACAAAATTGAATGAATCATTCAAATATTTAATCGTTTTTCGTACAGAGCATGATAACATTTTGTGATGTAGTTTGATTCGCTTGGGTGTTATTTCCCATGGCCGCTCCGCTTGAATCGAGTCGTCCGCGTTGTTGCTGTAGTCCTGTTGGGCTGTCGGTTTTTTGAATTTGTAAACCTTTTTGTTCTTCCTGCAGACACAAAAGTTAATTTTTTGAAAAACAAGCAACTCAATTGACAAGTTCCTACTTGATCAATACTCATAACTTGATTATTCGCCGAGAAACGAGTATGACTAACTGTTTGCGTTGATGTTTCCACGTCGAGATGAGTGTCGGTGGATATTCCCGATGAAGGAAAATCAAAGAGAATCTCCAATGAATCAAATTCACTTTTAGTTGTTTTCCGACTTGATTGTGGACTTCGTAGATATTGTTCGGCCTTGGCTGATGCAGTCTCTCCACTAGTAACACGTTGATGGTCATCCGAATTAATGGCATTGACATCGGAAAAGGTTTCAGATGAAGCCAGTGGTGCTAGTGGACGATGAGCTGAATCAGCTGATTCATCGACATCCATTGATGGAATTGTTGCTAAGGTTGGCAATGCCACGATGGTTTCCGTGGGTTTTAGTGACACTTCTATTCAGCGACATACAATTTGTATTTTAAATAAGCTATCAACTAACTTTTTTCAGCCGTTTTTGTGACTGTTGTTGTACTGGTAACAACTTCTGTTTGCTCGATACCTATGAGAATGACTGTGGTTAAATAATCTGAAATCTCCACTGTTCAATACGTACTTATGCCTCGACGGAATGATCCAATATGTGAATGCCGCCTTAGATCACGTTCTTGCTCTGTTTTCGAATTCGCTGTTGTTTCAATTACTAAAATATTCATAATCGATTCTGATTGATTGCTTCATCAATGTGAACTCTCACCTGTCGAGACTCTTCTCGTTAATTCATTATCATGTTCATTGATTTTAATCTTCTTTTCTCTAAAAAATAGAAAATAAACATCCAATAGAGCTTCTCTACAACACATACTTGTGATGTTCATCTGCCTTTTGTGTATCTGTTTCATTCGTATGATCCAGTGAGGTGTGCGGCGATGATTTATAAATTCGTATCAATGTTTCCATCACTGTGTACGCATCCGTATACAGTCTGTATGTCAGCAGAAATGTATTCAAGAAATCAATTGATAAAAATCGTAGATCTGTTAAACGTTCAAATAAACGTTCAAGTGTTGCATGACGAATCTAAGAGAACGAATCAATGAAATTCAAAACAAACATCCAGATTTTCATTACCTGTGGTATTTTACATGAGTCGAGTGTCTTGGAGAACTTCATTTTCGAATCATCTTTGTACAATTTAACATCCGATCTAAATGTTTGACGAATGATAGTATTGGCGGAAGTCTCTGTGCAATAATTACTTGACAGATTCAGGCGCAATCACCGATGATTCATTACGAAAGGATGTTGTCACGAGCTCCGTGTAACGAAGATTTTGCAGACATTGTGCTATGTCTGTACACCATTCAGATTTATGATTTTCATCATTGGCAACGAATGTTGTTGAATAAGGTGTTTGATCACGCGATTCAACAATCAAACGAAATAGACGATTAATATATGTATCGATTTCACCGTTCTTATTATCTGTTATATTCGAATTTGTATCATCAATACTATCTTCTTCTGTAACTGACGCGAGCAGATTTTGTGGATCGGTACTGATATCTTCGATTAGTGTGACATCAGCTAATGGAATCACTCCACAACCCTAAGGAAATAATTAGTAAATCATTTCTTGTCAAACATCTATTATTTCACTGATTACTTTAACAAGATGTAATTTTCCATTTGAAGCACGAGTAGTGGTTACAAGATGATTGGAAAAAAGAAAACATTGTACAACCATTTCATTACGACGAAGTTCGCGCTGAGTTAAGCGTTGGGTTAGGTTTGCTTTGTTCTTATCACCAGTCCATAGAAAGAGACCATCTACGAGACAAAAGAGAACATAAAGTTTTTCACATGAATCCGTAGAAACGAGAAGTTTGCACTGTCTCAACGCTACTCTAATGCAGATTCCTCACCTTGACGGCAGAGAACTTGATTAACATCTAGAAGTACATCACAGCCCTCAGCAATCGATCGTTCGATGGCTAAATTTGTGCGTATATGTTCGGTTTCCGACACTTCGTCGTGCATAATCTAAATGATCAATGAAAACTTATATTTGCCATCCACATTGCCTTACTTTTGAAAGTTCTTCAAGTTTATCTTTAGCGTGCTCAAGCTTTTCTCGTTCGACATGTGCATGTGGTGTGTGTGATAAACAGTTCGCAAGTGTAATAATATAATAAGGAATCTATTCCATAAAAACAAAGCAAAGATAAAATCAATTTCAAGCAGATTGTCTAAGCACAAACTCGATTCATTGGTAGAACTAAAAGTGTTTCCAGCGATAAACCTTCACAAACAGGTTTCATTTCACATCGATCGAGGAATTTACTGAATTCTGAGTTACTCAATTTACACTCAATTAAATTCTAAAAGAAAAATCAAAACATTCGCCACACGATACTTCTCAAACCATGATTTTCATTACTTGTAAACTGTAATGATGGTTACGAACATATTCGAGATAAATATGTACCATGGATAGAAACATGTCGAACAAATCGCCTGAAAGAAAAATTCATCAGATCAAGAAATTGGGCACGCAAACAGTGATCATACCAGTATAAAACGTTGGCCAATTTTCTAACTTTTTTGATAGGCCCTTGTAAAAAATTTGATGCAAAAATAGAATAATTTCACTAGAATAATAGAGAGACACTCCATTGAATTTGTTCCGGTTAAACAACAAACCTGTTGAGAAAAATTGAATTAATGTCCTCGTGTGTTACTGGCGGTTTCTTTGAACTTGCCGCTAACATAAAATAGTATATGTAATATAATTTCCTTTTTCTCTAGCATGTCCTTTACCCATTCGAAATGGCCGCACATAATTCGCGACGAGAATTTCTAATTGATGAACATATTCTCGTTCACTTTCAACCAAATTGAAGATTATACTGTTACGTTTACGCATCATTTCCGCATGTGGAGAACTAAAAACAGATTACTAATGATCTTCTCAAGCAAACCTTGTCTAATCATACCGTATATATTCTTCGACGATTCGTTTCCATCTTTGCCGGTACAGCCAACCACGACAGAGACTTTGCACTTTTTTGATTTTACGTATTTCTTCCGTATCTTCTTCGGCTATGCTTTTCGTGCGCAAAATATGATGCTGTCGTCGATAAAGTGATAACTAAAACAGACTTTCTCTACAAACGAGTTCCAGCATCGTTTTCTCTGTTTACTTCACGGCGTAATTCTCGAATTTCAGTCGAAAGTTCTTCCACTTGTTGTAAATATTGATATTTAGTTTTCGTTTCACTTTCATAGACTTGAGATAAATGCAGATATTTCTGTTCAAGTTCTTCTTTTAACGAAAGCAGTCGGTTATAACTAAACGGAGAAGGAAAGGTTGGGAATAAAGTCTCCTCACGACTCCAACCTGCATGTTTGGATGCATTCAATCCAAACTTGACAATCAGTTTCTGATTCAGCTGCAAATTCAATCGCGTTTCGACCATCTCGAGAGTACGAAATTGAAAAACAATTCTAAAAGAAGAATCAACAATTATTCTTCATGGTGTAAAACCGGATATGTGACTAATAGATCCAGTATAAGTTCAAGTATTTAGGTAGACGACAAATTACTTTTCCTCTTTTTCTTTTTCAACACAAAATGACAGATTCCCTGTTTATTAGTCTTTTCATTGTGCCTTCTATTAGACATGGAACTACCGGATTCCTCAAAATGAAACTTCTGGAGTTTATTCACGAAACGACAACTCGTCAGGGTACGATATTTCATGTACTGAGCTTTGACAGAGTGAACATTCAAATACTTCGATGCTGTTCGAGTGGAAAGAAAAATGATTTATTCTAAGTCTGTGAGTAGTTCTGATGAAGAGTAATTTCCTTAACCAAGAAGTATAGCTTCGCATCTTTTCTAATCATCGTCAATTGATACGCCTTCGCAACAGCAAACTAAATTCATGATTCATTTTCTAAATGTTTTATCCACTTGAATAATTCATGTTTCGATAAACATATATTTAATTGAATATATATGTACAGTTTTGTGAAAATTTACAGAATAATGTGAGTATCCATTGTTAGCCATATTTATCGATAGTGGTGGTCTTGATGCACACCCTCATAGAATAAAAGATTTGAGAAGATATTTGTATTAGAACTGCGAAAGAGGTATTATCCGCTAAGCCAAAAATGACTAGTGAACGACATTTGAGGGCAATACTCGGAATGGAATGGGAATAATTGAACTGGAATTCAGTTTTAGTGCTCGCAATTGGAGAAAGAACATACTTTAAAACAGAAACGACCATTCAGAAGGTCGAATAATTGGTTTCCTTATCATTTCAAAATGGGTAAAAAAGTATAGCATTTGCATGAAAACTACAGAATACTTGTGTAAATAATTGCATCATCTACTTTCCAGAATTCACTATTTAATCTGTGTTACGAGTACATCTATGCTGCGTCGCGCGTCAAATAAAAAGAGTTCCTCAAAAGAAGGATTATCTGTCGCATTTTAAGAATAAATAATATTGAGCCTTTTTTAAAGCAAATGCTATACTATTCTACCCATTTTGAAATGGTAAGGAAACCAATTATTCGACCTTCTGAATGCTCGTTTCTGTTTTAAAGTATGTTCTTTCTCCAATTGCGAGCACTAAAACTGAATTCCAGTTCAATTACTCCCATTCCATTCCGAGTATTGCCCTCAAATGTCGTTCACTAGTCATTTTTGGCTTAGCGGATAATACCTCTTTCGCAGTTCTAATACAAATATCTTCTCAAATCTTTTATTCTATGAGGGTGTGCATCAAGACCACCACTATCGATAAATATGGCTAACAATGGATACTCACATTATTCTGTAACTTTTCACAAAACTGTACATATATATATATGACTTAATCTCGTATTCTAAATATTGAAACAATGAAAACTTACTAGTTTTTCTCCGTCTTTGCTATTCTTTGCTGGTGATCTTGATGAGTAACAACTTTCGAGGAAATAAACTCCTTGTGGCTTCGATGAATTGACATTTTCGTAATAAAAAAGGAGATTTTGATACAAAACAAACCATTTCAATTGCCATTTATTAGGCGATGATGAAGGATCTTGTCCACCACGTCGTGATAAATATCCACATTCACGATTTTCTAACCGCGCCTTGATTGCTAGATTGAGTAGATGCTCTTCATTGACTTTGAATGATGTTCGAGTCATTAAAATAGTCGGGAAATTTTTCAATGGTGACCAGGAATCTGATGAAGCCATTCGTGTTCGGTTGGTACGAGTGGTTGCTTGTTGTGTATTGGAATTACTTGTTGATTGCATCGATACAAACAGTGATGACAGCATAAGGTGAAGAAATATGATTCATCAGGAGAAAACTATGCTGCAGAATTTTATTTAAAATCTAAAATCATGTTGGAGGAATAACAGTAACAACTAATTGAATTGGGAGAGACGTCGGTCATGAACGTAAGAAGAAATTTATGTTGTGAGGTATGACGACAAGAAAAAGTATTAGTTCCTTATGTCACGTCTTTTTGGTTGACTTCTCAAGCATTGATACGAGAATAAATCTTTTTCATTCTCTTTCGTTCGTGACATTTGATTGTACGTGAACAATGTTCCTCAAAATATCATGTAACTATTAAAGAAATACTATGTGTTATGCGTCGACATCGATATAGATTGAATTTCAAGAAAACAACTCGTAGCCGTCTACTCATCGGACAACATTGCAGTATTTAGAAAACGTGCGAGTACAAAATTATTATCTCGAATTTTGTCAACAGCATTAACCGAACTATGGCTAATACAGCTCAAATAACTCGTATGAGTCAATAGTCTGAATTGGATTTGAACTCCATTGAGTGCTGATTTGTTCGAGTATTTTTGCAGGAAGGTCTAAGGAAAAGAAGTATAAAACTAAAGTCGATATTGACACAACATTGTTGAACTGATTAAATAAATAGAATAACAAACAAGTGCGTTCCTATTTCTCTCGACGGGTAATTGTTAACAATGTATATGTGTCGGAAATGAAAAATCGTCGAGAATTCTTCGCAGTACTTCATTCCAAATATAGGTTTGTATAATCACTTGTTGTTGTTTCTCCTAACACTCAAATGTATCTATAATTAAACTTGCCGGTGCCGAACTCCGTTCACATCTGAATAATTTTTTAACTGCCCAGCATCTCATTTCCTTTTTTGGTGTTTCTTAAACTTCGAACAAAATGACTTTTCTCTACATTTTCTTTCGAAAAGACGTGACATCACAGCTTTTCTTTCTCTATTCGAATGAATATTTTCTCAGCTATTTTCTGTTATGTGTTTCTCTTATAATTGAACTACACACTGTAATAATAAAAAATGACAGTAGATATATGGATATAAAATAATCATAAATATTAGAGACTACATTGGAGGAAATTCACTGGGGGAATCTCCTTGTAACAACAGTACTCTCGTTACTTCCGCTAGCAAACGGCACGCGAATAATTTTGATTGTTATCAGCTAAAGAAACATATAGGACAGCAGAACGAAGACAAAGATTTTCATCTCGATTTCTACGAAAGAAGAGAAATTTGATTAAGTCATGTTTTTTATTCTATATGTGAAAATTAACTTAATTAATTAATGTCATTACTTCCATTTGTAGTCTATACGCCTTTTGATTTTGCTACGTACTGTCGAAATCATCGTGAGATACGCTATAAACTTCTCAAGAAAGGTAAATGTACTCTCACTTGGTGCTAACATTCAAACGAATGTTTTTCCCCACGACTAGTCATTAAATAAAACCGACTTAGCTCAATAAATTCTCAACGCTAATCCAATTCTTCTTACCCGCATAAGTAATTCTTAGAAAACGCATTCAACGCTCGAGAATGTCTAATTATGACGAGAGATTTGCTATGCAAAGCTAACTAAATTACCTCTTCGTTCTATTCTTACCACTGAACATTGATACGATGGAAACAAAGGTGAAAATGACTGCGGTGAGCAGGTCTTGAAATACAAGGGTACAGCTTTGTAATGATCTTCATCTCGTATTCTTTCCTTTCTTACTTGAAAAAACAAATGCAACACATTGAACAGAGGACCAGTAAATGCACGCGACAGCCTGCATGCATGCTACTCCTAGTAATAATTATGAAAAGAAGGAGAATAGAAAAAGAAGAAGAAGAAGAAGAAGAAGAAGAAGAAAAATATTCTATAAATACCAAATCTATCAAAATATTTCTTCTTACTCAAATGTCAAAGAAGACCAAGCAAGTTCTTCTGCCGAATTCACTTTTATATCAATCGAATAGTTACTTATTTATTCTATTCATATTATATACCATAATCATTAAAAATCATTAATTAAACAGGAAATATTTGTCGTGATCACATTGAAAACGTTCCCAAAGGTATTAATTATTCTGCAAGGCTATTCGACTAGTTTCTCTTTCTCCGGTTTGATATTAATTACATGCCTTACACCATTTTCCCTCTGTGTACAAACGAGAAAAAAGTGCATCATGCGTAAAGATCATTACAATTATTCAGTCTTGAGCACATTCATCCCAAACGAATTTTATTTTATATACAGACATGCATACAGAGACAGTTTCGAAGTAACAAAAACAGCGTGTGTTCTTTTCTTGGACATCTGACTAAAGGAAGAACTTGTTTTTCGTTGAAGTCGAAATTCTATCTGACCCGTTGTTGGTTTCGAGGTGAAAATCTTTAAAAGTGTACTTCAGTTGGAGCACCATTGGGCACGCCGTTTGTAACTCCGGCGAGAACATCACGACTGATTTGTTTCATCAGTTCTTGAGTTTTACGACGATTGCGACGGGCAGCATCGGCACGCAAATACGGCGTCTTCTTCAGATCTATAACATTTGAGAAGTGAATAGAATATGTTTTGAAGTTGACATGCTTACCGTCTAGTAGAGTTTCGATTGTGCCATCGGTTAGTGCTTCACGTTTGATTAATTTCTGATCTTTAATCGCTTCTTTTCGACCTTTTAATTCGTTCAATAATTCCTCCTGAAAGACGTCAAATATTCTCGATTAATTCAAACCAATTGTCATTATGTCAATATAAAGCAAAGTCAAATAAAAGAACGGGGGGTTTATTTTAGAATATGATAAAATAAATGTTGAAATGAAATTAGATGCCAGAAGCAGAAAATAATCTAGGCGGATTTACCTGAAGTAAGACAAGATCATTCGCCTGCTCAGTTTATGTTCAGATATATGTTGAATGGAAAAGTTACGAAGGAGAGACTCACCTGTGAACGTTTAGTTATTTGACGTTTATTCGGCCTTTCGAGTGTAGCAGCGGCTTCACGAGCCAGACGTTTTCGCTCTTCATTTTCGTGGCGTGCTTGCTGAATTAAACAGAATTTCAATAATATATGAAAAAGAACAACTCAACAAACTTGATATGCTCTTTGAAATTTGACAAATATTGAAAAAAAGTTCGAGGGAGTCTGCGTACGTGGTGCTTCACCTTCAATAAAACGACAAAATTTTCATTTCGGGTACGGAAATTCAAATGCAGACGAATTCTTCTTACCGAAATATTCAACGCACTGATTAAACGCATCCTGCGCTAGTTTCGCATCTTTCACTAAGCGATCAATTTTGTCTTGAGCCACACCAACAAATTCTTCCAATGGTCGTGTTTCGATATTCTAAACAATGATACATTCTCTAACTCGTGATCGTTCTCATTATTGTTCTCCGAACCTTCATTGTTTGTCGAATGACAAGTTCTTTCTTTGTATTCTCCAAGCCACGTGTTAAATCTTGAACGTCAATTTGAATATTCTCCAATGAAACTAGAAAGAATAAATCAACAATTTCAGGGCTTGATTCTATGCATGAGTAAAGGATAGTCATTTATGTTAACACTGCGTAAAATAACAGGAAGGAAAGTCATTTGTATGAATTAATTAGGCTTTTAGATGCACATAAACAGTTATACCTGGAAGCCTCAGTGGAAGTGCATCAGTAGAACGAGAGTGTGGTATGTCTGACATAAAAAACATTTATCTATTTTTCTGATTCCAAATGAAGAGTATGACAAGTATTAATGAACTGTCATTGAGGGCAAAATTAGCGAAATCATCATCGACAATGAAGTCCCAAAAGATTTTCGCTGGTAAATTGTTTTTCTCATGTGAGAAAACTCGTTTAATATTGATAATTTCGCTAAAGGACTCGACTTTTAGCGTAATCTGGTGTACTGGAAACGGTTCGACTCGCAAACCAGATGGCAGATTTTGTCTAGGTCTCGCGTTTCCCGCACATCTCGTAGTATTTTTACCTTGTGCAGCTTTCTCCACTGCAGCTAGATCTGCATCAAAACGGCTTATATCCGGAAAACGTTCTTCGATGGTTTGAACAATAAAATGAAGTAATGTTAAACGCTTATCATGTGTCCGTGTATCTGTCAACTAAGAAAATCCAATGAATAGACTTCGAAGTTTTGAAGATGAAGAAGTTAGTTACGATTTCGAGACTTGCTAATTTAAAACCATAAACCGGTCCACGTTTACTACTGTTCATATAATTACCAAAAGCAAGGACGATCTAAATGGAATTGTATAGATGTGTAGTGGTACGAAGTTGAAGGGGATTACTTCGAGAAGTTTTTTGAATTTCGAATTGCTCTTCAACGATGATGATGCTGTAATCACAGCTTTCAGTTGTGGAATCAAGTTTTGATTGATTTCATTGAAATTAGCCATGAAAGAAATGACGTTCAATTTCTGGGCTAATCGTTCGATTTTAGAAAGCTAGAAAACGAAAGTTCGATCTAATTTGCAACAAAATAGATTGTTTTACCCCATAAAGAAAACGATCTTCATCAGATAGATTGGACAGCTGTTTACCATCTGCTAAATACGATGTAAATGCTTTTATCTCTGTTTCAGTTGGAATGAAATGTTGTAAGATATCAATCGTATCAGCAGTTAAAATTCGTAGATCAAGACTAAAAACAGAATCGTTCCAGGAATGAAATGCTAACTTTCGTGAATAAACGTACTTATTCAATCCTCGAGCGATGGTATTTACATTCATATCAAGTTTTCGTCGAGCAATACCTTTATGAAGAAAAAGATCAATAAGATTTTCCTCTATGAGTTTGTAGACTGTACCCAGGTTTCTTTGTCGTTGTGGATCGAGCAAGGTTAAACTTTCTGGAACTTTGATAAACTTCTGTTTCGAGTGTGGACTGACATTGGTTTGGCTAACTGGCAAACCCGATCCTGTCTTGAATAGCTCCTCGAACGTTTCGAAATCAATTAACTAGGAAGAAAAAAAACGAGCGAATATTACGAAGTGACTGAAACGTAGGAGTGTACTTTGAAGTATTTTTCATCATCGAGTTCCGAGAACACCGTGCCACGAACTTGACCAGGTTTTAATGATGTCCAATTGAGATTAGGTAGTTTATATTTCGTTGCAATCTTTTTCTTAATAGTCATCGAACCAGGAAGAGGTTCAAGCATACCCGGTGGTGGCGGTGGAACACCAAAAATTGGCGGAGGCTGAAAGAAATTCAATGAGAAACGAGTCCACGGAATCGATTTTTGTGCATACCGGACCAGGAGGCGGAGGCGGTGGAATAAAATCTAAAATAGATTGAGAAGACATTGTACGATCTTGATCGAAAATAGTTCTCAGTTACTTGGAGGTGGAAGTGGCGGAGCGGGAGGAATATTTGAAGCAGCATTTGAAACGCTTGTTGGTGCACCAGGAGGAGCTGAAGAGATGGACGATGTCGAACTATTCGGTGATCCTACAAAATAGAAATCCGATTAGATAGAAACTCATTATAGCAGGAAATTGTTCAGTTTTACACACCTCGATCATGTTGACTTCGTCGCAAAGTACTCAATGTGTGTGACATATCATCGCGTTCCTTCTAAACACGTCACAGAATCAAGCAGAACAATAAGCATATTTGATGAAAGGTTTAAAACATTTACCTTGACATTTTCTATCTGTTCTTCAGCACAACTTAATGCTTTTTGCAATTCCGCTTTGAAATTCAAACGAATGAATATAAAGCTAAGAGTTTTCGCATGATTTTCTTACCCATTTTGCTACAACTACCACTTTCCAATTCCTGTACCCTTTCATTCGCCTAGGGAAGGAACCATTTATCGTGGAAATGACTATAATCAAACTTACCACTCCCAACTGTTCTTCTAACTCCGATACTTTTGTAATCGCTTGTTGTTTGGTCTCGGAATCTTCTAATAATTGCCCAACATCAAAGTAATTATCCAGAAAAGCATGAATTTGCAAGATAAATAGATCACATTCGCTGTGAATTTCCAAATATCTCTATTGATTCAAAATATATTAAGACATTCAATATAATAAAAGCACACAATGATAATATTGCATACTTTAAGACATTCATCAAGTCCGAGTATTTTGAATTCTTCTTGGAGATACACTCGATAATTCATCTCTTGAACCGAATGAACAATAATGTTGATGAATTGCATACAGGCAATCTATTTAATCAAGCAATAAACAAAGATCGAAGTGAAATTTCATTCCAAAAAGTTCTCTCACCATATAATCAACATTAAATTCTAATGGTTGAGTAAATGATTTCATCACAGTTTCAAAACGATGTCTCTCTTGACATACCTGTAAAAACAAACACAACATTCGCGTAAGTTTCGGTCTTTTCAAACACTCACAATTCGAAAATTATCAAACGCAGCTAAGACCACATCGTGTCCTAGTTCAACTAAACACACAGCAGCAAGCAACTCCAAAATAAGCGCTTTGCACCTAAATACAAAAAGCGCAATAGTGACGATCAACAGTCAATAAGAAACGACTACCGATAGTTTTTGTGCTGTAAACTGAGAGTAATATAATTGAGAGCAGAGGGATGTTGAATAACAAGATTGAAGCCATTCTAAATGAAGGTAACATTTCGCTTTTTTCGTTTCTTAGACGAATGAAAAGTTCAGTATACCTGATTATTCATAATTGCTCTCAAACACATGATACATAGGCGAACATCGTCGGTAGCTTCACCGATTTGATATTTTTTTATTTTTCGATATAAACGTCTTGCATCCGATCGGCCGAATTGTGCACGTTTCAAAGTTGAGTTTTCATCCGGATAATTCGAATTTCCATTATTTAACAAAGAATTCGATAGTAAACGATGAGTTCCATGTGAATTCGATAGAACATCGCTTTCATTCGTACTATCCACTTCCCTAAAAAATCATTTCACACGTTCAAAAATACTGTTTATGACAAATAAGGTGATCAGTCGCAATTAGTTCATTCTGAAATTCAACATGCGAAAAATAGCAGCTCATGTTCTCACCCAAACAGACCGCATGATAATAATTGTCTCGATGAGTTCGTTCTCCGCTCATCATGATCAAGTTTCAATCTGTTCTCTCAAAATTTCGTTATATTTCTCATAGAAAAACTCGAAAGCCCATCGTACTTACCGCATTACTTCTAACGACGTTTTCAAATAATCAAGTAAAACGTCCAAACCATTGCTATTTTTATTGAGGAACTCGTGTACCCATCTAAACGAAAACATTAACAATACAAACAACTCATCACTTGTTGTCTTACCCGATGCTGTTCGTACGTAAGGAAATTTCTAAACTTGAAAGTAATTGAGTAGATGGTTCAATTGGATGTTTCTTTTTCTAGAGAGAAAATTTGTCTTCTGACAAGTTCTTTCACATCTGTTTACCAGAGTTAGAGCTTTGGGTACGAGATTAGCACCGCGAATATATGTTTTCAAGCCGTCAATATAATACTGAGGTGGATGTTTAGCAATAACTTGATCCTGAAAAGTTGTATGTTCAGTTAAATCAATTCGATTCTTTGTCAAAAAAGATTTACTCGATCTCGTATAATATCCCATTTTTTATCGGACGGGAAATCGCGCAACATTTTGACTTTATCTGGCGGTAAATCCATTGTTGCCTAAGTTCAAAAGTATTATAAACAGATGCACGAGAAAAGAAACATTCTTTTGTTTACCAATGTTTTTTGAAATAATTCGTCCAAGGTTCGATCATCCGGCCGAAGTTGATTCACTTTTTCAAGACTTCCTATGCTCTTCAAACCGAAAGGGTATGAAATTCAGTGTCAGAAGTATGCTTTCTATTTACTTTTCTCAACGTTCCCGAGGAGCTCAAACTGGATATTGAGCGCATTGAGGGTGTTATTGAACACCATGGAGACGATGAAATCGTTCCGTTTTCACTATTGATCATCGTCGTGTGCTGTTTTGTTGTTTATATTTCACATATATGTTAAGATTAATCGAATCTGAAAGAGCATGTATAGATAAGATTGTGGTAATTTCGCAGAAGAAAAAAAAACAAAAAACATTTTGAAAAAGATCGTCGACTTTCGAAAGAGAGCGAAAGCAAAATCGAAAAATGAATATTTGTAAAGGAAAAGAAGAACGAGGCCGTACGCATTAATCCAATCGAATAAAATAACATCGGTTTTGATAAATGAAACTTCACCAACTGGTTTTGACTAGTATTTAAGCATCCGTCGATCATTGAAGAAAATATCTCACGCTAAGACATTGATTCGAAGCAAGATGACGAAAAAAAGGAGAAAAAAGAAAGGGTAAAGGTGTATGTTACATATAGTTGTAATAGCCGTCCCTGTAACGTCTCTTTCAAGAACAACTATAATCAATCTATTTACTCATAAAACAGAATTTGCTGTACATAAAAGAAAAAAATCTTTCATTCACATGTCCTTCTTGGAAGGTAGTGTAGGCATGATTAATAACTTGTCGACATACTTTTCTCTCTTTCAGTACAATGTGTCTTCATCCCAAGAGACAAAATCAGTTATTGAAAACTCAGATTTCTTCTACTTAAGAAGGCGAAAGACAAGTACATATAAAAGATCGACTTACCATTTCATGGATTATTAATAGTTTATCAAAACAATAAGAAAACATGGAAAGAACTCGTTTTTTCTTCAGAGTTTGCTGACATACTCTGTTAGGAAACTTTGAGTAGACTAATTATGAGTCATTGAACCTGATTCCCTTTTCTCTCTCTCTCTGTCTCTTTTGATTTAGTGATATATTCGTTCATTCATACGAATGATGAATATATACACTTTTGAGCGAAGGTCGCACCACCTTCATTCACTCATTCATTCATCTCTTTTTCATTGACGATCGAAATATGATGATGATCTTTCTTCTCTCTTTCTCGCGAATTTTTTTCTTGATCGTTAACGGCGTTTCGTAGGGTTGTTTAATTTTTATGATGCATTTTTCTTTCTCTCTTTCTTGTTTAGGTCACATACAGTACGAGAAAAGAAAAAATAACAAGAATTAGGGCATACTAAACATAAAAAACTAACGAAGCTACTATTACTATACACGAATGCATACTTCGCACAAGGAAAAAAATACAATCTCTATTATATCAGAGCATAACCACTTTCCGTTACGTACGTGAGAACGAGCGAATAAGTAACAGTAGTATGCTAAGCGAGAAAAACTACACCTATAGAAGTGAACAGGCGATTTATTTGCATACTTATGTTTTCTTATCTACTGATTCTCTTTTTTTTTGTTCATCAGTTGTTGAAAGATGATGATATGTTTTTGATTGAACTGCATTGATGAACTATAATTAGCAGTTTATCGATTTTACTTCAATTCGAATAGAAAAACAATTCTGCTCAGTTGTGAACAAAAAAAAATGATATATCTGTCTAGATGACAACGTGCAAGTATTCAATACGAAAGAAAAACGATTTCGTATAAGATTATAAACGGATGTAATACGTCAACAATAACAAATGATCATCTTAATAGAAAAATCATACTTCTCGGTTATGTATATATACGACGAACAAATATAAAAGAATGAACTCGGATATCGGAGTGCACTACTATTCATTGTAGTATATCGAGTGCGTGAAAGAGAACAATGAGAACGTAAGGAATTGATCAGGGGAAGAATTGTTGACACAACTGGTAGGTTCACTGGAATTGAGGCGATGTGCTCGGTTTGTATTTATATATAAATAGATGTGTGAAAGGCATAACTGATCTAATATGATATATGAATGTCATTATGACAAGCGTTACCATCACCGTGTATGTTCACGATACAAAAAAGCTCTGATTAATATAAAGACAAAGAAATGAGATAGAGCAGAGAGAAGGAAAAGATAAAAAGAAGTGAATGATACACAGCAGTGTACAAAGGTCAGACTGTAGGACAACAGAAGAAGGTAATCAGCAAAGAACAAAGCAGAACCGGATGTATTATACTCACGTTTATTTGCTCGTTTTTATAGATAATATGATATAGTTCTGCCCGAGTTCGCGATATAAATAATAATCGTATCAAAACAGGAGAGTTTTCTTTTTCAATAGCTAAACTACTCAAAAGAATGTTTACATTGTGAATGTCAGGAGGAAATGAGGAGTAAAAGACGTATATATATATATATATAATCGTTAAAGTGTTGTTTGCATTTACTTGACGAAACTACACAAACGTCATTGAAATCTTATAAAATTGTTTAGCATCGACATTTTAAATCGATCACAAAAATAAATAAAAAAAAAAGAACAAAGGAGAGAAGATAAAGAAAAGAAAGACAAGATCGTGATGAACGGCGATGATGTTCAATCAGATTGACCTAAACTTCGATTGGGTTGAACAGATGACCATAAGACGAAAGAGATGGAGAGTGGCGCTGATCAGAACAAGTGCTCAATGAAGACATCTATTGGATTAGATTCACAATGCTATCCCATTTCAGTTGCAACCGATATGCATGAGTGATGGTCCTCTAGAATATTATTTTAGCAAATCACATCTTTGTATCTGAGGATGTGCGATACGAAAGGACATTTCGTCTTCTTGTTAGATCAACTAAACAACAATTATGCGTTAAGTCTGCCACCCGGTACTATTGCAGTAACATGAAAGAAGCGCAATAATATGATGATCGAATCGCATCATTGGAAACGTCGTGAAATACTCAGAAGAGTTTTGGAAATCATAACAATCTTCTGGTATTTTTTCAAACTAATTCAAACTGTTCGTGTCACAGAAATATCAGACATTCTTTTCAATTGCATTTTTCTTTTACAATTAGTGTTTCGGGATCTCGTATAGATTAACCTCCGATTTTCGCGGTTTTCCATCGGTAAAGTATCGTTGAGTATAACATACGTATAGATGTCGTTGGATATCCTGTAAATAAAATAAATGGAGGATGCCTAGAAATAAAGGATGAATTCGATCAATAGACCAATCCATACAATCCAATGATTCATGAAAATTAAGATTGTTTATTTCATTTCTAACAAATACCAAAAGAAGTTCCTTTTCTCATCATGCCGATTTTTCTTTCTTATTTCAGATTGACGATATATCTTTGAAGATTCTTCGAGCATGTCCAAAGTACAAAAACAACGCGTACAAACCTACGGTAGAAAGAAAACAGCAACAGCAGTCGCTGTCTGTCAACAAGGTATTCACCGCAGCCTTTCGTTTACTTCCACAAACCTGATTTTCTAATCCGCTAGGTCATGGCTCAATTCGTGTTAATGGTCGACCTTTACATCTAGTTGAACCTCAAGCACTTCGTTTTAAACTTGAAGAGCCAATCTATCTTCTTGGCCGAGATAAATTTTCGAACGTTGATATACGTGTACGTGTCAAAGGTGGTGGTCGTATCGCACAAGTCTATGCTATTCGTCAAGCATTAGCTAAATCGATTGTTTCTTACAATCAAAAATTCGTTGATGAAGCAACAAAGAAACAAATCCGTGACATTCTCGTCCAATACGATCGATCATTACTTGTTGCTGATCCACGACGCTGCGAACCAAAGAAATTCGGTGGTCCAGGTGCCCGTTCAAAATACCAAAAATCGTACCGTTAAACATATATATGGACTTGTTTTGTTGTTCGCTTATTGTTCTTGTTTTCAAATGAGCGTACATATGAAAAAAGAAAAGATTATAAGAATATAATGATAAAAAAGACGAAATAAAAGAACAGCTCGATCCGTCAGTCATTTAGTAGTTCTAGTTTGTTCGTAAATTCCAAACATGTTTGTAGGTAGGGGTGATCTATCCGAATAAAAACTGCACCTGTTGGGGGAGGTTATTCGTGTAGGAGAATCTGCTGATCATATCTGAGGAAATACATACATTTCGAATGATCGGAAAAGAAATATTACGAGCTTCTGCTATTCTATTGTGTCAATATAACGAGAAACTGAGTAAGATTATGATATATGTTGGATAAATACCAGTTCGGAGTCGAGATGGAAAACAGGAATTTGATTCGTTTCAGATGTGCTCGAATAAACGAAAATCATATCCGCCAACGAAATCTAACATTCACTCATTTTTCGGACCGAGCACCGTAAAAAAACATAAACAACAGCATGATCGATCTTTATTTACTTATCCGTTTCTTGATCCATACCCGCCGCTTTCTTGTGCCCTTCAAACCAATACAAAAGAACGACGACTCATTAATGATAAACTCGATTTAGATCTCATCTATATCACGTCATTCATACCATCACCGTGTGACATGTCTTTATATTCATATCTTCTCAATACTTTGCCATGGTACCGTGTTGAATACTCCAAACAGATAGATCGAGTGGTAAATATAATCACACCACGATATACAACGGTATTCGGAATTGATGACCCTCAACAATCGAGAGAGAAATATACTCGTCCACCCCGACCGATACCATCAGTACTTGAACAGTTGAAACAACGTGTTGAAGAAGCGACGAGTGCAAAATATAATTTCATTTTAGTCAACTTCTATGCGAATGGACAAGATTCTATCGCATTTCATAGCGATGATGAACATTGGCTGGGTGAACAACCATGCATCGGATCATTATCACTCGGAGCTGAACGAGATTTTCATATGAAGAATAAAGCGAATGAAAATCTGAAACAAAATTTTGCTCTCAATTCCGGTGATTTGATTGTCATGCGCGGTCCAACACAACATGCATGGTTACATTCGGTACCAAAACGCACATCACAATTGTCGGGAAGGATTAACATTACATTTCGTCGTTCTTTCACCCCCGAAGGAACAAATAATTATTACAAGTAAAGATTCGAAAAAGTTATCTTTTGATGCTACGGTTGTCTTATATCACTTAGATATAATGTTGGTGATGGTCCCATGTATCGCTATATTAATGGAAAAATGATCAAATACGATAGTGATTAGTCTATTTAAAACCTAGGAAAAGTGAGTATTATTTATTTGTACACACATATATATCTAATCCAGTCAAATATATATATCTTTCAATACTAATCTGATGCTTCAAAGATTTCAGCACAGTCAAAATGTACATTTTATAACCAAATCATTATCACTGATTTCGAATAACTTCTTTCGCCGAAGATTATGATTTGCTACTGCTTCTGCGTCATGTTTCGCTAACTGTAAACAACCGAGAAGATCAAGTGCTGACGTTTTCTCTAAATGATACGTCTGCCGCTGTTCACATTGTCTGTAATAATAACTCGCTATCTTCGGATACGAAAGAAAAAAAGATATTTAGAATCATCGTGAAAACAAAATGAACTTACATTCTGATAACATCCACCTAAACCTTGCTGAAAAGAACGGATTGATTCACAGAATCGACTTCTTTAGCAAATGTCTGTTCAATGTATTGATTGATTGATTGATAATTGTTCGTGTGAACTTACTGACAGATGTACTCGATAAAATCGTTCTTTCTTGCCGTATTCCACCGATTCTATACGAAATACTGAACCGATGGAAGGAAGAACTTCTTTTTCACCAGGAAAATTGCTCAACTGAGTAATATCTGCAAAAGCAGTATATTGTTTATTGACTAGATCAATATCGATGCTAAACATGACCGGTTCTTAATCTTTGATCTCACGATGCCAACAAAATTGTTTTGGTATATCTTCGTTTAATGAAATCAGAATATTTTTGTGTGTAGAAATCAAAAGAATTTGCGGTAACGTCAACTACTCATCACGGTAAAGGCGACATGTTCCCTTTGGACCCATTTTTGGAGAAGTTTCATGCAGATTGCGTAGTTGTTGACCAAGTAATTTAACCAAGTAGCGTAGGAATAGACCGTTGCGATTTTTCCCGACCCAAATGCTTCGTTGATACATCGATATATGACACAATTTCGCGTGTGCCATAAAATAGCAGTCGCCACATTGCCGTCGAATGATTCACTGTCGAATTCATCGATAATTTTCAAAGCTCGTTGCTTATTTTGATAATTTGGACGACAAGACGAAATCATCTCTCGTTTAATTTGCTCATCCTTAGAATCGAGTTCTAACATGAAATTTTGACATTTATAAAACGAAAGAAATCGTGCTTGATCTCTATAAGATATGTCTCTTCGTTCTCACTTGTCTCTAAAGATTTCCTTATTAGATTTTGTTTATGCCAAAATGGGATACCTGTTTTTGTATTATTTTGAGTTTCGAATAAACTGAAGTCAATCGGGCTACTTCCCCAGTTTGCTTAGGTTTGAATGACATTGATTAATTGTTGAACATCTAAACATATTCCTCGAAGTTTGAGAAATTTCGACTGTTAGTGACGTTCGATGTCAAGATAGAAAATCAAAATTCCATTAATACATGGATATTTATGAATCTGAGGTATAGTTTTTTTACTAAATGGACCGAAAACAATGAAGATAATGTCAAATTTCGATTTCTTCATATCGTAGTTTTTTATATAGGTAGTAAATTCGTTTTTGCCCGTGAAGATCTGAACTTTGTCGCCTAATTCACGTAATTGCTTCAACTTTTGTTGATTAGAGAAATTATGAATATTTTCATCCAGCCAAACCCCAAATGATGCCCATACGATTGATGATCTTCTCTATTCATAATTAAAGTCCTACAAAGAAAGCATCATCGGAGTAGAGTTTGACTCTGTTCTGGTTTGTAGAAATCATAGTGAAAAACGTGCTTGACAACATTCTCAACGTATGCAAAAGTGAAAGGTATACCAAGGCAATGACAACATTACATGTCGTCCGTTCTATTCTTTTTTCTTCTACTTTGATAAGAAATGATCAAAGCACAAAAAAGAGGAAAAAATCATTTATTCGCAATCATTTTCGGTTTGCACTTTTTAACAAGCCCAATCTGCGCCTGGACAGGAAGCTGCGCATTGTGAATACCATTTGCTACGTGCATAGCAACGAAGGCCTTGTGCGCAACGTGTTAAACCAAAATAACCTTCGCCTAAAAAGGAGAAACGAAAGTTGGATCGTCTCTTATAGATGAAATCTTGGATTTTCGTTCAGATTATATACCTCCACATTGGTCACCAGCAACAACAACATCTGTTTGACATGCCCAGGTTGGTGGACAAGTTGGACGACATTCTGAATAGAGTGCGCTGTTTCGGAAGCATGCAGTTCCAGCGGCACAGATTGCACCAGCGATGCCATTACATTGTGAGTAGGCTGGTACAACAACTGGACGTACGGTGGTAGGAACAACTACAGTTGAGACTACTGGAACTGTTGGAGCAGCTGTTACAGGAACATACACACCACATGCCCATCCTATTGAGAAGGAGAAAACGAACAATAGTGAGGAGCTACCGTAAGTCAAAGTGGGCTCATACCTGCTGGGCAGTCATTGATTGGACGACACTAGAATTTTTCGTATTGAATAAATGAACTAGTCAACATCAAGATTTATCTACGAACTTGTGAATAATAGACACTGCGTGCATAACAAGCATATCCGAATTCGCATACAGTTGAACCAACCCAGCCATCACCACCACATTGATTCCAGCCAGCTGCTGGAGCAGCAGCAAATTCACATTCCCAACCGACATTTCTCGGACAACTAGGTTGACAGGACGAGTACCATTTATTTCTGCGGAAACATCCTAAACCAGCATCGCATGGAAATGTGCCGTAACCTTCGCCAGCACATTGTTCATAGATACCAACCGAGTAGGCGACACCAATGATTGCAGCGAGTAATATTAACTTGGTCGACAATGTAGAAGTCATTTTGACGCGATTCAACGCACTTGAAAATGAAAGCCTTATTCAACTGATCGGCTACGTCTATTATATACCAGAAATAATTAATTGTTTTCATCACTCCTCCTGTAACAAAACTCGAGCTATTTTCTAATCCTTTTGAGATTGATTGGTCTATTTAAGCTTTCAATCTATTGCACTTAATAAAGGCTAAATATGTTTTGAAATTAGATGTATTATATGAAAGAAATAGCAAAATATCTGTAATACTGTACTTTTATAGGTTAAAAGTTTTCGCGAGAAATTGCTCGCTTACGTCAACTGGAACTAAAACAACATTATGTCGCTTTATTAAACGACTTGTCAGGTCACCAACCAACATTTAGCAAATTTTGCCACAACATCTCTTATCTAAGTATTGATACATACAACCAGCTTCTGTAGTATGTACAAATATCAATTTAGGTTAGATTATTCTCGTGATTGATAAGATGCTTGTTGCTCTTTTTAATCAAGAAAACATCGGCTTTTGATATATGCTCTATATATTATGAAAGTATATTGTACTCGGAGCTATTTTCTTAAGTATGATTTATGCGAGTGACAAATAATTTGCTTGCATAGATATCTTGTCAGATAGTCTGCAAAATATGTTGATACCGATGATCCGGTGACCTTTATCTCAATCTCGACAATATAGAGAAGTAGTCTGCTATCAGTTCTATATCTCTATTTGTACATTTTACTTAACGCATGTATGTTTTGAAGCGTCTTTTGTTCTGTTGTATTGGTAGAAACGAGCTGTACTTATTATATCTGTGAAAACGCTTGGAACTAATTGCTAATGGCAATTATTGAGGTTTCATGCATCGTAAAAAATCGAGTATGTGAGCACGGAAAGCAAGACAGACTCATTAATATTATCTAATACATCGTTCTCATTCTTAACAAAGAATTTCGCTTATTTATCACATTGATATCTTTCCTTTATCTCTGAGGCCATATCCTTGAGTCAAAAAAACAACATCCCTCCTGCTGCTTGCACTTGTCTATAAATACATTCGTTTACTCTCAGTCTAGTTCTCTTTAGATTAAACGACTACATGGAAGAATACTGAATAGGATGAAAGTTTATCGACGAGATAACATCAAATCAGAATTGATTACAGAAGTTTTCTTAATCGATATCAATCAAATGAAAATGATTTATTAAAATGATTCTTGTGAACAATTCGTCACTATCAACAACAGCGCCAATTATTAATTCATATTTGAATTCCACTACGGAAACGAGTGATTCGTCATCCTCATCAGGAATCATTCTTACGATTATTATTCTCTCTGTTTTAAGTATCAGCGGATGGATATTTATGTCTTATACATTATTCGGTCGATCGGAAGCTTATCGTACAAAACCTGAAGATCCATTTAGTTCGTCAACGCCTACCGATAGAACGGATGGTACTGAATTCTTCATAAGTTTTGATTGAATATATATTCGATAAGCACTGTTCTCTTTCGCTCTGTATATATTGTTGACTACTTTATTTTCGAATTGTCTCTTTTTCCTTGAATAGTTTTAACAAAAAAATAAAACAAAACAGAAGAGAAATGTCAAGTATTATTTAACATTTCCATCCGTCAGGACATTCGGATCGACATTCATGGTACCATTTTGAATGTGCAATACAATGAAGACCTTCTTTACATTTTGTCAAACCAACGTAACCTTCACCACCACATGGTGCCCATTCGGGTAATGTTTGTCTCTCACAAGCCCAACCTTGTGGACAATGTGTTTTACATTCGCCATGAACATTTTCTGCTTGAATAAAACAAGCTGTACCAATAGCACAAGCAAGTGGTCCACGAACGTTTCCACCATGACATTTACCACCTGGTGGAATTACTGGTGGCGCTGGTCGAGTGGCAGTTGCAGCTGCTTCATTAGATAAGCATTGGGAATAGTATTTTGATCGTTTAAAACAAGCTAGGTTCGCTCGGCAGGTTTTCGGACCTTCCCAATCTAAACCACCGCATTGTCCAAATTCATCGACTAAGCCATCATTGTTATTAGTGTTCTTGTTGTTATTATTCACAGTGACAGGATTCACTGGGGGATTTAAGTTAAAACCTCCACCAGCCGCAGCAAAAAATGGTAGTTGTTGTGGAATTCGACTTCCATATCGATCATCGAAGAGATTTTGCTGAGCAATAATCAGACCAATACATAGAGAGAATAAAACAGCAATCGACTTGAACATTTGGAGAATCTATTTGATATCGAAACAAATGAATTTTAATCATTTGTATTCGGATGTTTTTATACACGCTGCTTATGTATACAACCTTGACTAGGCTTTTAATCAAATGTCAACACAGCATTTTCATACAAAACATCATTGAAGTTGAGGTTCAAGAAAAACTTTCAAAAGCTTGTCTATACATCTCATTATTGATTCACCCTGACGACGGATTAACAACGATGTGATGTTCTTCTTGTTTATGATGATATCGACAAGGACTAATAAACATCGATATTAACTGGCGTCTTTTCTTTTCGTCTATATTTGGCGCAGATTTATTTGATAGATCCTGATGAAATAATGTCAAGCGCAAACTATCTATTGACAGAAACAAATGAAACAATGTAGAGATACACTCTACAAGAGAAATTTACTTAAGTTTTCGTTTTAGTTCATGGATTTACGATCGATTTCTCTCAAATGCATCGATTGAGAAGAAAGATTTGAGTCTACTTGGCTTTATTACAGGCATTTGCAATCTGGCGATTCTCCTCGCAAGTCTGATATACCGAATTGATTTGTACGCTCGCAAAAGACTCAAATCGAAAGAAACTTTCTTCGACTCTCCATCGGCATCGAGTGTGACGACGGCAACAAATGATATCACAAGTGAGTTCTCATAATATGGCGCAAACGAACAAGTAGACAGTTACTAAGCAAATAGCAAATCTTCATTCGTTTTATTTCTACTTGGTTATTTAATTGTCAAATCATGAAATTCAATTTCGATTCAAAACTTCTTTCGCTTCAAATTCCGAGTGGAATCATCTTGGGTGTCTTATCCGTGCTGATATCCCGATTTATACATCTGCCATTCGTTCCAACGAAACTACAATTGCTTATTTGTACAATCCTTCTCATGGATATTCTTCATCTATTGGGGAAAATTGAAATCGACGTGTCCAATTTGTTCCACCGACAAAAATTTGCGCGGCAGGTCGAAGTCAATCAAATATCGAACATCATCAAAGTTTATCTCGAAGAGCATTTGGTCTTTCTGATTTGTTTATTCACTTCGGTGTTCCTCAGTGAGCTTCTACTCATGTCATTCCGAAGATATTAGCAAACGTCTTTCGATAAGAACGAAAAATTCTAATAATTGCATTTATTTCTAAAAGAAAAACGTATTATCTTACAATATATGTATATAAAAAGACACACTATCAATAAAGAACGAGATTCATTTCATATTACTAGTAAATGTGCCGAACATTTTCTCATATATTTGACAATCGCCAATAAAATTCCATGAAATTCGTTGTGTGGACTTCTTCGTCGATGTTTTCTTCATTTTCTCCACTAAAATTTGCTCGCGGGAACTTATCTCATTATCAATGGACAACCAAATCTGATAAATTGTTTCGAATCGTCCAAGATAAACTTCATCGACTAATTGCAAACTATGAAACTTCTCGATAAGTAAAAGAATAGAGTAAAGAATATGACGTAGATTTGGTAGGTCCATATGTGTTTCTATAGTACGATTGAAAATAGTGAGCAGAAAAAACAATTTTGTCAAATAATTACTTTGGATTTTCTTTTGATCTGCTTTCAAATAACGTCGAAGGATCGAATCATTTTCGAAATCTCCATAATCATCGTCAAACAGAAAACTTTCTTCGACACGCACAATAGACTTTGGTAATACGATATCAAACATATGCAGCCAACAATTCGCACAAACATTGAATAGTGCGTGTAAACGTCGACGAAATTTTTCTGGAGGATTTTCTACAAAGATAGTATTCGGCGACATTCAGTCGAGTTTAAAAAAAAAAGATTTACCGTGAAGAGTACAGCATAATCGAATCAAATTTACGAGAGCTTCGGCACGGAAGAAAAACGTTTTTGCAATTCCCTGTTTTTCCACATTGCATTTGAGTGCTTTGAGATTTCGTTCGATTTCAACAATTTCACCCAGTAGAGCCGCGTCAAAAGTTGTTCCATATTCGATATGTTGCTGCATTAAACGTATCGATTCATTGAGCCAATAATAACTAGATTTCGATATGACAAAATGCGATCGATCGCCAACTGGATCGATCATGGTTAAATCTTAAACAAAGGACGTTTCTTTTCATTCGTTTGTGTGTCTCTCGTGTGTTCTCTTACAATCAGTTTTTGATCTGCATTCAAATACTTGTGTAGTACTGGTTTCGACAAATCTTTGTATTTTCTTCCAATGTGATGTGACATCAAGTGAACGTTTGACTCTTTTCGCAGGTAACGCGGTTGAGTCGTCCACGCTCAATGGTTTCTTCATTGTTGATAATAGCATAGATTGAACAGTTGCGACTGTATTCATGAGAAAGTTCTATGGGAAGATGAGCGTATCGAACTGTGATCAGAATGATAATGAATATCTATCTTGAAAGATGTGACCATTGTGATAATTTATGGATAAGACTGAATATGATTGGCGATTCAAATAGGGGAAGAAAAAAGAAAAAAAGTTGAACGCGTGGTAGACGCAGTCTATGTTTAGTTAGGTCAGATAATCTTAGATGTATTCTTATTGTACACGTTTAGTTTCGATTATAGATAATTATCGACTTGCCAACCATTCTTATCTGCATACAAAGAAGCCAGAAAGGTAAGAGACATGAATGGGTTTTGGCTGATGTTTACTCAGTGATCGGTCTGTTATTCTAGTGTTTTAAAAGAATGTCAGCAAACGCTTTTCAAGACACAAGTATGATTTTGAGAAAATATTTGACAGATTGCTTAATGGTTGTATTGATACAAAACAGATATGACGGATTGTTCGCTCATATTTCATTCTGCTGTTCTCTAAGTGATAAGAACTGTCAATAAGTGGTATGCAATAAAACAAGAAAGGAAGCAGATGTGTCACTTATCCGTCGACAAACAAATGATTAACACCGTCGACATTTATCAGTCAGCCGGAAATACAAAATCAACAAGACTAATTGCAATTTTGAAAAAATGAACTCAACAGACATGTGACATTGAAGACGATATCGAACTTTGATGTTTCACTATGAATAAGCCGGATACTTCCTAGTGGTGGAAAGGAAAAACCATTTAGCGTTTCATTGCCAGTAGTATAAAATGTCGTTCATTAGATTGTTGCTCAAAAACAGGAAACTTTTCTAACTCAGTGATTTTTAAATGCATTGAAATAATTATCTAGAAGACATTGCAGGCATATCCTGCGCATGATATTTCCTTTGAATGAATCTTCTATTAAGATTCAGGACACACACGTTTGTTTCATACTTGGCTAGTTCGCAAAATTAATTTTAGGAAAGTGGTGACGAACAAGGAAGAGAGGAACTGGTTGAATTTGAATGGTTTCTCAACTGAGATTTACTAGTAATAATAAGTTTATTGACATCTTCATCATAGTTAACAACGAAAAGTTTGATACACAAATTTAAAAGAGTTCATCCTTCGTAATCCAGTCGTTGACATCGAAAAAGGGCGCATTTTGTGTAGTCGGATGATGCTGAAGTTGGTGATGTTGAAGTTGAGGATGGTTCGTTTGTTGCATCGATGCTGAGGCTGATGTCGTCGGGTCAGATTCTAATAATAGTTTTTCGATTTCCTTTGCGCCATCGGTCAGATCGTAAAGCGATGTGTCCGCTTTATCGTTTAAACATTTGAATGTTAATTCAATGAAATCTGCTCGATGAAGAACTGGATTGAAGAACGATTTGATTTCCAATGTCATAGGTATTAATGACTGATTATTCGGATAGATAAAATGGCACGATATGGTTTCGTCAGTTGCCGTTGTTGTTGAACGTAACAGTGTTTGATGGACATGTGCTTGGTCTTGTTTCGCAATAAAGTCCAAGATTGACTTGTGACGAAATGTGTCACAGGACGTCGACGGCAATGTGGAAACCGAACGGTCGATAAGAAAGATTTTCCAGTCGTGTGGGGAACACCGACAACGGAATGTAAACAATTGAGGATTTTTGTATATACTCATATTTGTCTCACTATATTTTGTTATTAATGGTAAATGGCAGATACCAATAAAAGCAAGAATGCCCGGAGCATTGGTCTGCAAAGGTGTTAATGAATGATCAAGAATTTTAGTCGTTCCATCAACGTTAACAGATGAGTACGAATCACTATTTCCTTGTTTGATTCGACAATCGAAATGAATTTTAATACCAACACGTTGATTTAACGACACTAATTGACTTTGAATACGTAGAACATCTTCAGGATGGATAAATGAAAGAAAATTATGACCCAACCATTGCTCGGGAGTGGCATTTAATACACGATTGATTGAATCAGTGACGCGTATGACACAAAAGGATGCTGATTCAACTGTTGTCACGAAAAGGAACGAATTACTTGCTTCAATAGTTAAAAAGTTTAATTCGCTGTCAGTTAAATTTGATGGACGCAATGGATCATGCTTATGTCGAGCATTCATTTCTGTTATTTGTTTAGCAGCTATTTTAAGCAGATCAAGATGGTGTAATTTGGCAGATTTCGAGTCATTTCTATCAGAAATTAAAGTAGATAATTCACGGAAATGTGCTTTTTCTAAGGCACGCCGTTGAGCTTCGACTTGAGTGTGTTTTTCACGTTTACGTGCAAGATCGTTTTCTTCTTCGTCATCATCATTATCATCTGAACTACCTTCTTCCGCTGATGTTGTCATCATTGACGTATTTGCCATGGTGCCAGTTCGACCTGGTGGTAAACCTCGAGAGAAATCTGTCGAACGACGATGAAACGTCGGATATGATGCATCCGAAATATTGCTGTTATCACTGTAGATCGATGCCGGTGAATAACTTACATCTGTATCGATGGTTGCTTTTCGTTTTTTCGACGCCAATGGGGTTGATGTTGTTGTGTTTGATGGTGTTAGTTGAGGCACCATGGGCATAGGATTCGGATTCAGCGAAGTCGAAGGACATAGAGCGAAAACATTACTGTCAAGCGTTGTATCCGGTATGTGCGAAAGAAAACCATCCGCTGTTGGATATGAATTATATTCGGAATAGAAAGGTAATGGATTTTGCATTGTTTATAATATGTCAAATAAAAAGAAATGATCACTGTAAGTATCTTAAATTTTACAAATATAAAGTAAATTCGCCTACGCAAACACTGGTGTGCATGATTTTTAACATATTTGTGCACTATATATCGTCATACGCACGTAGGACGTAAATAATAATAAACTCTGTTCTTTTTTCCTTCTTTTCTCAGTTTTTCTTCTCTCGTCGCCTACCTTCGTCTTTTTTTGTTCTTCTCTCTCATTACCTGAATGTTTTGGCGAGACGATAACAAATGAAGCTTTTTTTCTTCTATATTTGCTTGCCTTTTTCCCTTTTTTTACTGTCGTTTTGTCAGCGAATCGGTTTTTCTTTTTCTTCTTCTTCTTCTTCTTCTTTTCTTCTTGTTCTGAACTTGAACTAATTTTGTTGATTAGGACTCGACACGATAGAAATGTTGCCTTTTCCTATTTGACCTAATGGTTTATTTTTTGATAGATAATTAAAAAGCAAAATAAGTTGAGAATTAGAAAAACGTCTCGATGGAATAAACGTGCTCGATTGCACCCGTCCATTGTGCACAGTGTAATCGTTCCTTGCACTTTGACTTCACCATCGATGCCAGCGAAATTCTTCAAACGAAAATGTCCTGTTGAGTCTAACGACCTCGTCGAGTCCATGATGTTCTCAGTAATACATGTTCGTAAATAGAGAGATTTATGAATCAATGAACGATTTAGATTCGCACCGGTATCAACGACGATGCCAGATATTTTCACGCAAAACCGAGCGGGAAATAAGCCATTTTTGCCTTGTATTGTCGCTTGACATTCGTATTCGAGTCGATTATCAATGGGATTGAATGGGTCAGTACAGAGATCATTCTCAAAATCCGTTGTCATACATTTGAAGCAAGATAAAGCTTGAATTTGTTTGATGCCGTAGAAATTGATGAGAACAATAATAACAGAGAAAACCGTCATTGCTCAGGCTAAATCAGTTGCTTGAATTCGTATGTGTTTATTTCTCGGGCTTGATTTCTCAACTAGTTTTTTTTTCTCTTACTTCGTCGATGATTTTTCTCTGTGCTCTCGTGCTCGTAAAGAACTAACTAGCAACATTCAATGGCTCTCATCGTAATTCGATGTTAACAATAGTTATTATTATTATTTCTGCACGGTTCTCCTTTTCTCTTCCCTCGGTTTTTTGTTTATGTGATCTGATGAGGTTCGGATCGTCTCTTAATTGAAACAAAAAGTTCGATATCATCGGCTTTTGTTAATCTCACGACAATTGCATGTTGCTGCGAGGAGAAAATGCTCATCACTTAAAACAGATGAACATGTTTCGGCACCATCAAATGCGGCAAAACTGTTTATTTTATGGTTTACATTTAATAGGCGAATTTTTTATACTATTGTCAAATAAGTCTTCTTTCCCAGATGGATGTCTACATTTTGCATTGAAAATTATGTTTGATGTAGAAACAGGTGAATGAAATGGAAAACAAACAGACGCCAAGCGCACCGTCAAGGCTAACGACTACATTGCGTATTAGTGAAGAAGTTCAACGGCAGTAGCTGGAACAGTCTCGCTATGACATTCTATTACGGCAGTTGTTCAATGAATTTGTATGCTCTATATGCTTGCATTTTGAATGATCATATATTCTGTCGAGTATACCATTTGAGTCATTGATAATTTGCACAATTATATTGAGAAAGAAAAGTAATAGAATTGATGTATCTCCAGAGAATCGTTCAAGTCTCTTACGAAGTTAATTATGTTCAATAGGATAAAGATCGATCTATGAAGAAAAATCATGGGCATACAAGCGAGAACAAACTATGATTAGTTTGGAAGGTTCATTTGTAACACGAGATCGATGTATACTGTCGGATACTTGATTCGCTCAAAGAGATCCTTGCATGAATAAATCATCGTTCTGTGTTTCTTCTTATGTATTGAGTCGACTAGAACAATAGTGTAGGTCGTATATAGAATTACTATTTGTAGATTGTCACATGCATTCAATGACGTAGATGCTTCTCTGTACTGGATTTGAACAAATGGTGAACGGGAAATTTGAATGACTGTTAGAAAACCATTCATTTTTACGGGTTATTTAATTATTAATGACGATAGAAAGTTCGCAACAGGAGTATATCACGAGATATTTACCTATGAAGCGCAAAGAAAACAAAAAATATATATCATGACACGAAACATAAACCAGGAAAATATGCGCATGTACGCGATTTGATTGTCGATATTAAGTGTCCATATTCAATGTCATTAAATAACAATTACGGTTATTAAATACGTATGACCGAGTTTTCAGATACATCGACCTCTAGCGCCCTCTATACACACGTTTCCTTGTTTCTTGTGTGTGAACGACCAATCGTGTGGAGCGAATATTTCTTCATTACAGTTTTGTTGTTTTCTTTTACTGAGTGTAATACGTCGATTGTTTTCCATCCCATAGCAAACCTTTTCATTTATTTAGTTTACTTGAAATAAGTTCACAAGGATGGTACGTGTAACAATCAAAGGTGGTGTTTGGCGTAATACAGAGGTATGTCTTTTTTTCTCAAAGAGAAAATCATGTTTCAAAAATAAAATTTCGCTTCAATTAATTTAGGATGAAATCCTCAAAGCAGCGGTGATGAAATATGGCAAGAATCAATGGTCACGTATTGCATCATTACTACATCGTAAATCTGCTAAACAATGTAAAGCTCGGTGGTATGTAATTAGGAACCATTTAGTCAATTGTTAATCTTTTTCTTCGTAGGTTCGAATGGTTAGATCCTTCGATTAAGAAAACGGAATGGTCTCGTGATGAAGATGAAAAACTGTTACATATGGCCAAATTAATGCCAACACAATGGAGAACAATAGCTCCCATTGTACAACGTACCGCTGCTCAATGTCTCGAACGTTATGAATATTTACTGTGAGTTAAGAAATTTTATTTTCGTTAATATTAGAATTTGTTTCTGTAGTGATCAAGCTCAACGTCGTCATGAAGGCCTTGATGATTCAGCCGATGATCCGCGCACGTTACGTCCCGGTGAGATTGATCCTAATCCAGAAAATAAACCAGCTCGACCAGATCCTATTGATATGGATGAAGATGAACTGGAAATGCTTTCCGAAGGTACAGTAACGACAAATAAGAAAAGAAGAATTCTTCATATTTTCATTCTCTTTAGCTCGTGCACGTCTTGCTAATACTCAAGGCAAAAAAGCCAAACGTAAAGCACGTGAAAAGCAACTTGAAGAGGCACGACGTTTAGCCTCATTACAAAAGCGTCGTGAATTGCGTGCTGCCGGTATCGAAGTTCGTCGTTATTTCAATCGAAAGCGTGGTGTCGATTATAATGCCGAGATTCCGTTTGAGAAGCAACCAGCTATTGGTTTTTATGATACAACGAGTGAACCATTCGATCCAGAGAAAATCGATTTCAAACGTTTACACGTTGACAATCGTAATTTGGCGAAGAAAGAAGAAAATGAAAAACAGGAAAGAAAAAATGATAATGCCAAATTAAAACGTAAGAAGGAAGAAGATTTACCAGCTGTGATTATGAGCGAAAATCGTCTTGAGCCAATCAAGAAACGTTCGAAATTAGTTTTACCAGCACCACAAATAAGCGATATTGAATTAGAGCAAGTTGTTAAGCTTGGACAAGCAACTGAAACCGCAAAGCAACAAGTTGCCGAAAGTGGCACCATCGCAACTGAAACTTTGCTTGGTGATTATAATGTAACACCAGATTTAAATCGACTTCGCACACCGCAACTGCCTACAACGCAAGACAGTGTACTTAATCAAGCACATAATCTTAACGTGCTGTCGACTGTTCAAACGCCGTTGCTAGGAGGTGCAAATACACCATTGATGGACGTTAGCAATGAGAAATCACGTTCGGCAGGAGGTTTAATTATGGCAACACCTAATACATTGTTCAACACACCTTATCGTACACCTTCGAATGCAGGAAAAGATGGAGCAACCCCAAGTGTACGTGGCCAAGGAGCAGAGTTCAATGCCGGCATTACACCTGTGCGTGATCGGTTAAATATCAATCCAGAAGATTTGTTATTCGACGATCAAATGAAACAAGTGAGTTTTTTAGAAAGTTTTTGCTGTGCTAAAACAACTTCTTTTGATTAGCGTGAAATAAAGCAACAATTACGACATCATTTATCGCGTTTACCTAAACCGAAAAATGATTATGAAATTGTTTTACCTGATACTGCTGATCAAAAAGCTGATGACGATCAAATGGATACATCGGATGTCAAAGCCGAAGATCAAGCAGATATAGATCAACGCAGACGCGATGAAAAGCGTCGAAAAGGTATGAAAATGGCATTTTCTTTGTCCGGTAGCTGTAAAACAGAGTTTTGATTTAGAACAAGAACTGTTCAAACGACAAACTCAAGTTGTTCAACGTGATTTGCCTCGTCCAAATGATATTAATCTAAGTATTCTTCGACCTGCAAACGCAGAAGGTCCAATAAATGATTTACAAAAAGTAAAAGCGATCTGTTCTGTCTTCGAACACTGCACAGTATTTTGTTTTTAAGGCAGAAGAGTTGATTAAACAAGAAATGCTTGTTCTTTTGCACCACGATGCTGTCAATAATCCTCCTGCAAATAATTCAATGAATCGTAATCGCGATTTCTCTTCTTACCTTGCAACATATCCGTACGAACACTTTACCGATGAAGATCTTGCACAAGTACGAAGAAGATCAGAAATTTTGAAAAGAAAACTAATCCTACTCCTTTTCTTTTAAAGGCTCGTACACTACTCGAAGCTGAAGTCAATGTTGTGAAGAAAACAATGGGTCATGGTGATATTAGTCTTGATGTTTACTCGCAAGTTTGGGATGAATGTTGTTCCCAAGTTTTGTTTTTACCATCAAAAAATCGCTTTACTCGTGCAAATGCCGCAAGTAAAAAGGAGCGTATTGAATCGGCTGAACAAAAACTTGAAGTATGTTATTGAGTTTTATTCACACATGAACAAAACCGTGTTTTGCCTTTCAGCTTGATCGTCAATTTATGAGTATGGAAGCAAAACGGGCAGCAAAACTTGAAAAAAAACTGAAAACATTACTTGGTGGTTATCAAGTAAGTTGATACATGAGTTTTCTGTGAGCTTTCTAATCATGTGGATTACATTTAGTCGCGTGGTCAAGCATTGATCAAAGCATTGAATGACGTCTACGATCAGATCGATCAAACACAAGTTGAGGCAAAAACATTCGAGCTACTTCGTCAAAACGAAGTGTTAGCTATTCCAAAACGTATCGAAGTATGATGATAAACAACGCATTCTTCTTTCTATGCGCTTTCTTTCTCTTCTTTAGTCTTTTACCGAAGATGTTGCACGACAAGAAGAACGTGAACGTGACCTTCAACGACGTTATCAAGAATTATATGAAGAACGGAATAGTTTGTTAGAACAAGAATAAATACTTCATGTCTTTTGTTTATCTTCTTTCTCTTCTTTTTTTTGTATAAAAATCGTTTTGTCTTCTGGATAAAGAAATTCAACTAACCACCTGAATTTTCAGATATTTCCTATAAACATGACTGATTCAGAACTTGATGCCATTCGTGCTAAACGTCTCGCTGAATTACAACAGCAACAAGCAGGCCAATCACGGCCTGCAGGGATCGATCCAAATGATCGAAATTCAGCCGAAGAACAACGGCAAAAACAAGAAGATATGCGAAATACGATGTTGAGTTCTTTGTTAACACAAGAAGCTCGTGCGCGTTTAAATACCATTTCATTGACTAAGCCAGAAAAAGGTCGCATGGTAGAAGATATTATCTTACAAAATGCTAGACGTGGTGCATTTGGTGGTGGAAAAGTAATGTAATAGAAGAATCTTGACGAAGATGACTGATTTATTTTAGATTAGTGAAGAACAATTGATTGGATTGTTAGAACAAGTTAGCAAAGCTACAGAGAAGACAACCAAAGTGAATGTAAGAAGTGTTTGCGCGTGAAGATGGAACTGAAACAGATAATAGAGATTGAGGATGGAATTTTGTTTTATGTGTTTTAGTTTGATCGACGACGGGCAGCACTTGATTCAGATTCAGATTGATGGAAGCAGATATTTCTTTTTTATACTATCTACTGTTAGAATGAATTGTAAAACATATTCAGGTTGTTGTCAAATAAAAAAGCAACATAAACTCCAAGTTGTTAGCCATATTTAATAGCGAATATAGAAAAAGGAGTTCTTATTTCAGATCATCACTTGGCCTAAATAAAGAACGATAATGAAATTTTGGACTTCACAACATGTTTTTGAGTGAGTTCTTGATATCGACATTCATTTTTGTATACGTGTCCTTTGATAGTCATGATTGGGCAACAGTTGTCACTGCTGCATTGAACAAATATCCCAATCCGGTGAGTCCAAGTGTGATCGGTTGTGATGTTGTTGATCGAACACTTCAACCATCCGGTGTTATTCAGTCACATCGCCTCCTATTAGCCAATTGGGGTATTGCACCAGCATTGAACAAAATCTTCAATATGTCCGAACTTGGATATGCTAGTGAACACTCAACAATTGATGCTCGACGACGCGTGATGACTGCTCGAACAAGAAATTTAACATTGAACCGTTTTATTAACATCGAAGAACGACTTGAGTATACTCAACATCCAACAGATAGCACAAAAACATTACTTAAACAAGAAGCAACAATTAACGTTGAGAACGTACCATTAACGAGCTATGTGGAAACTCTCGTCGCAAAAACTTTGAACACGAATGCGACCAAAGTACCACCAGCGAATTCGGTTTCTTCATCATCTAACATTCTCTTATGTTTGATTTTAGGGTCGTCTAGCTATGGAATGGGTTATCAAACGAATGCGTACAGTTCCCACAGCTGATGCGACTGAAAATTTAGCATTATAGGTCATATTTTAATTTAGGCCATTTTTCCAAAAATGTGTAATTGTCCTTACATATTTTTTTTTTGTTATCTCTCCGGTGCAAACAGACATCAGTCTAATTAGTAACATACAAAAATCATGCAGAGGAAATCTTCTGAATAAAACACACACAAAATTGTTGACTTCTCCAAAAATAATTTTAGATATGATATAAAAACAAACTATGACTGATAGTTGCTCAAGAACTCAAAGGCAAACTTCTATGAACGGCGCAGGTATTGGGAATCTATGCATGCCGCCGAGTAGCTTCGCTGGTTCGAATCGTAGTCGACGACCATCATGGTCCGATGCTAAAGTATAGATTAACAAATATCTTATTGTTTCGTTTCTTTTCTCAACATTTTCTCTGGAAATTTTCTGTAGAAAGTCTGGAATGCTGGTGATGAAGAAGAGACTTATTCGGATTCGCATACACAGATACTGAAAAAACTTGATAATCATTACCGGAAAATGAAACGGCAAATTCTTGCCTTTCAAAGTTTAACTACTGGCTTGTTTCCCAATCATTTGGAGCCGGATAGGAAAGTTGGACATGTCGTAGAAAATGTATTTTGTGCGATTTCCGTCTGGTCATTACGACAATGCTATTGTAAAATTGATAATGATCAGGGACGAGCGCATGAACTAGGACAAGCAGCCGTAAAATGCATGCGTGGAATACTCAACTGTTGGATGCGACAAGCGAAAAAAGTAGACAAATGAAAGACGTCTCTTCATCTATTGTAGAAAATTCAACGTTTGTAGGTTGAAGTATTCAAGAGTGAGCAATCGCCCAAAGATGCATTACATTCAGCGTTCAATGTATTCGATGGCAGTGAAGTTGACGATGCTGATGAAGTCGGACAACTACAAATATGTGCTATCTCGATTTACTTATTAACTCTCGTGCAAATGATAACATCGAATCTTGAGGTACGAACGCGATGAATGTGATGGTTTGAGAATTTCAATGTTGATTTTAAGATTATCTTTTCGATGGACGAAGTAAACTTCGTACAGCAACTTGTTTTTTATATCGAACGTGCTTACCGGACACCTGATTATGGTATATGGCAAAGAGGAAGTAAATACAATACAAATACATGTGAACTTCATGCAAGGTAAGAGAAAGAAGTCCGGTTCTTGTAACATTGATGGAGAAATTGTTTAGTGAGAAATCGAGAGTTGACTGATTCAAATTCAATCTTTCATTGTACCTCAGTGTTTTATACCTGTGAAGGTTAGTAGCTAGAATATATTTTCGTGAAAACTAATATTTCTTGCACTGCTTCATGTTGAGACGGTCGACAAAGTTCTTTTCTGAAAGTCATAGTTCACAGTGAAACTTAACTAAGTCTTTGCGAGTCAGAGACATTTGATGCTTGGCTTTTACTGATATTCACAGCTGTCTCGTTCAATGTAATTCGCTGAGCGAAGTGCTATTTACTTGTATACTATACTTTTCTTTTTGTAAAAGTTGATTCAATAATTCTCCTCGTTCTGGGTGTTTACCACTGGAGTGATGACGATAATTGAAATCGTTTTTATGTCGACTTTTTTTTAGCTCAATTGGTATGGCTAAAGCAGCACTCGAAGCTATGAACGGTTTTAATTTGTACGGCGATAAAGGTGCGAACTGGTCGGTGGTTTATGTAGATGTGGTATGTAAGAAAACGACAAACTTTTTTCGATTTATTGGAAGTGTTTTCTTCAGGATGCACATAATCGGAATCGAACGACATTCGATACACTTTTACCACGAGAATCTGCATCAAAAGTAATCATTTGTTTGTTTGCGTTTCGAGAAGATGTATCTAAGGTTTCTGTGCTAATTGGTAGAATACCGATGCTGCTCTATTGTTAACAGTCAGTTGGCCAACATTTGCTGTGCATGATGAAACACTTGTACAAAGTACAATTCGAAAATGTATTAGAAAATTACGAGGAACACACGGCTTTAAACGGTACTTGCGTGATGGGCAATACACAGATTTAGAATCAAAAGATCAACGATTTTATGAGTCAACCGAGATCAAAGTACATCTTTGTGTCGAAGAACACCGCCTACAAACTGACATTTTTTTAAAATAGAAATTCGACAAAAATGAATGTCAATGGCCAATGTTTTTCGCGGTGATGATCATTGATGGTAAATGAAATGACTAATGGAATTATTGCATTCTGATGACTTATTATTTTCTTCAGGTATATTCAAAAATAACCAGGCACAAGTTGACGAATATTTAGCTGCATTAAATCCTCTCTTACGGCGAACAACGGAAGGTAAGAATCGACTATTGCTCCAATTCTAGTTGAACATCTCGAATGAATTTGTTCCGTACAGTATTCTCTGACGCGAATTCAATTACTAATGATTCAGAATCAGATTCACTTTTCTTAATGAAATCACAGGAAGATGTGTCTTCTTCACAAAATACTTGTAGGATACGATGTTTGTTCGATAAAATCTTGTGTTTACTAGGATAGAAAGTGTTATTCCCTGTTAGAGAGATCCATGTACCTATCGTCTGTTCGTTGTTTATTTTCAACGCTTCCGTCTTGTAGTACTTAGTTCATATAGATGTGCATGTTTGGAACTTCCTTTTTTTATGTCAATCATCTGCATGATCCATCGTATTAGAATGTGAAATTTTGTTTTATGTCTAAGAAAATTTTTCTATTTAGGTGAAATGATGGTGCACTATTACTATGTTGACCATTCGAGACAGCAAAGTTGTGCCCAAAGTGAATCCAGTGATCGTGGAAATAACCAACAATTGCCGTTCGCGTGTAGCTCAGAGATTCTTCGCGGGCATTTTTTCCTTCTTGGTCAAGCGGTTTGGATTATTTGTCAGCTACTCGGTAAGAGAAGTGTTTCGTGGCGATCGAATCTAAAATGGGCATAGATGACGCGAAGGAGAACGAAGAATAAATTGTTTTTGTTCATTCCAAAATTCGAATACTTTGATTTTTAGTGGATAAATTACTAACAATCACAGACCTAGATCCTATCAGGCGTTATCTACCGCCTAGTGATCGACCCAAATCGAACTCTCGATATTCATCTATACAAGTAACCATTCGAATCTGATTGATTCTTCTAGTTTTCTATGAAGTCACTTTGTCTTCTGTTCAGGACTCGTTACGATATCAATATACTCCTAATATGCCAAAGTCTATCAGCAATACATCGTACGAAACAGTTAGCGCGAAGAAAAAAACCACTGGAGTTATCACATCAAACGTAGGCAGCATATGATCATCAAAAAGGAAAAACACACCAGTCTGTTTTAGGTTACTTTTTCAGACTTAGTTATCCAAGTAGTTGCTATCTCAGAGTCTGTACGTTTACAACAAGTACTGGCTACATATGGCATTCAAACTCAAACACCGAAGCAGATCGAACCGATTCTGATTTGGCCTCCAGCAGAACTAGTTAAAGTATGGTATACTTCGTTTTCCAAGAGAATGAAGGATTGAAGACTCGAATAACTTAGGCTTACACTAATCTGGGTGTGAATAAAAAGTTTGGTTTTAGCGGACGTCCTGATCGACCGTTTGGTGTACTCGGTACCTGCAAAGTAAAACACATAAAATACTCAACTATTTGACATGGAAATGTTCACTGTTTAGGTTTATAGAATATGCTCAAAGACTGTTCTGTGTTATCCATTAACTTTTGAAACAAATGATTTTTATATGTCAAGTGATATGACTCTATTACTAGACAATATTCGAGTAGATATTCACGACAAACTTGCTGAAAACGAAACTCTAATATTCATTCTTAGAGTGACTTCGAATTTATTACTAAATGTTGGCGTTTGAAAGGTCGACCGATATACATAATGATGTTACGCGAACGTCACCTTCGGTAACTATCGTCTTTCATTTGCATCGACGTTTTCTGTATGTGTGGTTAATTGTAGAGGACCGCAAAAATCCGATCTGTTAGAATTATTAACACAGATTCGTCAAGGAAAAGTCTCAGCAAACATCTTCGTTCGACTTGAACGTCTACAAGTAAAATACAAACCTAGACATCGAAAATATTTTACTTTTGTTTCGATTCTAGACCGCAATATCCAGTGCATGTGTCGAACACTTAGATTTTCTTAATAATTCAATATGTACGGCGATGGATTGGCAGTCTGTCTCTGTTCGTGAATACAAGAATACTACCGAAATCGGCCATTATAAATCCTTAACAGATGTGTCCAAAACACCGATTGTTGTTGAAGATATCGATTACCTAAATCATGTATGACAGCGCACAAAAATAATTCAGTACTCAGTCTTAATTCTTCTATGTAGGAGTTTAAAAATCAACATGAGGAAGAATTACGTGAATTTATTTGTGAAACAGAAATCTCTCTGGGCTCGTTGAGAAAACATGCGTTGGCCACATATGAATTATATAAGACTGGTGGGCTCGATTGGATGATTAAAGATAACTATCGCGTTAGAAATCATCTCGAACTGTTATCCAAAGAAGCGGCAACATGGCAACATTGGTACAGACGGGACATTTGATTGATAATGAAACAATCTTTGTTGTTTAGGGCTGTTATTCGATTTGTGTCAAGTCTTTTACATAAAATGGTAGATAGTTTAGCTCCGTCTGTATCAAATTTACTGGTTCGAGGAAAAACTGTAAGTCATTTCAGTTTGACTGTCGATCTATTTAATCTTTCTTTTCCTAACCAAGGTGACAATCGGAGTTTTCGGTCATGAAGAAGCTATTATTGATAAACCAATACGTCCGAAAGAATTTTTCAAAATACTTTACAGCGACTCAGTTTTTGGTCGCAGTGTATTTCATGCTGTGCTACTACAAGAATTGCTCATCAACGTCTCTGTGTTTATACAAACATCACCGGTTCGTCTACGTTCCATATGAATTTCTTCCTTCAACCTCTTAGTAAATTTCTAGCAACTTTTCAATGGTATACTCAAATTACGACTTGGGTTGGTAGAGTTTTATGACGAACATATCTACGTAGAAGTTCATCGTCTTTTCTAGCTGGTTGTTTCAAGCAATGGAACTCGGCTTGGAGCATTTACGAACTGATACTGAGGACACAGTGGTATGTAGCTTGAAAAATATACTTCTCATTTTCAACTTTAATTGATAATAAGACATTGAATACGTTGTCACCAAATGAAATCAAACAATTGATGTATTATGTTTTAACAACGAACGTACCACAAACAACATCACAAAATATTGGTGAAGTTGAACAACGGTAAAAAAACAAGAAAACATTTTCTTCTAGAGATAGATGACAATCTGATTGTTTCTATCAGTTCATCTTATCAAAAACGTCAAATGGATGGAGCATTGTGTCGTGTTCCAGCTGATTTCTTCGAACATGTTTGGTCGATTTTGGAACGAACACCCGGTGGAATTAAATTATGTGATGCTCTTCTTCCACAAGTAAAATCTCGAAAATTCTAGAAAAACCAAATTCATGTTTGTTTGGTGCATTTCAGCAACCGACATTATCCGATATGACGGATTATGAATTGAATTTCTCCTTGAAAATCGAAGAAATGCTCAGTCGAATATCCGATCCAGCATATCGTTGTCTAGTTGTTGAAGTAAATAATCTTGCACCTACTATTGTTCTGATCTTCGAATCATGATAATCATTTTCTAGATGTTTGAATTGATCAATGTTCTTTTGAAACGGAATTCGGAATTACGTTTTACTCAAATACTCGACGTTGATTACCTCATCAACGAAGCTGTGAAGTTGTTTCAACAACAAACAAATTCCAACGATCCCTTTCAACATTTTTACAATCTACCCATACAACTAGTTGGCGGCTCAACCGGTTATATGGTTCGTGTCATTATCAACTATCTATTCAATGCAAATCTACAAAACGTTGATACAACAGAGTTAAACGCGGCGAATAACACCGACATATGCAAGATTTCTTAGTTGCACGTCTATCGGCACGCTGTGTTTTTTCTCTATCGATTGTTATTATATGTAGACAGATTGTAGGTGTGGTTTGTATATTCGAGATTTCAATCAAACGAATCTCCTGAAAAATCCTGCGATAAATGTGTTGCTTGCGTGAAAAAGTGAACAGATTAGATATTTTACTAAAAGGAAATATAAATTTTCATATTTATTCAGTATGTTCTCAAATACATGTAGCCTTTTGCAAAGAATTGAATAGTCTAAAAGAAGAATTTTTATGTTCCATTACTGGCGCCCCATTGAAATCCTTTGTCAATGAGTCGTTTGATAAGCTCATTCATTGACACTTTATTTTGACCTCTATGCAATAGATTTTCCAAACAACTTTTGGCACTTTTTATTTCTCGATCACAGTCGTTTGTGACGGTATGAAATATAAGTTTATCGATGCCGGCCATTTTAGCAGCTAAGATTTGTAATATAATCATGATCGTTCGATCGCCGCCATAAGCTCCGCAACCGAACCAGCCTGAAATATAGGTAACACCATTCATTTTATACATCAAATAAGTTTATCTACCAGTATGAACGTATGTTTTCAAAGGTGTTCTTGGTAATTGATCTGTTTTTAAATTATAAATGGTATTGGCCAATGCTCTAGCTGCACTATATGCAGTGAAACACGCCTGAAGAATATATTCAATTTGTTTATGAGTATAGAAGCCAGAGCCATATTTGGGAGCTTCGATAGCAATCAAATTAATAATCTGACGTGAATCAAGATACGTATATGAGCTCAAAACGGTAGATTCCGACGAAGTAGAGAATTTGTGACCTGCCGTAAGATAAAGAGTTGTTTAAAAATATATAAATTAAATAATACGATGGATTCTTACCGTATAAATTTGTTGTATTCAATTCTATTGCACGTTCAACATTACCGATCAATATTGGATAAGGCGAATTACCTTCAATAACATGAGGATCGAAAGGTTGATCACCATTATCCGTTGATCTATTCTGCTTGAGTAAAAATTCTCTTAGAGATGCTAATTGAGGACATTCAAGTACTTGTAATTCATCTTGTGCGAGTAAACTACTATGGTAATAAGCAAAGATGTCATGATTAGCAAAGTTCATATACCATTCGATAGTATGCAAACCACCGATTGGCTTATAGTCGAACACGTCAGGAAGAAATTCGTACGATTTTGTCGAATCAACATGATTTTCGTAAGTGTAGTAGTCGGGTAATGACCTTGGAATGAAACGTGAGATTAGTATTTGTTTTTTAGATGGAATATATTTCTTGTTCAGAATTAAATCATCTAATAAAGCCTTTTTATTTCGATCGTTGTATCGAGGTAGAAAATAGGTAAATAAATCATGGCCATCAATAAATTTCGCATTTTCGAGATTGCTAATCCATCGTTGATCAACAGTAGTCGACCAAATTCGTTGTTTCGATTCAGACGAAGGAGTAATTTTCATATTATAGGCTAAAGCCATTCGTTATGTTAATTAGAATGAGTCCTCAACACAAAATAGACGTTCTGAGTGCATAGCAGGCTAATTTTCACGCATGATTTCATTTTGGCTAATTAAACCGTTGCTTTTCACGTCACCTATTCACATATCATTGTTTTCTCTTCGTGTTTTTGAAAAAAGGCTCGTAATTTATTTTCGGTTTTTACTCAATAGACAGCGAATGTCTACAAATGACAATCTTTCAAAAGAATTGTTTATCAAGTTGTCCATTGATCGAACACAATGAGTATAATTTAAGCGGAAGTATTTTGTTTACCATGTTCACGTAGGCAAAGTTTGAATTGATCGAATTTCGAAAGAGTACTCTTCTCCAGATCGCGCGTCTAAAACAAATCGAATAAATGGGAGGTGATTGTGCAGATGAAACTAATCATACTAACACGAAAGCCACGAGCGAGTCGATCTTTCATCACACCCATGAATTCGTCATAACTCCTACGAAAAAGAAAATCGAATAATGCGGGGAAAAAATGATGAACCATTTGATTTTACAGATGTTGGTCGTTGTCGATATCGAATATTCGAAAGATAAGACCGATTATATGTGGATCAAGTTCAAATCCTACAGAGATCTTTACTGCTCGTTGAAATTCCGCTAGAAACTTAGGTTAGATTTTATATCCCAGAGAATGCGTATTGTTACCTTGTGAAATTGGTTTATTAGACAATTGATGGAAACGCATGGCAATATTGAAATCTTCGAGATGCTTGAGAAAACCTGAGAATCGCTTGAATTCATCCAATGTGATCCGCTGTTTTTACCGGAAACAAACGAAATACATTCCAACAAAACAATCACACGTTAACACCTACGTTCGATCCATCGGTTGTTTGTTTCACTTTTCTAAATATAACTCTTTTTATTTCATCAGGCAAATCTGTATAACGCAAAATCATTTCGGTGAAATCTAAATCACATATTGCTTTGAATCCATGAGAGAATTGATTGAACTCAATTTCAAGTATTTCCTGTTGGAAGTTTTCCGTAAAACTAAATTAAAATACATCTACTAAGTCTTGTGTGGTAAAAAGATATTAACCGTTTGAAATCTTCATAAGTCAATGTATCACGACCGTTCTTACCAAACAAATGTACGAGTAAACTCGTATCGGCCGGTTCAGTTCGATCAAGCTAAGAGCGAAAATGTTGACCATTAGTGAAGATAACGTATGCAGTATTTGAGAAAGATATCTCAGGATAAAACTTACATTGTAATAACTGCTGGTGTTAATCGTAGATTTGGATTTCGATGAAGAATGTTTTGATCTTTTTTGAGAAGTCAAACGCTTTTGAGTAATTATTTTGCTAATCTACAAATCAACGACTGAGAAGTGTGCGTGTACAATAGTATGCAATTGAAATGTACCACAAGAAATTCATGTTTACCAACCAATTGATCACCTAAGTAGACATTTGAAGATGTAGTTACTACCGTTTGATGCAGGAACTGATTTAAAGGCTCTTACAATCGGTATCGAACATTTTGAATGCAATTTGAATCTGTGAAGCTGGCTCTACATTGATTCAAGATGAGATTTCTCGCGGAAACCGAACTCAAGTTTTACTTATTAAGATAACACAGAGAAATAAATATTCCCAAAATGAGATCAGACCTTGAAAACAAACTTTAGACAAAACGAAGCGATATACTGACATTTATATTACCAGCCTCTCCAAGATTACGAAAAAATCGGTTCGATCCCCGTTGTCTCGTAGGCGTTTTTGATAACATAGCACAAACCGTCTCATCTGTAAGATGTCGACGACCGATACGTGCTGCAATGAAACATTTCATCAGATCGAAAAACTATTAGCACATGAAGGTTACGTTGAGGTTGATCAGAAATAAGTGATTCGAGGAAATCGACAGGTGTCTACAAGTAATCTCTAGCATGATAATTTGATTGAATGTCGATGCCAATTACCATATAAATTTCGCCATTATATTCAACTGAACCAAACTCACGAAAGCGTTTTTCACGGAGATTTCCAACATTTTCATCGTTGCTTTCCAATCTATCTCTATCCGTTTTCTCATCTTCATCGTCTTTCTCATCATTTTCATCTTCTAAATATCGATGTTTTGTCATCCATGTTTTAACGTTTCGTCGTTCCTATAAAAACAAGCATTCATACTTAGCTGACAAAAGGCTCACGTCAACTTACGGGCTGTGCTGCTTGGAGCGTAAGTACAGAAAGCACACGATGATTGTCCTGTGATTCGTTACAATGTCGAAACAAGTACGATGACCCTATCGATGCGCTCGCAGCAGCTAGTGTTTTCCAATATCTTGCTAAGAAGTTTGTCATCGCTAGTACATCTGGAAGATTTGCTACTAAAATTGAATGCTTGCAGCTCTTTTTCGAGCGCAACAACTGTTAGGCTGAGCAGCTTTGTGTGATATTTGCGAAAAGCATGTTAATGAGTTGCATCTGCGAAAACCGTGTCTAATATCTTTTTATCACCACACTATTCGAAAGTATTTGATATTTTTATCAGATTTTAATAGAGAGCAATGCTCTTTCGTATACACAGTGAATTTTTTTTTGACAATGACTTTCGTATTGGTATAGAATATCAAAAGATTTTATTTGCTGAGCGAGCAACATTAGTCGATGATTCGATATTTTGAAACATATACCGCTTTCAGTGATGTTAGAAGGATGTGCGTTCTAATTTATAATACAGTGCTATTATTGAAAGCATTTGAGAATTGAAGGGAAAAAATCGTTGAAGTAGAACCTCGCATTCCTATTGGCTGTCACGATGGCTAATCGAAGTTCTTCTCAAAATCGTCCCTCCGTATATATTTGCAGAGGCCGACAGGCCAAAAATATAGACCAATCAAACGATGTAACTTTACATCATCCATATCCATTTGTTATTATTATTATTTTTTCCTCACCCTTCGAACGTTCCGTCAGAGATCTTCGTTCTTTTCAGATATTCCATAACAACATCAACCATGGTTAAAATTATGAAAAGTCAGAAGGTGGTAATCGTCTTAGCTGGCCGCTATGCTGGCCGCAAGGCGGTTGTTATCAAAGTAAGGAGTCATGTCAAGGCATTTTCGTCTTCTAATTAGTTGCTTCATTCTAGCCATACGATGAAGGTAGCAATGAACGTGGTTATGGTCATGCACTCGTTGCTGGTATCTCTCGCTATCCACGTAAAGTAACTAAACGAATGGGAAAGAAGAAACAAGCACGACGAAACAAAGTCAAACCTTTCGTTAAAGTTATTAACTATAATCACTTGATGGCCACTCGGTAAAGCTTTCTCTTGATTGTAGGAAATCGAAAGACGAAGACGAGTCTGGTTTTTCTTCTAGATACACTGTTGATATCAACTTCGAAAAAAGTTTAATCAATAAGGAGGTATTCCGTGATGCTGGTCTTCGACGAAAAGCACTTCGAGATGTTAAAGATAAACTCGAAGAACGGTAGGCGCGGAAGTATTGACTGTTTTCAGTGTTACTTTTGTCATTTTTATTAGATACAAAACAGGCAAACACAAATGGTTTTTCCAAAAATTACGATTTTAAATCCATGGAAACTTATTCTCAATATCGCGGAACTTTTTTAACATCATCCGAATGATTTGGTTTTCTGTTTTGATACAAAATAAGAAAAAAAAGAAATAAAACTAACAACATCAACAAAATCGAAAGAATAGCAGAAATAAAAGAATTCTATCTCCAAATTCTCTCTAGATATTTGAGTATAATGAATATCTCATCGCGTTTAAATTCTATTAAGCAGTTTCAATTGAAGCGCTTAGCACATGTTATTGATCATTCATTATTATATCCTTCATCTGCAGCATATCAGCACCAACAGCAACAAGTAAATATTCTCTTGCTCAGAGTCGCATTGAGATAGCTTTGGCCAGTTTCGGTATCTTTTCCTACATGAGAGGTCGTTTTTCATTTTAGTCTATTCTGTCGCGTAATGTTTTGAATATTCGAACAACTTCATCACTGATACAAAACTTAGTCGATCAGAATAGAGTATGTGACTGATCAGAATTGCTTCCTTCGGTATTCATCCATTCTCTTCTAGCCGTTGCGAACATGGTTTCAGAATGCGCTACGTACCTTCTCTATGACTAGGAAAGAATTTTTCGGTAATATTTCTGCGGTATCTTCTGATCCGAAACAAGCAACTTCGGGAACTTCATTGTTTTCATCCATTAAAAATGATCCTAAAAATTTTCCACCGGAATCTGGCGATGAAAAAGAGAAGTTGTCGAATGACCAAAGCTCTTCTACAGATGGTAAATCAACCTATTTTCTTTGTTCGACAAATAGATTTTGAAATGTCTTAGGTAATGATCCGAATAAACAACAACAACCACCATTTCCACCTCCGATAAATCCACGAATAATTATCACGATCTTTTTGCTTTCGATGCTGTTAACTTTTATAACTTCGAGTCGAGAAAAGCAACGTGAGGCGAATGGTCATTCTCACGGCTATATTTCATGGAATGAATTCGTGCAAGATATGTTATCGAAAGGAGAAGTGAGCTGTTAACTTTGATCGAGAAAGATCTTTGATACAAAATTGTACACTTAGGTTGAAGAAGTGATTATTCATATAGAAGAAGAATTAGCTTATATTAAATTACACTCTCAACCTGTTATCAAAGGACGAAAAGTAAGAAGAATTTGTTTGATTTCATGTAAGCAAGATTTCTTATTGTAGTTGTTCGATCGAGATACATTCGTTATGAAAATAAGTAATGTAGACAAGTTCGAAGAAAAACTACGAAGAGTAGAATCCGATTTAAATATTGATCCAGCTAGTCGAATATTGGTCAGTTATACACGGAACAGGTTTGTGCATATTTTTCTTTTTGTTTTTATTAAATTCTAAACTAATGTTTTGATTTACATTGATAGTCAATGGCCAGGTGTTATTTTTGTACTTTCGACTATTCTGCTTCTCTTTGCTTTTCTTAAATCGCGTGTAAAAATGAACTTTGTCAATCCTATGGACATGATGACGAAAGCCAAATTCACCATGGTTGATCCGCATATCAAAGTGAACATACCGAAGATCTCGTTCCGTGATGTTGCCGGAATGAAAGAAGCCAAACAAGAAGTGATGGAATTTGTTGAATACATTAAAACACCAGAGAAATTTGTAGTACGTAATCACTTGTTTGCCCAAGGGAAGCATTTATTCAGGTGAAAACTTTACCGAATGTTTTCAGCAATTGGGAGCTAAAGTCCCAAAAGGTGCTTTACTTCTTGGCCCACCTGGTATCGGCAAAACATTATTGGCCAAAGCGGTTGCTGCTGAAGCTGGCGTGCCCTTTCTTTCAATGGCTGGATCTGAATTTGTTGAAGTTATCGGTGGTAAGTGATTTTTCATGATATCGATCAACTGCACTCATCCTTTAATATTCGTCTAGGTCTGGGAGCAGCCCGTGTACGGGATTTATTTCGAGAGGCACGAAAGCGTTCGCCATGTATTATTTACATTGATGAAATCGATGCTATCGGTAAAAAACGACGTGGCGAGTATGTAACAGACGTAGGATTGATATAAACTGCTCATATTTACTATTATTCATAGAAATAAATCGGGCTTTATGGGTAGTGGTGAAGAAGAGCATACATTAAATCAACGTAAACGAAAAGAATCATTTCATATTCGAATCAGACGGTTTGTTTGTGTATAGTATTAGTTGAAATGGATGGTCTTGAATCGAAATCAAATGTTATTATGTTGGCATCAACCAATCGGGCTGATGTTCTCGACAAAGTGATATTTCTTGGAGGAAAAATAACTTCTAAATTAGAGAGCATCCTTCTTTGTTTAGGCATTACTTCGACCAGGTCGTTTTGATCGTCACATACTCATCGATTATCCAACACTGCCTGAACGAGTTGAAATCTTAGATGTTTATCTTAAGAAATTGAAATTGGAAAAAGATGTTAAATTTTATTCAAATCGATTAGCCCAGTTAACACCTGGAATGAGTGGTATGATTAACACATATATCTGCTATAGAAATCGATTAAATTATTTCGATTAACATTCCTTTCAGGTGCTGATCTAGCCAATATATGCAATGAAGCCGCTCTACATGCTGCACGAGAAGGAAAGAAGGTGATTGAAAGAGATGATTTTGAAATGGCTGTCGAACGTGTCATTGCTGGTGCAGCTAAAAGAGCAAATACAATGGCACCATCGGAAAGACGCACTGTAGCATTTCATGAAGCTGGTCATGTGATAACTGGTTGGTTCTTGAAAACCACATGTTTACCGTTGAAAGTAACCATCGTACCAAGAACAGGACCAGCTCTTGGCTTCGCTCAATATATGCCGAAAGATAAGAAGTTGTTACACGAAGAAGAGGTATATTAATGAGTATAATGTTGATTCCGGCCATCTTCACTCTTTCTATTTAGTTTGACGAAGATTTATGTGTAATGTTCGGTGGAAGAGTAGCGGAACAAATCGTTTTCAATAAAGTATCAACAGGGTAGAAATATTTTGATTTATGAGAGGATATATATTTGAGAATACTTGTTTCTTTTCATAGTGCACAAGATGATTTAAAACGTGCAACCAAATTGGCTTATTCGCAGATAAAACAATTCGGTATGAGTAAAACAATCGGTTTAATCTCCTTTCCTGCTGATCAACAAAATCCGCAAAATGATGATTTTGGAGTCAAACCATATAGTAAACGTTTACAACGAATGATGGACGAGGTAAATAATAGATGCACGACCTATTTTCCTCCCTTCGCTTCTATTTGCTGCTCAATGCTAGGAAAAAAAATAAATGGATATCTAACTTTCTATTGATTTGGTTAGGTGTATAACCGAAAGACACTCCACTCTAAACAACTGATGAAGTGTATATTTTGATGAATGTTTGTATTCTGATGTTTTCAGAAATTTCATTTCATGCTTTCTTTGGATGAAAAGTAGATCGACAAACTCATCTGTATATTCCCGTAATATCTATTAATGCGTGGATTGATGAAAATGGGTGCATCTTGAAGTCAACGAGTTAAAGTCCATCAGTTGTGTTAACACAGTCCATTTCCTTTAGTTCTTATATTTTTCATATCCGATGCACTTTGCAGAAGGCTGTTTCCGCTTCATTAGCATACAACTGATAATTTGAATACTTTTTCCTCTAATAATTGAAATTGCTTTGTTTGTTTTCATCGACAGGAAGCACAACAACGTTTGGCAAACGCTTTTAAACGTACTGAAAAATTAATGACTGAAAACCGAGCCAAACTTGACATCGTATGTTTAAAAAATGCCACCAATATATCATAAAACGCTTGATTTTGTTCGTATTTAGTTAGCAGAAGAGCTATTAAAACGTGAAACGCTCAATTATGATGACATCGTGAAACTTATCGGACCACCACCCTATCCTGATAAGCAAAAACTAGATATCATCGATTGGGATGACACAGGTTTGTCTCGAATAGGTTGCTCAAGCTTTCAGTTGATTTCTTTTTGTTTCCTTAGTTTCAACACCGAAACCATTACAAGTTCCACCAACACCTGAATCATTAGGTGGTACAGGCAAAGGCACGGCTGGTGAAGGTCCACCTCCTTCACAATGAAGCACTCCTTTCACCTGATAAAAGACATTAGTCACTCATTCTTTTTTCCTCGTGTCTTATTGAAACATTTGTTGTTTTTATACTCTTGCACATAAATATAATAATAAAAAACAGAGCAGAACACGTCATTTTCGGGTCGATAAGACAAGACATAGGTGTGCGAAATATACGAAGTCACAATGATAACTCTTTCGGATCCTATTTTAATTATATTCGGTACATTTGCTCTACATCAAATAATCTTTTGGATTCAGAATGGAATTCTCTTGTTATTCACCTATGTGATCTATCCAGATCGTGCGCGAAAGTATAAAATCCAAAAGGTATCGTTTCATCCAAGGTTTGACACAAGAAAAAAGCTTTTCTCTGCTTAGCACATTCAAGTCGATTGGGAATCTTTGAAAGATTGCGCGAAAACAGTGTTAATCAATCAGATATTCATTCTTTTACCAGCGCTGGTCATTACATGTCCATTGTTCATGCATTTAAATATGCGATGGCATATACCTATTCCGCCATGGTATTGTGTCAGTTGAATTTCGTACCTTCTCCCATTAATTGTTGTCTCATTCAACTAGGTACCGAATCCTTTTCGATCTGGTTTGTTTTCTTGGCGTTACAGAAGTGTTTTTCTACTACAGTCACCTTGTCCTAGTAAATTACGAAGTTCATTAATCATACTGAATACAAATTCTCTTTTAGCATTTTTCATCAATATATGAATATATTCATAAAAAACATCATAAATTCCGTGCTCCATTTGGCATGGCCGCTGAATATGCACATCCAATTGAGTTTGTAGTCTCGAATATCGCTCCTGTAATAGCCGGTCCATTGTTATTTCAATCACATTTGTTAACTACATGGTTTTGGCTTGTTATTGCACTTATTGGCACTATCAATCATCATTCGGGATATAAGTTCCCGGGTTTATTAGGAAGTGGACTATCTAATCCAGCTTTTCATGATTTTCATCATGCACAGTTCACGAACAATTTCGGCCTTTTGGGTATTTTAGATCGATTGCATGGAACAGATAAAGCATGGCAAGCGAAAAAAATGCAGCAAAGTCAAGAAACGAAGAAGAATGCAAAGTAATTTTTTGACGTGTTTTTATTGAATGATTTTTGAAATACATCTGGTTTAATGATACTCTGTCGATTCGATATTTGTACGGTTTCTTTTTGAAATCGTTTATTAACTACAGAAAGACAAGAAGAATACACGAGTATAGAGGAAAATTAAAATTCTATACCAGTTGTGTATGTAGGATATATTGAAGATGAAAAACAAAGAGAGTAGATGGGGATCGAGAGCGCAGCAGAAAAACAAAATTACAATACAAAATAGAATAGAACTGAAAATCAACCGCGATAAAAGACAAATTCATTGTAATGCAACCAACGATTTTCTTCGCTATCAGTTTGTTTGCCCATTTCGCTTGTTGAACTACTGCATCCGCTTGCTGCGCTACCAACCTGAACACAAATAAATCGATATATAAGACTTGAATCTTTTCAACAAGAACAAGAACTTTACCATTAAAAATGATGCCTCACTAAGCATGTCGAACGCTTGTTCGAGAAATGTATGCTTAAGAAAGAAACGCGATGTATATCGATCTGTTTGGCCGTGATCGGGATCTCGAGATTCGTTCAATGTTTCGCCGAAGACTTCACGACAAAGGTGTACACGACCACAGACTAATATGCGAGATATCTTTCGAAATTTAACATCAGCTAAACCGTCTCGTCCGAAAGCTATTGAAAAGGAACGCAAACGACAGTCAATCTTTCCTTGTCAACCGCACTTACCAAAGGTACCACGATATCCAACAACGATATATCCATTATTCGAACGTGGACCAGAACTAGAAGCCATTAATGAAGATGTCGGTGACAGCGGTGTCATTGCTGTGAGCATTGCAGTATTAGTCATCCCATTTGAACGACTCTCTAACAATGCCTTACTCATATTACCCAGTCGATAATAATCGGCTTCGACTTGAAGACGGTCACGTTCGGCAAAGTTTTCTGGAAGGGATAATTTTTGATTGCGCAAATAATCGAGTATATATCGAAAGAGAACACCATCCCGATCGATGAATACGCGATTTTTGCTATCACGTCCGAATACTGTTCTGATCTCAGCAGTGTTCAACCTGGAAATGATTGCTAATGGAGAATCGGACTCGGCCTGCTGTAAAGTACCCAACGTTGTTGCGTATGTCACACCACCAACATTAAGTTCGATGACATCGAGATGACTGCTCTCTGTTGTCATTTTGTTTAAGAATTCATGTTTTAATAACTAAAAAAAAGTAATTTGGATTTATTTATTATTAATTCAATTGTGATAAAATATGTATGAAAAATAAATGTAACAAATCCATAGAGAATTGTACTCCTAATAGCTGATGAACTTCCAAAACTGGTGTCTCCAGAGTATTCAATAGACAAAAGAGCGTTAATACTGATTTATAATTAGACTATTTTTTGTTCTCATCGTTTAATGAGTACAAATATTCATTTTTAGACTGTTAAGAATACTCGATATCAGTTGTAAGCGACTTCTAGCATACTTTTCGCTGTGTTGCTTGTTTTCTGCTTCTTTTTATCTCTAATCACGCATATCAACTGTCATGTCTAATAGTGATCATTGTTCGTATTAACCTGAATTGGCAGATTCCTCGCAAAAAGAATCTCATGCATGTTTGTTAAGATGAAAGTAAAAACAAACTAGTCCACTTGTAAGAGTTCGGCGTAGCAATCAAATCGAGGATTGCTTTTCTCGCAGAAATAAATTAGTTCAAAATCCGGAAGGATACAGAAAAGAATTGAATTTCTTACTTTGATGTTGAGCTTGAAAATCCAATCATGAAATTCACTCGTCGAACTTTTTCCTCCGGTATTTCTTCAGTGTCAACAGATATTCGAGAGAGTATCGACGAGAGGGCTAATAAGGAATAGAAGTGCGTCGTTGTTATTGAAGGAAAGGTAGGAAATCCAACAGGAACACCGCAGATCTGAAGAATACAGAAATGGAAGTTTTCTTTGCAGTGTTGTTATGTTTTCTTTTTTTCTTACGGAAGCAAAAAATGGAAAGACGGGGGAGAGAGAAACTTCAGTGGAAATACGCTTATGTTCGTGTATTCGCATAGTTAGTATTACTTTCAAAAGAAGTAAGAGTAGTTGTAGCAACAGAGAACAAAGAAAGAAAGAAAATCGTCATGATAATGTAGAAAAAGAAGGGGGAAGTGATTTTCAGCTAAAATGAATTCACACCGTTTGTTTTCGATGTCATTTCCTGCTAGGCTTCTTAGGATAAGACTCAATGATTGATCGATCGAGCGAGTGAGCAGAGAGAGAGAGAAAGGACTAACGAACATCTAAGCGAACGAAAATAAGAGACTATTCTTCTTCTTCTTCATCGTTTCTTCTCGTTTTGTTTTCCTCAATCGATCGGGAAAAAGAGAGATATGATGATGATATTGATGTTGCTTAACTCTGCCATTAGCCTAAAGGGGAATGTGAAGCGAAATTCTTCTTTAACAAGATGTTATCATATTAGTTTAAAGAAATTGCCTTTGTGAAAGACTCGACATGACAAATCGACTAGTAGCCATCGTTTTTATCATCTTGTCTTTTCACTTTGTTACATAAATGAGCAAATAATGAAAAAAAACTAGATCTAGGAGAAATGAATAATGAATTGATTCATTACGGATTGACTTGAGAAGAACTATTCAATTATTTGGTAGAGAAACAAACGATTAGCAGCAGAAAAACAAGCGATTTGTAAGACATTATTCGCGTTCAGGTGAAAAGTACGCTTGCTATTAATTAATCATTGTTTGGTTTGCAGCGATAAGCAGGAAACGCGGAGAAGAAGGTAGAGTAAACGATTTTCTTCAATAAAATCAATAGGAACACAACAAGAACATACGCGCGCGAGAAGGAGAAAGCAGCAAGGTAATATGATCTATGCCGTTCTTGTAAACAAAAAACCGATGGCAATGGTTGATATCATTTTTAATTATCTGTTTTTTTGTGCATACATTCATCTGGATGTTTACCAACTCCGACTGCTGATCTCTCTTTCTCTGAATTCTGCCATTGGGACAATTAACACGTGTCGAAAATGATCTATTCTCTAGATGATTAGAATCTTCTGTTTGTTGTTTTGTCGAATCGTCACGATTAGCATATCGATGATCATGACACGAATTCATGAGAACATGACGAACACAAGAACTAGATAAATACGCTTTGCACACTTATTTTGACATTTTATTATCTGAACGGTTCTTTCGGTTGTTATGCAGTTCTCATGGGAGTTTGCGAACGATGGCGACAAGAGTTTGTCTCATCGATCATCCGCTAGTCTCTATGCATATTGCAAATTGTAAAATGAATTTCTCATAAAATTGACTGCCTAACTGAATGACATTTATTTCTTCTCTCGTTAATTTCGTTTAGATTTGACTATCAAGAGACTCATTCGACTGCTAACAGCAGAATTCCGCGGGTATGCTAGGAACTGAAAAAAGAGAGACGTCTGCAGACAGAACGTACGCGAGAGAAAAGAAGAAGAAGAAAAAGAAAAAGAAAAGAGAAGCAATCAAGTAAGAGAAATATAATGAAGACGTATTGTAGAAAAAGCATAACTCAATCGTCGTTATTTAGATAGGCAAAACAGAGACTACACGAGAAATGATAGTGGGTGGACATTAGTACTACAATTAGCACTTGTAGTTCCACTAACTAAATCATGCATTAGCGAACAATACGATCGATTTGTTCTCAAATATGTTTTTCTCATACACTTCGAACTAGTCGAAAGAACAGAAGAACAGTGTTATTTTAAAAATCATCGAACGATGAAATATCTGAGCAATCATATGACAATACAAATCAAACTGAGAAGAAGAAGAAGAGTCAACAGATATAGAAGACTTGATGCATATCGCATGGAAGACCAATTTCGTATGCTAATTCAATGAACATCTGTATTAAGACTATTGGAAAAAAGTTCGGAAGGAAGACTGATTACATTGAGATTTTTCTGTTCAGACCTGACGTAAACATTGATAATTTGTAGAGAAAATATCAATCAGTTTCCGTGTTCGTTATTCACAATAATAAGAAAATAAATTGCTCATGTTGATTTTGTTTGTCAACGAGAATAACAGAAGGGAAAATCTGAGAATTATAACTGACTATCATTATCGATCCTTGAAATCTACAATTAGAACGTTTACTAACCAAAACTAATACTACATGCTTCTTGTTCGACAAATACTCCCTAATTCACACGCTATTCTGTCAAATCAAGTTCTATTTCGATGCAGTGGACCGTTTGACGTTGTGAACATCTATTGTAAACGAGCCGTGGAATCTGATTTGAAGGATTTATATGTATCGATGTAGAAGAACAATGACGGAAAAATATGGTTACATGTGAAGAGTATGACGTTTTTGCCGTCGGTGTATTCCGAATGAATGGATTATCAGTTTTCCTGTCGCATCTATTTTTTCACACTTTGGATAGAGGAGAAAAGAGAAAGTCATGGTGATATGATGAGTCTGTTATTTTTTGCTTTGGAAACCAATGGAGATTCATGTTAGAAGCTAATTATAACATATTTTGTGATTATTCAAAAAAAAAGTGTTGCATTCGCGCGCGCGCGAGAGAGAGAGTGGAAGAGATGAGTATAGGAAGTCTACACAGATAGAACAGTGATTTAATTAATCATCTTTACAGATGAGTAAATGCGAGAATGTCACGATTCCTTGGAGAACTTTCGCTTATCTCAATGGGCACTCACAAACTATAGAACTGATTCGTTCGTGATCAGCTTTGGTTTAACTTACTCGATCGAATTTATTGAACTGATGCGGAATAACTCTATTCTAATGTTACATTGACAATCAATAGAATGGAAAAAACCAAGACAATCTAGTTAGTCTTTCTTTCTTTCTTGTTTTTTCTCTCTCTCTCTTCGTTGTCTTTCTCTCCGCAATTCTCCTTCGCATGTTATCCACTTTTTCCTCTCATCAGTTGGCAAGGAAAAACAAGTGGTTACTTGTCGTTTACTTTGTATCTTGACAAACAAATTTTTATCGCATCACAAAAAAAGTCTAATGTAACGACCTACATATGCTATCATGAGAACAATATCTTTGTCAGACGTCTAGATATCGAAAGAAATTCGGATGGAACAAAAAAAAGATTTACAAGTATATCTACCATCTGGATCGTACATAATACTGTGCTGTTAACTGATACGTATAGTGTTGATATTTCGCCATCGGATTTAGATATCACGAAAAATGTTATCGAATGTTCGATTAATGTTTCATTTGTCAAACAATTTGGCCGCGTGTTTGCCTGAAAGATCCTTGGAGATTTGCTGTTTTTTTTTAAATAGATTTTCTGTAAGAAAACCGTATCGGAACACATAGAAATTCCCCTAAGCATCCGACATATGTAAGATGTGATTGATATGATATGTGAAAAATGACTTCTTTTCCAGAAATAATCGTCGTCAATTATACTAATATCTATTTAGTACTATCATTTGTCCCATGTTTTCGTCGAAACTGACATTTTAATATCCTAATTCACAACAAGATTTGTAATTGAATTAGTCGAATATAAAGTACTTTCTTTTTTATCTCTGCCAATGATGTCTTCGTTGATAAATAGACGTCGGCGGTTAATCCGGAGCATGAATATTAAATTAGTTTGGTATAATCGATTGATCTATGGAAGAGACTATCGACTTGGTTCTGGTGAAGACGATGATGAAAATGCAATTTGCTCAGGCAAATTGTTCTAATTATTTTTTGTTCTTTTCGATGACAATTCTTCATGATTAACTTCGTTGCTGCCCGAAAAAGGCACAGTCCTTGAAATCTTATTTATTTATCTCTGATTGATTTAATTAAGTCTTCAGCTCGATGTAATGAAAAGAAAACGATCTTCGACTAGGATTGCGTACCCATATGTTGAGATTATTATTCAAGCATTAGATTGAGGAGATAGGTTACTCGAGTGACTCTTAGATAAGTACCAATAACCTTTTCGTCGATTACTTGCTGAGATAGATTCCTTAAAGCATCGATAGACTGATAGAGTTTTCGTCTTGCTCTCTGTATGTTTTCATCATTGTGAATAGGAAAATCTTCTTATCATGTGTCGGGTTTTAATCTTTGCAAATACATGAAAACACTTTTAGGTACATGCCTCTGGACTAGGATTCTGTTCAGAATTGAATATTCAGAAGCTATAGTCTACATAGTATCTATTGAACCCAGAATCAGTTAGTATGCTGGAGGAGATTTCACGATGTTTTTGGGCTAATCAAAGGCTTATTCAGAAAAAGTCGAATGGTATTAGACGAACAATCATACTTTTTCGATAATCAAGACTGTGTGTATCGACCAGGAGAAAGCCTTCTCGTGTAATTTTGAACAATGAGTTATATCTGTATGAAACCGTAGCAATAAAAGATTGCTTGATTATTTAGACACTATCATATAAACAGATCATGGGTTCTTTTCTATGAGTTGATAATCATAATTAAAAAGTCCTATGTGAAGAATGACACGACATAGATAATGAAAATGAGAATCAAGGGTATATTGTTGACGGGTGAGATAGTAGAAAAGATAAATGTATATTTAATTTCTCGTTGGATCTTAGTGATTATTCTTAAAATTTTTCTCATAGGAATTAATCAATTGTTGAAATGGCAATTAAGGATGGTTTCAGACAATTTCTCTATCAAATAAATGTGGAGTTGAATTTATAGCCTCTATATCATACGATGACAGTGACTTATTGTATCCCAGGTCGAAAGTTTTTGGATATTTCCATTTATTTTCTATCAAATTTATTCAGAATAATCCCGTATAATCCACTCATTTCTCCATACGAGCGATCGACTCCGTTTTAATGGATCCTGAAAAGATTCCCGCTTTGTTCGCTGTCATACTTTCACAGGAACATTCCGTTCACGATTGCATGTACTCAGATACAGATTATTCCTAAGTTCGTACATCTTACAGATTGGAAGTGCAACTAGAATTTCTCAAAATAAATTATGTTTACACATTGACGGATTCTCTTTACAGCTGGTCGTGTTAGAGTAGAGCAGCTGGCTATCATTTTCGCTTCTAGCCGTACATTGACAGCTTGGATAAATTCAAGTATCATTATTTGATTTGTATCGTCAGTGCGACGAACGAAAAGTACTGTTCTTGATTACCTCGTGACAAAACAGTTATTTTTAAATACCGTTGCATAAAAACAAAAATACAAGCAAAAAGACTCAATAAAACCTTGATGATGTGACAGATCGTATCATATTGATTGTACGTATGGAGTATTTGTGTTAACTTTCTCATGCTAAGATAGCGCTGTATGTGGTTCTTGAAGCGTCACGATGGTGCTGAAACATCTGATACGATTGAAAGAAACTTTGAAATCCTAAATTATGGAAGCATCCAATACGGGGATCGTAGCCTTGAGAATGACGTCAGTTGTTTCTACCACTCTAGATTAATCATTGATCATCAAAAGTAGAGAATAAACAAATATTTGGAGGAAGTTTTTTGCTTTCTGTTGAGAAAAGGGTCTAATTCATCGTCGATAGACGATTTATCTTTATAAATATTTTCAAATCACGTAGTTTGCTTTTAATAAACATTTCGATAACACTTCACTCTACTAACATTGTACGTATAAAACACAGCAGAAAGATTTGCACTTTAAGAAAGAAAAGAATACTTGTTGTATTTTACCCAGTTCGCCATTCGATATTTTTGTCACCTTCATTAGTTTTGATATATTCGTCTAATTGAATAAACAGATAATATCTGTGCGACATAAACAAAAGCGAAAGCTTCAGATGAATGAAGTTTTTCGAAATTCTGATCTTAATGGGTGCAAAGTATATAGAGAAACACTCTGATCTATTCAAAAATATCTTGTCGCATATATTGACTATTTAAAATTGATTAATCCTCTGATAGACTTGCAATATTCAATGATTGTATTGGTTTGTACCAAATAAATTGTATAGCATCGACATATCCGGCAGATCTGCCTTGAATATACTTTAATCGATATGTCGAAGTTGTCTCGTTGGCCACTACTCCCTTTGATGAGCCAAACAAGTCGCTGGCTCGTCCTTGATCCGTGTAAAAACGTAGACCAACCACGATATACGTTCCGTTTGGTGAAAATGGATTCGGAATAGCACGTATGTCGACATAAATCGATGCGCCATTAATGTTTTCATTCGGTTCTAAAGCAAAACTCGACGTGAATGCCGAGGAGCGGTATACATTAACACCATGTTGTTTAGATTTATCTTGTGTATAAAAAATTGTCACAAAATCAAGTATATCGTCTGTCCATCCAGCACTGATCTTTACTATCCTGTCATCACGAGTTAAGGAACAATCTGTCGCATCATTGAAACCATCACCGCCTTTTGTGCTTCCATAAACAGGACTTACTTTAACGGCTAGAATGTCTACTAAATCATTTCCGAGAAAAAATGAGGGGTGAGGGTGTTCTGCATCTTTGAAAAACTTTTACCTGAGTTCGATTGTTTAGTTTTGACGAAGAAGATGAGTAGTAGTAGAAAAATAACGATGCCAATAACATTTAATAGACACAGAAGCAGTTGAGATATTGTAACTCGTGATTTGAATATTTTCTTCACTAACGTTTTGTTGAGGTTGAACACTTTATTTTCATCATATATCGACGGATTCGTTAGTGTGATTTTGTCGCTTGAGGTACTGTTCTGATCGAAAGATATCACGGTACTACGAGTGGACGTTGCATCGCGTTCTTTAGGATGATAAAATGCAGTATTAAGCTGTGGAGTCAAATCTACAATATGTCACTTGATTTTCGCATCTGCCTGTATGGCTGCTTCAGTCTTACTCGTATAAATGACCCGATCGACGTCGTTATCATCAAGTACATCGGATACATTAGTTGAATTAGTTCCACTACGACCTCGTTGATGTTCACGGAGCTGATGTTCTAAACAAATATAAATAGGTCAATGATGAGCACAGCGAAACAAGATGTTATTCAGTCTACCTTTTAATCGCTTCACTGCTTCATGACATTGGATTTCTTGAAATACTTGAATTAAATAATTGAAATCTTGCTCATTAATTTTCGCTTGATCAAACAACGTTTCAAGAAGATTGAGGGTTCCACCCAACGATGGATCGTCTCGTAGCTGTCTCGGTATCGTATCGCCCACAATAAAATGTAAACGACGTCGATCGTTGTCGGATAGACAATCTTGAAGTTTCACCAATAAAGCTCGAAAATCGAACTGCTGGTCCATGTTTGACGTATATTTATTAGCGCATATACGATTAAAAAAATATGAGATGGCTCTCTCTGCTAATAAAAAGTATATAGGTAAGAAAGAGCTGTTATGCTTCGTCGCACACTTGTTGAACTATTAATAGAAATCGATTATAATCAAATGGATGACGTATATGAATTTCCTACTGATATTACTCACGCAACCTTTGCTCTACGCCTCCTTTCTCAAAGAAAAAAACGAAGAGTATTCTTTTCCATGTAATTTCCTCTAGATATTTATGTACGCATTTACAAAAAAAATGCACTTCGCAATGCGAATGGTTAAGTAGATGTACAGATTAGAATAACATTTTCGAAATGGGTGTTGTTCTATTATAGGATTGGGGTTTAGACCAGATAAATTGCAATCCATCAATAAATCCATATGATCGACCTTTCACATAAGCCAATTGATAATTTGGAAATGCTTCGCTATATTTCGTACCGTTCTCCGACCCAAACACGTCACTCATTCGATTTGTACTTGTCATAAACTGTATACCAACGATTATTAGAGTACCATTGGGTTTAAATGGATTGACTATGTCACGTAGACCTTTATACAGTGTTACACCAATAAACCTTTCTTTAGCACTCAGTTTAACTTCGCCACTGAACAACGGAACACGAATAGGATCGCCAGTTCCATGCTGTGATGATGCGTTATTCGAATAGATAAATGTCACCGTCGTCAGCGTGTCGTACCACCACGAAGCTTTGACAGAAACTAAATTTTCATTTAACGTCAATGAATTGTTGGCAGCATCGTCGAACCCGTCTCCACCCAAAATGTCACCATAGAGAGATCCTTGTTGAATTATTAACACTTCTGAAAATGGATAAGAAATTATCTGGGATTAGAACGGAGAATCTCGTGTACCCTTATGATGGATCGTGTCTCCAGCACAAGAACGATTCCGTAACGTGATGACCACAGCTATGAAGATTAGAATACTTATAATATTTAATAGCAAAAGAACTAGTTGGCATATGGTTAATCGAGACTTCAATGTTTGTTTGATAATGGTTGTATTAAAATTGACTATTTTTCCATGAGATTTAATAGATGTGATTGATATAGGTGCAGTGCCAGTATGTTTATTATTCTCTTTATCATCAGGACTAGGTGTAGCATTTTGTGCTTGGTCATTATTATCTCCCAGTATGTTAACTATGGACGTGCCTAAAATGTATATATGTGTTTACTGTGATGAAAGCATAAGGAAATAGATATCTAGGTACGATTTAGAACGACTCGATCGGTGTCATTGTCATATAGAACGTCAGAAACAGTTGATTCAGTTCTGACAGTACGGCCATCATTCTTAGCCAACTGATATTCTATGAAAAAATGAGAATATAAAGCTCAAAAATAGAAAAACATATAAAATGACCTTGAAGTCGTCTGACACCTTCATAGCAATGGATTTCACGAAATATTTGAATTAAATAATTGAAATCTTGCTCGCTAATCTTCGCTTGATCAAACAACGTTTCAAGAAGATTGAGGGTTCCACCCAACGATGGATCATCTCGTAGCTGTCTCGGTATCGTATCGCCCACAATAAAATGTAAACGACGTCGATCGTTGTCGGATAGACAATCTTGAAGTTTCACCAATAAAGCTCGGAAATCAAACTGCTGATCCATCATAGGCTATTCGTAATGCAGACACCGTATCAAAAATACATCGAATACACACTTCAAATGTGATCGAAGATGTCGGTTTGTTTCAAACGGGATGGTGTAAATATTCTTTTCCCCCTCTTTTGAATGATAATGCAAATGCATCTAGTCATGCACGATTGCCCCGTATGAGGATTCGAGGACATCGAATAAACACATTTGCACACTCATGTTTAAATATGATGATCGATAACTTGAGAGCAGATCATATAGATTTTTCGTCTCTTACACTAATGATTTTCATACTTCTGTTTTATATCATATCGATCATTGTTATCGGTGTACACACATTCGAATACATTCACACGTAATCATTTAGATATATCGGACAAAGGTGGTGAATATTTATTTATTCTTCATAGAGACATCTTTCTGTTCAGGGGCGATCGGCGTTATGAAAAATGTGGCAAAAAATGAAAGAACGATAAAAATTTGCACGAGTATATGTGTTTGTAAAAGGAAGAGTGATTGAATTATTTTGAGCCGCGGTAAAATTAACATTGATACAAGGCGAAGACGTTCAAGATGTAGCGCATATTTCCTAGAAGAGTAATTAATGAATGAAATTTACTGAAATTCAATGTTCTACTTTTGATCATAAATCGCCCCAAAGGTCGTCAATGTGAAAAGCAAAATAATCGAATAGAGAAGTAGAGCCAGTGGTGAATAATCCTAAAAATAGCCTTGGGTATGCGTTGATATTGTTGCGAACATTGAACTCACCTTCGAATCTTGAAGAACTGCACTGTATTGAATTAATGCATACATAAAATGTACAAATGTATAGGAGCCCAATTCAATTGATACATTCGGATCGTAAACTTGTATCGGGTAGGATATTGCCGGAAAATCATCACTACCTAATCGAGATAACCCTGGTTGCCAACCGGGACCCTTCCAAAGAACCGCTAATTTATTTTGCCAGCCTTCGATTTTGAAGAATTGTTGACATATATATTTCAAATGGCAAAACTAGATGAGATAAAAGAAAACAATCTTACATTTATTTTGTTATTCTAGGAATTACTTGAGTTTCGATTGGATCGAATGTGCTAATTGGATGTATAAGACCATAGGCGATTTGTTCATTCTCACGTTCAGCAGCGAATGTGCCGAATAAACGATCCCATACAATGAAAACACCCGCATAATTCTTGTCGATACAATATGGATTTCGTCCGTGATGCACGCGATGATGACTTGGCGTGTTTAATATGTATTCGAATGGGCCTAGATTCGAAATAATATCTGTATGAATCCAGAATTGATATAGTAAATTCATCTGGGAATGAATTAAGAATATTTGTGGTGGCACGAACAATGCTAAAGGTAAATAAAATATCCATGAACAATACGATTGCAGTACGCCTTGTCGAAGCGCAGTTGATAGATTATAATTCTCAGCAGAGTGATGTGTTTGATGCGAAGCCCAAAACAGGTTAACTTCTATCATGGAAAAGCTAAACGAATTGAGGTGGAAACTTCAACAACGAGCTTAAATTACCGTGTGCCGCACGATGAAACCAATAATAACCGAAATCCATACCGAGAAAGGTAACCCAATATGTGATTGGCGAATTCCATGGCAGTCGAGGAAAGATATGAACATTATTGTAGACCCATATATAAGATGATAATTCAATTGATTTCACGAAGAGTCTTCGGGAGATAAAAGACAAAAATAGAAATCAACGATAGATTCAGTTCATTATCGTACCTGGGAATACGTGAAACGATACCCGCAGTCATGGAACTGAACGTATCGTTGAATCGCGGTTTTATTTTTCCTCGATACCATGCAATAGCAAGCTCTAAGATTTGTAAGACAATAAACAATTGAATTGCCTAGAATTTTCTATTGACTAAGCAATTTCCTTTGTACAGTTTGTCGTTACCTACCTGAACAACATAATCCGGCACATCTTCAAGCCGTTCATAATACGTTTCCGATGGTAAAAGTAGATAGAACATCGCCCGAAGAGCTGTAAATGCTGAGCCCATTCTTGTTTCACTACTTCTCTGGGAGACAAAAGTAAATTGTCAGCAGACTACTCCACCTGTATGTTGTTCTTTTTACTATCACAAAAAAAAATAATAACACTGGTGTGAAACTGCTTCACAGAACGTAAAAGAAAAACTGATCCTCTCCAATGACAAAAAACATGGCAATTTTGTTTGAATAATGATTCAGATATTTATGCCAGTCAATCTACAGCACCTAGAGGTTCTTTCTTTCATGATCAGTGATAACTTTGACGTCGACAGAATTTCCATCCTTATCTTTTTATGCTTCTCTATTTTTTAAAAATAGAACACTTAGTTCGTTTGAATCTGATTAGATAAGGAAGTCCATAAATGATATGTTGTTCAGTGGCCATAATCCAAAATCCAATATTCTCGCTTTGAAAATTGTTAATATTCGTATTTCAACAGATCAACTCATCGATGTAAGTAGAAATCTTATGAAAGATTAAATAAATAAATATTTTCTGATTTGTTCAAACAAAAACACATTCGATATGTAAAAATACTGAGCACTAACAACCTTTATAGATATAGTAGAATACCATGAAGCAACATATTACTGACATGTGAGTATCCTAATTTAAAAAAAAATAAATTTCAAGATTATGAAAGAAGGATTCAACGAAGTCGCTTCGATGGCATGGATGCTGGTCCGTAGAGTTTTTCAGCACGTTTCAGAAACGCAGATACCATTTGACGAACCACTTCGTCGAAGAACATATGCGCCAATTTTGCGTGAAGTATCGAACGAAACTCAAACGAAACCTACAAAGTCCAACAGCACACATTCTAATTTTGTAAATGATATCAACATGAACATACATGGAAGTCAAGAATACATGAACGAGGTTCCTTTTCAATACCGGGTAGAAACTTCCATTCAGTGATCAAATGATTGAATAGACGACCATCAGTACAGACGGACTAAACTCGAACTAATTGCTGTATGAAAAGAAAACCACATACGAACATACTTTCACAATTGTTGGCTTTTGATGAGTCACTTGTGCATTGTACTGTTCCTTGACTAGTTGAAAACCGATTTCCATATGCGCTTTGAAAGAATGTGGAAATGTTGGTTTCACGATGTCCGAACGAATGCACCAGGGAACAAATTCACGATATCTTTGCACATCAACAACGACTTCGTACATTTCCACTGCTGTGTATCTGAAAATAAACACTCGTTTTTCGGACATCGAATTTCTTAGGAGAAAAGTACCCGAGTAAACGCTGTTCTGCATATTGTTGTGTTTTATTTTGCAATCCGAATGGAAATGATGGTTGTGGAGGAGTTATTCCAAATAAAGTTCGATGTGAGATCGATACGATAGATATCGGTCGTTGACGGAAAATAATATGCCATCCCATTGACGCATATAAATTTAGAAAATCGACGACGATCCGATCTGATCTTCCTAATCAAAAAGAAAAAAAAAGTGTGGTTAGTACAACAGACCGTCAACGACCAATGAATAATAGTCGATAGATTTCGCAGTGTGCCAAGGAAACAGAATGTAGTAGCAATACAGGTCAAGAGATGAGCTTTTCGAGAAATAAAAATCATATCAAGTACATATTTTCAATTGAATCCACGTTCAATTCTGTTCAAGTACAGAAACTTGTTTTCTTTTTAGATGAGAATGAAGTCGTACCTAGTATACGTGCCTGGAGACGTTCAATCAATTGAAATTGGTATGAAGCACATCATCAACCTGTTCAGTTATTCCACTCAACACGCCCGTCATAATGTATTGAATAAGTATGTATACACACTCGTACCAGTTGATTCGTATCAACTAGTATCAGCATAAAAGACTTGATATGACGATATTGTGCGACTGGTCAACATGTAAGATCACTTCATCAACAATAGCTTAATAGTTCATTTGCTAGCACTCATTTTTTGTTCGGATCTTTCGTGCTTGTTAGGTCATATATGAAGAAACTTTCTTTCTCTTGTTTCATTTCATGCGAGCAGTTCGGATGAAATTAGTCTTTAGTTCACAAGGTTGAACATATTGAACACGGTAAAAGTTCTGTAGCGGCTTCATTATTGGATTTCTTCTTTCTTCTATGCATATGTCGATGTAGTCACGCCAAATACATACGTAAGTCTTTTGATCATTTTTCTTCTTTCTTACGCTACAATATTCGCAAATGTAAACACAGCATACTCAGCTTGTCGTACACACTCTCTCTCTCTTTCGTCTGTTCGTTTTTTGTTTAACTTCTCTTGTAAAATAAATTTATTGTATATTTAATTTTTTAATAAGCTTATGCTTTTCAATTAGTTCGTTCAAATGTTGTTCTTTGTTACTTTTATAACCTTGTTTGAAAGAGACATTTTCAAATGACTAGTGTCAAAAAGCAACAAATCACAAGATTTCTCTTGCTCTGTCTTTTCTTCTTTCTCCTCGCGCACAAGCATTTCGATTAGTCTTATTCTATTCTTCTTATTGGAATAATAGAAACCTTACATAAATAAGAATAAGTTTATACTTGTACCTCTCTCTCGCTTGCTCGCTCGTTCTTCTTTATATTACAAATTGAGTTCAACTTATTTATTTTTTACATATGTAGACACTCAGTTCAGAAAAAGGGCGAATATGTTCGATCATTGTCGACCAATATCAATAGATAATCTCTATGGTTCATTAACGGTTAATACCAATCACAGTTCATTATGTCCCCAACCACGACAATGGATATTCTTCTATGATTATGGCTACACATTATTCATTCGCTTAATTAATATAACTCAGTTATTATCTCAGTCATATTTAATAAAAATCTTTTCGATTGTAAATCAAGACAAACGACTTATCTATGATTCAACAAATACAACCGATGTACATAATGAAATTCAATTCGATATTCGAGAAAATTACTCGAGGGTGTTAATAGAATTGATATCACTTAAAAGGATCAGTGCGCAACAAACTTCGTTTATTATCGATTATGCCTTCCGAGGTAAAGGAAAAACATCCGAATGTGTTTTGATATAGTTCGAGTATTTTAGATATTGCTCATTCACGGTTCGGTCGACAAATCCTTCAAGATAACTCATCTTCATCATCCTTCAATGCCAATCAACCATCATTTATTGCTTTAATTTGTATTATCGCTGTCCTTCTAATTGCGATCATCATCACTCTGACTGTCTTCTGTTATCGTCATTGTTCGTATCGACGTCAGTCGAAAAAACGCTACAAAATTCGTCATACCTCAAGTGAACAACAGTCTACTGATCAAACGCATCTAGCTGCATCCATAACACCTTCGTCTGCTTCGTCAAATTCGATTCGATCAACTCGACATTCGTCCTCGCACCAACATCTGATGCATATTCAACAACAAACCTCCTCACTCGGTCTTAGTACGCATACATTGCCAACGATCTTGCCCTCACGACGTTTACAACAGTCAATGATGGATGCTTATTTGAATGATTATAACTCATTTCAACCGAATACAATCGATCCCAAACAATTACAATCGTATTTATTTATTGATCTGTATTCGACATCGAGTGAAACATGCCCTGATGGTGTTTCAAGACCCTATATGAATGACAATACAACAACAAGTGGTTATGATACATCGACAGGCGGAGAAGATCGACGTTTTCAAAATCACATGCGCTATCGTCATCGTCGAGGATATTACTACAATCAAAAACAACGACGGCGTTCATCGAGAACATTCAAACGATCTCGTGGTCCTCGATTTCTTATGCGTGAACGCTCATTACCAAGTAATCTTCTCAAACTTCCACAACTTCGTCACGATCATCGTTTTTCGACCATGCGAACCAGTCACAGCAGCAGCACCGCTAGTAATCCAAATCTTGATTTCATTTCCACGAATGCATCGACAACAACAGATGATTACGACGAAAGTCACGCGTATCATGTTCAACATAGTCGTACGATGAATACGATCGAAGAAGAAGAAAATCCAGCGATGATTTCCAGAACCTATTCGCAACAACCGTACTTGTTTGAGATGGTCTCTACGATTCGTGGTGATGACAGTGATATGCCAAATTACGAAGACATTCGAATGCCATACAAAATATGTCCAATCAGAGGAGATGGTATTGCTTACGTAAACGATTCGATTATTGTGTAAATTCTGTTTACTTTAAGTTATGTTATAATAAACAAGAACAGAGAGAGAGAGAGTTAGATGATGAAAAGCATCGTTTACTAATCACTACGGAAGAAAAAACGAGACATAATAGAGATGATTTGAATATTGTTTTTTGTTTTTCTCTCATGTTTAACGTGTGATCGTGCGAAATCGAATAGCATCGAAAATCTGATCAATATATTGAACATATCGTCTACCAATGAGTAGGATAGCAGTAGCTGATGACAGACCAACTCCAAGACGAAGAGCATTATTATCCGGAAAAATTGAACGAACAATCGACATTACTAATACAGTGCCAAGATTAAATATAGCTGACCCATAAAGACTAAAAGCAGACGAATCGATTTGAAAAGCCGAGCGATATCGGGCTAGATTTTACCTAAATAATAATCGATCGAAAACATTTGCGTTTCGTAAATGTTTTGAAATACATAGATAAGTGCCAACACCAATGTGAGATCCGATCCACAAGGAGTTGACTATTGGCACGTGTAATTGAGGTCCAAGGATTCTATTGATTTGTTTTTTAGTGAAAATTAGAATAGAAGAAATGAGATTAAAAAAAAATGATTATGTGGAAATATCCAACCTAGAAAAAGAGTTTGGCGCAAGTACGTGTGTCGCGAATCCGAAATAGAATGGCGTGACTAGTGCCGGACCATATTTGGCTAACAGAAGTTGCCGACGTGCGCTAGGCAAAGGTGGTTCAGACATGATCAATTAAGTTTTACAAGCGCTGACTACGATGATAAAGAAAGAAGAAAAAAACGCACTCGAAATCTGTGTTTTTTCACATATTTGATCCACGAAATTAAGAGCGAATGAAAGATTCGGTTGGTCTTCTTGCTGTTCGTTCGTTTTGTTGTGCAAAAGCAGATTACGGTGCCGCCACCGGTCTCTCAAAGCACATATAGGGGTTCTTCCCATTGAGACAACTGGGTCGATGATCTTCCAATCGTCAATTTTGCTTTTCTTTCCTTTCCTTTCCTTTCGTCTCCTTTTCTTCGCTTCTCCCATTCTCTGTACGAAGGATTTCATATACTTTGTCTCATCACTTTTTGGGATAAGTTATTATTTCTTTTGCGTCCTTGGTTTCTAATTTGAAAATAAACTTTTACTTTTTCTCTTATTTGTTTATTTCTTGACAGAAAAAAGTGATAAAGTTTACCGAGCATCAGTAATTTATAAGAAAAAAAACACCTATATGAATAACTCAAAGTATATACTTGAGATATATCAGATGACGTCAGAAAAAATGAAGATTTTTACTAGAATAGTAACCATGATTATATTCGCTTTTCTCCTTCCTTCTTTCCTGTAAGAGGTCAATCGTTTTTTGTGTTAAAATAAGCGTTGTTAGTGTCGCTGTTTCGGTAGAATATATAGATTGCTCTCTTTCGCGTTCTGTTTTCTCGTATCCCAACATCATCCATTTTCCATTTTGCAAAAAAAAGAGAGTAAACAAATAACTAACCTAAGCAATATTCAGTATCAGAGAGCCATTCGTTTTTCTTATCTCGTTGGAAGCAGTTCTATACGAAAAAAAAACCGTGACTTTTCAGCATATTTTAGAATAGCCTTTTACGAGGATTAGAGTAAGTAGAAATAGTTCGATGAGTGAGCATCTGGATGCACACCAAGTATTAATCACTTTTAGTCTTCGACAAGTTGATGTTCGCTCCAGTGTAGGTTAACAATAAACTTGATGGGCGTTTTTGCTTTTTCATTTTATCGATATGTTTGTCGAACATAGGCTAGAAGATTTTGTCTTGACGAGAAGATAACTAAGCAAGTCGAGTTCTGAATAAGGTGATGACAATAACAATAGAAAAGGAGGGAGAGAGAGAAGAAGAAGAAGAACAGAGAGAAGGAAAAGATGAAGTTCTATATCGAAAGATGATAGAGGGTTGCTTACGCTTTCAATTGTCTGTTAGCGGCCCCCATTAAATTTACCCTCTCCTTTTCGTATACATTCGTTTACCGTTTGTATATTCTATACATCTTCTCATAACAATACAGGTACAGTCACGCAGTTATTTTTCTTCTTTTTTTCATGATATATTATACTGTGACAAATTTTCATTAGTTTAGAATGTATGCATACATGTATGTATATATATCAATGAAATGTTTCATTTCAATATGAATAATAGACAAACTTTTAGATAAAGTTCAATGTCACTGAAACGTCCTTTATCACCCGAATCAAATAATAAGAATAATTCGATCACGACTGACATTCGGCAGTTGAAACGTTGTAAACTTCACTCGATTATACAAGAATTACAAAATGAAGAAGCAAAATTAGTCCTTTTGAAAAAACTTCGAACAAGTCAACAACAGTCATCGCCATCACCTCCACCGCCATTGCGAACAAATAAAGATTTATCAACTACTACGAATGGCTTTCATTCTCCAATACCAAAAACAAAGCCTACTACGTCTCCGTCGTTGACATCTTCAACTGCACCCATTACAAATCCCTCGTCTCAATCGCAACCGATCACTAATAATTCTACCTCTGTCCGTAAATCATCGAACTCTCCGCTATTAACAAATTCCAATCGTGTATCTTCGACACATGTTCTCGAGGACCGTAAAGCACAAGCAAAATTAACTTTGCGCAAGCATTTAGAACGTGATTTACTGAATATTCCCTTGCCTAAGCCGTCGCTGCAGGACATATCGTTTATTCCTAATGGAATAAGTCTTGAATTTCAACCAATTATCGGTTTAGAAGACGTCGTTCAATGTCTAAGTGAACTTCAAAACGATCGCCATCGTTTGCCACAACGTTTTACTGATCATGCTCAGGTTGATTCGCCTTATGTATGTGATCAATGTGGAACGGATTTTACAATACGTTGGTGGAAACACCCGAACTCAAAATCATCGAATCAGACGATGAATATTCTTTGTGATCGTTGTAAAAAACAAGTTACAAGACGCATGGCCAAATCCGAGCATTCCTCACTATTGAAGAACGTTTTCATTCTAGCCATGGAGCAAGAAAAAGAAATCGACAAACATTTTAACGCACTGATCAAACAACAGAAACAAGCTTCACGTTCTTCTACATCCTCGTCATCAGCAACACCGACAGTGACATCATCAAAATCTTCGACATCAAACTCACGCCAAATACAATCTGTAAAAACGACTTCAACCCATATCCCTTCGACACATCAATCAACGAAAACGAAGCATTCGATACCGCAGACTATTCCTGCAAAACTTTCACAACCATCTGCATCTGCGCGAAAATCACATCAAATGATGATTCCATCTCCGGCACATGGAAATCATTCGCGAACATTACATGATACTAAATTATCGATGTCGATGTATCATCACCACCATCAACCTCATCGTTCATCGACAACACTACCGCAACAAATCAAATCAAATCAGATGGCGAAAATGACAAAAAATCATGTCAAACAATCATCCGTTACGTCATCTACTCGTATGATCTTTCCTCCTAATTCTGATCTTCTTCATCCGTTTTTGTTACCCAATGTTGTCGGAAAATCAACATCATCTAAAAAGCGAACATTTCCTCATGTTGAAATGAAATAAAACTTGAAGATACTGACAAAAACGAGAACGTGAAAATCTTCGATTCAATAGTCGGTTACATCAGTTGTAGAAATAAACTCTATTATTTATACTGAGTTGCATAACATTCGAATAAATGATAAAAAATCAATTTAGTCTCGAGACGTTGCTCATGGTCACCGAATTCATGTGCGACGAACATGTCAAATGACCTTGAATGTTGTCGGTTGAAAAGAAACACTAAAGATACAAATCTATCGTCTTAAATCGAACTGATGAAGGTGCATTGATAGGCTAATAGTATTAGCAATCGATTCATTGATTAAGTGAGATATCAATCAGATACAGGTACATTATTCAAGCACAAATCAAGTGCATGCGAACTGAAAGCTTTCGTTTTGTTATATTTGTTCATCTGTAGCTCAACTCTTGTTGTGACCTTTTGATCAGAATTCGAATAGTTGTCTCATGTTTCACATTTTAATCTCTTGAGCATTGCAATAACAGTTCCTTGCAGTGATATCTAATTCAATTAGGTATTCATTTCCCAAGATTGCCTTTGGATCTAGTTGATACTCACATTCTGATTCTGACGACAAATGATTATATAATTATCAATTGAAAGCATATCACTTCGGTCAAATTGTTAAATTTGCTCGAATAGACAGTGTTCGTCTGATCGTCAGATTGACAAAGATAATGTATTGAGAGATGAAACATATCCATATCGTATAATTAAATATGATTGTTTGTTTTGACTATTCGATGATTTTCCGCTGTCGATTCAATTAGAATCTTGTAGTGAGGGGAGTGAGTCAAACAGTCACAATCGTCGTTCTTTGCTTTATCTTCTGGCAAATAATCATCATACTTCCTTGAAGTAACTCGTCTATTTAATTAGAATGAAACTCAGACGTATCTTGATCAGATTATCATCGTCCTTTTCATTGCAATTCTCTCATTCTGCAAAGATGTTATTGAAGGAATAGGATCTACGATTACCATATACAACATATGCTCTTAACATGTCTGGTCTTGTCGTTGGAAATCGACGAAGAAATTCTATACTCGATTGAAATTAGACAATCATTCCTTCACGAATTCTCGCTAGAAAAAGAACAACGTATGTATAACACACATATGTGTGTAACAGATATCGCTGCTATAGATGTCGCCATGAACAAGAGTTTTTATTTATTTGCAATGTTTAAGGATTGAATAGGGGGAAAAGAATTATTTTCTACAATAATTTTATGTTGATAATCGAAATTTAATCGACATAATTAAAAATCGATAAAAGCTAACATTGACATATAGATTCAATTGGCTAAAACAAATCTCTCGTTCTTGGTTAACGAACGATCGAGCGAGCGAGCGATGATGAGTTATAGTAGTGGAAGGGAAAGTAAGTTGAACTTATACATCAAATAACACTAATAACAACCTCAACAATTGATAATGTCGATCAATTTGTTTCACATCTAATGTTTTCTAGATTATCTAAACAGATTCTAATACGTCTGTTTATGTGACATCCAATCTCTACTTTATGTCATCATAAGTTCGCATGGGAAATCGGTCTGGAACTTCGCGTTCAAAAGCGCGTGAAAACAAATACAAATATCCAGATACATATCCTCCTAATTCTGCGATACAAAAACAAGTGGCGGGATCGACAAATCCACGATCCTATCCTTCACAAATCAACGGCTATTCCCAACATTCTGCTCAGCAGTATCACAACGGATATGTCGGACATTCGACCGTAGCGAATGGACCAATTCAGTATGTGACAAATTCCACACCACAACAATATCAGCAACATAATCATTCTCATCATATGAATACGAATCCAAAATCGAATGGAAACAAAATAATTTACGTTGCTAATTATGATTTCAATGGATCGTCAACGACAGGTGAATTAAGTTTTGTAAAAGGTGATAAGCTAGAAATTCTCGATCGATATACGTAAGTGATTTGATCTTCATGAACGTACATTGCTTGAAGAGAATCAATTTCTTCAGGTATAATGATTGGTGGCAAGCAAAAAATCAGCGAACTAAACAAATGGGTTATGTTCCAGCAAATTATATATCACCATTAAATGATTTAACAGCATATGAGTAAATGATTCGACGTGTTGTAGTCGATAGGAGTTTTAAAGAGGATCACTGAATTATTTTAGATGGTATTTCACAGAAACCAATCGTCGAGATGCAGAACGTTTTCTCGAACAGCCACATAATGGCAAAGGAACATTTTTAATCCGACCATCGGATACAAATCAAGGTAAGTGTTTTCATACAAGTAAAGGTATCGTTCTAATTTTATTTTTCTTCGTCGATAAAGGACAGGAGTCATTATCGGTTTTGGATTTAAGCAAAGACAAACATTTTCATGTGAAACATTATCGAATACGTCGAACAAATCAAGGAATGTACTATATTAGTAGTAAAACATTATTCCCAAATCTACAAGAACTTGTCGATCATTACCGAGGTAGAGTAAATGATTTAAGATATTTAGTCGAAGACTAATTGTGAACATATTTTACTTTTAAAGATAATGTTGATGGTTTATGTTGTTTACTAACGGGTCCTTGTCGAAAAACTGAACCAACTGTTCCTGCAGATCGACATGGTTTATTAGAATTAGATCGTTCTCAACTTTCACGAACGGATCTACTCGGTCGAGGAAATTATGGTGAAGTTTACAAAGGCAAATATGGTCAACGAGATGTGGCTATCAAATATATGAAGACTGATAATAAAAATCGAATTTACAACGTGGATAAATTTCTTGACGAAGCCAAAATAATGAAAGACCTTTTACATAAAAATATCGTACGATTATATGGAGTTTGTACACAAGTGGAGCCTATTTTCATTGTTACTGAATTTATGGCTAATGGTTGTCTACTGAATTATTTACGTGATGGACAAGGCAAAAATATTAAATTTAAAACAGTTCTAGATTTTGCTGCTCAAGTAAACAAGATCATTTCGATTTTCCTATGAAGAAAAACAAATCTGTTACGTTTTTATTGCATAGATTGCTAATGGAATGGCGTATTTAGAACAAAAACGTTATGTACATTGTGATCTAGCTGGTATGTTAATCTCAATATATTTCGATACGAGAGATGCTAGAAGATTTTCTGAATATGCAAAGCAAGGAAATCGATTTGATTCAATTGACAGGAATCATAGAGCTAGTATACTCAATCGAAAATCGACTCAGCGACCGTTAAGTCAAGGAGAAAAAAAATGATCAGTGGTTCGGAAAAAACCGATTATGATAACATTTATATATTCCCACGAGACGAAATCTGATTGTGTAACTTTTCCCAGTAAAGCGTTTCACGATCAAAATCAGAGGTTATTCTCATGAGACTAACTATTCGTCAATGAACTTTTGTCAAATCACGTCAACGCAAAATCTTGGAAACTAAATTCACATGTTACTTTTTTTAATTTCAGCTCGAAATATTCTTGTTGGTGAATTAGATTTAGTGAAAATTGCTGATTTTGGTTTGGCAAAAATCCTTCAAGGTGGTCGCCTTCTAGTCGATCGCGAGTCACAGTTTCCAATTAAATGGACCGCGCCCGAAGCAGCGACGAAAAAAGAATATACAACAAAATCCGACGTATGGAGTTTTGGCATTCTTCTCTATGAATTAATTACACATGGTTCAAATCCATATCCTGGTATGTCAAATAATGAAGCATTACAAGCAGTTCTAAGTGGATACCGAATGCCAAAAGTAATCAATCGATAGTTTTGCTCGATAATGATAATAGAAGTATTTGTTTGTAGCCCAATGATTGTCACGAACTTTACTATCAGATAATGTCTTCATGTTGGGAAGAGAATCCAGATAATCGACCTACATTTGAAACTCTCTACATGCGTTTTGATGAATTCATGATTCAAGCTGAGCCAAACTATCGAGAAGTATGTCATTTTCTTTAAAATCAATCATTATTCCTATTTTAATTTAGACGTGATTCTTTTCATCATCGATTATCACTGATTTTTCCGATTCTACCAGATACACTTCTAAAATCGAACTCAACCTATCGATAGCGTGTATATGCCTGCCTTCAAAGCGAGTTTCATTCTCTCTGTCTTATAGTCTTATTCTTACATATAATTTCACCAAATTACTTTGTGCTTGTTTAATAATCACTTCCATCTTATTTTCTTTGGATACCAACAGTGAAACAAAGCTTCTTTTTGCTCTACACCTATCCCAACGCGTGTTTTCGTTTTCTTTCTATTCTCGAAGTCTTTTTCTCTTTGATCTCGAACAGTGTATTGATGTCGAAAGAAAAAAAGACATTATGAATATTATGTTGATCTTTTCTTAATGATTCACTAGAAATAATCAAATCGAGTTTCCATTCTGTCATACTTTTCTGTTTGTGTGTATATGTCGTGAATTCGAAAGAAAAAAAACAAATAAATTGTGTGCAATTGTTCTGTATGTGTTTATATAAAGATTACAAAAGAAAACAAATCGTTCTTTTTTTGTATCAATATCTCTTCTTACAGATAGAATATGATTGACAACACACGTCGTTTGAATTCTTTCCTACGTAAAACACGTCGTGGTCATGTACTAAAAATCACCCATGAGTTGTATTTACGTACGGATATTCCATGTGGATCACATATATGTCAACAATGTCCAACTGATCAATCAACTGTACTTGATAAGCAGATGAACAATGGAAATAGTCTTGTGCCGAATGGACATTATCTCCTTGTTGATACGAATATTGTCTTACAACAAGTAAAGCAAGCGAACTCTTGCAAGAGATAACTGACTTCCGATTTTCGTTTAGGTTGATCTTCTTGAAGATCCATTATTTACAAATGTGATTGTTCCACAGATTGTACTTGATGAGGTGAGAAATGATATAGATGATTGATGATGTACAGATTTGTATTTGATAGGTTCGACATAAAAGTTTAGCGATATATAAACGAATAAGAAGTATCATAGCAGTCCCAGAAAGGAAGTTTTTCGTGTTTATTAATGAATTCAACAAGTATGTTTTCAAAAATGTAGCAATTCGATTCCTAGATGCTTTTGTACTGGTGTGTAGGAACACGTTTGTTTTACGACAAACAGGTGAATCGCCGAATGATCGCAATGACCGAGCAATTCGGAGAATAGCGCAGTTTTACAATGAACATTTGAAAAGCCAAAGTAATATAAAAGGCTATTCAAAAATGCCCGGTGCTAATTTATCGATCTGTTTGTCTCTAGTCTCGATTGTCCTTCTCACCGATGATATAGCAAACCGTGATCATGCTCGCAATGATGGTTTACTTGCTTTCTCTTGTAAGTTGTATTTTAATGTATCCATCGAACTGAATCTTTGCTTGTTCTAGTGAAAGAATATATCTCCACATACAATCGTCCAGAATTACTAGATCGTCTAGTTTTGAAAGAAGAATCTTTTGATTTAGAAAAAGATCTCGGTAAACGAAAAGAGGTAATGACGAGTGAAAGAGTTCTTCTCAATGTTCATCTATCTCTCTCGTGTAGATCATCTTTCCTGAACACATACCTTTGTCCGAAGTTCAACGTGGCATCAAATCTGGTAAATATCTCCAAGGAACATTTCAAGCAAGTCGTGAGAATTATCTCGAAGCAAATGTTTTCGTGCAAGATTCGGAGAAATACAATCAAGTCAGATGAAACTCTTCTCAATAGATTTTCACGCTTGTCTCGTCTTCAATTTAGTTATTCGTTCAAGGTTATCGAAATTTAAATCGTGCTGTGCATGATGATGTTGTTGCTGTTGAAGTTCTATCTGAACAAGAATGGGCTACACCGTTTAGTTTAGTTATCGATGATAAAGACGATGATCAGGGTGATTTGGTTATTGAACAAGTAATCGAGTGGATTGCAAACGGACAGAAGTATGTTACTTCTTTTGTTTTCCTGTAGGAAGAAACAGGTTTAGTTGTTCCTGGGATATCGTCGAAGAAAACTGCGTCTTGTCGTGTTGTTGCAATAATTAAACGAAATTGGAGACAATATTGTGGTATTTTACAAGAGTCATTACCTGGCGTAAGACGTTCACGCGGAATGATTATTTGCGAGATCTTGAGTTTTAATTTAGGCGAAATTTCATTTATTTCTTCCACATGAACGACGTATTCCTAAGATTCGTATTGAAAGTCGTCAAGCAGAAGAATTGAAGAATAGCCGAGTGATGGTACAAATCGATCATTGGCCGCGCTTATCCCGTTATCCACATGTGCGTCTTCGATAAATTCGAGTAGTAAAAATAAACAAACAATTCTCTGTTTTTCTTTTTCGAATGCAGGGTCATTTTATCAAAACACTTGGCAAACTTGGTGACAAAGAAACAGAAAATGAAGTTATCCTAGCCGAGAATGACATCCTTCATCATGAATTTCCCGAAGCTGTACTTGATTGTTTACCTAAATTACCTTGGATAATCACTGAAGAAGTATGTTTGTTCTTCTCGTCTAGTATCTTATTGTATCTGTCCATTCTACTCAGGATCTAGCTAGTCGCGTTGATCTACGCGAGTTTTGTATCTGTAGTATTGATCCACCTGGTTGTACTGATATTGACGATGCTCTGCATTGTCGTCTGCTGGAAAATGGCAACTACGAAGTAAAGCTATGATTTTCAATAATCGAAAACCACGAACTGTATTTTCCATTAGTGTGGTGTTCATATAGCCGATGTCACACATTTTGTACGACCCAACACGGCGATAGATCTAGAAGCTCGTGAACGTGGTACAACAGTTTATCTAACAGATCGACGTATTGATATGTTGCCAGTGTTACTCAGTGGAAATCTTTGTTCACTACGTGGCGGCGAAGAACGGTAAACAGATTAAGATGTACATGATTGTAGTACTTTTTTCTTCGATCAATCAATCTAGTTTTGCATTTTCTGTTCGTTGGGAAATGACCCCAGATGCTAAAATAGTAAACACAAAATTTCATAAATCCATCATCAAAAGTCGAGTACGTACTTACATCAATTTGTTGTAATGCTTTTTATTCTCATGAAACATCTCTTATAGGCTGCTATGACATACGAACAAGCTCAAGCCATCAAAGACGATGCCGGTATCAATGACGAAATAGCTAAGAGCTTACGACGTTTGCATTCGATTGCCGCACAATTACGTCAAAAACGTATGGACAAAGGTGCACTAGTACTCGAATCATCCGAAGTTCGATTTCAACTCGATACGGAAACACACGATCCATTAAGTGTTATGAACAAAGAATTAAGGTAAACACATCTTTGATTTTGAAGAACAAAACAGACAATATGATGTTTCTGATAGAGAGACCAATTGGCTCGTGGAAGAATTTATGCTTTTAGCGAATATTAGTGTTGCTGAAAAGATCTATGAATTGTTTCCTGACTGTGCATGTTTACGTAAACATCCTGCACCGCCAATCTCTAATTTCGATCCACTTGTTAAAGCTGCGGAAACAAAAGTAAACTAATCTCGACATCTCATAGAAAAAGAAGATCTTGTTTTTTTTTAATCTTTCGCAGGGTTGTCAAATTAGAGCAAATACGGGCAAAGAGTTAGCTGATTCACTTGATCAAGCTGTCCTACCGGCTCATCCGTATTTTAATACAATGCTTCGAATGCTTGCAACACGTTGTATGATGCAAGCCGTTTACTTTTGCAGCGGATTCGAATCTGACATCAAAAGTTTTGAACATTATGGTTTAGCAACACCTATCTACACGCACTTTACTTCACCTATTCGACGGTAAATGAAATGAAACTCGTTTTTTCGTTCTGATTCGTGATCGGTTCGCTTTCGTTCAGATACGCTGATGTTCTTGTTCATCGATTATTAGCTGCTGGTATTCAAGCTGACGCCACATTTCCTGATCTATTGAATAAACGTGTATTGCAACAAGTATGCAATAATCTGAATTATCGTCATCGAATGGCGCAATATGCAGCACGAGCGTCAGTTGATTTACATACTCAAGTAGATATTTGTGTTTACAGATTGGCGTAGAGTAGCTTTGTTTTTGATTGTTTTATAGCTATTTTTCAAAAATATGCATACAGATGAAGATGGTTACGTGTTTGCTGTACGAAAAAATGCGTTACAAATTTTACTTCCTCGTTACGGTTTAGAAACCACGTTGTTTCTTCGAGATAAGGATGGTAAATCAGTCGGAGAATTCAATGAAGAAGTATGTTCACCATGCTACGAAGTATTATATGCTTTCATCCACCACTTGACCATTTTAGGAAGCGACACAAACAATTAATAATATTACTATTCATATGTTTGATCCAGTGACTGTCCAGATAAGTGTAGACAGTAATAATGTTCAACGACAGCGTATCCAAATTCATTTGGTTAAGCCAGCTATAGAAGGTTTTAGTGTTCCACCTATGCCTAAGAATAAAACAAGCATAGACGAAGTAGATAGCGCTCTAACAGCACCGGTGAAGCGTTTGAAAGTAAAATCATCGAAGTAAAAAAAGAAAAATTTCGTTAGTTTGTTTTTCATTTCTTATTGTGATCTTTGAAACAAAAAAAAAGTTGAAAATAAAGGTGTGACGATATGTTTTGTTTGGTTTTTCTTTTCATGAAAATTTATAGTGTCTATACATTTAGTTATTTCTTATATGTCACTACTGATTCTGCTGGTGCCTGACGAGCCGTACTTCGTGGTCGTTTTACATATTTAGTTAAGAGCGTTATTTCACTTGTATTCATCGCTTGACTTATAGTAGATGACTTTCCTGTCGGCGGACGTTGTTCTGGCTGTTGAACGATCGAGACTGTGAGATTCGTTTCGATTGAAGGTATATCAAAATTTTGAGATGTCATCGGTGAAGTATATCCAGCCTTGTAATGTTGTGCAGGTAATGATGGACAGACAACAGATGTTGAGATAGGTACATTACTTAATGAACTGAAATTTCGGATTGGAACAAGTACTTCAGAGCCTGATAATTCATTTCTTTCAGGTCGCCCTGGTCTTTTCGATGCAGGATAATGTGTAGCAGTTGTACCTTTGACGATACGCTTACGTGTTTCGCGTATATCAAGCACGGTTTGACTTCTTGTCATCGGCTCATCGTTTGCATTTTGTGCGTTTAGTTTCTGTCGAGGTTTCTGTTTCGATCGCGCAGCATTGATCTCGTGTCGCATATATGCTTCAGTACGACTATAATCGACTAACGGTCTTTTCAATGAATTTAAACTAATGTCCTCGTATTCGTCGGTAATTCCGGATATTTTCTTCACTTCTTTGAACGCTAAACCTTTGTAGAGAAATTTCGTCTTAGGCACCAATCGGATATTCGGTAGAACGGGACGATTCGATCCAATAGGATCTTGTAGGATATGTTGCTGTTTCATAGCTCGTATATCATCGAGAGCATGTTGACTTCGTTTAGAGATTGGTTTCTTCGGCGCGGGCATACAAGTAACTACAGAACGCCACATTGTTTTTGATTCGCTTTTGTTTTCTTCGGGAACGTTTTCACTTTCGCTAAATGTTGTTAGTGTATTGTTGATCAATTCATTTTCGCTTGAAACTGTTTGGCCGCAACCTTTATGACTGGACAGTGAACGATTGGTACTAGTGTTTCTTTCTTTACTCGAATTACTTTTATATGTTAACGATTTTCGACTTCGTCGCTCAGATGCTGTGGTACGAGATCGTTGCAGGCGGGTCGATGATGGCGGCGCAGTTCGAATACACGTCGGTTTACGTGGTGTCGTTGCTTGAATACGACGATTCGAATCGAGCTTTTGTACTTTTATAGGAACGAAATAAACGTTGCCGTTATAACCTCTCCAAACCTAAAATATACATATAGATTGAAATAGAAATGTTATATTTTCTTATTCTAGATTAAGTTTAAACAGAAAAAATGATGATGAATAATCCCGGTGCTATGGGACAACAAGGTCCCCCTCCAAATTCAATGCAACCTATGATACAAGGAGGACAACCACCAGCAGCAGCGGCGCCAGCATATCCTAACGCTGCTAATCCACCGATGAACCCACAATCTCGTCCGAATCAAAGTCAAAACGATGATATTATCGCACGTTGTCTAGTTCAAACACAACGTCTCCGTGAAAGTCTTCAAGTATTGCTCAATAAAACAAAACAAGCGGCTCATCTCGAAACAGATGATCAATCTTCTTCAGCGACCAGTCTGTCGTCCAATTCCACCCAATCATCGATACGAAACAATATCGATCGTCGTCTGTTCGATATGAGCCAAGCACTGGATCAATTGAATAGTTTAGTCGAACAGTACGATATTAAAGCATTGCAAAATCAGTGGACATTGATAAGCCATTACAATGAATTATCCTATGAAAAACAAGGTACATTCATGGATGAATGGGCTTCACAGACGAAGTGGGCGGATAGACTGGCGGAAATCTCTCCCTACATTCATCCAACTATCCAATTCTATCGTCGTAGTAATCAACGCAGTATCGGCTTCACTAATCGTTCACGTGTGGATGGACCATCGGCACCGCTCATCGACCGTATTATCGCTCAATATGATGCTCAGCAACAGCAGCAACAACAATCAGCAACGAAAGAATATTCCATTAGTCTTCAACGTTTATCTGATCATTTGAATATCATTGAATTCAGTCTATTCCGAGCCGGTTTGGACATTTATCTGTATCTTCGACACTGTACAGTAGAGCATGTTGTGGTCAAACCATTAAATGAAAAAAAACAATTTGCAACGAATTTCAACAACAAACTGGCAACAAACTATCGTGCCTTAGACATCATCGCTGGACATATTCGCGCTGCTGCTGTTTTCTACGCACCATTTGGTACTCAACCTGAACAGGCATTAAGTAAATTATTGCTTTACATAGGTAAATATCAACCATTTCACGCACAAAAGTGTGTTGTTTGTCAGAAACATTTACTCAATGGTTTACAACCAACATGGCGAGATTTCAAAACATACGAATGTTTCCATCAAGAATGTTTAAATTGAAAATAAGAAGAAACAAGACGAAAATCTTGAAAGCGATACTCACCTGGTCAATTTAAAGACAAAAAACAAACTGCAAGTGTCTCATAAAAAACTTCTTTTCTTCTTACTCATTTCTTTTCTTAATGTTTATATGTATATTTGAAAACAAACGAAAAAAATAGAAGAAAAAACTTGCCAACAGATGATCGACATTTCAATGCGAATTGATTTTTCTACTTTCTTTCTCTGTTCCACTATTATTCCTTCTCAAGAGAAAAAGAAAAACGAAGAATAAAATCGATATACAAACTTGCAGTGGTTCCATTGGAATGGGACGACTTTGTGTTAGATAATACACTTTCGGATGTAGAAAACCGAAACCAGGTGGTGGATCACTTGAACCGAGAATGTTTTGAACATCATGATCAAGTTTATTTTGGTGTGGACTGTCTGATTTACTATAAATAATTCCTGCATACTCATAGACAGACTGTGTAAAAGCGCCTTGTAAGTTATTATCTTCGATAATCACAGGTGGAGACGAAGGGATCTCTTGTGATCTTCATTGTTGAAAGACAACAAAGTTAGAGGAATCGAAAATCATTCGAACTTACGTATTATCAGGAATCTCGGGAGTTTTCTTTGCCTCAATTTCTTCCACATCATCATTTGTAACAGATTTGTACTCGAAATCAGGGGATGATTCAGCTTGAAGTTCAAGTTGATCTGCATCATCACTGAGAACAAATGATTTCAATTGTTTGTCATCAGGTAGCGCCGTAAGAAATGTTTGATCGACAATTTCCGTCATCCTTAATAGAACGAAAGTCTTTTTCACTAAGAACTCTCTCTCATCCCTTTTTTCAAGCCTTAAATCGAATAGCTTACATGATTTGCTATTTAAAAACTTTCATTTGCATTTTGTCCTTTGTCGTCAATGTAAACGTGAAACAAACAGTACGTTTATTTTATGTTTATAACTTGCGCGTTCCCTCCCTTCGATTGTGTCTTCTAGACACACTTACGAGTCAAAAGAAAAAAAAAGGTGGGTAAGCATGTGAGATGCGCATAATATAAAAATCCAGTCAATTGTATTTCTCGGATGAATCGACGGCATCGAACTCTATGTGTGATGTTGCTAGACCATTGCCGGACATTTCCGACGCTTGGCTGAGAAAATAAATAAACTCTCATCTGTGTAAATCCACCAAAAATAGACAAAGACGCTTATATTTCGTCTACCAAACTCTGAAAACAAACTTCAATATTCCCCATACATGTAAATCTCAATTGATACAAAACTATGCACACATTCGATAGTACCCCAATCACTTCGAGACGACAATTAAACTATGTTTGATTTTTTTGTTCTTAAATAAATATTAAGCAGGTTCGTGTTGATGTAGTCAATTTAATTGTTTAGTGATAGAGCTTAAACTTGAAAAGAAATCTTTCAAAATGTTTCTTCTCTCCTTTTTCTTTTCGTTTACAATATTCCACCAATCCATACGAGTACTCTTCATCGGACGTAAGTTGTCCTTAACGAAGTGTTATTTATTAAAATGTAGCAGCGTGAAGATTTCTTTTTTGAAAATAAAATCGTGAAAAATAAACGATATAAAAGTGTTTTTCTTTGCCATAATGTAATTTAATCATAACCCAAAATTTCCTTTGGAACGCGTTTTTTATATTGTTCATCAAATCGAACTTGGAGATTTTGTATTTCTTGTCCCAGTGTACTTTGTAAACGCCAACCGTAGTCATGGCCGCGTGAATTAGGAACCTAAATAATCAAAGATGCTCTTAGAAGCAAAAACATAATAATTCTGTCTCCAACCGTATCAGAAAAACGTGTTGAATTTTCTATCGGAGGTCGTTTCGGTTTGATATTTCCCTAAATGATTGAAATCGTTGACTTTCCTTAACAATAATTAATCGAATTTCACCTTTGGATCATATTCAGCCATCCAACCGTGTACATCTGCCCATTGTTTTCTAGTAGAAGCTTCCTTATTGATACTTTCAATCCAAATCTGAGCTGCATCCCATGGATTAACTGCACCATCGTCTAATTTATTGGCATTACTACTTCCACCCGCAGGTGCTGCTGGTGCGCGTGTTGGCGCTGGTGGTGCAGCTGGTTCTGTTCGATTTCTAGATAGAATTTATTCTATCAAATTCAAGACAAAACCAATGAAAAGATTGTCATTTACCCTTTTCGAAGTAAATTGGCCATAACTACATACACACACAGTCTCTATGTTTCTGTCAAGAATATAAGCATACACATATTTCTTTTTTTTCCTCTTCCCCCTGACAATGAATTTTATTTCTTCAAACAAACTTGAAAAGTAAAGAAAGAAGAAGGAGAAAAAAATTCTCATTTTTAACGTCGTTTTCTTTTTCAATCAACAAAAAACATCATGTTCACAGAATTTTAAAATGAGTGCTTATGCTGGAAAGATGTCAGAACAACAATGAGAAAGCCCGAAAATATTAAAATTATATTCACAAACGGATTAAATTTACTTTTGATCAAGTCACCGTGTATCATATCAATAAATGTTATATAAACAAACGTTCCTGCACTTAAGCATTGCAAAATTCCATTGATGTAATTCAATTCCGTAGAATCTGAACTGATCAATAAACTTAAAAGCACACCCAATGGTCCCATAAAACTCCAAATGCACATTGAAGTAAAAACTCGAAGATAGTTTTGATGATCAATCAATAAACGAAGTGTGACAGAAAATGCTATTAAAGCCATATGCGAACAGATCGCACCGAGTAAAATCCATAGTGAGGTCGCGTCTTGTGTGTGTCCACCGATGAGAATACCACCTAGAATAAACAACTAAGAAAAATACCGTCTTTCTTTTTCGAACATACTGAAAAAGTAATGAACACCGAGTGCAAAGACAAGTGTAACGAGTCGTGTCAATTGACCATCATGATTGCATAGACTAAACGAATCAATCAGCTGTTCTTTTTCAGTCTTCGCTTGTTTATTCGATGAATAGCGTTCGTAGAGTTTTATCGATTCTTCGATAATACAGATAAGAAAGAATCCGAGACCAACAAGTATGTAACCCATATTCATATGTGGCCATTGATTCGCTGCAAGACCAAGTGAATTCGGAAGTATTAACATTAGGAGTGTACCTAAAAGAATGCCACTTGTTAAACAAGAAATGATTCGTTGAGCAAATGAAAGCACATTGCCATGACGTTGTAAGAAAAATCGTTGTAAACATATTCCAATCAATGTCATGAACACATTCGCTGCAAATAATATAATCATCGACACATATTTTGCTTCTTTCAATTCCATATTGATCATTCTGTATTCTAAGAACAAAAATTCAAATATTCCTTGATCTATATCACTGATAGGGTATGTAATAAATATATATATAGACAGACATATGTATGGTATCACGCAGCAATATTTCGAAAGAAATAGATATTACGCGCGACAAGTCGCCTTTTCTTTTTCTTTTCTCTTTTCTCTTATAGATATCCTCCGATTGAAGTACTTCTTTCTACTAAATGTGCTCCTTTTTCTCTTTCGATTTTGTGAATTATTCGAATCCCTGCACAATGAATAGATCGCATCTTCGAAGGCGTTCTTCTCTTTACTGAAAAAAGGCACTAATATGAAACATATTAGCTAATGTTTAGCACAGCTGTCACATATTCATTTTAATCACTAAATGCAACCGACTGATATACAATGCTTATTATTCGCTTTCTTCCACGCATATATTCTATTGAATCGAAAATTACAGAATGACTCAAACTAGCAGCATGATTACAAAGATCATCTGAATATCAGCGATAGAATGTCGTGAAAAAGTAATTTATTTAACGAGCGACAGATGTTATTTATCTAACATCATCACCGTCTTTCGGATATAGTTTCAGATAGACAATAGACGAAGAACAAAACCGAATTGTCATGAGAGAGTGAAAACATGTCTCTCCGTACTCTGGAGTTGATACGGACAAGTAATTCTATTCAAGCCACACGAGACAATGCAGATGTCCGATATTTTCCTCGCAGATCAAAAATATCCTTTAGATCAAATGTCACGAAGAGAACCTCAATGTGTGGTACACCAGTCTAGCTTAGATTAATGGAATCAAATAATTGATATATAAACTTCAGTTGTTTATTACGATAATTAATAAGACTGCCTCATTAGCATGAAGTTCATTATTGTTCATTCATTAATGATATCCTGTGCACACAAAGCTAATCTCGTGATTTATTTCCAGTGGGCATCTTTGAGTCTCTGTCGCATTAGTTATTCAGAGTGATCGTTCCCGATTCTGGCAGATCAAACAGACGTAGTATCGGATATTATAAGAAGTGATGAGGACAAACCTGGTTCACGAATTTTTTCCACCTCTTCAGCAAAAACCAACGAAAATACGGATCAACACTGCTTCGATTGAGGTTGAAATGTTGCTTTTAGCCTATAGTGCTCTTCCAAGATCAGATTCCCCAGTGGACCAGTCTCAAGGAAATGAATACAGATAGACGACTTCTCTCTTCCGTATCAAGATCCTCATATTCGTATAATTCCTTTCTGCATAGCTATCGCACTGTCTTATTCCACATGAGCGACCTTTATGACATCATCATTATCTACACGAACGAGAGAAAAATCGTACTTGGACGGCCAATATTTGCGCATAATGGATGTCAATTGTTTTCCATGCTCATCTTCAATTTCATCTTTGTGAATTTGATCGCTCAATGAGTACACAAATCGAAGATCTTCCCAATGAACTTCTTTTCATTGTATTCAATCATCTCAATCGTCTTCATCTTTATCTGTTTTTTTTTCAATTTTAACGTTCGTTTCAATCGTTTGTTGAAAGCTGTCTCAGCACATCAACCACTTGATCTTATTTGTGGATCTATTTCTTACAATGAAGAAGGCTATGAAAGATTAGAACATGTAACTCTCACTTTTGGTGCCGCAGATGATTATTATTTTGAAACTCTGATCATGATTATCAAGGAAGGAATCTCATTTTCTACTATGATATGCAATGTTTCTCCACGCAATTATTCCAAGCTCAATGACTTGACAGTAGAACAGAAAGCATTGTTCGATATTCACATTCACAGTGATATTCGCAAAAAGTGTATGATACAATTTGTTCTACACACCTTTCAATAGACGTTTCCGAGAAAACTTTGCTCAATGGATTACAGTAACTTACATTCGCAAATCGACAGTAATGCACTATTGAGAAATACTGTTCATCTTTCATTGACACTACAGATTTCTTGTGACTTGGTGTTGATTCTTCGAAAATGTGTACTGCCTATACTTCAACATGTACATGCCATCTTCAAAAGGACGATAGTGCGTGATGATTATCAAACTCGGTTCACGGTCGACGAACGCGATTTGCTCGATACCGATACCAGCCGACTGCACACATTATCTTTGAATATTTTTAGCTATGGAATGTACATTGAATATTCTTCGATTTCTTCGCCTTGCTCAACTGGAACCTTTGTGTCATTCGTCGATGTGTTCGTTGCATTTGGTTTGTCGAAATTCATCTTACACGGTTTGAGCCCATCTATCAATAGGTGAATATTTTGTTTCATGAAATCAACATGTTCAATGATTATCTCGAATCGGTAACTCGTTGCATAAAGATATCAGTCGCTCATTTGATGTGTTCTCGTGATGATATGAGTGTTTGGATTTGACAATGATTCAATTGCAGTTACTACGGCTCCTAAAGTCACCTATATTCTTTTAAATCCGACTGGTGGGTTCAGTAAGATGCGCTCGTTATTCTCCATGAGGTTGCTTTTATTTGTCCGACACAATCAACGACTACAATGGTTTATACTACTTTGACTAAGCGAGAAAGGTGGCTCTCAGCCTATATCACCCGTTTCTTAACGGAATTCTAGAACTACTACTGACCAGATACATACACCAACTCTACTATATCTTCTATATATAATTTCTCAACTTCATTCATAAATATGAATTGCCCCTTCCTATACACATATATCTCTTATACAGGCAGCAACGAAGTGCCAGCTCGATCCATTGGCTATCACCTGACAGGACTATGATAGATGGCGCTAGATGAATTTATTCGAAAGAAAACAAGAATAATAATAAAACTGGTCAAAGATTCATTTTTCAATGAAGAAATTCCTGAATATTTCATTGGAAGTTTTTTCATAGGCATCTCGTGATAATTGGACCAGCTAGAGAGACGTACACAACGCCTCAATGACTCATCTTTCCTCAACGACAACGATATTCTTCACTTCATTTCATCGTATTGTTTTCTCTTCCTATTATGAATACAAAATAATCATGAGAAACCGAATGTGAAACATGTGGAATAGGATTTTTCAACCTGCATGAAGTAGATCAATAGAAATCAAAACCGAACAGAAGGACAAAGAATATCGGGGAAAAAAGAATAGCCATGAATCATTCTTAAAACATTGCTATCATCAGATTGTTTATCTTCCGAGCACTTCATATTTCGAACGCATTTTCATTTTTTTCTCTTCTCTCTTCAGATGATTATTTCAATCAATTTTTAACAAGCAAAACAAACTAACATACGCTTTCTTTATCTACCAATGGTTGTCGGAATTCCTTCGTCAGTGACAATCGTTGAAGAGGAAGACATTCATGTATGTGAATTGTCCAGTTCAATACCTGAATCATTACCAGTTCTTCCTATGACAAATGAGTTACCTGTTGATCAAAACCTTTCAATCACTGAATATCCTTTCGAATTTTTATCTGGTGAACAATTCATCGGATATGGCATGGATTTAACCGATGCTGGTATTTATTTAACTTCGTATCGTTTATTTATATTTTCCAATCAAACTTCAACACACTGTTCGTTTATTAATTGTCCCATACGTCTAATTGAATCTATCGAAATTAAAGATAATATCTATTTATATTTTCAATGCAAAGATATACGTTCGTTTCGATTAATATTTTTCACAGCAGATAAATGTTCTTATTGGTTACGGAAATTAAACGAGACGATATCATCATTAATATGTCTCAATGATCTATTTGCAATTAAATATGCCTTATCTTTATCGAAACCAATCGAAACGATCACGCGTGATTATTTTCAAGAAGAATTTCGACGTTTACAATTGGACGTAGCACCATGGCGCACAACAGAAATTAATCAAGATTATAAATTGTCACCTACATATCCAAATATTTGCGTCGTACCGGAGGTTATAACTGATGACGAAGTTCATGAGGTGGCGAAATTTCGATCGAATAGGCGATTTCCGACTGTAGTCTGGAGGTATGAATGACATCTTTGTGTTTCACTGAAAACGAGATCTTTTGTTTTTAGACATTGCAATGGTGCAGTTATTGCCCGAACAAGTCAACCAGAAATTGGTTGGCTGTTTTGGCGTTCGAAAGAAGATGAAAAAATGATTCAAATGATAATCAATGCGTGTAAAACGCCGATGTCAACAGACTCATTTTCGGCGGAAATTCATTCGAAACGTCTATTGATACTCGACGCAAGGAGTTATGCAGCAGCATTGGCAAACCGAGCCAAAGGCGGTGGTTTCGAACATCCGCCTTATTATACTGATTGTGATGTACAATTTATGAATTTACCAAATATACATGTCATTCGCAAAAGTGCACAAATGTTAAGAGTTGCTGTCGCTAATGCAGCACAAGGAGAAAAGTAAGAAGATTTAGTTTGAAAAACTCTATTGTGTCTTCACATTTTGATGATACGACATTCTTATCTAATCATTTCATGAACTTGACTGATATAAAAAAGGGTGACCTCTTTCAGCTGTCTTCTTTTTGTCCATATTCTGTCTACGTACTAGAAGAACGTGGCATGAAATGATTATATAGTTCATTAAGTACAACTTCGTAATTTTAATAGAAATTTTTTTAATGATTTGCAATTTTTTTGACAACGAGCTACTTTGATGTTTTTAGTTGGCTTTCACAGTTGGAGTCTTCGAGATGGTTGCACAATCTGTCAGCATTAATCAATGTGGCGTCGTTTGTGGTTGCAACTGTTGATAAGAACGCACGACCTGTACTTGTTCATTGTTCGGATGGATGGGATCGCACTCCTCAAATAACCACATTAGCAAAAATTATGCTGGATTCATATTATCGTACGATCGAAGGTTTTCAAATGCTAGTACAAAGCGAATGGATTGCATTCGGTCATAAATTTGCTGATCGTTGCGGCCATGGAAATGGATCGACGGATCCCAACGAACGTAGTCCTGTTTTTCTTCAATGGCTTGATTGTGTTTTTCAATTATTCACACAACATCGAACTGCATTTGAATTTAATGAAATGTTTCTTGTAGGAATCCAGTATATTGCCATTTGTATTCATTCATAGTGATTTTTCTTCTAGTTAAAATTAGCGCACCATACGTACACATGTTTGTACGGCACATTTCTGTGCAATACAGATTGCGAACGTTCATCATCAAAGTTAGAAACACGAACGTTAAGTGTATGGAGTTTATTCAATAGCAATTCCAAACAATTCATCAATCATTTATTCGATAAAACGAAGAAAGATGTAAGAATATTGATACAAAAACGATGTCTGCAATACATGTCTTTGTTCGTCTAGATTCTTTATCCATCGTCTTCAGTTCGTGACTTAACAATATGGTCAAATCTATATCTGCGAGATATTCGTCATACGCCTGTTGGCGCATTTGAACATTCCTCGACATTAATTCCAGCTCGTATTCGTTCCTATGAAGATCTTACAACATCAATAACAAATAATCTTCATCGATCATCATCGGATCCAAGTCTAAGTAATTCCCTACATAACGAACCATCATTAATAGCTCGTCCTACTCCCGTATCACCATCAAGTCAGCAACAATCCCAACCGAATCGACTGCAAAATTCAACATCGACAAATAGTCTTTTCGGTCCGCCACATCATCTAGGAACGTTAAATGATGGTAGTCATCATAGTGTAACCAATCCTTGTAACACAAATCAAACATCTATACTAATACCAACTAGTCCTGATAGTCGAACAAAACAACAAAGTTTTCTAACCGATGATTCGTCACCTGATATCACACAACTAGCATTATCATTTCAACGTTTTCCATTAAATGTCAATAGTGTTGACAATATTTTACGCACAATGTCTCGTCAAAGACGACACACAAATTCAACATCGAGTACGGCTTCGAGTTTATCGGAAGCATGGTCATTAACGAGAATCAATTCTTCAGATTCCAGTCAAGCACAGCGAGCGGTTTGTGCAAAAGAAAACACAAGAGAACTTGTTCTGTGATCTATCCTTTCATTTAGGTGCAACCTATGAGTACAAACAAAGTCTTGAAATTAGTACGAAAACGTATTGATGTCGATGGTTTAACAAAGATTCCTGATCAAGTCACAACTAGAATGGTACAGAAAGAACGAGCATATCAACAACAGATCGAAAATTTACATGAGCAAATTCGACGCATGCAAAGATTTGTTTATGCATTGATTAACATCAATAATAATCAAGTAAATCAAAATCCTTCGATAGTAGACTTTGTTTTTAAGACAAATAATTTTCTCTTTTCTATCTTAGAATATTCCCCCACGAATGGAAACAATCTCGCAAAGTAATGTGAATAGTATTGAGTCGTCGTCTTGTTCTTCGTGGCAAAAAATCGATAGTGACACAAGTGTAACGCGCTGGATGCCAGATTTCAATGTTCAAACATGTTATGGATGTCATGTGAAATTTCAACAATGGCCAATTTCACGTAAACATCATTGTCGAAGTATGTCTACGAAATTTCTCCTTTGTCAAATGTAATATTAAAAAACTTTGTTCATTCTAGAATGCGGCAATGTATTTTGTAGTAGTTGTTCAAATTATTGTAAATCAATTCCTTCGATGAATCTATCGCATTCAGTTCGCGTGTGTCGCGATTGTTTTCTTACACTCGACGATAATCCTTCTACTGCGACTAGTAATAGTACAGCAATTGAATCAACACGAACAGCTGCACCCATGCCTATTCAAACTGGTTGCCGACAATCGAATGGTACTCCTAATGGATCATTTAATTCACCTGGTGGACAAAAAGTGAAAGGATAAAATCGACTTTCTTCGTTTCTCTAACTCCATGTTTTCGCCCGCGTGATGTTTTCTTCTCCTTTTCTCTTGTGGAACACTGCTTAACGTCTTCTAGACTAGATCCTTCAATTGATGATTTTCAAATCGTCTCTATGAGTACGATAATCTTCCCAGGACACGTCTGACGTGTTACGACATGCTATTTATTTATTTTTTCTTTCGTTCTCTCGATTATTTCTATTGTCACGCAGTGGGCTTCTATTCTTTTTTGCTGTTGTTATTGTTTATATTCTTATGTACATACGGACTTGTTAGAACTGATGAATGCTTGTATGTATGTATCTGGACGTTTTTCCTTTTCTTTTTCGTTTCTGTGATGTTATCATCCGCAGCAACTTCTCTATGTACGAAGATGTCAATGAGTATCCTTGCATTTTTTTTCTTTCTTTCTTTTTTTCTTTTTAATCTAATCCTTAACTCTTCTTCGGATCTATTTTTGCTCTCTCCCTCTCTTCGTTCATTGTCGTCAATAGCACATATATAGTTTTCTCTTCTTGTTTTCTTTTTTTTCCTTCAATTATGTGCTTTTTTTTGCACAGGTATGTTCAGAAAAGAGTGAAACGAAGACAATATTATTAATAGACAAAGGTGTGTAACAGGCACTTTCAAATAAATTTATCAATAGAGACAAAACATGACTTTCCAAGTGGCGCGTTGACTAAATTTGTTTATTCGCCTTTTTTTCCTCATCGATAACTATGAACGAAAATCAATCGATAGTTATGAAAAATTACTTATTGATTGTAAAGACACATCATGGTGATCCGGGCGATTACATCACTGCGGTGATTAAAGGCGTTGAAAAACAAACCGAAAAACTTCCACTAGGAAAATCACAGGTGAAATTTCATATGCTATATGAAGTTTAGCATGGAGAATCATTTTAGTCTTATCAGAAAGCTTTTAAAGAAAATCAAACGGATCTGTTTTTATTATTATCCGATACTCATGTAGGCAAAATAACTCAAGTGGAGTTTTATGTAGATTCGAATAGTAAAGTCAAAGAATGGAAATGTAGTCATATCGTCATTATTGATGGTAGGAATTCCTATCAATACGAGATTATCTGTCAATTAATTAGTTTTAGGTATTCATGTTTATCGCGATATCGCTCCAATACACTCTCTTTCGTCATCAACCGATAGTCCATCGGTGATTGATGTTATCGAACCACACTCTGATTCCCAAGGTTTCGAATTGATGACTTTGCGAGTCGTAGACGTTTCCTTTGAATTTCTAGAAGGTGTCTATTATGCATTTATTAAAACTGGTCAAGACCCGTGTGGCAAAGGATGTTATCCGAAATTATCCCTTTTTGGCGATAAAGAAAAACATACGGAATTCAATATGAAATTACCCTATCGCGCTCTGTCGCCGTCTACAAATAATCCAATGGCACTCGAAAAACATCAATTTGATATATTTCAATGGCAAGATGATAATATTGGTAACATCGAGCGAATACAATTGCAGCTATTTCCAGAAAATGGACGAACTAAATGTCAGTGGCCTGTTGAATGGATCTTAGTGGTTCATCATGGCTATTCTTTTACAGGTTGGACAATATGAGAAGTCTGTGAAAACAATTCTTCTGTCTGTTAAGGACGTATTATGTTGAATCGAATGGTGAAAAGTGATCGATATATAAGCATCAATCTAGAGAGATTAACATTTGCCTCTACCGTTGAATCAGGTGATTCCTATATTGATCCAAAACAATCTAATGAACCTATTTCTGCTTTGAATATTTGGAATAAACAATCGAATGCGTAAGATTTTGAGAAAAACAACAACTTGTATTCTACACTTACTAATTAGAACAACCGATGACACTGGTCGATATTATGTGATTCTTCGGAATTATGAAGGAACAAGTGGAAATGTTTACATAGACTTTCACGGTGATCGTTTGTCGTCGTGTGGCGAGCAACAATTATGGAAATGTGAAAATTATCCTGGACATCCTTTTGGTAGTCAACATACTGTGAGACATCAGCGATATGTTCGAGTTTTATTTCAAGCTCTCACACTATTTTAAGGATTTATTTCATTTGAAAGCATTGGAAGTTGGTCATCTACGTTCGATTTCATTACGCCTCGATCAAACGGATAAAGAACATAGTTTAACACTCGATTCGATATACATTGTTCACAATTCGTTCGTCTATGAATTTAATGTACATCATATTATTTTGAATAAACAACAAGCGAAGAAAGAATTCTTCCCCGTGATACATGACACTCTATCAGAGGATAAAGTGTGTTATTATGTTGCTACTCATACGGCTGATAAGATTTTATCCGGAACGAATGCTAGTTTTCAAGTTGTGGTCGTCGGAAGTGATGGCATGTTTGGTATGTTGATTAAATAAGGACTAATAGAATATTATTAGGAACTCTGCCGTTCTTCTTTTTCGTCCAGGACCAATCGAATTAAAAGAATCACTAACAAATGGAACTGATCCATTCGAAAGAGAATGTATTGATTTATTTCGTATCGAAGAGAAAGACATAGGTGAACCTAAGTCAATATCAATCACATTGGAAACAAAAGGTAGCTTCCTAGTGGCTGTACAAGAGTTAAACTAATTGGAACCGGATTCTTGTAAATGTTCTATTTAGGTTTGATAAGCAACTTGTTCAGTGATGGAAAATGTGAACGGTAGTTCACAACTCATATAATCGTTGGTTGTATAACAATGATGATTTCATTGTTTAGAATCATGCTTATCAAAAATGGGAAATATAATTCCCAGTGGCAACTAGTTGGCAACTTAAAAATGAAGGAAACGAAAATCATTTCTTGCCCTGCGCACCAACGGCAATCTCTGAAAGATCCCATTCCGATGCCAGACATGCCTACCGAAACTTCGCTAGTCAAAACCACAACTGAATCCGTTCCTTTCAACCCTACAAACCAAACACGTTCGTCGGAAACAAAACTAGCAATTGAAAAGACTTACAAATCCGCTCCGACTATTGATTATCGTAACGACGCAGTTATGGTTCAAATTGAAGAACATCAAAAACGACATACATTTGCACCGAGTTTACAGCAAGCTGAACAAAATTATCGCGAATTAAGACGTTTATTGAAAAAAATGAATGGATCAATATCCAACGAAACTAAAGTACCGACGGTACGGAAGCAAAAGATTTGAAAATTTGTTTTTGTATATTCTTCGCATCGAAAGTAAAATTGAAAAAATTCACTTAGACAAGAGTACCGAAACAGCTAGCACCTGTACAGTCACCCGTTGGATATGTATCAGGAATGATTTGCGTTTCAGTTGTCAATTCGAGAACTGTACCATCGGGGCCGGGAAAATTCACTTGGATATAAAATCCTTCCCAACCACTCAGAGGATTAGCCACTGTTAATGAATACACAACTGTCGTCGTAGTTTGCGACTAAATGGATTCATCAGTAAGATTGAACTAGACGAATGAGCAACAGAATTCGAATCTTACTTCGGTTACAACATTAGAATTCAACCAAATGACAGGATTTACGATTTTCTTATCCGGGTTATTCGGATCAGCAATTACCAAACGAAAATCACGTCTATTCGATAAAATTTCTCTTTGATATCCAATTAGAAACCTTTTTACTCAACCTTTTATCATTCATTGTTCGCGCGTGATAACCAAGAGCACTGATTGGCTTGGGACCAGCACTAAAATCAACTGTAGCACGAATATATCCATGCGTATTATTCGATGTTTTCGTCCATGTAAACGACGGTAGAGTTCGATTCTTCCCAGAGAAAAACAAGTTCATAGCGAGTAGCAAAACGATTTTCTTTAATAACTCACATCGTAGATACTTAAGTAGAAACTTCGCATGGTAAGGAATAGACTGATTTCGTGACCAGCACATGAATGATCAGCATTAGGTAAGCGTCTTACATAGAATATGACAGTAAGACTTTCATTGAAAATTTCTCCTTCTACTTACCTAATATACGAACCGCCGGTAGCTACTTGTAAGTCATGCCAGAATGCATCCTAAATACAAAGTGAGTCAATCCTCATTTCATTACTTTCAGCAACTTTTACTTCATTATCTGGTAAGAAAAATTCATCACCACTCGATTGGATCTGTAAGATTTTCATATTCCTGTATCGATCGAAATAACCTAGATAAAACTTGCGAAGTAATCAGACGAAATAAACGGAAAATTTTACTGTATGGATCAACAATTTGCGCCATTTGTTGTAATCTTGGATCGTCGACGTATCGAGTGATATTTAGAACATAATAATCTTTAAATGCAAATGTCCAACCAGCCAATGACTTGAGAGGAAAAGGAGTTATTCGAAGATACGAACAAAGCAATTAATTATTCAAAAAACATACGCGATAATGATGGTGAAAGTTCTACAGTTAACAAAGCAAATATTAAGGATTATAGGATTATTTGTTTCCTACTTGATTAAGATTTAAAATATCCATGACAATAGGTACAGCACCAACAACACGTTCGTTATCAACTGCAGCCGTTGTCCAAGCTAAAGACGCATGCAAATTAACTTTGGTACACAGAAGACAAGACAGATGCTGGCTTACTCGTCCAACCACGCTAAAATTTCATATTCAAAATATTTCACTCAAAGAAAATGTTGAATCCTACTTTCGAAGCACCACCAATAACGAATTTCTGGGGCACTATAACGCCTAATTGTTTTGCAAATTGTTGTACAGCATCCATAGCACGCACACATGCCTTAATTATCAAACAAAATAGCCTGAAAACTAATCCATTGCTTTCCCTTTCGATTACTTTTGTCATTGGCATACGAAGAAGTACATAAGGGTTATTTGTATTTTGAAGAAATGTATTCCATGTCCACGCAATAATCGCATCCTCTCCTCGACTTCGATTTGTTGGATCAGCCTACGGTAGTGCAAACATTCGCGGTAATTACAAAAATCAAATCAGCTTTACCACGAAACGAATCGGTTCATTGGGAATATCTTGAAGATCAACACCAATACTTCCAGTACTGACAGCAAACATCGATGTTAAACTAACAAAATTATCTTGTGGTTTTGGCAATCTACGAATCAATAGAGAAACATAAATCAATTTTCTTTTTTTATTCGCACGAAATCGCTTCTTTTCTACCCATTATTGTTGCTACCACCATCGATCAACATGAATGCTGTGTTCGGTCGGGTAAGTTTATGCGGTACACTAATGCACAAATAATGCCACCAGATTGGTCGACTGGAAAATTTTTCTATTTTTTAGTCAATGAAAACATCACTGATTAAAGATTAAAAATGAGAATATCACGTTCTTACCATCGAACCATTTTTGTGATGTAAAATTTAAAATATAAAGAACATAATCAGGTTCTTGATAGGTTTGAATGACTGTCCAACTAAAATTTGGATCAGCGGCTTTGACGTAATCATCCAGAGACGTACATTGACTTTCCCGAATAAATGCGAGACCAAGAACAACGAAAAGCAAAACGCTCGCTATCACTTTGATGCACTGCATTTTCGAAGACCAAGAAAGAATACAATGTATCAGATCTTATTAAGGTATCTTTTGTGTTTGCTACTGATAACATTCTTGTTCTTCTTTCCATCTCTCACACTGTTTCATCACTTTATCTTGATAAGGTTTGTTAAACGACATTATTTTTTGTTTTTAACTGACCATCGAGGCCAAACAAAAGAGTGATATTTCGTTTAAAATCAACATTTGTTCTTCCTTTGACAATAAGATTAGTCTGATTATATTCACTGCCTTTCCTGAGGGATTTCGATAGCGTGATTATTATTAAGGAAGTCTAATCAAATTTGTCATTTTTTCTTGTAAATAACTTAACTGAAAAAGTTACTGTGTGTGTGTGTGTGTGTGTATGGGTATGTATATAGGACATTTTCATTTCAGTAGAAAATTTTGACAACTCATCTTCTCTCATTTGAATCACGAAACCCTCGTTTTCCAATTTCTCCTCATTCCGACAAAAATAAGTTCATTAGGATTCTCGTCTTTTGTCTTAATACATTTTGTATGACTATTTATTACAAATATAAATGTCAGACATTCGTCAATTATATCGTCATTCAAGGACAATGATAGAACGATTATTAATTCTTCGTGTTTTTTTTCTGTTATTCAATTGAGACCTCCACTAATAGAATTTGAAGGAATTAACTATATTTTGTATGACTAGCACATCATCGAAACACATCGAACTAGTCTTGGCACATCGATGCCAAAGCTTCATGTATAAATGACATATTTTGTTTTTGATAATCTAGATAAATACTCGTATATATTATCTTTATTCAGTTTATTTGACATTATATTTATGAAAAGAAATTATCTGATGTATTTATACACATGAAAAAGGAAAAGCTTTTATTCTAATGAGGTTTTTTTGCCTTTGAAATGCCATGATATCGTTGATGATTTTATAAAGATTATTCCAAAGACAAGAGAAACTTCAAGTAAAAACAACATGACTTGCCGCGTGAATATCGGCCTATGTAAATAGAGAGAGTAAGAGATAATAAGCAGCGCAGCAGTCAATATTCCTAGGGTTTGCCGAGAAAAGATCATTGTTGTTGCGACTAATTTAATCTTTTTTTTTCAACGAGATACATACGGTCGGAATGATCAGAAATTGATGAGCGATAGTTCACATCCGTCGTCTCGTCTATGCATTGCTTTCAAGAAGAGGTCTAGCTCGTGCTATCTCTGTCAAACTTGACTAGACGAGAATACGTATTTGAAATATGTCAATAAGCTGTGCAACGCACAAGATTGATATCGATAGAGTCGACGAAAGCCTTGTTTTGCTTTGAGAGTATATCCGTCGCCGAGAAACATATCACACTGAAGAACATGATGGCAACCTATCGCTTCTCGCCATCACTACCTTACCAGACTTTCTTGTTCTCGTCTTTTCTATCGATATTGACATAGGGAATGTATGTTTGGCAAAAAGGAGAAAAGAGGGAGAGAGAGAGCACCATCAATAAAGAGTAAAAGACATAAGGGAAGCAGAATAATGTGTCAGATTTTCTCCTTTCCATAACGATTGCTATATGCAGTACTGGTAGTAGTAGTAGAAAATCATGATGATGCATGGTACAAGAAAGACAAATGACTTTTTTAATGATACAAGATTCTGTCGGTAAGCAAAGAATAATCATTTCCGTTGTGAAATTCTTGATGATCAATCTCTTCTTTTTCTTCTCTCTCGACTATAATGAGAAGATTAAGAGATGAGTCCTTTTTTGCAATCGATGAAGTGACAAAATATTAATAGATATAGTCTCTTTAATTGAAATATCAAATAGTCGACAAGAGTGGGTAGATCAAGAAAGTAATACTCAGTCCTGATCGATGATCGCGTGATTCCAGTTTCAATTTTCAGAAGTTTCTTATCGGGCGATCATGACAATCATTACTCTCTATTCCACTTGTCTTGTATACGGATTGTAAACAGGCTTGTTGTTCGTGAATCAGAACACGAAGTGAAGAGGCAATAAAACTCAAGTCGAGATAAGCCTGTTGTCATATCACATATGAGAATGTATGTATACGAGTTTTTATTGAAATTCTTTCGGTAACGATAGATGAGAGTAGTTTTTACGGTTTTCTTAATTTGTTGAAACATAATGATATTCATCGTCGGTGTCATGTTCGTTCTACTGGATTAGTATGGAAATGACGAGTAAAAATAGAAAAGTAATACTCTAATAGAATATCGTAATGTTTGATGTTGTTCGTTTTTCTTCTCGTTTGACTATCTTCTTCTTTTTCTTCTTCTTTCTTTTTTTTTTTTATTCACTCTATCTATATAATGAATTTAGATGATAGGATGAAAATGCCAACAACGATGAAGACGATGAGCCAAAATCTCAGAAGCGTTTTTATTTTTTTCTCGGTAATGCTTTTATCCTTTGCCTTAATGTGACTCTTATTTCTCGTTTTTATTTACTGACATTTACTTCCAACATAGTCGTATATGTGTAGTTAATGATCATTTTCTTTTCAACAAATTAAGTAGCGGATAATGTTCGATTATTGATTTGTACTATTGATGATTTTCTCCTGAATTTCAGATTTCTTGAAAACATCGATTTGCTTACCAATACATGTCAAACACAAACATACAATGATTGTTTGCGATTGTTAAGCTGTCAATTACCCGTTTGACTTCATTCATTTATTCATTTCAAGTAAGTAATGAATCAATTATCCGAATGACTAGGGAGATTCGCTTTTTGTCCCGACTGCATTTGTATATTAATGAATTCTTGTTGATTTCCCAGCATAATTAATCATTGGTTCGTGTTTTTATGAATAATGGTCAAGGTTAGCCATACTAGCTTTGATCAATTAGGAGTGTGGTCTCATTAGTTTGACTATTCAGGCAGAAAACAGATTTCTTTCCTTATACTTAAGCGCTTTCTCCCGATTTGAAGTACTATTATAGTTTTATATCGCATATTCTAAATACATCATATGTGTGTGCGTGTATGTTGTTCTTCTTCTTCTTTGTTGACGTCGTTACTATCATGCATGCGTTTGAAGCTATGCGAGCGATGAAAGAGAACGAATGAGAGCTCTCTTCATCCTGGCAAGATAAGAACAGTAACAACAGGAAAAGACAACTTTGCTTTACGTTTTTTGCTTGCCGTCCCGAGAGAAGAACCGTTCGGTAATAACTGGATTAAATGAATACCAGAAGGACAACGCGTAAATCGACGTATATATCCATACATCACTTGTCATTCTACTTTGATTATATACTTTTTGCTTTTTTATCGTTTCTCATTGCCATTGTTATGAAATTGATCGATCAAACTTAATCATGTGCAAAAAGCCCATGATATCTGAATACAGTTTGCCAATGATTTTTTGTGTAATTTCTTGTTCTCGGATGTTTTAAATTGAAATTCAACCGTCTGTATAAGAAAATGGGAAAATTCAGTCATCGATTCATTCATTTCTAAATGTTAAATAAAGCGAGAAATGATGGTTTTGCTTGTTTGGTTTTTCTATTCGACTAATAAATTGAATGCAACTAGTGAATTTTTCTTTCGACGTCATTCCATATTGAATTAGAAATGCTGAAAAACTAACTCCCGCATAACATATTTATTTTAGCAGAAAGTCAACGATAGTAAGCTCATCTGTTTTGCGTAATCGAATTGCCGCATGTGCTCTCGCACCATGCATGTATGCATTTTTTATCCTTCTCGAGTTTTGACATCAGCGCTTACGACATGAAATTCAGCATAGCTTCAAATCCAAATAACAGGCAGAAGCGAGAAAGCTGGTACGAATAGGAGATTTCATTACGAGCTAGTCGTTCACATCACAACTGTCTGCAGAAGCCTTTTCTGATCAAATAACATCAACATACTCTTGTTCTTGACAATTAAGATAGCGATTGTGTGCGTAAGTCGACTCGTGAATAAGCCATGCCCAATCATTACTGTCAAGAAAGTTACCGAAACACTTAAACGGAACAAGAAGTCAAATAATAATATGCTCCAATGATGAATACATAGTTGATAGAACAAATGTGGAAAGAGAAATAAGATTGAGTTTTACCATCTGTCAATCAGAGGTGATTTTTAAATGAAGGAATGGTTTATTACTTTTCCCTCTCTCATACGAAGAAAAACGGTTTCCTTAATTGGAAATAGTGAATTTCACACATTCAGAGCAACTATCTTGAATGAAACTTTCATTTTCGAGAGACCATGCTCTAGAGATACGCACTTACCGTTGGCGTTTTTAAATGATATATGAAATGTTGTCTATTCGTGTTAAAAATATAGACTTATTAAGAGTGAAAAGAGAAAAGGGAAAAATAACGTGAGCGTCTATGTCAAGTAAAACAAAAGAAAAGTAATCATATCATATTGTTTAAATATTATCAATAATAGAAATTGTTAAAGTTGAAAAGACAATAGGGGGGAGAAAACAGTGCATTCTACCTTTGTTTATAACCGAATTTTAATCGAATTTTTTTAATCTATTCCTATTCAAGACACGTGGTTTATAATAGCACTGTATTACCGAATAATTATCCAAGGTCGTGAAAGTAAGTAATAGTATATGAAGAAGAGAGCAGAAGAAGAAAAGACGATAATGATAGAAGAAAATAGTCTTCAAGGCGGGGAGAGAGAGAGAAGTACGAAAAGAAAATTATTGTATGTGTCTCGATGATGATACATACTCTGATGGGTAGAATCGTCCAACGAACAAAAATGATTTGCACGGCTGTTCTTTTGTAACATTTTTCTTTCTCTCTCTCTCTCTCCCCCTTTCTTTACTCTCTATTTGTCGATGATGAAATTGTAAAAAAACCAGCAAACAAAACATCTTACAACGATTATCGATTGGCGCTTCTAATTCGCTGTCATTCACTCCATCATCATCATCAACATCATCATCATCACTACTGGCGTCTTTTGTCGTTGAGTTTATTTATCTATATTCATCGAGCGGCAAACGGCGGAAGTCTGCTGCTGTTTCTGTTGTTGTTTTATATATGGCTCCTGTGTACGTTGTGCGTGTCGACGACCCGTCGCATTATTTATTGATGTCATAGTTAAAACGCACGAGGGACGAACAAATCGACAACTAGGCAAAAAAGGAAAACTTTACTCGAATCTGTCTCTATAAATACACACACATATAGAGATTGATGGGTAACTAAATCGCTTCAATTTCGACATCTTTATAATATATTATCATTGTTATTAAATCTCATATAATGAATTACAATAGACCAAGCAATGATCAACGTAAACCAGCCCACCAACATCAGAGGCGTTCGATCGCCGAAGGCATGGCTCGTACAGGTACCATTTATACTTAAAGAAACGATTTGATTCATTGTGCATAATACCTGTTGCAACAATGATTAACAGCTGTTCTTCTATGGAAATAGAAGCTCAGAAGACCGATGAGTAAGAAAGCGCAAGGCAGAGAACATGTCGGCACATTGCGTCGATGATATAAGATGAAATTGAATCTTCCTGTAAATATGTGTGCATTGATGTAAAGGAAAAAAACGAGAAAAATTAATTAACAACAATAAGAAATATCCAAGCACTTATTATTTCCTTCTATTTGCCTTATCTTCTCATTTTACAAGTCACTTTTCTTGCCTTACGAGCGTTTGCTTATGATCATTTGTGTTCATGATGTATAAAGAAATAACCGAGAGAAAAAGTAACGAGTTTTTCTTCTGATATCTATTACACATCTGTCAAACATTGTATTTGAGAAAAATAAGTTAATAGAGAAGAAATTCTAGTTTATACTTTTTCTGACAACTTTTTACTCTCAGCATTAAGAGAAATGGCAAAATGAATGCTTGATTTTCTACTTTTTTCTTGTTTTCACCGATGAATATCAGCAGAGATAGATTTCAACAGATACTAGAACTCATTTCCTCGATCTCACAATCCTTCTTTTCTTTTCCTAAAGCACAAATAAGGAACTACAATAGTAATACCTTTCCCAAATAGAAACAAAAACGAATGACATGTTGATCTCTACATGTTTACATGACAAGAAATTTTGTCTTTGTTAGATGATTTTTGATGATGTCGTATTAAATATCAATAATCATATATTTATACGTAACATACTCGCCTAGGAAAGTGTCCTAGTCGGACTACTTTTTCTGCTTATATCATCATCTTTCTTTTGCTGACTATGTTTTTTCTTTAAAAATTAATACTTATTCTCTACTGACTTCTATTCATTCTTCTTTTTTGTCCCAATAGCGCCAGCATGTGCTGCCTTTATTCAAGCAATTGGCCTATTTCGTGAGACAAATAGTTCGACTAGTGACTTATCAACAAAACCTCTTTCATCATCACAACTCAGTATGGCTACAGCAACAAGTGACAATCGCACAAATGAATCTTTACAGGATCCTTCAGATTCATCATTAGCTAACCGCCGTGGAACAGCTACAACTTTATTTCCTGTCGATTCACCATCATCCAGTTCGAGCACTGTAAGTTATTCCACACGCTCATCCAGTCCATCACCATTCGTCGAAAAGAAACAAGCGATCGCTCGACGAGGTGCACTGCGACAAAAGAATGTCTACACTGTTAAAAATCATCAATTTATCCCACGATTCTTTAAAACACCAACATTTTGTTCGCATTGTCGAGATTTTATTTGGTAAGAACTTTTAACTTTTCTCACCCTCGTATAACTTTTATTATCCCCAGGGGCTTCGGTAAACAAGGCTTTCAATGTCAAAGTAAGTTAATTGTCTCTAGATTGCATAGTCTATGAGACTCCAGAGGCTTACACGAAAGGTCACTGTCCATTTTCATTCTAGTCTGTTCGCTCGTTATTCATAAACGTTGTCATGAGTTTATCAGTTTTACATGTCCTGGTGCTGATAAAGGAGCGGATTCAGATGTAAGTTCAACGAATCGAACTTCACCTTTGCTGAGCATACAATTTTAGGCTCCACGAAATTATCATAAATTTCTTGTTCACACCTATACTTCACCGACATTCTGTGATCATTGTGGATCTCTACTTTATGGACTTATACATCAAGGGCTTAAATGTCAATGCTGTGATATGAATGTTCATAAGAAATGTCAAACATTTGTACCAGATTTATGCGGTCTTGATCATACAGAACGCCGTGGTCGTATACATTTACGTTTGCAATATGAACGTGACAATAAGTTGTTGATTAACATTATTGAAGCCAGAAATCTAATTCCAATGGATCCAAATGGCTTAAGTGATCCATATGTTAAAATTAAATTTATAGCAACATCATCTGACGGTAATAAGAAACAGAGTACGGGTAAATATAAAACCAAAACTATGCGTGCAACATTAAATCCTCAATGGTCAGAAAAATTCTCCATGTAAGTGAGGTTAAAGAGTCGAAATAAATAGATGTTCCTCGTATTTTTAGTGATTTGACTGAAGAAGATAAGGACAAACGACTATTGATTGCCGTGTGGGATTGGGATCGAACATCAAGAAATGATTTCATGGGTTCATTGTCATTCGGTTTGTTCGAATCGAAAATTTTGTTTGTTAATTAGTATTCATTTGTTAAGGTGTATCGGAATTGATGAAAGGACCAGTATATGGCTGGTTTAAACTATTAGCACAAGAAGAAGGGGAGTTCTATTCAGTACCTGTTCCAAGTGACGAGACCTCAAAGATTCCAATCAAACCCACAGCTGCAGTTGTATGTCTAAGGATTCCGAGTTGAAAATTGAAGAAGCTACTGGCTTTGTCATACTTTAGAAACCTGCTTCTGTTCGAGAAGTGATTAATCATTCTGATACGGCATCTTCGGGAAGTCTTACTGCGAATGACCCGATTATATTACGTTCGAATTCTCAAGTTCAAGCTGTTAAAGTGACAGATTTCAATTTCATTAAAGTTCTAGGCAAAGGTTCTTTTGGCAAAGTAAATCGAATGAAGTCAATGTTTTCCGTTAACGCCTTTTCTCTTCTTCAGGTTGTTTTGAGCGAGCGTAAAGGCGCGCCAGATGAATTATATGCGGTCAAGATCTTGAAAAAGGATATTATCGTACAAGATGATGATGTTGAATGTGTCATGATCGAGAAACGAGTATTGATGTTAAGTGATAAACCGAAATTTCTCGTACAACTCCATTCATGTTTTCAAACAGTTGTAAGTATAGAGAAGCGATGGATGCCGCTAGATTTTTGTTCTCATTTGGATACGTAGGATCGTTTGTATTTTGTCATGGAATTCGTTAATGGTGGTGACCTAATGTACCGTATTCAACATGAAGGAAAATTCAAAGAGCCGGTGGCTTGGTAAGAAAACTAATTTCTCTCGAGGTAGAACAATGTACAACAGACTTATTCAAACATGAAAAACGTTGACTTTCAATTAATCGTTAATGTATTTAGTACATAACTTTCGCATATGATAAATATCTCAGACTTATGTTCCGTAGAGATAAATCGTCTCTCAACGTATTCTACGTATCGCATTGTTTCTGATGTCTCTGTTTCAGTCAATTGGATAGAAGATCTTTTTGACAACAGGAAACTAAGATGTTCATGCTCTTATGAAGTCAGCTTGGCTTTTTCGAGGAAGTTAGATGTGTTATGCCCTATTTAAGTGCGGATTAAAATAGAGACACGTTGTACATGGATTCATTATTGAACGGTTTTTTTTCTACATTTAGTTTCTATTCAGCCGAAATTGCAGTTGGCCTGTTCTATTTACACAATAAAGGAATCATTTACAGGTATAGTAAGGAACAAAACAAAATAAAATTTGTGGTTTTCTCTTCCTTTCAGAGATCTTAAATTGGATAATATTCTGTTAGACAGCGAAGGACACATCAAGATAGCAGAGTCAGTGAGAAACAATTGTAATTCTGAAAACATCTAAATCTTTCTTTAGCTTTGGCATGTGTAAAGAAGGCATCATTAATGATAGGAAAACGTCGACATTTTGTGGAACACCAGGTAAATAGGATGTTTTTGTTAACTTTTATATATGTAAACACATTCGATGTTTTATTGTAGATTATATTGCCCCGGAGGTGGGTATCGAGATGACTACATCCGTTCGATGATGTGATTGAGTGTTATTTAGATAATCTTGTATCAAAAGTATGGTAAAAGTGTTGATTGGTGGGCATATGGCGTTTTACTGTTCGAAATGCTTGCTGGACAACCGCCATTTGATGGTGAAGATGAAGAAGAGCTTTTCACAGCGATTACAGATCACAATGTCTCCTATCCCAAATCCATGTCATTCGAAGCTGTATCGATTTGTAAAGGAGTAAGTTAATATCATCAGATCTCGAAGATAGACGTACTCAGATTTCGTGATGTAACAATAATAAATGATCCTGATTGACAAGTCGAGATAGATGACTGAAGGAAAGATTAATGAGAAATCGATATTGACTATGTTTTCTAGCTAATGACGAAAAATCCTCAGAAACGACTCGGATGTCATCCGATTGATGGTGAACGTGAAATCAAAGATCATTCCTTTTTCCGACGTATCGATTGGCTACGAATCGAAGCTCGGGAATTACAACCGCCATTCAAACCCAAAATCGTACGTATTTCTTCCATTCGATTGTTTTCACGCATGTGAAACTCGTGATTGTTCACTTTAGAACTTGATGTTAGTTTCGTAGAATTTAGTCGTTTTGTGTTATTGTCTCGTTTTAGAAAAATGCTCGTCTAGCAGAAAATTTCGATAAGTGTTTCACCAACAATCCAATGAAAATGACATCATGTGATCCGCTTGTTCTCGCCTCAATTAACGAAGATACATTTCATAATTTCTCTTGTTATAATCCACACTACATGATTGATAACAAATGTCTATAAACGAAAGAAAACACATACGCATCAGATTTTTCTCTTCTTTCAACAAACTTGCAAACTATCAACAAACTTCAGTGAACCTATGTCTCGTATATTTCTTTGCTAGTCGTGTGTGTATGTGTGTGTGTGCGCGCATTTTTGCTTTTCTTTTTTTACCAAGTCTTAACCGGTTGTAATGTATAATCTTTAATCACTGTCCTGAATGACAATACACATTTTCTTTTTTCTTTTTCAAAGAGAGAAAAACATTTGCATGTCAATATGAGTTTCTTCTTCTTCTTTTTTTCTATTGTTCATAGTGAAATTCGTCATTATTCATTTATCTTTCCGTTGATAGATGTTCATGTGGCTTTCGTCTGTTTTGTTTAATTTGCTAATGTTAATGATATGTATTCAAAAACCATCTGTGACATACGCATTTATTTTAACAACGATCTATCAAATTGATAAAAGATAAATAGATGGAGTCGATTTGACAATCATTTTTCCTATTGCAGCATCTGAAATCTCTTCTGATTTACTTTTAGGGAAACAATCAGGATACGTCAAATTTTGATGAACAATTCACAGATGAACCTTTTCAATTGACACCATGCGATAAACAGCTTATGATGACTATTGATCAAAGTCTATTTGATTCTTTTGTATATACAAATGAGACAGCTTATTCGCCATCCGCGCACGAAATTACAGATTTGTAAAGCAAGATAATCAGTAGATATCCGTTTCAGTAATAATCATATTTTCGTTCTGTCAAATGTTTTATTTATTGCTATAGAATCCTCCTAGTTTCTTATATTACATATAGTTGTTCAAATAAAAAAGCGTGTTAATATACTTTTTATCAGTTCGTTTATCACTGGATGTTGTTTGTTTTACCAAATGTATGTTTGCGGGATCAATGGTACGACTGCCTGAACGAATGATGTAACAGGTACGTAACCGTTCACACCACCACCAAGTTGTGACCAAGCTTGGGTGAAGTAAGTATTTTGAACCGGAATGTTGTAGAATTGTTGCATATTATTGAATAACAATTGAGCTTCTTGAGCTGAGAGATAACCTGGTTGAGTAAGTGGATAATAATTAGCAGCATATGACCATCGTTGAATTGGTGTAACACCACGTTGTAACATGAGATATGCCATGAGAAATTCTTCGAAACTGAGGACACCGTTGCCATCAGCATCGAACATAAGGAAGACACGCTCAGCGTCAGCATTAAATGTCCAGGACAATCCGGCAATACTTGCGTAGATGGCTTTGAATTCATTAAGTGTCATACGACCACCGGTACTAGCTGATTGCTGTTGAAAAAGAACATAAAGTTGTTGAATTTGAGCTGGTGAGAGACCAGTCATTTGGGAATAAGCATTGATATCCCAGGTGTTCCATGCAGCAACTGGTTGACGATTACCCATAGTTGAGAATTGAGTTGAATTGATTGAAATTTGAAGAGAAATGTATTGAAGAAATATATATATTTCAATGCTTTCATCCGCTTTATTTATACTTCACTTCTGTTACGCTTGAATGATATTGTTTACGTATGCTGTTTTATAAGTCTATTTCTGATGACGTACATATATGGTTGCACTGAAAAATACAGGTATCGAACTACATAACACGCGATAGAATATCTTCAAATTTTATTTTTAGTAACTATTTCACTTATCTAGGTAGATCTATGCATACATTTTACTCAATAATGTTTACGTCATTTGATTTTGATGTAAACAATTTCATCGAGAAAATAATTTATACACTTTAATTTTATAACTGATGAGGTAGAAAGGTTTGCTGAGATACATGCAGTATAATCAAGATATTTTCAGTCATTATTCCTATATGATTGGCATCACAAAATGTATTTGGATTGACGAGATAAGATATAGAGTAGATTTATCTGAATTATATGACTTTTATGACATCGATCAAAAATTGATAAAGGATAATCCCGATTACAATTTTATTTGCTGTTTCGGGTTCAGAAGCACTACAGATTACATAAATAATAATAGCAGATTTCTGAAAATATGATTTCATCATGTTACAAGGAATTCGTTGAAGAATAATTCATTTGATATTACTCGGTCAATAGAACGTGAGGAGAAAATTGTACCCGTATCAGTACAATATTTGTGGTTTATTTTCCTATTCATCGATGTTCTGCTTCAACGACACTGAGCGAGAACGGTGTACGTGATAACTATCTATCCAAAATTTTCGACAGGAAAACAAAACAAAACTTTGCATCGATCATCAAACTTGAATATTAACGCGAAGCTTCTGTTTCTACAAATAGGTACCCAATAACAAAATCGTGTTTACTTGTTTTTTTTTCAAAATAAAAGGCTAGTATAAAAAAAGGAAGATTATTCACTTTGTTTTTCTTCTGTAGTATCCGTTTTCTGTTCACTGTCAGGTTGTAATATAACCTTTCCAACATTTTGTCGGTTGTGCATGCGCTGCATGGCTTCTCTTATCCTCGAATACGGGTATACACTATCTATTTGTGGCTTCAACGCACCTTCGCCGAACAGACGAAATAATTCTTGAATGGCAGTCGCCGCGAGATCTTTTGTCACTTCAAGATCTTTCAATAGATAGCCCAAATGATAGCCAGCGATGCTTTTGTTTGATGATAAAATTGATAGAGAGTTTGTTGAAAAACATTTGTACCATGTTTTGAATGCTGTTAATAAGGAACGATTTTCTCCGCTCGCAGCCACATTTGCCGCACCTGAAACGAATACAAGAGCGTCGAAATATAGAAAATCGGTCTATAGTATTTACCAAAATAGATAATTCGTCCTAATGGTTTGAGTAAATCGTAACCACGGACACTATCTTCTCCATTCAATGGATCCATGATGATATCCACACCTTCAAAGCGAGAATTTCAATAGAATCAGATACGAGTTCCTTCCAATCCTACCATTCGGTGAAATTTTACGGATTTCGGTTACATAGTCTTGTGTATGATAATCAATAGGATATGTACAACCCATATCTTTGATGATATTATGTTTTGATGCAGACGCTGTGCCAAAGACGGTGACATTTTCAACTGTTTTACATAATTGAATGGCTGCAATACCAACTCCACCTTAACAACAAAGAACATACTTTCAAGTGCAACAGGCATTCAATTTGTCATCGCAAAAGTTCTTTTTACCTGCTGCCATATGTATTAGGACACTTTTATTTGGTCGTAAACCGCCAAGTTCAAACAAAATCTGATATGCAGTTATGTAGTTCACAAGAAAAGCAGCTCCTTGCTCGAATGACATTTCATCCGGCATTTTAAAACATTGAAAACTTGGCACAGTCACTAGATCAGACCACATTCCATTACCAGCAAACGCAACAACGCGATCACCAGGAGCAAATTGCGAAACATTTGAACCCACAGCTTCGATAACACCAGATGCCTCAAAGCCCGGAACGTATGGATATTTCGGTGCTGGTGAATATAAACCTTGCCTATAAGAGAAAACATCAGATGACAACAATTACAAAACCAACAGAATTATTTTCTACCGTCGCATCAAATCAGCAAAATTAAGACCAGAAAATTTGATTCGAATAACTACTTCATCCGCAGCTGGTTCTTGATATGGAAATTGTTTAATTTGAAGTTTATCATAACCGCCTGCACCAACTAATTCGATACTCGAAACAGAACGTGTTGTTACACTAGATGCCATGTTTGCTAGGGATCAATCTGAATTCTTAATAAACAAAGAAAAATGATCTGCATTGAATATATAGAACATGATAACAAGCAAAGTCCATCTAATGATACACTTCGTACGTTTGCGAATGCAACTTCTCGCTCTTTCCTTTTTTTAGATAAATGTTGTGAGTCACATCATATAAGTAAGTCAACACGTACTCAGTGTCAGTAAAAGATTAAAAATAAATGTTTAGATTTTGTTTATTGAAATATTCAGTGAGTCATAGGAACATGAGTACATAAATATGTTTCTATTATGAAAGTAAAAATTCGTCAATAAATTGCACATTGGAAAACAAGGAGACTTCTATTTTTTACTCATATCAAGATATTCCAGATCTAATTTCAGATAAACATAAGGATAATATTCTTGTTGAGAAGAAAACACACCAGGAATTTCAAATGACTGAAGAAAGAAAGCCTTTCATATAAACAAATAATCAAGTAATGAACATACATCATCTTCTTTTGATCTATTAGATTGATCAAGATATCCAAATAGTCGGTCGAGAACATCACGTAAACGTTTTGTCGTCTTTCGATTTGGATGAATGATCATAGCACCGAAATTCACAGGTAAACCGAATCTAATCCGAGAAACTATTTGTTTCCTCTGGAAAACAAATGTCTGTTTTTACCTGAGAACAGATTCGACGAAGATACGTAAAGCTTTTACATGTATCAAAGCAGAGAAAACCTCTCCGAAGTTAATTTTCAGCCAACGAACAAGATTCGCATAGATTTTCTGCCGTTCAACTTCTAATTCTCGTGTCTTCTCGCGTTCGGCTGCCATGGCTTTCTCATCAAAGGTAAAATCTCGCACGGTGAATCTTTTCCGAAAAACAAATCAACGGCGACCTTGGCAAAATCAATTCACCTACTTATTCTCTCGGCATCTATGCCGAAATGTATCTTCAGTTTTCTGAAACAGTGTCACGGTAAACAATGCATAATCTTGGTCTTGTGTTACTAATTCAGTTGTTCGTGGAACAATCATCGCACATAGAGTTTCATATTTTGCATACCATTCGTTAATTAATGCCTTTGGGACGCATACTAAAACAGTTTTTAGATATTCACTTCCCAAAACGAAGTGTTCTTTCTTGACAACGTCGTTTAAATTACGAGTTAATAAACTTCCACTAAAACAGATTCGGATCGATGAAGAACAAATGAAACAGCGGAAGAAGATACCTTTGTTTCTTTTCTAATGCATCTAGATTTTGTTTGACGTTGTTATATGTTTGACTACGAAGTTTCAATTCGTTTTCGATATGTGTTGATGCCTGAGGAAATGTAAGTATAATCATTAAATCGAATGTTCGTCATTTGAATGGCGTACTTTAGAAATGATTTCTGACAGATTTTTCAGCGGTTGTTTCGTTGGATATTTCGCATGATCCCATTGAAATTCAGCGACATATCGGATAGGATCAACTAAATTGTAAAAACGAAAAAGTGTATTCGCAAATCAGAAACTGATCGCATACCACCCTGTGGTCCAACACTGAGATTTTCTGCTAAACGATTACGATCATCATCAAGAACATCATGAAAAAAATACTGTATCAACTTTTTAGTAACTCTAAAACATGTAATGACGTGAATGAATATTAAACACATGGATTTGTACCCTTCGATATAGTTATCAAGTTTAGCTAGATCATCTGAGAGTGCTACGAGTGAATCAAGTGTGCCGACCTTAATGATTAAAACCATATGAAAGAACAAATATTGATTTAGTCTTTTACTTTTAAATCCGGAATGTTGAAGAAAAAGTTTGTCGATAGTTGATCTCGTTCGGTGGCTCGGCATACTTCTTCGAAGCTTTGTTGTGGTGTTGATCTTCCTGGTACCGATATGATCCAATACTCGTCAGACATTTTGTTTCGTCAATTTTCGAACACAAGACCAAACAAGCGAGGTACAGCAAAATAAACTACGAAAATTGATTTTTATCACCGTAGAGTGTGTGTATGTGTCCGTAGTCATCAATGATTCAATTGGCGTGGTACAACAACCAATCAAGAGAAAGTAGAAATATAGAAATTTTATTTTATTTATTAAATATTACAGAAAAAGAAAAAAAACAACGGAAACAAACAGCAAAGGCACGGAATACTCGTCGATTGATTTATTCCTCCAAGAATATAGTATTAGTTTTCACTTTGTGGTTCAGTACGGAAGCGTTCGATACAGGTTCAATGAAAAAAAAAACGCTCAGAGTAGACGAAAAATAGCTTTTAATACTATGAAATCGAGAAGAACACTAAGATGTAAATGTCAGTCACATTCGGAACTAGATCTTCAGATTTATGACCAGTATTATAATTAAAAGGTCTTCTAATGAGGATTACTGTCTGCAGTACTCGAACATAAGCGAGATTTCTTTAAAAATAGACTATCTACTCTATTATTCTGAAAGTATTACTAATCTTCATAGCTTATGACGGAATTTGCTTGCGAATATGAGCTGACTAATAGGACAGTTAACATTATCAATGGTTGATTTAGCACACTTAAAAACCTACAATACCTTGTTCGTTATTCAGCGCAAAGTGTATTATATGTAAGTACTCTCATAGATATCCCCCGGTGTTTCGAAAGAACGACAATGTTGAGACGTCAATGCAGATAGGTTATGTACGCGTATGAGTTTGATGAAAAGACAGTCCTTTGTCAAAGTTGTTTGATGTACTGTTGGTTTGATCCTATAAAACTTTTTTTTTCACGACAGCTTTGGCCTTCAGCTATTTTCTATTCAACAGTTCAGTATTAGTTTTCGTTCGAAAGCTATGAGCTATTCTCCGAGCTGCTTTCTCTTCAAAATTCGATAGCATAGTAAGCAAAACAACTTGATGGAAAAAATCTTCACATATACCTACAACTAAGTGAAGAGGTAATCGAAACACCGAAGGAAATTAAAGTGTGTATATATATTTTTTCATTCACCTCGAAAATATCCTTCTATATTATCACCATTAATTCGATAGAGCAATCGCGCTCAATGCCGAATATCGTTTTTCCGCTGTTATATGATCTTTTCATAATATAAATCAGATTTTTTCGTCTGCCAACTTTCATTCGAGGCTTTCTTTTTGTGCTTGTCATAGCGGTATGCATTCTAAGCAGATAGTGATCATAATTGAATTATACTACATTCGTTGTTTACAGAGGACAAAAAATATTGGCATGTATGTCATTTACTTTATATGAAAATATTTGTTTGCAGGTACAAAAACAGTAATTTTCGTTTTTTTGCGTGTTTCGTTCTAGAAGATTATGAGAAAATATGTATTTTGTATACCTTAAATGGCTTCCTTTCTCGCATGAGTTTTTATTTTATAATATCGATATATTTCCACTCAATTGAATGTCTTCCAGGCCCGATTTTCGATGATATCGATAAACCTTCTCCTTCACAAAGAATATCTGAGGAAACTGCAGAGAAAGCCAAGGTTACGAAAGGATTTGTCGTGTATATACGAAAGTAAAAGGTTATCCTCTCTCGTAAGGCCTAATTGGTTTGATTCGAATGTCTTGGTATTGTATTGTATGTAAACGAAGATTAACTTTTCTTTCTCTTTCTTCTACATCGTAGTCAATGTATAGTGTAGGCGACACGACATTCTTCTACTTGATATGTTCATTTCGATAGTCTTTTGAATTCTTTTGCTGTTTTCTTTTCTTTCATCTATTATTCAAAAAACGGGAGAGAGAGAGACAAGATGTTCACGTAATCGTTGCTCCGAACATCTTAGTAACAAAAAAGTGAAACGAGAGAAGAAGAAGAAGAAGAACATAACATATGTATATATATATGAATATACCGATGTATACATTCCGACGCTTTGTTTGTTTCTAGATCATTATGCTCAGTCAACTTCGACGAGGACATCATCGCGAATTCAATGAGTACACTATCGGATTTATTCTCTTGCTCTCTTAATTTTCATCGATTTGATTTAGTGGATCAATGGCCATACGTACAATGAATCATCATGGAGATCATTGGAAATCATCAGGTAAAAGCTGACATCATGTTATTTTTCTCTTTTTAAACTCGTTAACTTTATCTAATAGTTCTCTGACTGGTGAGTCGAATGCATCCGACAAAGAATAGGCTACGATTTTAGTATTTTCGATAATACAGTTACTCTGATAGCTTGCTATTTAGTTACGTTGTTTTTTGATTGTTGATGTTTAAAGATACACCTACATATATTTGACTAGTAATTATTAGCTGACTGCTTAGAATTTTGCATAAGATTTGACACGTAGAAGGCAAGTATAGAGCGTGACAAGTGTATGAGTAATGGGATATCCTTCTTGCTGTTTCTCTTTTGATTTTTGCTCCTTTTTTCTTCATCAGGTTTTATTATTTGTCCACGATAAATGAATAAGTTCTATTTCTCATCATTCGTTCTTCTGTTTGAACAGAGTTCGTCAGATTTTTTTCATTTTCTTTTTCGTTTTCTTCATCATCATCTATGAAGTGTGATTGTCGTCGTCATCGTCGTCGTCGCCGTCTGTTACAGGAAAGCATGTTTCATTAGTAGTAAACAGTACAATCGTATTTCCACGTCTATCCGTGCAAAAGAAAAGCTGAGTGAGAAAGAGAGAGGCAGAGCGGAAAAGAGAGAAAAAAGAAAAGAAAAAGAGAAAAATAGTGAAAGTTTCGAAGACAGGCATACATCAATCAGTAACACCTTCTTTTTTCATTAAACTCGTATAAAAAACAAAACAAAACAAAACCTATTGCAGACCCGTTTCCTACTTATTGCTCATCGATCTGACCCATAAACTAAGACACGCGAACCGATTCCAGCGATATACTTACCAGCGAAAGTGAAGATAAAATCTTCTATGATTTTCAATCAAACTCGACCACTTTCTCATGATCGTTCACATACCAATGATTACGATTCACGCTATTACTTTTACAATCAGCCCACTGGTACGTTATTGTTGTTGTATGTCGATGTTGTTCTTCGGTTTTTTCTTGAACTGAAAAAGAAACAAAAAATTGTGATTAAGACATGTATGTTTTTTCTCAAGGAGAAACGTCTATTGCTTCATTAATTCTATTCATTAGAATAAATTGAGAAAAAACAACAAACTTTATGTGATGCCTTTTTTCAAATAGATCGAGCCAATGCAGCGATTTTAAACAATAACAATATCTTACCCAGCACATATTCAACACGTTCAAGTTCTTCAATCTACAATCCCGATTTAGCGCGAGCATTTCGTGTTGATGCTCATCTCTTAGCCATCATTCGAATCGAAGATAAACGCAGTAAGTTGTTTCAACATCTTTTTTTTTTGTTTGATTTCGATAATGTATAAACAGAGACGAAGGAAAAGAGCGTCTGATGTTTTCTTTTTGTGGACGTACGAAATCCTTCCAAATGTATAGTTAAATGTCTTAAGTGGAAGTTTGTCTTCTATTTATCTTTAGATAGTTACTACTCGACTGAAGTTGTCAGTAAACTACGTCAAAAGGAACAAACACAAAGTTTTATTAACAAACCATGTTCATTATTTGTCACCGATCGCGCACTTGTCATCTATGATCGAGCAAGAAATGTAAAAGCAGTTCTTTTTCTTTATCAGTAGGACAGAACCATTTTCTTTCGATCCATTCAGACTATTGCAGAAAGCATTCCGTTGGAAACTGTGGATCCGACATGTGTCTATGCAGATGCACCAGATCCACTTAATGATATCTTTATGTATCGTGTCCATGATCGACATTCTGCTACAACATCCAGTTCCAAGAATAATGAATTAACACCTGTTATTGTATTTAAATGTACAAATAAAGATTCGAAGGCTCTTGTTGACAACATTCGAAATACGAATGCCAAGCTGTTAAGAAGTCCACGCAGGTATTGTACAAAAAAAGCTCGACTAGTTAGTTGTCTATAGAAAAACCTGTCTTTCTTGTTTTTCACAGTGCACGTTCAGAAACGCGTAGTACAATCGATCGACGAATAGCCGATGCTGGCGGAATGGCATCCTATGATCCACTACAGTTACCATATGACCAATCTGCTATGATGAGTATGTTTGAACTAAGTTAGATATTCGTATTTGATGATCAATTTGTTAGATCCAACGTATGTTGTTGGTCCTCAGCACACATCACGAACAATGAGTCAACAGAATTCCAGCATAATCTCCGCGGATTATTATAAACGTTTGACAAGTGAATTGAATAAGTGCTTTGATGATATTGAATTATTTGTACGTTATCTGGAAGCGTTAATGGAGTACACACGAGAATTGGATCGTGATCATCGACGAAAAGAGAAAAAATCAACTGGTTTGTTCGAAAACCTTTCATAGAATCTTGGTCATTTGTTTCTTTTTTTCTTTCTACTAGCCGGTTTAAAACAAATGGTTGAAAAACTTCCGGATGATAAATTTTTCATTGATGTTTTACAAAAATTCAAACATTCATTTAATCTCCTAGGCGAATTAAAGCATATCATCCACAAACCGAATGCACCCGAATTAGTTCATTATTTATTATCACCGTTGCATTTCATTGTTTCCACATTACGCACTAAACATCCGACTCAGTTGCAAATCGCTCAAGATGTATGGTCACCAGCATTAACGAAAGAAACGCGAGAACTGTTAATCAATTGTCTGACGTCAAAAGAACAGGAGATTCTAAGAAATCTAGGTCCAGCATGGATTCGATCTAGTGAAGAAACGCCACAGAAATATGCTGATTATCGACCAATGTTTTTCGAAGGTCGATCCTTGTGGATTCAAGAGCCATCCAATGATCAACCAATACATTCAACACATAGTCTTGATGAACGCCAATCCTCATCCGTTTGGTCTCCAGTTCGCGTATGTCAAATGTTACAAATCGACTCCTAACGGTTATTTTTCTTTTGTTTTTCGATTTAATTTAGCCATCCAATTCTAATAACGGTACATTAACAAACCATAATTCAACACTTGTTCGACAGCCATCACCCGCAACACATTTTGAAACATCAACTATCGATCGATCAGTAAAGAATGGTGCAGGAGAAAATTATAATTCCAATTTTCAGAATGAACATGCTTGGGCTATCGAACGAAAACGTGCAGGCGCAAAGTAAACGATGAAGTTTACTCGTATCTCCTCCTAAATATGTATACTTCTAGAATTTACGCAGTGCGAGCTGATCGTAAAGGACAAAACAATAAAGAATTGACTGTACGACGTGGTGAACTCATTGAAATTGAAACCAGTTCAAAGAAATGGTGGCGTGCGAAGAACTTTCACGGCGATGTTGGTCATGTACCTCATAATATTGTCGAAGAAATTGACATCGAGCAACGCATATCTGTATGTATAAATCTATCTCGGATATTTGCCAATCTTTTCATTAGCTACGTAGAAGAACACATTTGCTTATTTTTTTCATTTCAGAAACCTGTTCCATCGAATTCATCAGGTATAAATTCGAACCGTCCACTAACAAACACGAATAGTCGTTCTCGTCATAACTGATCAAAATAATATTTTGAAAAAAGTTTTAATGCCAAGCTTATCTTCTCTATTCGCACTTCCTTACCTTTCTTCGCTTTTTTTCTTGGTGTCAGCGCATGTCCACTATACACTTCTCGATTGTCATTGTGGCTCTTCGTGCACATATGATGTGTGTGTATGTATATCAAAGAATGCACTTAGTCAGGTTTTATCTAGATTAGAGATCTCAAAGTGAATGTCATATGAATTGGTTTTTGCTCAATTTACTGCTAGTAGAATGAAGAAGGAATTGAAACAGTAAAAACTTCTTCAGCGATATGATAGTGATTGTAAACGAAGTTTACAGTTGATACCTAATCTCCAAAACATTTATCTCAATTTCTCTTGCAATTATTTTCTCTGTACATATTCATATGTTTTCGTTTTTTCGATCATTTTATGGAAATTTCTTGTTTTCGTCTTTGTTTCCACGAGCTTCTTTCTCAGCACTGGTAATTAGCTGGTGTATCTCTTCTTTCAATGATGTTCTCTCATAGAATTCAAAGTTATCCTTCTAGAATGGCATATCGACGAGAATGAGCTATTTCTTTGATCAATATCGTAGATTTTTCGTGTCTGCAAATGCGAGTGTTCTTCTAGATTTTTGTTTTATTGTTCTAATTATGAATTATTCTTTGTTCATCGATGTCTTCCACTTGTTTTCTTAGAAATTCTTCCATGATTTTGTTTTGTTTCACTTCTTTTATCAAAAATATTAAATCAAACAAATAAACTGATTTGAATACGAGTGAGTGAATCTAAGAGAATTAAATAATGCACACATATGCACACATTCATACGCTTTCAAACTTTATTTTGCTATGTATTACACGTATAACATACCTACATGCTTTTCCTCCTGCACTGTCAACAAAAGCACTGATTCTAAATCATCATCGCATACAGAAAATACACGATCGTTTTCTCTTTGTGTACACTTTAGCTTACATCCCGCGTGTAACAAATGCATCGTACGAAGGATTTAACGATACTATGCAAAGTCATCATCGTAATCGAAACGATTATACACAAGTTCTCTTTCGTTCACCTTCCCATGGAAATAATTTCATTATGCAATCGAATCATAGTTCGACTACAAATCCATTGTTTGTCGATGATCAGTTATTTCAGCAAACATTGACACAAACAACTTCGTCAACAATACCGCCGCCTCCATCAGCGTTCGTTCCACCGCCACCACCGCCCATGCCGGAACAGTTCTTAACTCTGCGGTCTAATCCATGGTCGACATTACAATTACCGAAAGGTACGGGCAAAACGCGACCTCGTCTAGATATTGATCTCTGTAAGTAGTACCAAACGAAATTGTTTATATAATCGTACTGAATGAATACGATTTCGCTCTTTTTAGCTACAACACAAGTTGATGAACTTCAACGAGAATTAGCTGAACGCATAACAGATCGAGTTGGTTATATTAGTCCGAATTCATCTGCTGAAGATGTTCATCGATGGTTAGAATCGAAGCAAGTGTCTACACAGTAAATAGAATGCTTCTTCACGTGACATAAATAATGACGAATTTCGTTTTTCAAGACTTATTCATAGGTTAAAAGGCATGAACGGAGAACGAATATTTCAACTATCCAAGGACACTCTCAGCACGTTTACAGATGAAATTGAATCTGCTCGGATCTATGCGTTATTATTGCAGCAGAAACAATTATCGGGTGTAAGATTCTTCATTACATTAAAAATGATCACAAATTTTCATTTTCTTCATTGTAGTTTCAATCCGCAGACAAGTCTGAAAGATCGCCTACGTTTAACAGTACTATCTTCGGTTCTCTTCGAGCAAGTACAATGAGAGATGTCGATGGTAAAGTCAAATTCATTCTTCTTTGCATTTCATTACTGATATGTTCCAAACTATTTCTAGACAGTTTTTCGTTCCGAGATGACGATACATTGAATCGTTCGCTGAGAATCAAATTAAAACAACGACGTGACAAAATTGAACAAGCCGAACCAGTTAATCAACTTACAACATAATATATTTATCTTTATTTTTCTGTGTTTTGTATTGAATTCTATTTTTTCAAAATCAGTATACAGTGACGAAGAAATCAATCATTTTCTATGAAAATCAAAATAAACTACATCCTTCAAGTTACTTCATTAATGAACGTGAGAATTCGAGTAAAATCACCCGTACGAAGTTTTATTCTTTATTTTTGAAACAAAAATACAATTGCCAAAAGAAATATTGTCTAACATGAGAACAATCTGTCATTTTCCATTATTATGGAGCACGAATTGTTGGAATGTATCCTTTGATATAACGAAAAATGAATAGGATCACGCGAATAGCAAATAATACACAGCATAAGATCAATAATGCTAATGTAAAAGATTTATTCCTATCAGGAATATCCATTCGTCGATAATTTTTCGATAAAACACCCGATAATGCAAATATCAGAACAAACCATGGTAAAAATGTATATGCCATCGAAGAATAGAAAATAAAATTCTCACATACAAAATAAACGAGAATTCCCACTAAAACAAGACTCAACGCTGCTGTTGACACGTCTGTGATCGACTGAGCGTTTCTGTCATAGATACGAGATACCCATATAGTTAAATTGAGTAGCATTGCAAGATACAACCATGTACCGTAAATAGCAAAACCATTATGGACAAAGGCACGTACAAGCCATATATCGGCCGTTCTTAATGAAAGTAGAAGTGACTTTGTTCAAATGAGGTTTGAATATGAGGAGACTTACCGGCGAGAATTAATGTAAATCTGTCGATTGCGTTGAAGGAGAACGTGTGTAATAATCATCGGAATAGTGATCGTAAGAAACATTAAAAAAATAACTAACAAAGCCCACTAAATCGAGAAGAGTGTCAATTAAGAACAATTCAACTAAACTTTGACTTACACCAAAGTGTGCTCGATCCCATACAAATAACCATCCGATATTAAGACCCATGTTTATAATATAGAATATGAAAATGATGAAATGAAGTGTATTTGGTGCTATGTACAAGTAGCCGACATTGGACTTTCGAGGTATACGACTCACAGCATAGATCAACCACGCTGCTTGCCAAAAATATATTACGCCCCAAACAGAAAATGTCCAGCCTATAATAAAAAAAGAAACCATTACATAATGCTATCCTTCTCCATTCACTAGTAAACATACCAGCTGGAGTAAAATCTGTCAGGTTGTCATCACTCACACTACCAGTAGCTTGCTTAAAAATACCTGAAACAGAACGCGGCAAAATACAATAAAATGTTTTCACTGGCATGTGACCGTCACTCATACCGTTTGAACCACTACTTGCTAAACCATTAAAAGTACAAGTAAGTATAAAAGCAATTATTGCACCAATGATAAGTAAAATTCGCCACCAAGAATGTTCAAAACGAACATTTACATCCATCGTCATGTTTTCCTTAACAGATGTTTTCTCCATAAGAACTAATCAATAGAATATTTGTAAGGCCATTAACAAAAAATAATGCACAACAAAACTTACCTTTATTCAACGGCGAGAGGTTGGAGATCGGATATGTTGTCAGTAAATCGATACCCTTTTTCTTGTTGTGTTGCGGTATACAGGCTCGTATTTATATGCATTCGATAAGGTCTTACATAACCGATGTCGCCAAGGTAAAAGAACAGCGGCATTTTGAGTACTCGCGTTTGTTGTGACATCTTTTATTCTTGTCATCGATTATATAAGTTTGCTCGACATGACTATTTTTCGAAGGACTTCGTACGATACGGTAAAGAAGAGAACAGAATAGAAAAATGAAGTTTAGCGACAAAAAAAAGACCTCTGCGTACACATCTTGTCAGAGGAAAATGGCAAGCAACAAATTCAATCTTCAATCAGGAAAATGTATGAAGTCATCAAATTTCATGCAGAGAAATGTCTCGCTATGTAGTTAATAAGAGTGTTTTCTCGAAAATACACTCTTCACGAGTACATCATTTGTATCGATGTGTGAATGTTCGAAACATCCTCATTGCTCTATGCCTTTTTCTAATAGTTTATATCGTTAAAGCTTGGAGTGAGTATTTTCGTGAATCTCTTAATGGTAACTCTATAGTTCATTCAATTTTGCTTAGGAAATCGACTTAGTTTTGGACAGTATACATATGTCTTTCAACGAGAAACAATACTCGAGAAACGCTCGTCACGCTTTCATAATATAACCATTGCACAGTCAGGTCCGTTACGAATGTTACGATTCGACATGCACGGTGTTGAAGGTATCGTCCATATTCACAAGCCAAACATTCTCCTGTTTGATTATATGCGCCTGCAATTACTTTGTCTCTTGTGGTATTCAACACCCGAACGTGTTCTAATTCTTGGTTTGGGCGCGGGTATATTGCCGCGAGTACTCCATCATCTTTCGCCGAGTTCGACTATTGACGTAGTTGATATTGACACGGAAGTCATCGATTTAGCACGAAAATATTTTCACTTCAATGAAAATCAGATGATACGAACATTTGTTGAAGATGGTAGACGTTTCATAGAACGGCAAACATCAAATCAGTATGATGTGATTATCATTGATGCAAATACAGTGAATGGGCATATCCCACATGATTTAAGAACAGTCGAATGTCTCGCAGAATACATACGAATTCTGAAACGAACGGGTCTTCTACTAGCAAATTATCCTCATGAACAGGAAAGTCGCTATAGAGAAACATATTCACGTGCACTTTTCAAATATATTTATCGAGGAAAACTACCATATAATTACGTTTTGATTGGACTCAATCAAGATACGACGGTTTATAATTTACAAGAATTGCAAATGAGAGCAAGAAATTTACAAGCTGTTAAATCGATACCTGAAATGAGTTGGTTAGAAGAAGTGAAATATATTCATGATGAACAACAAGACCATTGGAATAGATCCGCAACAATATTTACAGATAAATCTTATGAAAATTTCATAGGTGATTCAGAACAAAATTAACCATCAAGCAAAGGTTGCTGTTCATAGGAAATAATCGAGAGAATGGAATACCCATCGATATTCACAGATAGTCAATATAAGTAAAAGACAATAGCCGTATATTAAGATTCTACTTTTATCTACTGACAGTTACACAAAGTAAATCTGATTCTTCCTTTTTATCGAATATTTTTGAACCATATGGAACGAATGCAAATGCACATTAAATTAATTTTTTGATATTATCAAACAGCATTACGTACATTTATCAATGACTCTTTTTTTTTTTAACATCGATATTTATTTTGTCCCTTTAAACTAGGTTGACAAGTTTATCAATGACTCTCTACCTGATAAAATAGTGTTTCTCTCTTTCTCAATTCAATTATCTTGATAGAAAAGTTCTCAATCAAACAATTTTCCATTTCATTCTTCAATCACCACTAGTTTCAAATTGGTCTTTGTGAATGACAAAACTTCATTCTTATTCACGATGACAATTTCTTCCGATGAACTCCATTACATTTCGAAAACGATTACTCACAGGATTGTTTGTTTTTAGACACCCAAATGGCCTCCTTTTTTTTAAACTCCACTCAATGTAAAATTTTTTGCATCGCTCATTGCACCGAGGCGTGCAATTCTTTTTTTTCTCTCGAGCAAACTTGCCGAATAACAACGTATTTTGCACTTTTTCTCTCTCACAAAGCAAAAGAAAGAGAAACGAGTCATTACTATTGATTTGCATCTTACTATTTTTTCAAAAGACAGAACATTGAGTAGATATATTCATTAGTAAACAACTTTCTTTTCTTTTTTTCTTTCTATGTGTGTATATATACATACAGATGTATCGATATGACGTAACTATTCGATTTTCATTCTAGATTGCATTCAGTCTACCGATTAGTAAACGAAAATCATGGTTCTTACGATCACAACGCTTGAAGACTTGGAGAAGCAACTTAAAGATGAAAGTAATGCGGATAAACTAATCGTTTTGGATTTCTTCGCTACGTGAGTGATATGATAGTTTCATAGGTTCCTTTTTTTGAAAAATCTTTCTTTTTTATCATAGATGGTGTGGTCCGTGTGTCCGTATTGCACCAAAGATAGAAGATTGGAGCACTGGCGACCACAAGGATGATGTAGTTTTCCTTAAATGTGATGTTGATGAAGCTGAAGACGTTGCAAAGAAATACGACATTGAAGCTATGCCGACATTCGTCCTTTTCAAGAATGGAGAAGAGATAACTCGTGTGGTTGGAGCGAATACCGCAGATCTGAAGAAGACTATCGAAGACAACGTCAAATCGAAATCTGATGATTAACATCAAGCCGGAAAGGAAATGTTTTTCGCATGTAATTCCAGTTAACAAGTTTCTGTTTGTGTGATACTTCATCAATTAATGATTTTCAAAAATGTAGGAAAACTCTCACTTTCTAATAATAAACAAGAATTCCATTATGTATTACTTTCCTTTCTATGTGTCTACATTCGAATAAATCTTTGAAATCATTAGCTTGTCTTATTTATTCCACACATTTCAACCTTCGAGACATAAATCTGTCTGATATTTCTAATGAAATCCTTTTGATTTATCCTCGAGTGCGTGTCCGTTTATGAGGTCTATACAAAGAAACCTGTCAAATCATATCGAGTCATAAATTATTCGCACACTATTGACTTAATCGTCAAAATTTCACGCTCTTTAGATGATTTATAATCATGATCAATCGTAGGTCGCTGTGTTAATTCAATGACAACGCCTCATCCAACAAAGCAGGACATGGGTTTTGAATATGTATCTATGTATATCTTATTTGTGACTTTAAAAAAAAAGAACACAAAAGAAAAAAAAACGAACAATAAAATAATAAATATGTACATACAAGCATATACAACAGAAAATATATTGTTCTTCGTCGTTTTATTAGGAGCGATTATCTCGACAATTAGGACAAAACCATTTCCCTTTCGGTTTTGTCGTTAAATTAACGCAATTAAAATGAAACCATTTGATTTCACACGCTTTACTATCGCATAGAATCATTGAACCATAAGAAAGCTAAAATACGAAAGAAGATACATTATAAGTATTGAAAAAAATGACGACGAATTAGTTACTTGAGAACAAAGACAGTATGTTGGTTCATCTGATGGTGTCGAAGATGAATCATTGTTCATTTTGAACTTTTTGTTATTTCCACTTGATGAATTTTGTATGTTGGAATTGGCATTTCTTTGTGTAGCTTTCTTTCGATCACGTTGATCGTTATTATGTTCTAAATTCGTAACACACTTTCTCTTCAAATTAACTGTGGAATTCGATGGATTGTTGGTTGTTGTTTTACGTTTCCATAAGGATGTTGTGGAAGTTTTGGTTGATAATGTACGAACATTTGAGATTTCGGAATCGTATTCATTATCAGAATCAATGTCATGTGAATTATTCTCGGATGATGTGGATTGTTGATTGATTGACTCCACTAGTGGATGAAAATCAACATGAAGATGAAATACAAAGAAAAACACACAAATGTCTCACTGTATTTTTGATAGGCAAACTTCAATTTTTTTGATTGTCGTTCCGTTGTGTCGAGCATTTGTTGACTTAATTGCATTTTCTTATCACCGATCGCTTTTGCTTGGATCAGAGCGTTGATTAATCGTGTTTGAATATCCGATTGCTTTTCCTGAGATAGAAAACAATGAAAAATGTTTCTTAAAATCGACTTTTAGACCTACCGATTCTTGTTGTTTATCGCGAAGATCATTGATGAGTTCTCGAACACGAGTATAACAATCTATCAAAATAGAAGTCTACTTAGGAATCCGCGAGAACAAATGTGGAAATTTACTTTGTAGATAAATATCGAGCTGACGAATTTGTGATAATTCATTTAGATCAATTCCATTTTCTTGATAATCTACAAACTGTCGCATATATTCATAAACCGCTGTTTCATTATTCGATGTATTCGACTGGTTATTTGCTGATGCTGTAGTTGTCGACGAAGCCATTGAAGAACAAGAGTATCTAGAAATAACAATTACTGCGTTAAGTTTCTGCAATTGTTTTACACTCAAAAATGTAGCGAATACGTCTTTTCGTGTAATATAGAGTGTCGAGAGCGATGTTGTACTATATAAGAACGAAGCACATCATTGTTTGTCTTGTCTGTCCTAGTGAACAAATAAAAACTCAACTATGTTCTGTACACCAATCAGAAACAAGAGTAGAGGATGCAGTGCTGAAATTCTATTGGTCACGTTGTTTTGCATATGCACGGAGTCAAGTTGATGACTATTGTGAAGCAAGGATGTAGATATTATTAATAAGTATATATTTATTGTTCGAGAATGGCGACTGGTAAACGTGTAGGGAAGAAGAAACATGCGAAATGTAAAGATAATTGATCTTTCGATTAAATAAGAGGCAACAATTGAACACCAAGGTAAATCAGTAACAATCAATCGAAACGTGTTTCGTGAAATTCGTCGTACTGGATGTGGATATTATCAGCCAGTTCGATTGACTGAGATAGAGCAATGTTCAGGCTTGAAAATGGCTCTAAAAGTCAGTTTAATTTCTTGTTTTTATTGTGCATAGTCCGAAAAATTCAATAAATAATATACTTCTGTTAACAAATAGGACATGATTCGATTTCCACATCTGTCTGTCTCACAGTTTAAATAATTCAGTTGATTGCGAGACGCTCGTCAGTTTTCAGCTAGTTCGTCAAACTGAATATGAAGAAAATGAACACATTACTAAATTCTATGCTGCGCCTATTGATCACGGGGTAGATAATTATCTTTGAATTAAATGATTTTCTAGTCTCTGATTACTGAAAAGAGGATGCCTCTCTGTTCATATGCGTGGAATCGTGCGAAACATCAATGGGGAAATTCGATGAGACAATGCATCGAACTAACATGATGCAAGATGTTGATGTCTTATTGAAACATATGGCAACTCATGTAATAATAATTGAAACAAATATTATAGGTCAATTGCGTTTCGTCCGTTTCATGAAGCTTGTTGATGCGCTTTCTTTCTTACAATAAAAATGTTGTATCCATAAGAATAGTGAACCGTCGAACATCTTAATCAATCAAAACTCGGAGGTGTTCAAACTATGTAACTAGTCGGAACTACTGATGTCTGATGCAGAATATTCCAATTATAAAATTCAATTTGAAATGTGGGAATTGGCTGTATCAATAGTATAATTGAAGTTTTCACATCATTGAGGGATCGCCTGTGCATTTTATCATAGCTCGAGATAGCTAGTAACAGTTATCCGTTTTCACGTATGAGCACCTGGACGATACTCACTGATTTATGAAAAGTTGACTCTATCAATATATATTTTTTTTTACAATAAGAAAGAAATCGAATCTAGTAGAACGACTATTGAGCTATGAAAGTATTCTGGCAAGATCAGTACTTCGAAATATGCCGAAAAAATCACTGATGCCGAAGCTGAAATGGTGAAACAAGTCATTGAACAAATACCTTGCTCAATCTTCGATCGAATACTTTGATAATGATTAAACTATATTTGTCTGTTTTCTTCATCCGGCGTGTGTACTCCAGCGGCATCTTTTTTCGTTTGAATTGATTCTATTGGTATTCATGGAACCCGATATAGAATACCACATGTTTTCCATGCTTTTATTTGTTTGTTCGCTTGTGCAACACATACTGTTAGTAGACGAGTGTCTACTTTCGTCGCTTATATGTATATTTTCTCCTTTTCTTTTCCTTCTTCACACGGCTATTGAATAAACTACACAAGCGGAGTACTTTTTTCTTTCTTTCTTTTTCATCACTACTTCATGTACGACTGTTAGTTTGACTCTCTTTCAGCTTGGTTCTTGATAGATCTCGGAGTCTAATCAGAGAACATAAGCTGACCATACGGTTTTCTCGAATTCTAATCATTAAAAATAAGATATTCATCGAATAGAGCTATGTAAAACCAGCTAGTGTTTCTCTTTCTTTCTTTCCTTTCTGTATAAACATGAGTGCAGCGAGTACACGCAATCGCAAACATGATTGCATATTACTAGCTGAATAGTTTATTGAGTGGAAAGTTTGATTTCGATAGTGACTTAGGCGTATCTACCCAATTCTGTTTTATTTTCCTATTGAGTGAAAGTTATATTCTTTCCTAAACGAATTCACCTTCAAAATGGTAAGACCCGAAAAGAGAGAACGAAAACAAACGATTATTTCTCTTTTTTTTTGCTTCGTGTACATGCGGAGAACGTTCGATTAAAAGCGTATGATATCAATATAATTATCATTACCTTGTTTTTCTTCTATCAGCAAACAAAATCTATAATGAAGATCGCTTTTCTCTCGTCACATGTACAGGACACCATGGATACGATAGAGTGAAAAAAAAACGTGATGGTTCACGTTCGAGTACATTCGTCTTTTTTATCGTCGTGCAAAATCGGTTTTCGTTTCAGACTCGTTTGATTTGTTTCTTCTCAAGTGAATAACATGGCTCCATTTACTTTTACACTGTTTGCTCCATACAATAAACAAGCTGCGCTGCGAGTATGTTTTGTTTGCCTTGACAAATTTCCGTATGAAGAACTTTTATTTGTGCTTCATAGTTGAAAAATGCTCATGCTCGAATGTTCGGTGTTGATATTCGTAAGAAAATTGATAGGAATTCACTGGTAGTGTGTAGCATTGATTTCGTTGTTTAGTCATGGAAAAAGACGAATCGGATGGATACTTTCGAGCAACTGTAGACTTAGCTGATGGAATTTTTCATTATCAATTCAAAAGTACAGTGTGAAAGGGTGTTGTTCGGTTAGATAGAGCGACGGTCTGTTTTTAGTACAAACCAAATCTTGGTTTGAACAAGAACCTGAGCCTGCAGTACCCAATTACGACGATGATGAATACAAAGAAATGAGTAAGCTTTAGAAAAAGACCAGGAGCGATGAATAGTATATGTATGACATTTCTTTATAGCTGAAGAAGAAAAACAAGAACGCAAAGAGGCTCATACCAAACTTATCGATGAGATTCGTGAACGTAATCGACAACGTGAACACGAAGCAACATTCACTGAAATTTGGTATACATTTGTTGATCCCTATGCAACAGATGTCGATGAACGTGGCACAGGTAAATACAGACTGTTTCTATTTACATTATACCAGTTTTTCCTAATTGCACGAATTGTGGTAAATATAAAACATAAATGATAACGGAAATTCATGTCATTTCATTCCAATTGACTGACTCTATCCTTTTCTAATTAGCTTGAGTTGACCTACATATTTTTTTGTAATTTAGATGATGCACATAAAGCTGTCGGTATATTGACAATTAAAAATGGCAAACGCATTATCGGTACAGATACTAGTTATTTTTGTCCGCACTTCATAGTCATCTGTTGTGTATTTAGATGAATACGAATGGAAATATGATGATTGTTGTTTGCCGCCCGATGAAGAACTTGTTATCTATGAAATTCATGTTGGTGACTTTTCCGGTGGAGAAAGTGACTCTAACGCTCGCGGAACATTTACAAATGTCAAGAATAAAATTGAATATTTAAAAGAACTCGGTGTAAATGCGAGTAAGTCAGAGATCTCCTCTGAATCATTCGCATGACAAAATTTATTTTGTATCATTCAGTTGAACTTATGCCAATCAAAGAATATCCTGGTAAGAAAAACTTCCTAGCATCTGTTATTGTTACTTTGTTCTATCAATAGGAAATCATTCTTGGTATGAAATCTTTCGAATTAGGATCAATTATTGATAAAAAAACCTGTTCTTCTTTCATCCGATCATGTCTTTCTTTCTAGGGGGTATGTAATTCGATAGTTTGTTCTTGCTAATCTACTACATTGAGGGTGATATTTAGATACAATCCACGTTATTATTTTGCTATTGAGACAAGTTATGGTACAACAGCCGATTTGAAAGAAATGATTGATGAATTGCATAAAAATGGTATTCGAGTTATTCTAGATGGTGTAAGTGCACGGATATCGAGGAATAAGTCACTGTTTTAGTGATATTCTTAGGTATATAACCATTCGGATTCTTCTTCACCATTGACACAAATTGATCATGATTATTGGTATCATCACAATCCAAAGGATGTTACCAGTAAGAGAGATTCTCAACTAATATATTGCAAATTGAATGTATTTCTTTTTTCTAGTGTCATGGGGCCCTGAGTGGAATTATAGTACGAAAAATAATTGTACACGTGCCTTGTATATATAATCAATTTTATAGACTTTTATGATCCTAAATACAACATTTGGCCTGCTCGTAAATTTGTCGGTGATTCTATCCGTTATATGGTTGAGGAATTTCACATTGATGGCATTCGTTTCGATGCTGCTCGACAAATTCAAAACTTTGACTTTCTTCACTGGGTTGTCAAGGAAGCAAAAAAAGCAGCTGGCCTCAAACCATTCTATTGTGTTGCTGAATTTCTCCCAGATGAGCCATGTATCACAAATATCGATGGACCTATGGACGGGTGTAAGTTTTGGATAAGCTATTCTTCTCTCATCAATAAGCTTGTTATTCGTGTTTAGGTTGGCACGATAGTTTCTACTGGGCACTACGTGATTTGATACTTAATGATAACGCTGACATTGGCCGGCTGAAAGCTGGCATTGATTGTCGACAACAGGGATTTTTAGGTGTGACCAATGTTGTTAATTACATTGGAAATCATGATCATGATCGAATGCTTGTTGAATTAGGTACATAGAAAGCTTGTCTCGTTGATGTATATAAGGAAAATTCGTTTGTTTTAGGCAAAGAACGATCTATTTTTGGCGAAGAAGCTTTTAAACGCGTGCGTCTTGGTGTTGTTCTACAAATGACAAGTATTGGTATTCCAATGATTTGGATGGGAGAAGAAATCGGAGAGTATGTTGTCTGTTGTCACATGTCATGAAAGAGTAACATGAACTTGTCTTTAGATATAAAGAAAAAACGATTGGTATAGCGAAGATCGATTGGTCATTGATAGCTGATCGTGAAGATAATTCAAATCAAATTAATAAGAATCTATTGGGATTCTATCGCGGTTTAGTCAACTTACGAAAAGGCAATAAAGCATTTTTCTCAACGAACTTGAGCTTTATCCACGAAGATTACGATGGCAAAGTCTTGGCATATCAACGATGGTAATTTCATCGAGATGATTCTTTAAAATATAAAGATGAATTCTTTCTTGGATAGGTCCGAAACAGGTGAACGTGTTGTTGTTGTTGTTAACTTATCTGGCACGTTTCTCGGTAAGAGCGTTCTATTCGATTGAATGAAAGTATGAATATCTTTTCTTTGTTTTCAATTTTAGCTGGTTATCGTGTGCCAAATATGCCTGTCAATGGCTGGTGGCACGAGTGGACATTTAATTACGATGTTAAAGTTGAGAACAATGATGTACATCTTGACATTGCTGAGCGCGAAGCGAAAATTCTTGTTTGGCTTGGCGAAGATTGGCACCCGCCAGAACCTGAACCCGCTGCCGCACCCGAACCGGTAGCTGAAGCTGAGAAGAGTACTGACCAAGAACAAAAGACATCGCAGGCAGAATCATCGACAACTACGAATCCTGATTCAACTCCGACAGAAGCTTCTCCTCAACAATAGAGCAGTCATTCATCATTGCATAGCATTTTTCTCCGTCATAAATGATGCGCTCTATCTTCCTTTGATTGTCTTATCCTTCTCTGCGTCAAACGACTAAAAAGAAATGATTAGATAATAAGTTCCTTTCCTGACACTTTTGTAATGTCTGATTTGTTTCACTTTTTTTTTAATATGTATTCATGCGAAAGTCATTTCTTTCTTCTCCTGTGTTCCAGTAGTTTTCGTTTTCTGTATTTTTGTTTTCTTTTTCTCTTTCTTACATCGGAAATTCTGACGAATGGAATAGTATCAGCTGAAAAATTCCTTTTCAAACAAATTCTTTGTTATAAACTCAATGCATTCATTGCATGTATAATCTATTATGTTCGTTTTCTTTCTTTTTTAAACATGTTTTTTTCTTATCGTTTGTGATAATGAGAAGAATATTAGGAAGAGAAGAGAGCGAGCGTTTAATACAAACTAAACTAGTGTTTCTTTCTCTTTATCTTCGACTCAATAAAAGTATTTCAACATCGGAATAAAACTCTATCTTTAGCAATGAGAAAATTGTTCGTAGAATTTCAACTTACAGTTTATTTCAATGATCAACTAAGAAAGACTTAATAAAAACAAACGACTTGTCAACTATCACTAAACGATGGAAAGCTTTCTGAAAGCCTAGAAACATCTATCACACAACTACAAGTACTCGTTGAAAAGACAAACTAATTAACTAAGATTGACACTGGTAGAAAGAAAACACATTAAAAAACGACTAACAATCAACAATGTACACTGAGTAAAAGCGAAAGATCTACATTGGTTCAAGTCACACTGGACAGATTAGTTTCACCATTTGCTTGACTTGCATCACTGAGGGGTTCGGGTTGACAAGTAAAATCAAAATGTGCAGTAGGGTCAACCATCGTAAATTGATACGATTGAATTTTTGGCATATAGGGTACGCGGAAAGACGCAGCTTGCTAATAAGTACGAAAAAGAGCAGAATAGAAACGAGTGTACGCATTATCAACTTACTGATGTGGTTAATGGACGTTTTAAATTGATCAAACCGGTTGTTTTTAGGATTTCTTGATCATCCGGAAAATCATCATCATCAGATAATTGTATGTCTTCATATTCAGAATTTTGATTTGCTTTTTTTGAATTGTTATTCTTGTCGGTCTTAGCTTTATCTAATAGCAGTCAAATTCAATTGAAAAAATTCAAAGATAATGTGTGCCATTTACCTGTGTTTTTATCTTGAACCGAATCCTGATCGTTTTCATCTTCATCTTCATCCTCCTCTTCTCCAACCAGTTTCTGAATATGGGCTGAGATACTTTTTCGAGTAATGTTTCGTCCCTGATTGACTAATCGACGTTTGTGAATTAATTTTTCATAATCATCATCATCGTCCAACGAAGATTCATCGCTATCACGACGCTTTCTCGACGGTCGATGTTTAGGTAACGGAGGCGCTGTTTTTTCTTCTTCGTCACTGATATTTTCTTGCTGAAGAAGTTTTTTCTTCTTAGGTGGTGCGCGTCTTTGTCGTTTGGGTTTCGAAGCGTTCGCAGCTTTCTTCTTGTCACCATCCGTTTTATCAGTAATATTTTGACCGATTTCGCTAATACCAAACACATTTTTCCCAAATCGATTCTTATCGAATAAATTTGGACCGATTTCACTTGTGCTAAGAATGTTCTGACCAATGGAATTAATATCAAATGGATTTCGAATACGTTCGTTAGTATCGGATTGGGTAAACGGTTCGGATTTGACCACTGGAGCTGGTGATGAATTGCTTAAAGTATCGCCGTAGACTAAAGTGAGAAGACAATGTAGATGAGAACTTCGAGAGAGTCAGTTATACACACTGATTGTATCATCATCGGAAATGCTTGGAGATTTTTGAGAAATATTACAATTCGATCTATAGCAGAAAATTTTAGGACAAATTTTGTCGGATAGATTTCAGAAGTTTACTTCGGTGTTGATTTCTTCTTTGATATTGATGACGCTGACGATTGTCGTCGATTTCTCCAAACACTATCATCGTCACTCATGCCAAAATCATTGTAATCATCGTCGTTGTCATTACCATCATCTTTTGCATTGCTTCGACTGTCATCTTTGTTGGTTCTGTAAATCGTAGAAGAGAATTTCACATGCGGAGAAAATTCAGCCAATATAAATAGACATACCGTTTTGGACTAGGTACAAAATCAGCATCATGTTTGCTATCAGTTGCATCGAGATCTTCGCCACATTCATGCCGGGGACGTTTTTTCGCTGATTTCATTTTCTTCACTACCTCATCGGATTTATCTATATATAATTAGACATATTATCCGATACAAGGTTAATCAATTTGGAAGATGTACCTGAATCATTGTTGCTCAAATCTTTGTTAGTTTCCGTATTAACCAAGACATCTTCGAATTTTTTGTCGTACTCATCTAAAGAATAGTTTTGTGTCTTTCGTCGACATAATCGAACTCGACGTTTTCCAGGTTGTTCTTCCTTCTCTTCTTCTTGGTCTTTCGGCTGGCAGTTTTCATCGTTTTTATGTTCGTTAATATTATCAGCAGCATCTTCATCTTTCTGTCGTTGAATTGGATTTGATTTCGATTGTTCTATTGCTTTTTCATTGTCATTTTCAGTATCATCGCTTGAAGTAATTATATTGACACATCTTCTACGTACGGGAGGTTTGATACAGCGTTCAACGTTGACAGCAATGTTGGTCGAACGTTTTCTTCGTTTCGATGCAGTTACTTTACGTTTCATTTCGTATCGTTCTTGATCTTTGAAAAGTTCAGGTAATTTTTCGATTAAACTATCGCATAAACGCTTGTGTTCACATAGTGGACAATACCAATCATCATTGGGAACAGCCAACAATTCCGGTTTCAGACATTCGATATGATATGCATCATTGCAATCTTCACATAGTAGTAGATTCTCTGGACGATTCGTTTCTGAACATACATAACATAGCTTAGACGAAGACTCAGATTGATTGTAGCATTTAGCAACAGTTTTCGCTGCCTGACAAGGAATATAGTCATCGTCATCATCCTCTTCGCCATTCAGATCTCCATTGAGAAGTAAGTCGATTTCTTCGTTGAGAAAATCTTGAGAGAAGTCATCATCGTCATCATCAGATGCTTGTCGATCATCGGAAGTAGTCGATGAGAATCCAGTCATTGAGTTCCTTTGCCGTCGACGACGTTGACGTCTACGGCGCGATCGATTTGTATTTGATGAATTGTTGTAACTTTTCCATTCTCTGCTCATCGATCTTGTTCTGATTGAACTCTGAAATGAACAGTTCGATAGAATGTCACGTATACAGACTTGTTCTCTATGTTTACTTGCGAAAGTGATTGATTTGTGCTCGATGAATCTTGTGAAAGTTCAGCAAAAAGTCTTGCTCGATTGCGTCTTGGTCGCCGTAACGCAATGGGTAGATCAGCATTGTTCTTGTTAACGGTTTTTACTGGAATGGAACGTAAATCTTGACTGCTTTCATCCTCATGTTTGTCATCGGTTTCACTTTTATTCTGACTAGGACTCTCGCTCTCACTGTCATCATAATCCACCAATTTACGCTTTATTCCAGAATCCAATATTGGTTTTACCATAACTGCTTGCACAACTTCATCATTAACAGATGGATTTTGAACTTTGATTGCTTTATCAATCTCTTCATTTGTTGGATGACTACGATTCAATTCTTGTGAACATCCCACCGAATAGATTGAGTCTCTCGTATCCCCCGACGATGACGATGGCGATGTAACGGTACGATTCGGATTGATTTCGTCAGAGTTAATGGACTCTTGATCAGATGTCGTCTCTGTTATGAAAAAGAGAATAGTTTTATCAAATTTCGAGCTTTTGATACTTGATACAGACCGAAAAAGTTCGTTGTTTTCGGAGATTGCAATAACGGAGAGGGTGGCAATTCTCGGTCGAGACTTACCATTGGATTCAAATCGATATTCTCGCTTTTGATATAGACTGTAAACATTCGTTCTTTATCTCACAACTTTTTGTTCTTCTATGAATTTCCTTACCTGAGCCAATTCGTATTGACGAAGGACTTCGTTGAGTTGAGATTTCTTGTTTTGTTCGTTCGCAGAATGAATTGGCCGAATAATGTTCTTCGAATACGCTCGATGGTGTCAACAAATTAAATAGCGCATGAGCGAATTCCCAATCTATACGAGAAAAACACTTCTTGTGATGTGAATGAAATGAAAGAATGATTTACCGGGAAATTTTTCTCGAACTTGATAATCAGTCACAAGAATTTTAAGTAGACTTTCTAATTCTTGTGGCGTTCTAAACAGAGATTACAAGAAATATCCCGATAAGCTGTTTCATTTACTTTGCTACATTGATCCATGTACGTTTAGTATCGATATCCTCACGAAACAATCGTATGTAACTGTCAGTATCCTACAATAGAAAGAGAATACTCATTAATGTCTTTGAAAATATGACACAAACAAATCAGTCAAGCAAAAGATCAGATCAAATTAGTCTGACCATAGATAACTGATCGATATATACGCGCCAACGCCTTTCAAAACACATATAACACCAAATGATTAATACTATTCAACTTTTATCATTGTAATTATCAACTCCATGTTTGTTCCAAGAAATAAACAAATTCTATGCTTTCATATACCGTTCAAGTAGATATTCATTTCAGTTAGGAAATTATCGAATTCTTTTCTTACCGTAAATAGCCAATAAGAAGCACCCAATCGATCACGACCAAATGGTTTCGAGGAAAGATCAGCCGAAGACTTATTTGCTAATGAACGGTTCATTGGCTGATTACGATCAAATTGCTTTTCTAATAAGTTCTACAAACAGATTCACATAGAGAAAACAATAGAATGTTCAAAGAATTGTTCTACTTTCAAAATACGAAGTTTAATTTCGACTTTGGCTTTGGCATATCCATGTTCTTCGACATAATCCCCATCGTCACGATTAAAACGATATGCAAACTAAAGAGAACAAATCATACATGAGAAAATATCAACAGTTCGATTTTCTTTTACCCTTTTCATACTAATCTCAAATTGATCGCGTGGAATCATTTTTCCCGACGAGATTTTCTTCAATAAGTGCAAATGAAAGTCAATATATCGTGCAGTGTCTATCAAAAAAGCTCGATTTTCATATTTGTGACAAAAAAAAGAATATTCACTTACATTTTTCGTGTTCACTGATCAGATTATCTTCAAATATTCGTAGTGGATAGCTTTTGAAATTGACATGCGAACGAAATTTCTCGATAAATGCCAGTATAATACCATAGTTTGGATCGTTCAATAAACTCAAACGTCGTTGATCGCGTTTAGGACAAAATTTATCTTTATCGAACTCATCCGTTGATGTTGAAGACTCTTCAGTAGATGAATCGTCTACATTTAACATGCGTTCAATATCCGATTCAGTTAGTACCGGTAAAGAGATAACTAATTCTTTTTTTAGTATTTCCGGATCGATAAACGTGGAATCATCGCTGCTGTCGTCGTCCATCATCTTGCTGTCGTGTGGCTTTAGTAAATTTTAGCCGATGATCAGCCAAGCAAGCAAGTAGTCAACAGTTCATTGGTTCAGATATCAAGTCTTTGTTTCATTAACGGAACAATATGTGGCACCCTCTGTATTGATCGTTCTCGATCATCGTACAAGTGTCTCGAAGTTTCTATTATGATCTATGTACATTCTTCTATTTGTCAACGTGAAGAAATCACAGCCAGATATGATTATAATAATGATAAGTTATTTTATAAACTATTAACACTGATACATGTCGGAAACAGTCAGTAATGCATTTTGTGCCTTAGTTATAATCTATTTTGATTGCGGATAATGAAAATAGAGCTGAGAAAGGCGGTAATTCTGAAATTTACGGATAGACACCTGAAACATATGTTCAGATGTTCAAAGGAATTCAAATTTTCACACAGGAGCCATCTATCGTTTCGTTCTTCATTTTAGTACGAAAAGTGATGAACCTATAGGATGACTCGTTTACTATCTATCGTCTTCTCTTGTCCTTATTTCAAAATGAATACAACCGTCGAAGACAAGAACATCCTGTTATCTAGCGTTCATACTCAACGATGACGATATAAAAATAGCACATCCATCACTCCACAATAATTGAACGTCGTACTCAGTATTGAAAAGAATTAAATTTTATAATGTTCACTTTTTGTGCTTAGGCAATACGTATAGCGGAAGAAAATCTCTTGTTTAGCTGTCATACGATATTGACGTCTTTCATAAACGATATTTGAATAGATTTAAGACTCATGTGATCTCTCATTCAGTTTATTGCTATTTGTCATCTTTCAACTAGTAGAAATATCAATTTTGAACATACACATAGTAGATACACAAGGTAGTTGAACAACGTAATACGGTTGCCCACAAGCACCTGCTCGGTTGATTTACGATTTATCGAATCTGAACGAAGAAACTGCTGACAATTTCAATACTGTACGACACTCTCTCCTTCAAACCTATGCGGAAAAATCCTTCACAAAGATGCGTGTGCACGTATCTTCAGAAAAAATATTCGAGGCTAACTTATTATAGATGTCACTCGATAGTCACTATGTTTCATTTGTATGCGAGGAAGTAAAGAACAAGTGAGACAGACAATTTTGTTTTTTTTCTTCAGCTGCATCGGTGTTTTTTCCAACATAATCATTTACAAATTTTACTTCATTCAGATTCTATTTTCAACTGTATAATATTAATGATGAAACTTGAAGTAAGAAACTTACACGGCGACACTTATTCCTTCGAAATTGACGACACAGAAACGGTAATTGACTAGAAAATTACATGAAAGGGACACTCTCTGATTTCAGGTTAGAAAACTTAAAGAAAAAATCGCCGAAACAGACGGTTTAAAAGAGAAATATAATGCTGATCTACTCAAATTATTATGCTCGGGAAAAGTCATGGAAGATGAAGAAGTACTCAACACGTTCACTATCCATCCTGAAAGCGGATTCCTTGTTCTTGTTAAACAAACGCCAGGCAAAACTAGAGCAGTATGATAAACTTTTCTTTTCAAGTAACAATTATCTTTATCAATATATTGTATTTTCAAGCCCCCAAAGAAAAAGACCTTGCCAAGCTTTAGCCAATTTAAGATGAAGTTAGTATCTTCGTTGATCTCAAGTTGACCATCGCTAAACTTTATTTTAGTGGGATGAACTCACCTTTTGGAATGTCATCTATGTTAAATCCAATGTTTCCACAAACGTCGCCTGACTCAATGATGAATTATTCGGACATGAATAATGGATTCATGAATGCAGCATCTCAACAATCCTTTCCAATGCAACAACCATTTCCAATGCAACAACCATTTCCAATGCAACAACCATCACCGCAAACGCTTTCCTCAGCTACTTTACCATCACAAGGACCATTGCTAGGTCCTGGATCAGTTGATAACTCTTTAAATCTGACAGGAGATTCATTTGTAGTTAATGAAGATCATACAGATGCTATTGAACAACTTGTACAAATGGGTTTTGATCGTAAAACTAGTGAAAAAGTTCTACGTGATTGTCGGTATAATGTACCAGCTGCTGTCGAACTTTTAACATCGGTATTGCGTTGAGATACTATACACTAATCCTAATATTACGATAATCTTTTTTATTCAGGGCTACATCCCACCTGAAGACGATTTTTCGGTACCCTCGTTTACACATGGATCGTTACCACCAACGCTGACAGTACCACCGATATCAACTCTGACGCTAAGTCCTCTTACTGCACAACCTCAGCCGCAATTACAACCTACACCTCAACCATCAAGTTCATCCAATGATCATAGCGCCAACAATGCAGGTAGATTTTTTGTAAATCTCCTAGATAGAAGTTTAAGTTATACTAACCATTTTGTTATTGATGCTCAAAGAATATAAATATAGATCTATACTTCAATCTTTATTTGATTTAGATGCAGGTATAGATCTTCAAGCATTTGGGCAATCACTTGAACAAAATCCTGAACGGCTTGCAGAAATCAAAGAAAGACTTAAATTTGAGCATCCTGAAATCGCACAAGTAAGTCCACTCGAAATTTTAAAAAATAATTCGCTTTCTCTTTGTGTTTAAATAGTTAATCGACGAGGATCCTAAAGCATTTATTGAGCTCCTTCGACAAGCAGCAAACGAAGAGGATTCATCTGTAAATAACAACACGAACAGTGTTAGTACGAATAATCCAAGTTCTCAATCGGTGACTCTCAATGCTCAAGAGCAACAAATCGTCAGTCGAGTTCGTATTTCTTTTATATGAATTGCTTAGAACAAGAAGAAAATAGGATCGAATCTAAACACCCGCGGCCTATGATGATGACTCGTTCACCCTTGTCAGATAAACTATGACGATCTGAACTAACATGCACTACCATCTGAGGCCATTTGCCAAACAAAGATCCTCTTTCCTCTGTTCTGATCAACGAACATGATCATTCATTTTTCTCTTTATTTTCTTCAGATTGAAGAAATGGGTTTCCCACGAAATAGCGCCATCGAAGCTTTTCTTGCTAGTGGACGTAACGAAGAGATGGCTGTGCATTATTTACTGAATTCATTTGGCTGATGAGTTCGATTTTTGGCGAAGCATTATCTGCGATATGGACCTAAACTAAAAATAAACTAATTTAAATGTGTTTTTTACTATGAAAAACGATTCGCAAAACATATATCTGTTTGATTGGTTGTATGCTTCGGGGATGACTAATCTATCCAGTGAATAATTTTGTTTGAATAGATATTTGTTTCGTTCTTCGAATATATGTTTTTCGAAATAAAAATTCAGAAGATTTCAATTTATTTCTACGAATTTCTCAGATTGATATGACTTATTTCGCTCCGAAATCTGAACAAGAATATAAAGAATATTTGGATAATCTTTTGGTCGAATATCAATTCGCTTGTTTTAACGAAAAGCTCGGAGATGGTATGTGTGATACAAAAATATGGTAAACCAAAGTCAAGTTGTATTTCTTTTAAGGTTGCTATCGATTAGCGAACTATCATGAAATTATCAAAACTGATCATGCAACAGCCGGAAAAATCTATAAAATGTCTTGTGATGAAATGAACTATGGACATGGATGTTATCGCTATGGAACATTTGCTTTCCTCGGTCGAGGTAAATCACCGAAAATCTTTTTAGTAAAACAGCTAGATGATAACTTAATCGATTAGGTATGGACAAGGACATTCCGGCGTCGACCAAGTATTTCGAACGTGCATGCGAACTAGGATTCTTGAAAGGTTGTCACAATGCGGCTATTGCTTACATGCGAGGTGATGGTTGTGAAATGAATGTCAATCGTGGATTGGAATACTATAAAAAAAGTTGCGCTGGTGGTATCCCTGAATCATGTTTAAGTCTCTGGTCAACTTATTTCAAAGGACAAGATGGATACGTAGCGAAGGATGGACCTAGAGCATTGGATTATGCATCCAAAGCGTGTGATTTGGATATGTTCCAAGGATGTGTTAACGCCGCACTTATGTGTCGGCGTGGTGATGGTGTGCCGAAAGATCCTGAACGAGAAAAAGTCTTCTTGCAAAAAGCCAATGAATTGAAGAAGAAAATGGATGAACCCGGTGTTCAATTCGGTGAAACGCACAAAAATTTAGAATAGTACCTTTAGTATCCTTTATACTGAATTTATTGATGTTTTCTGTTAAAATAAAACAACAAAGAATTTACTAATCTATACGAGGAAGTACAACTCTGAACCTGATGTTCGTACACACATGACCGTTCTTTTCGCATGCGCGCTTGGTTATACTTCAGACAAGACACGTCCATGTGCCTAATACGATTCTTTTTAGCATGTAGGAGACGATGACCAGATGATCAGGGAGTAAACAGCATAACATTGATGAGAGTTAGCTGTCGATGGACATGTATTTTCGATAACAAGATAGTGCAAGTGCGTAGAGTTAATCAGTAACAATGTCGTATCTAACTAATCTATGGAGTTTTACGGTGCATTCCTTCCAGCATTTCCTATTTTGATTATTTCTATAAATACATGCATGTGTATGTTTCTAGATAGTTTTCTTTGTCTTTTATTTGTATAATTTTAAATAATGAAATTAAGAAAAAAAAAGAAAGAACAAACTAGTTATAGAGACATAAAATGATAAATCTTAAGAGAAGAAGAAGAAGAAGAAAAGTGTGAGTTGTGCATGCTCTAATGAGAAAGAAAAAGAAATAAAAACGAATTTGTTTTGTTTTCAGTGGTAAGAAAAAGAATTAGAAATAAAAGCAAGTTGAATGCTGTTGCCACTGCTGCGCACATACAAATTCACACGAAGGTGATATGGGTTTAATAGACAAAAGAAAAAGAAGAACATATTGAAAAAAAGAAAGAAAGATCCTTGTTGTTGTTTGTTTGTTTGTTGATTGGTCTTGCTGCCAGCACCAAGAAGAAGAAAGGTTTTTTTTTAATAACCCGACAATTCGTTTAATGTCATGTCGAGTTCTTCGCTTACGCCCTTGTATTTCTCCTTTTCGGCAAGTAATTCATCTGCGAAAGAAAGTAAACATTTGTTTTATTATGAAATAGAGAAGTCAGCAGTCGAAAAATAATCACCTTCGAGACGGTCGACTTCCTTTTGTAATTTAGCCATAGTACGTTCAGCTAAGTCGGCACGTTGTTCAGCCTGAAATGATTAAATCGATTTAGCGTCTATTAACATCTCTGAATAAAACTTACATCTTTGAGACGTGTAGTTAAATCACGAATTTGTTCTTCGTAACTTTCCTCACGTTGGATGGCCTAAACAGAATTAATATCAAACATTAGGAAATTCACATCGTCAGAATTGACATTACCTCTTGCTCTGAAACTTCAAGTGATTTCATATTGTTACCAACAACTTTAAGTTCTTCTTCGAGTTCGAGAATTTTACTAGAAGAAAATCGAGTCAATGTCATTGAATGAACCCAAAAGTAGACACTCATATTTTCAATAGGATGATGATCATTCGTCATGCAGGTTCGGTAACAAATATCATCATGCAACAAGCACGAAGTCTTTCTTACGCTTCAGCAGCTTCGGCACGATCTTCAGCCCGTTCCAAATCGACTTCCATAATGGCAATACGACGAGCAACCTGAATCGATCGTGAAGATGAAATGAACATCCATCTCTCGAATTACCTCATCATATTTTCGATCGGAATCTTCAGCGATAAGTTGTGCTTCAGCCAATTGTTGTTCAAGTGTAGCAATACGTTCATCATCTTGATATGTACGTTGTTCAAGACCTTTACGACCACTAGAAAACGAACGAGATTTTAGTTTGTCAATCAACGATCAATCAATCATGTCTTACCGTTCACTTTCATCGGCAGCATGTGAAGCTTCATCAAGTTTCTGTGTTGTTTGTTGAAGACGTTCTTCAGCACGCTCAAGATCCTCCTCGACTAATTGTAAACGACGTTGAAGACCGTTTAATTCAGCTTCGGCCTAGAACATTTTGAATTTAGCAAAATGATCTTTGGAAATCAACGCGAAGGTAAACGAAATCGATGAGAGTTTGTTTTACCTCTTTTAACACATTTATAATATCTGTTACTTCGGTTTGCATAATGGAAATTTTTAGATTGAATGTTATTTGAGACGAGTACGGTGAGACTTGATAGATTTCACAACCGGGTTTAACACGACGATGAGGAGTAGTTTTAGCTGATGACGTGGCATTCGATGAAGAAGAAGAGGAGGAAGAGGAGGAAGAAGAAGATATCGAACAAGACATTTCATTACCATCAGATGATAACTGAAATGTTTCATCATCATGATCAGTTAAACGGTAATCACGCAAACGTTCATTATCAACAAATTTCTGACGAATTTGTTTGATACGTTCATTATGTAGAATGTTCGAAACAACATAACTAGGTCGTTGAGATGGTTGTTGGTATGCGTGAAAGCGTGATTTGGACGAGGAACGATTCGTTTTATTTTTATTCGATTTGACTGTTGTTACTGTGGTGGTTCGGAGTGGTCGGACGGGTTGCGGAGGCGTCGATGGTGGATGGCGATTTTTGAATAAATTATAAAATTCGATTGCATTGATCTGGCCTTTGGCCAAGAGAACAGTGAGATTATCTTGTGTCATGTTTTCGGAAAAATCGTTTTTCTATTCTATGTCTTGATGTGCTGTCTTGGATATAGAGATAGACCGATGTATGTATGAGTGGATATGCGCATCGTATTTGTGAAGCAAAAAATAATACTCTCGACAACGACTGTATGGGTAAACAGAGACGACGAAAAGAGAGAAAAGAAAAAACAGAGAAAGAAAAGAAGAAAGAAATAGATAGAGCGACGGTTAGTACGGTTGTAGAGAATTGATGATGGATATTGTGAAGCGAACGGAAAGAGAGAGAAGAAAAAAGAAGACTAAATGAGACTTACATCGGTAGCAGCTTTCTCTTTGGCTTCAAGTTTAGCATTAGCTTCAGTTAATTGTTCTTGAGCTTGGTCAAGTTCAGATTCGATCTGTTGGATTTTCTTTTGTAAAGCATTACTTTCTTCTTCCGACTAAATGGAATGAAAAGAAAAGAAAACATGTATATTTCAATGAAATTAAAACAAAGAAAAAAAATCAATGGGGAACGTACAGCTTTAAGTTTTTCTTCAAAATCCTTTTGACGTTGTTCAGCTTGGTCGGCACGATCAACGGCATTTTCTTTCTCAAGCTTCATAGCTTGCATTTTCTTTTTGATGGAATCCATCGTAGCAGTTGTATTTGCATTTGACGACATGTTTTCGGTGACCGGTTAGGCTTTTCAAAGATAAAATGCCAATAAAATCTTGCTTCGACTAGAAATCTAAATAATTACACTTCCAACAGATCTTGAAAAAAGAAACGAAAACGAGAAAAATAAGNCGGAGGAGAACGTTATGTTATGCGACAAAGTCAACCGTTTTGCTTAAATTGTTTTGAAACAATGTACGCAGAATATTGTGATACATGTGGTGAACGTATCGAAACCGATCAAGCACAAATGGCACATGAATCTCAGCATTGGCATGCGACAGATGCGTGCTTTTATTGTTACACATGTCGTGCACCATTGCTGAATCGCGCATTCTTTCCGCGTTATGGAGCGCTGTTTTGTTCCAACGAATGTGCATTGCAACGCAATAATCGTTTCAATCATTCGAAATTGATCCAACAGAAATACGATAAAAGTCCAGATTTGATATCTACTACTCAGAAACATACAAATCAACACGTTCGAATCGTCCCTGGACGAGCGAAAAATTACGTTTCACAGCAGCCAACTTCTCGTTCAATATCTAGTCGACCGAAAGATCAAGCCGGTTATATATCGGACGGATCTAATCCTCGTCGACATCAACGTGATTCAACCAATGGCTATCTATCCGATGGACACAGTACACGAAGATATCGAAATAGTTGTCAACAATATCCCACAAAGTACATTTAATCGAAATTGATTTCAACATCTGTATGTTTATTTTTATCTTGAATGTATTTAGATTGAACTATGGTCAGGATCAAGCTCAGGTATTCTCACAATTTCAATCATCACCAGAATCTATACTGAAAAATCGTCATGAAAAACCAATTACTTCGAGAAGTCGTTCGCGTGAGCCTATGCACTGTCATAATGATTTAAATCTTGACCAACTTGATCGTCAAGGTGCCACCCTTGAAATTGCACATTGCTCAACGGCTAAAACACCACGTTCGTCGCTACCAGACTTAAGTACGAGAATGTCTCGAGCTAATTCCGATCGATCCAATTATGCAATTACATCTCACGAGACACTGACGGACTGCGAACAAGGCAAAACTTATGTGAAACATTTAGATCCTGATGAAATCATGTATCCCATCTCACGACCGAAATCAGTTGTTTATCCAAGTATATCAACGCAATTCCCACGTTCGCGTTCGTTGAATGGTTCAGGACGTTTTACCAAACAACATCATGTTCGTTTTGTCGACGACGAGAAAGAAAAACCTTATAAGCAATCACCTGTTCCAACCTGTAGATCTGACAGATCGCGTTTATCATCATCATCGTCGTCGTCATCGTCGGATTCAGACAATGACGAAGATTGTGATTCGATCTATCGTCAGTATGATATACATGGTAATCGAATTAAACGGCCGATTAGTTTTGGAACAAAGATAAGTTATGTCGATGAAAACGGATTGGGAAAGAATTCGTTTCCGTCGACGTTAACGAAAAAAGCAGGAACATTAAATAAAAAAGAGAAAAAGAGTAATGGAGGACGAAGAAGAAGAACAGATTGTATTATTAGTTAATTCTTTTTGTATACTTGTTTTTCATTTTGAAAACTTTCCTTTTTCTCTTTTGAAAATAACTTAAATAATCCATATGCTTTATTCAAATTTATTCAATGTATCAATGAAAAGTTCGCATTGACGAAATTCTTTATTTTTTCAATGGTTATTTTTTTTCCATGTACATCACCTACATTGAATAATAATTTCAAACCAACGTTCTTCTCTTTACCTAATCACAGACAACAAATCGGTCTAGTCTCTCATATTATTCATTATTGCGTAAAATAATCGTCACTGTGCTACTAATTGTCTTAGTTTTCGTGACATATAGAACAGTGTAAAACATGAATCGTTAAATCATGCAGCAATCCATCGTGGAGTCAATTCAAGTGACTTTTGAAACGGTGACACTTCATATTTACTCGATAACTAAGCAAGTGAATCGATTTTCTCTCATCTTCGGTCTTGGCTTATATCACTCAGCGGTTGAGATCTACGGTCAAGAACACTCGTTTATTTGGTATCCATTCAAATTCAGTAGTATTGTTTCAATAAGGCCAAAAACAACGGCGACATAAAATCTGTGATGGCTATATTAAATGTTGATCCGCCGACGAATGTCTCACGTTATGTTACATGCATAGAAGTCGCTTTTTTCGAAGATTCTATACCGAAATGCTTTCCGTATGCTCTAAGTTGTGCTAATTCGCTTTATTTTTTTCTAAAAATAACATTTAGCTATAATCCAATAATTAAAATCAACTATGGAAATCATCAGAAGAAACTCATCCATTAATCTCATTTTTACTCAATCTAAAGTTCGTATGACTATAAATAACTTGCACGCTATGCTCTGAATAATTTTCTTCAGGACCTTTATAACCTGGCGTTTGATTTAGCTTGAATAATGAAATCAAAAGGACTAAACAACGCCATACTATATGATTATGCACCTGTAATCGTCGACAACGAAATTATAGTGGATAATGATGATGGAGATTTGCACATTGACTATTCAGTGAATACTCATCAAGTCTTGCGCCAGCTACAGCAGAAGCTGATTGATATATTTAAACAATCGAACTCAAAATGAAATCATCGTCTTAAAGGAGATTTTTTGCATCCGATGATTATCTTGTGTATCTTCCACATTTCATATTCTCTACTCATGTTGGAATCTTTTTCAATACATGTAACACGAACTACAAGAGTGTTTGTTTGATGGATTTCGATTACAAATAATATTGAATTACTTTCATACGTCATGGGTAACGACTTTCTCAAACTGGTAACATTTCATAGAACGTGATCTAAAGACACTTCTTCTATTTCTGTGTCGGAGATTATTATCATATGTTGGACTATAGGAACATGAGGACAGATGGCATAAGTATTTCATCGTTAACCTTTTCATTTTGAGTACTAGATATATGCTCACTTCTTTGCAGCAAGATGAGTTTATTTTAGCATGAACAAAATTCCACACTATCGCTCTATTTCCACTTGTGGGAAATATCTTTAACTACGCTCTAGCATTATATCGTCATCGATGCAGTACTGATGAATCTATGCATATAGGAATGCTAAAGAGACAAAGACGATGCGTATGATTGAACACGTCGATTAATACGTTAAGTCTTCCTTTATAGAGTATCTCAGTAATTTACAATATTTTCCGAACGCTTGCTACATATATAAATTATGAAGAGAAATGATAAATCTGTCTCACAGCCGACATCTCATTATTTCATTCAATATCGATAATTAAAATTAAGTAGTCTAGAACCTTCGTACCGTGCTCTTCCATGATATACCGATTCTCACTTTTTAATATCAAAATGCGTAATAGGATTATTATTTTGACTATACTTTTCCCCTACTGCGTAAATCTGCTTAATTTGCTTAACAATCAACGTTCGAGTTGCGCCTACAGGTCATTGAACTTCTTCAAAGAGTTCAAATATTAACATTGATGAGGCTGTCGGATGACACGTGATTACGCTTAACGTCTTCAATGACGAACAATACGAAAACACGTTGTCGAATAAAGAAAAACAAAGAACGATAAACAAACATATATATCGATATCTTTTAATGTCATTACTGTTATGTACATGTGTTTTTAGAAACGACTGAAATTTCTTGTATTCAAGAATGGATTTAATCGATAGTGAAACACTTTACTTCTTATTAAAAAACAAATATGTTCTTCTTTGTGGTGATTCGATTATGCGTTCGTTAGTATTGCATAGACAATAATAGTTAAAGTTGATTGTTCAATATCTATTTAGTATTTACAAGGATATTATTCTGCTCATTCAAGGACAAAACCGTTTATTAACTACTGCTGAATTAAAAGCCAAATTAGATGATGTAGATATGTTAAAACTGAATGATCAATTATTAGCTGGAGACAAGAAGACGAATGATACATCGTATTATGAAAAACGGTGTTATTTGACCAATACACATTTCGTGAAGTTTGTCTTTCTCACTCGATGTTTAAGTGGACAAATGCGAAATGAATTACGTGAGATTGAGGAGAAGAAATCCATTCCGCCTGATGTAATTCTTCTGAATTCAGGTAAATTGATGATTTCATTATTGAAAGTTCCTGAGGGCGTGCTGTTTTTCTACTTAAATTGCCGTTCGGCATTAATGAGATATCGACCATTTTGAAACGTCATTTTTAACCTTCAATTTTCCAGCGTTTTAACTTCATTTACAGATGATGAAAGCATCTGTTTGATTAAAGAGTACTTTAGTCTAAAAAAGAATAAAAACTATGACTTTTCTTTATACTCGTAGCTATTTGGGACATCACCAAGTACGAGCAAAACAGTGAGAAAGAGTATGCACAATATCTCGAAGAATGTTTTCGTATCATACGTTCAGTCATTCCACCAAGCACAATTGTCATTTGGCTCACCGCAGTAAATAAGCATTCCTATCCAGAATGTATCAAAATACGAATCTCTGTGAATTAATTTTGTATTTAGACACCTTTTGCCGAAGATGCTCGCGGTGTTTTAGGTGAAACTCGTTTTGAAAAGAAACGCATTCTTCGCATTCGGATCTTCGATATCAATACATTCTCATCTGAATTGGCTAAGAAGTACAATTTTCAAGTGATTGATCTTCATTATCTTCTACGAAAATGTGCGCAATATCGCTGTAAAGATGGAATGCACTATGAAGCGTTAATTCATCGAGAAATTACAACACACATCGCTCATTACATCTCCTGTGGAATGAAGAAGCATTCCCAAGATCAGTCGCAAGACAATAAAGATGATCGAGCCATTTGCGATGACGTTCTTAAAACGATGATCGACAAAATTGATTATCAAATATCTGCATATGATAGAGAAATTCTGGACAGGCGTCGACCGTTGATCATGGACTACGATTTTATGGGAATTTTGAGCGCAAAAGAAAGAGATGTTCTACATTTAATTGATTATTATGAAAATAAATCATTTGCATAACGTTTAGAAGTAGTGCAGAGATGTGTCATGATATGAGCGTCAGATAAAACATCATGCAAGAGGATTCACCGGAAAATTATGGATAGGATTGAATGTAAATAATCGTCTACTCCATGACAATCAACGGTATTTCACGACGATGATGGTTTTCTCTTTTTTTTATAATGCAGACCTTCTGTATTTTCTGTAAGATAAGCGTCAGAGCTGCTTAAGTTCTAAACCATCCACTGCGAAGATCGCTATTTGACTAGTTGTATGCCCCAGCGATTGAACTTGTCTATTGAAAGCTATTAGGGCATAGAACTCTTTGATTGAGAGATGCCGTTTGAGATAACGTCAGAAATCTGAAGGAAATAATTATCTTTTGCGGCATTCCAAACATTGCTTGTTCTTGATCAATCCGTTAGAGTTTGATTGAAGTACCCAAGAAATGATTTGAAGTTTATTATTAGTACTTTAATAGGTATTTATTATGCTTCTTTTGAGAGCTAAGTCACGACCGGATGCAATACATTATATTCGTTAGAAACTAAGCCGCATTTAATTGCTTTCTTCTTCTCCTCGCAGCTACGTCATTTAATTGTTTGTTCTTCACGTCAAGTGAAATATAGGACCGGAATCTTGTCATTTGCCTGTCAAATATGACAGTGAAGTATTTTGGCCGATTTCTTTTCAACAAAATAGGACATGCTGGTAAGAAACATCATGCGACACGCGGTAGATAAATGTAGATCAGTTGATTTTTTTGCGTTTTTTTTGCTTGATCGATTAATTAAAAGATTAACTGTTCAAGATGCGGAAAATCAATCGGATAATTGAAGGATTTTTTGTACTAATAGTCAGTTCATGGTGAACTAGATCGACGTTATTCAAGGACTTTGAGAAATATTTCATAAACCTGTCAACTACAGAGTTTAGCGAAAGGTTTCTAAATGGTTACGAAGTACTTCTTTTGAAAAATATCTCAGATTCGATTTCGATTAATACGAATGTATAGTATTATGCCCCGCATATCTTGCAGTTTACATGTTTTCCATGTGATTCGACTTTCTCTCAGGACAACGTGACAAAGACAATATTCTCGGAATGAACTCGTTATACGGAATATCTTATAAGCGCGTTCGACATTGCAAGTGTACTCATTTCCTTCGTCAACTATCCTGGATAATTATCAAGTGATTCTATACAACGGTTGTTTTTTAAATTCAAAATCGAGCATCAGTGAACTTCCTAATACACTTCGCGGTAAACCGATGAACATTCTCTCCTTACTGAGTTCTTGTGCGTCATAGGTATTCGTTGCGTTATATTCGAGAAGAGGGGAGTATAAAAGCGGTAAGATGTTATATGATCTGAGCACGGTACATAAAAGTCAAAGAAGAGGAGAGGAAACTGGTGTTCAACTTCCATGAAGAAAGTGGGTGAAGATCAAACAGTGAGCATAATGATCATTAACCACTTTTTCATTGATTTTTTGCATAAATAGACGGAAGATTATCGCGACTTGAGATTTAGTCAAATCTGCGTTCAAGTTTAATCGATCGCTAGATATCTGTTGAAACTACAGCTAGATATTAATGAGTTTCAGAGCGTAATCGTCTTATCTCGTCAAAATCTTTGAACATCCTAGGAGAACAACTTTGCACTTGATCGCAAGGTGTTACAAAACCTTCGCGAGCAAAGGAAGATATAAGAAGTCCTGTACAGCCATAATTTAATTGATGCTCATTTACACTACTTTCTAAAAAAAATGCAGCAGTCTGAATTCAGTGCGCATTCATTATCATAATTGAACGAATAGTATAATGAACTGGAAGAAGATAATACTATTCATGCTCGGCTGTGTGTTGTCATCGTCGACAAAAGGGTTTAACAAAATAGAATAGAAGCCCCTATTATGAGTACTTGAAACAAGAAACGCCACGAGGTAATATCTCTTGCGAATATGCATGAGCATGGAAATGTTCCTAGATGTTAACACCCTTTTCCAAAGTTTTATGATAATGTGCAGTAAGCTGTTAGTTCCTTTTGAATAGCTTCACCGACCAGACGTTTAATTTTTAATAAAGGCGGTGACGTCAGTCGCCTATGTATTTATTAAGCTCAAAACAAACGAATTGATGTTTGAAACGTGTGTTCAAAACATAAACTGTAGTTTATCAGCAATCCATTACAGAGCTCAATGACGTCAGTTTCACCTGAACATTTTTCTCTTCTCTTCCATAGAGTATATGATTACAGACCGCTGACGTCTTTTATCAAATACCTTTCATTTTCTTTGCTCAGTATTTGGCCCTTCGACATATTTATTCTACGGAAACAAGTCTCAAGAATTTCATCTGATCTGCTGATTACGACGTATCGTAATTCACGTAACGTAGATAGATTTTCCCGCATAGAATACGTCTACCCATCCTTTTGTCTGCCTAGACCGGCGATCAAACAGTTCAATGAACTGATAATAGGTCGTCTTGAAAGCCTAGATTATTAATATGTGAATTTCTTTGTTGATAGCAAGAGATCGTCAGAGTAGAGATGATGAAGTGAGAGGAATGACAGCGATATTGTTGGTAGAGTTTGACTTCCCTTCTCAGAAAATGTTGCAATTGGAACTATATTGTCTCTCAAGTCATTTTCCAATTTTGAGGCTATATTAATGATGCATACGACCATGACATAGAGAACATCCGGTTAATTAGCTGAGCATATGCTCGATCGTATAGCTTTTATTTCCACGGAAAGATTTTCATCAGAGACAAACGTGAAAGTTAATTATGCAATATTGTAGAAGGAATATAACTGAGTTCTGTTCGGAGTTATGACAGGATATTTGCATCCGACAGCTCTTAACAATAAGTACTTTGCCTTAAAAGTTGAGAAAAGTTCATTTTCTGCTACATAGATTGAAACGAGGCTAAGTGCATTTTTCTTCGAAAGTAATTGTTAGAGATTGTGTTTATCCCTATGTATTTCTATATATTTCATTTTGTTCTAGATGAATGAATACTCTTCAAATTGAGCAAAGCATCATTATCCAGTAATCAAGCTGCTCCTCCAAACAACTTTGTTAACCTATACTCGCCTGCAACAGAATCGTACTAAAATAAGTACGTAGAGTGCTTTAATTGCTTACTAGATTGTCTTTTTGATGAATGCTATTGAAAGAAAGTGAACTTTGAAAAGATGAGTTTTACTATCTCATTAATGCAAATCCTCGAGAACATGTCTAATAAAGCATGCGATCACGCTCGTCTAATATAGTAAGTTTCCAGGTGATAATCCAAATATTTCTCAATATTATTCTTTCGTGACAAATAATTTCATGGCTCGGATTGTTTGTAGGCAATAATTTAAGGGCCCGAGTTGTTCGTGGCATGTGAGAAGAACACCTGTTCTTGATTATTGATTACAACGGTTATTTATATCACTTATTACTTCTTTTTTTAGAGTTAGTTTGCTTTCTTAATCTAAACTCAATTGCTATAGCCTTTATTACACATAATGCAACAGAATTTTGTGTACTAAGAATGTTAGACTATCGTTCATGTGTTCTTCTAAGGATATTCTAGCTTGATGAGCTGAATTTTTATTTAAATACGTAAAATATTTCGATATTTGATTACAGTATCAGCTCATTTATCCTGAATTAAAAAGAAAAGCGTGATCTTTCCTCCATCAGATAGTATTATTTCAATTACGGTGAAGAGAATAACATCGTACTTCTCGTTTTCTATTTCATTTTTTTGCATTTTCTCATCTTTAGATACCGTGTTTAAATTGACGTAAACGTACATTCAAACTGATTGGTTGCTCAAATTTTTTCACAAGTTTTTGGCAAATATTTAACAAAATATGTTGAGTAGTACTTGTAGATCTTCCGGAAGGTGTGTAGAGACTTTCACTTAGAGAATTAATTGACAAAGTAAAGAGTAAGTGTACCACAAAAATGTTTTCACTCCCGGAACTGATCAATCGCCTCTAGGGTAGAATGCGTTAAATTTTGTAAGACACATTTTCTCACTAAATTAAGCTACTTGATGTAAGAAAGGTGGTAGAGGATAATGAAATCAAATGTGAGGAACTCTTACGATTACTATGAGATGAACAGCCTTATATAACAGTGAAGAAAACCTCTGTTGTAAATCAGCAGGCACAACACACTCTTGTTTTACATTGACCATGTCGTGTATAATATAGATCTTTACATAAAACACATCCAGTTTTTTCATTTATAAACTTTCATTTGACATTCTTTGATATATTTACTCGTATCGAAGATGTTATAAGTCAGTCGGTAAACCTTGCAATGTTCTCGTTAGTCCTTCTATTTAAGCTATAATTTTAGCATGTCAAAACAACAGAATAACATCGTTTTTCAGATTAATGAAGACCTGACAAAATACCCTCTTAGAACAGTACAGAAATTAAGAAAAGTTTTCAATCTACGGAAGTCCTGGTAGCATATGTTACGCATATTAAACAAAAGCTTGTATTAGGAGTAGAAGACGATACTAATTATCTAACATGGTAATCAATTTGTTAGAGGAAATGACTTTCTGTATGAAAAAGAATACGTTCGCCTATTTCATTGGAACAATAAGTGTAGAATATAAATAATGAATAACTGTGATTCAGTGACAAAGATCTCATTATTTATCTTCCTTCTACGTCAAAATTTTATTAATACGATCAGTCACTCGATAACTTTCTAACCATTGAAACTTAATTACATTCTTTTATTTCCTACATTTTCCTGTAGAAATGTCTCATTTCATTCATATGAAATCATCAGCCAGCTGATTAAATATCAAATAACTTCTAATTGAGTTATTTGTATTAACTAGCTAGATGAACATATTTGAGCCTGTCCATGTGAAACGTATTTCCGGCACGCTGTATTCATTGAATGATTTATGAGGAGCGCATTCGTAGGACTCAATGGTCTTATAGTTTTAAACGGTTGATTGTACCTAACAAAACCTGGTATCGAACGAGTGAAAATAGTTTTCTGTGCATTCAAAACAACGTGACGGAATCATCTTGCTCCGTGGACAGGCTGAGTTGACTTCTACTATACGACTTTTCGGTTAGTGCTATGTTAAAGAGAAATCTGAGCGCCAACTCATTACACTCGAAAGCATTCGAAGATCAAACTAAGAGTATAGAATAAATAGCTTATTCTTTATCGTATTTCATCCTTCGCAAATACTTGACTGGCAGTCATGACTATTAAAGTTTTATGTTAAAAAAGAAACGGATCTCCTTTGAACCTGCTCGTCGAGGAATAAAATGAAATAGGATGTCCATAAATAGAATTTTTACAGACGCTGAATATGTACAATTCAACGTTAATTCTGTTTCGAAACTAGTCTACTTCACAGTCAGTTACGTGAAAATTCTCCAGAGAGATTGACAACATCCTACGTTCACGCTGCGAGCGTTTTTCTTAACTATGTTTCATGTATAGAACATAATCAATTCTCACAAGCGATCATTCCTACGAAGTGTTAAGTTCTGCAAAGTCTCTCTACTTATAAATGCCTTATGATCCACGTTTTCGATATGTTAGTTCTGCTCAGTCACATAGACAACAATAGTATGTCATCAAGCGCCACCAATATACGAGAAAGATATAGAGCGCATGTAATTCGAGACATTTTTCGTAGTAATAGTGCCCAGCGACTCATAATCTGTAAATCCTTTTCATCACGTAAGATGTTGTCAAATGAGTTACTTTTTTAGAAATCAGGATATTTGGAAAGACAATTCTCTTCTTCTTTGCGAGCACGTTATCACCATTCAACTGAAACTTGACTGCGAATTAATCATTTACACTTCTGCACACGGAGACAGACCGAATGGATTACTTGAAATACGTGCCGACTGACGAGATCAACTTCAAAAATAATTACAGATTCTTCTATCTTTCTTCTTTTCTACTGACGAATACCTGCAGAAGTGTACTATTAATCGACATCTAAGCACCGCCCTAAGACAGGTTGGTTAAATATAAAATTCTCTTTCAAAATATAGGCTAGCATATATATATCAAAATGATTGTTTTTCTTTTAAAACACGAGCAAGGTCGCCTAGATATTAAGTTATCTCTTCTTTGTATTATTAATATTTAGTCAAATATTCAGACGATTCTTAGACTACTCTGAAATTCTTTATTACTATGTCAAGAGATGAGCATATACACTTGGTAGAAAGAAATCAGTTTAGCTAGTCTTGACGTCATATTTTCTAATCTTTTCTGTTTTTTTTGCTCGACAAAAAGAAAGTCAACTATGTAGAAAGCGATAGTGCAGCAACACAACAGAATAAAAATCTCGTGAGAGAAACTAATAAGACATAACTTCTTTGTCATGATTGATGGACGATTATGCCGGGTTGGTATGCTTTAGAAGTATCTCGATTGTTAATTACGTTTTCTGAAGAAAAAAAAACTCGAAATGATAGCTTGCTGACAATTAGTCACATATCATAAATCAACAAAAAAGACAGCAAACGTCAGCTGGAGAAAGTCTTCCTAAGTAATCACTTATCTGTTTGAATTCTAGATATATTCAGTCCGTTTATTTATGGATTTAGCGAACACAACGGTCGAATTGAATTCAACACTGCATAGTAACTTCCTAGTTCTATCACGTGTCCGTCTCATTGTCAAATTTTATCTCTGGCCATTACTTGCTGTTTTCGGTTTAATCGGTAATAGCTTATCAATTCTTGTCCTAACTCGACGGCGATTGATACGAACTAGTACAAACAATTATTTGACTATCCTCGCAGTGTTCGATTCATGTTATTTGATCTTTACATTGATTCTTAATTTTGGCTCGCATCCAAGTTTTACTGAAAGTGTCTTAGTGCAGAATATATTATATATTCTACGCCCTCTAGCCGACTTTAGTTCCAATACAGCAACATGGTTGATTGTTTGTTTTACCCTGGAACGTACGTTAGCAGTTGCAAAGCCAATTTATGCGAAACGAACGTGTTCTGTGCGACGTTCACGTCATTTAATTTGTACATTATTGGTTATTTGTTTTCTAATTTCAACGCCAACTTATTTCGAGGGAACATTTACACGTGAGATCAATGAATGCGATGGTCTCAATTCAACACAACGAACTCGATCGAAGAAACAACAGGAATTATTCTTAACAATTCATCGTTTATACCTCATATTTATATGTATTGTTATTATTTGGATTCCACTAGTTCTCCTCTGTGTTTGCAATTCAATTCTGATCTGGTAAGTTGATCATCCTAGGAGAAAAGAACGAAACAGTTGTTATAAACGTATTCGAGGAGAACTATTCGATCGAGTTGCTATTTTTCACGAAAGATTAGCTGAATACGTTTATGAATCTTTCATATTCATAAAAGTATATCACTTTCTTCTTTGTATTGAACTCATTCTGGTTAATCCATTAGGAAAAAACACAGCATCGTATTACTTATCTATATTTACACAGTTTCGACTTGAAAGTCACGCTAAGACTTTGCGTGATGCAAATCTACTCATTGAATCCGAATGTGTTCTAGGTATGTTCATCGATCACGCCGCTTTGACGTCGATGCTCAGCCAAAGTCCGTCGATGACACATATTCAATGCCTACGTCACCAGTGAAAGCAAACTTCTGTCCCAGTAACTATCAATCATGTTCACCCAACATGCCATTGAAATCATCTTACGCGGCTAATTTACGTCGGCATAGTCGGTCATATATTCGAAAACGTAAAGTAACAATAGTGTTAATTTGCTGCTTATTTGTTGCTTTACTACTATGGACACCTCAAAGTTTATCATTAACCTACGAAACACTGATTGAAAGTTACAGCGATATGTCACCAAAGCGACGAATGGCTTTGTTAATTTTTAATAATTTTGCTAATTTATTCCTGTGTATCAATGCGTCGATTGACTTTATACTTTATTGCTTTTTATCGGAAAAATTCGCTCGAACATGTCAACAGATAATCTGGAGAAAATGTTCAACTCAAAAACTAATCAAAACTCGGCAAGCGCGACTACGTGGTGCTGACCGAGGCTCGTTCATTCTATCGAATACATCGAATAATTCTCATCAACAACAACAGCAGCTAGCAGCAGATACAACCAATAATTATTATGCTCAATTGTACAATTTCTGTCGGCAAACGTCAATTAATCGGAAAAACAAAGTTTGGAAAAAGAAAATGATACAATCATTGACAACCACAACAAATAGTAAAGACAACAATCGTGTTTATTACCGAACAGTTTTATTAGAGAACAAAAAAAGCTCGTTAAATGTTACACAGCAATGTCATCAAAAACGTATGGTTAATTTTCAAAATTCGATGGATGTCTTCTCTAATACCGACGATGATTATGTCAATAACGAATTGAATACATCACTCAACACATCGATCAGTTCCAATAAACAATCGCATTCCGACGTTGTTTATAACTGATAATCGACATGTACATATAAAATCTTATTTGTTGTTCATCTTTTTCGTCCAGAGACTACGTTTGTGAAAAATCAATAAAATAATTAAGTTCTTTTCTCTACAGCTATTCACATTGCTTCAAGGAATATCAATAAGAAAACACTTTCACATCTTTCAATGTGCATCAAATGCAGAGCTGCCAAACGTATCCATTTTGGAGTGCTGTATCTCATTTGAGCACATAGACTTTTCGTATGGTAAACGGAATTTTCATCGCTCTGAATTGGATTCTACAGTGATTTATAGTAAAGAAAAGCTGTGTAGTCCTTTATAAGAGAATCGCTTTATAAGAATGTTTTTCCTCAGAGAAAATTCAAAAAGAGATGGAACTACTACCAACATAGAACATGAACGTTTAATCAATGACTAACTGATAATTCAAATATCTTCGGTTCTTATTCATTGGCAAAACAATTCACAAACACTTAAACAAGACTATTGCAATCTCGAAGTTTAATATCGTCTGCATTTCTAATAACCTAATCGGATTTTATCTTACTTATTTTGAGAAATAATCATATAATCGGTCTTAAAATACACAAAAAACGCTATGCACAGATAACTGTGGAACTGAAAATTGAAATAATATTCTAAAAAAGAAAGATTTCAATCAGAGCGGAAATGCTACATAGCCAATGTTCATTATGCACCGTTAGATACGTATGATGATAAAGTCAGAAAACTGTCGAGTACATTCTTCTCTGCGCACTTCATTTTCTGACATGCAAAACTTTACGATCAGCATTATATGCCTTCGTTACTTTGTCGCCAATGACTCCTAGAGTCTAGAAAAAATTTCTTCTATTGCGTGATGATACCCCGTCTATGATTACTCAATAAATTGCACATGTTGTAGAAGATAATGAAATAGTATTTCGTTTCTTCAGAGAAAAATGTTGTCGCGTAAATTTTCTCTCAAACAATCCCTTTCTCATGGAAAAGTGCAGTGTCGTACTACGTTTGGTACCTAGCACTTGACAGATTTGATACAATGACTTATTTATGCAATAGAAAATACTTTTTAGCAATTCAATTCCATGTTTACGCTCAAGAACTTTTGAACTATTCACTTATTTTGAATTCGTATAATGTACCGACTGCTTCAGTCAGCTGAGTTTTATCTCTCAATGAAAACTCATCCAGACAATATTACTTATTTGCTCGAATGATTGATTTCTTTGAGGAAAACATGCATCCGAATGTAAAATTGCTCAGAAAGATTATTTTTAGTTTAATCAAGATGTCTGAGTACTTTGCCCTAACGGAAATCGAAAATTGTGTTCTATACTACCAGAAAACCTTCATTAAGCTTTTGTGTTTTCTTCCGACGTATAACCTAATATTAGAACTGTTCGTTCAGTGCAACACAATGGAGCAGTGAGTTCATGTCACTATTTCCTCCAACGTATGACATTTGCTATTAAATATTAACCTAATGTGATGCACAGAAAGGGAAAAACGTCATAGATTATTTTATTTTCATTGACATGCCATAAAAATGGGTAAACGTGAATATTTCCGAAGAATGTCGTCGAGTTTTTAAATATTGATTGTTGAAAATGTATTAATCAGTTCTCTTCTGCATGCTTTTGAGCACTGTTCAATAGTGACATCCATTGATGATCGAAATGTCATTCGTTGCGCGCCAGCTGCGCAAATATTTATTCAAGAAAGAAGAAGAATCACTCAAATCAAACAAGTAGTCGACCGGTCATTCATTCTTTTCCTCTCCTCTTCGAATAAAAGCCAATCTGTGTCTTACATTTTCCTACTATGCCAGGCCTTACCGACGAGATTCTTGCAGATATTCGCGATGGTAGGAAAAATTTGTGAGAAAAAAAGAGAAACTATTGAAGAATCTGTTTTCCAGTTTTTAGTTTATACGATGATCGTGGTGATGATCATATTCCAAAGCATTATCTAGGCGAAGCTGTACGTGCATTGGGATTGAATCCAACTGAAGCCGAGATTCGTTTACTTCTTACTGATCTGAATCGAGTTGAACGTTTATCCATGCAGCAATTTCAGGTTATATTCGAACGTCTATGTCGACAAAAGGAATCGGTCGCACCCGCTGACGAATTTGTCGATGGTTTACGTGTTTTCGACAAGGATGGAAATGGTTTGATACCAGCCACCGAACTACGTCATTTATTAACAACGTTAGGTGAACGTTTAACCGACGACGAAGTCGAACAATTGATTTACGAATTCGAAGATAAACAAGGCATGGTTGTCTATGAAGATTTTATCAAAGCTGTGCTTCAACGTTAATTCATGAGAATGAAAACATTTCTTTTTCGTTTTTCTTTCTGTATAAATCAGATCCTTACATATATAAAGATATCGATAGCGTCAGATAATTGTGCTTGTTTGTTTGTTTTCAGAGATTGATTTCGAAAAAGAATTTCTTTTGATGACTCGAACTTACCTTCAACTTCTAAACTTACTCCATCCATTGAAGTCTTCTAGATCATTCAAACATTCCAGTGCTTTACCAACTCATTTTCTCAAGAGAACAATGCGCGCAAAACTCGAAGGTGACCAACGAAGTGATGCGTTGAAACAACTACAATCCAATGGATGGAAATTAGCGAATGACCGAGACGCTTTATCGAAAACATTTTTATTCAAAAATTTCAATCAAGCCTTTGGTTTTATGACGCGCGTCGCTCTATTGGCTGAAAAACTCGATCATCATCCTGAATGGTTCAATGTTTACAATAAAGTTGAAGTTACATTAAGTACACACGATCTCAACGGTCTGTCGACTTACGATGCCCAAATGGCTCAATTTATGGATCAATGTGTTTCGGGCACACAAGATAATAAATAAACGTTTTCCTTTTTTTTTTGAACAGAAAAAAACCTAGTCAACCCCTTTTTGCCTATATTTGGTGTAAGAAAAGCATTTTTATTCATTTTAATAAAGATTGGTGATCGGTTTTCAATAAATTTGAACAATACTCTTCCTGAGGTTAGACAATACTTTAATTACTAATGAATAAAAAAGATCAATGTATATACTTTTGTTGCCAAACTGTACGTGATTATATTTTTTTATAGAACAATGATAGCTGAAACCATGAATGATTATCTAATCGTGGAATATGAGTCTATTTCTCGAGTTCATGCGTAATCAATCTTAAGCAGCTTGTTCATTAGAACTGAAACCAGTTCGCTGGTCAGTGACTTTTCCTTCCTTAGAAAAATTCTGCAAGAAAATAGTGTTTTTCATTAATGAACGTAAATCAATATTCAAAGACCGAAAGCCACAAACACTCACCATTCGACGCGAAATAGATAAACAAGTCTAAGAAGAAGTGAATCTAGATCAAATTTAATGAGCATGCCATTGATCCAAGGATATTCTTAATTAAATCATAAATCGAAAAGGTCTGGACAATTGAAGATAATGGTTACTTTTCATCAAATACATTCAGTTCTTCAACGTGTTGATTCATCTGGCAATTGCATATAATTAGAACAAGTATTCTGGTCAATTTAGTTGATCTTTTTCTCTCTCTCTCTCTCAAAAGACAACACTGAATATTCATTAAATGAAGCAATTGATGATGACGCAATGCGTTTTTTTCTATTTCAGAAGACTTTCTCCGCAAGTCAAAATATCTCTAACATTTATATAAATCATAGATAAAATCTGCATTTCAAGGTATTAGAAATGTTCACTGCGAAAGAATCTATCTGATCCTTATGTCTACAAGAAGATTGAATCTTCTTCTCTTTGTCAATTTCATAAGCTGTTTGTTTGATTATTTTCTAACATATCTAAATCAATCTATAACAGATTTGCTGATGATGCTCATTTTTCTCTCGATGTGTTAGATGTAATTTCATTTCAATTTCTTCTATCATTACTATCTAATAGTCTCATGGAGATGTGTTACGCTGTCTAGATGGTAAACGTAATATAAGCTTCTCTTTCTCACGCTGGCAACTAGATCTATCTCATTTTGATCACCTAAAGTTAATCATTTGTGTAAGATGATCACGTTTTGATCAAAGTCTAGTTTAATAAGACACACTCGATGCGACGTTCTCGTCAGAATTTCGAAATGGAAAATGAGATTCACGACGTATGATAAGGTTCACATTTTTTAAGGTCATTGATTTAATAGGAACACGCGCACGATGAGACATGCTATTGAAGTCTCTTTCTCACAGATCAAAATGAATATTTTCACGCTATTTGTCGAATGAACGGTTTCAAACGACATTTATTCAACATGTCACGGTTCATTGATGATTTTATTAACACGTACTTCTTGTTTATGACATTGATGACACCATTAGTATTCTCGAGAGAAGTGATTAACTCATCTTTTTCTGCTTTTATATCTTTAGTGAATGAAGTAACACATTCTTTGTCCACTTCTTCTTTTTCGCCTTCCTGGTTTCTTTGTGTATGTGTATCTATAGTTCATTGTATTTGAAGAAATATAAAAGGAACTACCGTTCTTCTCTGATCTAGACAGATCATCATCATTATCAACTGCTCATTTTTCAGTCGTCGTGCACTTCAGAACGAAAGGAAGAGAGAAGGAGAGCGGGTTGGCTGTTCATCGATTTTTCTCTCTCTCTTCTTCTCCTCTCGCTCTCCTTCTTTTTTTTTACATCGTTTCGCTCATCTCTCGTTCCATCCATATACATATAAAAAAAAGAAGGAACCACATTTTGGCTCTTACATCTGTTAACGAAGCATACATACATTTTGTGATATAATTAAATCGTATCACGAACTGTACATAAAGACATCTCTGCGTCACCACAACCGTGATCGACATCTGCATATCCGCAATGCTATTACTGATTCTATTTACAATTATTTCAATTACTTCAACCACATCAATTGAAAATGATTCAGGTATGTTTTAAAAGAAGAAATTTATTCCAATTCAACTGATGATTATGAAATACATTGAATCAATAGACTTTTTTCAAGCATATAATATATGCATATTGAACATGAGTTAACTATTTTCTTTAAATTTCATCTGTCTACGAAGAGTTCGACTATGCCAGATGGATCTCAAATATCAAACAAATATCCTCGAGGCGATCACGAATGAGTAGAAGAGTAAATCTCAAATAGAAAGAAATGGACATGATTTTATCACCTTAACGTGGCTAACAGACTAACACTTGTGTACAGAAAAGATGGAAATCAAAGTTCTATATTGATACACTGTTTGAACATGTTCGTTGTTAGTTAAACATAAAAAACATTAGCTAGAGAAAAGTTCATTGGAGAGAAGAATCGGATAAGCTATTGTCATTAAATGACACATATGAGAAAAGCAAAGAAGAGTGTTTCTGTCTGAAGTATGTTTGTCCGTTAAAGAAGTATACCCATTATGGCTCCTTACTAATACGAAACTATGCTTGAGAAGATTATTATTGTACATGTCAAATAGAAGAGAAAAAGAGAATGTCGTTCTATTTTATTAAGATAGATCTGGGAAAGGCGAAAACAATGAAATCATATTCAATCTTGATTGTAATGAGCGAAAATTTTGATGAAAGAATCATTATAGACATGATATACTTATCTGTTGTTTCTCATTTATCATTCTTACGTACACTTTTGCTTCTGACAAATCAGATTAGATGAGCTATTCTTGTTCTAGATCAAGTTTTCCAACCACAATTTGATCGATTATATGAAACTGTGTCTGTTGTTGTCGGTAAACGAGCGTTATTACCATGTTACGTCTCATTAAAAGATGTCAAGAACAACGGCATGGATACGTTCAAAGTAATAATCATATGTTCAAGAGAAAGAGAGAGAGAGAGAGAGAGAGAGAAAAGAAAGAAGAACGATGTAATCATCTAATCAATTTTAGATTATATGGATGAAATTAAATAATAGTTCGATTTTAACAATGGAAGATCGAGCAATCAATGGTGATCCGAGAATATCATTGTTACATGCATATGCTGACGAGTGGAATTTACAAATTGATGACATTGATGAAGATGATGCCGGAACCTATCGATGTTTTGTTAATAATGGAAAGTATAAAACAGTCAGCCTGGATGTCAAAGGTAGATTTGAAAGAAGAACTCGATTGTTACTAAATTTATACATTTAGTTCCACCAAAGATTGTGGACGAATTAACAACAGTGCCTTATCCACCTTCGATTCGTGTCGGCTCGAATTTTACAATAAAATGTCATGCACATGGCAAACCAACACCAAACATTCGTATTCTCGCGTATGACCAAGCTGAAAATCCAAGAAGTATGTATTTCTATATCTACCCGACAAAGATTGAAAGTACTTTGTTTGCTCTTTAGTTATAAGTGATAAGAATGAAGTTACGATTTACAATATATCTCGTCATACAGAGCGTCACTATGAATGTATTGCCAGCAATGGTTACCCACCGGATGTTGCTCGTTCTGTTCAGCTAACTGTTCAATATCCACCTGAAATAAATCTTTTCATCAACGATGAAATTGTCACCAATATGTTATTTATCAATTCCAATGCGAATGACATACGTCTGAAATGTCGAGTTATAATGAATCCGTTTGAGAAAGTCTTTTGGCTGAAGGATAATCAGAAAGTCGAGTGGAATTACCAAATTTATCATCTTGATAAATACATTATATTGGAGATGATTATCGATGATTTGAGAGGTGATTATCCGGGAGAATATTCATGCGTTGCTTCAAATTTGCTTGGAAGAACTTCGCAAACTGTCCAAATTATCTCATTATCACCAACGACAACAACCATGAAAATGGAGAGAATCACTTCGAGACATAAACGACCAAAACCAATGAGAACAACAACAACAACGACAGCAGATGCATCATTGGATTTCTATTCTACCGAAAGTCTAAGAACGATGACTCTTTCTTCTAACGGTAAGTTTTATTCAATCAAAGAAATATTCATGTTCTTTTCTTCGATCATTCGTTTAGGCTCTCAATATACATCTCCACTGATGATCATTGTATGGATTTGCTTTCTATTCATCTTTATTTCGAAAAGCTAAACAAATAATCAGAGAAAATTCAATGTAACTGTGATATGAATCAACATCTTTGTTTTCTCTCAGGTATAAACATTTATTATCAATGAATTGTAGAATTGAATTCTTTTTTTTCTTCTTTTTTAGTGATGTCAATGCTCGTTCTCTTGTCGCTCTATACATATATATATTTGTTTTATATTTTCTTCTCCTTCTTATCTGATTGTCTGTTAAAATAAATCGAAATGAATGATTATTGTTTCAGACATGTCTCGATCAGATGAAATAATGTTTATGTTAACACCGGATATTCAATAAGCTGATAAGATTCAAAGGTATGAATTGATTTTCATTAGAATATGCAATGAACTTCTTTCCTATCTTGACGAAAAACAACACAAACTAAGATGACCTGTGTGTTGATTACATAAAAATGTGATGATGTTTACATATCACATTCTTTCGAAAAGGATTAAATGAAGTTACATGAGATTCATATTCAAATCGACTGATGATTGTCATAAGAAGAAGCGCCCATCGTTTCGGTTTCTACATTTTGATTTCGTGACAAAAGCTAATCTACTGATTAATCGTCTTTGATCTGAGTTTAGTGTCGTATGTTTGACTATATAACAAAAAAAAAACAAATAATGATGAAGTTTATTCATGGATATTCGAGATGATGTGAGACGAGAAAGAAAAATTGACATCGGACAGTTTCATAATGGTTTTACTTTCTCGTACAAAATCGAATGAATCGTTTCAATGTTTATTTTTTCAAATTCGTTTTGAGGATCATCGATCATGGATTGTTTACATTGCAAGATATTTTCGTTTAGTCTGATTTCTTTATTGCTGTATTTTGAAAAAAAGTTAAATCAAACAATCATTTTTTGGTTCATTCTTTTTTCTGGAACGGAGTCTTCTCAGTTGGAGGTGAGTGCTTTGCGAACAAAGGCAGGCAATGCAAATGCAGCACGATGAATATCACCTGTATAGAATCGTGTGTCTATTTGATCAATGAGTTTTTCATCAATTGGTTCGTTTAATTTTTTGTCCTGAAAATGAATAGGAGTAAATAGATTTGTTGACTAATGAAAGGAGGAAGTCACGTTTTCAAGACTGCAGATAAGAAAACCAATTGTGCCACTTGGATAAGTTGGTGTTGATGCAAATGCATATGAAACTGTTGGAAAAATATCACGTGCGAATGTCACAATTTTTTTGATTAAATTTAAATGAAGCCAAATACTTTCACCTTGACAACAAATAATTCCATGTGGAGGTTTAAGAGCTGATTTCAGTAAAGAATAGAATGATTCTTGAAAGAGAGATTCAGCTGGACCTGATTTACAAATTGATTTATTATTCACATGTTTTATTGAATGACTTTTCGAAATGATTACCTTCAGGATCAGATGAATCCGTAATAATCACATCGAATTGTTGTTGATTATTTTTCAGGTATTCGAATCCATCACTCACATTAATCACTGCTTTCGGACTAGAAAAACCTTGTGCCATACCGGGCAAATACTTCTTACTAACATCAATCACATCCTAAAGAATGGCAAATAAACATTAATTATAATCAGAATTGATTTACTTGGTCTATTTCGCAAAGAACAGCTTGTTCCACTTGTGGATGTTTGACAACTTCACGAAGAACACCACCATCACCACCACCGATAATCAAAACCTAAAAACAAAACTTTATTGACTTTGTTGAAATTGGCCAACGTACTTTTTTCGGATTCGGATGTGCCATCAATGGTAAAAGTCCAAGCATTTCTTGATAGGCACATTCATCTCGTTCCGTACATTGAATACAGTTGTCGAGAACAAGAACATTTCCATAAGTTTTGCTAGAAAGACAGAAAGCAACAAGGAAATATTATACATTTTGAATGAATCGACGTGATGAGTTACCTTTTAAAAACTAGGATATCTTGGTATTTTGAACGTTGACGATGAAGAACTTCGTCAATTTCCAATGAGAAAGCTTGTCCAGGCCAAAAACCAGGATTCACTTCACGAAACCATTTGCTATCTTCGATATTGCCTGTCATACGTGCAAAAATATTCTAAAAAATATGCCCCGTAACTAATCAAGTCCTTGATTGTTTATAATGTATACAGAGTGGCCCACGAATAACGCAATCAAATGGTTTATATTCTCTATAAGCGTATTTTCTTTCATTTTCGTGCATACCTTTTGTTTCCTATTCGACAGAATCCTTCGATGAGCTATCTGTCAAAGCTTGCATTTGTCCCTATCATCGATGAAAATATTCTACTTTTGATTTCGATTGCGTTATTTACAGGCCACCTTGTATATACGCAAGACGAAGAAAAAGAGTAACAATCATCCTGCGTAACGTGTTTTTTCTTGTATGTATAAAAAGAAGAACGATAAGTACAAAAGAAAATTTACAGATGAAAAGGAAAAGCGAACAGTTATTTATAGTCATTGTAACTCATGGATGGAAACGTGGGTTAAATAAGGCAGATCGGCGAATAGATGTGTACATAGATAATGGATCAATTGAGAAACTTGAAAGAATGTAACCTCGGGTCGTTGTAAATATTCACTGTTACAATAGACAAGTTCGCTTTTGAAATCACTGTATTCATTGGATGTTGTCGTCGCCGATGATATGTTTGTTAAATGCTGTTTAAATATAGTATTATTTGCCGATGAAAGATCTGGACGGCGATCATTCGCATCAATGCGAATCTTAAATGGTTCATCAGTTAATTGTTCCAATTGCATGATGCCGAGTAGTTTGACAAATAAACGAAATCTACGAAAACGAAATTTTCGTTTTTCTTTTCAATGACGAAACGAACTTGTTTTATTACCTGAGCGAATATTGAGCTTTCTTTCCAATTCCAATAATTGCAAAAATACCTGCGTATGCATATTCTTTGTTATCTGTTCCAAGTGCCAAAAGCCAGTGTGCATAATTTCGAATCAATCGTGTTAATAGCACATCTGTACTTCGTCCGTATTCTAATTGATGAATGATAATTCGATTAATTTTGATCATTAACAAGAGAACACGTTCTTCTTCACCATGAATGATCTTTAATTTACCATTGGTTAACAATTCAATTAATTTCTCCAAATATTTATATTCATTGTTCAATATCTCATCATTACTCTGCTGTTTATTATGACTTAATTCATATTCCGACATGAGATATAATGTTAAGAATGCATTGTATTCACAACATAATTGTATATAATCATCGGTTTTGGTATTTTCAAGTTCTTCGTTCTGTTCAAATAAACGAAATATAATCGACCAATCATGTACACGATCATGGATGAAATAAATGTACAGAATAATTTCGATGAAGAGAATCTTTCGATGTCGGTCTTTCAATGTTCGACATACACTGACAAATAATGGTAACATGGTGATCGAATTCTGACTTTGGCGTATCCAGTCAAGAAAATAAGTTTGATAAGAATTCAAGATTGTTTGTCCGAGTGAACTTATATTGAGGAAACGTATGAGTTCGGTGAATATATCTTCGAGTTCATCAGGAACAAGTAATTTGCCTTGAATAGCTAAAGATTCAATATCATTGAGAAGATTAATTAGTATTAATCGGTATTCATCTTGATTATGTTGATTCTTTGCATTGATCAAACATTGTTCAATCAAACCGAAATACGATAAACGTTTCATCCGTACGCGATCAGTTACCAATGATGAAGAATTGAATTCACAAGCACAACGAAGAATTCTACAAGAAAACAAAACTCATACATATGTATTGAGATTCCCTTCGACTAACCTATTCAAATATCCATCAGTCGATGCTCGTGGCGCAAGAATGAAATCATGTTCGATTTTCGACATGATAGTATTGATTACATTGACATAAATTTCATCATCTAAGTGACTCCAATTGACTGCTTCACATTGGCTTGCTAACCGACTCAGCTGATCATTATTCTAAATGTGAAAACAAAGAAATGAGAAAAAAAAACCAAAACATTTGAATTTCCGAATTTACTTGAACATATTTTGCTTGTGGACTAAGAAAGATATTAATCAGCAAACGAAAATAGTTCGGTACCAACGAATGTATCGTTCTTTCGTCATTCTCGATCATCCACGTATGAATGTCTACAGTCGAAAGGATATGAATAATGAATTCATACAATGATGTCGAAGGAATATTTTCCAGATTATTCGCGCTGATCAATTCATCAAAGATCAATAAGCATTCGATATTCAAACGATAATTAGCCCAAGATAATTTTGGTAAGTATCGATGATAAATATCCATAATAGGATGAGTATATTCTTGTGTTATTAGACATTTCACAATTTTGTACCAGTATTGAAATATACAATGGAAAAATCCTTGTTGATGATGGTAGAATTCATTGATATATTCGTAGAATTCTTCGTATAATTGTAAGAATGTTTTGATTAGTCGTGTTAACATATCACCATGATGGTCGATGATTGTTTTCCATTCGGTTAAGGAAAATAATGAATAGGTTTGATCAATAAACGGACCATAAAGATAAAGAATTTGTTCGAAGATTTGAGACATGTTAAACTCATGATGAATTCGACATTTTTGAATATTTAAAATCAAGATAATCGAATAAATTCTTGTTAATTCGTTCAAACACGGTCGCCAACATTGATATAATTGGAGTAAACGTTTGTCATTATGTTCATCCTAAACAATCACAATACAAAGACTTTTCTTTCTTCAAAATACTTCATCACTTACAATTTGCTTCAGTACGAACGTCTGTAGCCATTGAATCATTTCATCAAGTTGCTGTTTGCCCAGTGTTATTGTCGATGTGTTTTCCAAATAATGTAATTGATCAAGAAATTCTGATAAAACTTTCGTTGGTAATAGTCCACGTTCGACCGATGTTTGAAATTCCAATGGCGTTAAAGAATTGTTCTGTTGCTGAATAAGTTTTTGCTTCTTCCGCATGGTTTGAATACTCTCGATGAGATTACGGAACAGATAACCGATCTGTGAAGGGTACGAATAGTTCAAGATTTGAATCATATGTCCGATGGATATGTCGAATAATTGATTGGTTTGTTCAATCAATGGTAACTCGTCGTAACCAGGTGGATTCTCACGTTTAGCAGCGAGAGTGAAATTATCTACTAAAGAACGGAAATGATTGAATAACGTATCGATGAATGCAGTGTGTTGATTGCTGTTTGAAACAGTTTCAAACCATTGTTTAACATTGAATTTTCGAAACATTTGCAATAGATATGGAGTATATTCAACAAATGTAAACATTTTCGATAGTTTGTTGTAAATATCGATGAATTTATCAGATTGAATCAATGAATTCGGATTAAAATATGGAATTAAACGTGCAATATTTGGACGATTTAAAACAATATATTCCAATATCTTCTGTGGTTGACGAGGATCTGATTTGACAAATATTTCGCCTAGTGTATCATATAATGAATTCAATTGTTCACCCACTGGTTGCATAAATTCGTTATATGTATCATCATAAGCGGATAACAGTGAGTAAAATAGTTCTGTACCATCATCGACAATAGTTGTCAACGATTGTTGATCATTAAACATTGGTGATGATAATTGTCGTGTGAGATCTTGAACGATGTGAATGAGTAATTCAATCGAACGACATATGTCAATATCACATGAACGACAAGCATCAGTTAGTAATTGTTTATGCTCATTTAAGATAATTTCCAGACGTTGATTCGAGGTTTGACATTGTTGTTTCGATTTGTAACGAACAATGATGTATGCTGGACGAGTACATTGATGAACAGGATTTAAAACATTCTGACAGGAAGCTTGGATGGATTGCTAAAAGAAAAAAAGAAGTATTATGTTTGCATCTATAGGGATGAAAGATCATCATCGGGTAATGTTCGTTTGGAATTACCTCCTGAAATTCATTTTTCCACAATAAAGGTAAGATACTCATCAGTGTTTGATCAAGTTCAATTTGTTTCATATGCCTTTGACAATGTGTTTTCAGCCAGTTGACAATCTTCGTCAATTCGGCTTCAAAGACAACTTTCATTTCATTTGGATTGTTGGGTATGGCTAGTTGGTTCGGTGCGGTGTTTGACTCATTAGTAATGATAGTTATTTTAGCACTAGGTGATGGTCGTTGAACGTTGGAAACAAGATCTCGAAGTTTATCCGATGATGTCATAATTTGCCGAGTCGGATTGGTTAGTGAACGTTGATTAGTATCTATATTCGGGTGTTTTCTCATCCATAATTCATTTGTGAACTTAATCAACGTTTCGTAGATTTGTCTTAAATCGACCAATTCAAGCCATTTTATGTCGAATATTCGATAATCTGCATTGAACAAATGAGCTAGACGTTCATTATCATATTGTTGTGGAAGAGAGAGAATGTTCAATTGTGGATCATGTAAACGTGGTTCGTCAATCCATAAAGATAATGAGTGATAGAATGTTGACAATTGATTTGAATAGGGAAGGTTTGACGATGAAAAATATTCACTCGCTTGACATAAGGAACGTTTCATCTGTTTGAGAAATGTTGTTTGCGCTGGACTTTCGAATAAGCGATGGCCAACCCGATGTAAACAGTTGTCGTGCTTCGATAAATAAATGGTAAAGAATTTTTCCCAGACAAGCGGCAATAGGGCATGGGAAGGAGGCATTTCACATGCCATTGAGCCCCAGCGATAGATGGAAAGACTTGTTAAAGGTATGAGCGGATAGTGACGTTGTTGGATCAATTTCTAAAAGTTAAACAGAGTAACGGCTTTTGTGTCAATGAGGATTGCAACAAACCTTCCAAATCTGATCAACTTTGCCGGTTGGATTCAGTTCAAGTTCTGCTTTTAATTCCACCAGAACATTTTGATCGATTTCAAAAGAGTTTTCCGCATTTAGAAAATAATAACTAACAACGGGATACCGTGATAAAAGTGTGGAATCAATCGATAATGATGACCAATAGGTCTGAGTCGATGTCACTGACGATGGTAAAGGTATCCAAGATAGGAAACCTGATCGTGCGATTTGTTGAGTTTGTCGTGGATTGAGTGCCGACTAAATTTAAAGTCTGTTTCCTTTTGTCATCCAAAGTCAGCCATACTTACCACAGCTAATTCAAATAAATGATCCGTAACTTCTTTGTTCATCACGTCATGAACGAATGAATGCGCGAGAAGATTGTCAAGAACATATAGAATTGAACTGAAACAAGGATGATCTTCGCTCGAATAGAGATTATGTTAACTCATACCTGTCTTTATTCCAGTCTTTTAAAGCTGTTAGTAGTTTAAACCAGAGAAGCAAGAGTAAACGTCGAGATTTGGGATTGTCTTCAAGCCAAATGAGTAGATCAAGAATTGCAGCTGTTAATAACTTTGCATTAGTTGTTTCGTCATACGTTCTTTGTTGAATAATGTACGAAGATGCTGTTCTCAACAGAGATGCCGATGTATCAGATACATTCAATAGTGTTTTTAATGTGCTCATGAATCTAAATAAGTGAACGCTTCGAAAAATTCGAGAAGAACATTTTCGATGACGTACGTGGCATGTTCAATGAGATAGTCAACACTTCGTACGAGAATGCCAGACATATCATGAAGGACTCGAATAGCTGCAGCATACTTATTGGCTTGAACGAGTTGTGAGAGGTACTCAATTCCATGCTCAAAGAAACCAGCAGCACTAAAGAGAGACTTTATGGAATTCGTTAGAATAGATCGAAACTTACCTGACACCTGGCTGATCCAAACCAAATGAGATATAATATGCAATTGGACTATGATAATGTTCAATAGCACGTCGAATATCGTTCATGGCTTCATCGGACATTCCATTATCAGTTGAAGGACTTTGCTCGGTTCGATGAATGCTACCCACATGCTCCTGATTCATACTATCAATAAATGAATCAGCTGAAAGACACGATTGATTTAGTTGTAAACGAAGAACAGCTGCCCATATCCATTGATCGAGATTAATCTGGGTATTTTTCATAAAGTTTTGCAACTAAAAACAATCAAGTACTTTTTTTCCAAAGAACAACCAGAAGCAAGATATTTTACTTGTAATTGATTCTCTTTGGATGGAGCACTCTTATCACAATATTTTAAATGCAACTTCAGTAGAATCAAAGCGATTTCGCAATGTGTGGCATATGGTACGCAGAGTTGCTGTTTATCAGGTAGATTTTGCCAATTCATCGTATCGATTAGATGAAGTGCTAATTGAAAAGCAATCGATGATTGAGACAGATCATCGAGCCATTTCTCAATAATGGATAAGTCACTATCGTTTGGCATCCAGATTTCCATTGGTAATGAGCGAAAAAGTCCGAAAAGAACTTTACCGACGGCATCGATATGTGCTGAAGCTAGTTTTAACAAATGACTGATGATTGTTGGGCGCAATGAAGCGAAATGTGCTAGAATAGAACGTCCATCACGCAGTGAATATTCGCGTGAGATGGGATGTAAGCAGGTAATGTAAAAGATGACATTCGAAATTTGGCCGGACTCATCACCAGTTTGTCCGAGATTATGTAGGACTTTGAGAAGAGATAGAATTTCGCTTGGCGTCGAAGAATTTAGCATTTGATCAACAGCGGCACTAGTTTCCACTACATCGAAAATAGAAAATCTTCGATTATTAACAGAAAACTCGGTAAAACAGTTCATTACCGGTCACAGGTTCGTCATCTGGAATCGAACAAATCAGATGAAGCAAACGATTTTGTAATGATGATGGCAGATCGAAGAGAGCGAACAGAGATAATAAACTCCAGCGAACATTTCTGTTGAAAAGAAAAAAGATAACATAGTGCGAAGAAAAATTAGATGACATTCTACCTGCATTGTCTAATGATGTTTTCCACTGAACGATAAATATATGCAAAATAGTGATCTCGCAATCGTATTCGATCTTCATGATTCAAATGTTGTAGAACTCCATCGACATGATATCGACAAACATGAACACAATCGCTGAAATACAAAAATTCATTGAATTCCTTTTCTTCCCAAAATAACAACTGAACATACCGAATCATTTTCCCGATATGCTTATGAAAATTCTTATATTGTGAATCAGCATACGTATCAAAACCACGGCAAAGTATTTCTACGAATAAATCCAATATCGCCAATATGCGTACAGTATTATCATATGTTACACAATGTTGTCTTTGGTTTGCCTGTTCGTTTAAGCTGAAAAGTACGTTCATTAAATAATTTAAATTAAATTGATTCAACAGCGCTATCAAATCATCTTCGTTCAATGTATCCCATCGTAGTAATGCTGCACGTTCTTGTCCATCGGCATCGATGAGCATCCAATGCTGTTGATTTGTTGTCGTGGTTGGCAATGATGAAAGTTGAGGAACGGTTTCACCATTTTCACCTAGCCAGTTTTGTAAGAATATATCACGATTTTTAACTGGAAATAAAAGTATGGCAAGGAAATGAGCGATGTAGCGTATGTACATAGGTGAACAAAGAATTTCGAAGGACGTAGGTAATAGAAATCGTACGAAATGAGTCGCCCATTGATGAATGCCAGGTGGACATCTGAGAACATGATTAATAATGAATAAAGTTTCATTGTAATTGCCATATTTATAGACAACATCAATGGTTTGCTTTAGTAACTGCCGGGTATATGTATAGAAGAGACTATCGCGTGTGCGATAACGTTGAAAATTGAAGAGAATTTCAATGGTATGGAGAAGTTTTTTGGTTGTTTTGTTGATTGACAGGAGATTATTGATGTAGATATCGATTTTCATTTTGTACCAAAGAGTTTCATATTTTAATGCGACATATTGCTGATAAATAATGGCACGTAGTTGTTTTAGTGTATCTTCGATTTCTTTGGCTAAATTTCGATCGAAATTCGCTTGTTCGTAGAGAATTGAGCGTTTCAAATAAACATTGTCGCCACAGTACGAACCGGATTCGATTTTCTCCGATGAAAACGACCAAACATGTGGCAAGAGAGACGCTATTTTTCGTTGCAATACGTCGTACTCATTGGTTAACTGATCGATCTTGGTTCGTATATCGTAGAATGAAGAAATTAAAAAGTAAAACTCGTCATCGTCTTCGTTAGTGTTATTTTCATCGGTTTCTTCTTTTGTTATCAACGAACGATAACGTGGATTATTCGTAATTAGTTTTTCATGTTCGCTTAGAAAATATTCATCTGTAATGTTGATAAATGGTAAATAAGTCTGACGTAATTCCATTTGAAGAAGCGAAGGCTTGAAGTTTTCTATCGAATATGGATCATGAACTGATGTGTTGACTTCAGCTTCGAGAGAAGACAGTGGTGCTGTAGCTGGAGACCATAATGATAAGGATAAACGCGGATAGATGAAGGCAGAATTTTCATAATTGTTTAATGTCGTTGGGAGTACTTCTTCGTGTGTCTCAGTTGACTCGAGTGTCTAGAAAAAGAAAAAAAATACTTTCTCTATAGTGTAATGTTATTTCAAGCGGTTGTATAAAGTAATTTTCCTTGTAAATGAGTCTCTGTATAATCGGATAAAAGAAAGTATCTCGAGATAAATTCTCACCGATTCACATACCGTTGTGCTGTTGATGATTTCGTTTTGGTTATCATTAGTGTTTATCGCTGTTTCTTCAAGAATTGACGTTTGATCAGATTGAAGTGATGTTTCCTGTAGATTATTCTCGATATGTGTCTCAGTTTCATCCTTTAACTGTTCAGATTCTGTTTGGTTCTCATTTGAGCTGATTTCTGCATTCGTCGTTGATTCGTTAACACTTGCTTCAGTTGTTGTAAGATTTTGTTCATTATCTTTTGGAATTTCTTCGACATTTGAATTCGAAATATCAACCGATTCATCAGTAGTTTGATCCTTGAATGATACGAATGTAGACATCTTTAAACTTCATTTCTAAATCGTTACCTGTCTTTCATCAAAAAATTCCTTTAAACCACGTATGCGATCTTCTAGTTGCGATTCTTGATCTTCTACCGTTGTCTCTTTCACTTTTTTCTAGAAAACACACCAAAAAAAGTCTCTCTGAATTCAAACTAAAAGAACTTTTCTACCTTTTCCGAACGTATCGCAGGACGTTCTAACTCAGCCATGTAAAAAAATATATTGCAAGATCTGAAACAAGCGGTACTTTCTCGCTTTTATAATCTTCGCAAAATCATTCACAGATAAAGTGTCATTCTTGAAACGGAATAGAATAAAATAGCAATGTGATAGGATAGAGCAAGCAGCTGACAGTATCGATTCCGATTGGTGCAAACCATCCAATGGAAAACGAGCGCTACACGTACACAAGTTTGCCTTTACGAATTTGTTTACTGATTTAAGCACGAAATTTATTTACTAAATTATTCGTTATAAGAGCAAAAAAGAAAAAGCAACGTCGAGTTTAGCTATGTAGTCGTTGACAGTATAGTTGTTCTGTTGTTGTTGTTGTTGTCATTGTTATTGTTGTTGATGTCATTTCCTCTATATTGCAATATGGAAGTGAAAAAGTCCACATTTATATTTCGACTAGATACCGAAGAATTTCATCGACCATTTGAAACATAAGTCAAATGATGGATTTCATCATGTCTATATATACATTTTCATTTAGATTTATTTTCATTCTCTTTCTTGTACGTCAACGACAATTTGAATGGCAGAAAAGAAGGCATCATCAACTAAAAAGTAGGTGCTTATGATTAAAATATATAAATAGCAGAAACTTGAGTCAAAAAGTTTTTTTTAACATAAAAATTTACTCGTAATATTTGTTTGTTAAGAAATAGGTAAGTGGGGGCGAACTCAAAGACTGTTATTTGCTGGATTAATCATGTCTTATTGACTTTATGATTAGTGTATAATGTTAGGTGAAAATTGAAGTCTATATAAAATCGATTTCATGAGAATCTTTAACAGGTCTTCCTTTTTTTTCTCTCACATTTATCCCAATTCATGAATCATTGATGGAAGTTAGATTATGAGAAATAAATGCGTTCGTAGTCATATGTGGGTGCTTTTGTACTTTCAATATTATATTTGCCAAAGTGTTCAAGGTTCCTCTCCTGAGTCATGACTATCACGTAGAAACGATAAAAAAAACAGAAACACGTCGCTATATAATCACCATTTGTCAATGGAAGAAAAACTAGTGAAGAGAACATCGTCATTTGTATACGTCGATACAGCTCACGTTGTCACTGCATGCCTAGAACAAGCGTCATGCATATTTGACGTATATATGCTCAGGTAGACTCTATTAAGTTGAGGGATCAGATATACCATTGATTACACCGCATTCGTGATCATTGAGTGTATTGATAGGACAATGAGAATATAAACCATATGTTGTTTTATCAAGTCAGTGCGTGTAGTTTTTCTTTTTCTTTACATAAATTCTTTTTCAAAAGTGTTTTACAATTTCAAGATAGATATCTGCTTAGTTAAACATGGGCCTTCGAGATCTTTTCCGTAAGCATAAAAAAGAACATGACATTTTACCATCTCCAACTATGGATGCTAAAACTACAAAACAGCATTCATCACAACAAGTGAAACATGATAAAGATGGTCTAGGAAATGTTACGAAAGACGCGACTGTGTAAGTAGATTTAGAAATTTAGTTAAGACTTAACTATCTAGATCTTAGTTAGACTAACGGAAATGATTATAATGATATTTTGATTTTCAATGGTATTCTGTTTAGACCGTCGAATATTTCGGAAAAATATCGACAATTTCCGTTTCCAACACGTCGAAATGCTGTCACAGATGAATATGAAGTGTCCAAAGAATCCTTAGGTGTTGGTATCAATGGTAAAGTACTCACATGTTGGCAACGTGAAACACGCCGTAAATGTGCATTAAAGGTAGACGATCCCTAATTGTCCAACAACGATATATTCAGTTTGATTTTCGATAGATTTTGAAAGATTCAGATAAAGCGCGACGTGAAGTTATTTTACATAAAAAAGCGTGCGATGGTTGTGACTACATTGTCAAAGTCCTTGATGTTTATGTATGTATAAGTTGAAAATGGAGTGCGCGATGATTAAAAGCTTATTTTCTTCATATTTTAAAGGAAAATATGTACGCATCGAATCGATGTCTGCTCATCGTTATGGAATGGTTAGTTCATTTCATATGCTCTTTCACAACAAATAAATTGAAATCGTTTGGTTTTAGCATGGAAGGTGGAGAATTATTTAACCGTATTAGACAGCGACAAGACAAACCATACACCGAACGTGAAGCAGCAAATGTTATCTCTATGATCGCCAAAGCTGTTGCACATTTACATCATATGGATATGGTAGGAAAAGTTTTGTTCGTATTCGCTAGGATAACAATTGTTTATGACTTTTTAGGCTCATCGTAAGCGTTGCATGTCGTAATAAACAAATCATATATTTTGTCCTTCGTATTTTGTGTGTAGGCGATTTGAAACCTGAGAATTTACTATTTACAAATACAACTGACGAAGCCGTACTTAAATTAACAGATTTTGGATTCGCTAAGGAAGGTAAACCAACGTTTTCACTGTTTTATTGCCATAGAATCAATTCCAACTGAACTCTTTCCTTTCAAGGAAATAATGAACAACGACCATTGAATACTCCATGGTAAGATGAACTTTTATATGTAATCGACTTTTTCCTATGAGACGCATTGAGAAAAGTGATTTCACTCTCGACAGATAGTGAACATAAAACAGAACACTTAATCAAAGTAATCTTCATCGTCTCTTTTTATTACTAACTAAATGATTCTTCATTCTGTCCTTAACGTAAAGGTCATATGGGCACAGTTGTTCTTGTTCTCCTATTATTGATTTTATATGAAGTGAATGAGTCGATCATCGTTCTTCTAATGTCTTTTTCAGTTACACACCATACTATGTTGCTCCCGAAATCTTGTCCAACGATAAATATGATAAAGTAAGGAACACAACTTATTGAAGCACATGATAAAATCGAGTTGGATTTTCTCTTCAATTGAAGGCGTGTGATATTTGGTCGATGGGTGTCATAATGTATATATTACTATGTGGTTATCCTCCGTTTTTTTCTACACATGGTGGTGCTATTAGTGCTGGAATGAAAACGAAAATCAAAGCCGGTGAATATCAGTTCCCTAAGGCTGAATGGAAAAATGTTTCACAGGAAGCAAAATCGATTATTCAAAAAATGTTAACTGTTGATCCTGCTAATCGTGTTACTATTGACTGGATTATGAGATGTCCTTGGCTAACAGGTACCGTGCCTGAAACACCGATTGATATCCGTCCAATGCTCGATGCGGAAAACTACGAGCAAATGCGAGTATGTCAAATGATTAAATACATTTCCATCATTTTCTAATTGATCTTTTTGTATGTTCTAGGTTGAAAGTGAGTCAGTTGTGTCTTCGTTGAACGTTTTCTATTCAGAACTTGTTTTCAGTTGCTGCAGCTAATCATGCACAACGACGAGCAGATGCTGATGATGATGAAAATATCGATCATCTTGGACCCGAAACATCTCGTATTGCCAAACTACGCGCCGCTAAACGACAGCGACAACCTGCTAGTGAAGGAAATACTTCGCCATTATCAAAAATCAATGAACAGGAATAAAACACAAACATTTTTTCTCTCTAATCTTTTTTATATTTACCATATGGAATCATTTGCTGTCTTCATTATCATTAGTATCGTGTGATCATCTTCATAATGGAGATGTATATTGAACCCTTGTATTTTTCTTTCTCTCTATCTCCATTTGATCAACAAATTTGTATCTGTTCTAAACAAATATGTGTTCACGTCTTTGTCGATTCATTCAACTTTTTGCTCTATATATATTTCTATATTTTAGAGGTAAATATTTGATTGAACATAAATATATATCTTAGTAGAAAAAGAAAAAAAAACGAAATAAACATTTGTATCTATGTGCCTCTGCGCTCATTTCTAGATGTTAATTCATGTCAAAGTACTGAACAATCCGGCCTTAGCTGAAATTCAATTACAAGTAAGTTGTCCCTCGATCACTTTCTGCTTTTTATCACTTATTGATTATACTCATAGGTTTCCCCAAATGATACCATACAAGAAATCAAATCTCGTCTTTTCACTCAATTGAATATTCCAATTCATCAGCAAAAATTAGTTCACAAAGGAAAACCTTTACACGAAGGCACATTAGAAGATTGTCATATTGTTGATGGAACAAAATTACATTTGATTTCTTCGTCGCCTACGACGCCAGTATCGAGCAAACCAATTAATAATGCATTTTTGTGTGAACTTCAACAATTAGCTTCAAAATGGCTTCAGAATCCCCAAGAACGTGAAGCATTCGTCAATGCATTTCAAAAAGTACGAACAAACTCGTTAGTACTCGTCGATCTTTGCTTCTTTTTCTAGGAAATGAAGAATACAATTGATCATTTAAGTCTTGATGACATCGAAAAACTGTGTACTGATCGATTAAATCATTCACCATCGTGATATTGTACTATACTCTCTTCTCTATTTCTTCAAACATAATAAACTCATTTCTATATATACAATTTGCCTGAACTCGCCATTGTATGAAATCGAACATTCATGTTTATTTGTAGATAATGGGCTCGGAGAGCAGACCATACTTTGATCTGGATATGAAAATCTTTCAGAAGAAAGTCTACAACTTTCTCGGTATGAAAAGCGATGAAAGAGAATTTCTAATCATGTTACTTTCTAGAACGGCCAAGTCGCGGTTGGTTTTGCTTCGCATATCATTTCATGGTGTAAGTAAGTATCTTAAAGGACAGAAGACTTTTGCCCATATTGAAAACTTTGCATGTAAAAAAAAATCACTTGAAAACTTTTCTAGTACAAAAAAAACCTACAACTGATGTTTGTAAGTTAATAACTTTGTATGAGAACGTTTGTGCCTTCTTTGCATGTTTGTCTAATCTTGCTATTCTAGTTGATTTTGAATGACAACTAAAACTCGCGAAGAGAAAAACTAAGATGAGCTAAACGAATTTTCATTTCTAGGTTTCTGATCGTTTTATTCTGTTTGGTTATTGGTGTTATTTGTACTATCGGTGAATATGAGGAGAAAATAACTCAGAAATTTATCTATGTGGTAAATATGTCGACGTGTGCGAGAAGATTTTCGAGAAGGAATCGATTTTTAGGAAGCAGTTCTGTTGGTTTTTTTCGCATTGGAATATATTATTCGTGTTTGGTCATCAGGATGTCGAGCAAAGTTTAAAGGATGGATTGGAAGACTTCATTTTATGAGAACACCAATTAGTTTGATCGATTTATTTGTTGTTTTGGCATCATCTGTTGTCATTGGATTTCATATCTCTGGTCGTATCGATTCAGCTAATCCAGGTATGACTAGATGGTAAAATGAGCAAATACATTTCTTGATTCGTATTTTTCATTAGTCATGGCCGCGTCACCTGCACTTCGGTAAAAAGAAAAATGTGTGTTTTTAAATATGTACATCATTTCCTCGTTTTAGAATAATTCGATTTTTTCAAATTCTACGTATGTTACATGTTGATCGCAAAGCACATTCGTGGAAATTACTTCTTAATGTGGCATATTTACATCGAATTGAATTGATAACAACTATGTACATGGGTTTTATTGTTCTTATTGTTACGTCCTATCTAGTCTATCTAGCAGAACGAGATTTTATCAAAGAAGGAGTTAAACCATTTGAATCCTATGCTGATGCACTTTGGTTCGGTATTGTCACTGGTAAGATAGATGATGGTTTTGAATTAAGAAGGAGTCACTGCGGAGAAATTTTCAGTTGCCACGATTGGATATGGAGATCGTGTTCCTCATACGTGTAAGTCAAATGACTGCAAAAATATGCTACAGGTTGATTTATCGATATTCTACAGGGCCTGGGAGAATTGTTACTGCTTGTTTATCAATGGTTGGCATTGCATTCTTCAGTTTACCAGCTGTAAGCGAATATTTAAGTCATATGATAAATGCTAATCGTTTGTACGTTTAGGGCATTCTAGGTTTGTCTATCGACGAATGATATGTGATTTCATATTTATTTCCTTTAAGGGTCTGGTTTTGCTTTACATGTTCAGCAAAAAGAAAAGCAAAAAATGTTTCATAAGCAGTATCCAGCTGCAGCAGAATTGATACAAACCGCATGGCGTATGCATGCGACCAGTCGTCTACATCAGGATAATGCTACATGGCGTCTCTACAAACTTGTCGATCCAACATTTGGTAAAAATCGATTTTCAGAATGCGAACAAATGCCTCGATAAGATTGAGATTTTTCTAGCAGAAAAAATGTTATCAAGGTCACGGGATAGTTCCATACTTCGACGTCGACCCGTCGCTCAGTATTCTGGTAAAATATTCCTTTCTAATCAGTACTAATGCAGGTGATATTTCTTTCTGTTTGGTAGGCGATGCACATTCATCTTTAGAGAATTCACCGTTAACGTATCAAGCAGGAAGTCACCAGTAGGTTTAGGAGTAAATCGAAAACTTGAAGATAAATCTTTTCTGTTTGAAGATTGCCCGAAAAATTCAAGCAAGCAATTCGAGTCATGCGCCGAATGAAATTCTTTGTTGCACGTCGAAAATTTCAAGTATGTTAAAAAACCATTTTCAGTCGATTCTCGTACGGAATGGTTTCTAGGAAGCGAGAAAGCCAAGTGACATGACCGAACTTGTCAAACAAACAGCTGAAGATAATCAAGCACTAATGATCAAATTGAAAGATATTCAACGAAAGTAATTATTGAGCAAAATTGAAAACTACAAGCGAATGTTTTGTGTTATTTGAGGCTTGATTCAACACTTGGTTCTGCTCCATTATCTCGAGATAATACAATATCATCGCGTGCACATTCATCACATTCTTTGTCACGATATCGATCGAATCGTTCGTCAACAAATTCTCGTCCTGGTCAAAAAACAATTCTCGAACATTTGCAATTATTTAATGAACGTTTAACAGTAGTTGAACAGCAAATGCAATCAATAAGCAATGTCTTACAACGTATTGATGATCGAATGAATCAATCAAATATGACTTGAATGAACTTTGTCTCTTTTGTTCCGTCGTGTCTGATACTTTACAGTCAAATTTACGTACATATTACTTTTATTCTAGTCTAAGTTTAAAATAAAAAGCCGAAACAAGTCAATGTATAGCATGAGAACACTTTGTGATGTTTTCTTTTTATTATCTAGAAAAACATGAACTACAAGAAAAAACTGACGAGTCTAAACTTGTGTGGTTAGTCTTTGAATGTAATGCTCATAATTTGGCTCTCGCGAGCGAAATTCTCGGAAAAGTTCGCGCATACTAACTGTACCACCACGTGCTAAAATTGTACTACGAAATCTAAAATAAAACATAGGAATTAGTGAGAAATTCGCCTCTTGTGTATGTGTGTGCCTCTTACTTCTTTCCAAGTTCAGAGATTTTGTCTTTCTCGTTCATTCCCACTTCTTTGAAAGCATTGAATAAATCACAAGCAATCATTTCTGACCATTTGTGTGAGTAGTACGCTGATGCTAATTGTTCACAATAGATTTGTTCAAAGCTGCATGGATGAAAGTCACGATTATGCAATGGAACAGACGTGAACGACGGCCATAATTTTGCCATAGCATCATAGTAGTTTGTTGCATTCGTATGAATTTCTAGATCAAATGCACTTAAGTATAATTGTCGGAGAACATCATGAGTAATCATATGCTGGTCGATTTCATTTAAAGCACGATGATATGTTGAAGCGTCGAGAGTCTTTTTCGTTTCGACGTTTTCGCTGATGTAGGGGAGAATGTTTGGATCACGAAGACATTGAACTAAGAAATGTGGGATAATGTCAAGAGCATCGGCTTCTAGGTTGCGAATGCCAGCTAATTCGTGATTCGGTGATTGGGTAAGAAGAACTTGAAGAACTCGACCGAACTAAAGAAATATTAATGATGAGAAATACTTCTCGAAAGCTCAACAGTAAGTACATACAGAGAAAAACATTTCTTTGAGTTGTGCCAATGTCATCAATGTTGCTGTTCCATCGATTCGTGGTAAATTCATATTGAGATAAGCAATTGGTAAGACGTTATGTCGTTGACAACGATCTTGAAAATAAAAATCACATGCGTTTGTAATAAACCACATTCCATCGTTGACTTACCTCGACCAGTAGTAGCAAGACACAATTCTGATTTCTGGTTTGGTCGAGCAAACGCATCAACAAACAAATGTCCAATGACATTTTCTAAAAGAATATCCTTTTATCCTTGATGAATTCAACTAAAGATTGCCTTACCATTTTCTACACATCGATAAACTTGCACATCCGGATGCCATTTGTATTGATCATCAAAATTAGTTTCTAATTGAAATTTGACACCAAAGAGAGTTTCAACAAATTCGAAAAGCCCATTGAGTACACGATCGTATGAGAAATATCGACTGATTTGCGATGAATCGATTTTCAACGATGAGGATAAATCTTGTAATTGTCTTTGACGCCAGTAAGCAACATCCCATGCTTGTAGCTGTTCATATTCTTTCGGTTTCTTCGATTTCTCTTGAGCATATGCAGTTAGTTCACGGATATTTTCATCATGAATAGGCTTCAATTTTGAACGAGTACTCTCGATGAAATCTTGAACTGTTTCTTTCGTTCGAGCCATCTTGGATTGCAGAACAATGTCAGCAAAACAAGAATAACCAAGAAATTTTGCGATTAACTTTCTATGAAAGGTTAAAACGAGAGAATACATAAGAATGAGAAAAAAAAAGAAGAAAAACCTTTTTCGAGTAATTTCAACAATATTTTCCACATTTCGATTCAAGCGATCAACTGTTGGTGAGGCACGACCGTAATATGCTTCGAACAGCAATTTTCGTAACGGACGATTGCCGGAGTATGTCATAATCGTATGAAATGTTCGATCAGATAAATCTAATTTCCACGGACCAGATTCTGGTTTTGATCTAGTCGAGAAAAACAAACTCGGAAATAAGGAGAGTATTTCTTAGGTTCTCTCACTTATCAACAGCGAATTGCTGTTTGATATGATATGGCACATCGTCAAAAGCAAATGGATCCAGTTCAAGATGTGTAAATGTTTTATTCGCGTAGAGCAGCCTTTGTCTATTCGAAAAAAAAGAGCGAAAAGATGATGATACACACACACACGTTCTTTCTACTAACGCAAAGCTGTATTGATGTTGACTAAGTTTTCCATTGAGTAACTGTAATTGATCAAGTTCTTCATTTTGCAAATGACAACCGTTCAGCTTTCCGAAATGTAAGTAAAGATTGATTAAAGTTTGTTGCCAATCTTTTAACTTTGCACGTTTTTCATCAGTATTAAGACTCTACAGTGTACGATCGAGTTTGAAAATAGAAAAGAGTAGAATGTGGTTGGACATTACTTGAACAAGATTGTAGAGAGTTGGATCTTGAAAGCGAAATTCTCGATGCATGGTAAAGTGACCATCGAACTAATTGAATACGAACAGTTGAAAAGTTAATTGAAATGTCGTGACTGACTTTGGAATACAAATTAGCAAACTTTCGTTGATCAACTAACGCTAGCTGACGAATCGTACAGAAACCTGTTTCGAATGGAACATTTAAATCTTCAATTGGATTAAATATTGATTCAAATGTTGGCTTCGATGATTCTACAAAATCGAAATTGTTTTCAAGATTCATCAATTGCTTCTTTACCATGTGCTGTTTTTTCCACGTGATGTTGTATCGCTGTATCCGTCTCCGAACACAATCGAAGACCTCCACTCACAACGGCTTGAGGTGTCGCATGTTCGTAAGATGGAAATGTATCCCAATGAAACAGTGCGTCACTACCTTCGACAACAGGTGGTAACTCAGGTACTCTGTGCAACGATGAAAACATAGAAATTCAATTGTCTGTAGGAACAATAGAATACTTACACGAGATAATAACTATTACGGACAAGTGACTTGGAGAAATGTAATGTGTGTCGATTCGTTAGATGTGTTCGTCTTGCTAGAAATTGTAACATTTTATCTAAAGTAAAGAGATCGTAGATGATATACATCTCTTTATTTAGGTTTTGTTTTTCTTTCATTTTAAAACTCGTTCATATTGCCACGTAACAAATTGCTTTAAAAAAATTAGAAGCCACCAGAAGAATAAATTAACATAGGATTCAACAAGAAAAAGAAACACAATTCGAAAGCATATAAAAGAGAATAACCGAACATAAGCCAGTAATAAAAAAATGATCAGGTATTGCATAGAATAAGACAAAATTCACTGGAGATTCTTTGGAAGCAAGACATGGATTTCTCCTTATCAGCTCAGATAAATTTCACTCCACACCCATTTCTGAGCTGCTGAATTCTCATCACAAATCTCTAAAAATAATCGTTGGCCATTCGTTGAAACACATTTATCAACTTTCTTTGAGCGAATTTGTCGTATTTGACTGTCGTACGTCCATTCACCTTTCGGTATCCATTGGCCCATTTGTACACAATGTCTGGTAGAAAGACAAAAAAGTAAATATGATATGAGATAACGTTATGTTTTACTTTGCAACAACGGTTGTGCCTTCGGATACAAAACAATGTTCACCTACTGACCATTCACCTTCAACATTTAGACGAAACAATTGATTACCACCTTGATGGTGACAGCCGGACACACCAATTGGTCGACCATACTTATTGTCGTATACATCAGCGCATGTTTGAGAATAATTTTCATTGCGCATCTCACCCCAAACCAGATTTGCTGGAGGCAACGGATATTTTGCTTCCATTTCATAAGCAACTTCATCCAAAAACCATTTAAAACTCGAACAATTCAAACTTTGGCGTATCGCTTTATAAGCACTCGTATCACCGATGTCCAAACGGGCATGATGCGGATTTCGTCGTAAGTAATATTCTTTATATTCGTCCATCCATACCTACGATGAGATGAACAGACTTGTTTATACGAGCAGATTCTGGTGAATACCTCAGCAACACGAAGATGATTGATATGACTTTGTTGAGGATTTCCGTCTCGAGGTTGCATAGCGCGCCGACGAGGGCCTCGATAGATGTGTCCAACATGACTGCAGCTAACCCTGAATACAGAACAAAGAGACTTTGATGAGCGAAAGCTTGTTTGTTTTCATTTACCATTCGATCTGACCTCCACACATCCAAACCTTAAAGCTCAATTCATACTGTTCGCCTAATAATTAATGCTATTATAGGTAAAAGATGAGCAACAGAAGCGAAATTCATACCTCCCCTGCAAGAGAAAAAAGAAGTGTTATATTTCAGAACGTCAAAGGTAAATTCTTAAAATATTTACCAAATTTTAATATCTGGATCGTAACCACCCAATTGGAAGAACCATTTCTTATCAATCGCAAGTAGACCGCCAGCATGCTGTAAACAAGAAATTTCTCGTTATTAACGTCAAAATGATTGCATTCTTATCTTACAGTTGGACTCTTATATGGTTCAGTTGGATGTTTCATTAAATTTCTTTCCCGTTGTGATAATTCAGATTCTTTATATAAAAATCCCCATTCCCAGATGCCTCGATAAAGTGTTCCGCCATACGCGGTATTATGTCGAAGCGTATTCCATTCAATGCCATCGACAATCGGCACAGCTAAAGTTCGTTGATTCAGTGCGATTCGAGTCAATAATGGTGGTAGCCAATTAGTTACCTAGTGAAAAAGAATGTGGTGATAATAAAACAACATATATTGTTCTTACGCATTCGCAATGAGCATCTAAAATGACAATAACATCACCTTCACAAATTCGAGCACCGATCACACGAGCTTCGACAAGTCCAACACTAGAAAAGTTCATCTCGATCAGCAACTCTCGTTTTTTGAAAAGTGAACATACCGTTTTTCAGTCCGAGTATATTTAACAAGACCATTCCATCGTTTGATATATTCTGGTAAACGAACAGTGATATGCTCCTGATCACTGTAATCATCAACAAGAATAACATCTTTTAACAATTCTTTTGGACTTGTATTGATCACAGAATGAATCGTTCGGACTAACGTTGACCATCCTTCATTATGAAACACCAGAATAACTGATGCAGTCGGTAGTTTCTCAACGCTTGGATAATTCCAATATTTACATCCAGCTGGCCTAAACAATATACAATAGAATTTATCTTTTTGAAAATTTCCTCTTCAATCATCGCACCTTGTGTCACGTGCACGACGATCCAATGAGATTTTATCACTTGCAACTTCATTGAAGCCATATTCTGCAACGGATTGTTCACCGAGTTTAACATCTTCTCCTTGCAAAACCACTCCTTCACCTCCTTCACCAGGACCTGTAACTCGACGAACATCTTGTTCTTCATAATTTCCTAACACACCTTTCGTCATAAATGGTTCCAGTTTCGAACGAACATTTTTCCTTTTTTTCACTTTTGAAATCTGTTTGGAATTCTGATCCCTGTCGATCTGTCGAACAGCTATATGATGTGGAATGTCCTTCTGTAGTTCAGCGTCATCGTTGACGAGATGTGCTTGAATTCGTGGTGATGTTGAAACAATATCAGATTTGTCAGAAGTAAACGAACGGAAAAAGACGAAAACACATGTAAAATACAATCCAGCAAATATGATTAAATATCGTCCTAAACGACCTTTGATCATTTCGAATAGATGACTTCGAAATTCAAGTGATTATCTAGAAATAAGAACAAACAGTTGAGTTGTGTACGATTTCAGCAATGTACATCGAAATGGAAAAGAAAAACAACGCGCCACACGTAATTTTCCGTCTCTTATCATCGTGAAAATTCGAAAAATGTCTAGTTTTGGTAAAATACTTCTATTAAGCGAGGAATCATCTGATTCCTTTGTATAAATATCTAAACGATAAAAATACTATTCAAAGAACTAGATATCGATGATTTCGAGTCTCGCTAGTTTATTCAAAAACGGATAATTCTTGCTCGATTAATAGAAAACTATGCTTTAAAATTTATTTTTTCGTTCACGCAATTCAGCCATACATTCAACTGGATCTTTTTTACCGGTAAATGCTTGAACACTCGCTTGATTCGTACGCATAAATGGATTAAACTTCAACTCATCACCAATCGTCGATGGAATGGTCACCGATTTCAAACTTGCTTGTTTAGATTTCAAATCCTGATTATCCGGTTCGACCGTTGCTGCAAATTCAAGATTCTTCTTGGTATATTCATGTCCACAATACACAAGCTAAAAATATTCAATGTATATTTAAAAACGAAGTTAAGATATTATACAGTTTTAGGATCAAGTGATGCGAGTTTCTGAAGACTTGATTGCATTTGTGCTGCTGTACCTTCAAAAAATTTGCCGCAACCGCCAATGAATAGAGTATCACCGGTAAAAACAGCTTGTTCCCTTCCGTCTGGAATGATTTTTATTTAGAAAATAATGAACAAACAACTTCCATGTTTCTCACCAGAAACAACGTAACATACATGACCAGCTGTATGGCAAGGTGTTGACAAACAAGTAACTTCTAATTCTCCGATCTATTGCAATAGGAAAACTTGATGTGAATATATGGAAATAGAGAAATCGAATACTTGAAGTTTTTCATTGTCTTTAACGGGATGTGTCAGAGCTTGTAATGATTTATCACCACCGACAACTTGTATTTGATCTTTTTCCGCGCCCATCATTTCGAGCATCTTACTGTTACCACCAGCATGATCATAATGATGATGTGTAGTTAGAATAGTCGTTAACTTTAAACCTTCGTTTTTGATGGTTTTCACTAGCTAATCGTACAAGAATAAAGGAATATAAAGTTGATATGTTTGAGAGAATATCTACTTCGGCGGGTTCAGCAGGATCTACCACAGCACACTCGTTTGATTTGTCACTAGTGATTAAATACATATAGTTATCTTCTAATGCATTGAAATGACGAATTTTCATTGTGCGAGAACAAAGATGATGAATAAAAGATGAAAATCTGAAGCAAAAATAGAAATCATATCTTTACAATATCAAGATTTTCTAGTTTTAGTTCAAGAAACATTACTCCGACTTACTTCAACAACGACTGATGTCGTACAAGCATAGTCTTATGTCTATCTGGTCAAATGTCGAACTTTTCGATGATAAACTTCGGAAAAATTTTCGGAACTTACACTTCCCGTAGTCGTATATCATGTTGTACGCTATGCTGTTTATATTTCAATTTCATTGGTCAGTCATTTTCGACATTGCCAATGTATGATGCATAGTGTCATCTATATTAACATTACAAATCGTCTACAGCTGACTTTTTTGCAATTCGGACTGTTATTTTGGATAAAAATAGTAGATAGAGCTCGCCGAATCAAATGATTTCAATACTGATCTTTGAAACTGTCGGTAAAGAATGTTGCTCTTTATACGTATACGAAATAAAAATAATAGATGAACATTATGAACGCGTGTGGCGTGCGAAAGTGTGGAGTCTGTTCACTATATTCTGAATTGAAAAGTAGTTCAAAATTCATTCGATTGTTACCATTTTGAAAATGTTCCGAAAGAGATTTCAAGTTCGATATACACAACATGCACAAAAATTGCGTAATTCTTTGCATGCCTAGAATTCATTCGAAATTCTCATATGAAATACAACACAGTGATAAAAATGACTAATATTATTGATGAATAGGTGAATGTAAAGTCTTGACTCATTTTTCATACCTGGAAAAAGCAAACGCTCTGTTTTCTCTGACGATTACTCATTTTCAAGCGACAAAATTGTCTGTATATAAAGCAAACATGTATTACTAATTCTGTAACTTTGCTTTTGGTTTCTACAGACGAAGAACACATCTTTTATTTGCGAGATTAAGGTTTTCAGAAAAGAACTGGTCGATCTTTTATCGTTTTCTATATATTGTTAGAAAATATTATAAATCAATGACTCTAAATTACATGGATGCCATAGAGGTAAATTTTAACTATTATTATCGTTGACCAGTATACCTAATGTTATTTATTTACCAGAAAGGTAAACAACTTGCTGAACGAGCTACGGAAGCAGACAGACAACGTGATTACGAAACGGCTGCAGGACTTTACATGGATGCAAGTAATTATTTCATGCACGCAATGAAATGTAAGTATTGTAGGTCTATATTCAAACTGGTCAATGCATTTCCATTACTAGATGGAGCTATGAATGATGCAACGAAGACAACCATACGAACAAAAGTCGATACATATTTGAAAAGAGCAGAAGAGATCAGGAATAAGCAACCGTCGAAACAAGCAGTTGCTGTTTCGGATGCTGCTCAAGGCAATGATGGTGGCGTCATAGATCCAGATAAAAAGCGCACTATGCAACGACTAGAACGTCAGTTCCATTACGTCTATTTGTTAGATATAGGTAACAATGACTTTATTGAAATTTTAGAATCGATCGTTGATAATCCACAAGTTTCATTTGCTAATGTCGTTGGTTTGGATCAAGCAAAACGAGCACTGAGAGAAGCTGTTATCTTACCGATCAAACTTCCAAAACTATTTAAAGGTAGATTCATGTCTTTAGTGAATAATAAACATGCAATAAAGTGTGATTCTATATTTTAGGACAACGTAAACCATTTATCGGTATTCTGCTCTATGGAGTAAGCCACCATCGATTCTATTTCTCGTCATTTTATCTCTTCTCTTTCAGCCTCCTGGTACTGGAAAGTCCTATCTCGCTAAAGCAATTGCTACCGAATGCAAAAGCACTTTTATCTCAGTCACTTCGTCTAATCTTCTCTCGAGATGGCTCGGCGACAGTGAAAAGGCTGTTACATGCCTATTCGAGCTCGCTCGCGAACGGAAACCATGCGTTGTATTCATCGATGAAGTTGATGCACTCTGTGGACAACGCAATGAAAATGAGTCAGAATCAGCACGACGCGTGAAAAACGAATTCCTCGTACAAATGGACGGTATGTTCGACCTTCCTTTGAATTCAAATCATATAGATCGCCGTCGGCATTCGTTCTTGTTATTTACATGTATTTATTGTTAGGTGTTGCAAGTGACAATTCTGGTGTGCTTTTTCTTGGTGCAACTAACATGCCTTGGGAACTTGATCAAGGCATGCGAAGACGGTACTCTCTGATGCTTAGGAATATCGTTACAAGATAAGTGTCGGATGTTTTATCGTTGTTTTAGTTTTGAGAAGAGAATCTATATTCCACTTCCTGGAGTCAATGAACGTGCTGCCATGTTCAAAACACACTTAGGCGTCAACACATATCATACCATCAAGGAACACGAATGGATGCAGTTAGCACAACGTGCTGAGCAGTAAGTAAAACATGGTATATGTAAGAAGTGGAGGAGTATATTGTACTTGTGTGCATAGCTACTCTGGTGCTGATATAGCAGTTGTTTGTCGTGAAGCGTTACTAAGACCTATACGACGACTCAGCGATGCAACTCATTTTAAACAAGTTCGTATCAATAAGAAAAAACTTTCGATTTTGAAATATTTTTCTCGTAGATGCCAAATCCGAATGTTGATCCCAATGAACCTACTCATCTCTGGTTTCCTTGCTCACCAGGAGATGCAAGTGCGAAATCGCTGACATTAGACAATATAGATCCAGATGAAATAGGTGAACCACCAGTAACGATGGTAAGTTGTAGCAGAGGAAATGTTTACTTGTAGAAATTTATAATAACATCCATCGATTTTTGTAGACTGACATGTTAGCTGCTGTTGAAACACAAAAAGGGACAGTATGCGTAGAAGAGCTAAAGAAGTATGACGCATTTACTGAAAAGTTCGGCCAAGGCGGTTCATAAAAAAATAAAACTCTGTCCAAATTATTCATGTCACTTGCTAATATGAATCCCGGCGGTTTTATGAACTATTTTTTCCGAAGTTATGTACATACGCGTTTATGACTTTTATGATACAAAAGACTTTCAAGTTTGATAATAAACGAAAATACTACGGTCCTACAACGCTCTGTACAAATTCGTGATATTGATTAGTTTCAATTGATCGGTATAGTCTTCCTTTGATTGTTTTAATAGAAAAGCTTTGAAAAGGTCTTGCTAATAGAGATTTTCAACTTTTATTCTCGAGTTTCTGTTCCGCAAATAACAGATGAATAAACAAAGAAACCTAGATGAACACAAATCATTGTTGTTCTATGGCGTCAGTCGCTTTGTTTTTCTACAGCAACTCCTGCCATCTGAAGGAATGATTAATAAATATTGTAATGGAACGATAAGAACGGCAAAGAGAAAATTCGAAATGATAACAAAGTAGTTTTGAAAATTTTGTTGTATTTATTATTTTTCGAATCATTTCGTGTGTGAATGATCATAATCATTTGATTAACTTGGAAATTTTTCTATTCGACTATCGTTGTCAGACAAACAGAATTCATTCATTCATTCATTTTTATTCGAGATTATGATGACTCATGCCTTATCCCACACTCAATTCAATTCGACTCGATCACGATCATTCATGTCATGTGTATTCGAAAGGATAAACAACGTTTCATATTTTCTCCTGTTGAGTTTAGTCAATATTTCAAATGATGAAGTAATTCTGTCGATTACTCATTTCTTCCATTTCAGATATGAATTTATCTTTCTCCGACTGTGTGTAGCCTCAGTTATATTTATTGAATATTTTTTTAACAACTCTCAAATCTTATCATAAAATTATTAAAACAATGAGTAGTGGTCAAAGTGATTATATTCAAGTAAGAGTTTAATCGTCATCTGGAAGTTTCTGCATACGGCGTGTTTTCTCAGAAAGGTATTCGAAGTGCTGAGCAAGCGACAGAGGAAGATAAGGCACATAATTATGAAGCTGCGGCAAAACATTATATGACAGCAGCAGAATGGCTTATGCAAGCAAGAAAATGTTAGTAGATGGAGACGAAGGCTGATTAATGATCTTTGGAAATCTATTTTAGATGGATCGATGAACGCACAGATGAAACAAACAATTCTGGCTAAAATAGAAAGTTATGTAAAGCGAGCAGAAGAAATCAAAGAAATTCTAAAGAAAGGCCCGACGAAAAAGAAAGCTGTTGCTGATACATCTAACGGACGCGGAAATTCGAAAGACAACAAAGGTGATGATGATGACAATGCAGATCCAGATAGAAGACGCATGATGCAAAAGTTCGAAGGTATAGGCTAATAAAGATAATGATTATCCATATACTAGCGTTGGTTGATATTTTCAGGAGCTATTGTTACCGATCCTAACGTTACTTTTGCTGATGTCGTTGGATTAGAACAAGCAAAAGAAGCATTGAAAGAAGCTGTTATCTTACCAGTTAAATTTCCTCAACTTTTTCAAGGTGAGCAATTCACAGAAGAGTTTTGATTATAGTATATGATGACATTTCTGCAGGAAAACGCAAGCCGTGGGCTGGTATTTTACTATACGGAGTAGGTAATCATTTATTCCGGTCCTTCCTCATTTTATCTCTTCGCTTTCAGCCGCCTGGTACTGGAAAGTCCTATCTCGCTAAAGCAATTGCTACCGAATGCAAAAGCACTTTTATCTCAGTCAGCTCATCTGATCTTCTCTCGAAGTGGCTAGGAGAAAGTGAAAAGGGTGTGAAATGTTTGTTTGAACTAGCTCGCGAACGACAACCATGTATTGTATTCATCGATGAAATCGATGCACTTTGTGGACAACGTAACGACACTGAATCCGAATCGTCAAGACGCGTTAAAACTGAATTTCTTGTACAAATGCAAGGTATGCTACTTTCCCCATGGTGATATATACAAATACGGACACAAGCATGTTTGTTTTCAGGCGTGGGAACGGATAATTCTGGCGTTCTTGTTCTTGCTGCTACTAACATTCCCTGGGCGTTAGATACAGCTATTCGACGACGGTATGTTCTGATACATTTGTAAGATAGACGTTGGATGTGTTGTTGTTGTTCTAGTTTTGAGAAGAGAATCTATATTCCACTTCCTGGAGTCAATGAACGTGCTGCCATGTTCAAAACACACTTAGGCGTCAATACATATCATACCATCAAGGAACACGAATGGATGCAGTTAGCACAACGTGCTGAGCAGTAAGTAAAACATGGTATATGTAAGAAGTGGAGGAGTATATTGTACTTGTGTGCATAGCTATTCTGGTGCTGATATAGCAGTTGTTTGTCGTGAAGCGTTACTAAGACCTATACGACGTCTAGGCAGTGCCACCCATTTCAAACAAGTATGTTATTTTGCTCCTTAATGACATTGGTTTTCTAGCACGATATTTATTCTTTATAAAGGTACCTAATCCGAAACCTGACGGACCTCGATTGCTTTGGCTAGCTTGTTCACCGGGTGATCAAGGTGCTGTAGGAAAAACATTAGACGAAATTTCATCAGAAGAACTATGCGAACCTCCTGTATCTATGGTTAGTCATTATAAAAGATCTCTTCTAATAAATTATAATAAACACTGATTGTTTGTATCTATGTAGAGTGATATGGCAGCAGCACTTGCTACGCAAAAGCCAACAGTAGGCGAAGATGATTTAAAACTGCAGCAAAAGTTCACACAAGAATTCGGTCAAGAAGGCTCTTAAAGTTAGCGATGAAAGCAATGATAAATTTTCAATCAGCGGTATATCTGTTCGCGTATAATCATGCTACTTCTCTTTTTTCAGTTTCTATCTGTTTGTTTATTATCTACTTCTTTTGTAAAAAAAAAACAAATGTTCTCTTCTCCTTACTCGATTCAATATCGTTTGATTATTTTATTCGAAATCAATGAAAACAAAAGTTATACACTAATCTATTGAGAATTGCCACTTTGGCTTATATACATATACGATAAAGTGATGGTTTTTTAATTGCTCCTTGAGTGTATGAGTAAAACTTTGCTAAGACGTCAATGAAATTTATCTTTATTATTTGGTTCTTACTGACCACTCATAATAGTTTTCAACAGAAGATTATTCACGAATGATAGAAAAAAGAACACAACAACATTTTATGATGACATCCCAATTATCCGGTTACATCGAGTCATTGTTTTTTCAACAGTTGTGATGATCACTGAAGTTCATAGTTAAAAGCGCGAACTGCGTTTACCAATCAGAATGCCTTCTGTTGGATAACGATGTTTTCCGCTTAGGTTACGTTCGGCTAGATAATTGCGTCTTCCAATTAGGATACCTTCGGCTGGAAACGATCGTCGACCGATTAGTATGCCTTCAACTGGCAGTTTTCTTTTAGTCAGATTTGGTTCATCACCAAGTGTATTTAATTCATCAAACGTATCAGAAACTATCGGTACGGCATAACTCATTTTGACAGCAAATACCACTAAACATACGAATTTCACTAATCGTTACCAATAAAGTAAAGAAACTTACCAAACAGGATGGATAGAATAATGAAGCACTGCATGGTTCTTCGATTTAGTGCAAGAGAGGTCAGATTTGAAAGTGAATATCTGCAAAAAAGAGATACAGCCTACATTCAGTTTCAAATGCAGACAAAGTGTATATGTTAAGTTAAGATATAAGTGATAGAACCATTTTTATTAGTCGTTCATGAGACCAGAAGCCAGTGGTATACTAAAGGTAGGTTAGGTTTCAAATACCTTTTACTTCAACACCTCCAAAATAGCGTATCTATAGTTCAGCTTTGTCACGATATAAAAAAAAAGAGTGGAAGTTTACAAATGTATGTGCTCTTTTAGGATTGTGAGAATATAGTGCGGAACTTTGCGATTAAATATTTTTGAATACTTCTCTCTTTCTCTCCATATACTTTAACTTGTTCTCCTATTAGAAAGTGCTCTATACGCTACGCTGGTTCGGCTTAAAAACTGGCATTCTCTTAAAATATTTACAAACTAGAAAATAATTAATAGTAGATGGAAAAAACACTTATCAATATAGACCCTAAAATTACATACTACCTTCAGACAACATACGGTTCCTTCTATCAACTCTGAAAATTCAACATCATTATGAATGCGATGGCGTAGATGAATTTTAGATAAAATTCAGTTGAGTAGGAATAAAATCAGCAATGGTAGATTGTCAATAATAGGAGTATACGTCAATAAACCAACAACATCAACCTTTCATCTTTCATACAGGTTACACTCAAAAGTTCATTTCAAGGAAGTTTATTCCAATATCGATGCTCTTCAAATACTCAGTTCGAACATTTGAGAATGACAAAATTTGTTCAGATTAAACTACACACCATCGTCATGTTTCCCCAATTTCTAATATCTATTTCACCTATATTGTCGTCACACGTCTACGTTGAACACACGAGAGTAGGCGCTCCCACATTTACATGATTCTTATCACCCAGTCATTTCCGACAAATTTAAATTAATTTAACAAATGTTGCTCTGGCGGTTCCGTGTTTCTACGAACCCGCAACTTTTCGTCATCGCAACTAGAATTCCGCAGCTTTGGAATTTTTACCTCTTGGTAAGTTGTAATAAGCAACGTCCGATTACCGTAAAGTGCACGAAATCTAGTTTGTCTATACACAATTCATTTTCATACATATATCCAATTCTTCATGTGCAAGAACGAATAGGACGTCTTGCATTTCGAGTCAGCCAAATTTTACTTACTTCAAGTTACTAAGAGGTAAATATTTCAAACGGAGGAATCTTAGTTGCGATGACGAATAGTTGCGGATTCGTGGAAACATGAAACTGCCAGAGCAACTTGTTTTAGAAAATGAAAAATACATCGGTGAAAAGGAGTAGTGCATGTTGCACACGAAAATATATCGATGAAATTAATTTCTAATGGAATGCGAATGTTATCATTGTTTAAGTTGAGATGGTAGTGGGTTGGAGAGAATGATGAATTTTGCTCAGAAGTACATATGTTCCATTATAATATGTGTATGATTATGAGAAGATCAACAGGCTATCAAGATGTTGTGAATATGAATTGTTGATACAACTTCCATTTATGTTATTAAATTGTTAGCGATTAATTTGAAAATGGAGTATAAGTAATATATTTATATATGGGTATAGGGAAGTCACGGTAGATGTCGTTGGAGAACGGTTAAGTCAAGAATAATGAGCGATAATTCGCGTAGAGGGTAACTCGGATTTGAGTATGTGGCTATGGTTGGATCGTCTACTTGCGAAAGATAATATAAAATTTCTTCGAGTACGTTTTAATTAAGTTTGCAATAAGAAAGTTACACGAATTTCATTACAGATTGTCAGTGTCGATTATGGTTTCGAATTCGAAAAAGGAGAAAAGTTCGGAGAAACGTAAGTAGATGCATTGAGTTCCACTCTGAGTCAAATAATCACTATTTAGATAAACATCGTAGCGATCACAATCGTGTGGAAAAAATACGAAAACGCGATCGACGTTCACCATCCGACGATGATCGATCTCGGTCTGCGACACCAACGAAATCGCAAGCGAATGATACATCAGACAATGAGCGCGAAGGAACTGAACGTGCATCGCTCTCCATAGAAGAAACAAACAAATTACGGGCCTCTCTTGGTCTTAAGCCATTAACCGTCGATGCTGGTGCATCGGGAGATTCTAATGAGCCAAAGAAAAGTGGAAATAGCGATGAAAATTTCGTTCATCGACCAGCAGCTAATCTTACTGAAAAGAAGAGAACCGAACAAGTCTTGGAAAAACTTGGCGTCCAAAAAGAAAAACGATTATTGCAAGAAAAATTCTTGTATGTATTCGAATCTGAAGTTGCAAGGAGATTCATTAGAAACGTTTCTTTTCATACAGGACCACACCAACTATAGCTTCTGAGCCAAGCGAATCAGCTGTCTCATGGGTGGAAAAGATGCGACAAATGGAGGAGGAAAAACGTAGAGCAGCTGCACGCGTATGTATCTTTCAAGAGTTGAATGATTAATCTTTGTCGATTGTTTACTTTTCTAAGGCCAAACAACTTGAACAAATGGATGAAGAATTCAGCGTTGGAAATGTCATGCGTGATGAAGCCGAGAAACGAAAACATAGAGTAAGATCTATCGACACTTCCGTTAAGTTTACATTCGCTTTATTCTGCTTTCGTTCTAGAAATATGGAGCGAAGGATTTAACTGGTCTTCGTATTGAACATTCAATCGATGAATTCAAAGAAGGACAACAAGTCATATTAACATTGAAAGATAAAAGTAGATAAAAAAAGACCTTGTGTATGAACGAATTAATTGTTGTGTATTCTAGAAATTCTTAGCGACAAAAAAGCAGGTGAAGATGACGATGAGGATGATGATGAAGATGTTTTAATCAATGTTAATATTACGGACAATGAACGGGCAAAAGAACGTGTTGAATTAGCAAAAAAGAAAACGCCTGGTTATCGATCGTATAACGATGATGATGACACGCCGGATCAGTTCGGAATGGTAAGTTGGATTTTCGAATGAGGAAAATACTTATTTTCATTTTCAATTTAGTTCAATCGTAATAAAATGCTTGAACAATACGATGATAAGAAGAAATCATCATTTCGATTAGGTAAATCGTTTGATATTCTATCTGGAAAGACAGAAGTAGAGTTTGATGTTATTGTTTAGATACCGGAGGTACATACGATATGGCTGATGAGAAATTCATGGACAATATGAAAGAGGAAATTCGAGCACGAATGCAGAGTTTAACTGCAGCAGCACCAAAAGTAGCGAGCGACTTTTATACCGCTGCTGAAATGGTAAATATACTTGAATTGCTTGTCAAGGAGAGTCAAATCTATGAAAATCTTCTTCTCTAGGAACAATTCAAAAAGCCAAAAAAGGTAACTAAGAAAAAGCTTCGATCACGAAAAATGCTCAAGGCTGACGACCTATTAGCCATGGATAGTAGTGAACCAAATGAATCATCGGCATCAGTGTCACTACGTCCGGCTGACGCTCGCCGTGCTACAGCAATCTCATCATCATCAAAGTATGTCCCGACAGGTTTTAGTTTGCGTTGCAAGATCTTTTATTGTAGGGAACGTCCAGCTAGTGCTTCTCTGAATAAAATTAAACGAGAAATCATCACGACGACTGAAAGAGATGATGGTAAGCAAAACAGTAAGATTTCGACGAAAGAAAAATACAAATATTTCTATCTATTAGACGATTTGGTTGGCCCTGATGATGATCTTTCTAATATTGCCATTACCGATGATGCTTTTGATGAGCTTCAGGCTGTTGTTAATAAAACAATGAAACTGAAAACGAAAAAAGAAAGTAGTTCGGCTGAAAAGGTATGAAATAGTCTATTCCAATAAAAGAAGTTAATTGTATTCATTTAGGTCTTGAGTGAATTGATCGAAGAACGCGATCGAAAATTGAAAGTTGAAATAAAATCTGAACCGATGGAAACCGGTATTATTCTTCCACCTGGTCCCACACCTCCCGATGATAAAAGTCTCGTCCTTGACACCATGTCTGAATTTTGTCGTAATGTTGGTGGCAATACTATTGATTCATTAGCAAGCATTCCAGCATTACGGAAGTCGAAAAAAATCAATCGTACTAACGTTTCATCCAGTAAAAAGTCGACTTCAAAACCTCATGCGGCAATAGACCCCGACGATGAATTATTACAGCATGCATTGGAAAATGATGCTATGGATGATGACGCTATGGACGATACACCGGCCGACAATGTTAATACAAAACCGTTTCGTCTAGAAGAATCGATTTTACCAGAAGAGACATCATTGGATCGTGGAATTGGTAGTGCACTCAGACTTGCATTACAGAAAGGTTGGTTACTCTACTTTTTTGGAATGTACCTAGACTTTTTTTTGTCACTAGGATACATTGAACAAGACAAAAATCGGCAAAATGCTCGTATTATCAGCGATATTTCAGCAAAAAATTTTACAGTTGAAGAGAAGAATTCCTAGTAAGTAGAAATCAATTTATAGGTGCGTTCTCGATGATCGAAAATTTATTATTTTCTAGTGAAATTGAAGATAAACATGCACGACGTGACCGGTATACATCAGGACCCTTGACTGACTTTAAAGAAAAAGAGCATTATCGTCCTGAAGTCAAACTTGAATATGTCGATGAAGGCGGTCGAAAAATGAATGCCAAAGAAGCATTTCGTGCACTTTCACATCGTTTCCATGGTAAAGGTAGTGGTAAGAAGAAGACAGAAAAACGAGCGAAGAAACACGCTGAAGAAGATGTAAGTTATTTTTCATGAAATCAAAGCAAAGTTAAACAACATTCTTGTTTTTCAGGCCATGAAAAAGATGTCCAGTGTTGACACTCCACTACAAACTTGTAATCTCTTAAAACAAAAACAAATTCAATTACAACAGCCCTACATTGTTTTAAGTGCAAATCGTTCAAAAGATTCGCAACTGCCTCCTGGATATAAATAACAAAATCTATTCAAGCAAACGTTAATTCTTGAATTATTATAGAAAACGAACATTTCTCTGTTATTCTTGTCGTATTGTATATGAGTTTGACTAAACCAATAAATATCGAAGAAGTCCTATTGATGAATGATTTCGGTTTATCGATTCTTATCTAAATGTTTTCTTGATGTTTACAGATGTTATGAGCCAGTCGGTTGTCATACCTCCTGTGCACGATACATCACCACCACCATTCGACGATGATGTCGACGAAAATGATACAACTACTACAATAAAATCCAACGAAATCATATCACCAATTTTGCCGGATGTAGTAGAAGATAGTAACGAAGAATGGAAATCAGTTGATGATAATAATGATACTGATATTGCTCAAATTCAAGATGATGTGCCGTCGACTGAGATAGAAAAGAACTCGATGAATGGTGAAAATCCACATGAAGAAAATAATACCGATGATAACTGGGCAAATTTTGCTGCATTTGAAACGAAAGCAGAAGATACTGTGGAGGTAAAAAAAGGATCTCTTTTTTGGTCTTTCTTATCTGAAGTTTAATTCGATGACGATTTCAGGCCGCTCCAGCAACAACATCCAATGCAACTACAGAGAACGACGAGAATGGTTGGGCTAGTTTTGAATCAACTACGGTACCATCTTCTGAACAAGTAGTGCAATCATCTAGTGATGAACAAACTACTAAACCGATCGAAGACGAAGATGATGATGATTTCGGTGAATTTAGTGAAGTACAAGTGGCTCCCAAACCTCAGGCATCTTCTCTTCCAACAGTCTGTTTATTTACTTCATCTTTTATTGTCTCCATCGTTCTAATTTCTTCATTATCCCTAGAATACATTAAGTTCTGAACAAATCGATTCTTTAATATCAACATGCTTTCCTTTGGAACCACCATCGCCTTCGATAGCGAATGAAAATTATGCTGTTCCCTCTACTGATTTACCGTCCTTTACATCCTGTCGAAACCCAGCAAAACAATTAGCATATCTTCAATCTAGTCTATCGTAAGTGTTTCACACAGATCAAGAAGTAACTTTGATATTCATTATGTTTTGAAAGGCTGTGGAATGTTTTATCAAATCTATCCAATGATCCAGTTGGCATTCAATTTCAATGGCGTAAATCGAATACAGAACGCTTGTTTCATCAAGCATTGGGTGTTAATGAACGCTTTCGCGTATGTTATTTCTTTTCTTTCAATTCACCGATCTTATTTTACATAAAAATAGGCGAAAAATGTTCCATTAACACCGGAAATTTTACAGCCGGAAAAAGTCAAATCTATCGTATCAGTGAGTAATGATTCTGAAGATACTGAAAATGGAAACAAAGTAGGAACATACGTTTCTTCTTCAAGCAAACCATTATTTCTCTTGATTATGTTAGCTGGCAACTGAATCCATTCGTCCGCATTTTGATTGGAAGCAAAGTGGACTACAAAATCCTCTAACAGGTAAGAATTTTCAACCGCCTTTTTTCGCAGTTGACTACTCCACTATCGAAAACCATAAATAATTATTGCCAAAACCATAGATAATGATAGCTCATCTCTTTCATCCAACGTCAGTAAGAATGAGGAGAATGGTAAGTATGAAATCGCACGTCGCTCATTTTCAGTTATAATTTGCTCTATTAACTAAACATCGAATGTTCTTGCATGTAATTACTAACAAATATGAATTAAATAATCCTCCTGTACTAGTCAAGTTTTACATGAATTCTTCTCTTCTCCTTCAAGTTTTCGATGCAAACAAAACACTCGATCTGGATTTTTACGTTCCTACGATGAAATCACCAACCGAAGAGGAACACATCACATCTCCATCGTCCAGTCAAGCAACAGACAGTCCGATTATTCCACAAGCCAAATCGGCGATACCAATCAAAACAGTTGATCTCTTTCCCGGTTCAACTACAATCATATCTGATGATGCCAAACGTATTATGGATACTTTGCCTAACTTAAGTTTCATGAGTGCCAAAGCATTGATGTTTCCTGTACGATTTAATGCAAATAATAATGATGAATTATACTGATCTGATGAAATTTTACTTGCAAAACTCACTGTGACTTGGTCAAATAGATTTATCTGAAGAAAAAAAAACCACACACACACACAACCACTTGAACTATTCACTCATTTATTTTGTATCAGCTATGGGGATAGATTATTAACAGTTCGCTTTTCTTTTCTGTACAATTGTCTTGTTCATTGTAGGTTTCTTTTTTTCTTTTCGTGAGGGAAAATCAACTTTTGATTTCGAAAAAAATTCTATTTATAAATAACAAAAACAAAATTTGTCTTTGTTTTATTTGAAAAAGAACTAGAAAATTCGAAATGATTGATGTACAAAGAGAAAGAGAGAGAGAGAAATCAGGTTGCGTTTATTATCACAATTAATAACCAGTTTCTTTACGATGTTGTTTAACGAGGTTACTCATTTCGAGCATTCCCTCGATCAAACCCTCACCGGTTGTTGCACACGCAGCTTGAATAAACCATTTGTGTTTACCACGTAGGGAATTCATATCGAGTTTTTGAACAATATCAGCAGGTTTCATTGCCACTATTCAAGAAATGTTTTTATAGAAATTTTCAGATTTTCTCCAGAATTGTCTACATACTTGGTAAATCTTGTTTGTTAGCAAGGATAACCACAGGTACAGTCGACATTTCTGAAGAAGAGAGAATACCATGAAGTTCTTCACGAGCTTCATTTATTCGTTCCGCATCACTACTATCTACAACGAAGATTAAACCATCTGAGTTTTGATAGTAATGCTGCCAGAGGCGACGAATTTTTTCTTGACCACCAACCTATTCAACAAAACGAGAAATCATGTCAGAAGACTTTGAAATCGAAAGTTCGTCACACTTACATCCCAAACAGTAAATGATACTCCACGACATGGACTGATTTGTTCAACGTTAAATCCTATGATAAAAAATAGGGTAGAAGGAAGTTCTTATTGATGATAAGAGATTTACCGATGGTAGGAATGGTTTGCAGATTTTCGTCGAGTTTGAGTTTGTACAAAATTGTCGTTTTACCAGCAGCATCAAGACCGAGCATTAAAAGTCGCGCTGGTTTGTCATTGCTGAATGAAGAGAGAACTTCGTACATTCGACTAAGGAAAAGACCCATGATTGGTTGACTGTTGTCGTATGAGTTGGTTTAGAAATGTTTGATGAGAAAAGTCGTCAGTGATCGATATTTAAAAAGATTTTCAGCATTGCCACGTCGTAGGAGACACGTCGACACCCGTACGCATGCAATAACAAATCTTGCAGTGACTCAGTCAGCTGTTGACTATTCTTCTCTTTCACCTGGGCGACGTGTCGCATCAACGTGACTCATTCATGTTATGTTGAAATTAGGCAAGGAAGTTAGTTTGCATAAGTTTTTTGATTGTTTACATCAGAAAAATTAACCATGCCTTCAAATCGAAAGAAAGAAAGAAAGTCGATGAAGATTTATGAAAATAATTTCAGAAATTTTGCTAGCCCCTAGTTTATCTAACCTGATTTCATGCAATAGATATGGTAAAACATAAAAATAGCGCAATACGCTAAAGTATAATGCCCGATAAGAGAAGATAATTGAAGTAGATCAAAAGAAATTTGCTAATTTTTTCGTAATTTCATGAAATATTTCAAAAAATAAATTTCAATTCTGATCAGTTTTTGTTCGTATTTTCCTCCATTAATGGCGATAGTTGTTGCATGATGCTAAGAAGATAAGCACATGCCTCGTTGATTCAATCATGATCTGCAACATCAATAACAAACAGAAATCCATCCAAATTGTAAGAATAATATCGCAGTGTTCTTCCTTGTTTTGGGATGATAGATACAGTGAAATTCACTCCTAGTACAGATGTAGTTTCGGCAGCTTTATCTGATTTAATTTTCATTAGAATAGTTGTTTTACCAGCAGCATCAAAATTCGTGCTGATTCTTTACGGCTAAATAATGACCAAACCTCACGTATTTAACGGAAAAAAGATTCCATCCTTTTTCAGAAACTACTTTCGTATATTTCAGTTATACGAAAAAGAGTTATAAAAGGTAGTGTTTAGCTAATGTTGACATAACCATTGTGATGCAGTGTATTCTTTCTTTCCACATGTATTCGATGACGTGGTTATTTTCAGATGAACACAACCAGCAAAACATTATGGCCATTAGTGGCAGCGGTTGGACTCGGTGTTAGTTTCGTTGGTTATTGTGTGTATTTTGATCGAAAACGACGAAATGCTCCTGACTTTTCCGAAAAGTTGAAAGCCAGTCAGTGTCGAGTGAATGTATATAACATTGCTACATGTCTAATATTTGCTTTTAGAACGAAGAAAACAGAAACAAACGGTTGATATATCACAAAGTCATGTAAGAGATCATATTTATCAGTTCGATTTGGACTTTTTGACAGTTTATTTCAGGTCAATACCAGTGATCCCGATGAAATGCGTCGATATTTTCTTGAACAAATCCAACAAGGCGAAGATTGTCTATCTCGTGGTACGTTGAATTCCTTCTTCTATTGTTCAAACCCGTTTCATTCTCTTCGTTTGTTAGGCGATCTTAACAACGGTGTTGATCATTTAGCTAAAGCTGTAGCTGTTTGCAGTCAACCTCAAAATCTAATGGCCCTATTCCAGCAAACATTACCGCCTGAATTATTCCAGGAAATTATCATACGCCTACCTCGCATCGCTCAAGTAAACTTTCCAGATGATGAAAAAATTTAACAAAACTTCTCATTTTCTCGTTTTAGACCATGAATAGTTCCTCGATGGGTGGCGGTGCAATCATAACTGAACCAGACTTAGAATAGAACTATCAGACAAATCTTTCTGCGTCGTCCGTTGCTTGTTCAATTGACCTAGCTATAGTTGATCTTTCTATTTTTGTGTATGTGTGTTCTCTTCTGGTTTGCTGTTTGTCAAATCGTTTATTTATGAACGTGTTTGATAAGTGGAAATATATCATATGAGAAGAAAAGTACATACGATCTTGACGTTTCATCTGTCAGAGGAAAAAAAACATGACAAGTCTCTCAAAAGAAATTATTGATAACAAACAGCACTCAGCAAACGGTAGTTTTGCAAAGATAAAAATAATGAACTACTAGTTTCTGTGTAATGAATGCTGTTTGAAACGTTTCTTTCTCCTTCATTACCACGTTCATATTTGATTAGCACGGATAGGTTGCATATTATACTCTCATTTTTTTACAATGGCAGACAGCAGAAGTATGCGACGAAGTTATTCACAAGATGCAGAAAAATGTTCGTACAAAAACAAGTTTACCGAACAAAAAATATTACGAAAACGCCAGCTAGGTTGGAATCATTCGGAAACTGTCACTATATTTCCTGTTCCAACTACAGATTTCGAATGCCAAGACAAACAAACTGATTGTTCTGTCAAATCTTTTCTACCAATGTTAGAATCAAATCATACAAAACGCGACGACCAATTCACATTTCCAAAACTAACCCCAAAAGTATGCTATCAATCTTATGACATTATCTTATATGAAAACATCATTTTCTTTTCGTTTTAGTCTATCAAAGTAAAGAAACCGATCAATTTTACACCGAGAAACCAACACAATGATGAATATCCAAAGATGTCAACGTTAACACATTCTGATATTTGTCCATCAAATGATCTGTTGTATGCAAAAATGCCTGCTATTTCTGTGCGTAGGAAGAAACAAATCGATTTTTCATGTAGAAGTCACACATCGGACTAAACTGACATCTTTCGAAATTGATGTTCAATGTTTTTTTTTCTGACTTTCGGGAATAAATTCATCTTTTTTCCTATTTATCGCTTACAAACATTTTCTGTTGCAATTTTTGATATATTTATTGTCAAACGGGAATTTTCGTCATGAAGGTTTTTTTCAGAGATTTATTTCCCTATAGGAAAATGAATGTTATCTTTAATTGATTTATCCTTGAACGTTATAGGTACTCTTCATGGAAGTGTACACACACAGTTGACTCATTGTAAAATACACAGTTATTCTGTATTAGTTCGACGAAGATTTTATGAAGTTGAGTATCGAAAAATGAATTTGATTTTTTTCGTTGCAGATGTTTATTTTATCGTTTATACGTCAAATGTATTCATTGACAATACAGAACAAACAACATTGTGAGCAATGGTCAAAATGAAAACTGTATGAGTTATTTTCGTTTTTCTCGTTTCGCTCGATTAGATTTTATTCACAAAGAAAATAGGTAAATAACCTGCGCCTATCTGACATGAATTGCGTCATCTATTGCTAAATTTTCTTCAGAGGATATTAAATAACCTTCGTTAGGTGAAACTGGATTGAGGGTATCACATGAATATCCAGAGGACTATCTAGAGAATGGATTAACGTTTGAATAAAATCTATCACCTAACCTCTTGTCAGTCATTCTTTGTAGTCTTAGTGTCACCTTCCACGCATTGAACAGCTTCTTCTTTAATGAAATCTGATGGATGAAACAAATGATCAGAGTTGCCTTCTGCTATGATGAAGCGTCCTTCGATCGCGATTGGTTGCTCTAAAAAAAGATTTGCTTAAAAGAAAAAAAGACATTAGGCGAACCATTCTTCTTATGCGTATGTGGTTTTGTTGATGTTGTCATAGTTAGTTCGGACTCGATGGCGTTCGACGACGGCATTGGCGTTAAACTTTCGATCGGATAGATAAGCGTTCCGAGGAGAAGAACAATCAGTAGTAACATTTCCGCTAGGAGACGAAAAGAAACGGTTCGGAATGAAAATTACGTTTTTGTCTGTCAACGGCATCGCGTTCTTTTCCTTGGAGAAGGAAAGAAAAAAGAAAAAAAAACTTGCGCATAATATTGATGTTGTTGTTATTATTGTTGGTTTTCTTCCTTCGTTACAGAAGGAAAAAAGAGAAAGAAAAAAAAAACTAGGAAGAATATCAACAAGTGTTTTTTTCATATCTAAATACGGGTGTAAAACAGTTACGTTGATTTTCATGCGTTTGATGATCGAATTATATGTGACATTAATTCAATGGGGAAATATTTGACGATGCCACATTTTCGTTGTTTTCGTAGTAATCTTCCTACCTACATTCCGATCAAGTGACGAAAATACACTTAACATAGTAGTCGTGTGATTCACTCAGTGTAAAATTTTGTTTTTCTAGATTGAATTTATTTTTACAGCCTGCATTTTAGTTTCGACATGATATTATGTTATTATAGAATTGAGTAAGGATGACTGACGCGACAAATGTATCAGGAACATTAACTCGGACGAGCAAACAATCGGATCGAGCAACTCCGCATTATTTCAGTTCGTTTCAAAACTATTGTTCTGGTCCGAAATCGAAAACAACAGCATCCACATCTTCATCAGCAAAAGATTTCGTTCCTATTCCAGAAAAATTCATAGTGAAAAGTAATGAAATACTTTCAACTCTTAATCAACATGTCATCGAACGACTTGCGGACCTTACACAATATACCAGTGTATTACCTTATGAAGTTTTTGAACAAGATCAAATACAAGATGGTCAACGATATCTAGTTGATCGTATTATGTTTAAAATGATGACTGATGCGCGGATTATCAATTGGATGCCATCATTGAAGAATCTCTATCCGGTACGAACATCAGGCAATGGAAATTGTCTTCTTCATGCTGTACTTATTGCCATGGCTGGTGTACATGATTTTAATCTGAATCTACGTGATCGTTTGCTTCAATTTATGGATAAGAACAAAGAAATATTGAAATCAAACTGGAAGAACGAACGATTAAAAACTGATAAGTTGTACGGCATTCAATCCGAAGATCCTGAGCTTGATAATGTAAATTAATTCTTTGGAAATTCTATTGTTAATGAATTGTTTGCCTAGGAATGGGAAGAATTGTGCGATCTCGTTCGTTATGAAAATTCCGACGATGGACAAGCAACATCTAATCTACAATTTCTCGAAGGTGTGCATATATTTTCTATATCCAATATGCTTGCTCGTCCCATTATCATCCTATCGGAAGAAGTCGTACGAAACAAACACGGTGAAGCTATCTCATACAATGATCTGTTCGGTATCTATTTACCTGCTCTCTCCAGACCACAAGATTGTATATCCGAACCAATCGTATTAGCATACGACCAATCGCATTTTTGTCCATTGCAAGTCAGTAATAAACAAAATGGTTCATCATCGGACAATTATTTGCCACTTTACCAATCGATGGATCATATACACAAACAAACTTTACTACCAATAAGGTTTCTGGGCAATGACAGTAGTCCGGAAACCGTCGATAAATTGTTGCAAACGTACTTACGTATAAAAGTATTATCCCATTACCCGGATGTCAAATCAGCTTCGATACCTATTCGATGTGCCGAGCTAGGTCGCAAAAATTTGCCCGAAAAACATGATTATATTTTCATGTATTATCAGTATCTTGTGGATTTTTTTGATACGCAAAAGAAAAAAGTACAACAACAAAAACTAGAAGAAGAAGAAAACCGACGACGTCAGCAAGATTATTATTATTCGAATAATTTATCAGACAATGCATATCCACGGTTGTCCAAGAAAACCGATATTTTATCTTCTTCACCATCACCGCCACCTTCGTATGGGTCAATCGTTTCCACACGTACAAGTGAAACGAAACCTTATTCGACTTATGAACGACGATCGTCTTATGATAAAGCTGTAGCTAACGAAAATGTCTTCGAACCGCCTAGTTCTACAGCACAAAATTATTCGCAATCGTTCCTCGATCGTCGACCATTAGTCAATACGAATAACAAACATCTTGCCATGAATCGAAGTGATTGGGATTCTCCCCATGATGAACATGAATCTGGTGCGAAATCGACAAGTAGTTCGAATAGTAATTCGCGAGGAAATGATTCCAGATTTCGACAAGGTAAGTTCCCATCATGCGTTTGAAATAATTCAATTAAAAAAGAAGCCAAATTGTTTTATCTATTACGTGTGCGCGTGTGTTTCTCTAGCTCAACAAAAAAAAAACGCATACTTATCTCTTGAAATATCATCACCATCGATTTTTTCTTTTTCAATGACTACTTCCAAACTTTTGCATCATATTTGACTGGAAAACATTTTCTGTCTTCTAGTTGCTCTGGCGTGTTTACGACCCAGGGGTGTTAATGACTGATGTAAGAGTGCGTGCCAGTATGGTTTATTGTTTTTCTTCCTCCATACTTTCCTTGCTACACTCTTATTCGCTATCGTTTTAATTCTATCACATTTTATACATCTATATACCTGCTCTCTTTTGCTTGCCATATATACAGCTTTCACTCAACTAACATGCTTTCTCACAAAACGTACCAGCGAATGAAAGATATTAGATAAACAGCTCGATCATTCTTCATCTAATAACACATCATTTTATCTTTCTCCTATCATTTTATAGACATGAAAAGTCAAAGTGCGATATGTTGTATATTATAAATGTCTATTGACGTACACATATACATGTATAGTCAGGAGATAAAAGTGAGATATTGATTGCACGTTTTTTGTAATCTTACTTGTGATCATCTCATCTTCTTTGACATTGTTTTTTTTTCACTTCTAAAGGCACATTGAACAATCAATAGTCAATAGGAAAAAAGCTTTCCTAGTCTACTAGCACTAATTACTTATAGCTCATTAAATCAAACGTTTTCGTTCGATTGATATGCAGAGTACTACGATTGTTCTTGTCTTGTTTTAGAACCACCACGACAAACGCCTGCTTATTCTTCTGTTCAAATTCCTATTCACTTCGAGAAAACCAATTCGCCATCCAATCTGATCGACTTCGAACAAAAGACGGATAGAATTCGTCCGTGCATTGTATGCAAACTAAATTTCGATGATATATCATCAACAAGAATATGTCGCGATTGTGATTATAACTCGAAACATCCCATTCGTCCTACTGTTGGTTATCAACCAACCACCCGAGTACCACCTATATATACATATCCACGACTAACAGCAGCTTCTGATTTCATTACACCATATGCACATACAACAACTACACGATTGAGACCTTTGAATAGGCTTCTCTGTCGACATTGTAACAATGTCAATATGATTAATGATAGGTACCGTGGAAATGAATACCTTTGCTCTGTTTGTCACCGTGATCTATAACTTTCACGAAATTAACAACAAAAACGAGTTGTTCCGAAAGCGAAGAACAGTCATGTTTTGTATTTGTCTCGAATTTGTTTTCATGTGATAATTCTATGTATGGCTAATACATGTTTCCTTGTTGGTATTCTTTTTCTTCTGTATATTTTTTGCTTGTTAAAGAGAAGAGATTTCTTATTGAACGAGTATAATGACGAACAAGAGAAAACAAACATCTCGTGGTTATTGCTTTCCCTATTTTTTTACTTTTTGTCTTTTGGTTTGTAATGTTTCAGTTGGTTATAATGCTACAATTATATCTTTTTCCCTTCTCATTTGTTTTTCGACTTTCAATTGATGAAGTAAAAAGAAAACATGAGAAAATAATCTTGCTAAATGTTTCATTCTCTTCTTAGATAATTCTCACGTCGCAGCGTCGACTTTTCCCCTAATTATGATTCTGATGGCGTGAACGATATATTTTGGAAAACGAACGATTCTATACACAAGTTGTGGCAAGTAGTATTTTCGGAATAAAGCGTTTTTCTTTTACAAATTGTATCTCAGATAGATTGATGCGCTGTGATTGTTGATTACAATTGCATCATTACAAATCGATCATTCGGAATAAGTTCGATATTTTAACTTACCTATGACAGGCATAAAAGAGTGTGTTTAGTTTGAGCGAGATAACTGCGCTTGAATGTTTCTGATTATTCTAATGCTTTTGTACTCAACATATTCTTTCGCTTGTAGACTGGAGATAGAAGATGAAATGCGTAGAATGTCACTGACTATTTTGTTTGCAGTGCATGAATAAACATCATGAGGTTCTGACCAATCAATTTCAATTGTTGATCGATAGTAGAAATCAGCTAAATGAATCTTTAAAAACAATCGAATCACAATTGAAAAAACGATGATAATGTTCCCTGTATTGCTGACATTCGTTGTTGGCAAAGAACAGAGCTGAATTACGTGATCAATTTGAAAAATTATCATCAGATATACAAAAGCGACAAAAAAGAAGAGAATTACCTAGAGAATTATGTTGAGATGATTAAAAATAGACTGAAAGAGCTGCAAAATAGTTTACAGCCTGTGGCTGAGACTGTCGATGCTTCTAATGGAGAAAATATTCAATGGGACAAGTTGATCAGCATAGTGGAGAAAAATTAATATATCACTCAAAACCAATACGCAGATAGTTCAGAACGATATTTATTATATAAAACTAAGAAAGAAGAAAATTATTGGAGATGCCTATGACAGTTCGTCAAAACAACATCCCGTTCGTCGTATCGCTGTCCAACAAACAACAGAACGAACCCCAACAAGTACTGAGCTTCAAAGAATGGGTTCAATTGGATTTATTTGTACAAATGGTCAAAGCGCTGATTTTATGAGTGATCCAGAAATTGCAACGGAGAATATTTATAGTGAACGGAGAGCTGGTATAACTGACTTTTAGTGATAACAACAATTCGATTCAAAATTTCATAAACACAAATTCAAAAGAGAAATAATGTTTGGCATTTTTATTTGCCATTGTATGATATAGATATTCATGGTTTTGACTGCAATGTACCGCAAACATATTCAACTAGTGTAGAAGTGACAAAATACAACGAATAATCCAGTATTTTGTCTCTTCTAAAATCCAACTCGAACCTTTCTGAGAGACGCATATGACATGCATTTTGAAAACTTCATGGTAACGCACAAGTTGAATAATAATCGAAGTTTTTAATTCTTCCTCTAACTTCACTTTAATACACGCTGATACAAGCTAAAACCATATAGTAAACTAACTAAATGCGAGTATCAAGGATCTTTATCTTTTCTTTTCAATATTCTGAAAAGTACATCCTTCAATTCTATATAAACACCGTGATATTCACATTTCGCACTATCATACTTATCTTTTCTACCTATTAATAAAGTCACATACACATATCATTCTTTAAATATCACTTCTTCATGTTGTTCTTCTTCTTCTTCTTTTCTTTTCTAGATAAATTATTAGATCCATAGAACGACAGAAACAATGAAGTGTAATTTGAAGTTATTGTAATAGGACGTCGTTGAGTTTGATTCGTTGTTGACGATAGAAAAAGTTTTGTGAGTCTCTCACATCTTTTATGGACATTCATATCATGTAACGAACGCAAAGGTAATGCACGCTGTGAAGGATGTCGTCAGTTATATTGTTTATCTTGTATGAGTCAACATCATGATGAACTTAAGTCTCATTTTGAATTGTTAATCAGTACTCAGAAGGAAGTCAAAGAAGAATTTAATGCGGTTGAATCGACTTGGGAAACAAACGGAGAACATCCTTGTTTGACTGATATCGATCGATGGGAACAAGAGATTATTAGTCGCGTTCAACAGATTGCAGCTAGAGCTCGAATAACGACTCATGAAATGGTGACAAAACATTTGTCGGATATTCGTCGTCGATTAGATCAACTCGCTTTCGATATGGAACAACGTCAACAAGAAGGCAATTATTTAGATAATGATATAGCGGGTGTACGCAATCAATTGGAGCAATTGAGTAGTGATATAGACCATGCTCACGAAAGAGTACGCCTCGATATCTCGGGAACGAATAAGATCAATTGGAATTTGTTGTTGTATGTTACATCAAAGAAAAAATTTCTCGAAAAACATTTGAATCCGTCGGAATTGCCTGTCGAACAAGCAAATTCGCCACAAGAAAAGATTTGGATGAATTTACGTCGGCTACTCAAAAATAAGTACGTTACTATCAATGAGCCTCATAGTAGACAATCCAGCTTTCGACAAAGCACAAATGCAGCTTTTGAACCTATTGCTCTGACTTCTTATGGCTCATCCAACGTACAGCAACACGTCAAATCTAAACTTGATTCAGCAAGTGCAGATAATTCTTCATCAAATCCGTTTTCAAACGACGATCCATTCAAATACATGGCATTTACAACCGACTACGATCAATTTCTTCCTCAGGCATCAGACGCTTAAATTGAGCAGTATGATTTTATCGTAATACATCAGTCAGGGAACTTTCATATTTTTCATAGTTTTTTTTTCGATACAATAAGTTTTGATTTTGTGATTTGCTTACCTTATTTTACTTCTAGATCATGTCATTCAATAGATCAAATACTTGTGCCTTATGTACAGCTCTACCAAGTGTATCACTATGTGAAGGTTGTCAGAAGAAATTTTGTTATACTTGTTTCAATAAACACCGAAACGATTTATCACTTGAATTAGACGATCTATTCAATCGCCGAAATGAGCTTATGGAAGTGATCAATAGTCAGTTAAATAATGATTCGTTAAATGTAAATCCGTGTTTTGAAAAGATTGATCGATGGCAGAATGAAATGCACGCTCATATTGATCGCATCACTGCTGCAGCGCGGGATACTGTTTATAAACTAACCTTTGAAATCAATAGTAACATTCGCAATGAATTTGATGAAATTTCTAAAGAACTGCAACGACAACAGAAGACAAATGGATACATCGAGAGTGATTTGAATCGACTCCGACAACAATTAATTAAGTTGAATGACACCGTTCAACAATCTCATAACAAAATCCATGTCGATTCATCGAATTCGAGAAATATCAATTGGGATACAATGTTATTTGTTGCAACGAACAAAGCACCACACATGACCATGACATCTACAAGTGTGCCATCAAGTCCAAATCTGAACAATTCATTGAATCGAAGTAACCGATTTCTTTCTGAAAGAAAAAGTGTTCATTTGTTTGTTTAGGCTCTCATAATACAATGTCTTTGAGTCGACACCCATATTCATCTTCGACACACACTCCAAATTTCTATCGAACGGTTTCTCGAACTGCATCATTAAGCACAGGCTCACGATCATCTACAACGTATGCATGTATTGGTTGTAAGACAATCAATAATCTACGAGAAAATGGACCAAGTTTTTGCTCAGTTTGTCATTCTCCGGCTCCATTTTAATTTATCTAATGAGGTTTATCTGTATCCTTCAGAATCTCTTGTTCGCAAATATTTTCAATTTTTATCTTGAAGTTTTATTCAAATATTTTATATGTTTCATATTTCAAAGAAAAAGAAAAGAATACAAAACAGATAACAATCCATTTAAAGCTTAAGTCCAAGCACACAAAAACCAATGGTGATGGATACAAGAAATGCTGCTAAATGAATCAAAAGTTCTTTAGGAAATGTTGGATAGTTGTTGGCATAGCGTGCAGTATAAACCATACACATCATCTCGCTTTGATTACTACCGACAAATTCTTTTCGAACTCGATCGATCGCTGATTGATCAACAGCAGATAATCTCTCATTGGCACTGCGCGAATCTAATGGAACAGATACCCATTCGTAATCGAGACCATTTGGTCCAGCAGTTTTCGCTAGTAGAAGACGTGACGCATTCAGAAGATCACGATTATTAAAATAAACATAACCATTGTATAATGATAGACCAATGTAGAGCGCACTTAACAATACGTTGAAAGTGACGAGTGCAGCGCTGATAAAAGTCAGAAATGCAAAGACCATAGCTACAATCCAGACGACTGCGACTACAGATCGAAATAATAGTAAACGACCGCCACGCATCGTGGTTTTATGATTAACCGAAACTGCATTGTAGTTTTCAACAGCAAAATTGTATCGAGGTGGATACGCAGTTTTTACAAAGACACGAAAACCTTTTACATCTGGCGGCGGCACAGCGTATTTTGCTTGGGGTGGCATAACGTCCAATTGTTTTACACAAAATAAGACTTCAAGGTGAATGTATTAGTAACACAAACTCTTATCTTTACATTCTCCACCGAACTATTTTTCAAACACCTTTTTTTTATCATTGGTGTCATTATAGCAAACAAAGAAAACAGATAGTTTCTACTGTAGAAACTTGCTCATTCAGTTTTTCAAACAGTTGATTCTTTGTATTAAAATATGTTTTAGTTTGACCTTCCGCATCGCGTCAAAGAAAAATCTTTATTACGAAAAGAAAATTAATCGTTTGTTAAAGTTTGATTACAAAATTTAGTGAAAAATATCTTGAAATCCTTTCGTTTTCCTAAGACAAATCGTGACACATCAGGATTCCGTGATCACATAAAGCACCAACAAGAAGTTTATGTTTATATGTCGCACCAACAGTCGATGCTGATAAGATTTCACCATTGGTCAGTAAAAGACTCTCGTAAGTGGAATCTACATTGTAAAAGAAACTCTTAATGATCTAACTGAAGTGAATAGTAAGACGATTTACTTGATGTGGGATTGCGAAATATAACTATTTCGGAAGGTGAACGAACATGACGATCTTTCTCATGTTGAACAAAAACGAGAGGTTTTGGATGACCGGCAACGATCAGTTCATCTTTATCATTAACCATAAGGTTATCCGGAAAGAATTCGACGTACAAGCTTTGTGTGTAAGTCAATAGATTGTTTTCTGAATTGTATTTGTACACACGGACCTAATGATACGATCGTTAGTAAGAATCGATTTGATCAGTGCAATAAAACTTACACTTTTGTCTGCGGTGAAAGCAATAAAGATTGTTTTGAAATCTAATGAAGCTGCGATACCGTTCGATGTGGCCATAGAATCAATTAGCTAAAGGAATTCACGTTCAGTTTTTCAGTCCATTTCAAATAGGATATTACTATTTTGCACTGCCATTCATTTGTTTTCGAACATAGTAATACATCAGTCCAAGGTCGTCTTCCGAACGTTTCGAATAGATGTAAATATGGTGATTTATCGACACGATAGTGATAAACATTCGAAACATAGAATGTATTTTCATCAATGGGTAACACATCATCCGGCACTTTCATTTCAATAGAAAGCAAATCATGTTTTGTATTCTTTCAAAACGAATTACTTGTGAAAAGAGGATGGACTACTGAATCAATCCATTTCACTTGCTTTTCATTAGATGTACTGGTTTCAAAGATCTCCACAGTTCCAACAACTTCGCCATCGACTACTCGATAGTTAGTTAGAAACAACTAAACATACTTTCGTAGGCAATGATTTCCTTATTGAAAAAAAATCCCACTTGATTGTTTTGTCTTTTCAACAAACCAATGCCCAGAGGATGAAAATGTTCATATGGATAATTGACCAATTTGTATTGCGAGAATGTTTCCGATTCCAAATCGAGTCGAAACATTTTGCCTCGTTTACTTTGACTTGCTAGAGAGATGTTCAATGTATGCCACCATGCTCGATTGTCACCAGGCATGTATGCAACACCTTTCTCATAATCAATCGCGAAATCTTCGAACGCTTGCCCCTCTATACTTAAATGATGTGATAATATTGAGCGACTCAATGAGTTACCTCCGTTTGGTGGTACCATCAATTGACATTGAGTCAAGCCTTTAGTTTCAATGTGTCGAAAAGTACCCGTATCCAATAGCAACTTGCCGATAAATGCCAGAGATAGCACAACACAAGACCAGAAAAGTGCTGATTTGATCATTGTTTATTCTGAAAATTGATAGTATTGAGAGAGAGAAAAAAAAGCGAAACAAAAGCAGATTTTTTTACAAATATTCTCACAGAATACGGAAAATAAAATCATGAATATATACAATTACACAAAATTAGAAAAGAAACGGAATAAGATTAATATCACAAACAACACAGTTATTGCAGATGAATATTATTTGTTCATTGTTCGCATTGTCGATAAAACTACCAAAAGATCCGAATCAATCAAATGGTGCTTCTCTTTCGGTATAAGACTCTTGATTATTTCGATATCTGGTTCACTTTCCTAATACACACAAAGAACAGTAAACGTATGCAAGATAAAGATTCGATTTTTACTTCAAGTGCGTCGAGTACCCGTTGAAAGGTCTTCTCGCCAAGATCACATTGTAGTTGATGAATTTTCTTTTGATCGAATTGAAGGCAATGCTGAAGATTATCTTCATCTTCAGGATTACACCAAACATCATCATCATCGTTGTCACCGTCATCGATAGCATTTTCTGATGTGAATCTTGATGTATGTCGGTCACCCGATTCGATGTTATCATCACTGGATGGCGAAATATTTGTACTATCATTTTCGAAAGTTGTATCAGTGAAACTTAGTTTTCGATCAGTTTGATCGAGTTGAGATGCACTTCGAGCAAGCTTCAGCTCTTGAAGAATTGTTTCTTCTGGAAGATTATCAATCGTACGCAATTCGGGATTGGATACAGTTCGTAGAAGCTAGACAAAGAAGTATTTCGTTACACTCATTTCTCTTATGATGAAGGATTAAGCGTATCTTACCAGTTTATTTTTTTCATCAAAATGACCCGTTGTTAATCCGTCAAGAAGATCAAAGTCGTCCGAGAGGATCGTATTTCTATTTCATAATAACAAAAAAAAAAGGTAATATGGGATAAATATATTCAATATTAATCTCACTCTTTATCTTCTTTTGATGGAGCAGTTAGAGTAGTATCTAAATCTTCAACAATTAAATCAGATGCAACAGGTTGATCGAGAGTTTGACATGATGAATTTGTAGATTGAACCACATCAGACGTTGTCAGTGTTTCGTCCTTACGATTAGGATCGATTCGTTTTGCCAAATGAAGTAAACTAATATCCGAATTCTCACTGTTTTCTCTTACATTCGTCATTGTTCGGTCTTGAACAAGAGCACGTTCTAAGACACTCAGCACTGTCCCTCGTGGCGCATCAGAATTGACTTGCCGATTTGATCCATTTATATTAATAAGATTCATCGCCTGACCTTGTATCATTAAATTAGGCATATTGGAATCTAGAAAGAAATTCAAAGCATTATTTCTAAGATCACAATGTCATTTGTCTGATTTACTCAATGGATTATTTGATGGTGCGTAGCGGTGAGCTACGATCCGATTCATTTGTATTTTTGGATTCCATAATGAGCGTGGTTTTGAAATGATATCACTGCGATCTTCCCAAACTTCGGGTACGCTTTTTCCGTTAGCTTGATCTTTGTCTTTTTGTGCACTGATCAATCGATAACGTTGATATAGATCGGACTAGGGAATATATATTTAATGAAGGTATCTCAAAGGTGATCATGCATACTCTATCGACTGAGGACTTCTGTTGTGTATTGCGCTTGTTGAGGAAATTTTTACGACGAATTTGTTGTAGATTTCGATTGAATAGTCCATCACGTGCTGGATGGTGATTTCTTAGTACTGGTCGATTACCATTCGTACTAAAAATATGCTTTCAGCACACGATGATTGATGACAGAGAAGTTCAGTACGTACGAGGGTGTAGAACTTTGTACATCTGGAATAGCATGATTCTTTTTAAGTGCTTGATTAACTGAAAAATAAGTGAGAGAAGGTTTAATAGTGGAGTTTTGCTTCTTGAAACGATTACTTTTATTCCATTCATCCATTTTCTTTTCGCTTTCGGCGATTCTCTGTTGGAGTTGGTCTAATTGCTCGCCATATAGAATATAGTTATCTTTTTTCGGAAGTTTAGGACTTGATGATGCGGCAATCTTTAATATGTCGGAAAATCAACGCGATCAGATTTATAAAATGAGTAATTCGTATTGAACTTACTGATTCTTTTATCGATGATGGCGTAGATATTGGATTTATTTTGTGCTTAAAAAAACAATCGAATTTTGATGTGTATCACAGGTAAACAGAACATTTGACTTTACCGGCAAGAAAACTGGTTGTACTACACGTTGACTAGTCGTATCTGATTGATTCTGTAAAGACAAAAGTGATTCAAAGTAAAGTAAATTAAACTGATCATACTGGCGGCCCTTTGGCTAATTCCAACCGATAGAATTCTCGATCTCGTTGTATAGCTGCTTTTCGTTGTCTGTCAATCGATTCTTGTTGCTTTTTCGAGAAATTCTCCGCCTAAAAAAGATTATAAGTTCAATGAGTGTTTTCGTAGAAATCTTAATTACTAACATCTTCTTTCATTTGTTTCTCACGCGCTTCTTTTTGTTTTGCAATTGCGAGACGGCGTTTCTCAATTTCACTTTCTTTATCAACGGAAAAGGCCGGTGCACGTTTGACATCAACAGATTTCTTCTCTTTCGATATCCTGTAGAAATAACATGAGTAGATTTTGAAACTATTTCTCTCCATAAGATGCTTACCGATTAACAGAACGAACAGCAGATTTTGGTCGTTTTGAAATTGAAGGGCCTTTGGATGCTTTTGTCGGCTCTTGAGGCGAAATTTTCGGTGCAGCTGAACTCGGCCGTGACAAAACTGGTTGAACCGGAGTGACACCACTGGATTTTGGAGCTGTCATTGGACGTGGTGTTGCTATGTTTGCCTTCACAGGTTCGGTAACTGGTTTCTTGTCGTGTAAAACTGTGTGACTAAACTCTTCGCTATGGAACTATATAGTAAAAGATACATTCAGAAGAAGAGAACAAACATCTTTTAGTGATATACTTCTTCTGGTAGATGTTTTAAAGCACGTCGACTAATGAATGGTTTTCGTAAGATAGTATTAACTGCTGGTCGTTCTCTAGAAATCAATTCAATGTGAATTGTTTTTTTCCTCATCATGGTCGGTATTTCTCGTACCGTGGTTCACGTTTAAGCATCGACGCGATTAGTAATCGTAGATCACCGCTATATTTTGCTGGAATAGGATTGAATGATCCACTAGAGACAAAGAAATGAGAATACATTCGTTGTTTTAATGGATATCTATGATTTCTTACCGAACAATCCTCATAATCAAACCATTCATATTATCAGCATCAAACTAAAAGACAAATCGATCTATAGACTATATACAATGACTTTGAAAGTATCTTTACAGCATGTTTAAGTGTAGTCATTTCATACAATACACAACCAAGACTCCAAACATCTGATTTGTTATTATAGGGTTTCTGTTGACATATTTCCGGAGATAAATAATAAGGTGTACCAATTTGTGTACGTGCTAATTCACATGTACTGAAAATATTTTAAAATAGAGTGAATGTTTGATAACTACTCGAACCTACGTGTTTAATACTTTTGAAATGCCGAAATCACCTAATTTTGCTGAACCATCACTTGTCAAAAACACATTCTAAAATATTCAATGACTTTTCTTTCGACTTTCAGTTTTCTTTTACTTGAGATTTAATATCACGATGAAGTACTTTCCGATCATGTACATGTTTCAATGCTAAGGTTATCTGAACAAACCAATCAAGTATTTGATCTTCACTGAATAGAATACCACGTTGTGCTTGTATACGCGAATGTAAATCTCCACCATCACAATAATCCATCAGAATATATAAGCTCGTTGAATCTACGTTACATTAATCTATCTTCATTTCATAGAATGAACTCGATATTTACCTTCGAATGATTCTGTATAAGACACGATATAAGGATGTTTCATTTTTGCAAGGACATCAACCTAAAAGTAACTTCTCTTTTTTATAAACAAATTGATACAACATGTCATATACTTCTTTTCGAGCATCATCACGTTCCTTGTTAGTCATCTAGGAAAAAATGAATGCCATGGAAATGTTTCCCTCTAAGAATAATTGCCTTACTTTAGCTATTTTGATTTCTTTCATCACTAATTGATTGCCATCGGTTTTAGCTTGAACAAGCCATGCTTGACCGAAAGCCCCTGTGCCGATCAGCTTCTGCCGATTATATTTTTCCATATACCGTGGTTTACTTGTCGCGCTCATCGTGTGATAAGATACAATTTCATTTAAACGAACATTATTGAGTAGGTGATACTACAAGAGATAGTCGAGTCGAGTCGAGTCGAGTCGTCAAATGAATAGTTTCCTTTCCTTTTTTAAATAACTATGATTCATCATGAAGATGATTCGTCTAAATTAAAACCATCTTCAACATGGCTCACCATCGATACAACCTTCAGAATGAAATCGACAGTGGCGACATCAGGAAATCAATTTCTCACCAATGTGTTCAGCATTTCTACTCATTGCTATAGACATTTTCATTGACGGAGACGAGGAGAATTTCAAACCCGTTTACTATAAAAGTACTTCTTGAAGCTTTATAGTTATTTCTGCCGTCGTGGTTAACATTTCATCCAAATCTAGTTCAATAGTAAGAAATAGCGGTATTGCTAAAATAGAGAAGATCAGATTCCAAATTCATAGTTGTCTTTTCCCGTGTGAAATTTGGAATGAAAATAGATCAATGTGTATTTTTTATATTCTAGGAATAGGCGTTGATGTTGGACAAAAAAAACTTTGCATTCTTTGTAGTGAACCGAATAAACTACGAATTCCTTTTTTTCACATAACCATAGAGGCCATATTTAGGCGGCATCGTTGCTCCCTTTAACTCTGGTACTATGGTTTGATTAGGTGTTAGCTCGAAGGTACATCGTTGTAAAAACATGGCTAAAATGACTTTTGCTTCAAGTATAGCAAAATTTTGTCCAATACAATTCCTTGGTCCAGCAGCGAATGGAAGGTACGCATATGGATGAGCAAGTTTCGGTTTAAGACCGGTGGTAGGATGACGCATCCATCGTTTGTAATCAAAAGTCAATGGATCAGACCAGTATTCTTCTCTTCGATGTAGAATATACGTATTAATAACGATCATGGTACCGACAGGTATACGAAGTTGAAGTTCACCATTTGAACTACTTATTGTGTGTTCTTTAATGCATTCTCGTCCGAAAACAGGAGCTGCTGGATATAATCGGAGAGTTTCGCTGAGAACTGCTTCGATGATTTGAAGATCACCTACATGTTCAAACGTAGGAATTAAACCATCGGGTAAAACACGATCAACTTCTTCATGACACGCTTGCAAAACATCATTATGAAGCATTAATACATACAGAGTCCAAGCGAGTAGATTGCTTGTTGTTTCGTGTCCAGCAAGGACAAATGTCAATGCTTCGTCTTTGATTTCTTGGTCAGTAAATGATTCACCTTGTTCATCAACGGCTGATAGAAGTAGATCCAGAATATCACGGCCAGAGCATAAACTCGATGACTTTCCACTACGTCGATCAGCGATTGCTTGATCGACAAACTCGTGTAAGAGTCTCTTAGCTTGATCAATTGTTGATTTACCCCAGAATGGTAATTCAGCAAGAAATTCAACTTGATTAATCATACGAAAGGTTCGATATTCTAACATGTCGCTCGCTTCATTGAACAGTTTATTCATGAATTCTCGAGAACTTTTATTGTCTCGGTAATCTTGACCAAAAGCACTCGAGATAATAATAGAAAGTGTCAACGAACTAAAGACACTATCGAGACGAACAGGATCGGTTGCTGACGAAGTGGTCAGTAGTGAATAAATTGCTCTTCCCGTTTCACTCGACATCAGTGGTACCATTGACTGAAGATTAATTGAATGAAACGCAGGATTTAGCATTTTTCGTGCTCGTTCATGTTCTGAGGTTGGGCTAACTAGAAGATTGTGTACACCGATTAGTGGTTTCACAATATTAATCAAGAACGATGTTTTGCTATAGTATTCTGCTTTCGAACGACTTAGAATATCAGCTAACAGCCCTGGTTCAGCAACTACCAACCGCTGCAAAGGTCCCATACCCATAAGATAAAAATAGCCGTGCTTTTTCGCGAGATCATTGAAATATTCTAACGTCTTGTTTTGTTTATTAGCACGAATGATATCGAATATTTGACCAAATACTGGAACAAATGGTTCACTGTGCACTCCTTGACTTGCAAGATTATCATATATTCGTTTTTGAGGGCGGACGATTTTGATATATATAAATGCAACCAAAGCAAGTAAGAACAGAATAACCAAAAAGAATATCATCTTATTTACTCAGTCTTCTAAATAAAGATTTCTATTCGTTTATATTAGTTTTACTGTCGTTCGAGCCAATTCGTGCAAAAATGATGTCGATGCTATACAATGAAAGGAGAATCGAAAATATCTATTCATTAATATCGACTAGCACGTGCTTATCGTACGTCGTTTTCACCTTATTTGCTGCTCGAATACTCTTTGCAAACTAAAAATATTTTCTCTATCGTCAATGTCACAAAATGTAGAACAATGACAACACAGAATACGTGAAACAATCCAACTGACATGAATGGATAAACGTGCGGTTCAACATTATTTCTCCCTATTGAAACGATAATTTGATGTTTTAATCATTTATTTCAATGTATAATAAACACGATATACAAAGAGAGAATTTACCTGACTGAAAGAACACTGTGAAAAAATAAAACTATAAAATAGATTCTTATTTTGGATTAAATAATAAAACCACACAAATATGTCGATGAAGAATACAAATCAACGTTTTCTCATTAGTCGACTTGTTCCAGAAGCAGAATTTGTGTACGAAGAACGATCCTCATCAAAATCATTTTCAGTCAAAGCTACCGAAACAAATCGTGGTGATGTTGCACGAAACATTTCATCAAACGGCACAGATCGATTTTCATACAAAAGAATATTCAACGTTTCTTCGTAGATTCTTGCTTCGAAAAATTCCACCTAAACAAAAGAAGAACAATCGATGCACGGAATTACGAATCATTTGGTTCAGACTTTATTCTGCTTTCTTTCCGTTGCATAAACAATTGACGTACAACAAACTTCAGCCATCTTTTGTCCATTAGCGTAAAAACTCCAACAACAGATTTCTTCACTACCAGTCACATCTTTGATAAATAGAATTCGATTATGTGAGCGAATGCTCAGTTTATCGAACAACTCGATATTTTTCATTAACATTTCATCAGATGAACTAAACAAACACTCACAAATCTTAAATCTGCCTTCTAGTCACAATTTTACTTACGCTGTATATGAATATTTATTATTATGTCTATTGATTGCTAATTTAATGATTGGTTTCTTGACTGTACTAATTATATTTTGTAATTCTCTTGCAGATGTGATCATTATCACTCTACAAGAAGCATCAATATCACCGGAAGTTTTGCGCGCATGTATTCGTAGGATATCTTGTTCTATAAGATCGATTAATGATTGAATACAATAAAATTTGGCTTCTTGCAGTAATTCATTTAATGTTTGTAAACAATCTGGCAGATTTAAAGTTCCATCGCGTAAATAATTCAAAATGAAATTAAAATGTTTCCCATCTCGATCGATTAGAACCCAACCTAATCAAACCACTTTGGAATTTTTTATTAGTAAAAGATTACTCGCATACCTTCGCTATCCTGTACGACTTCCATTCGTCCACTGAACATCGCTCTGAACATTGTATCTTCTTTCGTCAACGTATCGAAACTTGTCAAGAAAAGCTGATTGCCAACATTGAGTTTCACATATTTACCAAAATGATTGGAAAGATTAGCTGGTGAATCTTTGTTTAAAACCGATGCGGACGCCGATAGGACACTCGTTGACGTTGAATCACCCATCTGAAAATAGTTCGATTGTTCGAGAAATCATATGTTGAGAAAGACAAGATAAATAAACAATTATAATATCAGATATTTTTTTTATTGACAACATAGATTTGCACATCATTGATTGTAACAGACATAACATTTAGTAAAATACTGTATACGTAGAAGTGGTTGGAAAGCAAAATGAGAAAAAAAAGAACATGACGACATAGATTAAAAGCGAAAATCAATTTCTTCGTATTCAATACAATTTCAAATGACGAGTAATTTCATTGATCAATCGTGAAGGTGCTAGGAAACATATGAAAGTATACCACAATCAGTATCAGAAAGAAAAACATTGCACATCGTACATACCAGGTCCAATGCCGAGAACAGTTTTGCAGCCATTATCAATACGTGTTCGACCTATAATAAATATTGTAAGCATTTCAATAAAAACTAATAACCTTTAATTTGTTTCTTTTTTCGATTTCTAATATACCTGCATCACGTATTAAACAAGTTGTTAAACCTTTAAATTTAGCTTGACGACGTAATTGTTCTCTATGATTGAAAGGAAAATATATGATGTAAAAAACTTATTAAGAGGTAATTACGTACAAATCATCATCAGAATCACATTTACAAACCACTTTCGCTTGACCACCGAAGAACCACGAATCAACAGCATTGGGAATTCGTTCACAGGCTTTTTGGAAACATGCTAATGTTGCATGAGAACACTATTTGTACGGACGTATACGTGTCGTTGTGTAAGAACAGAGAGATTAATGCACTTACTTGAGCTGCGACTTTTCCTAAAAACGAAAATTTATGAATGTAAAGAAAATCAATTGAAATTTACCTTGTGCCATCTTCAGATCATTTCTCACAACAAGTACCAACTAGAAATAGGATAGATTGCTTTCAATTCAGAGAAATTATTTGTGACTTACTTTGTATTCTCCATCGGCATCCGAAGAACCAGGATCGAACTAGAGAAAACAAATCACGATGACATATTTTTCCATGGATAAAGCTCTTCTTACATTTTTTTCATCTTCACATTGATCTTTTTCAAAACCAAAATTGTTTGACATGACTTTGACACTATTGTTCACCAACACAGATGAACTAAAAAGCCAACCAAGTGCCAGACCTAGAAACAACCTCAATCTTATCATTTTCCCTCCTTTTTCAATGCTTTTACCTCCAAAAAATCCAGCCACAAGGCCAGCCGTAGCAAATCTTTCTCCAAACCAAGATGAGTGGCTCATTCAAACTCTAACAAAACATCATCAATCTCAAAAAGTCAAAGATCTATTGATATTTTACTTTACCTACGTATGACAACATAATCAAAAAGAAAGAAAGAATATTGTGTTATTTTATGAAGCTATAAAACCAATAAGAACGATACCAGATAGCAATCTGAAAAAGAAATAACACCTTTTACAATCAAATGGTATTTTATCTTTCATCTCAACATGCACATCGTCGTATCATAATAAATTACTTCGATTTGTGTCCCTTCTTCGTTTCATGCTTGAAATAAATGAAGCAGAAATATTAACCTTGGAGGGAAAAACATCGTATAACATTACACTTTTTTCAGATTTCACGGAACAAACAGTGTCTGTCATCGAAAGGAAGGAGAGAAAAAGACGACATTGGATATTTCTTGTCTACATGAAGAATAGATAACTAAACAGAAATAGTTCGTGTCAAGATGAATAACGTCTGAAATGCATGCGTCATGAATGTAATTTCAATACACGAAAACGCTTGAGATATATACTGCGGAGAGAAGAAAAGAGCAAATAGCCTTTTTTTTGTTCTTTAATATCTAAACGAATATACAATGAAGTGATGGGGAGAGAACGCGAAATTATATATACATATAGATTCAAAGAGCAAAGGTGGCTCGACATGATTGATTGATCTACGGTATACGAAATAATAACAATAAATCATCTATACCAAATGTATAGATTTGACGGAAATGCTTCTTGTTAACCTTAAATGAAATACGCAATTCTTTCTTAAAACGTAGATATTTCGAAACTCAATGAATATGTTTATCTTCAGTAGTGGATCTTAATCCCGACATTCTATGGATATCAGTTCAAAGTAAAAAGGAAGGAGCATGATAACGACTGTAACGCTTTAATAGAATGCAAACTATACACGTGTCAAATGTTTATAAAACCATAACAAAATTTCTCATTTTCGAATCATACATGTGCATTGATCCATTCGAATAGTTATGATTCTTGAAACACAAGATAATACGTATTGTTTCTCTTTGTTCGACAACAAAATACTTGCCATATAGCAGAATAATCAAAAGAAAACAATGACAAGTATTCAAGTATCTGAAAGATAAGAGAAGCTAATCATATTTTAAGGTACTATTACATACGAAACATATGTTGTCTTCTTCTCCTATTCACCGATGGTGTAATGATCTCATCGGATCTGAGTTTTTTTAGGTGAGTTTACAAGGAACTGTTTCATTCAATAACTTAGTATTGTTGATTATTTGTTATCTAATATAAACAAAGAAACAAACAAATAAACATCAATAACATGAACGAAAAATAGGTATTGAGAAACAAAAAGATAACTCTGTACAAATGGATTATATCATTCAGTGTTTTTCCATAGATGTTTTCTTGTCTCGATTGATCGATATACATGATAAACGAGCAAACAAACAAACAAACAATAACAAACGGCACATGAACATCTAAACACACATGGATAAAGACAACCACACTAAAATTACATTGTCATCTGATGAACATTCATTCGCTATGCGCGTTGTTGAGCACCATAGTATTGGGCGAGAGGTGGCGCATACGATGATGGATGTGCACCTGGTGCGCTTCCATACACTGGCTGTTGTCTTGACTGATTTGGTGGTGGATAAGCCGCTTGATGCTGTTGTGGTGGATAGGCGACAGGCACATCATGTCGAAAGGATGGCGGCTGACCAGACGCTGCTGCTGCTGCATAGGGATCACTCCGATAGTTTGTATACATATCATACTCACTAAATGTAAGAGAAAATTCGTTTATTCAATAAGAAAATATTTTAAAAAATAGTTAGCAGGTACCGTGGAGGTGCTGAACTTTGAGTAGGTGGCATTGGTGGATATTCGGAATCGCGCGGTCGATTGGCATAATATTTTTGGTATGGATCATAGTTATATGGATCGACAGATGTGGGCGGTGCTTGAGGTAAACCGCCGCCATAATATGGATCCATAGGTGATGTACCTGGATTACGGTCGTACATTCTAATAAGAAGAGAGAAAAAAAATATTTAAATAGGTTTAAAAGAAAGTTCGTTTGTTCAATGTAAAATCATATAATGCAAAACTCGAAATTGAATTCTATTTACGAAATACATGTAGTCCAAATCCCTGAACTTGATTTGTTTACTCTGTAAGAATTGCAACACAGGCCATAAATACTCGTTTTGAGAAAAAACTTCTTACCGATTGGCGCCATAGCCAGTGGCATCAGGTCGAACATGTGCTGGCGGTAAATCAGGATAATCACGTACAGAATACATTCCAGTCGGTCCACTTCCGCCACCCCCACTACTGCCTCCTCCACCACTCGCAGTCGCATAACCTGGTGCACCATACATATTATCACGAATTGCATCATATCCAGAACCGTAACCACTATCATGTCTATCATTATAGTAATTTCGAGGATCGGGTCGCGCATCATACGATCGTGGACGGTCATAACTAGCGGGTGGTGGACCATATCCAGTATTCATTGCATTGGAATCCATGGGAATACCGTCATATGGACGTGCATCACCACGAGCCCATGCTGATGCACTATGACGCATTGGGCCAACGCCACCAGGTGTTATAGCTGGACTATAACGAGAAACGCCATTTCCAGCAGTCATTACAGCAGCACGAGCACGAGAACTACATATACAGAAGAAGAGAACAGGTTAGAATGAATTGAAATCTTCTTTGAATTCGTACTTTCTCAAAGCACTGGGAGGTTCTGGTTGACCAGGTCGATGTCGCACGGTACTCGTCGAGAGCTAATAGAACGAAAATCATTAATCGAACTTGTACATTCACTCGTATTTCCTTCTTACTTCAACACGTAGTCTTTTCCCATGGAACTCTTTGTTGTTCAAGGCTGCTGCTGCTTTCTCCGCTTCTTCAACTGAGCCAAAATGCTATAGAAAAACAGAGATAAACGCTCATCAGTCCCTAACATGTGTTTACCACAAAACCATAATCTTTGATCACAGATGCTTCGAGTACTGTACCAAACGGTCCAAACAGTTCAGATAATTCAGCTAAAAACAAAACAATTGCATCAATCTTTGTTAGCACGACTCAAATATCCGAAGTCTATTACAAGGTTGAGTTGCTGGATCAAGATTACCAATGAATAATTTTGTTTTCACTACTTTTCCTGGTGAAGTCATTGGTATTGTTTGTATCTGGAATGGTTAAGAATGAAAAAGAAAAGAAAAACAAATGAAAAATCAATCAGTTAAATTTTAGTTGAACTAAAACCAACAAAATCGCATTGTAGAAACGAAACAAACAAGAAAAAAAAAAGAATTAAAAGAGACAAAACAAAAAAGAGAAAAGCAAATAAGCACCTAGATCTTCCAGTAGTCCTTTCTTCACATAAGAAATGATCCAAGACATACATGCACGAAGGGTAACGATATCATCGTTCATTATCAAACAGTGGAATGAACATCGAGGAAAGAAGAGCATCACAGTGAACAAAAAACGGACAAAAGGAAAAGATTATCATGACTTGGGTTTTCTTCGTACAATATCCAGTTTCGAATTTTCAAACAAGCCGAACAGATAACAGAGGAAAATGAACAAACATACAGATACGTGAAGAAGTAAGTGGCAAAAATCGATGCAAATTAATAAATAGACTTTTTTTCGATTCATAATTTCCGTGTGGGACATATTGTTTGTCATCGTTTGAAGATAGGTCGCATACGAAGTAAAATAGTACAGATCGAGAAGACACGCGAAAAAACGGGCGCAGATAATTGATAAACGAAACGCAAACGCGAAGAATGTTCAAACTAGAAGATAAGCAGAAAATAAAAGTCGATCATATTGTAAATATCCGTAAATAAAAAAAAAGAAATTCATGTAGTGATGCCCTCCAGTCATAGACGATGTATTTAAGTGACTAAATCAACAAAATATTGTCGGAACGTTTTACTCCGCGCATAGATAATCTAAGCTCGAGTAAACGCAAGGAAAGAGAAGTTGAAATCTATACGTACTTGTGTTGATCGGAGGAGTCGTTTTGGAACTAATTGTATGTATTTTACATTAACTCTCTTGTCGAACTTTTCTTTTTCTTAATTTCTTCGGAGTTGTCGGTGGCGTATCATCGGTCTGCTCCTTTTCTTCTTCATCTGCATTCTTGTTATCGTCGAAACCTTCGGGCCCAATGTTGTCAAATTGTGCACGAACAATATCACTGTTCTGATCAAGTTTCCCTGACCAAAGATCTTCGATTCGAAATGCTTCATACACACAACAACGTGGAAACCAGCCACGCGGACGACGATGGCCACGTCGGCGTGTTTTCATTTCCTGGTTGTTTTTATCCAGTTGACCAGCAATGACACGTTCGCCATACAACCAATATCTTTCCCAACGTGTTACAAGAACATAATCACCTTTTTCAATTGGTATACGAAATTCATCCGTACAAGGAATACATATACATGTTCGTAAGCCATAACGTAAGGTTATGAACGCACCTTTGTAAGGTTGAACGACTTCATAGCGCATGGTACGTTGACGTTTTTCTGATTTTTGTTCGAGTTGTTCGCGTGTTAATGCATATTCGTCAGTACCGTCGCGTACAGGCCATATTAAACCATTGCCGATAACATTGAATGTCTCTCGCCAATTGAAAACTTGTCGAAGATTTTCTTTGAAACCAAGATCATATGGATAGATAAATTCCACTGCCCGTCGATGATTTCGATCTTTTGCTTTACGTAATATCCAACTTTCCACACCAGTTTGATTTTTCATGATACTTCGTAATTGAACAATTAAAAGAAATCCTACCTAAACATCAAAAAAAGCAAATAATTAGAAATTTTCTCGAATTAGTTTAATTATTCATCAACTCACGGCAATTATGACACCAAGTGCAAGACCAATGGAAAGTATGCATGATATGAGACCGGTGAATGTGAAATAAATAAGTGGAACATCTTTAACTCGAGCATATACATAGTATTGCACGAACAGTGCACGATAAATACATGGACAAAGCATAATCAGTGCGTGGATACAGCCAAGTATTGCATAGAATAAAAACCAACAAAAGTTTGCATGATTGAAATGTCCAGTACATGTGTTTATCCATGGACACTAGAGAAAAATAGGTTTTCTTTCGTTGAGAATGTACTCTTAGAGCTTTACTTACATGATGATCAAGTTTCATAACACATTTCCCACATTTTTTACAATGGTGTGCACGTGGAGCTTTAAAACCATCACAAACATCACCTGTAAGATGATTCACTCATTCGCAAGAAATTCAAGATTTGAAAAGAAAATCTTACAGTACTGCAAGTATTTTTCATCTTCAGGATTTGCTGGTTTCCATCCTTTCGGTACGAATCCTATCGAAAAATGAAATAGAATTCACAGTAGTTACAAGAATATGTATCACCATGAAGATTATACCTGGTCCAACAAAAATAGCACGGAAGTAATTGTAGAAAATTATAACAGGCCATATCCAGTAAATAAGAAAGTTGATTATACTTAATGGATCTTTGATGTCTGGTGGATACCATTGAATAAGGCAGTGATATCCACTGATTGTTCTAGAGACGAAAAAGTTCCACGAATGCTATTTGATTTTGTCAATAAAAATCTCATCACATACATCCAAATGATCAAAATAATGGCACCGATTGGTCCATAATGTGCTAGTTGACTAAGTCGTCCTGAACTTGTTCCAAAGCACATCTTAAAAAAAAAGCGAAATGTCTTCGAGCGAACGCTTCTTAATTGATCACAGAAAAATATCGCTACAAACAAGACTTTTTTGTCTTCTCTTTTCCTGCTGCTAGCCATTACTTTCATTCTTTGTCCTCTCACCATTCTGATTGGACGAATGAGAAAAGAAAACGCAGATGAGTTTCTTTTTTCCTGTACACTACTTCAATGAAGTATGTTTTATGTTTCTATTGAAAGCGTGAATGTCTCACCAAGAAACGAACTCGGTCTCATCGGATTTCTCCTATTTATTTTTTCGTAATGGTGCCAGTTTTCGAATCAATTACGATGACAATGATGACAGCAATTCAATAAAGCCATCGACCGTACCGAAGTTAACTGAATTATGTTGCTCAGTCATCGTGCGGAATGAACGATTGACTGAACAAGCATGTGAAACCATACCAAAAGAATTATTTGATCCATTATTTCGAGCAGCTTTGCGTTATACACAAGATGACAGTTGTATTAATGTTCTGATCTCTCGATGGCCATACCGAGTATTTCGTTTGGAGGATTTTGTTGATGAAAAATTAACTTCGCTGAAAATGTTACTATGTGAGAAAACAGCATTACAACGAACAAAACAAGCAATAAAATATTCCGTGATTATTATCCCTCGATTCATTGATTCTGTTCGACAACAGCAACAACAACAAGAGCAAATCAATGAGAAAAGACTCTCGAATTTACGAATACTCGATGTCACGAATTTTCCTGTCGTAGAATTGATTATTCGATACATTTCGACACACTGTCGACTTGCAGAGAAAGAATCTCGACGTAATCAATTGATCGATATCTACAATCAACAGCATCATCAAATTCCACCTGACTCTTCAGCCAATGCAAACGAGGAATCTCAATACACTATTGGTAAACACTTGAATTCTCTCAAAAAAAAAAGGATTAATTTCGAATTTTGTTCTTCAGAGACAAGACATTCACAGAACACTTCGAATCACAACAATGACGATCTGATCAAATCCAGTTCATATCCAGAAGATATCATTATTATTCGATTTGACTGTATTATTCAAGATTATCGCACTTATGTCGAACTACTTTCTGCTCTTCGCTCATCCACCCCGAATATCCAATTACAGATCTGTACAATTGACATGCGATGCATCGGTTTAGCACTTGTGAGCAGTTTCCTTGATCATGTTAACAACCGAGTATGTCGTTTCAGACGTTTATCCTCATTTTATATACTTCTAATTTTAAGTTTGTCCACACACTTCGTATTCCGTACAACGTTTTGACACGGCAGAACCTCAAGTATTTCCTTCCACGTTTGCCAAAACTGACCCAATTACATACATTAGATCTTTCATGTAATTTTATCGATTTTCGACTCAATCAGGATGATTTAGAACAATTTTGTACTGTTCTATCTCAATTGAAACATTTGAAAAATCTTTCGCTCAGCGGTTCGCCAATCACCAATCGTCTAGAGTTCATTCTCAATGCAATCGATCATTCGCTAGAAGTCTTAAACCTGGATTTCTGTTCATTATATGAAAATGATTTGATTAGTTTAAGTCAAATGAGTACACGACATCAATTTCTGCATCTGGATCTAGGTACCAATCGTTTAAATCGTTTCATGCGTCAACTATTAATTGTACTTATCAAACAAAGTCGACTCGTCGTCTTAGATCTTGATTATAATCGCTTCTCTTCGAATGATTATTTGGAATTGATTGCCTGTTGTCAACGTTTGAGTTCGTTGAAAAGTTTAAGTGTCCGTGGACCTAATTCGCTGACAACTCAATTGGCAGCAGCAACATTTATTGGTGAACATTATGGATGTCTACGTTCGTGGAAGATTGCTTCACCGATTGAATATTCTCTCAATCGTTTTGTTGGCAATGATGAACAAAATTATTTAATTCAAACCATAATGCCATATGAGATGTTTGTTAATGAAATGAATAAACGAGCGAAATGTCTCGTTTCCATATCAGAACTAAGTGTATAGAAATGCAAAAAAAAACACAGACTAATTAATGTATTTCTTTTTATTCTATTTTCTATTGAGTTTTTTCTTTTTTCATTAAAAACTTTGATGACGTAGATATACGTTTGAGAATGTTCTGCCAGTCTTCAAGTAATTTCGACTGTTTTCTTTGATTGTATATCGACATTTGCTCACTGATATAGTTTAAATTTGTCTGAAGTAATTTCGAAACCAGATCGTCAATGGATTCGAAATAGGTTATGTAAGGCCATTGGTAATAGTCAGCGTATTTTAGCCAATAATATATGGAAGAACGATCGAATTCATTATTTGGATCGGGAACGGTTGTATTTAAATCATACGGTGGAATAGCTGATCGAGACTTGCCTTTTCCAGTGAACACCTTGTCCCATGTCCGATCGTAGACAAGACTGTATTTCAAATGCCATTCAGTTAACAAATCAATCGATGGGAAAAACAATGGAATATTCATGGTATATTGTTCGAATATACTCATTGTTGATACTTGATATGGCAAATAGATAATGCCTGGATGACGAACCAAATCGGAATAATCGTAAGTATGGTAGAGTTTGCGTAGTGGTTGCACTATGATCGATGTTTTGGCTTTTTTTATGGAAACATTCAATTCTTCGAAGAATTGTTGAGTAAATTGAACGTAGCTATTCGAAGGAAACAATATGAATTCCGAACGAGTGTTTACAGATCGATAGTGAACGTTTGTATAAGCACACATGTGTGGTAAGACAGTTGTATTTATACCAGTAAAATATCGAATATATTCAGCATCGTACAGATTATTTGCAGCAACAACATTGCTAATTGAAAGCAAACAATGAAATAGTATAAAGAATCATTGATAATAATTAAACGTTCACTGAAACCTACCGAGAATCTGAAGCGATCAAACGTAAGTTTTGATTCCATTGATTCCATTCATCGACAGCGAATCTTCCTAATTCATAACGAGTTGATGCTATAACGATAATTGTTCGATTGAATGGCATAAATAATTCACACATTGCTGCTGGATGAAAACAAACAAATGCATCAACATGATTCATTAATGGATCATCTTTGTAGAACTCATAAAATCGTTTACGAATCGATTGATTCGGATTCATTCCATTAAGTGTTGATAAAACATACAGATGCTTTGCACAAGTTTTCGTCGTACTACATGATGCCGAAAGACTTTCATCAATGAAACGAACACCAAGTGGTGTTAAGGTATTCTTCAAATCATGTATTGGACTAAATGAAATAGAGAAAAGTGATTGTTGTAACAGAGAACACTATCATTTACCTGATATGATAATCATTACTCCAGAAAGTAATATTATCATCATATTCACTGAAATCCAACACTTGGTTTTGATCATCACCGAGAAAATAGATGAGACTATAACCAAATATGAAAACAGTACACAAAAAGCATACAAATATGAAATGATGAAGTAAGAATCGATGGATCGATCTCATCCATAGCATAGCTTTTTGTTACAAAAATGTGTTCTATCGATCAAGATAATCATTCTTTCGATTTTTCTCTATTATTTGCTCAAAGAATATTTTTCAATCAGATCTATTTGTCAATTACACAAAGAACAGCGTAGGATATATTTTTCTATCTACCTACGCATAACAGACAAGAAGTAATGGTTCTATTTCAAACACATTCTACATGAAGATTCATTATGAAATGATTGAATGAAAATATTGCACTCAGTTTCAAAGGTTTAGTGTTTGACACACATTAGCTAATTGAAATATTGAATGAAAACATCCGTTCAAAAGACAACCCAAACTGTCAAACATATCAAATCAATTTCGATTTCTTATCTTATCATTTCTTTATATGATGAGAGGAAGAGAATCGAACTTCATTTCCGTACAAATTAAATCATAACATATAAACATATCGGTACAGATGCACAAATGCTCCAATCTTCTCAATCATCGTGACAGATCGATAGGTATCGTGTAAGTATATACAAATACTTATTCTATCGTTGTTGATTCCCTAACAATTCGCGAGCTTAGATCGATCAGCACAGAATTAAACAAGGAGAATTCGAAAATTTTCGTGTATTTGAATATCTTACTCAGTTATTTTCAGTTTTCATTCAAGTGACGGTCCTCTCGTCGTTTTATAATTAAAGCATAATTCTTTATCTAGCATAGCGACAGGAATAGAGTGTGATGACCGTATTTTTATTCATACTAATGTAACATATTATACACGCCAATATGAAGGATTTAAAGAAGCTACCGTCCTATTCGCTTCGAGAAAGATGTTAGGATTGTACATTGCTTCAGATAATCTCAAAAGTTTATTTTTTGTTTATAAGCATCGCGTCCCCTTTAAAAAAACTCCTAGATCAACCACTGACATGCAATCATCTGACAGAAGGTTCACAAAAAAGAGTAAGTTATATTGTTAGCTATGATATGTTGCTGTTGATGGGGATGTGGATGAAGGAGAGTGAATTTCACGTTGCGTGTACATCGGATAAAAGGATTGTCGAGCATATGGATTTATTCGTGCTGTGTGATAATGTTCTGTACGATGTGTTAAATCAGATAATTGCGAATAGATAAATGAATCGTTTGAGTAACTCGTTAAATCTTGATTAACTAGTGAATAAGGCGTTGGTGGAAGAAAATTCATGTCCGGAGAATCCGGAATAAGACGGGATGATATGTCCATAGGTGGATTAAACGCATTCACTTGTGTACTTGCTGATCGATGTTGTGAACGGAGTAAACGTTGGTTCGAATTGAATCCGGCCAATGAATCTGCTATGCTATAACAAAGTTTATTCTCATTGATGTATGGGTTCTGTGTGTCAAGACTTGCAGATGGATACCTGTCATCTGCTTCCGAATCACGAAAACCTTTCGCAAACGGATTGGAAGCTATTTTTAATTGTGTTATTCGATGGTTTTGATACGCTGTAACACTGATAAATATCGTTTCAGGAAACGTAAACGTTCGAAATGTTTGTGTTTGCTGGAGAAACGTTTCATCAGATTTCGTTGTTGGTGAATAAACACAATGAATTCGCGGTTGATATCGATGCATGGAGTTGAGAATAATCTTTTGGAAAACAAATAAAGAATGTCTGATGAAAAGAAATTTATTTCTTACATGGCCATTGTCATCCAGTAGATTGTTCGTTAACTTAAGTTTATCAAATGAAATGATGTTTTTCATCCAAGCGGAACCAACTTGTGGAGAATCAGGATGCACATGGAAACGACCCGGACAATGTGGATCGGCTTTGCCAGCTACCACCCAACTTGAACTACAGAAAATGAAAGCGATTTTTCGTGAACGAAAAAAGTGAAATATTTTCTTTACTTATAAAATGCATAGCGATAACGTTTGTCGTCTAACGGCACAAAATCAACCATGAGCAAATATGTCGTCGAGGGATCCATACCAGAAATTTTCACTTGTAAAACGGGAAACATTCGTCTTTGATGAGCAAAAGAGAAAAAAAGCAAACGAAAGTGAGTTATCTTTCTTTTCGTTTCAATACGTGATTGAAAACATATGTGCATCTTTCTCAAAAGAGTTCATCTTATCTCCTAGTGCTTTATGTTCTGTACCTTCCTGACCGTGTAACGATCATTTCCGTTCCGAGCTTGTCAAATTCATCCCAAAGGGATTTCGATTCTAAAGTCATTTTAACATTGGCTAATTTCGGATGCAATGGTTTCTTAATCTCTTCGGTTTCATTTGATCTGCTATCACTAGTGAATTGACATGTCGACTTGATCTTTTCTGTTGCAGATTGAATATAATCTAAAACGAAATCATTTCGATACTTTGCCTTCTACTTTCGTTGTTTTGCTCACCTTCCATATGACGTGTTGTTAATGAACTTTTCTGGAGATTTGTTGTTTGTTTATTATTCACTGCTCGGACATCTTTCTTTTTCACATCTTGTTGATAATCGTTTGTATATGCACTCATGCTGAAGTTTGGCTCAACAGAATTTGTCATTGTATGGTATAGAGCCTGTTCGTCATCGCCACATTCTGATGTAATCAACGAAGCAATACTGAAATTACTAGCGCGTGGTGTTAACGGATTGCCATCCATCGAAGAAAATACTTGTCAAGTGAAAACGCTGATAAGGTAATAGTAACAGTTTGGTTCGTTTCCACAAAGAATTATATTGATGAGATAAAAAAATGCGATTGGATACACTCTGTGAACGGTAGTTGATTTCTTCTCTCTCTCTCTCTCTCTCTCTCTCTCTTATTTGTACGTACGGCTGCTCTTCCCACTATCATCATTGATGACTCGTCATCACCATCATCTGATAGATTGTTTATCTTCGACTTGTCTAACTTGCGGAAATATGTCTATTTTGATACATATATGATGACTTGACAATCGTTATCATTCGTTCTCTTTTGCTGCCTGAAAGCAACAATTTTTGATCCTTTGCAATGTTTTCTACCAATCAAATAGCATAATCATATCAAACTGTAATTTGAAGATACTCTTGATTCTCGGTTGAAGCTATGGAATCATGTCCGAGTTTTCACGATTTGTTTTTCTGTTATTTATGAAGAATAAAGATTATTCGATGGAGGCTTTTTTTGCTTTTATCTAGATCGAAGAAAGTGATGATGTGCAGCTAGTTAATGAAGATATACGAGTTTGACCAATCAACTAATGCAATCAAAAGATTGATAGCATATACAGAGGAATTATTCAAAGATATGAACGGTCTGCCGCTAAAATTATGAAAGTTCAAAAATCACAGCCTGTGGCCATTCGAATCAATTCATTCGCCAATCTATGGGATGAGATCTATTAATTCAGAAAGGAAATTCAAAATCTCTGGTTGCAAAGTCTATGAAATTGTCTACGTCTGACCGGGTTTTTGAAGTGCAATATTGCTTTCAAGGTAGATGCATACACAGCGAAACAAGCAAGAAAGTACAACCCATAAATCGCATACTGAGTGTTTGTAGTGCGTTACGCTTGATTTCGTGTATGTGCTTCGACACAAAGTAGATAATTGGAAAATGCGAAGCATACGTTGAATAACAAATGATAATAATAGATAAAACGAAATAGGGTTTATCGAATTTTTTTGCTATTCTGACCGTATCTTAGTCTAACTATACTCGGATTTGAATTGCTGAAGGGAGCGCAAAAACATGACTTGTTCACTAGACAACGGTGGACGCTGTGATGATCACTCAGTGCTTGCAACTCAAACCGATGATAATGTTGTAAATGAGTCGATTTAGTTTCTTTCTATTTTTACTTATTCTGATCTATTTTCTAGGTAACCGATGAATTGGACATGAAATCATATGGGACGATCACGTGTACTCATTATTCATTGGATTTCGATGTGATTCTGAATGGTGTTCGTGTTTCTTTTAGTTTCTCGGAACTACGATAACAGAGCAAATTTCATTCGAATATCACCGAATACGTCTCACAGACATATTAAAAGATTGTTTTTCGATCAAAATCAAATTCAAGCAGGTTTCAAGCGCACATCATTGGTCATATCGATCATGGGCAGTGCAAAAGAAAGTTTTTTACGATCAAAACTATTACTCGTATTTCGCGAAGGCCTTCTGAAAATCGCTAAATCTACGGGTAATTATCACATCCCTTCGTTTTACTAAATCAAATCTATTGTTTTCCTAATGTAGATATACGAATAGTCACCGCTGGATTGAATTCTCGTATCGCCAAGTTTTTCGGTGAGATCGTTCAAACTAATCCTGATCCAACTCGGCCAATTCAATTAATGGTAAGCAATAGGTATGAACCGTGATATTATTAGATTTTGAAAATCGATGGACAGGGTTTTACATCGTGGGGATGCGTATCTGGTCATGATATACTTGATGTTCAAGGTACCGATGTAGTTTACACAAAACTGACAAGTGACGCCAAAGGTGAAGGACCATTAGAACCGAATCATACACATTTCGTTTTTCCTGATGATGGAGCAAAGCACAAACATACATGTGCGATACAATATCGGGCTCAATTTGAGCGAAATCTTGCTGATGATGGAATACCAGTTCTAGTCGTTGTGATCGAAGGTTGTTCAGATGCAATCAGAAAAGGTTTCATATATCATTTCTGCAATATTCATGTTCTGATGTTGCTATTTAGTTCATCGAAGTGTTGTTCAAGATAGTATTCCTGTTCTTTTGGTTGAAGGAACAGGTGGATGTTGCGATCTATTCGCTAAATGTTATCATCTCTACAATAGTTATAAATTAAAACCGGACATTTGTGATGAAGTCAGGTATGCTATGCGGATCAATTTGTTGTCGTTATTACAGAGATCTTGATTCTTTAGTTCGGATGAGTCTGTATTAGCAGAAGAAAACGAACTTATCAAGAATAAACTTCGTCATTCACTACGAATCGTAGATGAAGATCTAGCGAAAACATCGTGTACGAACGCACCACCAGATGGAACCGACTTCTTCGAACTTATCTACGAATGTGTTCACAAGCAGAGCAAATACTTGAATTTCATTGATTTCAAAGGAAATCACATTTCTGGTGACAGTGTCGTTTTGAGTATTCTACAAGCACTATTTAAAGGTAATTCAAATAGAAAAGATACATTCATCGGATTTCATACTATTATATAGCCAATTATGACAACAAATCATCACGAATGAGCGAAGAACAAAGACGTGAACAATTGTATTTAGCTTACGATTGGAAACAAATAGACTTCGTGAAAGAATGCATTATGATATACGATCAAGATTGGAAGGTAAAGAAGATGTGCAATATTGACACACACTCGATTTTTTACCATTGATTTAGACGATTGATTTGAAAGATTTATTTGATAGAGCTCTTCTTGACGATCGAGCGGATTTTCTGCAATTATTACTCGATCATGATTTTCCACTGAATGAAGTCTTCGAAAATAACGACAAACTTTTAAAACTATTCGAAAATGAAGTATATCATTTACATTTTGAGGGCAAATTCAAAATTGTTCTGTATTTCAGAGTTTCACTTTCAACGACGAAATCAACGGTCCATTGAGAGCAATTTACCAACAAATGATTCAACCCATGCTTGGTCATGTCTTTCAAGTCGATGCTATCTTTGATCCTGATGATCAACCGACATGTAATACAATAAGGTCGTTTTATTCTGCACAGAGTTTGTTCGATTGAAAGAATCCTTTTGTTGTTGTTTTTTGATTGATTTACATTTAGAATCTTCACCATCGATGTTTTCCGAGATCGATGTGAACAAAGAACTTTTTCTATGGGCGGTTGTTACTGGAAGAAAGGAATTAGCTTTGCTTTTCTGGACGCGCGGAAGAAATAAAATCTGTAAGTGGTAAAACGGCAGATTTCGATGTTGACGCATACAGAACATTTCTGATTTGTTGTAGGTGCGGCATTCATGGCAGTATTAATCTATAAAAGTAAAGCTCAATTGGAAAAAGATTGCAAATACTTAAAATGGGCTAAAGAAATGGAACAATTAGCAGTTGAAATATTGGAAAGATTCTATCTAGCAAATCCTCACAAATGTAAACAAGCTATCATAAGAGCAGTACAAGATTATGATAATGTCACTTGGTTACAATTAGCTGTTATGGCTGAATCAAAATTATTCATCGGCAAAGCAGCTGTACAAGATGTACTTACTGATATATGGTTTGTTTAGATGATATTTGAATCAACTGTGACTTTCTTAGAAATCTTCTGGCTTAGGTATGGATGTATCGATCGGCATATTGGATATTTGCGACTTATCGGGTCGAGTATTATCTTTCCATTCAGTGGTTTTCTTCCATTTGTGAAAAAACCAATCGAAGAAGACGTTGACTCAGATGAATCGGATGTAGAGTTGATGATTTGATTTGATTTTGGGTATTAGTTCATTTCATTTATTGATAGAACACTCAAGAGCAATCCGGTAGCTTTGATCCTTCTACTGCATTAACTAAATTCTATATTCCAAAGTAAGATATTCAATATGAATATATTTCTAAGCAAATTCTTTGTTTCATAGAAGTAACCAAGAATTAGCATTGGGATGTTCGAGTGTAGCTCGTTATCAGTTCGACAGTGAAGTAAATCCTTTGTCAATAAAGAACCGGTAAAAACGTCTTCGAAACATCTATCAATTTGTAATTATCTAATTGTTTTTCGAAGAAAAACTGGTATTTCCGGGTACTTTGAGAATCTTTCAACATTTCTACACGCACCATGCGTGAAATATCTTTACAATTTGGTAAGTTTCTCTCGCAACCCGTCTCATTTCTTTATTCATTTTCCCTAGTATTCATATCTGATTTTTCTGACATTATTTTCCTATGTATTCCTCTGTGATTATCATCCATTATATCGTTTTCAATCGGGTGAATGTTTCTCGAGAGATGAAGATAATACTGAAAATAAATCAAATTCAAATACAACAACAATAATGAAGGTCACTCCGAAAAGAGATAACTTGCAAATCGATCGTAGACCGTCAGTAACGGAAATAATCCTAATAATCTGGGTATTTACTTTACTCTTGGAAGAAATACGACAAGTAAGGTTGATTTTCTATTAAGTGAAAGATTTAATATTCGACATAATTAGATGAAAACGAAAAAAATCGATTCCACTAGACGGAAACTTCAGATGCATTTCTCCACATTTTGGAATAAAATGGATGCGCTATCGATTACTCTATTCTTTACCGCATGTATCATACGATTTCTGCCATTCCAGCAAGGATTTTGCATCGCACGAGCTATCCTAGCTGTTGATCTATCGTTATGGTTTATTCGAACACTCGATGTGTTTTCTGCTGTAAAAAGACTTGGCCCAAAACTTGTTATGATCGGAGAAATGGTAATATACTTTCGATTCTATTCTTAAACAAATTTTGTTCAATTAAGATGTATGACATGAGTTTTTTCATGCTGATACTTGCTTTAGTTATATTGTCATTCGGTGTGCCAACTTACAGTTTATTGCATGGTGTTGAGGTCTTTTCGTGGCATATTCCACGCAAAATCATCAATTTAGCTTATTGGGACATCTTTGGTGAAGTTCAAGCTCTCGATGATATTGATAGTTGGTTTTTCCCGCACAGAAATTCACGTCTAAAAACAAAAATGTTCTACTTTTATTTAGAGGATTATGGACTAGAAGGTTACGTCATGTTTTTGCTGTTAGTTGCATATTCGACAATTGCAAGTATACTGTTGATTAATCTTCTTATTGCTATGTTTAGGTAAGCTGCCATTCTCAAAAAATATCTTCATTCTATTCTGTTATTTTAGCAATACATTCGAAGTTATACATAATGATGCGGATTATATATGGAAATTTCAACAATATGCTTTGGTATGCTATCAATCTCGACGTCCGTTATTGCCACCACCTTTGATCTTTGTCTCTCACATTTGCCGATTGATAGTTTATATCTTTTCACATATTTTTCAAACGTCGTGGTTCAATACGAGATATATGAAGCAGAAAATTCGAGCGAAATTCAGTAAATTTCTCTTTTGAACTTTTGATTTGATTACGTTTCGTTCGTTTATCCAACAGAGATTCGTGTGAATGCAACGTTAACAAAACAAATCGAAGCGATTGAAGATGCATTAGGAAAAGAAGTTTATTTGTTTTCATTAAAAACTTCTCGAACACAATTGAATCAACATGGTGTTGCTCCTGACGAACAAGAGTAAAATCGAAAATTGTTCGATAGACAACAAAACAAAATTTCTGTTTAGATATCAAATCCAAGAAATAGTATTCGACAAAATGAAAATATTTGAAAATCGAATCCAATCGTTGCAACATCAGGTAAAAATGAATGGAAACCCATGAGAAAATATCGTTTGCATTCGTCTTTAGCAAGAGCATATCGTCAATCATTTGCAATATCTCATGGTCAGAAGTACGAAAAGTGCTGGAAATCAGCCACAGTGTGCACACTAAGAGAAAAACGAGCTTTTTTTTCTTCTATATTAAATATAATTATACTTATTTATATGTATGTTTTATTTAATCGCACGCCCAGGAAAACAAATCGTTCACTCAATCATTCAAAGTAAAAAAAAAGAGTAACATATATCGCTGAAAAGGGAAATGTAAAAACATTCGCGATTAGTTGGTAAAATCACAAGAGGTTATGTCGGAATAGATACACATGCCCATGAATATTAAAAAAATTAGGACCTTATTGAATCAAAAGGATTCAATAAACGCTGGACTTGTTTCGAAGAAAAAGTATAAAAGAAAAAGAAACTAAAGAATAAGAATTGAATTTCTATTGAGAGTTCTGCTGTTTTTTTCCTTTGTCTATGTTTGTTCTAACGAAGAGGAACGCATACTTAGGGTTGATTGCGTTCGGCAGAGTAGAGATAACCAGTAGCAAATGCGAGCACTGTCAGTGCCGTCCAGATGAAGTAATGTGCAGCAACACACAAATTGTACGATGGTCCGACTGATGTATTCGGTATATTTATTGTTGGGCTGTATGGAAAGAAGTATGTTGCTGTATCGCGCGTATAGTTGCCCCAAGTAGCATATGCAGCCATAACAAACATTGACGAAAAGTATAGTAAGCCTAATCCTCCGAATAAGATTATTGGATTGGGAATAAATACACTGGCTATGACCGCAACGATAGAGAACACAAGCAGTAGAAGGCCGAAAATCGACAGACCAGCTTGCGTTACCCGGTTCTCATTGTAACATCCTGGCCCATTACTTAAACCTAGATTTGCTGTATTGTCTCCATAGCATTTTCGAAAGAGACCAATGGTGCTGCCATTTCCATTATCAAGCCATGTTGTTGTAGCGACACTAATGATTAGCAATAGTAGAGAAAAACCAGCAATACCAGCCGTTGCTATAAGTAAGCTCTTTCCGAGTGGCGGCATTAGAATTATAGAATAAAAAGAAAGCTAATTGTAACGATACGAATAGAAATCTGCAATAAAAACAAAGAAAACTGAGATTTTCAATAGAAAATGAACGATAGCAGAAATGTTTTTTCTCGACGACATGTTTCTCAATCTTTTGTTTCTATATACAGAAAAACGGGCTCCCGTTGAATGTAGTTAACGATAGTGATCGATAATCATGAGAAGTTTCACAACTTCTTCTTACAATTGAGTAGACGAATGCACACTGATTGTACTATTCTTTCTCTCTCTCTCTTTCTTTCTGCATGGTGGTCCTTTTCTATCGATTCTTTTGTGTTTTTACTTCATGCCCACCTATATACAATCGGTATAACTAAAAATGTAAAAAAAATGAACTTTCTTACCTGTTGAAAAGACAAGAATCAGTTGAATGTTGGTATATTAAGCCAATAATCTCAATTTAAAATGTTACGATGAACATGTGATCAACACATTATCTTCTGCGGGAGAAAAATGGTCTAGTAAACTTCAAAGATATTTGTAGAGAATTGGATCATTTAAATACAGTAGATATGATTCACATAGATCCGACTGTTCGTAATCCAAACCTCTTTCCGACTTCCTCCCTTACCTTGAGCAAGACAAAAACAATTGTGTTTATGTAAATGTCGAGAAAAAAATTCGAGCAAATATTCTTAACAAGAATGAAACTCAGTGAAAAATAAGTATGAATCACAACAATGTCGAAACTCTCTCTCACTCGTACCACTCGTATTTGTTTTACATCTCGACTTTCTTTTTTTTCAGCCTGAAATGTTTGTTTTTGCTCTTTCGATGTTCTCTGAAGAATTAAGGAGAAAAATAGCTCTTTCGTTGTATTATTTCATTAAAACTTACGTTTAAAATGCATCAACAGAATATTATTTGAAGAGAAAGGTATCAATGATTTTTCGAAAAGAAATAAGAATTAGTCATCGAACGGAAATATTATTCATTGTCATCCGATATTGTCTCTCTGGTCTGCTGACGAATTTTTTCTCTTTTAATTAAATCGATCGAAAGAGGAAAAAAAGAAACGGCCTGTCAAGAATTGTTGTCGTTGCTACCGTTACAGAACTGTAAGTGATTTGGACAGAAGAGTGGAAGAAAGAATGAGAGAAATATATGAACGATTGTATCGGAGAGTTCTGTTTGTATCGAAAAGAGGAAAGAATGCGAACGAAGGAATGACATTTCTTTTTTTTTTGTTACGAAATATCGACCAAATTTCTTGAACAATTATGTAAATAAAACGACAGAAAAGTCATTTTTATCGTGATTCTTTAATTTAAATGATATAACAAATGTTCGCGATCGAGAAACTTTATCGTGTTAGTTATAACGGAATGTATGCAAGACTTGTCATTCGCAGAACTGATTCAAAATTAGCAAATTACGCAGAATGAAATTGATAAGTTTTTCAGCGAATATGATCTATAGAGAAGTTTCTTTTTTAACGAACAGTTTGAAGTATTCCACGTATTAAACCATTCTTCAAGAAGGCTTCTTATTTTCACAAAAGATTCCTTTCATTAACGTGATGCAATAGTACTGATTTTCGAGGTACAATTTGATTCTTCTTGGGCCTCGACACGAATTTTGTCTTATTGATACGCGTACAATCTTATTTCCACTGAAGTTTTGATAGTTCAACGGGAATTTTGTTTTTACTATATTCTAAGAAGCAACTACACTTCGCTTCGAGCAGTTTCAAGACATAAAATGTACTATTTGATTTTTTTTCTTTTCGATAAACGAGAAGGAAAACATGTCATCGCATTATTACAAACACCTCAATACGGGAATACGTTAACTTTTCGTACACAATGAACTTCACACTGAAAAAGAACCGCCCACACTTTATATATGATTATATCCAGTGGTTCGAATAACGGATAGATTGAATTTCTTGTGAAGTACTACTACTCAGATGAATCCAGCGCCTATTGTATATTTGATCGATTATTCAACCAATAAGAGCCAAGGAATGAATCATCGAAGGTCTAAAATCATATTCTAGTAACATGCAAGCGATTCTACGTGGTGGGAATCGAGTTTTGATCTCCCGCTCGACAAATGTCTATACAAATTTAGCTTTAGAGCGCTATTTAGCTGAAAATATCAAACATGAGGATAAAACTCGACTGTTAATACTTTGGCGAAATAAACCATGTGTCGTTATCGGTCGATATCAGAATCCGTTTGCCGAAAGTGATGTTTCCTATCTAGCCGAAAACCAAATCGATCTAGCTCGACGTTACTCTGGTGGTGGTAAATATTTTTTCATAGAATTCAATCTCATAAATGATCGTTTTCTTTCATAGGAACATGTTATCATGATCTCGGTAAGTATTACATAACAATTCGTGCATTTCTCATCATTTTCTCAATCAATTAGGCAACTTGAATATGACGATTCTGACAGCACGCAATGGTTATAATCGAAAGAAGAATCTTCAATGGGTTGTGAATACACTCAATCAAGCTTATGATTTAAATCTACATATCACTGAACGGGATGATATTTTTCTGGATAAATATAAAGTCACGGGGAGTGCTTCACGTCTGGAACGACTTTATGCCTATCATCATTTTACGTTATTAATCAATGCTGATTTGAACTATTTAAGACGAACTTTGAAATCTCCTGATCAGTCAAATATTCAAAGCAAAGCAACGATGAGTGTTCGATCATCAGTATTAAATTTATCTGATCGAAATCCGAAAATTACGTATGAAAAAACGCTGGAATTATTAATAAAATCGTTTCTCCAATGGAATAATGAGTCGAACATGTCCAATTATCATTACATCGATCCATTATTATATGAAGAACAAATGAAAAGTTTTGAAAGTGAACTTAAATCTGAGAAGTTTCTCTTTCAGAGCACACCACCGTTTGTCTATGCAATCAAGACTGGCGCACAAACAATTGAAATAACAGTTGACAATGGCCTCATAACGGATATAAAAGGAAATGATTCGATAAGTGAAAATAAACTATGTCGAGGACAATTGTTTCATTCAGTTCATAATCAAATTCAACAACTGAAGACGACGAATGATTTGTCCGTATAAATAAATAAACAAATCTGGATTTGTAGAAAGATACATAATGCTCTTTCTCATTTGCGACAGAAAATAAAAGAATTAATGTAGAGAATGAATGATCGGTTGACGAAGAAGTTGATCATGATCGTGATATTGAAAGAAATACTTTGGATTAATATTTATTTCATCATTTGATTGATGAAGACGACTAGGCATTCGCGGTTTGCGTAAAGAAATCGGTAAGACTGGTCGATTAGGTAAAGCATTAACTGGTGATTTGGTCATAACACTTCCTGGAATCTTTCCAGTAGATGTTCGTTCTTTGACAGGCTTCGATCTGGTTGAATTATCTGATCGGACTGGTTTATTAGGCAAGTTTGTTGTGCTCGGTAATGGTGCACTGGATCTTGACATAGCTTGTATAGATACGTAATGATGTCTTTGATTAGTGGCATTAGATAGCTTTTTCGTGTGAACCAGACGAGGTGGAGTCGAAAGAGTTACTTCTTGTTTAAGATTAGGATCAACAGTCGTTGGTGTTCTAATCGATGGTGTCTTTTCGCGTTGAACTATCTGAGGTAAGTGAATGGTTGGAGTTGTAATGGTGATTGAATCAATGAAGACTGCTGGTGATTTACTTTGAATAACGAATGTATGAGTGTATGTTGGAGGTTCGGGAGATGTTTCCAAAAAAGAAGGAGAAGTTGGTAAGGACATTCGTTCTTTGAATGCTTGGCGAGCTTTCAAATATTCGATATAATTTCCGTAGAGTGGTTTTGCTTGTGTATCGAACTCGAACGATTGTTTAGTTCGTTTTGACAGTATAGTTGGCGATATTTCTGGACTCGAAGGTACAGAGTTTTCTTCGACTGGTTCGAGTGTTAGAGCAAATCGAACGCGTTTCGGTGGACGTCGTTTGTGCAATGCTGGTGTCGATAAAACTGGGGAGACATTCGTTGCATTGATCTCTCCAAAATCCATTCGAGACAATGAATCCGTATCTATTAGAATCACGAAATACTTATTTCTATACAAATATCAGTTCAATAAAACTCACTGGAAAACGGATTGTCCATTGTCGTCGGTATTTGAAATTATGGTATTGCAGGGGGTACCGAGATTTGTCTGTCGAAATGAAACTTTTCTTGTCTTTAAATGAAAGTTATGGCGTTTGCTTTATAAAATCCAAGTAAGTGAAAGGTGAATGCTCTTTTATTCCTTTTCGAACTGAATCTTTACAAATGTGTCATCTATTTGTCTGAACAAAGTGGATATTTCAATATTCCCTCTCTCTTCCGCGACTTCTACCTTTTAATTTGATATTTTTAGCGGACGGGCAAAGTCGAACATAAAAAGGTGTAATTTATTGATGTTTTTGACTTAAGTAGTTAAAAGCGTTTTCTTCTCTGTGTCAATCGTGATTGTCGAGCTTCTGATTGATTAATACACATTAAGAGTTGATGATGAAATGTATTGTTGACTTAATCATGCGCAGAAATTCATCAGCGAAATCGAGGACAGTATGAATAATTTATTCATTCATTCACTGAAAGAGTTCTTTTCTCTAAGAATTTCAATCGTTTAACTTTAACAAGACAATAAACTGAATGAAGAGAGTTCTGAAGCTAACTTGAAAAAGAAACAGCGACTAGAAAATATACAAATAGATCGTCTCGTCAACGTAGACAAAAAATAATCGATAGAGCACGTTGGAAATCACTGTGTTAAGCATTTCTTTTGTTTTTCATTCTTCATTAAGATAAGAGTTTAACATAATTGCCTGGAAATGTGCCAAATTCCATTGAATCTCTTTGATTTGGCCGATCCATGACTCCACAGTACCATCCATCATCGCACATTTCAATAATATTGATGATATCTCCGACGTGAATCTCCAATTCATCGGGATTCTGTGGAGTATAGTCGTAGAGAACTTGACATCTGAACAAAATTGAAAAGCGAATGTTTAACAAACGAGATAATCAAACTTACTTTCTCATTGGTAATGATATGTCTGGAATAGCATGAACTTTTTCAGATGATGTCACTTCCGAATCAGAGGAAATAGGTTTGGGAGATTGAACTTGTTCGATTGGCTGTGATTGTTTCGATAGATTATCTGCAAAAAGACAATCATACATTCTTATCTTCTTATTTCAATTGAAATTTTGAAATTTTACCTGGTGGTTCTTTCACAGTTTCAACATAAGCTGCAGGAAAGATACCTTCGATATGATTAAGTCTTCCTTCGTACCAATTTTCATCCAGTCGTCGTAATAGAACAACTTTATCACCCTAAACAAAACAATCGAATTCGATCTCAATTGTATAAATTAAATGATAAACCTTTCTCAATTGCAATTCAAATGATTTCTGTGGTATGAAATCGTATTTAACAATCGCTTCACCTTCAGCTTCGTGTTCCATATCATAATCACTGGAAAGGTTCTCTTGCTCGTTTACTTCCAATGGAAATAGTTCGACATAATTAAGAGGAAATATTCCGACTGAATCTTGAAATACACCTTCAAGCCAATCATCATTAATACGTCGTCGGACAAGAAGTAAATCGCCTTTTTTGAAAGACAATTCTCTGAATGAAAGAAAAAAGCCGATAGATTCACTTTCAACAAAATATGCTCATCCTACCTGCTGGTCTGTGCATAAAAACTATGAAGAGCCAGAGCTTTACAAATTGGTTGTGAAGTTGCTTGACTAAACACATTCGAAACTTACAAAAAACCTCTCACTTGCACTTTCACTAAACTTACGCTGAAGTTTTCGATTGTATTTTCTGTTGATTTCCATTGCCAATATCATGACGACTAACCCACGACTAAAATAAAGTATAGTCAAATTTTACAAAAAAGAAACCACACGCATCAAGCGTACTTGTTGATCAGTTTGTCCATTTTTATGATTGCTTGGTTTATCTACAATACAGAAAACGTTAATATCAACAAAAACAATTTGTTCAAAACGCTCCCGGACGCATGATTGCTATTCGCATGTTAACGTCTCATTATCTAGTTGAGTTTTCAACACATCATAATTGCACGTTTGATCGAAATCATGAAGCAGACAATGGACAATAAAAAAACAAACAAAAGCAACTTCTGTTCAAATCAAATTATAATTACATACATCTGTTAGGATAACAATTAATCTTCTTGCTTTTTTCTATGTCTCGAAGACTTCAACAAGTTACAACTACTCGACACAAATCTCGAACATTTATTTCTTACATAATCATAGTTATCAATTATAATGTCATTTTTTTCTCCTCTACTCCCTTTCGCTAGTATTATTATTCAATGATTAGTCATCTACACATGCATAAACATATCTTTCATTCATTCTATCATAGGTGAATATCTATCTTAATGAGAGACGCGTCTCTAAATGTATGTATGACTGTGTATAGTTTTGACGATGATATGTCACGACAGCGAAGAAAATAAATCGAAGCGAATGTGAAGAGAAAAACCATACTTTTATATATATATGAATTCTGTTTGAGAAAAAAGAAATACTGCGTCCAACGATTATCAATTATAGATAATGGCCAAGAAAAACAAATTTATGTACAAAAATGTCCTATTAACTCTAAATATGAAGAAGAAAGATAATGTTTTATCATGACAAATTATCTTTCTTCATTTAATGTAAACGGAAGATCGAGAGATTTTCTCAAGGTTATGCCTTGTATGTCCGAGCATTTTTGAAGAAAACATCATCTGGTGATGAAACACTTGTTGTTTTGTAAGATTGCGATGTCATTGTCTGATCGGGATGGTCCCATTCGTCCACTAGTAAACTGGGAGTTATTTTATATTCGCGTTGAAGTTTTGTACGCAATGGGCGATAGTCGAATGATTTCGATTGAGGTAAATAGGTATCGTAATGAGTCGATTCATGATTGGGACTTTCGGGAGTTGTTTGAGAATGGTACGAATCGTGATTGGAAGGCGATGATGATGATGGAATGGCTTTCTTATACTTGGAATTTGATGTATGATGTCTTCGATGGGATCTTTCAGCTTGATGTTTATCGTAACGAGAATGACGGGGAGTTCGTTGAATGGGTTCAGTCAATGGTAAAGAATAGATTTCACTTGGATTAACTGCACCATCACGAAAGACTTCAATATAATTACGAGATATACTATTTGAACTGTAATTTGGTGATCGATTACGATGTTCATGTGAAAAACGTGTAGGAGATTGATTATAGGTCAAACTCGGTGAACGATTTTGATAGTAATCATGTTGAAATAAAGGTCGATTACGATGAGAATTATTTGACTTGTAATCATAAGTACGATATGTAATCGAATGATCACTTGTTGATGAATCAGTATCATAGTCAGCTCCATCGCGTAGAATATGTGTTTGATCTGCCGAAGTTGACAAAGGTAACCAAGACAGTTTCACATCTTGCTGATTGGGAAAATGATATACTCGTCGATGTTGAGCAGATGATGGTCGTCCCGCGTGTTCGGGCTCGACTGTAACTGGTACTGCTCGAGCAACTGGTAGAGATTTCTCACTCAACTGTGATCGTCGTTTATCTTGATAAGGAAATTCATCTCTTTTTGTAGGTGAATAGCCTGTGTGATCTTGCCATGTTCGTCGATCAGGTCGATCGTTTCGAATGATTTGTCGGCTATTGAAATATTTCGGTTCAACATTATGATAAGGACTTGGTGTCGATTGATTAGGTATGACCTCGCGTAGTTGCGAAGGAGCAACTGAGGAGTATTTCAAAACATTTCCTCGTTCGTCAATATATCGATAAACAATACGTGGTTTGACAGGTGTGTCCGGTTGATTGGTGAAGCGTATTGGATATTGTTGATAATTCGATCGATTTGGATTTCTGAGATTGGTTGGAAACGATGGAGTTGGAGCATTTGAATGATGCACCATAAGCTCATTGACAACGTTGACAAGGTTGTAGTCTGCTTCATTTCTCGCCTTGTTATCGGCTTGTTTATGATAGGAAATCTTGTTATTCTTAGTTGGTAATGGTGGAGTTGGAGATAATTGAGATGCCGGTGGTCGAACATTGTATTTCCTTAAAAACGGTTCTGGAAGACGTAGAATAATTGGACTATTAATGATAGCATCAATAACTTCATAATTTGTATATGGGTGTGAGGGTGATTTGTTTTTGTTTTTCTTCTTGCTTTTTTTATTTTGTTTTGAATCAATTAATGGCATTTGTTCCGAAGTCGAGTCCGTGATTGGATGCGATAATTGATTTCCTTGCTGTTTAGATTTTTTCTTTTTCGAGTCCCGTGTCAACGATCGTCGTAGAATATTCATGTAATCAGTATTTTGTAAATTCGAGATGATATTATTAAAGCGTGCGTGTAACGTATCGTTTTGTTTACTATTCGTTGTTCCGATCGGATTATCAAGTAAAGCGTCAATAACAGTGAATTCACTTGAAACTGGTTGCTTAGTGCGATCAGTAAGACTTATGTCTGTTGGAATTGTTGTTGTTGTCGTCGTCGTGGTATTAATTAGAATAGGTTTTCCTGATGGTGATAAACATTGAGATTGATTTGTTGCCGGTGGTGGTTGATGCTCTTGCAAAGCGCGAGTTAGCTGTTGAATAGCTTGATGATCGTCGGTCAAACGACTGACTTGTGCCTGAGCTTGATCAAGATCGGTAGCTTGACGTGTTTTTCGAACGGAAACAGGTGAAGGATGATGTGAGTCACGATTAGTGCGATCTAAATACACTTGACATTGTTCGGTGCGTTCGATAACAAGGGATTGCTGAGAATTATTTGAATTATCTCGATTTTGTAGTTCGTTTGCTCGTTCAAGTAAATCATTAACGGTTGGTGATGATTCCATCGAAGGCAAACTATTTCGATTAACCGCTTGAGTAGGTGTGGATGTTGTCGTGGTAATCGTGGTAATGATTTTTTGAGGCAACTTTTGTTGTTGATCGGATGGCGGAGAATCATAAGTTGGTCCTGACTGTTTAAAGCGTTGCTCGAAGAAATCCCGTTTGGCATTAAACGATTGCTCTCCTGGCTCATTTAAAACTGAACTTAATGGTCTTTGATTTTCATTACTATGACTCTCAACATTTTGATAGAAACTTTGTGTCGAAGGATTATACGTATCAATGCCATCGATACGTGTTGGTCGAGCGCTAGCATCACCGTCCAACCGTCGTTTTGCTGCTCGAGCCGATTTACCCATTAATGGCGATGAATAAATACGTGTTGAACTTATTGATGGCGGGTTTTGAACGTAATTAAGATTATTATCCACATATGGAACGAATTCTCTTGTACGATTGCTACTACTTGTATTATCGTGATCCATGTTCATTGTTTGATTTCAAAGAGGAGATAACAAAGACAGTGATTATTCCTTTTTGTGTCAATACGGTTGATCGCACAATAATGATGGATGATAGGCGCTCATCCGAATCNATCAGACCTGTACCTACCGTAACAAATGACTTCCTCATGTAGATGTTTGTACATGAATGTGTATATATATATATTAGTTGTTTGCTTTGATAGTCGTTCACTGATCTTGTCTTTCTCTCTCTCTCTCTTTTTTATGGGTCTTGATATATGTTCTCTATTTCTTCGGCAAGATTCATAACAATTATAACATGCCAGTCAGTTTGACGACAGGCACAAAAAAAACTGGCTTGGAAATCTCTCGTGCGACAAACGATGATATTCGAGGTCGCCGCCAACGTTCTCTCCTTCAACCGAATGATGAGAGATCTATGTATGTATGCATGCATGTCTATTTATATATATACACGCGTGTATATGTGTATGTGCGCGTGTGGATATGGACGCTATCTCTCGTTCTATTATGACAACTCTCTCTGGTTTAGTTCTCTAGAACGACAGAACGACAGCATCAGTCGACTTACATTCTCTCACATGTATAGAACATAAAAACGGTACATTGAGACACAACCAATGATGAGAATGATGAAGATGATGATGATGATATATGGGGTGGCTTTATTGTAGGCGGTTGGTTAGTTTAGTTCTTGAGTACGACGATATTATGTACCGATTGATATCACCCTTACACAGATGATGAAAGGGAAAAGAAGAGAAAGAAGAATAGAAGGAGGACAAGATGTTGAAGAAAAACGAAGGCTATATTGTGAAACAATTCTTCTTGTCGAGATTCTTTCGACTCAAGAGTAGACATAGATATCAGTTGAATAGTAGAAATTATCCTTCGACCATCTACAGTGACATGGCTATGGTTCTCATACTTTGATTTTATCTACGTCATCGAATTGTCTTCCGCTAGATGACGATGATGACCTTACGAGTGGTTGACATCGTCAGTTAAACATAGACTAACTCAATGTTTCATCTTTAATTGTGACAAATTAGTACATAATTCAATTTTATTCGTACAAAAAAGTCTGTCGACTTCAACACAAATCTGCTGCTATGGGACAACCATTGGGATCCAGAAAAAGTTCATTGTAAATATTGTCTCGTGTGTATTCCTGTTGTTGATTATTTGATTGAAATGACATCGAAGGTTGTTGCCGTTTTGGATCCTGTGAAGAAACAAGCTGAAGGCGACTGATCTGGGATGTTTCATTCTTACTTTGGCTTTCTTTTTCCATCGAATCAATGCTGTTCGAGATACTTCGCTTTTGTGTTCCAACCGTTCCTTCTGTCGTTTGATTATAACTTCAACGATTAACAGAATGAATCCAACTAATATACCACCAACGACAAGATAGAATACACCTGAGAGAAGAAGACTATTCTGGTAGCGGACCATCAGATTACAAACACTTCTTCTTACCGCTCATATTGTCAAGTCCAAGTGTTGCTGGAGATGACGATGTGCGATCGAAACATAAATCTTCACTAAAGTTTCCCCTCCGAAATGATTGTTTTTTGCAGACAGGTGTTTTCAACTCACTTTTTCGAAAAAATCCATTGGTTATCAAGTTTTTCCATGAAACCTTTTTCATGAAAGGACAGGATTGCATGAGACAAAAGATTTATCCACGGATCTTGTTTTCTCAGCGCAATACCATAACTCGACCGTCCGAATAATTCGCCAGCAGTGATCAGATTACAATCGTTTGCTACTTCATACTCCAGTCTTGGTGAATCCCAAAAGAATGCATCCAATTTTCTGAACACGTATTACAAGAAACGAATTCATAAGAATATTTTCACTTTTCGTACTTATTCTTCACGTCAGATATGGCTTCTTCAACTGTTAAATAATTTTTGGATTCCATAGTACGATACATCGTGGAAAATTCTACTAGGTGATGAAAGAGATCGATCTATTTTATTAGATCAACATACCAACTTGTCGTTTGAAGTACATGTCCACCGATGAGCCTTTCACCGTTGCGTAAGTGAAACCATCTTGAGGATTACGTAACTTCAAAGATAAATGAGATTCGCATAAAATTCCGATCGATTTAAAGAAGCCAGTTTACTCGTGCATCATTGATTCCCGATATTCCTGCTTCAGGTCGATCCAGCACGAGGAAAGCAGCTAAATTAGCTGTATAAGAAGCAACCATAATCATTGTGAACCCTGCCCAAACCATACCAAGAACACGCGCAGAAAAACTTCTCGGTGTGCCTAACAGACAAATCGTTTAATTCGTTTGCACTCAAAAATGTCTACCTTCTCCGATTCCTGAACTTAAAAGAACACCCCATGTAAACCAAAGTGCGCGCGGTAAATTCAATGCATCATCTTTGTCGTCATTGTCAATTGATGAATTCAATTCATCTTCGTTCACCTTCCGAGAAATCATTCGACGCTCATCTGGCGAAAATCGATCGAGTAAATAAAGCACAACAGCTACAACGTGAACAGATAGCAAAACCATCATCCATAGCGCATTTTTGAACGGCTGTAAGAATGATTTCAGATTTGATACATCTAAATTCTAAATAATTCTCTTTCGCCATCAGAAGTCGAAATGAAATTCAGCTTGTTAAAACTACCTTTCGTACAAGAACTGTAATACCGTGATACTTGAATGGTTTGGTAAATTCTATGTCTTCCGCACGTTCGGGACTCATTGTTAAAGGTGCGACGATCATATCAGCACCGCGATTAAGTAGTTCACGAATCATTCCATCCCATCGTTTTTGTGTATCGTTTCCTTCCTAGATGAAACAAAATCGATATTAAGTTCTAGACACTGAATTTTCTGCATCTGCTTACTCTTTCGAATGTTCCGTATTTACCATCCGGAACCAAGTACAAAGTGAAAACAAAACTGAGATTCTTCGAAAGTTCTTGCAACATGGCAATACAATAACCATAACAACAGTACTGATCATATATCTGTTCAACTGTAGCTAAAATGAACGATGAAATTTGATGATTTCTAGTCAGTTATAGTTGATTTCTCACAATTCAAATTGAGACGTGGACAATACACTTCGAATGTCGGATCGCAGTTATATCCCGGACGCGTAAATATAAAAGGTTTTTCTTCGATTGTCACAACCTAAATAACAAAGAAAGTTCTATTTGAATTCAGAGATGGTTATGAATTTCGAACTGAAACATTTCGTCGTGCACGAATGCCATCAGGTTTTCGATTTAATCCATTGGACCAAATAATTTCTTCTTCTTTCAATACCAATGCTGTCGTTTCAATCTATAAATTGTACATAAAGGAAAAGAAGATACTCATATCTCTCTCTCTCCTATAAATCTACTTACAGTTGCTCGACACATACTGCTTGTAGTACAACTGCGCTAAAATGAAAGAAAAGAGATTTAATATGTGTTTATTTATCATTTAACAAAATTCTTTTCGATACGGATTCGAGCTCATTGCACTTACTGTATTCGAACGATAGGTACCAACGACTTTCATATCTCCGTATTGAACATTAATTATTTCATATAAAGATTCAATTCGATCACCTTCATTATTAAACGTAATATTCCCGGTTAAACCCTGTTCAACACTTGTACGAACGAATGCTCTTGCAACAAAAATAACAAATCAACTGATAATCGAGAAATGGATCAAAGTATTTACTGATAAACTTCGTTTCCATATTGCCAAGCTTTTGTAGATGAACAATTCAAAACCGATGTTTTATTTGACCAAAACGCGACGGGATGTTGTCGAAATTTCATAAATGTGTTCATAATAAGTTCAGTTGCATCGATCAAAAGATTTTCTTCGTTGAACGTGTGATGCAATTTCACTCCAAGTATGCCTAACATGTAATATAACGCTATGGAATGGACTCGAGCAAAAAACTACCATCAAATAGCGCTGAACTATTTGTTACCAATGTACGTTCGTTAACAATCCAAACAAAGTTCTCCATTTGTTGTAAACGTGCGATGTCTGTTAACAGCGAGTCAACATCTTCTTCTCTGCAAAGATTAGGGTATCTTGTTGCTGCTAATTCAGAAAGATTAGTTGTATACTTTGTATGAATGATGAATACACTAGCAGATAGATGATCCTTCATCGTTAAATTATATATTAATGACGTAAACATTTGGGTCGAAGGGTATTCTTCAATTCGTTCGATCTGAAACCAACATGTCTTTCAATCTTTCAATATTCGTTATTTGTCACCAAGTTCTATATAAAGAAGGTCTCAATGTTCTTCTGCACTTTTAATGAGATGTCAGTGTAAATTATTGCATATTTAATGTTTAGTCAATCACTGCTCAGATTTCGATTTGTTCTAAGATAATCTATTGACTTGGTTCGACTGTTATTGAAGAGACATGTGTCATAGATAATAAACACTAATAAGTCCATCTTTATTCTCTCTTCCTATTCCAACTTACTTGAATTTCAGAATCATCCGTTAACAATTGGAATCTCTCTGCAACCATCCGACTTTCTTCGTCATGACTATGAATCAAAACCACCTTCGTATATTTCAATTTACGAATAATGCTGAACCATGCATCAGCTTCGTAGAAATAGGGTGGTGCTAATCGAATAATGTGATCATATAAATTCTAAAATAGTAAAAAACCGATTGACTTTTGTCTTGATTCAATCATCTTTACTTCATCGGAAAAGATATTTTCTCGTGATCCAATTGTTATCAATGGCACATGGTAAAAATCCGATACATATGCGATAGCAGATAACACTAAATCGTTAGCAGATTGGCCAGTAATGATAACTTTCGCGTGAGATGCATCTCCGACTCTACAAAGTTCGGACATTGCTAATAATACATTCGAATCGAGAATAAATGATTCAGATGACATAATGAGATCTTTGCTTAACTTCATCGTTGTCCGATTGAGAATTTCGATCGAGTTTGCATTTGATAGTGCACCTAACACAGTCAAATGTGGAGGTTTCGTTGTCGATGAGATATACTCATCGGCAGTATCTACGGGTACGGTTGTTGTATCGAAAATGAAATCCCCGTTTAGAAATCGACCGAATGATAAATAGATGATGAATATTTTGACGCACAAGTTTTGGATCATTATAACTTGCAAATGAATGTCTTTTTTCGAATAGAATAACAATGTTCTTTTTCTTCTTTTGATTAGGAAAACAATGAGTCTCTTTGCATGAATGATTCCCAATCGACAACTGGGAAATTCTTTTCTATCGACAAGCTCCTTAATAAACTAATTGCTGAAACATCTTTCTCTCAAAATACGAACTCTTAATTATCGATGGAAGGAGAGAATTAACGGTTTAATCTTCGAAACAGATGCTTGCCGAGTACAAATCGATTATGAAGAGTGCTCTTAATGCTATTGATTTAGAAAACCATCGAAATATGTTAAACAAAAATCAAACGCAAAGTCGTACTCGTGAAGATACAACCAAATTGGCTTTAATAAAACTGCTGGTAAGTATCAAACAGTATAGTCAAACCTTTGTTTTACAAGGATAATCGTACCACATATTATCAACAGAAATGAAATGCTTGCAGAAGATTATCGATTATATTTAAAGTTCAATGGTAAGTTACAATCAATAGCAAAGGATTGTATTCCATAAACTACGAATGCGTTATTCTCGATATAAGATCGATCGCATTGAATTAATAAAACCTTGAGATCAAGTTTAGATTTTAAGCATCCTCGAAAGAAAAAGCCACTATGAATTAAACTCGTTTCTATCATTCGATAATGTAAAAAAACGCAAAGGTTTTGCTTGGACAAAACCGTCATTCATACTGAGTGTGGTCAATATCGAGGACGTTCCCTATCTGATTGAACTACGACTGCATAATAAAGTACAATCAAGATGGCTACTCGATACGTGATACTAATCTAGTTCTGCTTGATTGCTTTGCCGTCTTTTTTCTTCTTCGTACATACAATTTCGTTTTATACAATAATATCCAGCAGATATACAGATATTGCGATTCATGCAGCCACCGCAATCACTGCCTGTAAGTATATCGAAGAAATTCCATGATCCTGATCGTACAGTCACCGTTAAATATATTATCTTTCAGTCGTTGACATTTTCATATGACAATGTTATCAAGGTAACAACTGATATATTCGAAAGTACTCGAAGGAATTCGAAGTCAGCGTTTGTTATTTCCAAGAAAATGATCATTTATTGTACTTTAGATTAAGTATATCAGTATTAAGAAGCATTTATTCATTAATCTCTAATGGTGTTTTTTTCGTTGCATATAATGAGATCAGGACAGAAAATAGTAAGGATACTGACAAGAGACTACACATATAAATAACATTTATTGACAAGACACTGCTATTCCCCGCCGTGAAACACCAAAAGAAGAATGTCTGTTTGGTACTATCAGACAAAAAACAAAGAAAGGGCAACTATTCTGTGTCGAAGGTTCTCAACAGTTCTCTATATTCTTCTCTTCGTTTCTATCTATCACTCTACGAACTAATTCATTTGATTTCATTACCACTGTTGTATATCGAGCCAAACAAGACTAGAAATCAACGTTGAAGTATCAAACGAGAAACGAGACGCTGATTTTTATACCGGTCGCATTAGTTGCTTGATAACTGTTATTCTAGTTTTGTTGATAGAGCGGTGATATCCGCTTTCGCTTATTTATTATCGATACTCTTTCGTCAACAAAGATAAATTTGTCAATGAACATCATTGATTATACTAAACCTTGCATATTCAATATGTTCACGGAGAATTCATTCACGACAATCGGAGAACTTGATCTTGCTGTTCCCGATGATATTCTTCTTATGCGAACATCACGTACAGCAACATTTACAATAGGCTCTTCATCAGCATCATCATTATCGTCATCATTGTCATCGCTATCGTCCTCGAATCAAAGCAATCATTTAAATGGACAAACAACAACAACAAACACGACTGAAAGTATCGTGGGTACTTCATCCCCCTCGAATTCCAACCTTTTAGAAGATCAATCGCTAAGACATTCCGAATCGTTGACTATCGACAGTCAACAACGTCGTCCTATTATTCATGATCCTTATTGTTTATCTCCGAATCTTCAAGTTCTAAACGACTGGATGATTGTAAGTTGTCGTTTTTGTTTTCCGTTAAACAGTCTTCTTTCCTCGACGATTGAAGCTTTGTTGAAATATCTGATAATTCGTCGTGTTACAAACAATGGCTAACGAAAGAAAAACATCATTCAATTATAGACTTCAACAGACTTGAGATAAACGACCGTGGTGACAAATGAGAGTTGATAAAAGAACTGCTGTCGCCTCTGTCATGACATATACTTAGCAACGTAATGACCTCGTTGACTTGTGACGCGTCTTTCCTAAATATTTTGAGCGTATTTGGAATCAACTGACTCTACTGTTATATCAACTGCTATTGCTGGAAAAGTTGACCGAGATATTATATTATCTTCTCGATTTCATAAGAGGAGTTTGCACTTAGCGTACAGATGCGGATGTTTATGTGCGTCTTCATAGAGAATTAATTTTCTTTCAAATGAGACGATCTGTTCCATTGTTGTTTTTGTTGTTGTCGTCATCATCGTCGCCGCCGCACTGTTATTCTAATTCCGGTTTATTTGCTTATGACTATACTTCACGACGGTATCAATCAAGTGCATTAGAGACTTCATTATGATACCCGGTGACGATGTAGACCTAAAAAATAGAGAGAGGAAGAGTTTCTTTTACATGTTTGATAACCAGAAGTTGATTGTTATCAAGTGATATTTTTATCCCATAACTTGTAACTCGAAGCTGCCAGAGGTGAAAGGTGTCCACACGTACAATCCATATAACTTCGTCAAGAAATATCATCGTTAAAAAATTCCTGAACAAAACCATTTTATGGCATTACAATTCATTTTTATGATCATCTTTTTACAATAATTCGGTTGTATGTGCATTCGTAATATACATAAATAGATCCGAACATGTATAAGACTACAACATTTCCTTCGACTAGTCCCCACGTAGCTATAGATAGTCATCGGACGCCCATAACATCTATGCCAAGTCAACATTATCATCATGCGATATCCTTTAATCATACGTCAATTCCACGCAGTATAACAACGAGTAGAAAAGCTTTTTTGATCATCGTAGGTTCACTTTGAGTCCTTTTAATGACTAGAACTATAATCTTCGAGTGAGATTGAATTAATTGTGTGTATATCTTTCTTTAGACAACAACAGGCAAAAGCCGTCGAGAATTGAGTGAAGTACATGGATTTTCTGAAGAACAGATAGCTGGTAAGCTACTTCCAGAAAAGTATTCCTTGATGATTTGTTTACTTTCTTTTAGTATTCGAAGAATCATTTTCTTTACTGGACAAAGATGGCGATGGTAATATATCCAATTATGAAATTCGGTCATTGATGCATTCGTTGGGCTACACACCAAGTGAAGAGGATATTTCAGCTGTGATATCGAAAGTTGATACCAATGGTAATTAATTATTATGAGAGAAAGAAAATTCGAAGTCACTTTCTATTGATTTAGGTAATGGTTGTGTTGATTTTGATGAATTTCTAACGATGATGAAACGGCGTCGATCGACATGCGATAATGACACAGAACTCCATCTAGTTTTCCAAGTAGATTCGTTTCAAATCTATCCATTGCTTTACAAAAGTTTCTTTTTGATGTTTAGGTCTTTGATAAAAACAAAGATGGTTTCATCGATAAAGAAGAACTTTACGATATGCTATCAAGACTTGGTGAACACATCACTGAAGTAAATACATATCACGGAACGAGAGATTCCGAGAATTATTCGTTTGTTTGTTGTTTTAGGAAGATGTCAAAGAAATGATTGCTGAGGCTGATTCTTTAGATAATGATGGGAAAGTATCTTACGAAGAGTTCAAAGCTATCTTATACTCAAAATAACTTCAATCACACTCGCGAACTATTCTCTTTTTTTTGTATATATAAATTTGTACTTTTTTTCTCTTCTTTTGTTATTATTGAATATGTTGCAATATGATTATCTCTGTAAATCAGCTTAGACAAAGAAAGCATGTTCGATATTCGTCCTCTGACAATCGATGCATGTGTGTATATATATATATATATATGTATAGGAAAAGAAAAACCGTAAACAAAAAAGAACATGTTATCGAAAGGAAAACAAACACAGTAAGAAAGCGTCTTTCGAGAGCACCAATATTGCAAAAGGAAGAAAAATGGAAAAAAAGTGAGATTGACGTTTTTTTCCATTTTCAAACAAACCAACAAGCAAAAAGGCGAAACACAGGTTTCGATTATTATTTAAAATGAAAACAAATTTCTCAATATTCATTTATGTATATGTATAAAGATAGTTGGACGGATGAATATTTCAAATATTTTCATCACAAAATTGTACAACAGATTCGCTTCTCATGATTCTCATCTAAAACATGACCATGAACTTCGAAAAATTTCTCTGACGAATAGTTCCCCGTGGGCTCTTTTGTCACAATAAAACGATCACCATTCGTCACTTTTGTACTGAATTTATCTTTCAGATCAATAGTAAGGAACGATGGAGATGTAATATTCGCTGCCGGGGACACATTCGATGATGTGCCTGGAATACCGTTGAGTATACGACGTCGTTCTTCACGTCGTCGTTTCACATCACTTAACGTATCTGCAGTAGTCTGTGGTAATGTTAAAGGCGGTGGAACTCTCACAGGTGTTAACGGCAGTTCAGGAACTGAAGGAATGTTCGTTCTTTTCGTTGAATTATTAGTTGGCTGGTCGCGCACGATCGTATCATTGGCAAAAGTCGACACACTGGAACGATCTTCTTTTGTACTTGTTTTCGATGGTGCATTTCCATTGGAATTCGCAGCGTTCGGTATATGTTCATCTACATCCTCTTGTATCTTGTCTCGAGCTTGTAAAACATCAAGAAAACTCTCGTTCAATTTCTTTGCACGTTCACTATTACGCAGTGATGCTCGACGAATTGAACTAGTTCGATTTAATGATGAACCGCTACCGTACGGGGAAGAAATACTAGAACGTGATTCGTATAAGGTACCCGTTCGAGAAACAATACCATTTGGAATTGAATTAATACCAGCTTGCAGACGATTGGTCACTAGATTACTCGTATGGGGTTGTTGTTCAGTTTGAGCAACAGCTGCGGCGACTGCAGCCGCTGCTTCAGCTGCTGCTCGTTCTTGTTTACGTAGACACTGTTCTTGAGAGTCAATCATGTAATTGCGCATCTCAGGATCTTCGCATAGATCAACTGCGGTACGACCATCGGGAATTTTCTCATAAATGTCACCTCCAGCTTCAATTAATTGAGCTAGAAAAACAAAAGCATAGATATCTATTTCTATTTGCTAATATATTTCTCTTACTGAGGATTGGCTGTAGACACCAAAATGCTGCAGCATGCACAGGTGTCCATCCATCTGCATCTTGAAGATTAAGTGACACGTGCTGATCAAGTAAATATTTTACTACAGATTGATAACCATTTGCACTTGCAATATGAAGTGGAGTTGCACCTTCGTCATTTCTATAGGACAAGATATCATCAATTGAACGCGACGATGATAAAGATTTTTTCACTAATTTTTGTAAATCACGTAACATCTGATTTTCGACTTGAGCACGAGCATTATCAATCATTTCCTGTGTGATACCAATTCGATCCATTTGAGTTTCGATGTAAGTGAGCGTTGGCTCATCTTCACATATATCATAAGGCATATTACCATCAGCATTTAATGCCATTAATTCAGCACCATTTTCAATGAGGATTTTACATATTTGCATATGTCCACAAGTAGCTAATGAAGAAAGAAATTACTCAATTATACGACGTCGTTCATACGCGAAAGGACAGGTTTCAGTAACAAATTCTGTTTTCAATGTCACCCGAAAAGAAAAACGTTCAGTGATCTTTACCTGCCGCGTGTAACGGAGTCCATAGATCTCGATCTTTTGCATTAACATCGCCGCCATACTCGATCAGTAGTTGTAAAATGGCATCGCTATTATCGATTGAGCACTGATGGATCGGTGTGAGACCATCTTCATTGGCTGTGTTAGGAGAATATTTTCTTGATTGAAGTAAACTTCGAACTTCATCGACATCTTGTCGAGCAGTTGCTTAACAAAAAAAGAAATAAGCAATAATTTCGAATCAATAAAATCGAGGTGGTTAAAAACGGAGGAATTTTCTTTTTATTACGCTTGATAAGATCTACTTGACGAGATACTTTAGAAATGAAAACGAAATCTTATTTTGACAAGATGAAGCGACCGAGGAAAAAAATTAAAATAATATCTGACAAATTTTTCGTTGAGAAGTGTTTGTTTAGGTGGAATAACTGTTTGTCTAACAATTAAGAGAATGAAAGGACGCGAAAAAGAAAATGTCGAAAGGTATGTCTTATATCTACCTTCTAATATAACGATGTTTTCGGGAAATTGAACTAAAAGCTTCTTCTTTCGAGATTTCTTTTGACTTCCATTCGTGGAAATCTTCGACACTGTTGACTGATTTTCCAATGCATTTTCACGTTTCATCCAATTTTCCAGTTGAATCTGTCGTTGTCGTTTGGCATGTTTCAGTCGTTCTTGTGCTGTCAGCTTTTCTAACAGCGTCATATCTTGAACAAGTTCGGAATGCTCCATTGTTGTGTTTCAGTCGCCCAAACAAACAATCACATGCTGTGTTGAGATGTATCAATTTGTAGCTAAAATGAAAACGAAAAGTAACAAAAGAAATTTCGTACGACAATCACCATAAAAAAAAAGTTATATGATACCCCAACTAGGTTGGTTTATGATATCGAATGACATTGACAAGTTTCTCCTAACTGAAGAGGATTTTAAAACAACGGAATAGGTAGAGATCATTCTCGAGCATTTATCTTTGTCTACTGAAATAAACCATTGTGAAGCAATGCCTTGCCTGACATAAAGAAGCACAAATTTGAAGAAAGAAAAAAAACCAAGTGAAGAGCTTTTTTTTGCGTTCTTTCATCTGCTCAAACTTTTCGTGTATATCCTTTCGAACTGTGATGGAAAGAAAAATCGTACACGTACGTCATCACAACTGATGCACAAATAAACAAGGTTCTTTATAGGGAAGAATATTCTCCTCGAATTCCTACAGACATTAACACATTTACATACATAGTTGCAAGGCGAAAAGAGAAAAAAAAGACATTCTTACTCGTCGATGATTTACATAATTGATAATGTTAACTGTTTCATCGAAGAAATTCGCCTTATTTTTCAAAAAGTGAATAAGTCGATAATCTAAAATAAACGAAGTAATTGATCTTTTGTACATAGATGACTACTGCCGTTTCTCTGTTCTTTGTGTACTGTTTATTTTTGAATAGTAATAGTTTCTGGGAACATTGATAAGAAGAGTGGCGTTTGAAGTGGTTCTACTTGATACTAATGAATGTTTTTCCTTTTGCTTTTCCTCTGATGAAAAACAACATGAAATCAAAACATAAAAATACAACAAGAAAATGTTTCAGATCGTTGCTCTTGAGACTCATTCAACTGATATTGTGCGTTCGGACCAGTGTATATTGAAGGACGAATGTATCTTGTGCTGCTGGCTGTTGAGAATCGTTTTTAATAATCGACTTTTCCGATTTTGGTAGTTGATAAGATCCACCGGCGGATGATTGAATTTGAAAACCTAATCGTAACACACGTTGTAAAATATCGGTGTATGTTATTGCACCTAGATCGTAACTCGAATCGTAACAATCGTTTGTCAGAAAAGCACGATCTGGTGATGTCGGTAAGATTTGCATGATCACTTGCTTATCGCCATGCAGTTGGAAATTCTTCGAATTAGATGTTAAGACATTGCGAACGAGTAAAGATAAAATTTCAAAACGGTGAGTTGAGCCTGTCGTTGCCATTCAAATTTTCGCTTTTAGATCTGAAAACAAAAACAAGAACCATAATCAAAATGACTTTCTTTTTCCTAGAACTAAATCCTATCTGAAGAAACAATAACACTAGAAAATCACGAGAAGTATGACACTGTAATCATATAACAAAAAAGAAGATGACAATGAGGTTAAATGAATGTAAAAACGAACAGATTCCTGAGAACAATGAAACCGGTTAGAATCGAACAGATCGATATATGTTTAATTGCGTTTGACAAGAATGTATTGAGTACGAAGAAGACCTTGCGTACCAGCACCTGATGAACCTTCGATATGAAAACCAGATTTGAGAAAAGCTTCGAGTACTTGAGTATAGGATTGACGGTCAGGATCAGCAGGAGAATTGTAATATCCCCAACGAAATGCACTCTCGGACGATTTAGGTAAGACTTGTTTAATGGTATCACGAGAGCCGTGCTTAAAAAAAAACAGAAATAGATCGAATTGAGAGTATAGGAGTGATTGTTCCTACTAATTCGAAAAATTTGCCATTTCCTGTTGATAACCAGATAATCATGGAGATGACTTCAAGACTGTTGGATGATGTTTGATCACCTTGTTCCATTTTCGTTTCAGCACAAGCTTTCTATTTACTTTTAGTATATGAAAATCTAAATAGACATTGAAGAATTATGTTCATTGAGAACAAATGTGATTAGTCGTTTCCTATCTTGTTCGAATTCGATTAATCTTATCTACGGTCTCTGTCTGTTTCTCTACGTGAATGACTAGTCTACGAATCACAACTATTTTCATCGCAAAGTTCAATAGAACACATTTCGCAAAAATTTCACAAGCAAATTTATTTATTCTCGATTTTCACATTGAAATTTTCTACTAATTACCCGAACACATTCTGTTTTTTTCATTGTCAACCTACGACATCTAGATACATTCGATTTTTCACACTAGGCACAAATATGTTCGTTCTTCGTTTGTATACATAACGCATCTGCGCGCATAGAACCATGATTTGTATACTCAAATGTACGTGATCAGTTGCTTACCAGGCCCAACTGTCATAACAAAGAAGCACACAGAAAGCATCTGATCATCAAACAAAATCAAGGATTAAAACGGGCACGTGTGATTGATTGAAAAGAAATCTTACTTAAACTGCAAGGATATCCCACTCAATGAGCTCGTGTTACTTGACCTGTTGATCTGCAAAGTTGCAATGACGAAAGAAGAATCGATTCTTTTCTTTCACTCTGTCAAACGAATGTAACTTTAGCATAAATCCCAAGGACTTCTTTTCGTTTATATTATTGAATTTTTCAAATCAATTGCATCTTTTCCCTCTTACTCAACTTTGACATCCACACCTTTGGTGTTCTTCCGATCATGGACAAAATCAACGCGAATAACAATAAAAGAAAAGAAGAAGAAGTTAAGGCCTCGCAATCCAATCCTGAGATGAGTTCAGCACAATAAGATCATCATAAAAACTACGAAGTTTCTAGCTGCTTGTCATAATGTTTACACAGAAAAAGAAAGAAAAAGAAAGATATCTGAGATATAGTCTTGAGTAGAATAAGAAGAGAAAACATACAGGTTCCGAGTTTGTTGATTATCTAATACACAGCACTGCAAGTTATCACACAAGAGAGAGAGAGAGAGAGAGAGAGAGAAAGAGAGAGATGCTTTTCATTCAATACTGTCAGACAAAGAAAAAAAAAGAATTTGTTCGGAGAGAGTAATTATTTCAATTAAAATTTTGAGCACTGATTTCATTGGTTAATCCAACAATTTCTTCTTCAATAATTTCCTCATCGAATGTTTCGAGAGTTTCTTCATTGGGTAATGTTGGATCATCGCGAAAACATATCCATGAATGTTTCAATGATTCATGAGCTGTTGCGCGTCGTCTTCGGAAGAAAAAAGAAACGCACAAGGTCGTCCGTATAAAATCATACGGTTTTGTATTTACTTTGGTATTCGAACGATTAATTTTTGAATGAGATCAATGCATTTTTTCGAGATTTTTTCGAATAAATCGGATGGAAAATCTAGTATGCAATGTGTGATATTACTTTGAGTGTCGAGCTTTGTCGCACCACCAAATGGTGTATGACCAGTAACAAGAACATAGATTAATACACCAATATTCCACATATCTGTAGCACATGTCAGTGGTTCATAGTTGACAACTTCCGGTGCTTAAAAAAGATGAGAAAAAGCAATGAACAAGAATTTGAAAAGACGGAAAATCCTTACCGAGAAAATCTGTGGTACCTGACATTTCCAATAAGCGTTGATTGGTTAAGACGCGTGAGAGACCAAAATCGCATAGTTTGATTTGTGTGCTTGGCCATTTTTCCATGAGAAGAATATTTTGGGGCTACAGGAGAACTGTTTTTCTCAGTTGAAGTCAGTGTATATGCTTACTTTGATATCAAGATGAACAATTTTGTTATCATGTAGAAACGCAACAGCTTCTAAAACTTGTTTAGTAACATGAATCGCTTGTATTTCTTCTAAGCAACCTTCAAGTTCAATTGCCAATTGTAAATCACCTTGTTTCGCACTATGCACACAGATTAGAAAGGAAAAAAAATGTGTCAAAATGAAACCGATCAAATGAGTCTTACTATTCCAATATAAAGATGGCTTCGGTGGGTAAATCGAATACTTGATAGAGGGAAACAAAATGTGGATGTTTATGTGATAACTGGAAGATACGTAATTCATTGAGCGCATGTTGAATGTTACGTTTTTTAATGATTTTTGCAGCGAACATTTGATCAGGTGTCTCTTTTTTTACACATTTTTTTACAGATGAAAACCGTCCGCTAGGAAAGGAGAAAGAAGTTGAACATAGATTTGTTTTACGAGAATGATTCTCATTTACCGGCAAAGATCTTCTGTGATATTATAGACTGAGTCGAATGATACTGTCGCACAACAATGCGAAAATTCACCGGGTGCTGCCGATTGAATCATGCCTGTTGTTAACGATGGTGTCAGTGAAAATACTGATGTTGAGCTCGGTGAGTTCTAAAATGCGAAAGAAAAAGTTTTAATACGAAGACGGTAGAATATATAATCATGCATAGAACAACACTGCAAGAGAAAAGGATAAGTACTTGTCTTTTGAAAGTTTAGAGGAGAGAATGATAATTACTACGTCGGAGATGAGAAAACGGTTTGATCGGTTTGTTGGTTAACTGAATACTTACATGTAATCGCTGTCGAAAAAGTGGATTACGAGTACGAGTAGGTGTTTGACTACGACACACATCGTGTAACATGGCTGAAATTCAAAACAAAGAAACAGAGAAGGATCTGAAATCGAATAAGAGAAATAAAAATATTTGTTTTTTTTTTCGTAAATGATAAAAACTTCTATAATTTATCTTTAATGTCGCGACGTCGGGACAGAACTATGAACGAAACACCTTCGCTTCCTGTCGATGCACATTGAAAAGGCGTTGCTTATGTACATACATGAATATGTATGAATTAACCTTCTGCGAGCGAGGTCGCGTCGTCGCGTTCATACGTGTATTTCTTTTGATACTTTCATGCGTCGTCAGGCTCTCTCTGCGGTTACATTCTACGACGAGAGTACAAGTGTATGTAACATTGCGTATACATCGACTTCTTATTGATTGGTAAAATGATCAAGGGCAAAAAATGGATTCTTATGGATGATGAATAATTGAACTAAGACGATAGCGCCATCTGAACAACGCATATGTTCAATCCGCTCAACAAAGACAAATTTTACGTCGGACAAGATGTTTATATATCAGACGATGATTAATGACATAAATTAAATAATAACATAAGCATACCACACAGTTCTCAATTAAGATATGTTAATCCATTGCAATTGCCTGTTGTTTCCGAAGAAAAAGACGTGTGAATGATTCATATCTAGTTTTGTATTTAAAATAAATAATTCTCGGCTATTCGTCTGTCGGGAGATGACATCGACTGTTCTAGAAGAAAGAACTTACGATATCGTATTTGTCTTCTAACTAGAGGCTAAGATTCGAGGAATACAAAGCGAAACATACTGGTTTTTTTTCTGCACTGGCATATGTCGTGTTCTTTCTACATACCAAAATAATTTTGACACGTCTGTTATCGTTTGCACGATGACATTAACTAACTCCTATACCGATCCTATCAGAAATCTGTAACAAATATCTCCGTCGATCAAATTCTACGCATGTACGAGAAATTATCAGATGAAATTGATGTCGTCATAGTTTTGATCAATCAAAACTGATTTCATAATCGTTGGACTGCGCGATTTGTAGAAATTCTCAGGAAAATGAGACGAAAGTCTCGTCTGAAAGAGAAGACGACTGATCTTTTGATATGTTGACATTTCGTATCATTTGACAAAATAATGAAAAACGATACCTATCCGATAGAAAAACGCGCATGGTTCGTTAAATCGATTGATAGATTACAGTCATAGACGAGAGAAAATAGCAGATAGTATTCTGTCATTAATGACAATAAAATCCTTCGGATAATTTGTGCGACCTAGAAATCAAACCAACTAAATAAAACATTTCTCGAACAATTCGTGCTTTTTTTTGCGCTTCTCGTCTAACAATGTTATGCAAAGAAGGATATCGAAAAGCTCTGAAAGAACGTGATAAAACACGAGAAAAGTTTATTAACATTTCATCTTCGCGTACTTTACTCATCAAATCTATCTTTATAGAGAATACATCGGTGATCTCGCTCATTCACTTGTCTATACATTCATTCCGGCTCATGCTTTAATACCGGATGATGATGAAAACATACAACTACTTACTTGTAATCGTGTGCAACATCGATTTGAATATCAGTTTCGCTCAGTATCTCTGTCTGATTTGACCCGACAATATCGATGCATTGATTTCGATCCAAATCTCGAACAACGAAACGTGAAATACAAACGTTTTCACGATGAAATTCGATTGAATGACTTGGATTACGAAAGCGATTTGAACGAGACAGGTAGAAGAAGAATGTCAAGAATCATTGTTTCGTTTTTGTCTTCAGATACATTTATTAATCAACAAGATCCTATTCAAATATATCTTCAAGCATGTAAACAATATCAAATTCATCCATATCATAGCGTCATTGATGGATTAAATCTGAATACACTTGATCTAGCCGAAATGTCAATAAATGATCTTGATCTAAAAGCGATTTGTCTAGCATTACGAGTAGATATTGATGTATTCGATTCTCTTCGAACTTGTTCTCGATGTAAAACATAGATTCATACGAATATGAAACATATTCGATTAAGTGCGAATAATATCACTGCACAAGGTTGTGCTTATCTTCAAGAAACGTTGAAAGATAGTTATACAATTGAAGAACTTGTCAGATCATTTCTTCTAGATAAATCACGAGAAAAGAAAACATTCTTTTTTAGGATATATCCAAAAATGCAATTGATACCAAGGGATTAGAAATTCTCTCGTTATTATTTACAAACAACGAAACAAAAATGTCGATTATCAAGAAACTTAACTTATCATGTAAATCAATATGTCTCTATCGACTACAACGACATTTTTCAAGTATATTTAGCATGTGAATTGGCTGATTCATGTGGACCCATTCTTCGAAAGATTCTGAAAGTAAAACTCGTTCACAAGATCTTCTTTTCAACAGATGAAATATCTCAGGGAGGCGATATGCTTGAAGAACTATATCTTAGTGGCAATCAGTTGAGTACAATCGCGTGTAAAAACATCGGATTGGGATTAAGTAAATATACTTACAAATTCTTTCAACATGTTTTTGGATTTCACAGAAGAAATACCGGAATTACGAGTACTTGATTTAAGTTGGAATATGATCTGTGAGAATGATATTCGTCCGATTTGTATCAGTTTAAAAGTAAAAATTGCTGACTTGAATTGATGGATTGAATTGTTGAGCGTTCGAAGGAGAATCAAGCACTTGAAAGCCTTAATTTGAAAATGAATGGCTTGGGTAATCAAGGTTCTGTACTTGTTGGGAATATGCTAGCACAGAATGACACGATATTAGAGCTTGATCTATCGAATAATCGGATTGAAAAAGATGGATGTGATATATTTGCATCGAAACTTGAAATGAATCGAAGGCTAAGAAAACTTTCGGTGAGAATAATGATCGAGAATACGTGTGGATTCATTGATAAGAATATCTCAGTTTGGCGATAATAACATTGGTACATTTGGCTCTCTTATTCTCTTGAAAGCAATCGATCATATCAAAAGTCAAGTAGAATATCTTAATCTCGAAGTATAACGTCCCTATCGAATGTTCAAACGACATTAAAAAAAACTATTCTTTGCAGAATGTATTAGTTAACGATGACTTTGTTTATCTATACACACAAATTAATCAATATTTAAGGCCACTCAACGTCATCCATGGAGGAATTCGAGGAAGATTAGGACGAGATCATTCAACAAGTAAGGAGAGCTTTTGTCTGAATTGATTCTATTGTGTTTTTAGTACCCGGTTTCACTATCATGGATGATATTGATCTTGAATATCTCGACACTAAATCATTACATGCGCTGTTTCAACGAGATCCATTCAAAATTCTCGGACGAATGGCGAAGGAAGGTGGGTATGATTTTGCGAAAGCTTTGAAAAAATGGGATGTAGAAGAACATGGACATTTGACATATTCAATCTATGTCATCGATTTTCCAAGTGCAGTTAAAGTACGTTGAATAGAAGAATAGTCTCTGATTAAACTCGTATCGTTTAGGATGCGGGAATAAATTTAGATAAAACACTTCATTTTATTCTGTGGAATTATCTCAAAAAAATCGGGAATAGAGGCTCTGTTAGTTATCTGTAAGTTGCTTTTCATATTCTCCAATTTCTTACCATTTCTCTCTTCAAATATATTTCAGTCCATTCATTACTCCACTACCAAAGTCCTCGGAGAAGAAGAAAAAGACGAAACGTTAAAGACCAGTCTCTCCGATATTCGTTTTTGACTTTCTTTCTTTTCTTCTCTTATACGGAACAAAAACAAACACATTCTTATTGCTAATTACAGTTGAAACAAAAAAAGGCAAATGAAAGATAATAAATATGAAAGAAATAAAGCAAAGAGCAACGATCTTAACCTGAAAAAACGAGCGAAAACATGGACGTTGTCTCCAACACATATCATAAAGCAATAACAGCACCATAATCAATTCTCCAAGAGAAGCGTACGTTTAAAAAAAAGGAGGAAAACGAATTCTTTTTATCTGTTTAAAGATTATAAAAAAAAGAAGACAAAGAAACAAATCGTTAAAGAGTTGCATAGAAATAAAACGTAAAACAAGAGGATATTGACCAGAAGAGAAGACAAAAGAATAAATATGCGTTGATTATGTTTAAGTTTCAATTGTGTTGTTTTTCAATGAAAATCATTAAATATGCGTATATGTCTAGAGTATAAATATGTCAACGCGCGCGCGCGAGAAAGAGAAATAAAACGAAAACAAACGAAGAAAATCATGTTTTAAACACGGCAGATATTACAGAATATTGATCAATAGTATACATATGATTCGAAAAAGGTAAAATAAAAATACATTTCATATTCAATTGCTTATTGGAGAAATCATTGTTTGAGGCGGTGGGCGCGGACGACGATATGTATTGGTCGTTTCACTGTTATTGAAACCATTTCGACGACTTGTTTGACTGGTATTGTTCGAAGGTATTGCACGTGTTCGGCGATGATTATTTCCATTTTGATAAGGAGGATATTGTTGTTGAGAAGGTGCTACTCGACGACGGTTGACAGCTGACATTTCAGAGAAAATAATCAAACTTGGTTCTAAATAGATGAAATGAACTTACTTTGATAATTGTTTGAATCGTCATAATGATTATGATGACCATTCGTTTGAGAAGTCATAGGAGAAGAATCACCGGCTATGTTTCCATTAAGTTTTGCTTTATTTGTAATTCTCTGTGGTAATGCTTGTTGATGGTTTGACGAGAGAGGTTCATTCGATGATAACGATGATGATGAGAACACTCGACCGTTGGTTACTAATTCCGAATTGTGTTCTATTGAGTTTTCTGATGTGTTGTTCTCAAGTGGACTTATCGATGTACCATTTTGTTCAACTAATGCCGACGATGTTGATAATGTTCGTGCGCGATCTTGTTTTCTATCGATTCTTAAAACTGTTCCGAAATTTTTCAATGCTTCTATTACCGCTTGGTCGTATTCAAAACGACGCAAGGAGGTTAATTCTTCGCAGAGATCATATCGACGATCAGTTACAAAATTTTTGATATCAGTCCGAAGTAAATCGATTTCTAATTGTTCAAGTCGATCACAACTGTCCACGCGTTGACGGAGTTCACTAGCACGTTTCTGTCGACGATGGATGATATTCAGACCTTGTGCTTTCACTTTGTCCATTTCGAGATACAACTCAATTTCACGTTCTTTGATGATTTCGCGGATTTGCTTGAATACGTCATCAATACGTTTTATTGAAGATTTGATTTCATGTTCAAACGATGATTCAACGTTGGTTAACGTTGACGTTTGACGTTGAAGGTCTTTGGAAGGTCTTGTTAGAACTAGAATAATGACACAAATCTTATCGGTGCAAAGTGATTTCTCCTTAAAAAAATTACTTTTTCGATTGTCACTGATAAATGTTGTTCCATTTGTCGAAGTCGACGGTTTTGTCACTGTTGTTGTTGTTGTTGTTGTTATTGGTTGGGCATCATTTGAGGAAGTTTCTTGAGTTTGATCAAGATTGGGATATTTAGAATTATTTTTCCGACGTTTTAGTTTACCATTATGTCCATTGGTTGATTCGGTATCTTCGTCAGTATGATTTGTAAGTAGATTGCTTTCATCTGTGGTTGTTGAGCTGTTTGTTGTTACATTCGATGTATCGTGATATTCATTTCGTGTTGATTCATTGGGATGTGATGATGATTCCGAATGATTTGTCGTTGAGTCTAAAATCGATCTCGTTAAATTTATCCAATTCGTTATGTGAAAAGTGTTCTCTACCTTGACTAAAATATGGATGAAATGAGAGATCGGTAGACAGACAGGATTGAAGGTGGTTATTAGATTGCTCATGTAACGATGATGATGACAATGAAGATGGTGAATTGATTGTAGTTGTACTTATTCCTAAACAACGAATCTAATTAAGAATCAACTGAATTCGAAGGTTATACCATTGGTTGTGATTGTTGGTATGCCGCCTTCAGCAAACGTTTGAAATATATTTGAAACACGTTGTGATGGTCGTAGAATACCATTCGACGGAAGTGTTTGAGATGAAGATTTCTTCTGACCATTACTTGATTTGTTATTGCCACGTTTATTTGAGTTCTGAAAGAAAGTTTCTTTTATAGAAAAGTTTCGAACACACAGAAACTGTCTTACATTTCCGCGATTATTATTCATTTCAGTCCATCCGTTGAGCGCTTCCATTGCACCATCTGAAAAGCGCACAAAAGTAGGTTAAGTAAATATTCTATTCGAAACTTACTTCTTTTAAACGCTTCTACTGTTTCGTCAACATTGGATTCGTAATAGAGCAATGCCAGTTCGATCTTTTCACGCGATAGATTCATCAAATCCGGCAGCCGCGAACGAACAGCAGATACATTATCACGCATAGCATTCTTTCGTGGCATTATTTTCTTTCTACTTCGACTTTTTTGTATATTTATCTTCAATAAAAAAAAAAGAAACAATAATGTACACGACTGCATCATCAATTGACTTTCCGAAGATAAATATTTTCCACGATCGTGTACTTGTTTTTCTTGAGAAGTCATCCGTTGGGTATTTTTTTGATCAAAGAAGAAACTTTCTATTTTTCTTTGTTTTTTTCTTATTAGAAAGTAACACGCAAAGCGTACCTCTTATCGTCGATGCAAACAGAAGAAAAACAAAAAGATTTTCTACTCTCTGTGGAATGAATATCGGCATTGTACAATGGATATGATGTCATCGGAGGAAAAGAAAGCTACTAAATATAAATCAATAAGCAATTTGGTTAGATTGTTAAAAACTCATAAGAGATTTTCGATGGATTTGTGATTCTATTTAAGTGATTGATTAGTGTCGAAGAAAGAGAAAGTGTCCATATTCATAAAAAGGATAAACTCAAGTGTCAATGCGTTGGAGTTGTATGTTGTCTTTCAAAAAGAAAAAAAAAAGTTCTGAAACTCAAAAATGTTTTTTTCTTCTATTCTCTTTCCTCTATCAAAGCAGATAACGATAAAGGAAAAGAATTGAAAATGACAATAAACGATCGATATGTCCATATGGGAGAAGAAAAGGTGGCAGAACTATGTGCCCTAAAATCAACAAAAGAAATCGACGTGCGAACAAGAATAAGATGCATACTAATAACGTATGGGGCGTCCCTACATCGCATGATTATATATCTGTTCTTCTTCTTCTTCTTCTTATTCTTGCTGGTCGTCATCTATCTCGTTACTATAGACAGACAAGAATGTAAATATCGTCTTCTTTTTCTCGCTCTCTCTCTCTCTTCAGTTTGTACGCCCTCGATCGATATAAGCCATCACCGCTGCTAATATCACCAACGTACTATCACCATCATCTTTGCATATACATCTATATATATGTATAAAGAAGAAATGCGGTTTTTCTTTCTCTCTCGACTTTTCTTTACGCTTCTGTCTTGCAGCAGAAGAACACTGCTGATAGTTAGAAGAATTAGCTGTGTGAAAAAAGAAAAATAAGTGATAAACTAAAAATAACTTTAAAAGGGAACAAATGTTCTCCTATAATTCAAGTTATCTATATCTATTGTTATTACATCACTGACCTGATGTGTAAAGAATGAGTTGTCAGAAATATGAAAGATCTAGAATGATGATGGTGACGACGGCAAAAAAAACTGACCAAGATTGTAGGTTACTTCATGAAAAATTGAAAACATTCCAGATCAATAGAATAAAGGTCAATAATATCAATGAATGATTTACCTACGAAATGGAAAAAAAGTCACGTCTTTCGAAAAAGAAAGATGACGATGAATATGAAAGAGGAGAAGGAGAAGAAAAAGGAAAAAAATCGAAACGATTCTCGAAAGACACAGAAATTACGTGTAAACTTGATGAAATTAACAATTCGATATACACGAAAAGAGATTTTCAACAAGGGACATTGCGCAATCAGCAGGATTAAAACATACCGAAGAAACGAAAGAGAAAGTTCTTTCTATTCGTCCGTTGTTCATTCGATGTCAAATGCGTCATCGTACGTCAGTGACTGCTTAGTTAGCTTCCTTTCCCTTTCCGTCCTTCTCATTACTAGGTGCAAATGTCGAAGAGAGGATCCTATCTTCAATTTGATTTGTAAATTTTATTTTCACTATCAATAGAAAACTTATATATGAAAGATTTCAATAGAACTTTGCAAAATTGTTAATTATTCGATGATTGCTTTTTCATAATCGATGCGACAATGTTCAACTATAGATGTCATTAGTAGAAAGTCACTCGAATCGTAAAGGCAGTTGCTAAGTGATCATGTGTAAAATTATTTATTGAAAGATAGAAAGAATACAATTTAGAAAGTGAAAACAAGGCAAAGATGATCGTCAGCGGGTATAGTTCAAAGGAAATTAGTTAAATCAATGAAAAACTACTTTTCTTAATTAGATCTTCAACCAACTATCGAGAGACACACAAGAATAGTCATCATCAACAAACAGAGTATGTTAAACACTCGCTCAACCCCGGTATTTCTTTCTTAAAAACAGGAGCTATTATAAAATTGAAAACAATTTCATCTATCAGATAGCCTTCTAATCAAGCTGAAATGTTCAAGGAAACTAAAGACCTTCGGTGTACCTAGAGTTCTTATCTATCACGAGTGCCTAGAAAAATAATTTAGGTCAGCATCATGTGCTCGATTAATAAGGAAATGTCTCGAAAGCTTCAAGTAGACGCTGATAAGACAATCAATAAAAAGATCTTTCATCGCTGACATTCTCCAAGAGTGTTTGTTTAGTGCGCTAGGCAGAACCAGATAAGCTGTACGTCTTTATACATACTCGTCGAACAGAAACAAGTCCTAACGAGTCATATAATATCCAAGTAAATAGGCAAGACCTTGAAACTGTTAGAAACGGAAACATTCCCTCTAATTGTTTCCACATCTGTCATGATTAATTTGATGATATATTAATAAATACTTGATCTAATCAATGGAAGTTCTTCTAGTTTAGCAAGCAATGATGATCCGATTGATAGTTATCTCTCTCAAGATCGAAACTCGTCGTCGCAAACCATTCAAGAAGTCGCATCCAGCGCGCTAATTGATAGTCTAGCAGCCGAATGGTGGTCGGCGAATCTCTCTCAAACTGTGATTAATGATTTACTTGAAAATCTTATTCCAATAGTAGTCTTAGGCTGCGAAAAAGTGATTAACGAAGCGGATGAACTTCATTTAATTGAAACAACCACACCGGATCGATCATTCAATCCGATTAATCGTTTAGCATCGTTTCTAATGCGTAATAATCCAAAATATATGCACTTCTCGGCATTATCACCGTATCATTATACAATGAAAACATTGTTAAACACGAAAAAGATTCAAGTTTTGAAAGTTTATGGCGAAGAGGAGACACTGTTGCGTACAATTCTAAAACAAAGACAAAATGAGCGTCTGGAACATCAGGATGTCACGAATCAAGAAGAAGAACGACGAAAGAATCTGTTGAAAACATTCTTTTTCGATTGGAACGTACCCGAAAGAGGTTGGATTCAGACTAATTTGGTAAGTTGAGTCTTTTTCGCCATCAAAGTTCACGATCGGCTTTAGATCAACAATATGCTCGAACAATCGAATGAACTTTCGAAAAGTACCGATTTGAAAATCAATTTACCGGTATTTCAATCACATCGAATGCATCTTGGAACTTTTACGGATGTACGTAGACGCATTTTCTTGCGATTTTCATGAATTTTGATTCATGTAGAATTTTTTTAACGGCTTGAAAAACCAATCAGCAAATAACTTCGATTCTATTATTGAAATCTATCGCCGTTGTGCTCAAACCTATTCGAATATTGTCCAAGAGCACGAACTCGACCTTCTTTTGCAACGTGTTTTCAATCAATTGGATGATAAACAAGTAGATGAATAATGTCAACGCCGAATACAAAATTTCAGTGGATTTAATTTTTTTTCAGTGCGGTTATCTCCTTCGAAAAACCATAATGAAATTATTGCAAAAATTCTACAATGGGCTAACTGATCAAGACAAGCGAAACGTCAATCGACCCGATGAATGTGAGTAGTGCATAGTCGTATGTGCCTGCCAACTAGAAAACACTGTTTTCCAGGGCCGGTTATAAAGCAAACAGTTCCGGAAGAAGAGATTCTCGAAGAAAGTTTACCTGAATCAGAAAAGGTCGAAGAAGAAAAGCCAGCGGAAGCCAAAGAACCAGAAAAACCATCGGGTGAATCGACCACGAACGAACAAGAGAAATCTGCTGAAACCGCCGAAAAGGAAAAACCTGCTGAAGGAGGCGAGCAGCATAGTAAAGAGAAACCAGTGGAGGAAACCGAACATCAAGAAAAAGAGAAAGCAAAAGACGAGACACAAACGAATAATCAAGAGAAACATCCAGAAGAACCAAAAACATCGGAACATGAAAAACCTGCTGAATCACCTAAGCCAGCTGATCAAGAAAAAGTTGCAGAAAAACCTAAACCAAATGAGCAAGAGAAGGCAGCTGAAAAACCGAAAACCATCGAGAACAAATTGTCAGCTACAACATTAGCAGATAATCATGAAGTGAAAACTGACGAGAAGAAAAAGGTTGAGGAACCTAAAGAAGAAGAGGACGATGAAGAAAAGTTTGTTGTTGAATTAAAACAACCTTCGGCTTGTAAGTTCATTTTCTCGTTGAGATCATCGTACTTAACTGTAATAATCTTATTTTCAGATGATCCGAACTATCGATATACAAGGGAACAAAAATCTGTCTGTGAGTATATTTGGTGATTCTCATTCAAACATTTTCATGTCTTCTGCACAGATAATTTAGAACATTTTGATACCAATGATCAAAATAAATCGGCTCCATACGAAGACGAACTAATTGATAAAAAACAATTCAGTGCTATGTTAATATCATTCTCCGGTTTGAAGAAGAACGACATGGTCGTTTCCGCTTTAATCGATTTCTTTCGAACTTCATACAAAGAATCAGAAGAAGACAGTACTAGCAAGAAAACTCTTGTAAGTCCTTTCAATACAGGTTATCATTCTTATTGTAAAACACTTATTTCAACAGTTGCAACAACGACTTCTTGAAGAACAACGACGTATACAAACTGATTCCTTATTTGAAAAACTGAATACGACCTGTACCGGTCTTCTCAAACTCGAACCAATCGTCAACATTCTCAAACAGTACAAAGAAGGCACTGTTGTTGATCACATCGACGAAGGTAACAGACTCTTTAAACATCAATGCCAATTTCAATGTTCTCTTTTTTACTACAGTTCTCGAATTGTACCATGATAAACAACAGCTGACCAACGAACAATTTTTTGATTTTCTTGTTACCATTCACCGAACACTTAATGAAGCATTAGGTGGCGAAGAAAGATTCGACGAACTCCTGAAATACATCGAAAGCCAACAACCACAAGTAATTCACAATGCGTATCAAATCAGATTGCACTTCTTTTAATTCAGGCCAATTCAAATGATCAAACACGTATACATACACGTCAAAAATGGTTAAAACGTATACGCAACATTCCATTTCAAACAGTTGCCCATGTTTACAAAGAAATCATGGATATTATTCAAAAGGATTCCGACACTTTTGGCACTCAGCCAAACAAACATTTAAGCATTTACATTGCACTTTTGGAAGACGATAAAAATCATTTACGATATGTCGCTACAACCAACGATCAAAGCGATTTACTTTTAGGAAAGACTCTACATCGCGATCAAGGCATTTCGTAAGTTATTTTCCGAAATTCAATTGAACTAATCAATCTCTTCTAGTTTTCAAGTACTCGAAAATGGTCGGTGGGCTTATATCAATCAAACGAAAAATCATTCTCGAATTTATTTCTTCAAACCTGACGCTGCACATGATTCGGGCAGCTTCGTACTCATGCCGTTGAAACGTTTACAACGAAAATATTCCAGTGGTGTTCTAGGCATTGATACATTACAAGACAAACGAGAAAAAGCATTTGTTAAACATGAAGTTCAATTTTATGAAGGGATTACATCGATTCTATCGGATACATTGACCTTACTTGATCTTCATAGTAACATCCTGAAAATTTTCCATCGATTTATCTACTGGATTAAAGAACGAAAATTCGAAGTGAGTTGTTCTTGTTCTCCTTCATATCATACAATCATTCCTTTAGATTTCATCAATCGATTATTACACATACGAACCGACTTCATTAAACAATCCTCAAGAACGTATCCTCTATCATATCTTAACCTATTCCAATGGACAAATTATGAAATTGGACACACCGAAGGTGATCAATAGTCGTGAACAAGTTTTTAAGTAAGCGAAATTCCGTTCAAGCTTACGATTGTATGTCATCTAATGCTCGTAGATATCATCTGGAATATGCAGCCACGACCTGTCAATCGACAATGACAGCATTCCTCGACGACACTCATATGATCCAAGCATTGCGTGGAAAGGATAATTTCTGTTGTGCTTTGATTGATACGAATATCGGTTTGTTAGGAAAAACTATTGAAAAAAAACACTTGACTTCGTGATTTCATTTGTAGGACAAAAAGAAAAACTACCAAAAGAACAACGAGAAGATATAGTTACCATGTTTCAATGTATGAACCGAGCGGTTGACTTGCTAGCCGAAGAATTATACGAAGATAAATCGCAACGAATACTAAACTATGAAAAACAATCCGAAGAATTGCGTTTGAAATATCTCTTTGATCGCATTTGGTATCGGGATGTTTGTAATAAACTGAAAGAGTTTCCATCGGAGAAATTGCAAGATTTCATTAATAATAAATTGAAATCCAATGAACAAATCAAACCTGTTTTTTCGTCTATCAGTCAAATTATCAAAGAGCGAGAAATCAAACCAGCTGATGTAAGTGTTCCCTTTCAAGACAGATCTCGAATCAGTCATTTTTTGTCTTCAGTATCTCAAAGATCTTGTTCCACTTATGTACACATTCGATCCAACCAATGTCGAAACATTCCAAAATGAAGCGTGGAAAAGCGTTGACCAATCTTTGCAAAGTTCGTTCACGCCTATCGATTGATTTCTATGAAAAAATTATCTTTTAGATCTTGATCGGTCCACCTGGCGACCACCGTCTTCTGACGTCATGAAACTTTTCGCTAATTGGCTAAATCTCGCCAATGTACTTCATCAGAATTCCGCCATTCAATCAAATTAAAGCGTATATTTTTTGCCTTGCTAAATAAATTTCATACTCTGTCGTTTTTTTTTAATTAAATACAAGAAAAATAATATCTGACAATGACAAGATTCTCTAGGAAATTACAATCGAAGAATTTGGATATGTAAATGATCATTCAGAATAGTACCAGTACTGATATCATCAGTTGTTTTACTGAGATGAATCTTTGCATAGGTTCCGCTTGCGTTGTTGATCATGGTGGAATCTTGGTTTTTGACTAAACGACCAAGATTGATTGCACAAACTGAATCAATGAACTATAAAAGAGCAGAAGAGTTTGGTTGAAGAAAGAAAATCTGTTGAGTGCTCAGACTTTGATGAAAGGACGAAGATCAGATGAAGTGATAAAGAGATGTGGGAGAGAAGTGAGTTTCGCATGTTCGAATGCTTGTTCGTATTCGATGGAAACTGACTCATTGGGTGGAATCAATGGATAGAATCTAGAAATTCAAAAATACTTCTAGACAATCATGTTGGATCGTTCATACGAATGCTGTTGGAATAAATGACGGATCAATCGACACATACGATCAGTTGTTTGATTTCTATGTATAGAATATCAATTTCTTATAGTTACTGAGATGCTTCTCTTGAAACTTACGAACTAATTTCTTCTGAGCTTAAATGACAGAGAATATCTGTCGACGTCACTGCGCATTGAAGACCATCGATTGTTAGGAGTGATGGTTCACTACCATATAGAATAGTCTATGAAAAATAGGCAAGACATTTGGTTCTTATTGAGATTGCGTATGTGTGTGATTGAACAAACCGAATCCTTAGGTTCGTTAATTGAAAATGGACAAGTTGGATAGATTGAATCATGATGAATATCACGTACGGAAGGAATGAGAATTGTTTTGATTTGATAACTAAAATCAAGATTGAAGCAAAAGATACGAGATTTCGTTCCGTACCTTTTGATTTTCTCAACGATTTCATTGAAAACTTGTTCATAAGTTTTATCCTGTAGCTTTTGCACATAAGACGATCGTTCATCAACGAATGGGCCAAGCTACAATCAGTCGATTTCATCGGACAATTCAATAAGAAGATTCGAATGTATACCAAAACTAAGGTTTGTACTGATGGATCTTCCTCTGCTCGTCGAAGAAGTTCTTCCAGAGCGCTCAAATTCCCATTTGCCAGAAGAAAAGGGCCAGCTGCCACCATAAAGTTCAAATCATTGGCTATTTTCGTTTCAGTCGGAGGTGGAATCGGAGGTGGCTAAAGAAGAATAATCAAAACTTGTCGCATTTCATTGTGTCCTACTGTAGTCAGTTGTTTCGCATGAAAACATCCGTCGTTTGTGTAAATACCTGAAACCATGACAATCTAAATTGACTGAGTTATGGTCAAGAATATTTTTGGCATGAGTTCATTTACTTGACCAGGAAATAATGAATAACTGGATAAAGATGAAACATCTAGTCGAACACGATTACATTTCGATGTTCGAGATGAACCTTCGAGCGTGATCGATTGTGCATTTAACTGACCAGCGGAATCACAAACCACTCGACCGACAAGTGGAACTTCGTCCTAATGAGAAAAAGCACGACATGTCATTCCGCTCAATTCAAAATAAATCAGTACTTGAACAGCATTTCCAATTGGATAAAGAACAGCATTTGCTTTATCGTTTTCTTTACTATTTAGCATTGTTAAAAATAGATCCTCGAATTCTTCTAATTGCTTATTCAAAACTAAAATTGAAAAGCTGATCATTCTGATTGCAGAGAATGTGGATTATAATTACCATCAGCTCGTTTATAAATTGTTTGATACATGTATTTATACGGTTTTAACAAGGACCTCAATTGAATAGAAGGTGAGGTTTTCCTTTCAGTTGAATCTTTGCCTTTTGTCGCACTTCCAATATGCTCAATGACAATTTCAGCCTTGTTTAATCGGGCTTGAAATGCCACAACATTTGGTGTGCTAACCTGAGGAGTGTTCTTCGGACGAACAGGAGTACCAATCGATGACGCATGACTTGGTTGCTGTTGTTGAAGAGGCAATGTAGCAATTGAACGTCGAGAATTCTATAACAAACAAGACTATTGTCCTGTCGGACGTGATGAAGATTGAAGGTTACTTTCATCTCGCCAGGTGTATAACTATCGAGTAAACCAGCGAGCGCTTCGAGCGCGATGCCAGATGGTTGAAGTGTTTTTTTCTTCGGAGACTTCTCATTTTCTTGCTCCATGGCATCATCGGCGTCCATATCGAAATCTTCCATGTTTATTTATCTGAAAGATCCAAATACTATAGGATGCTTGATTATTTGAAAAAAAGGAAATGGAACAAAAATCAAGTGTTGAACAGTAAATACACTGCAATTAAAAAGAACTGCTTATATTGTTCATCATTTTGCCAAGTCACCTTTCTTGATTGCATCAAGCACGCTGTTTGACAACGAACATGTTAAACCTGTGCCATCAGGTTCAACAAATACTTTCTTTACTTTGTTGTCATCGACAACCATCGCATATCTAAGTGGAAAGAATAACTCATCATTAGCAATGAATTCTTTTCAATATATACATACCGAGATGATCGAACATTGCCTAATACAGCAGTCATATCCTTTTCAAGTCCAAGAGCCTAGGAGAAGCAGCCAAAGTTTAGCTTTAGATTCTTTTGTAAGAGTATACCTTTGTGAATTTTGCATCAGGATCTGCCAGCACTCGAACCTGAAAGAAATAATCAGTAACATTGAAATTCATTTTCCTCGCATGTGGTCTTACTTTTCCTTCGGCTTTATGTTCTTTTGCCCAAGCTTGACATACAAATGGATCGTTCACAGTCACGCAAACAATTGTATCATAACCAAGTTTCTTAAAATCACTGGCTGCATTGACATAGCCAGGCAGATGTGTCTAAAGCATGTAATTGTTTACTCAATCATGATCAATATATCATCACATACCTTGGAACAACCAGGAGTGACTGAATCATAGCAAGAAAGAAAAGATTTATTTCAAAAGCTAAACAAAACGATTTACTTACATGCACCAGGTACGCCGAAGAGAACTAAAATTCGATAAAGTCAAACTCGAGACCATCATTTCAAATTTAACTTACGTCCTTTTTTTCCGGCGAACAGATCTTTTGTATTCACTTTATTTTTCGGTTCATTCTCAAAGAGTGTATGATTAGGTAATGTAGCTCCTTCCTAAAAAGTGTTGATTTTCTTTCGGACACAGAGAAACAAATGTATTCATTTACTTTAATCACACCACTGCCAAAGAGAAATACTGCTTTGGATGTATGAAAGCTTCGAACAGCTGTTGCTGTTGATAATTGAACTGTTTTACCGAGATGAAACATATTCGAATTAATCTTTTCGATATACGTGAAGCGTTCGATGCGAAAACAAAAGAAATGTAATGTTTTCTTCTTTATACATATCCTGTCATCTCATTGGTTCGTTGGTGAACGAATTATCGAAGATATAGATTCCTTTGTTTCTTTACGAAGAAGAAGCAGAGAACAGAAGTTGAAAGTTGCGGTTTCTCAAATATTACTCAAAATGCCGGTTGACTTCAATCTAATTTCCATACTCGGTGAATTTCTTCTGTACTTAATCGTCGACAACATAACGAAATATCTCGTTTTGCACAATCGGTAAGTCGATAGTTGAATTGTAGCAACGAAACAAAATTTGACTTCATTCTAGAAAGGAGAAACGTTTCAATATATTGATTTATGAATGTATGGTGCTAGGCTTTCTTGTTGGATTCATATCGCTGTACTATCATACAGCTTATGTATTGATCTTTTTCTTACTAATTCACATTATCGGAGTACTCTATTCTGAGAGAGGTTTCGGCCGATTGAAAAATGTCATTTTGATCTTCTTTGGTATTATTCATACGGTAGTTAAAGGTGCATTGAATGGAATATACAATATCTTGTTTCGGCGAACTTCTGAGAAAATATCACGAACAAAACCAATTCCAAAAGAATATTTGTACAACTTTCATTTGAAACCAACCAATGATCTTCGATTGCAACAAGTAGAACTTTCACATCGTTTTTACTCATTGAACAATTTCATCTCTTTTCTTTAGTCATCGTTTGTTCAAACTCTACCAAGACCCGGTATTTTCAATCTTCATGGTACAACTTGTTCGTTAAATGCTCTACTGCAAAGTTTAGCATCGTTAAATAGTTTCTATTCGCTACTACAACGAAATATCAACGTAAGAAATCCCACAACGAATGTCTATATTGTTCATTTTAAGATGCCGTCAAACGTCATTGTTTTCCGAATATTTATCTGATTTGTATTTATTTAGTTATCACGTAACACTTATGATTCAGTCGTACCTGCATTTCTCAATCTAATATCCCAGTTACGCAATGATCATCGTGCAGCAGACTACAAACATTGGACTACTGTCGTTGATACATCAGATTTGATTTCTAAATTTCATTTGACTTATCCCAATTTACTTACACAAGACACAACGACTGATGTATGTGAATTATTTCAATGTATGATTGATGTACTCAACAATGCACTCGCAAAACAATCATCTGGTTATTCGACAAGGTAAACTAATTCAATCTATCAGATCGACAGTTAACTAGGCTCTTTTTTTACCTTAGTGTTATCGAACAAGTTCAAAATCCAAAATTGGCTACGTTTTCACCTGATTATTTAAATAAATTATTTGTGGAAACGGAAATTCAGGTGAGAAACGCAATGTTACCTTCTAAATACCAATAAATACTTTTCTTTAAGCTTCATGAGACGATCACGTTGGATAATCTTGATGCGCAAACATCATGTATACTTCAATATGTGGATCTAACCTGGCTATTGCATCATGTTCAGCTCGGTTCGTTGGTTAAACATACTTTTTCAGGACAAATCCTTCATGCACATTGTTGTGACAAGTAATTAAAACGAAAAGACATTTCTGTTTTCATTCATTGAAATCATTTTCAGCTGTTCACATGTTCGTTTCCGTGCTGAACCGTTTCAAATCTTACCACTGGCAATTCCGAAAACAAAAACCACCGTAGAACGAATTATATCTCAATTAACAAAGATCGAACTAGTATGCCTCATAAATTCTATACAAAACCACATTGACATATTTGATTTCTTTCAGATGGATTCGATGTCATGCCCTCATTGTTCTACTCAAGCTAATGCGGATACAAACAAAAGAAACAAACAGGATGTACTGTTAAGTCATATAACGTATGTCTGGATGAAATCATTTAAGCAATTAGCTCAGACAAATAGGACCTTCCCGACAGAAGCTAACGATCTCAGAAGTTTACTATTTGAAATTTTCTTTTTTTGCATTCATCAAACTTGATTGTAATTTACCGCCTGTCATCTTCGAATTTAGAACTACTCTGTCACCCATTGTCACGTCACGTCGACAATATTCTGATAAAATCTACTCATCAACACCAATTTCAAGTAAACTTATTCGAATATCGAAAAAATAGTTTCCCCAAAGATCTATTTTAGCTTCGACAAATCATATCATTCCGTTGGCACGCAATCAGATACAACATCGCATCAAAAGTCAAACCATGATCGCTAACTTTCCTGAAGTTTTCTGCGTCCAACTAAAACGTTTCTCCTACGACCGTCTTTCAAATACAGCAATGAAACTGACTACCACGGTTTCCATTGAACCCGAGCAAGTCCTCGATCTTTCCCATCTTCATTATACAACATGGCTTGGTTTATCAACTCACACGAAATCGTATCATTATCGTTTGGTTGCAGTGTGTTTACACTTATCAGATAATCCGTCATCTTCATCCACAAATTTCACTCAAATCCTTCAAGGACATTGTGTTTGTTTGTATCGCACCGATCACAATCGATGGTTTCTGTGTGATGATGAACGTATAACTGAAATCAATCAGATCGATCATTTGTTTCAAACCTCCTACGTCACCGAAAATTGCTATCTTTTATTTTATGAAAAATGTTCATAATTCTTTGAGTATTCGTTTCTTTTTTGTAAATATGTACAAAGAGCCTATGTTACAATTTCGATTCAATCAATAAAACCTGTTTTTGTTTGCTGTTATTTGATTGAATGGAAAGAAGAAGTTCGTGAAGTTTTTATTTTAGAAGTCAAATATGACAACGGTCTGTATTATCTGTTTTAATAATCATTCGGAAGATGATTGTCCGGACTTTGTCTCCTCGTCAAAAATGAGCGGCATTGAAAAGAAACCGGCATCGACACTGACACGAAATCTTTCAAAGTACTGACGTTTTACATTATCTTCTTTCATCATTGACTGTATCTCTTAGAGTTCTGCTTTCATTACCCACGCACATTCAGATGCGTCGTTGTGACGATACAATTACATTCTCACCAACAATTCGTATTTTGAAAACGACAATCATCGGTCCGTTTGAAGGTCGTTTTATTCCAGAAGATAAATTAACAACACCGCCACGCAATGGCTTCCTCGTCAAAGTACTTTCTGATCAGAATATAGAGATTTCCATCATTCTCTTTTTTTTTTGTCAAATAGATTTTTCGTGAGAACGGAAATAATCTTGTACTTGATGCACAGGACGAACGAAAAAACAACTGGTGTTGTTTAATCCCACCAGCCAGAACGTCCCAAGAAATCAATTGTTTACTATTCCAACGAAAATGCAAGCTCTATGCTAAAGTTGTTCGAACTATTCTCGCCACTGAATCATTGAGCATGTAAGTAAAAGTTTGTCGCGAAAAAGCATCTCATTCCGCCCGACTTAGATGGTATGCAAGTAATTATGCGAAAGCAATTGGTATGCCTGAGACACCAGATGGTAGTCCATTAGGTTCGTCATTTACTTTTCGTGACGTAGGAGAATACAATCTTGTTTTCTTTGCTTGTTCTAGCTCTCTATGGCAAAACTGGTCGAATGATATTTCGTTAGCTGCATGTTTTTTTTTGTTTCTGTGATTATTATGCCAATGAATTCATGTCAATGTATAAAAATAAAAACTAAATGAGATATTTTGTATGATCAAATCATGTGTAAACGTTTTTTCGCTGCCCATCGAAACGTTCTTCAACTCGTTCCCAATAAGCACTTTCTACTGTACGTGTTGGATGCCGGAAACGCTAGAAAGAGAAGGAATCAAATTGTAAAAGCGAACATCCTCGAACAAAGTAGTTTCTTACACTGAATGCAGCATATTTATTCGGGTAGGTCACTTTGGGAAGAACCAATCTCGATTCCCATTGTGGTTTAGCAGGTAATACTCGATACATTTCCGTCATGAAGTTCTTTACCTCAGGTATACGTTCATTTTCGCGTTCTTTGAGCCATACTTGAATACCGTGTCAATACTATTAGATGGTTATGAAGATAGATGATGTAGGAACTTACACGTGTTTAAATGTGCCGTGAGAAATCGCATATTGCCTGGATCGTGATCAAATTTTGTATCGAAGTCCGGAATGTCTAAATCTCGAATATCTGAGTACTAAATACTCAACTGATAGATGAGAAAATTAGAAATTTTTTGGCAAAATTACTTGTCGGAAATCATGCGGTACTGGATTTTTATAAGGTTCGGTGTTTAACATTCGTGTGACTTTGGCGTATTTGATTCGCTGATCGAGTGTAAAAGTGTCCTTTTCAGGTTTAGAATATTTATTTGTCACTGACGATCGATATTGAACTGCAAACGGTTTCATCACATCTGGATTGTGAACGACCACATGTCTCGAGCGTTTGATTCTTGGTGAAATGTCATCGAGAGACGGCGCGCGAATAATTCTCTTTCGATTTGGATGGAAATTCTTCATGGAAAAATCTATGGGAGTGGGATTCCATGGATCAGGCACGGGAGGTGAAGTCAGAGTTGATGGTAAAGAATCTCGTAATCGTTCACGTTCACGTTTTGCTTCGAATTGCTGACGATCGTTGAATAAGAACGTTGTTGGTGCAGGTGACATGTTTGCATCCATTTTACAAATTTCTCTTACGGTCTTTTTTCTTCTTGATGTCTCGAATGGAATGTTTAATGGATTGAAAAGAGAAGAAGAACAAATGAGAAAATAGAGTGTCACGATCAGCTATGAAAACATCAACATTGTTACTATTATTTTTTTGCTTTTCCTTTGTTGTTAACGTTCAAATGTGTGGCAGAGAGAGAGAGTTGAAAACTTTCCTTTCTTATTTGTCAAAAATAAAAATTAAACGCTATCACTGACTCGATCGAATGATACCACAATGGCGTAATTAAATTTGCAACAGAAATAGTCCAGTAACAATGTTGCCTGCATATCGTAAGAATGAAAAATGACAATTTGAATAAAAGTATCGTTGAATATATTCATGTTTCCATAAATCTTCCTACGAATTGAAGAATTTTGATTATACGATTATTATACATACATAAAAGCGATCCATAGCATTCAGTTTTCTTCCTCTATGTTTGAACGCGTAGTTTTCGTGGAAATAAGATGTTGTTTCTATGTATGTATATATATGTATATATGATAAACGACAACGAGAGTTAGAGAGATAGAGAAAACAAACGAGCAAAAAAGGAGTACAAGAGAAAAATGAAGAATAGGCCATCATCCGGGCACGGAGCGCATAGACAGAAAAAAATAAGACTTTGCTTTAAATGTATGTTTACGTATGTGTGTTATATGCATGTGATAAACTGTTTCGTTTACGAACGATTTCCATGATCGACACCTGGCGCTGTTGAATATGGCGAGTAGATTCCATTGGGAATCATATGTGATTGTGATTGGGTCGATTGCTGCTGTTGCGACCAACGAGACGTCGGTATGAGATTTGTTCCTGAGGACATTGTGGAAGATCCTTGTGATTGCGTAGTTGTGGACCATTGTGATGGTGATGATGATGCGGACACGGGATCGAGTTTACTTCCGAATGATATTATCGCCGGATCTGTCCATGGTAAATTTTGCCACCGATCGCTTGCTACTATTACAAGATCAACAATGAAAATGAAGTCAAACGAAATTTATAAGTCGATCATACATGTGTTGCTGGTCACTGTACTATTCGAAGAATAAGTGTTGTGATTAGTATTGTTTGTACTATTCATCGGCTGAGAATATTGTGTTGACGGTGACGGTTGTCTCGGTGGAAGTCGTTGTTGATTTTGATTTGAAAAGTCTAAACGGATTGGCAGCTGTGATGGATATTGTGATTGTTGTTGATTGCCATTCCACATCTGTCTCGGTGATGAACCATCTAATCAATTCAATGAAATCATATACTAAACAAGAAATATGTCTAATTTTATTTACTGAATGATATTGGATATCGTTGTTGTTGCTGCGGTTGTTTTTGTGGCATGGTACCGTTACTATGTATCGTCGGTTGTGACTGTTGTTGATCATGGTAATGTTGATATTGCTGCTGTTGTAACAACCAATTTGGATTGATTTGCCCAACAGATGAATTCGTTGTGGATGAATATTGAATAGGGTAATTGTAAGAATTATTATTTGTTGAACGAAATGTTAATGTTGATGGCAAAGGTCGTCGTTCATCTTCAATATCAGATGCAAGTGCAGACATAAACAAACTACATGGATCAAAACCTAGAAATGCACAATTTCGGTTAGTTCCGAAAGAAATAAAGACAATGGAAAAGCACAATTTACCAAGTTCATCATTTTCTTGTGTTTGAGAGTAAGATGTATCACCATTATTTAGGCCGTTTTCTAAATAGAATATTCAATTATTGAAATGTTTGATTGACAACTTCGATGTTCATACCCAATAATCGTTTTTCGATTTCTCTCACGTCGTGATCGATGCCATTGATCAATGGTCCATGAGACTGTTGACCATTTTCGTTATTACAAAAAAGAAGATTATGTAAAGGTGGATTATTCGAACTAAATAGTTTATATTCAGGTATTTGATCAAAGTTCTTCACTGTATGATTATTATTAGTTGATTCTGTTAATAAATTATTATTAGTAAGCTTCGGCGAACATAACAGCGCGGCAACAGGTGTGTTTACAGATGTTGATGTCTGAGATAAAGGTTTATTTATTGACGTTGGTAGTGATGTCGATGGTAGTGGCGGTAGTAGTAATGATTGAGATGACGCGAGATTATTATTATTATTATTATTAGTTGCGAAAAACGATGTTCGTTCTTCTGACCAATTGGGATTCGGAGAAATGTTATTGTATGTCTGAGTTTGAATGGTTGACGGTGTAATTTGTGGATCGTGTTCAGATGATGTTTGAGATGATGTCGAAGTCGTATCAGAATCAACATTTATGGCAGTTGTACTGGTAAATGTTTCTGTCGTATATCCATTTAATGAATGATGATGTATTTCATCACCTGATTCAAAATCTGAATGTCCATTGGTTGTTATTGCGCCATCAGTCGTTGGTAGTAAAGATGCAGCTTGATTTGGATGTTTTCGTCGTTGTGGTGAACTATTTTTACTTCTAATTAACGAAGAAAAAAAACTATCAATTTGATGTATAATTTTTAAACAAAACTATCCTACCCATTTACAATAGATCGTGTGCTCTTTGGTGTCGTATTTGACTGTCCCGATGCAGTTTTATTCGTATACTGTTCCATGAGTTTTCGTTCGTATTCAAGATGAAGACTATATATGAAAAAACTATGATTTATTCTGCTAATGGCATTAGATTTCTTATACCCTTGTTGCATTTGTTCTTTAGTAAAACTCGCTAGTGGGTCACCTGGCTCATGTAGATACAGACAATCTGCTTTTTGACATGAGGCACCTTTCAGATATCGACTACAATATTTGGTTGTACCCAACGTCGCTTTTAACGTTCGACCATCCACATGATAATTACAAAGCGCTTGAATGGCACGTAGTGCTTCTTCTGATCGCGAATAAGTTATATACACACATATAGAATTTTGTTGTCCATTATGTGCTGGCGATGTAACTAATTTAACTATTTTACCATATTTACCAAAGTAATCATTTCGTCTCAATAGTTCGGTATCAGCTAAACGTGATGGAAGACCATTGACAAATACAAGATTACGTTGAACGACTCTGAATGGGAAATTGAAACAGTTGAATGAAGAGATTTATCAAGGTAGATACCGAAGATTTGCCAAATGTTTTCGACTCTCAGTGATCTTCGGCTTTTTATGGGATTCTTTTAGCTTTCTATCACGCTTCACTTGTTGAATTCTGGAAAATAGAAGAAAAGCTATTCGAAGAGTGCGAGTTAATTTTTGATAATTACTCTTCGTCAGTTAATGGTTTAAATTGCGCTGGATTCTCACTATACGGCTACAAAATGACAACGGACGTTTGATTTCCAATTATTCATCTCAATAGAATTCTTACTTTCCGACAAGCAGGGCATAAACCATTTTCATCTGTTCGAATGCGATGCCAACAAAACCGACAAATCTAATATTTGAAAAGAAACGGCATATTTCATTTGATCTTTAGATTCCGCCTTACTTGATAACAACATGTACATGGAAAAAAGTTTAAATCATCCGCTTCAAGTACTTCCAAACATAACGGACACTAGATAAAAAAAAATCAACATCTACAAATCATTTTTGATCTACATTTCACACATACTTCGGATGACTCTTGGTCACTGTCCATATTGATTTGTCAGATTATTTTCGAAAGTTTCGACGTGTGCTGAGAATATTTTGGAAAATCTGCAAAGATATGCCGTTGAGTATTTTGTCAAAATAGAATTATTGTAAATGATCATGCAATTGCACTGCTGTGTTACTCTTTCTCAACGCGCACACACACACACACATACACGCAAAAAAAAAGAAATGTAATAGAAGAAAAGAAAGAAAAAAAAAAGATTAAATAATTCTTTTCCTTCTCCTCTCGCCGAGAGCTACATCACTTTCCTTGTGCGAACGTCAATTGGCTAGTTGGATTAACTTATGCAACGTCGCGTCATGAAGATTCTCGAAAACGGCTGCACTTATTTTTCCAAGTCGAAATTTACTTAAATCAAAGCAATGCTTAGTTTTAATATCTTTTTTTTCTGGAATTCTCATTTTAAAGCGTGTTCTAGCGACATCTATGAAGGATATATTTCGACATATAAAAATCTTTATTTGAATTTTAAACGAATTATTAATTCAAATTCTTGATTCAAAAATATGAATTACGGGAAATTTTGCTGATGATAACAAGTGACAACAACGCGCGAGCGAGATCCTTTGTCCTAAATGAGTTCTTTATCTCTTGTCATTTCGTTTTCTTTTGCCGCCTACGTGCGCATGAATATTGATGGAAACGGTAAATACAAATAAAGAGATTGCTAGTTGTGTTAAAGCAGCAGTTCGGTAAGTGAAAGTCGCATTTTCTGTTTGATCTCATTACGTCTTATTCAAGTATTCGTCCATTATCAAAGAATGAAGAATGTGATTTATGTCAAACGTGTGTTGACGCTCAATGTTCGACAAATGAAATTATCCTAGCGAATAGTACGGCATTTACGTTTGATCATGTCTTTTTACCTGAGACAACACAAGATGATGTTTACCGTGAATGCGTTTACGACATGATTGAAGGATGCTTTCAAGGCTATAGTGCATCCATATTAGCTTACGGGCAAACAGGTTCAGGGTACGTATAACAATTGGCAACATAGGTGGCGCGTGGAGGAGAACTTGGATTCGATATTGATTGTTGTTTAGAAAAACATTTACAATGGGCAGTGGCGTTGAGTATAACGATCCAGCGAAGGAAGGTATTTTACCTCGTGCTATTATGCATATATTTCAACGATGTGCAAACTACGAACGTGAAGCTGAATCGAAAGGTATTGCAATGCCAAAATGTGTTGTCTCATGTCAATTTATCGAAGTATGATGGATCTAATCATGTATATGGTAGAAATAGTATTCTTTGCCTAGATTTACAATGAAAATATTTATGATCTGTTCAATAAAGAAAACATCGATTTTCGTTCCCAGAAGAATTCAGACAAACATGTTGTATTTGAAAATAGCAACGGCGAAATCGCAGTTACTAACATTACAACACGATTTGTAACAACTGCCCAAGAGGTTCGTTAATTTGAATGAATAGTTTCAGGCATGTCTACTTATTTGTTTTGATAGACACTTGAGTGTCTGAGAGAAGGTGCACTAAGTCGAACGACTGCATCAACACGGATGAACAGTGTGTCTAGTCGATCACACGCCATATTTACGGTTAATTTGCAATTTGAACGTGTTGTTCCATCAGTATCGGTAAGCGTCCAGACGATCAACTATGAGTTCGATAGAATAGTTTTATTGATTAGACAACGAATCCAGGCTTACGTGAGCAAATCCGAGCGAAAATTCATTTCGTGGACTTAGCCGGCTCAGAAAGTTTAAAACGAACAGGTGCAACAGGTCAACGTGCTAAAGAAGGCATCAGTATCAATAGTGGTTTGGTTTGTATAGAACAAAGCATATTTTTAATGATATAATAAACTGAATTGTTTTAATTTAGCTTGTGCTTGGTAACGTCATCTCGATCCTAGGCGATCCTTTGAAAAAAGCCGCACATGTACCATACCGTGATTCGAAGCTAACGCGTTTATTACAAGATTCTTTGGGTGGTAATAGGTCAGTATTCAAAGAAGTTGTTTTCATACAAGAAAGAAGTTTGTTTTAGCCGTACACTGATGATTGCTTGTATTTCTCCAGTGGATCGTGATTTTTCTGAAACGAAAAGTACACTGAACTATGCTCAACGTGCGCGAAATATTCGTAATCGTGTGAAAGTCAATCAAGACAAGCACAGTCGACAGATAGTTCAATTACAAATGGAAATCGAACGATTACGTGCACTAGTGGACAAAAATGAACATATGTCACCAGTAAGTGCGCTGAAAACAACTTACGTGACTGAATTGAACCGAATTGTCTCTAGATTGATTTTGATCAAACCAGTAATAGTGCGTTGAATCAAGAACTCGAACGTATACGTTCATACATTTATACAATTCAACGCTCGATTAATGAAACGACAACAGTTTCTCAAACATTGAAACAAGATCTGGAAACAGTTCGTGATCATCAACAAATAAATGATACTGAATTTGATTACGATCAAGCATTGAACCAATGTTTAGCTAAAAGTGATGAGATTCAGTAAGAACAGGCAAATTCGATGAATAATGAGAAGAACCTTTCTATTTCTTTTACCAGATCTCGACTATCACGTATGACTGATGTTAGCAATGTTCTTCGAAAACGTAGTCCATTATCATGTCGCCGTAAAAGTCGTCTAACACGTCAGTTGAACAAGAGTTTGAATGCAATGTTAGTAAAAAGTGGACCATTTGTTTGTTTCTTTAGGATCGTTTTCAGCTGATCAACCGCTCACTCTTGATTTTAATCAAAATACAACTGTTGACGATTTACAGCCGTGTATCGAAGACATTCGTCATGAAATAGATCGTCTGCGACGCGAAGAGCAAATGTTACGCGACAGGTGATTATCTTTGAAAAGCGAATCTTTCGAGAGATTTTTCTGTCTTTTAGTGGCTCAGCAAAATCCAATCGTATCGGCGTTTCGACCATACCCGGTTCGCCACAAGGACCATCCGATATTTCCGATCAACCAAAATCTGCAGCAATATATCCACTTCCAACAAATCCATCACCGGATATGAACGAGAATGATGTGAATACGCCCATTCTTGATGATCAAGAAAATCTCGGCAATAGCGATGACGAAGACGAACAAGGACAACTCCCGACGGATGAAGCACAAACTGTGTGTAAGTTGTGATCGATAATTTGAATTTGTATTCCTGGCAAATTGCTTGTAGCTGATGTGCAAGAAGAAAAACTTGTTATTATCACTACAGAAATCAATGCCAAGCAGAAGTGTCTCGAAATGCTTGAAAATGCCCGTAAACGAAGTGATACAATACGTCAACGTTATGAAGAACGTATCAAAATGCTTTCCGATCGTATTCAAAATGCTGAAGATGAAAAGCAAGCTGCTGTGACAAAACTAAGTAAGTCCACGTTGAACTTCTTCCCACAAAATTCACAACTTTTCTTTAGATTGTGCTACACGTGATCAACACAATGTTGAAGAATTGAAATCAGCACGACGTGATTACGAAGAGAAGATTCGTCGATTGGAAATTGAAAATAATGAATTGAATACGTTACGTGCGCAATACGCTGTTTGTTTGAAAGATGGAGAATACTACAAGAAAGAATTAGCGAAACATACGAATGAGCTGAAAGATTTACGAAAAATGAAGGTCCAATTGACACGAGAATTGCGACAAGAGTTCATTCGACATCGACAAGCAGAACAGGCGAAAGCACGTGAAATCGCAACGCTCAAACGAGTAAATCTTGAATACTGAAATGGAAATTTCTAAACTCGCAGTATTTTTTGAATATTTTTAGACACAAATGCAAAAAGATAATGAAATTCGTACATTACGTGCTCAACACAAACAAAAAGAAATGATTCTCAAACGCAAACAGGAAGAGGTACGTTATCCTATATAATCTGATAATCTCAAAGGAGACGAAAAACCATATTTCTAAGTAGCCAAAATTGCTCTCTATTCTAGGTACATTTATTAAGACGACAAATGCGTTCAGCAAGAATGCGCAAGACGACCAAAGAAATGACTGCGCATTTTGCAGCTATTCAACAGGGCGTATGTAAAACTAATCTTATTGATGAATATTCACTGTTCTTGTTTGTTTTCAATCCGTTAGATCACCAACGCTATACGTCGTCGAAAACTCATTGCTGGTATCAATCGAGATATGAACACATTGATCGAAAATCGTGAACGTGCTAGTCGAAAGCGCGAACGATTCTGTAAACGATTAAATAAGACCATTGTTTTGAATAAAACGGAAGAACAACAACAACAACCAACAGATGTGACAATAACTCCAGATCGCGAATCAATCACTAAGCTGGATAGTACAATTGCATATCTCAACTCGGAAATCGCATCATGTCAACAAGTCCTCATGGCATATGATGACGAAGAACAACAATCGAGCGATCTTATTCAAGGCCCAGATCCGCAATTTATTGTTGATTGTGTTACTGATATAGATGAACTTCGCTATTTGCTAACGAAACTTATTGAGCAAACCATTGAAAAAGTTCGTTTGAATTTCTCATTCAAAGCGTCCTAATTTGCTTTTTTGCATTTAGGGATTCGAAGCTGACGAAGCAAATGAATTAATGTCCTATGTTGATCTAGTGGAAACAATCCTTGTCAAGAAAGATGATACAAAACAAGCACCAACTGGTGGTCCACGTGCGAAAAAGGCCAAAATGGAGCCATCTCAAGACGATTCAATGGATACTACACCAATTCCTGAAGATTCACCTTCATCGAAAACGATGATACTTCGACCACTCTGCAATTCTCCAACTCCATCTAATTATCAAAGTGAACCAATGAGTTGAGAACAAAATCTCGACTTACATCTAACCTTTTCTTTTCTGTCTACTAATAACTCTTGTGCATATGTTCTTATTTGTTTATTTCATTTTTTTTCTGCTCTTTCTTTATATGTATCTATATATCTTCGGAAAAATAGTATAAATATAATTCCTTCATATATGCATATGAATGTAGATAAAGTCTCTCGAAGTCCAGATGAATATCAGATATGTGAGTTCGACTAGAATAGGAAGACGAAATCAATCACTGCTCTCTGATCTCTATCGTAAACCAATACGATTGGTCTATTCAGATTGTATATGACTCATTGGCTCCATCTCATGAGATACTGTTGTTATTCTTTATTTCGTTACTTATTCTTCCTGTTACTCCATTAATATGATAAAAAAAGATAATCTTCGTTTTAGAATTCTCTTTTAAACCATGTAATAAAGCAAGCAGTTCAATTAGAAAATGTCAGCAAAACTCCAACGAAGAGCAAGTATCGGTGGGATACGAGATCGAAATGCCGATTCGTCTGAGATGACTCTAGACGATTATTATCATATGGTAGCAAAAACTATCCTATGCAATCAAAATCCGCTAACCGGACTTTTTGCTGCTGGAAAAGATACTGATCATGCTTGGGTACGAGATAATGTCTATGCAATCATGGCTGTATGGGGTTTATCTCTTTCCTACAAAAAACATCTGGATCAAATGGAAAATTGGACGAAATGTTACGAATTAGAACAAGTAAGACATATTCTTTGGAGAGAATATCGAGTTTTTCTAAATGTACATTCAGAGTGTTGTGAAAACAATGCGTGGATTGTTAACGTGTATGATGAAACAAGTAGACAAAGTGGAAAAGTTTAAATCAACGTTAAGTCGAGATGATGCTTTACATGCCAAATATTCTTCTGTAACCGGTAAAATACATTCGAATAACAAGAATTTTTCTTTGCATTGAATGCATTTTCTTGTTTATTTGTTGTTTTTTTTCTGTCGTTTAGGTAATACAGCAGTAGCAGACAATGAATGGGGACATTTGCAATTAGATGCTACATCATTATACTTACTAATGCTCGGTGAAATGACTTCGTCAGGTTTACGTATTGTTTACACACTTGATGAAGTTGATTTTGTTCAAAATCTGATCTTCTACATTGAACAATCGTACATGATTCCAGTATGTGGAATCGAATCGATCAAACTTGAATACAAACCTTGACTTTTTTTTTCATTTTTAAGGATTATGGCATTTGGGAACGAGGGGATAAGACGAATCATGGCTATCCAGAGCTGAATTCAAGTTCAGTTGGAATGGCTAAAGCAGCATTGGAAGCAATGAATGAATTAGATCTATTCGGTAGCAACGGTGGTCCACGTTCGCTCATACATGTCTCATCAGATTATATCTATTGGTGTCATTCAGTACTTAAATCTATGTTACCGCGTGAATCGTTTTCCAAAGTACGATTACGCATCTAATTTGAATTTTGTTGAATACAACAGAAAAATTGAAATTTTTAGGAAACAGATGCATCGTTACTGACTATAATCAGTTATCCAGCCTTTAGTATTGAAGACTTGGATTTAGTCACAGAAACCAAAACAGGCGTGATCTCGAAATTACAAGGTCGTTATGGTCTATCAAGATTCTTACGCGATGGACATCGGACACCACTTGAGGTATGCGTACTATTTGATTTTGATTATAAATGACGTATATGATGTTAAGAATGCTCATAAACTACATTATGATCCACATGAACTCAAGCAATTTGAAAGAATCGAATGTGAATGGCCACTATTTTTTTGTTATTTAATTCTCGATGGATTATTTCACGAAAATGAAAATCAGGTTCGATTTATCACGAATACTTGAACAGTAATTGAAAAAAAATTGATTATGTAGGTCGCACTCTATGGTGGCCTTCTCGAAGAATGTATTATTAGAGACCCAGATGGTATACAAATTATACCAGAATTATATGCTGTACCTGGTGATCGCGTATGGATTTGATGTTTCATTTCCCGAACGATATTTTGCTAATTTCATGTTCTTTAGGTCGAAGATGAAAAGCGTGATCCACATAGTACAAACCGAATACCAATGGGTCGCATACCACATATGTGGGGCCAATCACTCTTTATTTTAGCCATGCTTGTTAAAGAAGTAAAACATTTCTGTCCGTGTGTTCATTTGAAATAAGATTCGTTTTTCCTATCAAGGGATTTTTGGCACCCGGTGAACTTGATCCACTAAACCGACGTCTTATAACAGAACCTAAGCCCGAAGGTTTTGTACAAGTGTGTGTTCTAACTGATAGCGAAGCAATTCATTCAAAACTATCGTCTGTTGGCATACATATACAACAAATCAAAGATCTGGAATTAATACAAGTACGGTCTGTCCAAGTTCTACAGAACATCTATTCACATCTCGGTAAAAGGCACATTTATGAAAAGAAGCGGTCTATTTCGATAAATGTCTTCTTTTAGGAAAAAATGAGCGTCTTGGTCTTACGGGTCGTCCATCATTCGAGATGGGTCCATTTTCCACATCGAAACTATATACCATTTGCGGAAGGACACTAGCATTTACTCCATCGGTAAGTGTTCTTTCAGTCATATTCTTGTATAGTTGTTGAATTTAACGAAATCTTTGTAGTTTATGGATCAACATATGTTCTATTTGGCATCTGATATCGATTATATTATTGATCGGTTTCGTACTTACCTTTCATTTTTGAATAAAAACTGGAACAATATCACCGGACGACCTGTCGTAATCATTGTTCTTCGTTCAGATTTGCTTGAAGCTGAACCTATACCAAAGAATGTGATTCAAACGTTGAAAAAATTGAAAACAGGTTACACGAACGGTGTTCGAGTACAAATGGGCAAACTGGAAGATTTCATCAATACATCATGTGTCACAAGTCTTGATTTTGTCTTTCGCGAAGATGATGATGAAGACTCCGAAGATAAACTAATCGACTTACTTCAATCAAACTCCGAATTCAATCAAACATCGAACTTCCTCACACATCAAAATCAAGACTATCGTTACCAAAAACGATATAAAATCCGAAAACTAGCACAAATACGTGGTGCGGTCAAGCGTAGTTACAGTTACAGTCATCATGCTAATGACAATACTGTCGTACAAAATATTCTCAATTCCAGCAATATGGATGATCAAGACGATCAAACAGACACCAATGTTCTAAATCACATTCGAGCGGATGGACATACATTATCAACATCGTGTCGACGAGACAATCTGTTAAGAGACAAAGACGTGCAGGATATTATTGAACTTCTGGCACATGCATCATCGATACAAGATCAAGCGGACATTTTGCATTATCTCTGTATGAATAAGTAAGTTAATCTTGCCAAATTTGACGAAAGTTGATATTGAATACGCTTTCACTCGATCAGTTCGAAAACAAACCAAACGGATGTCCTTTTCTTTCGATTTTCAGGGGTATTGACTTTGAATTTGAACATAATGGACATCGTGTAACAGTACGTGATCTAATTCAAGAATTATACTCTCGTGCGTGTAAACAACGCGTCTGGTGGTGTGTTCGTCATTGTGCCGGTATGTTAAGAATGCGCAATGAAAGTATCGCCCAAAGTTTAATCGCTATACTTGCCCAGCAAAAACAGTTGACAATCGGTTTACCACCAGCACCGCGTGAATTCGTTCTTACAAGTCCAATGACTGTTGAACAGCTATATAATACGATTGTCACGGCAACTGGCAACGATCCGACAATGGTGATGTTAACACAAGAAATTCTCGTATTTTTACATACATTCATCAGCACGGAACCGCAATTATTTGCTGGTATGATTCGTATTCGTGTTGGACTCATCGTTCAAGTGATGTTGGGAGAATTAAAACGTACGCTACAATCATCGGACGAAGACACAACAGATCATTTATTAAATTTGAGTCCACACGAAATCAAATGTTTGTTACATATCATATTAAGTGGTAAAGAATTCGGTATAACTGAACATTCAACAAAACCAGCACCGGAGTTAGCGGACTTACCTAAACAGGAACGTGACATGCGTATTATACGAAATGAAATCAAGGAAGCAAGCACGAGAAAGTTGAGTGTACATTTGAATTGGGTTGATCATCCGTTAGAAGACGAAGACGATGATATTGGAAAACACGGCCAATGGATTCGTCGACGACGGCTCGATGGTGCATTGAACCGTGTACCGGTTCGCTTCTATGGACAAGTTTGGCAAACATTAGAGAAGGTAAATATCCGAATGCCTGTCAGTTATAGAATAAAGAAAGAATCATTTGTTTTCGTGTAGTGTAAAGGTATTAAAATAGCTGATTACATTCTATACAACAGTTTAACACAAGAAATGACTCAAGAAGAAATAAAATTTGCGCTGCGTGTTGAAGAAGCACTCAATCGTGTGCCATTCACTGAATACCGACAATTGATTGTTGAAGCTTGTGTGATATTTACTTCAATTGCTTTGGGTGATGCTCGGTATGACATTTTTCTTGATCAGTATTAGATTATTCGAAATGAGTTTTTGTAGGTTTCATTGGGATGAAATCATCAGCATTGAAGAGATTGTCTCGAAAGCAAATGAAATATTTCTACAAGATCAACGCGTATCAGGTGGTGATGCAATCAAATGCTGTGCAAATGGAAATCCGTGTGGATCGGCAGCTGGTATATGTTTGCATTTCTACGATTCTGCACCGAGTGGCCGATTCGGAACAATAAATTATTTCTTACGAGCACTCCTACAAATCTTACGCGTCGATGAAACAACTGTCTGCTCCATCAGTTAAAATAAACGCTGCCAAATTGAACAGTGGAATGTGTCTGTGTCTGTGTATGTGTGTGTGCTTTTCTTTCTTTCGTTCTTTTGTTTTATTGATTGGACCTATATTAGTATCACTTTTTTTTGTCAAACCTTTGTATAAATATACATATGTTTCTAGAAAGAGCCTTAACACTTCTATATATTTTTAATATCCAATTTTCTAAACATGTGTGATACCTTCTCTATCTGACCCAACTGAACTTGCCTATACTGTTATAAGAACATTATGTTCGAGCATTTGTCTCACAATCACGATTTTCATATGTCTTCTTCTTTGAATATACATATATACATGATGTCTTTTGTATGATGCTCTCATCTTTCTCTTTCACAGCGGTACTTGTATTCGTCGATTTCTTCTCCTTCCCAGAAAATTAAAATTACATAACTGACTTTAGTCAACCAAGTACAGAGATGATTTATTTTATCGTAGAGTTACACGTGTATATTCGATCGTTTCGGCACGAGTGACGAAAACCGTTGAATTCTTCGTCATCCAAAATTACAAGTGACTTGCTTACTAATTTCATAATTGACATGCTAATCAATCTATCACATTCCATTATGTCACTTTTCCACGTTTTTATAACAACGACCTCTATGATATACCAGTTTGATTGTCTACTCATTTGCACAATTTTTTCTACAATGATGCAATAACAACAGGCGAAGAAAGAATCTTCGAAAACTTCACTCGAACTATTTGACAACTACTTTGTTCGATTTTAGATATGCCTGTTTCACGAACGATGTCATCGAAATCTTCGCAAGAGAATTCAGAAGATGAATCCGAATCTCCATCGCCTGACGATGTTCTCAAAATCTTAATAACAACAGATAATCATCTCGGTTTTGCAGAACGAGATGATGAACGTGCAAATGATTCTTTAATTGCATTCGAAGAGTGTCTTCAAATAGCGCGTGATGAAAATGTAGATTTCATTTTACTCGGCGGCGATCTGTTTCACGACAATAAACCATCGAGTCATATCATGTTAGAATGTATCAATCTCTTACGAAAATATTGTCTCGGTGATAAAACAATTGAGTTCAAGTTGATCAGCGATGAAAAAGTCAATTTTTCATCAACAGTGCAGTCGAATCCTTTTCCATGGGCAAATTTCAAAGATCCGAATTTAAATATTGGCATTCCCGTCTTTTCTATTCATGGGTAAGAGAGAGAATTTCCATGATTGCCTACTAAAACTGATTAGTCTTTAATAGAAATCACGATGATCCATCCGGTTCGACGCCATTATGTCCACTTGACTTGTTAAATTCTTGTGGCTTAGTAAATTATTTTGGAAATCTCTCATCGTTAGAAAATATCGATATTCATCCTTTACTTTTTCGTAAAGGCCAGACAAACTTAGCTATTTACGGTCTCGGTTCCATACGTGACGAACGTTTACATCGGATTTTCTTGAAAAATCAAATAAATCTACTTCGACCAACGAATCAACCCGACGATTGGTTCAATATCTTCGTCATTCATCAAAATCGTGTTGCACATGGACCAAAAAACTACATTCCGGAACAGTTTCTCCATGAATTTTTAGATATCGTCATATGGGGGCATGAACACGACTGTCGATTGACACCAGAATTCAACACTGTTCAAAAGTTCTTTGTTATTCAACCTGGTACGTACCAAACAATGATTATCTGATATGTTACGCTTCTTTTTTTTCGATCGAACCAGGTAGTACAGTTGCAACGTCATTGAGTGAAGGCGAACAAATCCAAAAACATGCAGGAATCCTTCATATATATAAGAAAACATTTAAATTACAACAACGGCCATTACAAACCGTTCGACAATTTTATTTTGTTGATATTAATTTAAGCGATCATATCGATGAGAAAGCTTTGAAGACACTATCGAATAGTAAACTCGAACAAAAGCTTGATAAAATTCTAACAGATACAGTAGGAAATACTTTTGTTCTTTATTGCTCATTGCATTCATTTTTGTTATCGATAGATCGACGAACTACTCGTTCGTGCTGAGAAAGAACATACTGGTCATCCGAAACAACCCAAAAAGCCGTAGGCAAATGTTTTCTTTCCCTTCGATATCTCATTTTTACTTTAATAGTTTAATTCGTCTCCGTGTTGATTACACTGGTTTTGATCTATTTGATTCATTTAATGACATTCGTTTCGTTCAAAAATTTTCTGATCGAGTCGCCAATGCCAAAACAATGATAAATTTACACAAGAAACGCGAACAAAGCCTGTTGAAATCTCACGAGATCAAACTTGATCCTGATGCAATTAAAATCTCGAATGATCAGTTTAAAAATGCACAACGCGTCGAGCATTCCATTCAAACTTATTTCGATTCGACAACTGAAGTAAATTGTTACACACCTCAAACAAGACACTTTCGTACCTATTTCTCTTCTAGAATAATCGATTACGTTTACTCGACGAAAAATCGATGTTAGCAGCACTGACCGAGTTTATTGATAAAGATGAAGTTTATGCCTTGAGTACAATGGTCGAAGGACAGATTGAACAGACACAAGTAAACATCTCTTTGTATAGATCTCATCTATGTTCTCTCTCGAATAGAAATTTCTATCGAATCAAATTCACACGGATGATGTAGCGTTTCTCGAAGAAGAGTTAAAGCGTTTTAAAATGTTACAAAATGTTGATGATGATCAAGCTAATCAACGGCGACGAGATTTACTAACAGTAGCACGAAAAGAGCGACTTAAAATAAACGGCGATCGATCATACAATGATGACGACGACGATGATGATTTAATGGTCACTCAAACCAGAAGAACGAAAAATGACGACAGTGATAATGAAAATGATGACGATGATGCATTTGAGATCAATTCCATGCGGCCAACGCAAAAGCGTACACAAGTGTCTACAACGGCAGGTCGTGGACGTGGCCGAGGTCGAGGAAGAGCGAAAGCAACGCCAATAGCAACACCTCGTGGCAAACGAAAACCTTTTTAAGTCATGTATTTTGAATTTCTATTTGTTATTTTGTTCCTATTTGTACAACAGAGATGAATCGAAAATAAAACGTTTTTTTATTTGAAAAAAGTTAGGAATTATCGGTAAAAATAACTATTCTACTGCCTGATTGATAACTGTATAAAGTGCTTTAATATTTTCTTTCGCTCGAGACTTCAACAAACGATTTTCATCTTGAAGGATTTGATATTCATCGATGAGTTTATTCAGTTCTGTTAATTGTTCGTTATGATGATCGAATTGTGGTTTGTCGATTGAAATTATTTCAATGGACTTTTCATTCTGTTTGTGTTGCTCATGAAGTTTTTCGATTAATCGCAAAAGTATTTCTTGACGTTGTTGAACTTTCAAATGGTGATCATTCGTTCGATGTTTTCGATGGATTTGTTCATGATGAAAGCGTTCGATAAGATTATTCTTTTGATTCATACTCAATCGTACAGCATTGATCAATTCACTGTAATAATCCGTCATCGATGATGGCAATTTTGATGACGAAGGTGAAATCTTCGAAGAATAAAAAAAGATAAAGAATATGCCGAACGAAGAGTGATGAATACTTGTTGAATGATATCGTTCAATGTTTGAGAAATGGTTGGTGACTGATACAGATTCTTTGCCATCAAGCGAATCTGTTCGCGTTTCGTCGACATTTGTAACAGTCGAGTTTCTAATTGTTCAGCAGTTGGTTTGAGTAACGAATGGTAATCGAAGGATTGTTGTAATTGATTGAGAATGGTGGCCAATTCACGTAAGTGTTCATCCAAGGAATGAAGATAAGTTTGCGTCTGACGGAAATTCATTTGATGTTCTCGAAATTTTTGTTGAAGTTGATCGACAATGGTCTCCTGCTGATGCTTGCCGTTCATTTCTATCACTGTTGAACTCTCACTGAGATCGAAAGGATGTTTCGATGTGCCACTCATTGGCGTTGAAAAATCCATTAAGGAATCGAGATATTTATTTCTCGGAATCGCATTGGGTGACGAATTAGACATGTAACTTGTATTCATGTTGCAAACAAATACGACGAATGACAAATGATATCGTGATCTATTTTTTATCAAATTTCCAAGAAGAAGAAGAAAAGATCTATGTAAACATGACGTGATATCATTCGTTGGTCATTCTACAAATCGAATTGGTGAAATAAACAAAAACCTTGACGAAACTATGTTTTCGCAATTTTACAAATGATAGATGATTTATGTCATTTAGATAAATGACAAACCGATTTGATCATTTCAAGCACTGAATCGTTAATGTGGAAAATTCCATTAAAACCAAGAACTATCCTGTAACTTCAGTTTACAATTTTACAAAAGGTTTCCTGAAACAGACGAACTGACTTTCCGTTGTGGATTATCGAGTACAACTTTTCCTGACGATCTATTCTTCACAGGTAATAGTTTGAAAGGAGTAATCGTTTTCTTTTATCCTATGTTAATTACTATAGTGTTTAATAACCTGGAAAGATTGAATTAACACTCAAACTGCTTGTCACATGCTTTTCATCGAGAGTCATGAATCAATGTACTTTGTCTTTCGAAACAGAACTTTATCAGACATGAATAATTAGATTGATCTAATCTCTCTGACAAAAGACTAAATTGCTTTGTAGGACATAAATTTCAATGATGATTAGCTCGACAAGCATATGTGTCTCTTCGAGTCACTCGATCAATTTCATTTGATTCTCATCCGTATTAATCAAATTTGCTAATAAGTTTTTTTTAATATTCAATTCAGTCGGCATCTCTCATACGATGATAAATAGACATGATTTTGTGCATTATTCTCCTCGCCGACTCTCCAGGTGTATGGAACATACATTTATGAATTTATTTATAGAATAAATAATTAGAAATAAATAGATAGTGATCTACGTCAGTCTTCGAGTATCATAAAGGTAGAAAAACAACGTATGGGCAGGGTGCCCAAGGGGAATCAGCATATTTTGAAGATTAGGAAAGACAAACGAATTGTTCATAACTGATAAAAGTAAGCTATCAGATGCAAAATTTTCTAGTAAAAAGGTAATTTATTCACTACAGTCTACTCGAGCCAACTGTCTTTTTTCTTCTAAAGTATAAAGAATGAAAATTAAATTATTAATGAGAACACCTGTCTGATGCGCTCGTTCTTTATCACGGATACTACAGTTCTTCGTCAATAAAATACGCCTTTAGGTAAATTATTTACACAAACGAAAGACGATCAAGTTTCTCGTGCAATATAAACTTTGATTAATTAAGTCAAAAGAAAAAAAAATGACGTTCGCATTCGAATACAGCGGAAATGATCAGTTGAAGGTACTTTCAGATGAATGTCTAAGGAACATGATACTTTCTCTAGTCATCATCGTCGGAGATATAATTTGAGACAAATAGAAGGAAATCTAGTCATCAGTTGTAAACAGCGATGTTAGATTAATAGAATATGAAAACAAATCATGCTGAATCACATCAACATCAGCGCATAGAGTCCAATTATATCTGCCATTGTCAATAGAAAACACAAAAGGTATTCTATGCTTGACTAAATAAACGAAGCCACTTGCAATGACATTTACGAGATTCGATGATTGATTGTATGTAAATAATGAAATCAGGAAAAGGTGACTAACTTTGCAAGCGATAGGACGAGAGGAAGAAAACCTGACCTAGAAAAAATGCATTGTTTCGTGTTTTTCAGCGAGCTTATCAATGGTGAGTAGGCTGTTATTCACTCGTCACATGTAGGAGCAAATGAGCTTCGCTTGTCTAATCTATCTCGAATGTCTCAAATCAATGATTGATGCGTAAGAGCGAAACGGCGAGTGTGTTTCTTTTTTTGTATTATCATCATTCGAAGATACTGTCAAACGATTGATCGATTTAGCTTGCCATTGATGACATATTTCTTTTATTGATAATAATATCTGCACGAGTGCACAATTACTTGTTTTCCTCATTTCTATCGATAGATGTTCGTCCCCGACAAACGACGAAGACTTCAACTAAGTCGTGTGACTGTCAATTGTGACTGATATTTCAGATCTAAGAAACTGGAGACTGAGAAAGTATTTCGAGTAAGTAAAATCATAAATGTATTAATTATTATCTCATAAGTACAGGCAGATTATCCGATGTCATTTGTGCTTGTGACACTTTGATTAGCTAAGTTCTGCTGAAAAGGACGCAGATGGTATTCAGCAGATATGTATGAAACAGATGGACGCATTTAAACGTACGTGTGAATAATTTACTTCTCTTTTCCTTTTGTCTTCAGCGTGAAAAATAATCGCCTTTTGCTGCATTATTAAAATGGGAAATTTGCCGAATCAAGCCATTAATAATTACTCTTAGTCGCCGTTCACCTACGTCCATTGCAAAGGGAGAGTTTTAGACGAAAATAGGATAGTGATGTATAGACAGAGACATACATATTTAGATGAAAAGTACTTGGAGGGATATTTCTAAGTGGTTGTGCCAAGATTGCAGAGTTAGAGAAGGCAAGTAAGATGAGAGAAGAAGAAAGTCACTACGATAAAGCACTTAGATCGCAAAGAAATTGTTGTGTGATGGATGAAAACAAGTTGTCCTCTCCATTATTGCTTTCTTCGGCATCAGTTTCCATTGGAATGAATTGATTGACTGTTATTGCTACGTACGGATCGGCAGATCTTTTCTAGCTATAATTAGACATGCTATCATTGTTGTCGATGACGAAACTATAAAAGAACGGCTTTCGAACTAAGCAAACAAGATTATTTCTCTTCTTTCTTCTTCTCTACATTGACAATATGTTTTTCTTGAATTATGTATCCATCGATATGACAGAGAGTGTGTCTTAAAATACTGTCATTTTCTTGATATTAATAATAATCATAGTCATCAGATATTTTCTTTCTGTGTCTTTCATTAAATATTTTTCTTCATTATCTTGACTATAGAAAATCAACCCGAGTTCTTTTTGGTATTCCGATTGACACAATGTTCATTGTTCATCTATGAAAAGTGATCGATCATTGTTGTGTTTCGTTTACTTTCTTTCTTTTCTTGTTTTACCTGTATATACTTTTGTCTAGCGTATTAAACAATAGACGTAACGATGAAAGCTTCCTTGCTCATGCTAAGCAAATTCATAGACATCCGGTTTGCACTACCATGCAAGCAAACGCCTTTACCCAAAAGCTAATTTTTGTACCCGTCAAAGGGAATGCAGATTGTAAAGATGAAGAAGAAGAGGCAAAAGAAGAAGGAAGAAAAGTTCTTACTCTAAATCTTAACTACTAATATCCCTAACAGAACAACAAAAGAGAAAGTGAATGAGTGAGAAAGACAGACAGACACAGAATTGTTCTCTTATTTCCCTTACTTCGTTTTCTTTTTTGCTTCCTTGTCTATATCGTTATGTCTGCGCAGTCTACTTCGTTAATAGTTGAAATATGTTCCTCTGCTCATAGTGTGTCTGTGGTATCCGAGACGATCGATAATATGCAAACGATCGAGAATTGTCGTTGTTGTCGGCATCGTTATGCATTCACTCTCCCCTCACGTCGCCTCTGCACTTGCGCTCTTAGTCGGAAAAACTTCTGTCAGAATGTCTTCTATTCTAGTGTGTTTGCACAAATCGCATTATAATCTCATTGTCACTATTTGTCGCTCGAACTAAAGCTATTGAAACGAATACACTCTTCCTGTTTGATTTTGGGAAATGTTAGCGGATTATCAAGGCTATAAAAATGTGCTTGGTACATTCAAAATTATTTCTATTCGATATTTACTAAAAATAAACACATGCATTATGTTCATTCGATTAATTAAACAAAGTACAACAGCGTACGTTTTGCATTCGGATGTAGCTATTTGAGAGAAAAGGAACTCGATGTAAAAATCTTCTTTATAACATGCGAGTTCTAATTAAAAACAGAAATTGGATCGAAGGTTGAAGCGTTGCCAATCCATGTACGATTGACAGCACTTCAGTTACATTGGCGCGCCGTTTCTTGCGTGCCGTGCCTGTTTGAATTGTTCTCTCAAAAAGTCGCACGCACATTTAGTATATAAAAGCGAGTAAGTAAATGAATAAGTAAAAAAAACTAAAATCAGTAATATGTTTTCTTCTTCTTCTTCTTTGGTCTTGCCTTCATGTTAGCAGAAAGAGAAGAACAAAAGAAGAAGTTTCAGTATTACTCGAACTCTTGCTCTCTCTCTCTCATTTATTCATCAATGTATGCACACATATGACTATTTCAATGTCTCTTGAGCTATATTAATGTAGTCCACTGCAGTTTTAGGAGACTGACATCTGCTTCGTGAACAGAGATTGAGGAAAACAACAATGACGTTTGCTTGATCAGATTTGTCACGCCCTTTCTTTTCTCTTTCGCTTCTAATTTAACGTCGTTTTCGAATACATATGTCAAATTCTTATATCAATCTAATGGACGTTAGATCAATCTGGTTTTCATCATATCGTGATGATTATCGTATTGCTGACGCCGAGCAAGATATTTGGCTTGATACGAAGTCATTATTTTTCAGTTAGTTGATAGTAAATAGATATAGATGATCTGTACGATTCTTCCGGGTTTTTTTCTTCTTCTTCTTTTGCGCGTTCTCTCCTACATAGAAAAAATAAATGTTGAGGCTTTCAAGATAAGGCCACCTGGATCCTGGAAATACTCAAAAAGCGAATAGAGAGCGAAATCTTATTTTTATAATTTTGTTCTGTTTTCTCCCTCTTCTTCTTCTTCTTTTCTTTCATCGTCTTATCGATGTTTTGTGCCTTCGATCTAGTTATAGGTTTCTTAAGGCATCGCCATCCAAATAGATATAAAACGTCATTGTCGTCTCTGGAGATTAGAATCCCCGTTGTTGACGAGATCAATGGAAAGGTCTTCTTGTTTATTTATTTATTTGCACGTACAACAGACTATTAGGATTTGTCTTGTCGAATTAGAAGACGATTTTCTCGTGTCATGTGTTTCGTCTTTCAGCGTCAAGATCAAATAAATAGTTCGGTGGCTAGTACAAAGCAAACACGTTTCGAGTTGTCTTCAATCGGCTAGCGATAGAAGAGCTTTTATTATACATTTGAATAAAAAAGGCCTAATTGAGTTACATGAATGCCGCTGGAGTTTTTCACGATTATCTGATTATCTTGTTTAGATAGTATATTAACGAGAGAAAGAGAGAAGAGTTTTTTTTGTACATATACAACTATATTTCTAATATGTTTATATTATCAAACAAGACCGAGATAACCTTCATCGTTAATGTTTCGACATTCTTTTCGAATTTGTCGCCAAGTTAGGTATCCAATAAGAAAACAAATCAATCATATCGTTTAACTGTGATGCTTCCTGGAAAGTTCCTGCTGTTCACACATACGAATTTATATCGAACACACGTAAATACCTTTGTTGTCGTTTTCTTTTCTCTTCCTCTTTCTTTCCTATGATATTAGGAACTCGTCAATCATGAGTTTCTCGTAAGTATACGTGGGTAGATTAGAAAAGATCGTTATCCGTCGTTTAAACGACAAGAACATAGATGCCAACAGTGCTCACAGTCGGTGGATAATTTATCCATTCATCATCATTCTTCTGCTGTTTTTCTCTCCTCGCATTGTCTTGCTTGCTCCTTTGTTCTTTCATTTCATGACTTCATTGCATGTGTAACTATAATTTAAAGAAATCTTTCTGATAGTGAAGTACAACAAATTTGCAAATGTTTCGAGTGAGCAGACGAACTTCCATTTGTATAATATATCAATCGTAAATAATCGAAGGAAATCAGTCAGTTAAGATAGATTTCATTGTATATCTTTCTCGCAAGATACTTCTAAATGACAAAATTAACCGGTGGCTAGAAGAACTTCATCTGTTTCCATCAATCGTACACAGATAATCGCGTAGGTAGTGTATGTGAGAAAGAGAGGAAAAAGAAGAAAGAAACAATGCATTTTTAATGTTTATTCTAGTTTATGGCAAAAAAGAAAGAGTGAAGTAGGATGAAATTTTTCTCAGTGGCGAAGACATTTTGACTTTTCTTATAATTAGATCAAGATTTTTTTGCTTTATATATTAACATACGCTTTCAGTCTCTTATTTTCTATTTTATATTTCTGATAAAATCAGTAACAATGCTGATTAGACTGCGCGTCCAACGACTTTTTTTTCTTGTCATGGTAATGAACAGTATGATTCGGCTATCATTATAACAACAAAAAGAAGATCAACAGCAGTGAAACGGATCGGTAATAATTATTGAAAATTAGGCACTCTATTTCTTTGCCCACAATATTATTTCTCTTTTATTTTCTCTCTTCCTCTTTCTCTTCTTCTACATCTCTCTCGATCTCCCGTTCTCACTCTTATTGGCATATTTTACTCCTGTTTCCTCCTTCAACGTCGAAGCAACGGCGTTTGTTCTTCGCGCATGATCGTCTCAAAATGAGACATGCTACATCATGGCAAAAGAATCAATCAGAAGATGACACTTTCAGCAATCGACTTGAAATTTCAATCACTTCTCAACAAAATAAATTCGTTCGACATTCTCAACGTTCAACTACTGAATACACGATTTTCATTGATACTCAGCAAGTCTATTCCCTTTCTCTCGTCATTTACTTTGCAATTTTCGTCATGCGACAACTATCGAATGATACCGCGTCGTGGGTATTGATCGATTCACCACTTCCAGCACCTTTATTTTATAATTCAAATTCATACGACACATTACCAAATGGTGCTCCTCTCATCAATGATATCAATCATCCGAACATCCCCATTTCAAATCTTCCGACGATCACACCTCAACCGCCTAACATTGAAACAAATTCAGCTAACTACTGGGCATTTGCATTGACCGTTTTCCCGATCTTCACCATCTTCGGCAATGTTCTCGTTGTTGTTAGTGTTTATCGTGAAAAGTCTTTGCACACGATAACAAATTATTTCGTTGTCTCACTTGCCATATCGGATATAACTGTTGCAGCTGTTGTTATGCCGTTTGCTATTTATCTGGAAGTAAGTTGTTCCGAAAAACTTTAAGTTAAATTACATTTTTCCTATTTAACATATGCTGATGATTTAAATACTAATGGATATGTAGAAGCAAGAACGGAAAGAAGAGATTATTTATTTAAAACTTTTCCAATCATGATTTATAATTCATACGATAAGAAGATTGGATTTAGTAGTTTTGGAAAAAAAATATTCACGAAACGAAATTCCAGCGTGGTGATAGAATTCGTGTGACGATGCCCGGGAATACCTTCTTTTTTTTGTCGAAAATATAATCGGATGAATATTAAAATAGAAAATATTGTTGTGTAGGAAGAACAAACGGAAATATTCATGCTTATTGAACTCAAGTCTCTCCCTATTGACTTCCGAGAAGTGAAAAAGTCTTTTTTTTCGCTATATTTGACCGTGAAACAATTAGGTACATCTTTGTCAATTTTTTCTTTCAGTTCAATCGAGTTTGGGAGTTACCTGAACGTTTATGTGATTTTTGGGTTGCATCAGATTGTATGGCATGTACAGCATCGATATTAAATCTCGTAAGAACTCATTTTGTGAAGAAGCAACGAAGACAATTTGACTTTTTCGATTCTTTTAGGTAGCAATTGCAGTTGATCGGTAAACATTTCTGAAGATCAAATCCTCTTGTTCTAGTTTCTTTCTCTAATACTAGGTATATTGCCGTTACAAAACCGCTTAAATATGCTCGACATAAAAATCCAAAGCGTGTTGCCATTATGATTGTAATCGTATGGCTTGTTTCATTCTTTATTGCATTACCTATTGTTAGGTAAGTTAAGACGAAGAATCAGAGCGAAAACTCGAAAAACGCTTACGTTCAATATTTTAGTGGTGTAAATAAATCAGATATAGCTGCCTATCCACGTGTTCCTGACCAGTGTGTGTTTTTCAATAATAAATTCTTGATTTTCTCTTCTCTTGGCTCGTTCTTTATTCCGGGCATTATCATCTTTGCTATCTACTATCGCATCTTCATGGTCATCATGGCCCAAGCACGAAAGAATCGTAAACAATGGAGACCTAAAGCAGCCATTCAATCTGCTGCTGCTCAGCATCGATCCAATGTGAATAACTTAGTCACATCATATCTTCACGATCGACATGATTCAAATCATCAGCCCGCGCTCAGCGATAGTATCGATGCGAAATTGTTCGAACAAGCCTCAAAACCTGCAACGCTACCCAATGAAGCTTTACCGACGTCGAAAAATAATGGAACAAACACATTAGCATTAAACACAACTGGCTTAACTCCATCAATCCGTGCGTCGATTAATGTCACATCATCGTCAGGTGATCCTATGGACGACGACGAACGAGATGATATTGCACTATTTGTGCATAATGAACAAAAGCGCCATACAAAAAAACTTGATCCTGACAATCAAATCGAAGTCCTCCCAATAGCATTGTCGAAATCGAATAATAACTTCGGCAATTCAATTGGTGTCCAAAAGACAACAGTTGATAAACCTGATAAAGCTAACCATAATGACACTGACCATCATAACAGCAGTTTCACAACGCGACTGAAAGCAGAAACCAATTCGCACGGTATCCCGGCTACGACCACTCAAAACCCCGTGAACAATGCGAAGACTGCTAAACGAAAAGCTTATTCACGCATAAAGAAAGAACGCAAAGCAACGCAAACATTAATCGTTGTGTTAAGTAAGCACTGTGTTTTTGCATTCGACTCACTCGCTGGAACTAAGACCTTATCGAAATGAAATCAGGGAGAATGCCATCGTTTAATTAAAACATATCTTGCTGAATAGGTTCATTCATCATTAAGTAATTCGAAACAACGAATATATCAACTGACGTGTTGATCTCATATTAACTTTTTTCTATTAAAATTTGTTCGCTTGATTTCTTTAGTTTGCTTTCTGGTTTGTTGGTTACCATTCTTCGTGCTCAACAATTTAGTTAATGCTATTTACAAGCTATCCAAAGAATCTGACGCTTTACTTATAAACGATTTCATCGTGGTCCTTTGCGTGTGGTTAGGATACATCAATTCGTTTTTAAATCCGATCATTTATACGATCTTCAATATGGAATTTCGAAAAGCATTTGCAAAAATTCTTTTTTCATCATGTCGATCATCTAGTCATTCATCTTCGTAAGATATTTACCGGTATTCTCTTTTTCTTCTTTTCAAATTCCTCTTTCTTTCTCATTCATGTGTTTGTTTCACATTGCACCGCAATATTTGTGATGTGTCTATTTACTTTACTGCTCCTTTCTCCTAATTATAACCAGATTTTTTCATTTTCAAAAACAATATAAGTAATGAATCGTACTCTCTAACATGCCATTCATTTCAATTTTAACTTACGGAACACCGCGAGCGATCCACATTTGGAACACTCTACTTTTCTTTACTTTCCAGATCACAATAATCTTCACTTGCACAATCCTCTCGTCAAGTGCCTCGTCTCGATTCTCCCGAGATATTTTCCGCTTTCCTCTTCTCGTTAAACACTTACTAGAGACCGAACCGAGACTATTTCGGATTCCGTCCCAAGAGTAATTCGATACAGTGCCATACAAGCTATCTCGTCTCAATAGGCTGTTAAAATAAACAAATCTTCTTTGCAATAAATGTCCCCGATTTTTATTAAAAAGCATTCGACCAAAAAATCAAATTTCCTTACAACCGATCAACAGAATGTCTAAGTACTCATGATTGATCCCATGTACTCGGACTTGGATAAGGAATACTATTTGTATTCCACATAGGACTGGAAGCATTGCTAGAAAAGAGAAAATATCAATTTGTATACCATTGATCCAATTGCAAAAAGAATCGTACTCATAGTAAGATGGAGTATGTGAGCTCATTCCATAAGCACTTGTTCGAGCATCCACAACAGGCGATGGCCAAAAATAAGGAGGATAACACGCGGTCGATGGATCGTAAGATGATGACGATGCAACCGAGGGAACCGAATGCTGAAATACACAGTAAATGATCGATCCGCTTGTTTCACTACTATGATCTTACCTTTTTCGGAACATCGATTGTTGAGGATGAAGCCTTCGGTTTTTGTTGTCTCTTGAAACGTGATCGTCGATTTTGGAACCAAATCTATTCATGGATAAGAATTATCTGTGCTTATCTGCGTCACTAATACTTACTGAAACCTTTTCATGACGAACATCGAGTAATTCGGCTAACGCATCCACGGTAGTTACTTCAGGATAGTGATTCTGCTGAAATGCAGCTTCTAATGTTTGTAACTAAATGATCCGCATTCAGTATTTGTAATACATTTTCCCAAGAAACTCACTTGTTGCAATGTATATTGAATTCTTGTTCGTTTTACATAAGGTAAACGTGCTTTGCTTTCCGCAACTGGTTTCTCCACAGTTCTTGCATCAACATCGGCTACAAAAGTCGGTCGATGTGTTAAACTTCCATTCAGATCCGTGCTATTTTCCTCATTATCCTGTCGGATAGGAACTGGTTGTGGTGATGGAAGACGTAATGGTGTTGGTGGTGTTGGTGTGCGTGAAAGATAGCCCGAATCGGCAAATCGACTATTATTGTACATTTCAAACGACGGATGAGGTGGTGTATTTACTAATAAGTAAAAGTTGACAAAGAAATAGATTCAATAAAACATTATCGTTATCTAATTGATGTACCTGAGATGTTTGGATTATATGAAACACTAACATTGGGTTGATACACATGAGGATCGTAGTACCAATAGGGATTTACTGATGGTGGACCTGAGTAAGCAGCTATGTGATCCATGTTATTGAACTGAACAGATAGTTGAGAGGGAAAATGAACATGAAATTCGATCTAATTGATCTTATATACTTGTCAGTGAAATTTTTTTCTCATTTTTCGTATTCCATTCAGCCAACAAGAAAATTTCTCTCTTTCAATTAAGAAAACGTACAGCCAATGGTTATTAATTTAGTTCCGTCAATTTTGAATATTAACAACAGCTTGAAGAGAGAGAGAGAGAGAGGCGCGCGAAGAAGAAAGAAAACAATCATTATGAATGACGAAATTATCTGCTGGTGCACAAGCTGGAACGAATAAAACCTTGGAAACTTTTGAAATTAAACGTGTTACAAGCACAGCTGGAAAATAATCGAGAGTTTCCAAGCATTTATTCTTGGACTGACAAAGATCTGGATTCATATCTTTATCTGTTGTTTTTCGTTGGAGATGATCAATTATCATTAATTAATTCGATAGATAATCCTTTTATGATTTGCTCGCTAATGATCATTGTGAATCGGAACTTTCATAAAAATAAGTTTTTGCGAGTTCACTCGTCACTAGCGGTGTATCATCAAAAGTAAAGGAATAGTAGAGAATCGAATTGACACATTTGACTCTATTGCACTTCATTAGTGGAAAACGAACAATCGCTGTTGTTGTTCGTTAATTGAAAAGTTATCTATCTTTCATTGACACAATAGTCTCGGCAATAAACTGTGGAAGAAGACAGTTTCTTTCATTAAGTCATTATTCTGATTTAGTTCAAATAGGAATGCAATCTGGCGTGCATTATTGTTAGTCATTCGTTCCTCTTTCTAATGAGTGTGAAATATCGTTTGATGCTATGCATACAATGCCTATGATTGAAATGCTCATTGTATGACATCGATGACTTTCTCAGCTTTATCGATGTGTACAGATGCGACGAGAGTAATGATCATGATCGTGATGTCATTTTGTGGAAAGCAGTGAAATATTTGAAGAATATACCGCTCTGCGAGTCTTTTATCAGTTTAAACAAATGTAAATAAAGGAGAAGTAACAAAAGTCAACGTGAATAATTGAAGTTCAATAACGATGATAGTCATGAATGGAAACCTGGAGAAGTGTAGCGCTCGATATTAGCGTCAAGCGTGAAATTGCTTAAGTACATAGTTGAGTTGGAGTAATTTCCTCAACTTCCGAGGGATACGCCTTGTTTCTATAGATAAAGCGTTCCTTGAAGCGATGGGGAATGGTGCATATATGATATTGGCAATGGAAAATAATTCAGTGCATACGTCAAGGCAATTTGCTATTTATAGACAACAATATAAGAAGAGAACTCGCGGAGATCGTGTAATGTTTGGCAGTTTTCAATCAACAAATACCTCTAGAAGTCAGGAGTCATTCAGAAACAGATGGTAATTTAGAAGGATTGACTGGAAATAAATGTTATACATGTACTCAAGAAGTACGCAGTCTAAATGTTGTGTAAAAACCACATCGTCGATAGAGATCGCACATATCCGGTGTAGTTAAATACATAAAAGCATTATTTAACCCTTCTTGTCTATTTTGTATTCATGGCTGGTAAAATAGACATTTTCTACACATGGTCTAGTCATTAGTTGATGAGAGAAAAACAGAACGAGAAAATGATCATCTGTATTCAGATACACGATGCTTTCGAGATATTGATGACGAATTGAAAACTCTTGTTTATTTTTGTCTTATCACTTAGATTCGAATAAAAGATGAATTAAAACTTAAGTCGTGTGTATTTTTTCTCATAGCCTTATTATTGGAATGTCGTCAACGAATGAAACACACGTTCGAACAGAAGGAGATGGTCAGAGGTTCGTTGTCCATGTATATTTCTATTTATCTAAAGGTATTCTCTTCTAGTGAACCTCAACATCACATTCCACCGTTGACCCCTGTTACCTTTGAGGCACGAGAGTTATGGGAAGATGTAAATATCTTCACAGATTTCGTTTTCTTTGAAATACATGTTTATATTTGTAGTATCGCAATGCAATCGAAGCTAAAGCACAAAAACGTAAGCTTTGAAAAATAAGAAATTGTGCATATTCACTAAGAGTATATAGATTTTTCAATGCCGGCAACATTTCAGATGGTTCCTCTAAGAATGTCTGTTCTTGATATCGAAGGAACGAAGACTTATTTCTTCAAAGTAATATACGATTTCGTTTTTAGATTATCACCTAGTATTTCTTTCTAGGCTCGAGTTCCGAATAACAAGTTTGTCAATGTTCGTCTTAGACTGTCGGGTCATGCTGAGCCTCGAGATAATCAAGTGGCAGTGGAATCACGTGCTAGTGGTGGCCTTGATGAAGAAATAACGAAGATCTTTTAGAGAGTGAACAAAGTTCATTGGATACTAGGTAAAAATTAGTGTAGATTCATTCCTTGACTGTAGTTTTATTCTTGTTTTGTTTCTAAAACACCAATTAATACCTGTGCTAGATTGTTAACTAATTCACATTGTTTTTCTTTATCTTACATATATATATACAAAAGTAAAAAGTCATACATTCGAATAAATATCAATTATTCACGCATTTCCCCCGGTGTTTTGTGATTTTTTTACTAGAGGGCATTGGTTGTTTTCTTGTTTTTCAAAATAAACTTATTTGAACCAAACTGATATGTGTATGTAGAAGTATAGAAAACATATGTGGTGATTCATCACTGATTGGATTTCTGGATGATGATATGAATCTATTCGTACTTTGTATAATCACTTATATCGTCAGCGTTGTGATCGAAGAATGTCGAAATACTTTGAAATTGGTGTTGATTTCGATGTCAGCTACGATCACCCTCGATATTCCAAGATGAAAATATGGAAAATGTTATATGTATCGATAACAGATTCGAATGTGTTCAGATTACAGAGCCCTGGAAAATGTTATCACAAATACAAGATATCGAAAGAGATGAAACGAGAACGTATGGTCAGACGCGTGTTAACATATATCGACTACTGTTAAGGTCTATATAAAAGAATCGATTTTCTTAATACTGTTTTAATTCATCAAAAGAAATCCTAGTTTGTACAAGACTAACAATAATGTTTCGAGTAAGTCGTTCGAAATAAACTTCTATCGAAGAATTTTCTTCTATCTTTTTATCAGGTCTTCTTGTTCGTCGCTTTCGTAGCATTATCTACAGGAGCACCCTATGGTGGTATGTACAATATTCGCGAAAACTAAAAGATAATAAAGTGAACATATTTTAGACATTAATTCACAACGATCATTGCCTCCCTCCTCACAAAGCCAGACATGGGGTCAACAAGCCCCTCAGATTGCTAAGTAAATAACCTACATGCTTTCCTTATCCGATTTGTATCTCATTGCTTTCCTATTCACGCGATTTTAGACTCTCACAACAAGATGAAACTGAACTTGTTGATTCATTAGGTGGTGGCTATTCATTTTTCAAGAAACAACCAATCGTTGCACGCCCATTGATTCAACAGCAATTAGCCATCAAAGACCAACCAGCTCCAATTTCAAGCTTCGATGATACGTCAAATCAATGGTCCGATTACACCAAGGCCAGTGCGTTCAAAACAAAACCCAAAGTACAGATCGTTTCTTCAAACAAAGATCTCTTAATGTAAAACCATGACTTAATTTGTTTCGCGCGACATTGCGATTATTGCTTTGCAATATTTAGTAAAGATCAATCATCTTATGGTTCTGGATCTGTTCAACAACAAATCCCAGTCGACACTGGTGCTCAATTTGTTCAACAAGATTTAACACAAGTACGATATGGAGAGTGTCTCACCTAAGTATTCAATTTTTTCCATAACTAGCCATGGTCATCTAAACCAACCGTTCTTCCACAACAACCATTAATCCGTGACGACACAGTCAGCGGATATGGCCAACAACAAGTTTTAACCAAAGTAGGAGCTCAAAAATATTATGATGTTAGATGATGTGCGTTTTTGTCTTCAGTCATGGTCACCTAAACCAACCGTTCTTCCTCAACAACCATTAATCCGTGATGACGCTGTCAGCGGATATGGCCAACAACAAGATTTAACCAAAGTAGGAGCTCAAAATATTATGATGTTGGATGATGTGCGCTTTTGTCTTCAGTCATGGTCACCTAAACCAACCGTTCTTCCTCAACAACCATTAATCCGTGATGACGCTGTCAGCGGATATGGCCAACAACAAGATTTAACCAAAGTAGGAGCTCAAAATATTATGATGTTGGATGATGTGCGCTTTTGTCTTCAGTCATGGTCACCTAAACCATCCGTTCTTCCTCAACAACCATTAATCCGTGATGACGCTGTCAGTGGATACGGTCAACAAGATTTACAAAAAGTGAGTCTCGTATAAAGTATCATTTTCAATCACACAGATTTTCTGTACTATCAGCAATGGGCGCCAAAAGCAAACATAGTTCCCGGTCAACAAAATATCCGCATATTAGTTCAACAACAACCATTAATCCGTGACGAGACAGCCAGTGGATATGGTCAACAACAAGATTTAATTAAAGTAAGAACTCCAGAATATGCATTTTCAATACTAAGTTTCTCTATTTCAGTCATGGTCATCCAAACCAACCGTTCTTCCTCAACAACCATTAATCCGTGATGATGCCGTTAGTGGATATGGTCAACAACAAGATTTAACCAAAGTAAGAATACCACAAAATATAATTTTCGAATGACGCATGATTGTGAATAATAGCAATGGACACCAAAATCAAGCGTGTTTCAAGGCCAACAAAATATCCGCACATTAGTTCAACAGCAACCATTAATCCGTGACGACGCTGTCAGTGGATATGGCCAACAACAAGACTTAATTAAAGTAAGAACTCCACAAGATGCAGCTTTGGAATCTTGAACTTTTCTGTTTTAGCCATGGTCGTCTAAACCAGCCGTTCTTCCACAACAACCATTAATTCGTGACGACACAGTCAGTGGATATGGTCAACAACAAGATTTAACCAAAGTAGGAGCTCAAAAATATTATGATGTTAGATGATGTACGTTTTGGTCTTCAGTCATGGTCATCCAAACCAACCGTTCTTCCTCAACAACCACTAATCCGTGACGACGCTTTCAGTGGATACGGTCAACAAGATTTACAAAAAGTGAGCCTCGTATAGAGTATCATTTTCAATCACACAAATTTTCTGTACTATAGCAGTGGGCACCAAAATCAAACATTGGTTTCGCTGATCAAAGTGTCCGCACATTAGTACAACAACAACCTTTATTCCGTCCTGAAGTTGGCTCATTTAGCCAACAAAGTGTTGAACAGGTAGGAATTGAACAATATTTCATCCGAAATGACACATGTTCTCTGTTACTAGCAATGGGCACCTACATCAAACGTTGGCACCGGTCAAAACTGGGACGTCAAACTCTCAGGTCCAGTTGTGAACACAGTTCAATCCGATCAATCATCATGGAGGTAAAACTGATTGCATTTATAAAAGTTCACAAATAGTGATTACTCATTTTGTACAGTACTCAACAAAACGACTTTTCACAACAAGTTTCACCAATGACTGCATCACGCTCCGCTTTTCAATCAGCACCATTCAAACAATCATCTGATAGCGGCTCATTCGCTGGCTGGTAAACAAGAACAGTAGAGCAAACATCTGTTTGTGCTTGCAAAAATAGTTTTTACAACTTTTAAACTTCGTTTATTAGTTTTAGTTATTTTTTATTTCTTCGATTTTCTTGTTTTGTTTTTACATTAAAGATATCAAGGAAAAAAACAACTACACCAGTACTAGTTAAAAACATCTATATACAAAAGAAAAAAATCGAGAATAACTAAACGAAATAAGATGAAAAAGAAATGTTTAAATAGTGGAAATATCAATCTCAATAGTTGTGTTCATTTAACAAATTTTCTGGTAATTCAATTCCTAAACGGCGAAGTGTCTGCTGAAGATTTTCACCTTTGAAATAACAAGAATAGACATTGAAAACATTTTCATCGAAGGAGCTTACCTGAATTCATATAAAATGGCGTAACATTTTCTTCGACTAAAACATCCTCTTCTTGAACGTTATCCTCCAAATGAGCAGGTATTACTGACGACGATTGCATCACTTCAACTTCTTCGTCTTCAACGATCTGTTGCTGTTTGTTCTCGTCATTGTTATCACTATTTTCAACCTTGTTTTGATGTTCACGTTGATCATCATCCACTGTTATCATTGCGGTCGGTAATTCATAATCTTGATCGACGGCAGCCATCGTTGTCATTGTCGAGCCGAACATTGGTCGTGGTGGTGGATTCTAAATGTCAATTAGTTTGAAATCAATCAGTCGTAGAATTTACTTACAAGATCCTCCACGACACCGACAGCTCGGGCTTGTTGAATGACAAGTTCAGGATCATATAACTGTGAGCCGTAGCGGCTTAAATAGAGCTGTGGATCCTCACGAGTAACGTTTTGCTTTTGAAAATTACGAATAATATTTGCATGAACTGGTTCATAACTAAAAAAAAAGAACCGAAATGAGAAACATATGTTTTAAGTTGAGAAGACTAGACAAAACAGACGTTATGATGACATTTTTTGGTTGGGCGGATTGTTTCGATTTGGGCGCACGTTGTACAACCACTTTACGTTTTTCATTGACAACCTCATAAGGTAACCATCGTTCAATAATGATATCACGTGGTTTGGATGGTAGTGGTGGTAAACGTTCAATAATCACAGCACGTGGCGGCGCGGGCTCAGGTGGTAATTGTCTACAAAAAATATGATGAAATGCAAATCATGTTGTTATATTTTTTAATCTGACTGACCGTGTGATCACTTTTGGTGCAAGAGTTGGTGGTACTGGAGGTGGTTTTTCTCGGATAACAAGTGGTGGTGGTGTTTTTGGTGGAGTTGGACGTTCTGTACGACAAATGAAATATGAGAAAGTTAGAAGCAAAAATAGATCGATTGACGTACGCTTGATAACTAGTGGTGGCAGTGGTGACGATTGTGGCGCGCGTACCTAAAAAGAGAAGGAATTGAAGAGAGTGTATGTGAAGTGAGTAGAATGACAGACCTCTTTGATAATCAATGGACCAGCACTGGGTATAGGTGGCGGTTGTAGAAATCGCACAATAATGTTCTGTTTATATGTCACTGAATGAGAGCCTTTACGTTGAATGATTTGAGGATTTGGATCGTGAAAGATTTTTCCAGCAGGATCTAAAGAAAAAGCTCAGATCTTGAGCAGAAACAGTGATGGATGGACAAATCTTTACTTGAATATTGTTGATCCGTCTCGTTATTATCCATTGTCGGTATTGAACCCATATCTTGATTATCAGCAGTTAAATTCATTGTTAACGATGCTGTATCTGTTGAATCCGATGGAATATGTTCCGCTGTTCTCGGAATATCATTACAATCTTGAATATCCATTGGTAACGCTGTTGTTGTTGTTGTTGTTGTTGGCAGTGGTGGTGGTGCTGTTGTCGTGTGGTTATTAAAGTTAATATTTTGCGGTGACGATGATTTCTTCGATGGGAATGTCGTATAGTCCTGCGGACGATTAATTTCGAATATAATATCATTACTTGTAGTTGAAATACTTGTTGATTTTCTCATTGAATTAGCATCTGACAGGTGATGTTTAAGATTGAATTTTGTAACATTTTGATAGTTCTCATAAGGATTCAAATAACTCTGTGGCATTGTATTGTATATGCCTGCACTGTATAGATCGAAATCTGTTGGTATTGTCATCGGTAAAACGGATGGCAATGGATTGAGATCGTTACTGTTGTCGAATGATGTTAAACCACCCATGTTGAACATATCCGGTGTTGGATAGAACAATGGCGATTGGTCTTCGTTGAAGAAATTGCTTTCGGACGATGACGTTAATTGAGATTCAAACTGTGTCATGCCATCGCCAGGTTCCGAGATATAATTTCCAGCGATGCCCAAAACGCCACCACTGGCAGCTTTGTTAACCTCATCGAGTATCCGTTGAATAGTTGGATCTCCGAGTATAGCCATGAGTATAATAGCTAAGATCAAATTTGCTCTGATAAGACAGGTGAACAATGGCGCGTCTATTAACCTTTACTCACAAGTATATTGTTTCTTTTTGCGATGTTTCTCACGCCTAAAACTGAACAGATATGAACGTGTATGTATAGACGTGTGTGTAACGTTCGCTCTTCTAGCAAATGATCACTGAACCGTGGTAGGATACATGAACGATAGAAGATGACAGACTCTTCTTTCTCTCGTAGCTCATTAATGAGCCATGGTTCATGCTTTTCGACGGTAGACAATACATTTTGCGGTAATAAACGAAGGTACAACCGTGTCATTTTTCTCTTGCTCAAATCAATCTAATGATAACTAACATTAAATGAGTCTTACTCATGTCCATCATTAGAGAAGAATGTCAGCTGCAATTCATCACTTGTCATGTATTTGATAAGAGAATGCGTGTATACATATTGATGTAACAATAAACTGATTTATACGAAATCAAATGATTAGCAATACAAAGTCGCATTCTGCACAACAAAGAAAAAACTTAATCAGTAGAATAGAAGAGCTATTCGATCGTTATCTCTCGTCTTCATATTGGTTTTTAAGGGTTTGAAAGTATTTCTTTGGTAAATTTAAATTATGTATGACCATAATTAAATTGAACGTTTACATAAGATCATAGAAGTAAAAGGCCGTACGAACATCGAGTCATATATGTAATCATTAGAGATATTTGTCATACTCTTCTTCTTCAAATATTAAACTTTAACGAGCAATTCTTTGCCGAAGGCATTCTTTGCCGTTGCCGCCTATTTCATCAGCTGTTTAGAATCATTATGAATGAACATGACATGATTTCATTTCCTTTTCTTGGTCAGTTGTACTGCTTATTGAAAATATTTAAGAGACAGGATAATAACATGCTTTCACACTCAATTGACATAGACAGCGAACAATGTCTATATAATTTGTGTAAACGCATTCATTTGTTGCTTTTTTTTTTCATCATATTGAAAATTATCATGATAAGGACAATCGGTCATTAATGATCATAACGGCAGATAACAAATAGGTCAATATAAAACTGTTCTTCTCGATCAGATTAAGACGTGGACAGTTCACGTTTTACTCTTTCTCATTTCATATTCGAATAATGATTTCAATCCTATGCGAAGTTTTGATTTTCTTTTAATAGTATTCGCTTTCATTTAACGATCAATTGATATTTAACAAAGCAAATTGACGAGTATTCGAAATGACATAAGGAGTCAGTATTGAATAGATTTGTCTTTCGATCAGAGATACGAACGAATCAAACCCAAGATGTTCAATAATGATCAATTGATAATTGTATACATTTGATCTAATGAAACGATGTAACACATCAATCTTTGATGTTTTCGACAGATATGTTTGATAGCGATATCTAACAATTAAATCTGAATCGATCGACACACTTTGACCATGATTAGTTTTTCCTAAGGAAACGAATTGAAAATCGGTGAAGAAATCATAACGAAGAGACTTTGTTATGATTTCAAAGACTTCTGTTTTCTATTGGATCGACGATAATGTATTTGTTAACGATCCTAGACATACGCATATGATATATATGTCTATTCTCTTTTCTATTCGAATGAAAACCAGTAGAGGACGTATATGTGTGAAATTTTTCTTGATAAATCCTTTCTTTGTTTGATAGATTCTCTGAAATTGATAGTTTTTAATGAAAGTTTTGGATGGGAGGTAAATTGCAGGTATGATTGTCATCTCTGGTCAAGCGAACAGATTTGTTGTTTATCACCGATGAATTTAATGAAATCATTGATATGAAAAGATAAGAAATTTTAGATTTATATGTTCGTATGGAGAAAGCTATCATCATAAGCATTACTTGTGTTATTTTCGTTGCATATTACTTTCGACCAAGTGATCAGGACGATGCTATTGCCTATAATATTCCTGATCCAGGTAGGGGCGATTTGATGATGACCTAATCATGTTTTTACATTCATTTTCTAGAATGTACGGGTCTTTTCAACCTTTGTACTGATGTAGATAAAGAAAGGCTCGGTCGACAAGCGATTCGTGTCATTCACGAAAAACTGGACGATGATAAAGATGGATTAATCGAACCATCCGAAGGCATCGATGTAAGATTTTCAAGATAACTCATTTTCCAATCGAAAAACATTTCGATTTCATTAGTTTATTCAAGGTGAATTAGAATTCAAAACAGATGCCATACGACATAAACAATTTCAAAACATTAATGTATATGTCACATTCGATGATCTCTGGGCTCAATGGCAGAATAATCCAGGTAGAAGAAGATATTTTCTTTCTTGTGCTCAGATCTAAACGTTTTGATCTTGTTTCATCTTCAGCGTATAACTGGACCACAGATAATGTTGTCGATTGGCTTGCAAATTTCGTTGATCTACCACAATATGTTGAAAACTTCCGCCGAAATCAATTTGATGGTCGAATGATACCAAGGTGGGTTACAGGAAGTGCTTTGCTGTGTGAGAATTCCATCCTCCGATCGATTTTAGAATAGCTGCGAATGAGAAAATGTACATTTCATCAATAATGCACATTCGAGATGTACACGATAAACGCCGACTGATTATCAAAGCAATCGATATCGTCCTATTCGGGCCACCGCAAAGTGTGTATTTGTCTTCTCGGATGTAAAGTTCATCATGTTATTTGTCATTATTATAGATACGCATAATTTAATGAAAGATATGATTTTGATATCCGCATTATCTGCTTCGATTGGTGGATGTATTTATGCATTTCTTCGTCAACGCCAAACGCAAGAAAATATGAACATCATGCTGAAAGAACTAGAAACTTTACAACAAGCTGAAGGTAACTTGATCGCCGTAACTGAGAAGTAAGAGAATGGCAGAGGAATAAATTGATTTTCAATTCGGATTCTTTTTACAGAATGCGAACGCGAGAAAATGGTTGTAAGGGAAGGACCATTTATGTGAATCAAAATCTTTTACATAAATGGCTCATGGAAGTTCAACAAACGAAAGTATGAAGAAACACGAGGAAGTTAATCGACGTTTTCTTTTTCATTGAATTTAGGAAGAAGCTAATCGATTTCGGCAACGTCGTGATTCAGCAGTCGATCACGAAAAACAATTGAGTTTAGCGTTACAAGAAATTGAACAAGTAACGAATCTCGTTGATTTCTCATCTAAACATTCGACATAATCGTTGACTTTAGTTACAAATTGCTTTACGTCAAGCTGAAGAACATGCTAAACATCAATCGTATGAACCATCGAATGAATTGATTGAATTACTTAAGCGTACTTTTCAAAACGAAGAAGCAGTATTTGAAGTGAAAAGAAAATTAGCGGAAACAGCACTGACAACAGCACGAGAACAAGTAGAATAACTCTCTTAATCATCCATAACTTCACCTCAGACGTTGATTTCAGATGAACAAGATAACTAAAATGCAAAAAGGATTCTTCGGTGCTGTACGTATTGCTCATACAAACTGTATGGACAATGTTGGTGAATTAATCAATGCTGCCAAGTAAAATCGATTCATTCGAGTTCGTTCATTTGGTTTTTGTTTTTGATTTAGAGATCGTTTGATGGTTATTCATGATGAATATGAAGAACGCGAACATCGTTGGTCTCGCATTGGTGTTCTATTAAATCGCGATGATTTCATTACATTTGGACCAACAACAGCGGCCACACCAACGACACATCGTGGAAAAGATTCGCCTCGTCTTCGTACTTAACTCTTCTGTATGATTCAATGTATTTACTGTTCGATATCATTAGTAAGCCAGAAAAATGTGTTTTTCCTCTCTTTTTTTTTGCAATTGACAAAGTCTTTGTATTTCGGTGTATCTGTATGGAAAAATTATTTTTTATTCGCATTTTTTTTCTCGTTCAATAAAGCATTCACTCATATAAGCAGACATATGAGACAATATAACCAGTTATTTTCATCAGATAGTTTAGATTGGGCAATATTATTAATGAATAATTGTCTATACCAAACAGTTTTCGTAATTGCATCACGGTCTTAGACTTCACGCGACATTTCGCTTTTAAATCACGCGAGCGTAACTATATTTCTTATTAAATAACGCTCTTATTATGTTCTAAACTTTCTATATTAGACAATTTCGAATTTCATGCTTCAATTAAATTAGACGAGACAAAATCGAACTGCAATTAAATCAAACGAACTATTTTACGTTTGTCGACTACGTCATCATGTCGTACGCTGGAAGTCGTGAATGTAAATTATGAATTACAATAGTTAACAAAGAAAATATTTGTTGTTACCAAAAAAAGATAAAACGACATATACGAAATAAGCGCATGAATAGTCGTTGTCTGTCTTCGGCTTTTTTTCTTGTTCGAAAGGTATAGAACAGCACAAAATACTGACTTATGGAAATAATGTTACGCCTGAACGAGTCGATTTTTTTCTTTGATATGCATGCGCATGTTTTTTTCGTCGTTGCCTTCTCAATCAAATACAGACCTTCAATCAAACGAAAAGAAGCGTAAGAAAAACGATCTTCAGGGATATTTATCTTCATTGGGATTGAAAATTTCTTATGAGAATTAATCAATGATGGCAACAGATCATTTACCTTCGGAAACCGATGGCGACATCGAATTAACGACACCGAAAAAAGCTAAACGCGGAAAGCGCTATAATGAAGCATCGAATATCAACGGTGTCATCGAAAATGGTCACGATTCAGCGATAGAATCGACTTCATCTCGTAAGCCGAAACAATTCGAAACGAGAAGAGTCGACGAATCTACATTAGAGCCTTCAACACGTTCAGAGCCAACTGATGAAGCGCCTAACAGAAACAGCACACGATCAAATCAACAATTAACTCCATTACAGAGCTATCAATCTAATCCACTAAATTTTCAACAAGTCGAATTGACCACAGTCACTGATGACGAAGAACCAACGGAAAGACGAAGTAATATTCAACCTCGAAATCGAAATGTCACGGATCATGATACAATGGTATCATCGTATACAACCAATGATGACAATGACGTGATTGAAATTCACGAATTTAGTTTAGCTGATGCTGATGCTTATATCGATATCTATTTCGATACGCTCAATAATCGCTTAAGACATTTTATCGGTACAGATGATCAACTTCAACAATTTCGTTTAGCACTGAAAAATCGAATCAATTCCGAGACGAACTCACGTGAATATCAAAATGCATTACTTGGAAAAATGAATGGCGATGTTGTTGCAGCTGTAATGTTATCGTTTCCGAGTGAACCAACAACTGTTTTGAATGACAATATTCTTCCGCAACCAAACTCATGTGTAACATCACTACGTCGTTGGATGGTACGGAATGCCAATTACACTCCAACGAATATGGACGAATGTTATATCGAAATGATCGGTGTTCGAAGTGCGTTTCGAAATCACGGCATCGGCGCGGCCATGCTCGAGTGTGTAGAACACTTTGCACGACAAGCTGGTGCACGATTGTTAACCGTACACGTCAACAGCGAACAATTGAGAGGCTATTTTCAACGCTTCAATTTTCAAGTTGATCATTCGGATAATTCAGCTTTTTGGAAATGGGTTGTCGAAAGAGAAAGCATTCTGAAAATGTCCAAGCCAATCTCACCAGATGAAGAAGGCGCTGGTAATCAGCTGGATGATGATAGCAATTATCTTGCGGAAAGTACAATTGGAAGTTAACGAGCGTAGTTTTTCAAGCCAAACAAAAAGATATAGGCAAAATAGATGAATATATTCATCGAAGGTATTAATATCGATAGTTTTCATTCGAAATTGCACAGATATTCGATAATCTTCAGCAAAAACACTTCTCCCCCCCCCCCCGCATGTGTATCGTGTTTTTCTTTATGTGATGAAAAAGCAAAACCTTCTATATATTTATTTTCACAAGTAAAATATCTCTTTAACTAGTCGATTTATTTGTGAGACAAAAATAGAATTGGTCATCAATTTACTGTAACAGAATATGAAAATCTATGCGCACTTCCTCTTTGTATTATGTAATTACGAGGATTTAATCATGTGTGCAGATAGACAACGAACACATTGGTAAGTCAATGTTCTGCTTCGCTTATTTAGATCGGTAAAAGAATAGACCGTCGTGGTAGATATTGACTGTCGATTGATAAGCCACAAATTTATTCGAAGAGAGAAAAAGAGACGATCGATGAACATTTTGTCAACTTTGAAATTCATTTGGACATAACAATGAGAAGAAAGGTGAAAAGTCGAAGAGAAAAATAAATAGCAACAAAAAGAAGACACAAAATCGTTTCCTGCAATCGTTTTTCACATACTTGAAAGTAAATATACACAGATTGAAAAATGAAGAATCAGTGTGAATTTATTAGAGAAGACAAATTGACTTTTATGTGTAGAAGAATTTATGGAAAGAATAAAGATTTCTTTTGAGATTGCTGAGCAGAACACCGGCGAGAATGAATGCAGACATCTTTCGAATTAAGTGGCACTTTTCTTTCTTATACGCATATTTTGAAATGGTTTTAATAGTTTCGTTGATAGAACTTGTTTCCGGGATTTACCCGAGGAGACCGATTGTTGATCATCAGATCCCGAGTCAACGACATTCGATCGTCGGTCTTGATCGTCAAGCATAAAATCGACATTGTCAATATCAAACACTGGTTTACCAGGTTTTGCCAATAATGATGTCTCAGCAGAATCCGGAAGATCGTGTCGTGAAGTTCCATTAGAATGATTGCTACTTAAATCGGACAGACCACTGACTGACTGAGACGATGTCATTGTTACCGGAGGATTAAGAACACGTTCAGTTGATGAACGACTAGCTGGTGGGACCTGACCACCAATAACACGTCGTTTTAATGTCGAAGACGGCGAATTGACAAAATCGTAATTACTGTCGGAGAGACTGAGCAGTTCTTGTTGAGATAAATGTTCTGGATGTAAGGCACTCGTTGAGACGTTACGATTGCTTATATTGCTGAAAGACACAATAGAAAACGATTTTACTTGACGCAAATTCAGTTTCTGTATTCACCTCATGCTTTTATTCGTTATTGCTGGATCGTAACTTGTATTGATCAAACCATTAGAATCGCTGGATATTTGTCTTTGTCGAACGACTGAATCTAGATGGACATCAACATCAGATTCGAGCAGATATTCTTGGTCAACGACTGATTAGAAACTGATATTCAGAAATCCCACGGAAAGCAGTGAACTTTTACATGCATGAATCTGTTAGGAGGTTTTTCTTTTGTTACAGATAATTAAGCAACTCACCTCGAACACGAAAAGCTAATCATGAAATGACCATTCTCATACAACTAATTTCACTGAAATAACATGAGTGATAATTACCTGATGATCCATTGTTTAATGTAGCAGCTGTACTTGCAGCTGCAAATTGATTTGTTCCAATCGATGAAGTCGATGGTGAAGAGTTACTAAGAAAATCTTCTCGATTAAGTAGAGCAGCAATTCGATTCCAACGTCTTTCACGCTCTTCGTATTCACGTTGAACTTCAGCTAAACGCTCTCTAATAAGATATAACACGAAAACCGTATAGGATAGGTATCAGAAACAATCGAGCTCGAACATACTTAGCATTGCTGATTAATTCACTGATATCATCCATGCAACCAGTATGCGCAATACGCACGGCACCGAAAAAGCCTTTTTGCATCTTCGAGACCTTGTTCATCTAGCATATCACAACCATTTCTAATGATCATGGAATAATTAAATTATTCTTACTTGCTCCTTTGCAGTAAGCATAGCATTTTCTGCAGAACGACGTGTGGCTTCAAACGCCAGTTCTTCTATATTATACGTTCGTCTAAGTAAATCAATTAGCTCAGCCGGTGGTTCATAGGACTGATGTTTAGCATGTTCTTCAGCTTTCTTTAAAGCAATTCGTAGCTAAATGTAAGAAGAGAAAGCTGAATGATCTATTCTTTCATTTCGAGCAATTACTTGTTCGATTTCTTGTTCAGCTAACCGCATTTGCTTCTCTATGTCGACAGTTGACCCACGACGCTTTCGATATCTATCAGCTTCTTCCTACAAACGAATAAATATCTGAACCTATAACGACACAGTTCACCAAAGTCTACTTTAGTATCCTGCACTTCCATAAACCACGAATTTAATAATCCACGATCGACTTTTGCCTTATCTTTTAGTTCGTTCTCCATTGCCCTTATCCTTTGTACAAATAAACACATGTCAAGTCAACCTATTCAAAAGCATTCTTACTTTCCAGTCACGCAAGCGAGATCACCTTCCGCTTTCTGCAAATTTTCTAGCTCCTTGACCATAATATTCATACTTATTTGAGTTCTACGATGCCGAATATACGCGTACAAACAAGCACCAAACGATATTAGCACGGCTGTTATTAAAATCACATCCTTTACGAGATTGTGTGTACCTTAGAAGATGATATATTCGTTTTGGGTAAGATTCTTATCATGAAAATTTACTTGGAGGCGGACCAAATAATACAACATCTGTAGCTTTGATGATCAAACGTCGCTTATGTCTCACATCACGTATTTGCATAATAGCAGAAAGATAATGTTTTTCGTTGGCAGCCAATCTACATATGAATTAATAAAAATACGGATTGATGAGAAACCAGTACAAATCGTGAGTTCGTCAGTAAACCTGGGAATCATACGACCGTCAAATTGATTTCGACGAAAGTTTTCCACATACATCGGCAAATGAGCGTAGTTCACCAACCAATTGACTACATCATCGGTAGTCCAATTATAAACTAAATAAGATAAAATTCAAGATATTTTTTTGTTACATAATCGCAAGCATTTACCAATACTATTTTGCCATTGACTCCAGAGATCATTAAACGTTATTTGTGTATCAGCATTTTGAAAATGACGATGTCGAATAGCATCTGTATTAGATTCTAGTTCTTCTTTAATAAACTAAAATCGAATCCTAGTGTTCATGTCACTCTGTTTTTCATGTACAAAGCCTCCGCTTACATCACTACTTTCTGATGCTTCAATCATGCCATCTTTGTCATCATCCATCTGCTCATGAATAGCTTTGACTGCTAGGCGACCAAGTCGTTCTTTATCAGCATCTGTACATAAATTAAAAGGGCCAGTGCAATCTAAATCCAAAATGAAATCCGATTAAAAAATCTGGTAAATCCGCCATCGCAAATAAAAGGTGATACAAACCTGGATCAGGTATATTATATGCAATGGTACTATGTGATAGACATGACTGGAAGAGATTGACAAACAAAACCAAAAATACAATGATTCGTTGCATCAATCTGAAAAACAACGATATCAGAATATGTTTCTTATCGATACAAAAACCATGTGAATATCAACCGAAAACACACGCACACGTACGCATCACTAAATAGGAGAAATTTATACAATGAAAATAAACGTACGCAGTCAGGTTTCTGCTGTGCATGTTTATGCGTGTTTGATGATATGCATATTGATATTTATATATTCGTTAGGCATGATTCTAATCATTCAGAACGAGTCCAAAGCAATCGATTTTGAATCATTCGAAATTTTTTGTGATTGTGATACACAGAAAACAATTTACGAGAATACTCTTACCCGCGCCGAAGATATCTATAACTGGATAGATAGTATATAGTCGTCTTGTCTTGGTAATCATACAACTAGATTACGGGCACGAGAAGACGAAAAGAAAAGGAGAAGGAACAAGTTGTATTTATTTTCACCAGCTGATGGTTTTTATTGTCTACCATACATAGTTGACATTTTATCGACAATTGGGATATACATTACTCTATCATCTCAACGCTTATCTACGCACCAGTTCTGTACATTCGTAAAAAAACGAGAAAGTTCTTTCGGATGAATCAATAATAAGAATTAGTAAAAGAAGGACGAAGAGAAAACGATTAACGTATCAAGTGACAGTCATTTTAAAAGTCAAATTATTATAATCATTTTATTTAGGTCGATCAATATTTATTTAAGATAAAATAGATTTTATTCTTACCAATGAGTATAATTAATCGGTTGATCGATTTTCAGTTACATGTATATAATTATACAATATTCTTTTTCTTTTCCTTCTCCTATCTCTCTCTCTCGTACTGTACGAGATGAGTCACAAAGCACATTGCGTCGGTGGATGTTTCATATCCAATAGAAAAACGTTAAGAGTTGATTGTTATTGGATGACAATAATCACTTCCATAGTATTGACAAAAAATTTGCATCGTTTTTCACTATTAAAAACTAGTTTTCGATCGAAATGGATTGTCGAACATTAATTGAGCGATATGGAAATGATCGCGATGAAATAGCTGTTACTCAGTTGAGTGAATGTATGTATCATGAAAATTCACCTGTTCGGAGTGTTTCGAGATCTGTTCGAATTGTTTTAGTATTGAAAACAAATCAATTAAGTTTAGTTGATTTCATTGTCGATATTGGGTAACTAAAGAACAAAGATTGATTATTGATGATCGATTAGAATTGTTTATGTAGTGATTATCTTCAAAGTACAGAATTGTCAAAACGAACGGTTGCATTGGTATTGATTGGAAATGTTTTGAAATCTTTACCGAATACGTTTCTACAATCGCATGAAAGTAAAAAAAGGGAATTATCGGCTTTTTTTTCGTACGAATTTCCGTTTTTGTGATAATTTAGTTCATCATTTACTTATATTTATTATCGCGAAGATGGCTGATCATCATATTCTGGCGCAACCAGCAGCTGATTTATTCTCTGTTCTAGTAAGTACCGATTGATCAACGAAACATTTCTTTTCGATGTTTCACTTAGGCAAAACAATCGGCTTTAACTGATGACGATTGTATTATGATGATTAAATCCATATTTTCTTATATGTATGTTCAATCATTTCCGCAAGCAAGCCGACACAAAGTATTCGTAGTGTTATTACATTTCCTTTTCACTCGTTTGGATGGTAAAGCTGTAGAAAGACGACAGCAATAGAAGAGTCTTTTTCTTCTTTCTATTAGTTGTTCGACAACTGGGAAGTGATTTTGTTTGTAACTTCATTCAGTCAATGGATGGCGAACGTGATCCAAGAAATCTCGTTCTCTGCTTTCAATGTTTGCAATATATGACGAAATATTTAGATATTGGTAAAGAAATGAAGCACCGGCCTTGACTAATATTGTATCTCGGATTTAGAACCATACAAGGAAGAGTTATTCGAAGTCGTTGCTTGTTATTTTCCAATGGAATACAAACCGGTAAGACGGGATCTTGTTAACTTCGTGTTTTATTACATTGATTACATGTTTACCGTTATCTACTGGCATTACGTGCACGTGAAAATATGCATCTGAAAAGAAGAATAGACCGAGATATAGATCAATAGTGAAAGACTGGTCATTTGAGAAGTTGTACTGGAATTATCTTAATTGATCGTAGAGTTACTAAACAATGCCTTTTACTGGATGATTACTATCAAATTACTTTCGAAGATCAATGGACATCTGCTCTGTACATATCGATTCTACCGAAGAGAAAATATGTTGATAACGATTACATTCTCAGTAGGATGGGAAAGAATATTTTCTTAACATTGAGCAATTGATGAGATTTCTCGACAGGCAGTGGAGATAATTGAAGAGAAAACTAGGATAACATCATCATTATAGGACATGAGGAACTCTCTAAATATTTAATAGAAAACGGCGAGCAATGAAACAGAAGAAACAATTACTCACGAGCAACTCGCTCTTGCATTACGTAATGTTTTGACATCAAGTGGCAAATTTGCTCAATATTGTATTCCGATGCTAATCGAAAAACTCGAATCCGACATACCAAGTGCTCGCCTTGCGGCCATGGATGTATTCGTGAGTATCGTAACATTAGCCTTAAGTGTTTTAGTAATTCTTACCTTTAGATCAATTCGATTGAAGAATACGATGCTCGCGACATCTCTTCGCATTTAGTACAGCTATGGAATTTGTTTAGTAAACAGGTATCACGAATATCAGATGATGAATTTATATGATAAGGAAAAGTTTGTTGTTGTAAGGCTTTATGTGCAGAAAATCAAGAAACTGAAACGAATGCGCTTCGAGCAATAACAGCGTTGATGCAATTAGTAGGAAAATCAGTTCAGAATGATGACACGGAAATTTCGACAAAGAAACTGGTTAATCGAGCTATTCGAGGTAAAATTTGACGAAGATTTAATGCAGGAAAAACGAGAAAATGTCGTTTAGAATGCGAAAATTACCTTAAAGAACTTGATTTAAAACTTGTTTGGCCCGCCACAAAAGTTCTCCAAGCTGTTGCCCGCGCTAATTCAACGTGTTCATCATTGATATGGTCAAGTGTGCTTCCTTTACTCACGAAACAATTCGAAAGTTTAGAACAAGTACCAACATATTTGTTTGTATTCAAAGCAATGAGATCTTCGATTTAGGTTAACCATAGACAAACAGTATTGGATATGATTATCTATTTTCTACAATCAACAAGTAAAACTTGTTGTCATTTCGATCTGGGAAACGTTGTATTTGGCTGATTAGGTCTTCGAACAGTAGTTAAACTACCTCCCGGTCTGGCTGATGAACTTTGGATACTTATTTCAACGCAGTTCCAATCTTTTCAAAGTCATTGTCTTTCATTAATTCATAGTCTTTTACAATTGAATACAACGCCCGGTCAAGTACTGGAGGATGATTTAACGAAGTTCATTCTTCAAGGAAACATTCCAGATCAATTAAGGTTTGTAAACAAAGTATATTCGACTGCTTTAAACATCGAACATTCTTTTGGGTAGAATAAAACTGTCAGCAGTTATGAGAATGTTAGCATCATCGGTGATCTTCGATCGAATTTGCACGAACTTATTAACGAATCTAATCAATTCATGGACAGGTAAAATCTTAATTTCTTTGTCTAGACATTCGTTTATTTTACTTCTGCAACACGTCCAATCGTTAAAACTACGCAAAGTAAAATGGCCGAAGTTCTATTTAAAAAAAAGCGTCTCTTTCATATACTTACTACAATGTAACAGATGTCGAAACCTATGACAACTGTCATATTCTAACTTGGCCAACTGTGCTTGTTTTTGACGATCTTATTTTCGTATCAATATGCTTCTTGTTTTTTTTCCTCTGTCTGATTTAGTAACGAAAACGAATCCATCGAATGAAGTCTTGGAAAGTTGTCTTGACTTATGTCATAATTCGGAACGATGTCAAGAACGTCTCGAACGTTTCTTTTTTCCATCGCGTATGTAAATCCAATTCCGAAAGAAACTCTTTTTTCAGTTTAAATAATCCTCTAGAACAATTCATTCAATATCTACCGAGTCTTTTCAAATATTTACCACCTTCGTACATCTTGACTAATTTGTTCTCACCTTTATTTGATTTACTGTTATCCTCAATTGATAATGACCAACACGCAAAGATCTTCTGTGCAAAATGCGGTGCTATTGCCGATGAAAGGTTTACATAAATGAACAATTAAGAATCTCGAATCAATCTCATCGTTTTTTTAAAGTTGTAAACCATTCGTTGAGGATCAATATCGAAAGAATCTACTGGATGATTCACTGTGGCAATCGGAGAAAGTAAGATGATATCTCACAATGAGAATCAATTTGATTGGAAATGTTTAGTCGATGAATGTTCTGCTAATGATATATTTCATCGGAAATTTAAAACGAAAAGTAAGTGCGATAGTCAAACAATCTTCTGTATGTTTGTTTATTTCCATGTAGACTTATCAAAATGAATTAGAAATGGTTTTTAAGCAAATCCACGAGAAACTAACGGAGAAAATATTCAATCAAAAGTTCGACGAAACCAATACGATTTACTGTTGCTTTCTTGCTAATTTAATCAACAAACTATCATCGAATGGTAAGTTTCATTCGTGAATATGTTGTTTAGTTTGATTTGAATATTCAATTATTTAGATGAAATCATGGAACAAGGTCAGACAATAATCAAACAATGTGAAACGATTCCTGATCAACTACATATTCATTTGTGGACAATTGTAGTCAAAGCTTTCGTGTTATCTCGGCCGTCGACTTTCGAACAATATATTCCAAAAGTAAAGCAGGACAATTCGTCAATTTCGATGGCTTTTTTTCTATTGTAAATTCTAGTTAATGTCGTGGATTAACGAGAGAAATGGTATCGGTGACATTGCATGTCAATCCCTGAAGGTTTTAACGAATTTCGATGAACAATCTCTATTATTATCATCCCAAGCTGATTGTATTGTTCATCCTATGGTTAAACAGATCGTCTTTATGAATATTATTTCACAAATGAAACCATTTCTCATGAATAACGGTCAGTATCTGAGTCACTTCGACCTCGAATCGAAAATAAGAGATTTTGGCGTCTGTTACTCAATTATTCCTCTGCATTTGATTAGCGGGCGAATGATTGAAGTCAGACTACTTGGAAAGAATGTATAATTAGTGTTTTGTACTGAAATAGTTAATCAAATTTACATAAAAAGTAATTGGTTTATCTTCTACGTAGATTTATTACCGAATCAAATGAATATCTTGATTGATTTATTAAACAACATACCAAAATCTATTATCCAAGATGAAATCATACCAGTATGAACAAGAAATTGTTCTTTTTTTTTCTCGTTTAAGAAATTGACTTCTCTGCATTTTTCAGTTATTGCCGATCTTAGTTCGTGCATTGACATCATCGAATGAATCAATTTGGTCAGCATCACTTCAGTCAATAAGTGATCTGATCAAATCCGAGCCTAACTCAATTATTGATCATATTGACACACTTCTTCCACGTTTAACAACTCTAGCAACTTATCAAAAAGACATGGTTCGATGGGAAATTTCTGTCAAGTCACCAAATAATCATTCCACTCTCTTTCTAGACCATCCGTATCACAAGCTTGAAGTGTTTGAACTATCTTACAGCGTTACCGATACATAAAATTCAACCGTATCGTCGTCATATAATCCATGTGCTGAGAAAATGTGTTGATGATCATAAACGACTTGTACGACGTCAAGCGATTGAAACTCAAATGTCCTGGTAAATGTTCTTTGAAAGCGAATTCTATTTTCAAATAAAAATGTTTATTTTAGGTGCTTATTGAATGCGTAGATCACTAAAATAATTGTTGGTTTTTTTTGTTATCATCGAGAACACGATTATGATGATTTTTTTAATATATAAATCAGCTGATTCCTTTTTTGCATCTTTCAGATAGAAAAGTTCTAATCATCGGGATCGTTAAGTACGGGAGAATCGGAGGCGAGCTGTATTAGAAAGTAGTTGAATGGCTTTTGCCGGTGATACCGTTTGGTGGTAGGTTCGAATCTAGATTGAAGAACGAAACATGACCAGCTTTGCTATGATGATTTCATATATAGGTATGATCATCAGTGATTTCAACCTGAAAGCCTGTTTAAATATCTGAGCAAAGACAAAACAATCGATGAAATGTCGTTTTTATGCGAATAAATTTGGTTCCGAAATTTTTATATTCGATTGACTATAATTTCGTTTTCAGATGATGTCAGAAGACACGAATAAATCGTTCAGCCTTGACGATGGTGCTGAAACTAATGACTTAGATGTCAATCATAATGCTGCTGATGCCATACAAAGTCAGGATAATCAATGGCTTGATGATCTGCGTGTTGCACTCGAGCGCGGATGTGATTTGGGCGCGATTCGCAATATTGGTAAATGTCGGGCACTGACAGACGACCTCAGATTACGTGTTTGGAAAGTAAGTGTTGACGAAAGGTGGGAACAAAACGCGAAGTTGTGTTCGTTTAGATTTGTCTTAATATCGATGAAAATGCAACCGAAACGGATTTCAATGATAGTAATACTCTTGATTTGCCACAACAAAATGTGATACGTGATGATATTGCACGTGTACTGCGTAAGTAGGACGAAAGATCACTCTCGATTGATCATTTTAACTTATTTAGAAGCATTGCAATTGCATCAGGATTCGTCTACTACGAAAATGAATGATATTGAAGCAGTGATTACTCATTATTGTAAAAAGCAGTATGTTCTAAGATGAAAGATACTACTCGGAATTATATTTTGTGCTCTATCTTCATAGCAATGAAACTTATGAGAAAGGAAATGGATGGATTGAGATTTTCAAACCTTTAATAACCTTAAATTATCAGGATCGATCGGAACTCTATGCATTATTCTCAAGCATTCGTAATCGTTATATTCCTCGGTGAGTACTTCTTGTTGAAAGCCATGAAATCATTCTACGCTGTTCTCTTGCAGAGATTGTGAAGCCGATGGAATGCCTTATCATCTATTTCGATTATTGTTACTCTACCATGATCCGGAATTGTGTAGTTTTTTCGATACAAGAAAGATCACGTCAGATTTATATGCACATATTTGGGTAAGTCGAGTCGCATTTGAACGCATACTAGAACGACGATCAATTGGAATTGTGTTGTTGTAGATTCGAAGTTTATATGCAGGATCATGTCCGTTGAACATTACTTTACCACTATGGGATGGATACTTTCAACAAGCTGATCAGTTTTTTGCATTTTTTCTTGCTCTAGTTTTACTGATGTTTGCGAAGTATGATAATGAAAAGGAAACGATCATCGATTGAATATGAAATATTTTCTAGAGAACATTTATTGGAAATGGCCAACAAAGAAAAACACGAAATTATCGGTAAATCGATACTTTTTTTTTATTGACGTTCATTGATTCTCGTTTTGTCAATAGATTTCTTATCGAAAGCACCAGCGAATCTAACTGTTGCTGATCTAGATGACTTTTGCTCATTAGCGAATCATTATGCTACCAATACACCTCAATCGTTTCGAAAAGTAAGACGACTTCGTTTGAGAAATTTTTATTCTAACTTTTTCACCTTCTCTTTGCCAGGAATTTTACTCATGTTTATTTAATGAAATCGATCGATCATTTTCTCAAACAGCCTATTCAATTTATCAAGCATTATGTTTACCTGTTTCTGTCAAAGAATTACTACAGGCAAATCAACTCGGCGGAGTAAAACTATGAGTGATCACTTTCTACATAAATTTTCTTTGAATTCTAGGCAGCAGGTGTCAGATATTTTATTGTTGATTGTCGACCAGCTGATCAGTACAATGCCAAACATCTTTGTACAGCATTTCATCTAGATGCTAATCTCGTACGATCGTTATTTACTGAAATAGTTTCAAGGAGACGCGATTTTGTTGTTTTAGTTATTGGAAGATCCAAAAGAATTCGCTGTTACTGCTGATGCACTTTTCGCAACACAGCAGAATGCCATCGATGCTGGTAGGGAACGTCGATTTGAATTGGATCACGTGTCGAAACGAGCTGACTTCATTTAGGTTCGACAGCAGGTGGTGAACATCTTTGTTTTATGGGTTCAGGCAACAATGACGAAGATAAATATCTCCGTATGGTTGTTGCTTATTTTCTTCAACGAAACACAAAATATGTTAGCATAGCTTCCGGTGGTTATAAAAGTAAGTTTCTATTTCTTCTCTTATCTTTCAATTGAAAGCAATCGAATAGTTCTTGCAAATACAATCGAAGATCCGTCTATGTTAACTCAATCAAATCAACGAACAGCGCGAGACCCTTCGTCGATTGGGACAACGCTCAAGTATAATATTGCAGAAAAATTGCCGGCGATTAATACACAAGTCAAATAGAGCATCTGTTATGATATCGAACTCGTTCTTCTTTTGATGTTTTTAGACTGCTTCGATATTTAACATGATTTCCAGTGCAGTAAAAACGAAATCTCTCGAAGTGAAAGACAAAGTTAAAGATTATATCACTCACACATCTCATCCCGACTCAATCCATTCCCAATCTCGGTAAAATCCTTCGTTCATTCTAGTTATGATTGTCTTCTTCATCTATAGGCATGTGAGCAAACAAGATCGAACCGACAAACTCTATCGACAAAACCAAACATCGGTTTTTTCACTTGATGGCGACGATGATGACGATAGTAAAATCAAATGCCAGTCTTTTCAAGGAAGCTTTCAGTTGAACGCTTTTTAGATCAAGCATTGTCTCAACAACGAGAATCGGAACTTGTCGATATTGAAGCATGGTTTCAACGAAGTGAACTCATCTATAAATACGAATGTGAACATTTCGATGAAAATGATAAAACCCATCCAAGGTACATGAAAATGATCAATTGTCCCAAGAAAACGCGTCTTTTGTTTAGTTTTCTTTTAGCATCGGCAACACATTTATATATCCTACGAAAACTTCCTGAACATAAAACAATGGCGAACCTTGTTTCACGTCGATTATTAACCACTATAACTAAAATCACGAGTAAAAAGAATGTTCCGGAAATTATCACATTCCGCTATGCAACTAGTCAAGAAGAAGATGAAGAGCAAGAAAAGGCAATACGATTCAACCAGAAAAGCACGAATTCGAAAATTCCAGTCGATTGTGATAAAGTATTTGTTCCCGATGCCGGCGATGCAACGAAAAATATCAAAGTTTTAATCATGAAAGCATTAAACATGTATGAAAACTCGAATGAACCTCGAAAGAATTAAGATTTTTTGTTTCCAAATTTGAATGTCAATTCTCTACATTGGTGATTCTTTTGTCATTTTGAATAGCAAACTGCAGAGCCGTTTACTTTTTAGACTCGATATCAATGTGTTTATCTCCGTTTTGTTATCTGATTGCTTGCAATAGATTCTCTTTTACATCTCTTTATCGTTGTGGGATATATATGTAATCAATAAATAGCTTCATGCGTTTTAACATTCAAACTCATTTCGAAACAATCAGAAGTATTGCATGAGCAGTAACTTCATTTTGTAAATCTCGAATAATGGAAAGTGATTTGATTATACAACTCATTTTCATCTCCCTGCCGGGATTAGAGAACAATGACGAGATCGAAGACAGAGAGATTGAAATGAATACACGCACATTGCTTTGATGATTTAACTTGACGAGAAATCGATGAGCTTCGAATTTATCAGTGCCGATCTACGTATGAACGTCGCTTTCAGTTGTTTTAATAGTAGTCAAGCGATACGACAACAAGAATTATACAAAAGAAGAAAAAAGAATTGAGGGTGAATATTATTCGATTAATCACCACAATTATGAGTTTTTCTACAGAAAAGAAAAAAACCGAACAAGAGAACTCGTCGTCCTATGAAAATCAAAGAGAGAAGGCAAAACTAGGAGTTGACTAAAAACATGAGATTAAGTGAGAAACAAATTTATCATGACTAGTCGTTGCCGACGACATTGCTTGTTGCGCTTGAAACAACTTCCATCCATCTAGAACAAAAGAACGCATATTCGATTGATCCAAAACAATAGTTCCTTTACCGATCAAAGGCGTATTGACTTTCAGCACGGAAGAAATAGACATGGTTTTTAAATTGAAGTTTGAAAACAAAATCTTTATTCACGCCATCCGCTTCGATCGGCAATGAACTACGGTAACCCAACAACGGTAAAGATGCTAATGGATAATCATCCTAGAGAAAAGTGGACTTTTTTTGTAGGAAGAAAAGTGATCCGATGAAGAAGAACAGATCTTACTTGATAGGTTTTATAGAAGAATAAACAGAAGTTCGTGAATACGACCCATAATTTTTGCCAACCATTTGAATTTTTGAATTTTCGTAATAGATATCCACTCAATTGATTTTTAATCGATTGTCGATGATCAGCCATTGACACAGACAGATTTCGATGCCAAGAGACATGCATCGTCGTATTTGCACGATGTTGAATACAAGAACGTTCGTGTGGTTGAACACTTTCTTCGTCCAATGTCCCAACAAACGAATGATCAAGATTTTCCGATGAAGCTACATAACAATTCTATAGAATTACCATCAACAAAAAATATACTCAGATCAAACCATTCGATTTCAATGTCGATGTGTATTGATTTTTCTGCTCTTCGCAATTGATTCTGATGTTTTCAATCGCTGAATTCAAATCATTCAACCATTTTTGTTTCTCATTTTCCGAACTACAAGCAAACATTCATACAGAGACAATCAATGCACTTTCGACAAACAATATACCTCGCTGCGACTAGTAATGATCGAGTACCGGTGTGTATAGTAATCGAATTAGGGATCTTCGTTCGTTCATCACTATCTTCTACCTGAAAGTGAGAAAGAGAGAATAGTAGAACGGTTTTCGACTCGAATGAATACAAACTGTCATTAATTTCAATGGAAGTTCACCATGTAATTTGAATTGTAGAACGGGGCTCGAACCACGGGCACAATAGAGCAAAACATCGGAGAACTAGAATAGAGAGAATGAATACCGAGGAGGAGAAAGTTGTGTGAGAAATTTACGAGGAAAAACATTCGTTGTTGATAGCCTTTTCGTGATAGTTTTTGTAAACAACCTTCGCGTATAAATTGCTAAAATCGAATAATTCTAATTTGATGTATTCGAAGTGAAGTTCTCTTTACTCGATCATGTTGAATCGCTAGATTATCTACGCCAATTAAATCACGCTGAAGCTCGATTAGTTTCTGCCGATTTTGCTACAAGAAACAGCATTCTCAATGTTTTATTAGATTTGAAAACTTTCGTAACATACTAAGAATGTTAATGATTCCGCAAAATTCTCGATCAGATCTTGAATTTTAATATAAACTCCATAACAATCTTGATAATCAATTTCATGGTCATTCTGCTTGTAATAAACAAGTAATTCTAAACAAATTCACTGTTAAATTAGAGAGAAAGTTCCGATGCATTGATCTCACTTTCAAGTAGATTTCCATAATGTAATAATCTTTGCAAAGGTTTGAGTAGAAATGAAATGAATGATAAATAGCAAAACTTCTGCGATTCGAATTCTTTGTAAACCATGTCGAAATGTCGATTATGTTTGAGAATATATTCGAGTTCGCTCAATAGATGTTCATAATTTTCGATGTAACTTTCGTATTTCTACAAAAGGTTCAGAATAAGACGATTTTCTCCAGTTCAAAACTCTCTCTTACCGGTAAAATTTCCACTAGACTCGTTACTAGATCACCAATATGCTGAGTTGCTTTATCTACGTTTAAACATTCATTACTTGCCACTGAACGCGTTTCCCTACAAGATCGAATCACTCAATTCTTTGTCCATCAAAGTAAAACCACAGAAGATCATACCAGACAGATATTCTCTGTTCAAGTTGTCGCAGGAATTGAGTATGAAAATTGTAAATGGGAACTAAGTAGATGAACATAAGATCGGAGAGATTCGCTAGTGAATCATATTCTGAATTGTAGGATGGCTGAGCCGTTGTCTCATCGGGATCATTCAAATTCAATAGATCATTTTGTTGATTAATAAGTAACATTATTTCACGACGAAAATTATCAGCAACAACTTCGATATCTTTTTTATATGTTCGTTCAGTCATTAATAATTCTTTGCAAATGAAAAAAGCTCGATCATGTATAGATGAGATGATCATTGTGGATGAAACAGATGTCGGAAAAATGACAGGCGCAGTCGGCGGTAAAACAGTTCCAATTAATCGCTAAATAAATTGTCCTCTCGAGAATCAATGACATTAAATCAAGGAGAAACTTCATACCGGAATACCAGCAACTGGTTGAGACATCGGATAAGATGTCAAAGGAACGATTTTCGATGCTAAATTGTTTCGAAAAACAAACAGATTATGATCGGAAATTAGACGATTAAAGAATGATATTGTTTATTGATACATACGAGATTGATAGTGAGTATCTGGGATGGCTCGCGATTCGATTTTATCTAAGGTCGTTGTAAGTGAACGATATTCATGGATAATCGGTGCTGTATGAGACTATCAAAGAAGGAAAAGTATGATTAGCTTATTTTTTTTTGTGACCTTGAATCGGAGAACTTACTTTGTCATCATCATCAATATGCGCATCTTCAATCTTGTCAGATAAAGACAAGGGTAGCTGTTCGATAATTGAAGATCTTAAAAGACGACAAGTTTTTTTGTTTGAATTCAACTATTCTCTAGTTATAAATTACTTCTTTGTTAGATGGACCGTTTCGACATTCTCCTCATTTTGTTTATGCAAACTTAACCTCTGTGCAACTGAGATCAATTGCTGTTCGATATTGGAAGATTTTCGTACGGGCACTTGACTTGTTTGCGATGGTATCGGTCGATGGTTACTAATGAATCCACTAATTTCTCGTCGATGTTCTTGATTGATAACGATGGGTTCTCCTGGAAATAGGAATAAAATGGATTCTTGTCTCGTCCGCTAGTTTTTCGTTTTCTCTAATTGATTATTTCTGTAAATGAGTTTCTTTGTTAGTAATTATTCTCTATCGCATTTATTTTCTTTCGTAACACTTCATTTCCAGAGCGAGTTTTGAATACGATACAAAAAAAAAGAGAGAGAAAGAGAGAGAGCGAAAGAAAATTTTCACACATACGCATACAAATGCCAAAATAAGCGAAACAACAAACATTTTATTATTATTTAGCATACAAATACAAATCAGGGACATCATCTAAGCGTACGGATATATATATGTATATAAATTGATATGAGGACAAACAAACAGAAAGCGCATACTGTCTACAGAGATAATCATAAGTCGCCGGGTCGAAAATTTTTTTGTCGTTCAAAGAAAAAGAAAGAGCGAGTGAACCGAATCATAATATAAGATAATCAATTACTGCTATCTATATTTCTCACTCGCAATTAGTTTATTTTGCCTAACTAAATAAAAGAAAACAAACGCAAACTCTATCCCTGATGGTGTTAAGAAAAATAGAATTCCATGAGCAAGAGACAAAAAAGAAAACTATTCCTATGCTTTGACTAATTGAAAATAGAAAAAAGAAACTAGTTTGCTTTGTTACTGACTAGACCAGAAGCAGAAAAAGAACTGGAGAAATCTGTACAAATTCAATAAAATAGATATGTCGAAAAGAATAACAATACAGTGAATAGAGAGGAAAATGCTACTAGGACCCTTGGAAGAGAAACGAAAGGAAATCTATTCACTTGTTATGATGATTACGCTGAACGAACACGGAACGGAATCCGGCAGCTTTATTCAAATGGTTGGAAAGTGAATCATCACTTGATGAATTGACGTCTTCACTCGAACGACGTTTTTGTTGTAGTTGTTGTTGTTGTGGTGGTGGTGGTTGATGATGATGACGTCGTTGGGTACGCAATGGTGGTGGTGGTAGAGGAGATGATGAGTTTAGCTTAGGACTTGACACTGTTGTTGGAATAATACATGTTTTCAAACTAGTACTTATCGATGTAATTGGATTGGAATCTGAATCATCGCTGAAATCGAGTAAACGTGCGGATAGCGGACGCTGATACCGTTTCGATTGATTATCGAGAACAGGTGGACATGGAACATGCATCGATGATGCATAAGATGAAACAGATGATGCACGAGATGAGCGTGCTGATGATGATGACGAAATAACATTAGGAACAGATGCAGAATGTGTTAGAAGAGGTGGAAGAGAAACAGAAGATTGGGAAGGAGCTATGTCATTGGAGGCAATATTAAAAAACTTCAGTTTAGCTTCGGAAAATGTCGAAAAATCTGATCGTTGTAATTCATGTAGATTACTTCCGCTTGGATATGCAGCAAAGCATGTTTGAGCAGCTAGTCTACGACTAACATCAGTCCAGTCTGTTGTTGTTGTAAATGCTGGACTTGACTTCGTACGTAAACGCGAAACAAGATTGTTAGTATCACGTTCGTTATCATTACGCTTATCAGTGTTTCCTGTTCGTAGAATACATGATTTGTGATGAGGTATGTGAGAAGATCCAGCGAACATTTGTGCACGACGTTCTAGCATATATTGAGTCAATGCGCGTGAACATGCTTGTTCAACAAGACGATCGACAGTCGCTAATAGTTGTCGTTCTTCCTCAACGATTTGTGTGAGAATAGATTCAATTACTTGTCGAACTAATTCAATTGCATCTTCGGGAGTTTCTTTGTTAGACAATGGAATAGTTTGATCATTTGCGATTGTATCATCCTGCCATGAGAGACTATTGACTGATGGTAATGTGCGTCGATCGATATATTCGATGTAGTTTGTCATACGTGGTAATGAATGTGGTTTCGAACGGATTTCAAGAACCATCGGTGGGGAAACGTTTCGTAATGATATATCTTCGAAATCGTCATTCATTTTTGAGCCAATTAAACGTTCGATTAGCGGTGGATCTAAGATGGATGATGATGATGACGATGAGGACGATGTCGAGGAAAATGATGGCGAATGCGTCACATCCAATGATAATGCGCGATCGGTTGGTAGTATTTGTGAAAGGCTTTGCTGTTGTCGTTCATTATGTTGATTTAAACCAGATTGATCATCGGTTATCGGAGTGATACAGATCGAATGAGATCCACCGGCTGGTTTTTCCGTATTTAGATACATTTTTAACGATGCTGAGTAACGTTTTACTAGTTCATTCTCAGTCATTTTATCTGAATCGTTTTCTTTTCTCTGATTATCGTTATGATAAATTTCTAAGGACACTCGATTTTCTTTTTTATGATTCGATTCACTGTAATCTTCTTCCTCTTCCTCATCACCATGAAATTCTTTATCACGAACATGGTCGACACCCGACGACTTACCTTTATCTATTTCATTCTCTTCACTAATAAGCTTGGAATCTGTCGACTGTTCAATGTTACAATGAGATTGTTCAATATTATCTTGCAGAGTAGCACTCGGTTCAGGTTCAGGCTCAGGTTGTGTTGCTAACGAGAACGAGCCATTGGTTCGTTTCTCTATCGGTTCATTTGCATGATTGGGAGCATTCTCTTGGTGACGTTGCTTATCTTCGTCGTCTGTATCTTCTTCATCGGATAAATCGTATTTATCACGACTAAATCTTGAATCTAACGTTCGACTACCATGTGTCGACGAATCATCATGATAGACTTGTTGATAGACATCAGTCGGTGTTGTAGAAATCATTGCATCCGCATTTGCATTCTCTGCTGTGTCCGTTGTGACTGACGTAATCAACGCCTGGTTCGTTATTGAAATACCTGTTGGACGTGAATGATGTCGCGAAGAATCCGCGGACGATAAATTGGTGTCTTGGCTACGCATTGTATCAGATGTACGAAGTGCTGCACCAGGTGAACGATGCGAACGCGTACTTGGTGGGGCAACTGTTCGAGTATTAGAATACGATCTAATAAAAAAAGCAAATATGTGAACATTACACGCTGTCTTACAATGTCATACCTAGTAAATGTTCGACTTTTAACATAATGTTCACGTGCATATTCAATAATTTCTTTTTGCGTTCGACCGTTGTATCGAAACGATGAACCACGTGTTAATAGTCGACTTCTCGATCGCGATGTTCGTTTAATAGTTACACAACGAAAGAAAGCATGATATTCGATGCATTTTTTCCAAAAGTTTTTACATTCATCGCGCGTGTGAAAATAGAATTCGACTGTATCTTTGTAGTAGCCCTTTGAAGACGAAAGAAAACGAAACAGTTGAACTTGTTTGATCAGTTTCCAATCAACAGAACTTACATATCCTTCAGGTTGTAGTTTAATGAGAAATTTTTTTCTTTTGAAACTTAATTTACGGATCTTTGCCCATGAGAACGTGTTGATTTTTGTGATATTTTGAAAGACAAGGATTCCCATATGTGCAACAGATAAGTTTAGATTGACCTGCTCGTGATCTTTAGCCGGATGCATCTTTATACCATATAGTTCAACTTTCCGAGCGATATCGAGTAGATTAAGATCGGCATCGGCAGAAAATTGACCACTTGAAAAGAGAAAAAAATCAGCAAATATTCAACCCGATCGCAGTATTTCCTCTGAATACTCGAACTTACACATGGTTTTTATGAAAATTCATTATACGAATTTCATGATCAGCAGTTTGATGAGGGAAAAACTTTCTCCCACCGAGATAACTTGGATTATTATTATAAGATTCGAGATAATCACCAATTTCCGCTAGAATAAAATTCAATTATGAAAAAAAACCTTAAATTGTCTTTCGTCATCCCAATATTTCCTGTTACCTTGAACGATGTAGGAAGCGAGTAGAGCAGCTGTATTGTCGCTGCAAAGTAATGTGCCCAGATGTAGATCACGTTTTATTTGTAGCGCGAAAAGATACCTATGAAAGAAATCAATCAATGAACAAGAGGAAGAGATCTTCGTGATTGACGAAACTCAATTAAGATTTCGTCTTAGTCAAGGTTTTACTTGAAAATAAAGAGAATAAATTGCATATTTGCCTCAGGGTAAATAATGACAGAGCAAGGGAAACAAATAAATCAAAACGACACTTAGGAAGAGATCTTCTACCTGGTGAACTCTTCTTCCAATTGGCCAGGATCTGGTGTATAAAACTTAACACAAAAGGAAAATTTCGTGTCTGTAACTTGTTTGAGTACAGGTTTATCCATTTCCAACCAACACTAAACACAGGAAGAGAGAAGTCAATCGTCAGTGAGATCGAAATCGTCTTCTTTTCACGGAATACGTACAGTATTTCGATGATTATCAAGATATTCAAGTGCAAAATAATCAGATTCGAGCAAATCAATAAAGTTGCAAACAATCGTAAACAGATCTTGTCCAGTTGCTTTTGGCTAGAAAAGAAAAACGCAAACAATGTTTATAATGAAGCTCTTGAATCACTCAAGCAAACGTATATGTTGAGAGTAAATACAGATGAGACTTGTTTCTTCTGATAATAACTTCCAATGTCATCATCATCATCCGAATCATAATGATGATGATAGACGTGTGGATCTGTGTTTGCATGCAATAAGCAATTAACCTCGACAAGCATAGGAAAAGGCCATTCCGAACACATACATATACAGCAAGACTCCTCTCTAGTGTTTCTGTTTTGACAAACTCATCATCTAGTTGTTGACTATGATTGATAGCGCTTGATGTGAAAATCGGGTACAAAATGACAAAAACTTCTGTGACATCCAGCGAAGACTTACATCAATATGAAACGGTAGCTCTTGATCGTCGAGTAGCCGAACTTTACATGTTATTTGCTTTGCAGTTTTAGCTTTTGTCATTGTTGAGACGGATGAACTCATTGAAAAGAAGACTCGTTTTTCTTGTGTTTCAATATGTTCGTCACTGCTATTGTGTTTGTGTATGTGTGTGTTGTGTTATTGTTCTGAAGAAAAGTTGCTTGACTTTTGTCGATTGTTTATTGGCAATTATTAATAATGTTGAAATCCGCAGTTATCGTGGACGGATAACATATGGACAAGAAGCAAGACAACAGCTGAATTCTATCGTTGTCATCGTTCAAAGTCAATGGTTTGTTTGTCCTAGTCGCGTGATGGTAGTAGTTGTTGGTGTCGAATCAGCATCACCATCATCGTTGTAATCATCTTATCTAAAAGAAACATTCCGCATACATACATATGTAAACTAAAACCATCTATCTCTTCGTCGTCGTCATTATCAACATTGATGTTCATGGCTTGTATGAGAAGTCATGGTCGACGCGTATATATATATATGAACTCCTGGCGTTTGTTTTAATAACGCTTCACACACAGACACACACTCTCTCTTTCTATGCTTCTCCTTTAGATACTAATAACATCTCCTGCAATCTATCTCTCTACCTTGTCAGTAGAAACCGAAGAATAACAGTATTGACGATCATGACAGTAATGAATGTGTATGAGTCGAAACCAGAAAAGCGTTTAAAAGGTTTCTTAACTCTCTAAGTAAAGATATGGATAAGCTAGTTGTCGGATGGGTGAAAGAGATGAAAAAAAAAGACAATTAATCGATCAAATGAATAATGGATGGAAGTTGTAGTTGAAGAAGAAGAAAAAAGAAAGAAGCGTCGAACACAGATTTTTTGCGCTTTACATATGCGTAGTCTATCTTGTTTTTCTTTGATACTGACCGATTTTTTTTTTGTCACTCACTATCGTTCTTGCCATTTTCCATTGAATCGTCTATGGCTTTTTTTGCTTCACGACAATGATGACGACTGACAATCCATCATCTCCTTTCTGGCGGCAATGCTGCTTGGCTATCGTCTCTTTCTCCCTATCCCTCTCTCGCTTGTTTCTTGTCGTTCTCTCTCAGTCTCTTTCTTCTCTATTCTCTCTTATTCAAGTAGGAGAGACTAGGAATAGCAAAGTCAGTCGTCGTAATACATCTCATAGAAAGACAATTGCTCAACATACTAGTTCTCCTTTTCTTTTCTTTATGCATCTTCCTCGATTCCTCCTTTTCTCTCTTTTTTGCTTCTTCTTATTTAGCTCTATCGTTGATGATGATTATGATGATGATGATCTCTCTCTCCCTCTGTACGTACTGGATGTCTAAACGCATTTTCATCATCAACCAGTCTTTCTCTCCCTTCCACTACACGCACACATTTACAGTTGGTTGTAATACTAGAAACGCTGATGAAGATACGCGCGCATGGCCCTCAAATCGGTTTCTTTTTCATTCTTTTTCTTGCATATTTTCGTCAGACAATCCCATACACATCGAACCACTTGAAATAAGACACTGATGATGTCGTTTATAATCTGTTTCATCAAGTTTTAGCACAAAAAAAAAAAATAAGAAAAAAAACCAGACTCGACATATTACACAGCAATTGACTGTCTGACGCTTCATTCTTTGTCTATTTTCTAAATCATCGAGAATAAATAGATCGACTGAATAGGACTTACTCGTTCGGTCGCATATTTTTTATGTTTGGCATTTTATTAGAAGTAAATCGAACAATCGTTTGACTTTTTAGATAGACGACAGAGGCAGGAAACGAAGCACATTAATGAACCGGATGTCTACTTGGGATCGTTCATATATTGTTGTATACACACCTTTTTCGACTTCTTCTCTTTCTTTCTTTTTTGACTACTTATCATCATTATGTTGCACTTCTCATTAATTTCAAGAAAAAAATTTATGCGTATGAAAAGTACATATGCAAATACGACGTGCACAATGCTAATTGAAAAGAAAAACTAGAAATATTATGTTTGATGTTGTCTGATCGAGTATCCGAATGAAAAATATAATGTGTCCTGCTATCTTTACGTCTCTTTTTTTTTTATTCCCAAGATAGAAACAAGTCTCTCTATTCCTATTGTGAAAACAAAATCATGCACAAATATTGTAATATTTTACAATTTCTTGGTTTCTTTTTCCGCTTCGTCTTCATATCAAACAATGAAACTCAAGAAATGTCAATAGACATCAATATATTCTCAAATTCTAATTGCAACTAGTTCATTCTCTCTCTCACACACACACGCGCGCACACACTGTTTTCCATCTGCACGCCTGTTCATATGCTGAATGATTTTCGACTGATTGATGTTATTAACTGTTAATAAGCAGTTACGCGCAAAACAAAAGTATAAGAATACTAGAGTAAATAGCATGCTTCGCCTTATTAATCGACAGCGTACAATACGGCAACATATTCACTCAACATGCTAGATGTGTTGTGCTAATTCAATTAATTATTCATTCCAAATACGTTTTCACTTATCTTTTTGTTTTCTTCCAACTTCATTGCTTTACTTCATTTTTTTCTTTATTCAATAAAAAAAAAGCGGGTTCGTTCGATAGATTCATCTCTTGCGATGTAGTCACACATACAAACAACGTCGAGATGTTCGCCTACCAATTCGAAAATATTTAATAATAAACATCTTATCCTGAGAAAAAAAACCACACTCTACTTATCCAATTTCCTTTCAGATTGTCAAAATATATATATAAAATACTTGAGATGACAGTTACTGAGCAATTAAAGGAAAGAGAAGAAACGGAGAATGTGATGATGACAAATCTTCGAAAAAGAAAGACCAACTATGTAAATAAATAGTATCATAGCATGAGACCAAAACGAGAAAACTTTCTTAATGGTTCGGATTTGCACCAATCGTGAATATTTTCTTGAAAGTATCGTTGATTGGTCGCAGGAAAAGAAAACAGGCGAGGTAAACAACGAACAAGATCTAGTATATTGAAGTTCGGCTTTATTTTTCGATTCAACTGAGTCTATGTCGAATCTACCGACCACATTTTTAACACATCAACAACGTGTCTGTCGATTGTATAAATCGCTATTTACTCTCGCGCGACGCGAACATTGGCCTGACAGGTTGTGATTTCTGATTAGGAAAATGAAGATTTCATTTGAAACAATCAAGTTTTCCTATAGGCTAGCGTATCGTCAACGTATGGTAGAATATCGAGCACGTTTTGATGCAAATAAAAATGTACAAGATTTAATGAAAGCCAAACGACAACTAATAGCAGGAGAAGAAGAATTCAAGAAAGCGATGTATTGGCATACGGAAAATTTCAATTGTATGATTATTCATTTCGAGACATCTTTCAAATCTAATCTTCTCTTCTGTTTTCCTTAGTTCCTGAGTCACCTTCGGGTATTGCAGAAGGTCGATATCCTACGCCTGATGATTCAGTAAGTGTCAATCTTATCATTTGTCGTATTCGCATACTTCTCTTTGATTCGAAAAGGCACTCGATGCATGGCATCCACTGGAAAAAGCTCAATATCCCACTTATTTCGCAACGCGTGAAAAGCGAAAGAAAGCTTACATGGAATGGTATCTTAAACGGTATGGTATTCCAGATCCACCCATGATGTAATCAAAGACTGCTTATCTATTGATTTCCTTCTTTTCCTCGGATTGTAAAGTAGAGTGTTTTTTCTCTTTTATCAGTTATTATCATAACATATTTCAACATATCAAATATTACTGACTTTTTTTCCCTTATTATATGCCTTATCTTTCAAGTATTAGATTCGCGAGTGTTGTCTGGCAATGAAAAGTGTGTGTGATGCTAGGCTTGTCTTTCGATCGGAAGGACCACCGAGAAAATAACGATCTTATCATCTGGGAGAAGAACAGAAAAATAGCAACGAAGTTGTTTTCTTCTTGCTATTTACTACGTTAGGCCAGCGATCGGCTTAACTAAATATTGAGCGTTGTTCATGGCGGAGTGACGAAATTTATTGACAATATGATGATGAAAACATTTTTTTAATTTCCTATAGAAAACGTGTGAAAATGAACGTCGAAAGCATGACATCGCACTCGACATGCACCGTTAATTAGAAAGCCTTGTCAATTGTAAACACATATTCAGACCTTGCATCGATCTTTTCATAATCTTTGCATTCACTTTTCCCACCATAATTGGATGAAAATATTCACCAAAGAGGGAGAGAGAGAGAGAGAGAGAGTAATTCATTAGTTGAAAACAAAAAAAACAATTACCTTTCATCTTACCTACTACTGATACTTTGCATTAGAGAACAAAATACTCTCTCACACCTTTTCTTCTTTCTTAGAAAGAAAAATCGAGAAAACTCCTTCTTATTAATTTCTCCAATTTCGTTGACTAAAGTGCTCACTTATTATACTTCATGCAATTCATTCTAATACAAAGCAAGTAGACAAATCCACCTGCAGGAAAACTAATCGACGTACAAACTTCCATAACGATTCCACTGACGCAAAAAAAACTTGAAAAAATTCAATTTACGGCTCGATTTCCATCTCAAAACTTATTAAGTACTCCGCTAGTTATTCAAGAATCACAAACGTAGTTTTCTAATTGAAGTGTATGACAAAAAAAAACAACACTGCCTAATACTAAATCGTTCATTGACGTAAATTGAGTGCTCTATACATTAATGGAATATATTTTCGTCATTGCTGAACTCTAAAAACTATTAAGAACAAATCGAGGTAGAAGTTTGCATCTTATTGACGTCAGTATCGAAACACAAAATAGATCATAACACTTACTTATATTTTCATCCATACTAAAGAGAAATCCTTTCAAAATGATATTTCATACAAATCCTATTAATGGAAAACATGTTGCAGTAAAAAAGAAAACATTCTCGCTGTGCTAAAGCAGAAGGAAAAAAAAACTTGTAACACATACATGCTTTATTGATAGTGAAACGTTCGAGCGTGCTCAATAGAACGCCCGAGTTTTTCTCTCTGATTGAAAACGTTATAAATTGATTTGACAATCACCGGAGATGCGCTGTTATAAGAGCGGCATGATTTGCTGTCGGCAAGGAATTTTCTTCCAAAGATGTCATGAAATAATCAATAAACTCTCCGACGAATGGATCATCTTGCGCATTATTATCTTGAATGATTTGTAGGAAAAGAATCTTAAGATCAAATCGCTATATGTGGGTAGAGACGCGACACACAAAGAGATTTCTTTGGGAAATTACAAAGGTCTTCGGTTTTCCTTTCTCTTTCTATGCGAGGTTCAAAAATAGAACGACCTTGAGTAGTAATATATTATAATGTTCATATAATCATTCAAACTTGAATAGAATGCATAGAGGAGCAGAAAAATTAAATGTGTCTGACAAGAGAATAAGTCTTTCATGCTAATAATTATCATGATAAATTGAAACCATCCGAAGAAAATTCTCTATTCTTGCGAACTATTTCTCCTCAATTGAAAGAGATTGCTAATCGAAAGAAAGGAATATTAAATTTCCACCCGAGATCAATATCCAAGATTGACCTTAATCTATGTCAGTTATCTAATGAGATGAATGATACGATCGATGTTCACCGAAAACATTCACGTTAAGACACAATGCGACTGAAATAGGTTTTTATCAAGTAGCGACCTCTTCACATCGGTTGTATTTTGTCTCGTGTTACGATGCATGATAGGATTGGTGTCTTGATTTGATGACTAATTTAGTATAATATGGACTTGGTCAAAGTTTCTTTCTTCATCGTCAGCTGAGTTGATTGATAAAACGAAGAAAAATCAAGAGATTTCATTCGAATTTGCTGGATGTTTTTTGTAGATTTTCACATGGCATGGATGAGTTTCATCATTTATCCTCGATAAAACATCCCCAAGACGATATCATTACTTTTCGTGAAAGTTGCAGATCGAAGATTAAGAAACAGAACGATGAATGCGTACTCGAAGACTTCGCCAGGTGTTTTTCAATCGATGACGATGATATTGTTCTATTGGATTCCCCAGAAAGTGTTTCCGACGAGATAAAAATACTTCTCGACGAAGTTATTAATCAAATTCTCAACGAAGAAAGTCTTCAATGTCAGATTAAACAAACTAATTATGAAGAATCTTTCTTCAATCAGCTAGTCAGATCTAATCAATCCGATGACAAACAACAACAGCAACCGTTGTTATCAACTTTATTCGTGTCAGAAAGCCTCCCTACGTTAAATCAATCAAACTCGCCATACACTCAATTTTTGTATCATCTCGGGTTTGATCTCTGTTTAGAACAAAACCTTCAAACTCAAAATTCTCTAACAGAACTCCAAAAACAAACATTAGTCCAACGGAATCAAGCGTTTCATCGATATCGAACTTACCGCTGCAAACATTGCTCATTTCGAACAGATACGATCCATGCATTGAAACACCATTATCGGACGCCTCACATTCTACCGAATTTTCCTTCTCCGCATCCGAAGTATCATTGTATATATTGTGCGTTTCAAACTTTTCGAATACCTGATCTACGCCGTCATTTCGAAAGAAAACATGGCTGTCAGTTAATATCGGAGCATTCTTCTCGGCGATATTCATGTTGCTTTTGTTACTATGACACGGATGATAAGAGTAGTTTTCTTAAGCATAATCAACGTTGTGAAATTGAACAAAGACGAACGTGTCTGGCGAATAACTTATTAGCACCATGCGATCAATCGACTGGTACTAGGCAGAAAACGACATATCAATCGATAAGAGTAAGTTTTGTTCTTGTTCGATACTTTTAATTGATTTTGTCATATTGAAGAGAAAACTTGCTGACGAAACAGTGGAAAATATTTTAAAATGTTTGAATAACGATAAAAACATTGAACCGATCGTTATTGAATCTGATCATGATAGTTCATCGATATCAAAAACAACATCGTCTGACGAAGAATTTATTGTTTCATCGGATGAAGACAGTTCACCAACTGGCAAGGAACAAACTGACAACAATCGACACTTTAAAATGTCCAAAGAATGTCGTTTGAAAAAAAACCTACAACCGAATTCAAGACCTGCAGCTTCACTACCTATTTCATCAATATCATTAGTATCATCATCCTCTGCACCTGTATCTACTCTTCCTTCTTTGTCGAAATTATTACTTTTAAACACTACACCAATTCCATCATTAACATCTTCAACGTCACAGCCATTAAAACCTTCTTTAATATCGATTCAACCGAAACCCACGACTCTAGATGATGCTTATCAAGTAAAAACGAGCACAACTTTCTTAATCAAGCCTTCATACCTTCTCATTATAGATGTGTAATATGTGTCAATGCTACATTTACAGAAAAGATTATCTAAAACATATGAATGAACAACATCGAAATCCATCTTTGCAAACTTTGTCGACACCAATCAGTATCCTGAATAACACTATTAATAACATAAGTACAACCGTAGCTTGTTTACCACCAACATTAATCGTTGCCAAACCGACATCGCAATCGTCATCAGCGATTCTACTTCTTTCGACTGCTAAAATGGGTCTGCAATCGATTACGTTAAACATGATTAAATGTCCGTGGTGTGACACGAATTTCGAACATATCGACATCATCACTGGGCATTTAATGAGGTAGTATACAATGGGAATCTCCGATTCTACGCTGAATACTACTTTTCATTTAGGTATCATCGTATGACTTTGGCTGCTGCGAAAGTCGTGGTTGCGGAGCAAATGAAAATTCAGGGAACTTCATCGAGTCAACTGTCACTATTATTTAAAAAAGAAATCGAGCAGATGCAGAATGAATTCAATGATAAAATCTACTGGAAAATTTCTCAGCCAAAAGTATATCTACACCAAATCGAAACAGGTAGATTGGAATTCATAGAAAGCTTGTAAAATTTCTTTTTCAAGTGTCTTGTTTCATGTGTAATATAATGGTTGATGATTTGGCCAATCATTTAACCACAATACATCAAACTCAAATAGAAACATTGAATTCGGTCAAACAATGTTCTCTGTGTGGATTTACATGTGATCAGAAGAAACCTTCGAGTCTATGTGAACATCAATTACGTACACACGCAGGTGTTTGTTATTCATCTACACTCAAGCAGTTTATTCGATTCGAACCTCCACCGTCACCAACTTTACCCGTAAACGGCAAAGATCACGCCCGATTGATTTTACCCTCTTCATCTTCCTCTGGACGAGTATTAGTCACTCAAACAGAAAAAGTAAAGAGAATATTTCTTTTCAACAATGCCTGTCTATTCGATTTATAGAAATTTGGCTGTCGGAAATGTGATACAAGTAGTCGATTATTTACTTTCGAAGAATTAGTTGAACATCTACGGAAAACTCATGATTTGAATGTTAAACTACATCGTCGCTGTATATTTTGTCAAGAAACGTTTGCCAAAGGAACAGAATACAATGAGCATTGTTTAAAACATTTAAATGATGAACAACCTTCGATAAAACTCAAACGTCAACGTGTGAATTGAGTAAAACTTTCAACTGCCTAATGGTTGTATTTGCATTCTGCTACCGATGAGTAACTCATGAAGGAAAACGTAGGTGAAAATATTGAAAATTCGAATGTTTGTTTGTTTGTTTGTTTTCTTTTGTGACGTTGGTCCTTATAATCAATTAGTAAACTTTTGTTTCTGTGTTAACCGAAGAGAAACTAAATAATAAGAATATTTCTTTTCTTATACTTATTATTTTTCTTTCTCTTCACCATTTCTTTTCTTGTTGAATAAAAGAAGCAATTAGCTACGCGAATTTCATGTTTGTACTTTTTATTACTATGATCATCTGTCTTTTGTGTTTCTATTTCCGTTCGTTCTTGCGAACTTCGGGCGAGATCATCGTCAAGACGACGTTCTCCAACGATAAAAAAAATCTGCACACTGTACCATCGACTAACCCATTCGTTTCTCACTACATTGATCACTCTGTATACATATCTCTGTTTTAGATGATAGCATTTGTTATCAAACAGGTGCAAAACCATCACGCCATGTTAACAAACAGTAAGACTTTCATGTATAGTGTACTATAACCCCTTTTAGCATACGATATAGGGCCTAATTGCGAGTACATCAAACGATATTTTGTTTTTTCCAGACGAATGCACAAAGACGATGATTTGTGATAGTTAACAATGAAACGGGCTTTTTTTTCAAATAACAAAGCATTCGGATAGTAAGAAAAAGAGAACATAGAGACAAAAAATGGTAGAAGAATAAAATTCCGGCTTTGAGCCGAACAGAAAAACGCATCACAGATGGTGCGCGCACTAATCTAGTAGAGTTGATTAAAAAAAGACGTGCATAGATTCTATTGAGAATCACCGGCTAAATATTTGTCTTTGTCAACGAGAGTTTTGTTTTTATTTTTCTAAATTTTAAATGTGGAATCATCTCGATATTTTTCAGTAACTCTGTTTGCCATTAGTTTCAGATTATCGAGTGACCCTATTAAACCAAAAAAATGATATTTGAGTTCCTCTTTCATTGTATCAAACGAGGTCAAATTTGAGGACGTTGTACTGTGTTCATATTCATCGGATGAGACGGTAGATGAGGCAGATGAGTTGGGATTATGATCAGAACTAGCAAGTAAAATTCCTTCGTCATCATTGATATCTTTGTTCTCGACTTGATGTGATGTTATATCATTATCAATAAATGGATGTGATCGAGTGAGTTGATCGCGAACATCACGGACGAAAGTATACAGTTCATGCCAGTTGTTTGGTTGAACGGCATTGTCGAGGATCAATTCTAAAATAGGAGAAAAGCGTCTTCTTTGAATTGAAAGAAAAACATTTCTTTTTTTACCATCCACGGGCATGTCTTTTAATCTTGACGGCAACATAATTTCATCTTCCATTACTTTAGTAGCTTGAAAAAATTCATTCATCACACCGGAAAGCAGTGGCACAGCTAACGTTGATGGCGTGTGTTGATTTAGAAAGTCATTACTGGTTGCTGCTATGTTTTGACGACGTTGATATGCCATGTATTGATTTCGCCGTTGTATCGTACTAGCAGAAGATGACTGTCGACTTAGTTTATTAGTTACCTGTTGTTTACGAAGTAAATTTGGCGAATTGTTTGTTGGTGTCATAACCGATGCAGAAGAATCTTCTAGTTTCATGATTGTTCAAATCGAGTCAAACTAGAAACGACAATCTCTTTATAAATAAGGCAAAATGAGAGAAAAAGAGAAGAAAAAAAAACTGAAGGCCTCTTTTTCTTCTTGTTTCTTACGTGCACAACACCGAAACCGTAATACCACTTCACTAAGAACGCAGCGAGAGGAAGAAAAGAAAAATAAATGATGAATAGAGAAAAGAAAGCGACTTGGAGGAAGAAAAAATATATATCTATGCATTTTGTTTTTATTATACTTCGACGTATATTACCAAGCACGCCACACATCGAGCGAATGTCTCATGAATGATGATGCTAGCTCTTGCCGTCATCTAGCTTCGAAATGGTAGAAACAGATATTTCTCATATCCCTGGGAGAAAGAAGATAATATTCCGAGTATAAAATTAAAAGCTTATCAAAGAAGATGTTTTTCTCTTTATTGTAAACAGAAAATGAAACACGTTGGATCGCCCTGTTTTAAATAAATATTCTGATTCGTTTTTTTATATTATTATTTTACTGATTCACTAAATTACCCGTTTTTTGCCTACATTGTCAATATAAACCAATGAAACACATTCGCCTACATTTTGTTTTTTTTACATCTTCAGAAACGAATCAACATACGTCACTAAGCACTCTTCTTTTTTTCATTTCTGACACAACAAACTGTTATCAATCAGCTGTGGCACGCCACACCTCCACAAATAGAAGCGAACAGAAAAATAACAACTTATCTTGACTTTTTTCTACTGCTCTGTATGAGGCATATGGTGTGATCGATGCGTGATACTCATCGATACGTTTTTATCAACATCTGTTTTTATTCGTTTTGACACGAGTAACAAAAAAAACAAAGTTACAAAAGCGCTGTCCATTCCCAAAACTATCGATATGCACTATTAAACCTTGAATTTACACTCTATAGAACAATGTGAATGATGTAAAAATTAGACACACCCTCACTCCGTCCCCCCAACATTCTTAATCGAAAAGAGAAAAAACAATCATCGTCGACGCGTTGCATTAAGAGCATAATGCGGACACATAGCCTTGATCACCAAAAATGTCAAAACAAACTATCATTAGAATGATGATTGACATGACAAAGTATTGCTTAGTGTGATGTTTATTCCAGATAGAAAAAAGGAAAATGGGATCATCAATGACAAGAGGCGATATTGAAAGTCTTGCAACAGACTTTTATGATCTGCTAGAATCATTCAAACACGCACCTTTTTATCATATATCATTTGAAATCTTCCTTGTTTTGGCGGTTATATGGCTGGTGTTCTTTCGTAAACCACGTCCCATTGAAAAGAAATTAACCGAACGAGAAAAACAAGAATTAATCGATGAATGGCAACCTGAACCATTAGTTCCACCTGCGGATCCTAATCATCCAGCATTGAACGTACGAGTATTAGATGGTATTGTGGGTAAAACTGTGGAAATCGATGGAAAGAAAAGTCTCAATTTTGCAACATTTAATTTTTTGAATTTTGTTGGCAATTCACGTATTAGTGAAAAAGCGATACAAGCTGTACAAAAGTATGGCGTTGGCTCTTGCGGACCACGAGGGTAAGTTGATAGAAGACAAATTCGAGTTACTGATCTGCTTTAGTTTTTCTCCTATTCCGACGAAAATAGTATTTATTTGATTAGGAAATATTGATTGTCCTAAGTCAATTAGAGCGCAGATTTAGCTTTCTTCGGATGACATCTCACACGATATATATGACTATTTTTAGAATAAAAAAAACGGAATAGATAACTTAATTATGAAATAAGGAATTTAAGTCAGACTTCCGATGTTTTTGGTTGGATCCACTCCGTGGGAGACTGTAGGTAATGGTAAATCTGATGAATATGTCATGTTTATCTGATGTCATCAGTCCAAACATACTTTTTTCCCATTAATCATATGGGAATGATTCATTGGATGTTATCTTAGATTTTACGGCACTATTGACATTCACCTTGAACTTGAAGAACGACTGGCGAAATTTTTCAACTGTGAAGAAGGTATTATTTACTCATATGGATTCTCTACCATTGCAAGTATTATCCCTGGTAAGAATTTACTGATTTTTCCTTTAGATATGCCGTGAATTCGAAATTAATTTCTGTTTAGCGTATTCAAAACGTAATGATATTTTATTTGTTGACGAGGGTGTTCATTATGCTATCCAAAAAGGAGTTGAAGCATCACGCAGTCATGTGAAATGGTTCAAACATAATGATATCCAAGATCTTGAACGTTTGTTAGCTGAACAAGATGTTCTCGATAAGAAAAATCCGAAGAAAGCTCGAACTATTCGACGATTTTTAATCATCGAAGGTTTATATGTCAATTATGGTGACATTTGTCCATTACCTCGAATGGTTGAATTGAAATACAAATACAAGTACCGAATATTCATCGATGAAAGTGCGTCGTTTGGTACCATTGGACAAACAGGCCGTGGTGTCACTGAATATTATGACATCGATCGACAAAAAATTGATTTAATTTCATCAACATTAGAATATTCGATTGGTTCGATCGGTGGTTTTGCCGTTGGTAGTTCGTTCGTTGTCGATCATCAACGTTTATCTGCTCAAGGCTATTGCTTTTCAGCTTCGCTACCACCTCTTCTTGCCGCAGCAGCTATTGAAGCGTTAAATATCATGGAAGAAGAAAGTACGCCTTTGTTCGAAACAATTATGTCGAAAAGCAAACGTTTACACAAGAAACTATTATCCATTAAAGGTTATAGTGTTACGGGAGATGAAATATCTCCTTTAAAACACCTTCGTTTAGCCAATGCATTGAATACAATTGGACGTTTAGAAGAAATTGTTCAATTTGCTCAAACACGTGATATTACAATTACTGTTGCAAGATATTTAACCGATGAACATCTTTTGCCTGAGCCATCCATTCGTCTGATACTAAATGTTGAAATGAATGATGAGGAACTGGAATTTTTGTGCACCGTTCTCCAAGAGGCACTTGTCAAAGTCACAAGTTAGACTTCATTTTCGACATTCCTTTGATCAAATTGAAACAATCGACAACCTTTTTTCTCTTTTCTTCTTCTTTGTTATAGAACCACTTGCTTTTTATATAAATGAATAAACTCACACAACATTCTTTTGCAAGAAATGATAGACAATCGTCTGGATTGTTGTAATTGTTTGTCTTTCATTTAGAAATCTTCAATGGCAAAGACAGATCTTTTCAGGGTATTTAGTTTGAGAATGAGAGAAGAAAACGTGATTGCATGGATCTGGCGCGTTGTTGTATTATTTGAATGATTATTTCGTTTTTGTTCTTTTTATTCGAAATAGAATGTGTTTGGAATCGTATTGCACTTCGGCTTGATTTTAACGATGGCCGAGAGCTCCAAAACAAAAGTTTTAGTATTTGGTGGTAACGGATTCATCGGCGGGGAAACAGTTGTCGAACTGTTAGCATTACATGCATTTGACATAACAGTTGTTAATCGAGGTAATTGGAAAGATTATGATTCAAATATTCGGATTCGGCCATTCGTAAAGACGATCAATGTAGACAGGTTCGTGATCGAATTCAATGGTTCGGTACGATCATTGAGTTGATTGAAATGCGTTTGTTTTGTATTAGAAAATCATCGGATGCAGTTGAAAAACTTCGCAATACTATTGGTGACGAACAATTCGATGCTGTGATTGATTTCAGTGCATATGATAGCGGTGTTGTCAAAGATGCTTTGAAAGTTCTTGAAGATCGGTTTCGACTTTATATTTACATCAGTACAGATTCAGTCTATGAAGTATGCATTGTTTAGATGTAACACAATGATATGTGAGTGTGTTGTAGGTTTGTTTGCCAACTTCGAATGAGCTCTCCAGTGAAACCGATAGTATTCGACCGACGGATTCTGATGAATATGAAAGTTTACGGAGAAAAGATTCCTATGGTCATAAAAAATTAAAGTAAAACACATCTCTTTCCGAATTGCCAAAGAAGTATTTTGATGTATTCAGAGTAGAAGAACATTTAATTGAATGGCAATCGAAAACAAAAGCAAACAACTGGTCGTACGTCATTCTCCGCCTTCCGGATGTCTTAGGTCCACGTGATTCAACCGATCGATGGTGGTTCTATCAAATGTGGATACAGTTCTATTCATCAATTCAAAAACCATTGGAAATTTCTACACATCTTCGCTCATCATATATCTATGTCAACGATATTGCGCGATACATTGCTTACATTCTCTCAAAAACATTTCTCGATTCATCAACAATATTTTTCAATCAAATACTTAACATTGCCTGCACAGAAATCGTTTCCATTCATGATTTATTATCTGTAATCATTGGCGAACTCAACTTGACTGATCTGCGTATGCCGATTAGATATAATCCAAACACTGACGCAGATTTCTTTCCAAGTGTAACACGTGGTGGATTAAATATTTCAAAGGCATCATCTGCTCAATACAACTGGAAACCAACGCCATTGAAACAAGTGGTACGTGAAACAGTTCAGTGGTATAATGATGCCTATGGACTTTATCCAAATGAACGTTCACACATGGTTAAACGAATTCGACGAAGCTTGTTGAAGGATGATGAAACAACCTATGGAAAATTCCTATACGATGTGAATCGATATTCGACACAAAGTACCATTAAGCGTAAACGAGATGATCGAGAAGAAGATGAGAAGAAGATTGTTATTGTTGATCATATCGATGTTCGATCAGATTATGGTGATCATCGACAACAAAAAGTTTTAAAACATAACGAAATGTAAAAATCCTGTGTTTTTCTTGATCTTGTTTGTTTTTATACTCTGTTTACAAATGGATGATGAGAGAACATAACAAATGAACGAATGAAAAAGCAACAACAGAATGTATAATAAAAGAACACATATAGAGTCCAACAGCGATTACATTCCCGGTGGTCCTAAAAATACGAAAACGTCAAACAATATGTCATTGAAATGATTTATGGTATGGCATACGTGTTCCCATTGTAGGTGGCATAGGAGGCATTCTCATTCCTACTGGCATACCACGGCCTGGCGGTGCCATTTGACTGAAACTGGGTGCGCCAACACCGCGTACTGGTCCTTGAAGGCCAGGAGCAGCAAAACCAGGAGGAGCAAAACCAGGTGCACCGGGTACTGGAGGTACAATACCTATAAACAAAATTAAGCTTGAGTATAGATATCATCGATAGAAAACTCAAATAGCTTACCACGTCCTGCTGCACGACCAGCACCTTGTGCGGCGGCTGCACTCGTCGGTACTCGAGCAATACCAACTTCCTAGAAATAGTTAAAAAGAAACAGTCGCCGTTAATCGTACGATTTCGTAAGAATGTGTAGTCAAATGACTAACCTCTTTTGGTGGTGGTCCTTCCACTGTCATCGAAACGAGATGTTCACCACGTAGTAATATTAAACCCAATGGTCGCTGTTCTTCACGCTCACTTTTATCAGTTTTACTTCGTACTTTACGAAATTCTTCACAATCAGCTAGAATTAGATTCATATGTTTATCGAATGCTTTGAATGTTCCGACAAGTTGACGACCATCTTGCAAGGTACATCGCATACCTATAGACGAGAAAAAAACACACATTATTTTCTCATATTCGTATATTTAAATCAGTAATTACATACGGTAGTTAATATGTTGCAGCATTTTGCTGCTTTTGCCTTGTGTTGGCTGTAAGACAAAAAGAGATAATTTAGTATCGCAGTTTACCGAATAAATTCGCCTTACCATTCTTATCGAATATTCAATTAATTATTGTCGAAAACGCAAGAACGATATTTCCGTGACTATTCTTGCTCAAACTAAACCTTCCTTGTCTTTCTCTTGTTTTTTGCTTCATTATGGAAACCTCAACCAATGAAATGTTCGACCCCACGCGACATCTCTTGTTAGATTTTTGTATGTTATTTACGCAGGAGGTGATTTGTCGTAGAATAATATGGACGACTGAAACAGCAAACAAAAATAATAATAACAATCCATTGCATTAGTTTTTTTTTCTGTTGGACTTCTGTCGAAATCTATTTATTCTATTCGTTTTTTCAGATCCATCTCGACTCTTTGATTAGTTTTATCATCACTACCAACAAACTATGGGTCACTCATCAATCTTTCGATCGCATCCGCATAAATACGGCCCCGGCAGTCGTAAATGCCGTGTATGCTCCAACGGCCATGGTATCATTCGCAAGGTAATTCATTGACTAAGTTCCAATGTGAAGTTCATTGATCGACAATTGTGTTTCTTTGTTGTAGTATGGTTTGATGATCTGTCGTCAATGCTTCCGCGAATATTCAAGTGATATCGGCTTCAAGAAACTCGATTAAATACCACCAATGAACAAAATAGAAGAAAAATAAAACAAACTCCATCGACACAAACGTTTTCGAATCATTTGTGTTTTCTTTTTCGCTTTGTTACCTGTCGTTTATGATTACTGTTTTGGTGCGAAATGATGGAATAAAAAAATCATACAATCAGAAAAAAAGATATCGAAGCATCTTCACCTTTTGAATGTTAAAGTCAAGCTCGAACTCGTTAGCATCCATTATTTTCAGTATAAAGTACAAGGTCATTATATTCAATTCACTAACAATGCTAATAGATCTTCGAAGTTTGTTCAGGTCAACTTTGAAAGGTAGACAGTATGTGTCATCGATAATGATCGAAGTATCATGCGCACGCAGTATGTCGAAACAGAGAAACCATCACGGTTACCAAATGTAGTTGAAAAGAAATGAAGCCAATAGAACTCATGAGCATATATATAAGTTTGTAATAGCAACGACTTTTGCTAAGGCAAAATTAAACGATGTCCACATTAACGTTAGTTGCACGTAATCTACTAGTATATGGAGGATCGTTCGTTTTTGTTCTTGGCGTTGTCGGCAACGTTTTGAACATTATCCTATTTCTCAGTTTAAAAACATTTCGAGAAACTTCAGCTGTTATGTATTTGCTTCTAACATCGTTTGCTCATATCGGCCTGCTATTAGCAGGACTGATAACACGTATTGCATATAATATATTCGCCGTTGATTGGACAACATTATCAGTAGTTTACTGTAAATTTCGAATATATTTCTTTCATTTTTGTGGATTGTGTGCGTTAGCGGGTATATCTTTGGCCATTATTGATCAATTTCTAGCGACGTCAACTCGACCTCAATGGCGACAATGTAGTAATAGTAAAAATGCGAGATATTTATCGATTCTAACACTGATTTTCTGGTTAGCATACTTATGTCCGCATTTGGTTAATTTCGATATAGTCGTGGATGATCGTCCAAGTTGCGCTATTACCAACAGTGTCTATGCAAAATATTACAATGATATTTTTATACCGGTAATATGGTTTATTTTGCCTTATTCGATCATTATTTTATTCGGTCTTCTGACATATCGTAATATAAGGAATATTTCTTATCGAACTGTACCACTTCTTCGCCGTCGAATTGATGAACAATTAACCATGATGATATACATTCAAGCAACTTTTAGTGTTATGATCACTATTCCTTACATGATATACTTGACAGTCTTGTCTCATGTTTCGTTTTCTGCCGATCAATTCACAATGGATCGATTACTATTGGTTCAAAATAGTGTAATTTTGTTGTATTACACGTGTTCAGCAGTGAGTGTAGCCTATTTTTCTTGAATTAGATGTAATACAAAGTCGGATGTATTTAGAGTCCATTCTACATCTATGTTTGTGCATCGGAACGATTTCGTCGGCAGTTACATCATGTATTTACTGGTTATTTTCGAAATCGGTGGCAAAAACGGCGAGTGCATGTCATAGATATATTTTGATTCATTTTAACTAATGATAGGAGAGTAACGATCACTTTTCCCCCCGCTGTTTGATGTTATCTACACAGAAATGTATCGAATAAAAACAGAAACGAACACATTTGTTTTGTCATTGATACTATGCGACGATCATGTAGTACTTTCTCGACTTTCCAATAAATCATACGGATTACATTGATACTTCCTGGAAGTAGAACTATCTATGGATACATATATCGGAATATAACATGGACTATGAAGGAATACGCAAATGTTTATCTGTATCGGATCTGTGCTATTTATACAGTAGACTGAGAAGTAGTTGGCATAGCGTACTTGATATTCGAATAGTTATATCATGAGATTTCGTTCACCTAATATTCTTATACTTATGGCCGATCAATTAACGGCTGGAATACTTCGTACTTATGGAAATCGCGTATCGAAAACGCCTCACATTGATGCTTTAGCAAGTAATGGCGTAGTCTTCAATTCAGCATATTGTAACAGTCCATTATGTGCTCCATCACGTGCTGTTTTTATGACTGGTCGACTGCCATCCACTACAGGCGTGTATGATAATGCGGCGGAATTTGCTAGTCAATCGCCAACCTTCGCACACTATTTGAGGCATACTGGCTATCGAACAATCCTTGCTGGTAAAATGCATTTTTGTGGTCCTGATCAATTACACGGTTTCGAAGAACGCCTAACAACTGATATATATCCGGCTGATTATGGTTGGACACCGGATTGGACACGCTTTGATCATCGACCAGAATGGTATCATAATATGGATAGTGTCTCACAAGCAGGTCCGTGTGCACGAACAAATCAACTCGATTTCGATGAAGAAGTGGCTGCAGCTGCTCGACAGCGTCTATTCGATCTGGCACGTTTACAAAAACATCAGACGCGACCTTTCTGTTTGGTTGTTTCATTTACGCATCCACATGATCCATTCACCATTCACGAACCCTACTGGAATCGTTATACAGACGATGAAATTGATATGCCACAAGTATCTCAACCTGCACTGGATGCACATTCTCAACGTATACGACATGTTATAGGAATGAATATGCAACCAGTAACCACGGCGCAAATACACGCAGCTCGACGAGCGTATTATGGCGCAGTATCCTATATTGATGATCAACTTGGTGCACTGCAACAAACGTTAAACGATACGAAATTAGCTGATAATACTATTATTATACTTCTTTCAGACCACGGTGAGATGCTTGGTGAACATGGATTATGGTATAAGATGAACTTTTTTGAAGTATAAAAACGAAATAATCTTTCTATTGTGTCTTCTGATGACATTCTCTGTTTATTTTAGGGAGCTTCGCGTATACCGATGATCGTCCATTGTCCTCAATATTTTCGTCCTCGCCGTGTGCAACAACCCGTGTCATTAGCAGATGTTCTTCCTACCTTGGTAGAACTAGCTGGCAATGGACAACAAACAACGGAGTATATTACACCAATTGATGGTCATAGTTTATTATCTCATCTGTCGGGAACAAATGATGATTCAAATAATGAAACAGCAGTAAAATGCGAATACTTAGCTGAAGGTGCTATCGCACCAATCGTTATGCTTCGTCGTAATCGTTTCAAATTTATTCATTCACCCGTTGATGCTGATCAATTATTTGACCTTGAAAATGATCCCAATGAAACGCACAATATTGCTGATGAACAAAATGATCTTGTATCTGACTTTCGTTCAGAAATCTATCATCATTGGGGTGATTTACAACTGTTACATGAACAAGTTCTTGCCAGTCAACGCCGACGAAGATTTGTGGCCAAAGCTCTTGCAATAGGTACTCATAACGCATGGGATTGGCAACCAGTACGAGATGCACGTAACATGTACATTCGTAGCCATATGGCACTGGACGATATTGAAGCTATGGCACGTTTTCCTCCTGTACCCAAGTCAACTAACTAATGAAAAGAACAGTTCAATTTAGAATTTTTGAATGATATGTTTATCATGTAATGAAAATATAGATCACAGCGAATTGATTAGTTGATACTTCAGTGTTAAAAAAAAGTAAAAAAAAAAGATTGATCGTTTGTCTCCAAAAGAACGTATCGAAAATATAATAAGATACTAAATTTATATACGAAACATCATTCTTCTTCTTCTTCTTCTTCTTCTTCATCGTCGTCGGTTTCAGCAGCATTTGTATTTTCTGCATTGGTTACTGCAGCTTGTTCTGCTGCTTTGGCGTCACGTAGTTCAGTGGAGTGGCATATAATATCAATCATAGAATCTTTATCCAGTTTAGTAAAGTCTTCTTTTCGACAAATTTCATTGAGATTATCGGCACACAGATTATAAATGAAATTCAATAATGAATCAAATGCCGGCGATGTTTTCTTCACAAAGTCGTACGTTGTTATGATCAAGTCATGATTCACACATAAATGATGACCGAGTTGTTCCATTGCTGCGTTCTTCGCCGACACGAGAGTGATCTTATTCGTATATATCAATAGTTCCATTGCAGTATCATAAGAGATATCAGCTGGATACGTACCAGTATAGATAAACTGTAAGACTATATGAAATACGCTCTTAGTAATATCGGTTAACGCAATCGGTTTCCTTTGTGACTTTTCGACGAAATCGTTTAATAATAATGAACGAAAGTACTGACTACGAAAACAGAGAACATTACGATGAGCATGAATGATTTCATTATCAACGAGAAATTGAACATCAGTGTGCAGTTTCTTCTGAGCTTGCTCGTATAAGTCTGACATTGCTGAAGGCAATGATTTCTGATGGAATTTCGCATCGAACGTATTTGAACCGAGTAATTCTATGAATAGTCATATCTTAGGATTACTGATAAATAGAACGCTTCGTGCTTACTGATAGCCTGAATGCCTATTTGGTTAGAATGTGTGGGATCGATCGTGAGACGAATCGTGTTCGATTGAATGCGATATCGTCTTAAGATTGGTTTGAAGGTATGATGCGATGCCGAATGTTTCGTTGAAGGTATTCGCCGCTGCCACATGATTAGCCAAATATCTGAAGAGGAAAGAAAATGTATATTCATACAGGCACTCTATTCGGATGGTTCACAACGCGCTGTTTACCTCTTGCAGAATCAAGCATTTCTAGTTTGACAATACCGCCTGGATTGAGAGTTTCATAAACAATAATTTCATTGATAAATATTGATCTTTCAAACGAAACGACTAACGACTCTTGTCGATTATTATTTGTTACTATCCATCCATGATTATCTGTGTCTGGATCTTCAACAGCAGTATTAGTTGCATGACATAGTTTTTTTACACCGGTATCTTTCGTCACTGCCTGATCAGATTTCGAATTGACTGAGCAAAACTCGATTAAATTCACCCACTGCTCATTACCAACGGTGTTGTCAGTGGTCTAAATATATCATATTTAATTATAATCGAGCTCATCTATATCAAATACTTCTTCTTCATCCACCCAGGCATCTGAATCTTCAGATTGTGAAGATGTATCTATGTCTAAAATATCGGTTGACGATGATGATGACATGAATAAGTCTAAAAACCTCAATTTTGAAACGTATATTAAATGAGCAAACAGGTCAACATGGCAATTTGATACTCAATTGTGCAATACCTAACGAAAAGCCGGTGAATGATTCATTCTACTGCAAATCGATAACCAATCCAAACCATTCTGTCGATAGTTGTCACTGATAAAAAAAGAACCTTTGCACAAAGTTTTTTTTTCGTTCTGTTCGTTGCAAAAACGATCTGTTTACTTTTCTTATCGCCAAAATATTTTACATTGCAATGGACTAGTTCGGACACATCACAACCAGAAATGCAAAATAAATAAATAACCAGGTTGCGATGGTGATCTGTTAAGAAATTGGAAAGAAAAGGACAAACAAAAGGATCAACGCTTGACCTTATTTTTAATTGTGTTCGATTCTGACGTTGCTTCACAGTCGATTAGTGGTATTTTACAACGAAATGATTTAAATTTTTTATCATTCAAGGTAAACTTCTACTTTTGTGCTTATTTTTTTTCAACACCTGTCTCTTCGTTACATACAACTCTCCGCTTTAGATGCTGATTTCTATCAAAGTATACACTGGATACCATTAGATTAGAAAATATGAACGGGATGATAAGAGCAGAGTAGAAAAGGTAACTGAATATATGTGTATAGTTTCCATTCATGAAGAATGTCTTCATTTGGAGGAAAACTTGAATTCTTTCGTTCGGTTATTTTTCCAATTCTTATGTTAATTGATAGTCGTTGATATCTGACCATGAAAGAGCTGTCTAATGTCTAAAGAAGAAAAAGAAGAACAGGGTGACGGATAGTATTCATTAGACACTGTTAAATTGCCGAAGAATTTATCAGATAACAGAATTTGATATATAGAAGTCAGTTAAAGTGTGTTTGTTTTCATTTCAGATAAATTTTCTCATGAGTGAATATGCTCGTTGCATGTTTCGACGTCTTTTTTGACTGATGCCTTTTATATACGCACATTGAAGTTTGGAAAAGAGAATTTTCACCGAAAAAAAAATCAATCTTGCAATTACTTACCTTTTCTGTTCTGTTCTTCGACATTCCGAATAACTTCGCTTTCTTTTGCATAAAATTTCAAAAGCTATTGAAGGCATCTAACTGTTCTATTTTTCATTTTTAGACATGGAGGATCGTGATGGTAAAAAACCTTTCATTATACCTAAGACTCATACGTCAAACAAAGGTAATTGGACATTTTCAATCGTTTGAAAGTATTTGATTTGACCTCTGGTAGACGTTATCATTTCGGAGAAGCCGGATAGTCGAAATGTAACTGAGTTGTTTGAAGATATCAAATCCTGTGCATTGGAAGCTCATTTTGACTTCCGACAGAAGAATTGCAAATCCTGCGATACAATTCGAAATCAAAAATTGCTAAAACTATATAAGTAAATCGAACTCAACTGAGAAGATCACTCGAAATCGCTTCTTTATTTCTAGCGAAAAACGTTTGAAAATGAAGAAGGAACAAGATCCAATCGAACGTTTAGCTTTCCATCTAGTGAATTACCGTGATGTTGCAGCGAACGTTGCCAGTGATGGCCTAAATTGTGAACAATTATCGTTTCCAATCGAGAAATATCTTGGTAGAATTTTTGAATTGAATATCGAATCGAATTGAACTGCTTGTATGTTAAAGGTAATCCGAAAGACGGTATACATTTATCAAAACGTCCAGATGTCGTTCTAACATCATCCGGTGCTCAAGGACTGTATCGATTTGGACTACTCGTTTGTAAAGTAGGTTGATTTTCTACACTTCCTTCGTTCATACGATTGAAAAGTGTACTTTAAGGTTCTTCTGGGTAAAGGTTATCCAACTCTGCCTTCAATAGCTAATAATCAATTGGCTGCACAAGTTAATTATGATCATCATTATTGCAAAATCCAAGCGATAAACAAAGAGCAACGTCACATCGATGATCTTTTGGCAAATTCTTTAGTAAATTTTAACGACCTGAGGAAAACTAATATGTAGATCTTATTTTCTCTAGATTTTCTGCTATGAACATGAGAATTTTGAACCTGTTTCTCATCCACCTCAAATTTTGCCGATTGCTATTCTCTGGTACGATCTTAAAGACAAATTTCCGCCAGAACTAACATCTACACATCTATCAAAAGTAACATTGACTCAAGAATCTCAACAGCGAAATGGGAAAACTGCCAATAGACGAGTAGCAATCAAAAGTAAAACATCCAAACCAACTGTCTCCGTTCCTGACAAACTGTCAACATCCGGTACGTGGAACACACCTGTTCCAGAAACACCAGTAACGGAGCACACAACGACTACCAATACATCTGACTCGTCGTCGACAGTAACAGCAGCCAAGTATCCTAGTCATCTAATGGTCCCATATCATCGAGTTTACTCAACTCCAGCAGTTGTAGTAACTACAAATAATGAAGAGACATCACTTAATATTCCCCAAATCGTACAATCTTCTCGTGATCCTCGTTTAACGCGCACAAACCGTGATCGAAATTCCCTCTCGTCAGACACGAATCCACTATCTCCGCAAAGTGCACAAATTGAACGGTCATTATCTGAGAATTCATCTACAACGAAACCCTTCTCAGATGAACTGGTGTTGATCGCCAAAAGTACTTCATTGATCTACATTCCATTGAATTCTTCTTCGCCATTGCTTGATCCACGTTTGAAAACTTTGAAATCAACACGGAATGTCTTCTTTCTTGAACCACAAGCCATCAAACATGCATTACAGCAGCAAAAACGTCTGAATCATTATCATGATTCAAAAAGTGGCTTACCACCTAGAACAAGTTATTCGCCCGTGCCATATCTTGTTCGTGAAGTGTCGAATGAAGAATATGAACGATTAATCAACGAATCGAACAACTCGTGTAAACTCGATAAATATTCCAATGGGGTTGATTGTTCAGCGTTGCATATCTCTGTGTTCGATTGTTTCAATTTTGGATTCGTCCAACCGTCAGCTACAGGTTCCATGTGTATTGATTTAGAGCGGAAGGAAAATAAGGTGGCTTATAAGCAGATCGAGATGTGTAACGAATTGATCCAGCGTGAAAAGCAATTGAATTCTCAACAAATACGCCTCCATTTGCGTGACAAACGACAACGACGGATTCAGCAACACTTGGATGAGAAGAAGAGCCGTGAAAGGCATAATTCCAAATCCACATCGTTGAGTCCTTCACTATCGGCTCACTCGAAATCATACATAGCATCAGGAAGAAAATTATTGAAAGATCATCAAGTTTCATCTACATCATCAACGCGACAGTTATCACCAGATCTATTTGATTTCTTTTCGCAAGAGTACAGAACCGAAACTCGTTCACACGTGAAACAGTTGATTGCTGAGCTTGTTGGCATTTTCATTGAGAAATATCATACCAATCCGAATGTAACTAAAATAAAAGGTCATTTACCAGAAGGTAGAATTTCAAAAGCATTTTTTTAAAATTATCTAACTCTTTTTATTTTGAAGAATCTGATGTCGATAGTCGAACGATAAATTCTGTAATCGACATGGATGTTGATTCGCCATCATCTCAGGGATTATGTGATCATGACGAACGCTTTCGGATTCCAACACCACCTCCACCACCGTTACCACCACCGCTAGCACTACCGCCCCTGCCACCAACAATCGAAGCTGTTATAAATCCGTCAATGCTCTCGGATCGTCTCGCACCTACTCTGGCCAGTGAACCGAATAAAATGTTTGATAACTCGAATTATAATAATCGTTGCGACAAATTATTCGAAGAAATAAGACAGCACAGGAAGAAAGAACCGATATCAACAAATTTACTTATTCCAGCTAAAACCGAAGCAACTTTGTTGTCAGAAGAAGTTGTTATCAATAAATGTGTGGAACAATTCGAATTGTCAACAAGCGAAGGTAGTTCATTGGACGACAATCAATGTCCTAACGAAGACGAGGGTGTACAAGATGAAGAAAATACACTTCTATCCGCGTTACAGGATTCAAGTGCGGCTATTGATGAAGATTCGAATCGATTTCGTGATGAATTTGTTAAGTTATTAACGAAAGAAGCTTACATATCAAAATCATCGAGCCCAACGAAAGATCAGAGTGAATCCAAGCACTTGCATGAGCATACACCTCAGCGAAGACGATCGCATGATGAAAGTAATGATAAAGTTAGAAAAGACGGATTCCTAAATCATTCGAATTCATTGAATAATACAAATCGGTAAGAGATTTCTGAAATAAAAGACAACGTTTTTCTTGACCATATCTTTTCTCGTAGGTACGTTCAATCGTCGGAAAAGAAAATTTCTTCAACTCGAACAGTAACTCTTGTTTCTAATCGAACGGCGGTATTAACAGAAAACCATTCTGTATCGAAGCAACTCGAGTCTCCATTAGACATCAATAGACATGTAGAAGAAGAGCCAACAAATAAACGTATAAAAATTGATTCGATTGCTTTTCCAGTAACACCGACTGATGAAATTGACAATCAACAAGTAGTAGATTCGAATGGTATTAGTTCGAAATCTGGTATTACAGTTTCAATCGTTAATAATGACCATGATTATCGACGAGATCTGAATGAAAAACGGCGAACAACATCAAAAACGAAGTCGTCACGTTCTTGTTCACGTTCACCGTCAAATGATCGACATCGTTCGCACTATTCACAACGACATCGGTCACCCTCACATAACTCATCAAACAGGACTTTGAAGATCTCATCCGAATCTACTACAAGATTGAGAAATCATTCACCATTGTCGTCTTCGTCCTCGTCGTCGCGATCATCATCACACGATAATCGCCACCGATTACAACAGAAATCAAATCGTCTTGAACATCATACCGAACGCAAACGATCGTTTGACATAACAAGTCGTCCTTATCAACATTCAACAAGTTTGTCGACCGAACGACAAGACAAGTTCAACGATGCTTCTTACCGAAACACTCTCTCAAACATATACCGTCAACGAAATGTAGACGATACAATTCAGCCACATAATGCACATTCTCTGTCCCAACAACAACCTGTAGGTCATAGGAGATTTAATTACAATCATCAATCCGTTGCTAACCATCCACGTTTCGCAAACATAACTCCATTATCATCGGCACCAAGTATAAAATATGACTATGCAAAATCATCATCTGATCATCATCGAAGTCGTAGTCCTGCTTCGGTTTCCATGATCAATCGAAAGTAAGCAGATCTTTTCAAACATCCGATTAGTTCAAGTTGATTTCTCGACAAAATATAGAATCCGGACTATCTCATTCGGTAGTCAATATCGACAATTTGCTTATTCTAAACTTCTAATTTAGAATCTATCATTACACAGTTGTACATTCCGCTCGAACTCATAAATAAAATCATGGTAATAAACTAGATGTTAATTGGGTGCTTGTTCTGTTCAGTCGTACGAAAATGATTGTAGATGTAGAGAAACGTTTCTTTGTTTCACCGACAGTGTCGTTATTGATATCGTTCTTATGTTGACCTTTGTTTTTATTTTAGTGTCACTTCATTCCATAAGGAGCCTAATCATCTTGATCAAGTCGAACCAGAGGAAGACTTATATACTGATCGTTTCGATTTGAAACCATCGCATACAATCGAATGCTTACAAATGTTGCTACAAAAGAAAACTACGAACTGATTTTCCACTTTCTCACAATCGATTCTTTCATACGCTTTAATCTAAATGAAATCTGATAAGTCCGACCGCTCTATATCAAAATGATCTCCTTCCAAAGCTAAATCTGACGTCATTTATACTTCAAACTAAGCAAACTTCTTGCAAGTAATGATAGTGAACAAATCATTTCTATTAATAATAAGTGTATTGATTGATTACCCATCCTCTTTCATTTCCTTTTTTGTTAACTGTTCGCGACTATGTTCGATAATTATTCGTTTATATCAAACAAATCAATCATAGAAATCGATTGGAAGTCAACATAGTCGAATTTTTTTTCTTTTCTTTCGTTTTGATTTTTCTTGTGTTAGTTTAGGCAAGTATTTGCTTTTCTTGAACGTGTATTGTGCCTATTAATGTACAGAAGTAAAATACGTGTGCTTGTATATTCACGCGAGAGACTATTTCAAAACAGCTTGTTATCATCTACAATTTTCGATACAATAAATTGAATAATCTGTTTTTTCCTAACATGTACATTCTACTAATTCTATGGGATATATTTCATTGTTTCGTAACACTGGTACTTCAATGTACTTAAAATACACTCGATCGAATAGAGTGTGCATTCATCCGTAGGTTTTGATTTCGATAAGAATTAGTTTGAATGTATCGATGTTCATATAAAAACATGCGCTACTTAATTAAGAACTTGAACTCGATTTCGAACAATTTCTTTCCATCCATTATTCATCTTTAAAACGAATCCGCTCAAGTGTTGTGTTCACAAGCAGTGAACAAATGTCAATCGTTGCCATATGTACACTTAACATCAAGTGATTTTTTTTTTGTTCTTGGAATTTTTTCCTACTCGCTCGAAACGAACAAAAGAAAACAAATGGCAGTCAATCAAACTTATAAATGTATTATATGTAGGTGTGTACATGTACGCCTTCGAATTGTGCTATTCTCAAAAAGGCTTCTTCGTTTCAAGGTTATGGAAAAAGAAGAAAAAGATTCATCGAAGATACCAATTCGATTTCAATAGTCATTGCGGACCAGTTCAATGCATTGAAGTTGATGCGAACCATTGGCAATGAATATTTGATTCAATCCGTGTACTGCTAAAGCGCGTCCTGAACGAGATAATTTAACAAATTCTTTTCGACCATGTTGATCAATAATCCATAATTTTCTTTTTCCATTTGTTAGAAAGAATTTTCCTTCATTATTGGCACGGATTTCATGATCAATATCACATTCACCTAAACGAATCGTGCATAACTCGCGTAGATCAGATGTATCACAGAAACTTAAGTGAAAGATTTTTCTGTAGGACGATTTGTCTAGCATTTGTTTGAATTGAAATACTGTGGCGATAAGATTTGTGTGTGTACAAAACGATGTGCTATTGTCGGAGAAATGTGGATAATCGCTTAGGTTGAATACTTTGACGCAATGAAATGTTTTCGGTGAATAAACATGTAATTGACTTAGACGTGGCGTATCCGTCCAAAGCCAAAGAAAGTTTCTATCTGCTGACAAACGAACGTATGACCAATGTTGTGTCAATTGCATTTGAATGTCAATTGTTGAACTCTCGTTGTTCGAATCGATTGTGCATGTATAAAGACCTTTCCGAGTTGCGCAAACAAACTGTGACGAAACAGGCGAATAGATCAAATCAAGTATCGGATAATGCGGCCACCGACAAGTGATTTCTTTCGTTATTGATATATGTTCGATCTGTTGGTCAAACGAGATGTCTCGTACATAACAAAGTAGTTTCGACGTGTCGGAAAAGTAAAGTAAATGTTCGCCATCGCTCGCTATTCGATCAACTTCATTTTGAGTGAGAATTGTACCTTGGGATGTGTAACGTGTACTCAGATATGGTTCAGTATTGGCACGAGTGCTTAGTTCACTTGTGTTTTCTTGTAGTGAATAATATTCATCTTCATCAGCATCGTGATTAGCGGTGACATTCGGATTTGATTCAATTATGGAATCGGTTTGTATTTGTTTTGTTGAGTAAATATTTTGATTAAGTTCTTCAATTTCAGTGTCAACAACGATTTTTTCACTTTCATATTCATTCGATTGACTGTAAGAACATTGAGCAGTGATTAATTTACCTGGAGAGGATGCAGAAAACTCTTTGATCGGCGAGCTTGATGATGAATTTGCTAAGAATTGACAATGTAAATCAAGTCGGTTTCGCGGAAATGTTAACATTTTGAATTTCATATCCGGGGAAGAAAAGAGCTTCAAACGATCTTCAAGTTCTTTTATTTGTTTGCGTTGTTGTTCTAGTTCAAGCATAATATCGTTCTTCGCGCTGTCATATGCCCAAAATTGTTGAGATTTAGTCGTTAACGGTCGTAGATTTGCAATTGTGTCCGACAATGCAATCTAAAATATTCCATTTTGTCAAGAAAGTCAAGTACAAGCGTGAACTTACTTCGGCATCTTGAAATTGTTGTTTGACATAATCAATACTTTCATCCCGAAGAGTCTGTAAATCGGTTAAGACTTCCTCGAAAACAGTATTGATATTTCGTATGCAATTTTCTTCGAATGTCGAAAGTAGTTCGCGTTTATTATAGAATAAATTTAGTAATTGTATGAAACGTCTTTGCAAATGCGATTGTTCGTCGATTAATTGATTGGTATGTTTTTCAAAGCAATCGTAGCACATTGGTAAGTGACAATGATCACATAAGAAGCAAGATAAACGTTTTTTTCCATTAACAGACGATGTCTTTGAACATGTTTGACAATAATCCTCATCGAAAAGGAGTTTTTCAGTCGAAGAATTCATAATTGTGTGTAACATGTGTGATGTTAAATTGTTCAGAAGAGAAGTAAAGTTATGTAGCCGTCTTTTACTTTACGACGCCTTTTTTTGTTCTCTTTCTTGTTTGATTAATGTTACAAAGGAAAGGAGAAGAAGAAGTAATAAAAGAGAAGTGAATAACAACAACAACAACAACCGGTATTGCGGTAATAATCAACAATTTACATTTGAGTAAAGAATTTCTTTTCTCATATCCGTTCTCCTTCTCTTTTTGCGTCTCGCATTCGAAATTAGAAAGCAGAAAATTGATTATTTTTTATAGTTCTATTTCAGTTGTAATACAAAAGAAAAATCTCGATTCTTTTGTATCAAACAGAATATTTTAACACTGAATGAAACTCTAGATGAATTCTATTTGTGTAGTCGTTTCTAGAACAGTCAGATTTGCATACAGAAAAAAAAACAACTTTTCACGAGATGTTCGCTCAAACCTTCTGCATTCCTATCCACACTTGAGGACGGGGAGTCGATATCCAATAGTAAAATCACAAGCGAGTTATATAAAAAAAGTTTCGGACGCCGATAGCAAGCGAATAGAATTCGACATTCGATAACTATTCAAAAAATCTTGGTTGATGATGGAATTTTCGGACCTAACATTTGTCCAATATATAGATAATGTTCACCGTATGTGACAATAAAAACGAATGGGCGATTAGCAAAGAATACCCATGGAATGACGGGTGACAAATCGATTGAATGTACACATAGTGTTGATGGTTGTTTGCTTCCATCTGTGGTCATGTCAAGAACAAAACGTCCGAGAGAATATGCTGCAGCTATGAATGAAAACCAAATATTATTGTATTAAGATTCGATTTCAATAGCATACACAAATGAGTATCCTCGTTTTGTTTAATTATAGTAGTAAAATTGAACAAATCACGAAAGTTTTTCAATGATTCACTAATGTTCATTTCAATATTCATGAAAATGTTCGGTATACAAACACTGATGAAGGCTAACGAAAATGGTAGATGGATATATTCATTTAGATTGGCATAGATATGCACAAGATCGGACGAACAACTACGAGAGACAAGATGACATGTCATAACATATTTCAAATATGCGAAAGAAAGAACCGTGGAAGCAGAATGATTAGTTTCGTTGGTATTCCATGATAAACTTCGCCAGGAATTTCAACTTTTTGAAATGTTTCATGAAAAGCAATACGAAAAAGGCCTTTGGTGAAATAAAATTTGGTTTCACTCGCTAAGTGAAGATTTGAATGAAATTTCAAGGACCTAAACTTTCAAAAGAAGATCTCTTCAATTATTTTGTTCGCTTTCGTTATTACCACAATTCTTCCCAATCAGTACTTTTCAATGGTCGAAAGATCAGTGAACTACATGTGATTAATGCCACAGATTCGGTAGTAATGTGACTGAGAAATTTTTGTGAGAATTGAAATGTTTGATCCGAAAAATGATTGAATAATTCGTTCAACATCATTTTTCTTTCTTCGACGTCAGTTAACACATGCTGATGAAATTCTGTATTGAAATATTTGCTCGTTTTCCCCTACAAAAACATATTTATTTGCATGGAGTTCCAAATCGATTTTGTTGTCCATACATTCAAGTCATAATCGAATGATTCAATGGAATTTTGATTAAGAAGAAAATAATTATAGAACTGAAATGACTTGTTTTGATTTAATTTATTGTTCAAGGTTTTACTGGAAAGTGTTAGTGCTTCAAATGCTGCCTCGACAGCTACTAAGCAAATAAACGCATTTTCATCGCGTTGAGTTAATAGACATTGTTTACTCAATTCTATTCGTATATCATCCTACATAGAACAATGAACAAGACGGGCTTTGGTGATAAATTACGAACCACGTTAGACATGAATGATACGATGAAAAGAAATCTTATGCGCCATTTTTCAATATATTGAATATTTTCTCAATGCCTAATCGTGCTGAATCATCAGCTACATGGAATAGTCAATCTATTGCATCTGAACAAAGTAATGGTCAAGATTTGCCAGTTACATGTTGTGCATGGCTCTTGCGATTTGTACTTTGTATTTGTCTGTTATTATTCAGCATGCCTTTGGCCTTACTTTTAGCACCATGGTGGGTTTGGTTGCAGGTGTTGGAAAGCAAACTTCCGTACTTGATCAATGGTTATTATCGTATTGTTACATGGCCATTAACATTGAGTCAGAATATTCGATCTTATCGACAAGATGATTATTTTATTGAAAAATTAAAATGGTAGACATTTTCAATGAAAGACGTGATCTTACGAATAGAAAAAATATATTTGTTGAAAATGTGATACATCTAAGCCCATAAACTCTGGTGTATATTGATAAATCAGATATTTTAGTTCGTCTTGTAATGAATCGAAGTGATTTGTATTTTGCCGCGCTTGTTCAGCAAAGAAATTTGCAGTATATTGCATCACTTCAATAGCGTCTCTCGAATGAGGAATTGTTGTATTAACTCGCCATTCAAATGCATTCTTCTCAGGATGCCATTGAACACCAAAGATTGGATAGCGACGACCTAAACAAAGATTCATATTGCGTATGAACAGTTTGACTAACTTATTCAATGACACCTACTTTCAATCGTGGAAATAAATGATCGATTGTCTAAATCATAACTTACTGTCAACATTTTATAAAAATTCGACAAGACAGGATCGGCTGTAAAATTCTAAGAATATCCATATAGAAAAGAACAGAAACCATATATGATAGTTACTTCTGGTCGCATACAAAAATTATGAAAATTAGCAGTCGTTGGCTCATTTACTAATCCCTTTTTGACACTTGATGGTAATGATGATCCTAACAATCGACTATTGTCAGCGTCTACTCGCAATGAAAACTACAGATAAGCATCGAGTGATAATCTCATAGAACTCGTACCGGGCATGAATGTCAGTTCGGTAGCAAAATCGTATCCGTTGCAATGGTCCAGTATGGTTGTTGAGTGTCTTGTTAACATGAAGAGCACCTCAAAACCAAGACACGTTCCCCAGATAGGAAAGCTTTTCTGCGTCTGATCAAAAGCCTAGAATAAATTCGAAAATTTCTTTTAAAATTCTCGTTAGATAGTTTACTTTCAACGACCAAATATAAAATAGATTTGCAACATAGAAATATTCATCAGTAAAATCACCACCTGGAAGTAATACTCTAAAACATTACGAACAGGATTATTCTCAATAGCACGATCTTTTCTAGACGACCAAACCCATTGAGTGAATTGAACAAATGTGCATAGTATTCGATGGATCGATTCATTCTTCAAGAAAGAATAAAGAACTCTTAAGAACACTCAGATTAGATTGTTTTTTCATTTTATACAAAACAGGTACAACTTGAGCACCAGTTGCTTCGATATATTTCACATAGGAAGCTGCGATATAAGTCGTACCATTTGGTTTTTGCCATGTTGATGGAACTGATTGACTCAAAATTCCTAAAATTAGCCTCACGAAAGTAAGATAATCCCACAAGTAATGATTGTCACGATTTACCTATTATAGGTCGATTGTATTCATTTGATGAAATTGGCAATGCATTGCCAATGTTCATTTGTAGCATGAGGAAAACTATCAATGCTCCACTAATCATCATTTTCATCTGAAACATACATTCACTTTTTCTATTTCGTTCTCCATCTATTGTATATAAAATAAGGAATTGAATCTTACGATACTTATTCATTTGAATGAAACAACCCGCATTGACATTGAACAATACTAAATCGTGTTGGATGATGACATATACCTAAAATTGAAGTTTAGCTTTTGAAAATCAACCGACAATTTCCACTACTTATGTGGGATTTCGGTCATGTATAGTCAATCATCTAAAGAATCTACGCATTGCTGACAGCAAGGCAAATATTAGACGTATGTGATACTTCAATATGCAAATAATCAAGCGATCATTTGTAACACGGTACGAAAGATAAGAAATAACCGCGTGCTCTCTTTCTATCCAATAAGGTATAAAACAAACTACTTTTTCAATAGAAAGTTAGATAACAAATAACTGAAATAGTAAACTTTTTTATAAGATGGTGCATGTTGAAGTTTTACAAAGAATGAATGATGACTCATTCATAGAAACGAAAACAAAACGTGACAGGAATGAATGTAACTCGATACACTAAACTATCTATTCATGTATCTGAGTTTTACAAGGGAATGAAGAAAATACCTTTATTCAATGGCAATTCAATATAGAAAGAAAGAAAATTCGAACTGCAATTTATGATGTGATTATGAGACGTAGGTAATGATGCACTCATCTTGCTGATAACTCTAAACATCTGGTTTTTCGCATTGATATATTCTTATCGTGTGCGCTACTTTTCACAAAAATATGAACCAATTTTTTCTAACACAGAAACTTACTACTGGATTGATTCGTGAAGCTAAAAAGAAATGAAAATTTGCCAAATAGTAACTCCGACAAGTATGCAGAACTGTCACACATCTGAGAATTTGCAAAGTGAAGGAAAAAAAAACAACAAAGATAGACTAGAGCATATATATATTACTTCATTTATCGCCTCAAACGTTTGTTCTTTTCATTCGTTCTCTACTAATATTTCTTTATGTCACAGTTACAATGTCACTAAACGATGTAATATAGAACTGTTTCTGTTTTTATCTTATCCTTTGCTTTCTTTTCTTGGGATGTACAAAAAGCTTCTCTCAATTATTCACGTGCATATTTATTCAAATGTCACACTAACTGCATAGAGATATAGGCCACTGTTTTGTTACCACCGTACGAAATCAAGCGGTGAACTAGTTCGTTTCGACCGATCAAGATTAGGAAAAACTGACTATTTAGGTATAATTAGTCGAAGCGTGGTAGATACTGATTGTTATTTCTTGAGAATGACCCTAACACCTTCAAGATACGAGTGGCACGATTTATAGGAAAAAACTAAACGAATATTAGTGATAGACTGATCGTCATTCTCATCTTGAACGCACATTCACTTCTTTTTTTATTGTTTTTTCATATACTGCATATAGAACAAACAAAAAACATAAAAGATTTCAAATGACTATTGTTGAACCTTGCGATACTTAATCATTTGAATAGAACAACCGACATTGACGTTGATCAGTAATAGATCTTGTTGGTTGATGATACATAGCTATAATTGAAGTTTAGTTTTTCGAAAACAGCCGACAATTTTCTTTACCTCTGTTTGATTTGTATAGAAAATCTTTTTCGCTATTTGTACTGTTTCATTTTGATCAAGAGAAACTATCCAAAGAATCTTCTCGTCACTCAGAGCAAAGAAAATATTTGGATATGCAAGACATTTCATTGTATAGATATTCAAACAATCATTTAGATCGATCGTATAGCACAAATTCAATGTAGTGATATCGAAAAGAAGTAAAGATGTTTTCTTTGGAGTAACATATGGAAAACAGGAAATGAGCATATTTTCTTTTTCGGTCAAAGCAATTAAAGTATTTGTACAACAGAATGACGGACTGTTGATCTATGTATGAAGAGATAGACACGTTAAATGAAACATCAGGTGATTACAAACACTAAATACGATAGTTCTATCTTTTTCTAGAATAGATCTTACCGGTAATTGTTGATTGGTTAAACTAGTAAAAACATTTTCTTGATTGAATTGATAATCGTAAATTTCAATCGAGCTTTGTTGTGAGTCAGTGAAATAGAGTAAAATATTACTATCATTACATGCACATCGGACTGACTGAAAGTTCTTTAAATCAACTATGTGATCTGTAAGGATTGGATTTGCTCGTGATGACCGACTGTATTGAATACTATAGATTGACTGATGTGTTAAAGCTATATAACGATCAATAGGTGCACACCTTTGTAATGGAATATGGACAATATAAGAAGTCTTTTTGTTTGAAGAAAAGTCAGTTTTTACCAAAGCATATCGACAATGGGCCCGTATTTCCATCTAATATCTCCTTGAAATTGCCCAGCAAGAAGAATAGCATGCAGGACATGCTTTTGATTATTGTAACATAGGATAACATGTGAATTCGATGCGATTAAAGATATTTGAAAACGAGTATGAATTATATTCGCAAACTTCCAACATTTACCGATATCAGTGATATTGTTGAGATCGACGTTGGAACAAACTAATGGAGAGACATCAGGGACATTCGATATGGATTTCCCATGTTTTTCTTCCGAAGACGAATTCAATGATTTCAAGCGTAAATTAATTTGAACAAATGTTGAAAGAGAAGTTTGTAATTTCGCAAATAGGAGCTGTTGATCTTGTTCATCTGATGTAGATATGCGTGATAATATGTCGTAGTATCCATTTTGTAATGTTTGAATTTCTATCAGAAGTTTATTAATCTCGGTCTAAATGATTGAAGATCAAGGGCATGACATGAAGCAAATGAACATCTTACAGATTGGTTATTTAGAACTATCGAAGATTTTCGTTTATTACTGATTAAATGCGTTAAATGTAAACATTGATCAATACCAAATCGAGTTAATTTACTTAAAAACTCGCTGAGATTGTCATTATTCACGGTTTGATCATATGCAAATGATGTTAATAGATCTGACATGGTCAAATGAATATATAATTGTGATCTAAAATACTTTTGAGACATCATAAATTTCCATCCTTGTTTAGAAATGATTCTCACTTTTTCCGTATATAGTCGTACGAATCCCTCTTTCAGTTCGCTCTTTATCAATAGTAAAAAGTCTTTCATTTCGCTTTCGTTTACTAACAAACTTTTCAAAAAACAAACATCAGAAAAACAATGGAACAAAAGATCCTTCAAAAATTCTTCAAAACAAATAGTAACAATAACAATCGAAAAAAAAAAGATTATGCATTTATCTGTTATCTAATACTGCGATATTGCAGCGCTTGAATTGAACATTCAGAACGTAAGATAAACACTTCATTATCATTGACCATACACAAATGTTTACCTTCATCTAACAATTTCTTACGTATTAATTCATTCGTGTCCAGATTAACCAAAATCAATTGCATTGGTTCAGCCAAAATCATGAAAACATTCTTTCCATAGCAACATTTAATATCATAAACATTCGAACAATGACGTAATGAAATTTGTTGTACACATGTCATCGAATGTAAATCAAAGAAGAAAACTTGAACATTCTGTTCGTTTTTCGTTTGATGCGGATTGTTGATCGTTGAAAGAACTTCAGTTTTTTTCACAATCGAAAAGAGATTTTCATTGAGACAAAACCCATGGAAACCGAGTGGAAGAAAATCATGTTGAGTATGATTATCATAATGACGTAAATGTTGACCAGATCGACGGTCATACAAATCAATCGAGACATTTTGATGTTCAATCATGTAAATATACCAACCAGTCGAATGGCACGATACGCGAACATGCTGAAATGCGAAACCACGGAAACTAATTAATTTGGTTACTTGTGGCGAATGATCTGTTGTATGAGGATTTGTATCATATGGATAACAAACCGAATAAAGACCTAAATTACCCACGCTGAAATTTAAAAAAAAGTTAGATTTGTTTTCTTTCAAGAGAAGATATTTTACATGAGATAAAATTTACTCCACGAACACCATGTTAGATCCCAGATTCGTGCATTGTTTGCCGTTATCGGTGCTAATAGTCGATAGACTTTGTTACTTGAAAGATGAACACCGGATACAGTTGAATAATTAAGAAAATTTCTTTCGATCACATAAGAAAGAATCGTACGTCCATTTGAAGCAATCATATCACATGGATAAGCTAAGACAATACTTTGACCAAATTTGAAATGACTCAAATTAAATGCACAATGTGAATTTTTGCTTGAGCTGACTGTCGTTGTTGGCGACAGAACATTGATATTAGGTAAATTCTGTTCCGAGACAGGTTGAGATGGTGATGGTGGTGTTTGCGGTAGACTGTACGGTATTGTTGAAGAAATCGATGCTGTTAAATACGATGAGAGATTATCTAGATCACGCGGAGGTGAGAGAACCAGTTGAGGTAAGCGTTGCATACAACGTTGCAATTCTGCTACAAAAGATTGAGATGTTTCCAATGGATTGACATCGTACATATTACATTTTGTTCGTATACATTGTACTGCATCAAGCATTTGTTGCAATTCGATCTAAATTGAAAACGAATCAGACGTTTTCATACGGCGAGGAAAACTCTCTCTCGAGCTCGAGCTAACACTCGCATATCTTCTTTCTTTCTTTGTATTCCAAGATCTGTCCATTTACGCAGATTCGTAACATACTTGAGCATTCAATGTTTGCTGTTGGATATCATTTCGACAAAATCGTCGAATCTCAATCAATTGTTCGAATATTTTATTAAACGTTCGATTGATTGAATGATGAATATCGTCACGTTGAATTTCAAAGAGTTTCTGTTTTTCACTGATACTCCGTTCGGACTGATCAATGAAATCTTTCACATCATTCATCGTTTCTTTTGCCATTGATAAACATAAACGACGTCTTGAAAAATTGGATAAAATCAACGGATCGTTATCTATTGACATTTATCTCAAATAGAGGAAAAAAGAAAACATTTGCAATGTTTATTACACAATTTATAAACAAGGAACAGGAAAAACTATCACTAGTGAAACAAACATCATGACTTGAATAGATACGCTTAGTTCAGTACTCGGCGTGTTTTTTCGGAAAAGCTTCGTTGTTCTTTTTCGACATAGCATTTCATCAACATATCAACATCGACAACTTGAACGTGGATCATTTGCACGTAATTGAATTTAGTTTCACGCGGCAACTCATCGACATTTGCATGTTTTTCTTTATTTGCATCGGCATTCTTCTCCTCCTTGACTCGTTTATGTCGAATCATTAAACGTCGACTCAGATAATCGCCAATTAATGAAACACTGCCAACACACACATAAGCGTTTGCACTAGGAAGATATAATTCATAATCTAATCGCATTGATTCATATGAACGTAATCTATCTGACGAACAATTTTGTATTCGAAATGGCAGGCGAAATTTTTCGTATAAATTATACATTAAACGTGTTAATTCAGCATAGAGATCATCTAAACTTGATGTGTCTTTAAATCGATACGGTTTCTTATCTTGTAAGCTATTTTTCAAATGTAGATTATACTCATGTTCACGTTCGATGGACACATTCGTTGGTGTCGGTTCCAAATCACTGACCGACTCGTCAATGAGAGGATCATCGAAATTCTTCAAATGAATGTCTCGCATATTCGTCATTGCTAATAATTGGATTTTATGCGTTTGTTCTTGGTTCGCATCGTAAGTTGAACCTTGAGTAAAGACGTAATAGGGTAAATCTGATTGTAAAATAGTTCGACGAACGAATGGGACAAGTATTGATGCTACCGAACCTAAGCCCGATGAAATTAATGAACGCGAACGTGGATCATCAGGACTTTCAAATGTAGTTAATACATGTCGACTTTCATTGATATTTGCACCTAGTGCTTCCTGTATAAATGGTTTCGTGATACTGACAGAAGCCATCTCTTGAAAGCCTAATTTAGTCAGTTCGGAGCAAATAAATCGAATAAATTCGTATTTCCGATACGGTACTACTCCAAGCCAATAGGATCCGAAAATGGAATTATCATTCTTTTCAACATGACATAGTTCATTCCATGTTTTAGAATTGAACGCATGTTTAACGAAAGGAATAGACGATTCATAAATAGTGATGCCAGATGACGGTTTAGCTGGCACAGCAATATGTTGAGCAGCTGGCAAATGAAGACAAGCAACTAGAAAACGTTGATCGAACACACGAAATCGTTCGCGGAATTGCTCGAAATGATTTGTCAGAGCATTGAATTCATTGTCGTTCATGATTGCTTCACCACGAGCATAAGGAGAATCATTTGATAGTTTACTCGGATGTGCTACTGAATCAATCCAAGCATTATCAACACTTGAAATCATTTCTGAAGCATGTTGTATTTCTCTATTTAAGTAGACAACTTTGTTTTCAGTTCAAGTAGTTCGAAAATGTCTTACTCGGCTTTTCTGGTTGTTTCTGTCGTTTTGTTCTCAGATATTTCATTCGGTTTCTTACTTTTCTTTCGTTTTTTAGTTTTACTTGTAATTGTTTCATTGACATCAGTCATGGTTAAATCATTCGTCTGTCGTTGTTCACGTAATCTTTCTTGAACATGATGAAGATCACGTAAACGGCGATATTCTTTCTTGTCTTGTGCCCATCGTTGATAATCCGATGCTAATTGATTAATATCTACCATTAAATTTCTTTGTTCACAATTTTCCTTCAATAATTCGATATCACGAAAGATTTTGATTAAATGTAAGTCAGGCAGAACTTGTTTGGGATAATCAGCAGCATTCAATGGATACAAAGCTACAAAATCCCATCACGTTCAATAAACGAAAGATGAGCAACGTAAACTAACCTGAACGGATGTGATCGTTCGTTGATTTAACAGTAAACAGTAGGTCTTCATTCGGAAATATATGAGAAGATGAAGAGGACACACGAGAAGATATTTTATACAGAGTACGTCGGAGAACGAGGATCTTCGACGCATACATCTGAAATGACAACAGGAAATTCATGGCACGTGTTTACATAACAATGTGTAGAATTTGGAATGAGAACTTCGACTAAATCGATTTATTTTCCTTTTCGTAGATACTAAGAGCATGAGTTGACCAGGATTGATTCAATGGAAGAATGAAAAGTAAACCAGATTCACCACCAAATGCATACCAAGCATATGAACCAAGATTAGGATTAAAACGAATCTAATTTACAAGCATAATGTGTTCGGCAAGAAAGCATCATGGAAATATTTACTTTATGTAAAGCATTAAGAGCATAATTTCCAGCTTTACTGAAATCATCTTGTTTACTGACGAATTTTTGCTAGAAATATTCAAATGATTTTTCATTTCTTAGTCTAAAAAAATCGAATTACATCACAGCATAAATTCGTATCTAGATAATATCTGTCAATTAGATTGGAATAGGATGATTGTTCAAAAATTGGGTCGCCAACTTCATTATTACCTAGAAATTATGACAAATTTCGTAATAGAATGCGAAATTTCATTCACACATAGATATATCATCGTATGGTGAACATTAATTGATAGTGTTTTACGTCATTCTCAACGCTCATCAACGATGAAACGTTCGTTACGCATTATAAATGTTTCTATCAGTTCAAATTATTCAATCTTACTCTTTGTTGACGCCTCTTCTTGTTTATCTGACTTGAGAATCGCGTTCGTATTGAATAATTTCTGAAATATATGCATAAATGTACGTTAAATATGTCATTTCAACTTACCAATCGATATTTCAACGAGCATTCATTCTTTCTTGTCCAACGTACAAAATTTGTCAAACGAAAGAAATAAACACAACCTTGAAAAAAGAAAACGAACATCAATGTTTCAATGTAAACATGTTTATCTATCTCTCGACCATTCGTATCACAAAGTAAACTAGAATCCAACCATGGCGAATAATCTACACTGAGAACATGATCCGGTGTTGACTGGAAATAGATATGTTTTGGCAAATTGTTGTTCTCGGGGTCATATGCAAGATAAGCACTCATTCGAGCATATGATCTGAATAGAAAAACATATTCATTATTCACGTTTGTTTGTGTTCCCTGCTCGACTTACGGCGTGAATTCTTTTGCACATAAAAGATCGCCAGTTAATGTTCTAATAACTGATTCAGTACCACTGTTTTCAATGTCGATAAGATGTTGTTGACAATCATCAAGATCCCATACACTAAGAACTAAGGTAGAACGAGCGAAGACGAGAATCGACTTACGAAAATCGTTTGGCAATGTTTGCGATCGTCAACACGAGATTCGATGAATTACTCAGAAATTTCACATCACGAATTGGCGTATAAGAAACTCGAATAAATCGAATCGGATAGATTACCTTTTCTTGATTGGATTTCTAGACATACGAAACAAAGAAATTTACGATGTGATTGTCTAGTATAGAACATTTACCATTTCAATTAAATGTTGCACTTGCGTATTCACATGAAAAAGCGCGATGAAACCGTTACTATAACTAGCAATCAAGCGATTTGGATCATGTAGTGACCAGTCAATTGATAAACATTGCGTTTGATTATTCGGTTCACTTAACGAACATCGAATTAATTTTGATGATTTATAAAATGGGAAAAGTTTCTTCGCTGTTGAAGATGATGCTGAGACCGAATACTGAGTAAAGATTTTATACAAGTAAATTGCACCTGAACTCGTTCCTGCAGCTAAGTACACTGATGGCGATGAGCACGCTGGTGACCATTTCAAACTCCATATTGCACCACTGTCAGCAATTGGTATAAAACCAATTAGTTGATGATTGTTAGGTGATACACTTGTCTTAGTATTCGATAGATTAAACATCCAAATTTGGATGTAGTTTTTATAAGAATAAATCTCGTCATAGAAATGTTTTGATACTATTGACGAACGTGAACAACCAATGGCTAGGTATTGGTGTGTTAATGGACAGTTCGTCGTCGGCATTGAAAGCCAGTCGATAGATTGAATTGGACCAATGCCCATATTTAATGTAAAGACTTTTGTTTTATGTACAATTGATTCGAACGGTGAAAGATTAAATGGAATGTTCGAAGTCTAGAGTTAAATTATGGTTCAATTTGCGTAGTAGGATAAAATACTTACATCCTGAGAAAGTTGAATCTGATATGTATCTAGTACAAGTTCTTCGGACATTTTCTTATCATTGATAAACTCAATTTTATTATCAGTATCTAAATAATCGATCGCTAGATGTTGAGCTTGATTTCGTTGTTGTAGTTTTAAAGCAACATCAAAGGCGATTTCATTCAGTGACAGTGCATGCTCTGGTAGAAAACGAGTAGATTTAGGAAAGTTTAGTGAAATTTCCAGAGAAAACTCACGTGGAACAGGTCCATTATCAATCGTATTACGATAATTTCCCCAGCTTTCTGTTTGATCTTTCGATAAAATAGCAATTGACTTTCGTTTTGCAGCCGACGATCGTCGATTTCGTGGTTCAACTTCTTCATCTGATTCACCGTCATAATCATCATCTTCATCCTCTTCCTCCTCGTCATTTTCATATTCATCTCCACTACTAACTTCTTTGTCTAAAATTGACACAAACATAATTGAACAATCTTCGCTTTTCCATGTGAACTTACATTTCTTCTTAGTTTTCGCTGCTTTGCGTGGTGCAACAATACTGGTATTTATCGTCAATAAATTTTCAATCTTCGGTTCAACTACTGCGAACGAAAAGCAAAACCATTTGCAAGGATTTCTCATTATCAAATCTATCTTACATTCATCTTTGGTTTCAGTTGTCTGATTAACATCATTCGATGGAATTGCCGTTCTTGAAAATGATATATCGTATAACAAAGCAAAAAACCTATTTGCGATCAAACATACTTTCTCGGTCGACCTCGTCTTTTCGGTGCTGATGGATTCATTTTCTTTTTCAGAATACAAATCTGAAAAAAAGCGTATGGACGGACTTTATTTTAATTTTGTTCGAAGCAAACAAAAAAGAAAGTGAAGAATGAAAATGGTTAAGTAATTGTTAATCGAACGCCTCGTTGTATTAGATTTTCTTTGACATATTTTGCCAATGGAGAACTTAGAACTTCCGCAAGAGTCGTATCAACAAATAATCGAGGTAGAACATCAATACATCCATCTTCTAATGGATTGATCAATATCGCGGCTATAATATCTTCTTGAGCACATTGTGTATCTTCGGTTAAAAACTTCACACGTGATCGTGATACATAATATTTCGCAACGGATGGATTGATGGTAATAGCTCGAGTTAATTCCGTGCAAGATTCCTGAAAATGAAGAGATTTTAGTTAAGAGACATACGCAACATGAAAGTTAACCGACAAGAAATCGCTTTTCTTTGTATAATTGCTCTGCTTTATTGAAAAATACATTTGAGATACGTAATTTAATTTCGACATTGTCAGGTGATAGCTCCAATGCTTGTTCGTAATCTTGTAACGCGAATGTGATTTCTCCTTTGGTAATGAAACAATCTATGAACAGAGGACAACAGTTTTTCAATAATGACTATTCCAAGAGAAACCAACCTCCTCGATTTATGTATAATTCAGCGGAATTTTTCTCACTATTAATCGCTCGATTTAATAGATTGATCGCATCATCTTGGAATCCAGTTTGTAAACATTTTAATGAACATTCGTTGTATATAAAAACGAACTGTTTTTGTGCTTGCTGATAGAGAGGATTGGTCTCATTATGCCCTGTTTTATCAAATAGTAGCAAACATTCATCTGTTGCCAATTCAAACTTTCCCATCTTTCGATAGACAATACTTCTAGAAGACGAAAACAGTTATTGAGTCATCCAAGAAGAAAATCAGATTTTCACCGTTGCAAATGAAATTCCGGTTCGATAGGATACAATTCTAAAGCGAGATTAATCGCCGAGAGTGCGTTATTCAGACGCTCATTTATCGAGAGACGTATGCAATTATCTCGAGCTTTTCTTGCTGCTTCTTCCAACGTCGACATCATACGATTCGCCATCGGATGATTTTCGTCAATCGCCAGAGCATCACGCACGTCGTAGAAGCACAGTGGGAGCTAAAATGATTAGAAGAAAAAAAACAATAACACTATGAGAACAAAATCCGTCTGCGATTTCGATTTAAAAAGATGCTATTCTCAAGTGTAAAACTACATTTCATCAAATACGAAATAATGAAATTTCTCCTTGTCGCTTTACTCACTGCCCAAATCTACGGTGCACTTTGCACCAGCGCTCCACTTGCTGAACAACGCGGCCTCATGGACATCTGGGATTTCCTCAGTCCAGCTGTTATGCCCGTTGCTGTAGGCATCGATAACGCTCTTGCCACAGTGTCAAATATTCACAATACTGTTTCAAATGCTGTTACTGGCGCTGTTCATGGTGTGACATCATGGATCGGTGGTCTTCTCCCTCCACTTGGCAAACGTGACTTGGAAGTCAATGTTCGCGCCAATCTCTTAGCTGAATTTAAATCATTTCAACACGGCCTTCAACAATTAGTCATGGAAATTGCTCAAACTGTTCTCAATGGTAAAATCGTTACTCAATTCCGGTCATTAATCGCGAAATTCAGCGTCTTCCTCCGTACACACTTGAATGCCATCAATACTATGATCACTAATTTAATTCCAACTGTTCAAGATGTCGTAGGAACTCAAGCTATTAGCAGTTGTTTAAATGCTGTACAAGCTATTGAAGAAGCTATCAAAAAAATCCAAGCGCTTTTCTCATTGTAAACGTTTTACAGATGAAATAAAAGCTATTCGGTAACATACCTTGGTTTTGTCTTTGTAATATAAACGAGCACGTATGATCAGTAGATCAGCATTTTCAGAATAATCTTCAATCATTTGATTGATCAATGCTGTTGCTTCATCCATTTTGTTCAAGGCTGTCAGACATAACACGCTAGGAAGAGAAAAGTATATTTCTTGTCATTGTCGTTTAGTTGATATCTACCTGTAGACTTGAAATGGAAAAGTACTGAATATGTCAGCACCGGTAGCAATGATACTTAACGCATCAATATAAAGTTTTTGGTCAAATAATGAAATTCCCGACATGTAACGTAGAAATGCAATTTTATCGTTCTTCATTTTTTCTTCTTTAGAAACCGCTGGTACTTGTTGATGCATTGTTACTTCTTCAGGATGTTGCTGTTGATATTTCTCACGTGCTAATTGTTCTTTTTTGTTTATCGCATGTTGATACGAAACTCCCTTTTGTAAACTTAAAATTGAACTTTGGAAATCACATAGATTCAAATAGATTTCAGAACGAATTTCGTAAAGTACAATATGATATGGCTTTAACAAAAGACATTTGTTAATGTAAATCAATGCTAGTTCGTAGTTTGTACGTTTTTCTAACATATTCACTGCTTTCTCATAACTATAAAGAGAGACAAAAGAACACTTCTATTACACTGCAATATTTAACTTACAATTCAGTACAATGGCTATCCGTGACATCTTTCAGCGCATCTCTTAGACCAGCTCCTAAAGATGAACATGAATTCACGTGAAAGGATTTGAGTTAAACATACCTTTTGACCAACCACCTGGTAAAAAATTTTCAATAGCATACCGTTCATATACTTCCGCATCGATTTCTGTTGAGAAAACATCCTCCTAAATCAAATGAATCATTCTTATCAATCGAAACAAAGTAAAAGATTTTGTGTCAAACACTCAAACACACTTCGTGTGAAAGAAGGAGAAGAAGACCTAAGAATCACTCACAACTTCATTTTCATTGTGCTTTTCTTCACTAGAGAAAATCATTTCAATGCAAAACCAATCTGCAACTATCTCATCGTTTTACATTACCTCGTTGGTTGCTTCCAGACATACGCAGTTAATTGTCGATGTGCACTTTCCTGTTGAGCACGTGCGTCGTCAAAACTAAGGAAATATTGACGTGATGCGCCAGCACGAACATTAGAGATGCCAAGTGAACCTGGTAAATCACTTGGATTCCGCGAAATATCGTATTTATCAACCATCACTGCTTATTCAGTTAACTCTACAAAGAAAAGTTGCGTTTTTGTCCGAAGAAATGGAAAATTTTCATCAACAAATAAATAAATAAATAATTTTATTCCATAACTGTTTTTTTAATCATTTATATACAACAATAGAAACGAAACGGAACAACATCTGATAAAATTCATCGGCGAATTCATTAATCACAACAAAAACAATCGAATAGAATGTAAAACAACAGTAGATAACGAAAGCGAGAGATAAAAGAAGAATATTTAGTGTAAATAGAATGACTAGTCACGTTTCTGAGATGTTTTCTAACAAGAAAAGCAAATGAGACGTCGATTTTGTTTTACTAGATTGAAGTCTTCAATATTTCATTAACACATTGACAAGACTGTCTGACAGACATTGTATTTTCATTGAGATTTGATTATATTTTGTTCTTCAAGACGTTTTAATTCTTGCAAAACGGGAATACTTATCATCATATTCGGTTCGAGTGTATTCCAATAGATACGTGTCGGTCGTTGAAATAAACGTTTTGTATAAATATATCGTTTGGGTGTGACAATAATATCAACAGGTAGATCATGCTGCTCCATAATATGATTGGGAATATCGTTGATCAGTTGATTTTCATGGCATGTTGTGATAACAACAGTTTTGTCTGATACACAACCCATTTGAGACATAATTGCGTATTCTAAGTCAGCGTAACCTTTACCTTTTCCAATCCGAGCACCTGTTATTGGATTAATTGCCACGGATGAAACGACAACAAGATCGACATGAATTTGTTTTAATGCTTGTAATTGTATGACAGAACCTAATTCTGCTGCGCCAGTTTTCGTCGCGGCCCATTCAATTTGATTACGACGTAGAAATGTCGGTTCTAATTTATAAAACAATGCCGAATCTGCAATGAATACGTGAAAATAAGACGATACGGATTGAAGAATACAATGCTACTTACCAAGTGAAGGTGTTGGAGTGAGAAGGACTTTGTTATAGAATAATGTTAAATAACGAAGAGGTTCCTGAGCAAGTGATGGATTGATTTTAATGACTCGTGCTCGTTTAAAACATTCTAGATTAGTGACATTTTCGGCAGCTATTTCACAATAACGAAAATTCGGTATGCGACCATGAACTGGACGTGGAAAGCGTACTTCGTTTCTAGAAAGAAAGAAAAGATTTGTGTTAATCCACATGTTCTTTTTTTGAGCATTTACTTAATTTCCAACAAATCCCAAACAAGTTGCCGAGTACGTGCTTTAAATAATTTAATATTTGCGGTTGTCATTTCCGACGATTCAGACTTTGTTGGCTTTAACTCAATTGACTTTGGTTCATTGCGTTGTTTAACCCAAAGATCCATTTTTGAGAAAATCTCCATAAGATTCTTATTTTTCAATACATGATTACAAGTTATTAAACCATCAACTACGTCGCGAATACAAATCCATTGATGTATATACTGTCGATGTTGAGGACGCATCTTATGAGCATATTTGGTTGGTGTTCGTTTGACAGTACTGCTACTATTGTTCGCTTCGGTATTTTCAACAGATTTCTCAACTGTTGACTCATCATAGGTTAACAGATTTGAGTAACCAATGGCATTGCAAACAACAGAAGAATTGAAATCAACATCGAGAGCGCACACTGAGCAAATTTCGAAAAAAAATTCAAATCAATGGATATTAATTCCTTGAACTTACCACATAAATCGGATCCTGGACCAGTTGAATAGAACATACAACGATGTTTGAAATCCAACCGTTGTTCGATCAGTGTTAAGAGTGGATCACTGGAGTTTGTCGTCGCCGTCGTCGATACTGATGAACAAGAGAATGCCCGTCGAGAAGAGTTTTCTTCTTCTTCCTCTATTGGTGATAAACTTATTTCTGTTGTAGTCGAACCAGTCGACGCCGAGGTTGGAGATATCTGTTTGATCATTGTTGGCCGGTCAATATCGAGTAAACCACAAAGGAAATCAGAAGAATAAATGATATCACATACAGTTCTTTGAGAGCCATGTGTTGAAATTTCGACTTCGTATGGAGATAGAAAATAACGATCCTTCTTACGAAGGAAATTATAATACAGTAACACATGTGGAAATTCTTCGATCATCGTCACCGGAAAGAACATTAACTTCATCTTGATTCACTTGATAAGTCTTTTTACAACTCTGATTTTTTCACATCTAAAAAATCGATTACTGCAACATAGTTTGACTATCCTCTACCATTTTCGTTCACAAAGATACAAAACGTGAAAACAAAGGTACAACACATATGACGAGAAAAGCATACGAAGTGTTCTTGTGGTCAACAGTGGAATTCAATAAGAATCTACAATAAAGTAATTTCATGAATGACAAATATGTCTTGAAAGGGCATTGAGGAAAAAGAGAGCAATTCTTTAAATGGAATTGGCTAGGATCACGAATGTTTTTATTAAATATTTAATGATAGAAGACGAAAAAATTATAATCATGGAAAGTACAGGGTATATAAATAAATCATCCATAAAATAGAATCCAACTAAGTACATGACATGACAAATATTAATTATGGAAAGAAAATATAGAGAGAATATCTGTGCTTTTCAAGAGGAAAAGAAAAAAGAAGTCGAAAGCAAAATAAATAAGTAATCATTTTCTGTTTAGACTTGAACATCAGTGACAAAATACCACAGACGTTTGAATGTTCTATATCAATATAGAAAGAAAAGAGAAAGATTTCTAGAAAAACAACATAAATTATTGTGAAGAGGAAATGCGAAAGAGAACAATTGATAATTACTATGCACATGACAATGACTGTATTGAAAAGTAAAGGAGGTGAACGTGGCACATACACGAGAGCTACGCGAGTTTTGATAATGGCATATCGACAGGAGAAAATCTACGAATTTTTTTTCTCGCCTTTCTTGCTTTCTGTTTGGTTTTGTTTTTTGGAAAGAAATTTCGGTTTGCTTTTTATGCTCAGTATCGAAGTAGATATAGACAGCCACTAGATAAGAAACAAGAAGCTGTGCATTGGTCAATCGTAAGTAAAAATATGTGTAATAAAATTGCATGGAAATGAGGCAAACATCAAAGAAGAAAAAATCGAGCTTTTTATACACAGAAAAAGATGAAGACAATATCAAGACGATAAAATGAAATAATATGCTAGATAGGATTTTAATTTCGTTGTGGAACCGGTGGCCGTTCGAGTGGTCGTGGCGGAATTGACGGTGTTGGACGTCTGAAATAGAAGAGAAAGACAAGTTTAGAATACGTTGAAAGACAAGATATGCATCGCTCCCACAGCAACGATAAAGTTTATATTGAAGAAGCACAAGTTAAGAAGAACGGACAAACTCAGACAATAAGATGTATTTTCTTGTTCTTGTTCTTTAGTTCGAAAAGAACTTACATCGGTGTCAAAGGTGGTGGTAAGCCTCCTGGTTGAGGACTTACTCTACCATATTGATTCATTGTTGATCTGGAAAAAAATTCAAAGGAGCGTTGGAAAAAAAACGATCGTTAGTGCATTGTTAATGAAGAAAATAAAAGCATTTTCGTTCGATGAAGAAGTCATTTCATGCGCAAAGTTAGGATTCTATCCAATTTCGTGCGGTGTTCGTCTAAACTTACGACCCGATGGTGATACCATTCTGGTATATAGGCGTTGAAAAAGGATCCAATTCATTTAATAGATTAGACAAGGATGGCCCTGTGACTTGAGTTCGCCTGTAAGAATGCACATGAATGTAGAACGATTGTTGTATGTCGGATGAAGCATCATCAAGAATTTTTTATGTCAAATTAATTAGTGTCAGTGTTTTGTCCCACTCACATGGTTTTACTCGACAAACTATTAGTTATTTTTGAGCGAAGATGTGCTTCAGATTTACATGTTGAAAAGAATCTACTGGCAAGACTTGATAGATATTCATTCGAATGATTACATACTGAGGCATCATTGTCGTAGGTAAATTTGGATTGCCACCCATTTGATTTGGTTGTACATTTGGTCGGAATGGTGGTTGAGGCGGTTCTCGTGAGGAGAACGAATTCGGAACTGGGTTCATTGGAGCCTGTTGTTTTCGTTGGGGATTAGGACTAACCGGACGAGCTCTGGTCGGATAGGAACAGTCGATTAAAAAGATAAAGAAGAAAGTTTCATCTACGTACGCTGCGAACTGTTGCTGTTGTTGAAAAAATGACGTTGAGTCGAAAGAATTGTTTTGAAAGTTTGATGCAGGTGCAAAATTATTGTTGGCATGACCAGTTAATGATGCACTTGATACTCCAGCAGCTAAAGCTGATACTGGCATAACAGATCCCGCAACTTTTCGTGCATTGATATGGAAATTTTCAATAATATTCAAAGCCTAAAACGAAATTGTATATTTTAATCAATTGAACATCAAGATAAAATCCAAGCATACATTCTTAACAGCTTCATATTCTGCAATTTTCGCTTCACGACGTTGTCGTTCCTCTTCCGATTCTTGTAATAAGGATTTCTAAAAAACACATCATCATCATCCATCATCTATGACATCCGAGAAAAACAAGAAATATTGCTTACTGGATCAGGGAGAGCGTAGAGATGGGCCAATAGCTCTTTTGATACAAATTTTTGTACCTAAATCATATCAAAGCGCATAGATACAACCATAATCTTCAAATTCGTGCTTACATTTTGAACAATATTGAACATAATTGCTTTTGGAATGTAGTCGCGTGTCATTTTCGCAACAATTTGCATATATGATGACACTAATTTATTAATTGTTTCTACTTGTCGTTCCATATGTGGATCGATTGGGCCAACTTCAGTTGCAACCTATCAATTGAAAAGACAATGTAAATCGTAATCGTGTCTTGCATTCACTTACTGCAGTGTCTTCAACATGCTGTTCTCGTTCAAGATAAACACCAGCACGCAAGAACGATGCTTTCCATGTGTCCAATTCTTCACTATTGTCAACGGACAATTCAAGTACTTTATGTTCTTTGTAGACGTTTCTAAAGTTTCAATGGTTGTGATTAAATGAATGTTACGTATAAATTCGGTTAGTTAGATACTTACTTTCCGTCGGTGTTAAAGATAGCGAATTGGGGTCGTTTAGCCATGAAACCACCTTCGACATCTCGAATCTTCAGATTTTCTAATGGTAACATATATTTCTTATCTTTTTCCTAGGAAAATAAGAAGAAAATGTTTGACGAAAATCTGAAATATGCGTAACTTACGTCCGAATCTGTGAACCATGATAAATTGTCTGTTGACAGAACGAAAAAGAAATCTTTTGCTTGAAATAATTTAACACCAGTATGAACACGAAGAAAGCCTTTGCGAATAACCTACAAATGGCACGCCGATATATATTCTCTCCGTTAAACAAATCTCTCGACGACATGCACTGAGTACGTTTAAACAATATTAGCAGTGATAGGAAAAAATCAGACTGTTTTTTCGTCTATAGAATAACAGAATCGGTAGATAAGCAAGACAACAATTAGACAGAAAACTTCTACTAGAAAGATTTCTTTGAGGTATCAACATACTTGTCCCTATAAGAACAAAAGCGAGACATGTGTTTGTTTTTCGGTATTGACATATGAACGTATGAGTTTTATCAGTCGAAAATGTAGATAGGGTGAGGAGGGAGATATTTTCATAATTCTTTACCTGGTTCGTGACATGTCTTTTGGCTTCACCGGCACTAACAGATTTCTCGGCACTAAAAATAACAAATAGCAGATTTTTTCCGTCATACAAAAAATATCCGTTTTATTCCACTGCGATTAATCTTCTTTTCCTTCGTGATAAGCCTAAGGAAATGTCGAAAAATCCGCCACACTAACCTTGCAAATCCAATAAAATCTTCATTATTTGTATTGATATATGCTAATTGTGTCTGAACATAAGCTGTGCATGCTTGTTTAGTAGCAATTTCTCTTTCTCTAAGATACTGGATGAGTAATTCTTCCGTTGATTGACGTAATAACGGATATCGTTTCATCTAAAATTATTCATCTCGAAATTAATTGTCCAAGCGATGAATTCTTCGACTTACTTTACTGGTTGCTTCATGAATAACAGCCATCAATTCTGATAAGACCATGTCAACACATTTCATGATCGGCTCTTCAAATTTGGCTATTTGCATTTGAACGATGTATTCAAATGCTTCATCGGGTGTGAAAAGGCCTGATCTACAAGACGTAATCGAAACGACGCCGTTGACCCTTTGTTTATCAATCAATCAATCAAAGAAAACCTACCGAAAACCGCGAATATTTTTGATTGCAACTATTGTCAAATTGCGCATGTCTTTATCCTGTAACTCAACCTATAAAATGACGGAAGAATAAAAAGAAATGCACGAATGTATAGTTATTTTTGTTTATGCAAAGCATGTTATAATGGTTAGTACTTTGATTAGTTCAAATGGAAAGCGTTCGCGAAAGATGTTTGCAATTCGTGCACCACCTGTTAGTGTTTTTAAATCGGCTTCTTTTAAGTTACTACCCTGCAAGGCTTTATCGAAATCTTCGCGCAATTCATGAGTTAAACTGAAAAAAAAAGAGAATATGTTTTGTATTTTGAATGGCTTTGTTGTTCATTGTTTACCCGACAAGTGCTTTCGTATCTGAGGTTGACGCACTTTCGAACATTGCTGTCGCGCGATATTCAGCGACTTCTTTCGATAAGTCACGATGACGTCCTTGTAAATCTCGTTTTAAGTCCGGCAAACATTTAAGGATATGTTCAGTCAGTTGAAGACTAAGTGTACGTTGGAGATACGGAACACCCATTCGATCAGCAATATCACTGCAACGGAAAGAATGACGAAATGTGAAATTTTTTTAGAGCTGTCTCACCGATAAGCTGGATCATTAGAAAAAAATTGTCGTTCATATTCAAGTGCGCCTGGAATGTCTAATTCTTTTGTCACTCGACCATGTTCATCGAGACGTTGGCCACGAAGTACAACACCAATAAAACCTACATTACTCATTTATTATCATAATGGACTCGTTAGTTTCCAGTTCGATTACCTCGTTCAAGTACGACAACTTTATTTAGAAGAACATCACGAGCATTATGTCCTTTGCCCATCATATCTAATTTTGTTAATACGCCAATAGTACGTTTACCTAGTGGATCTCGACTTCGAGCCATGACCAGAGCATCCGATGTAACAATATCAATGTTAGCTGGTGTAACAGCAAGAATGAGACAGTTCTCATTGCTTATATACTCGATAATAATATCATCGATTTTCTTCACGATGTCAGCTGGTTGACCTTGTGATGGAACCTTAACCATACCAGGCAAATCAACCAGTGTAAGATTAACCACTAAAAGAAAATCAGTATGTATTGACGAAGAAAAGTACTCGATATAGACTAGTTGTTGTGATAAACTCCTGAGACCGAAGATATCCCAGGAGATCCGTGAATGAAACCAGTAGAAACACGCGTTTAGATTCTTACCATGCGGCGAAAAAATTGTTAAATTAATTGGTAAGTTTGAAACACCCATATCATCACGAACAACTGATTTTGTGTCATTTTCGATTTCAGCTCGAATTTCAGCATAATTAACAAATCTTTGTTGCGGTTTATGTCCAAAGACAGCATACTCTACAATACAGAATCAAACATCGTGCTTACTGAATTACTAATTTCACTTTTTCGTTAAATACATACCTTGACCTTGTGAGGTAATCAATTGAAGAACAAGAGGTCGTTTAGTAACCATACTTCCACCCCGAGGAAGGAAATCTCTATAAAAATAGCTCATAGATCATCTTCTGAAGTCAGCGGATATTCGTACCGTCCAACAATATTTTCCAATACTGAACTTTTTCCAGCTGATTGGGCACCTACGACTGCAATTTGAGGTAAAGTCAGTGTTAATTTCGCATTTGCAGTCGTAAATATATGTTGAAGTTGATTGATCATTGGAATTAACATTTCCATATCTAAATAAGTCATAGGCAAAATTATCGGACACTTAATATACAAAGAAACACAACATACTTGGATTGCCTGCTTGTGTTGCCATGGCTGAATCTGAAAGTAGAAATTCTAGAATGTAACCTATATATGAGTATATCTCTACTGAATGGAATATAAATGTTGTTCTCTGTGTTTTATTTTTCGTATTTATACTTCTAGTTTGCTTATCTTTGACTAAAGTTATATAATTTGACTCAAGTCAGACTCTATCTAGTCATACATCACGATTTGATTCCATAATTGGCACGAGACTGCGTTGACTGTTATTTATTTGTTTATTATTTATTTCTCTCAACACCAATAGAACGAGAAAAACACAGCATCTAGATGGCGCTTGTCACTATAGATGGGACAATAGAAGACGGAAGTATTTGATAAAATATGTAAATTCAACAGTAGTTATGTGGAACGAAGAGACAGAGAAAAAGAAAATTAAATCATCCCGAAACATTTTATTTATTAAAAAGAGTCACGGCAGAAAACGTAGGTTAGATAATATCCACTTGAAAGTCTTTTTTATCTGTTTATTTATTTTAATACTCATCAAAAGAAAAGACAAACTAGATAAAAGCTATAGAATGGTTTTAAACTTGTCTACTGATGACCAAGAATACGATGGGGTTGATATAGTTCTTCTAAATGTTTGATTTCTTCTTCGGAAAGTTTGATTTGAGTTGCAGCAACTGCTTCTTCTAATTGATACATCTTCGTTGCACCAATGATTGGTGCACAAACACCCGATTTAGATAAAATCCATGCTAAAGCTAATTGAGCCGGTTTAACCTGCTTCTTCTCTGCGACTGTTTTCAATCGTTCAACAATCTCAAAATCGTTGTCTGCATAATAGAGTTTATGCATATATTCATCAGTTTCTGTTCGTTTAGTAGCGGAAGTTTTTTCAGTGTTTTCTTTATTAATATCCGCCTTATTTCGATTTCCTGTGAGGAAACCCCGTGCAAGTGGTGACCATGGAATAAGACCTACACCTTGATCAAGACATAATGGGTTCATTTCACGTTCTTCTTCACGATAAATAAGCTGAAAGAAAAACAAGATTTTCGATCGNTATTATCCAGATCTCTAGATTTTTGCTCAGGCAAAAAACATCGAAAGCTGACAATCAAATATGAATAGACTCAGTTATATAGTTCGGTCTTTGTTTGAAAAGGAAGTTCTCCATCAATATTTTTCTCAACGATAGATATTGACAAACGAGCGGATGTGCTTATTCTTTCTTTTATCATTTCAACTTCACAGTGACATAATAGGTCCTTTCTATCAAATATGTTTCCTCACTACGTCTTTTGAATGCTTTTGCTTTACTCAGTGCATCATTGGCAAAGTCAAAAATCTCTCTCGTCTGAAACCGTCATCAACGTTCAATACACTACTTGGAAAGTACTGATGAAAAGGCAAACCTGAGTGGAATAAATGCATTTTACTCTATTTTAATAGAAGTCATGATTGACATTGATCGTTTAGTTGAGATGAACCGTAGAAGATGGAGAGGAGAACGCTGCGCACTGACACGTACACTGATTTCATCGACAAGGTTTTATGCTTTGTCAACAATTATTTTCCATATCTAATCATTAGATTTGATTAATATTGAGGTGTGAATTTCTACATCTGTAGATCATTCGCTTGAGGTTAGGAAATCCGCTTCCATAATTTACTAATGAAACTTGTTTTCGGAATAATATTAGCTCCAGCACTTCTTTTATTGACAAAGCACTTCTTCCAGGGAATATATAAGCATCTCATTGCCAAGAAGTTCTCAAGTTCATTGAATCAACTATTCTCATCATCCGTAGTCAACTACTGCTCGATGCATTTGTTTTTCTCTCTCTTCGTTTTGGTTGTATAATCTCTCTGACTCTTAATTAGCATTATTAGTTGTCGAGCTCGTGTTTTAAATTTAGTAAATAGGTACATCGAATACTATTATCTTCATTATTGTGATTGCTTTGCATCCTACTTAGAATAGTATGTAAAAGGGCAGTGTTATCTTATTCATGACTTTCCGAACGGAGATCTATGCAAAGACGTGCAACATGACTTCTAAGAATATTATTCAGCATGAAAAATAAACAGGTCGCAAAAGTTTCAGACATCTGTCAGTCTGCAGCAGATTAGCGTTGCAAGTTTTGAACGTAAGTCGAATGAAAAACAGATAGTCAACGATCACCCCCTCCCCAAATGAACGACAACAACATAAATTGAAAAGACGCCGCTTGCGAATATCAGATATATTAGCGTACATTCTAATCTTCAGTTTAAAAATATCTATCAGTTGTAACATAGAAGATCGAGAACTTCACTTCATCGTCTGTGTTTCATTAGGGATTTCATGACCAATGATTAATTACCCTTAGGTTATAATTATAGTCTTTTTATGCCACAAAATGAAAAAGTCCGATGCATCTTTGTTCAGCTATACTACCTCGATGTAATTAGGAGTCTTGAATGAGACTATTTGCCGGTGAGGGGACAGATTTCACTTGAGTTCATGTGCTGAATGTTGTTTCTTAAATATATATTTGACCATAATGGCAGTCGGAAATCTCGTTCATAGACTACAATAAATAAAACTTTTTCAACGAGAAGAAAAAATAAGTTGAGCAAGGAGAATAGCATGCTTAGCAAAGAGGAATAGAGAAGATATTTGTATTTTCTTTTGCAAAGTTTTCCTTGCTGAAAATGAGTATTAGAATTTTTTCAACATCTCTACTTATTTACTAAATTGAGAAAAAAGAAAGAATGAAAACAGAATTAGAGCAGCTTTTTCAAGCAGTATTATCTTATGTCATCAGATGACTGCTAGCTAAAAACAGTGGATTGCTGTGTACGAGGTATCTGTCAGTTAAGGACAACATATGTGGAGAAACAAATTCATTTTCATAGTTGAGAAAGAAAAACAGCAAAATTATTTTTACTATTAAATAAGTCATTAGGAAATATGTATCTCTGGAAATATCCTACGTGATACTCCCCATAGAATAATAAATTTTGTCTAATTCGTTCAGTCTTTATATGTAGACGAGATAACTGCATCAACAGAGTAATGAATTAGTAACGATGTATGCTTTACAGACCTCCACTTTTCAGTACATTGCTGCTTGACGTCCTTTATATATTCATTAGAGTAAAAGTACGCCACCAAACATGAGCATCGGAGCAGCTGCTGGATAGAAGAGAAAAGTTTTATTTAGATTTCGATTGTTTTTGTCGGGATACAAAACTGAATAGTTTATGTTCTCGTTTAGTTTAATGTGACTTGTATTTGTAATCTACTTTTTTCCTATTGTAGTTAGTGAACAAATATTCTAGTCAACATGAAAGGGACAATAAAGAGAAGAGGAAAAGAAGGCGAAAGAGAAAAGAGAAAGAAAATCACTGTTGGTTTTCCTTCTCATTCTCTATTCAATCACTCATTTTTGTCCTTTATGTTCGAACTGATATTCTTTTGGGTGTTCAACGGATTCAATTCATTAGCTCTAACCACCTACTAAGATGACGATGATAAATAGGATATATTCTTCCTTTTCCTCTCCTTTTCTACTACTCCACATTTGGGGATCAACTTCCCACAGATTTTACCAGACGTTCATCGATTCATTTCAGATGCAATTGAGTATATATCCATATAAAATATATTGTACTTAACTTCTATTCTGCGCATACCTTTATTTATATTCTTGAGGACCGATTCGCCGTTTTCGCGATGATGACGATTTCTACATTATCATTTGAAGTTGTATCTGTTTGTTTTTTCATCATTTCAATTATTATATTAACAATCGGAGGAAATCTCGTTGTTCTTTTTGCTTTCTACAATGATCCACATTTATTGACGCCATCAAATAATTTTCTTTTATCCATGGCAATTGCTGATTTACTCGTTGGCCTCATAGCTATGCCATTCCATTCGTAAGTTATATGAATAAGACTCAATGACGAACTGACACGTTTTCTCATAAAACTCATTTAGATTTGCTCAAATACGAGGTTATTGGCCATTTGGTGAACTTTTCTGTAAAATCTGGTTGACTATCGACGATGTCGCAACAATGGCAAGCGTATTATCAATTGTGGCCATAACTATCGAGCGTTATTGGAGTATTAATCATAGTGTTCATTATCGTCGTCATACAACAAAGACTCGAATTAGAATATTTTCAATTCTGATTTGGTTTATTCCTTTGATTAATTTCGCACCGGGCATATGGTTACTTGATCACATTGACACGGCTCCTGCAGCAAACATAACGAAAAAAACCAATCTAGAGTGTATCGGTGCATACCATTCGCACGCTGTTTATTTAATTATTGCTCAAATCAATTTTTTTGCATGGCCGTTAGTTGTTATTCTTATTCTCAATGCGTTAATTATTGTTAGTCTCTATCATCGATCGCAACGGTTTCCAACCGCAAATAGTACGACGGACAAACGCAAACCGAATGGCTCACGAAAAGTTAAAGATAAAGCCGAGAAACAAGAACAAACAATCGAAAACGACGAAGGAACGCTATCGAATAGTAACGAACATAATTATCAAACATTGAACAAAACTGACACCGAGGTAATTTATATCATAGATTAATCGAAGAAAATCTCTCGAATGAGTGTATCAAGTACACATCTAATTCCATAGAGAAAAAGATTCATTAGCTTGTTGTTCATCGGATGATAAAAATATACTTCTTAATTGAAAATCTATATCTTTTTCTTTCTGATGAAACTGATAAGAAGAAGATAACTGACTTTCGAAGAAAAACATCTAATCCACATTAAAATAGACAAAAGTCGATAAGACTGTTAATGTGCATTTTGCTTCCATAATCTTTCATTTACCACTAACAATTTTCATCTTCATAGGTCCATATACGCGAGCATCCGGTTGGTACTATACCATCGGTGATCAAGGAGGTAGAAGAACTTTTAGTCGAAGAAGAAGTCGTTAAATCCCAGCCCATCGATGTTGTCACATCGGTTAATGTCGAAAGGAGATCATCGTCATCGAAGCTTTACACTCGTATCAAAAGAGCTCTTTTACCTTCGTCTTCGCCAACGGCGCCCGGCTCTCGAACAACCAAATCAACGCAAACACTACGTCGACAAGTACAACGAAACGACCGAGAATCGAATCCGATATTTACATGGCGTCATAATTCATTTCGACTATCGAAACGCAATGGAACAATGAATAGCGGCGAACAACGCACCGTTCGCCGTTTAAGACGAGATAAACGTGCTGCCACATCACTTCTCATTCTTGTTCTTGTATTCATGATCTTCTTATTACCTTATGTTGTTGTTGTTGTTGCTGGAAGTATATTTTCATTAGAAATCTTAACCGATACAAATGGACAATTATATTCAGCTGTATTTTGGCTTTTATGGCTCAATTCAACTGTCAATCCAATTCTCTATCCATTTATTCAGCCAAAATTCCGTGACGCGTATAGAAGACTGTTTTTAAGGATTACGAGACGACGACGTCGGTTAGCGTCTCTTATTGCTGACATGCAACGAAATAAATGATTTATTAGATTTCTATATAAACGTTATATTACTAAATTACCACTAAAACAAAAACAGAAAGAAAAAGAATTCTTTCTTTCTCACAGACACGTCGATGATAGATAAGTTTGTATACAAAAATGATGTATCCATTGAATTGTACAAAAGCAACACATGTATTTTTGGTTATTGTTTTTTTTTTTCAAAAGGCAAACGCATAATATATATCTTTGACGTTTTCAGTACTGTTCGAACTAATAAATCAAGTGAATGATCGTATTCAGTTTGTCAGAAAGTCCTTTTTCAAGTATCTATCGCGTCAAAGTGGACCAGTAGACGGATATGAGTTGTATTTCGAATAATCATAATACGTTGCAATGTTTATTCATTCTTCTTCTTCATATAAAACCTTTGTCACAAGCAGAAATCATTCGCCATTCGTTTGTAATCTTCTTTTCTGGATGTTTCAGGATCTTCCGTACCTTTATTAACGCTCGAGTACGTCGGAAAATGACATCGAGCAAAATGCAGATTATCTTTTATTCGTTAGTAAACAAAAATCTAAGACAGGCAAATAGGAATTATTATACTAATAAGATTAGTCGGCATATTTCTGCAACGGATAATAACTGAAACTTTACATAGAATCAATTGCTTATTTTTTTGTATACAAGTTCTCTTTTGTTTGGTCTTCTCCATCCGTTACTGGTTCGGGCTTCTTTTCTCGAAATCCCAAACAATAGCAGAGAACGCCGAGAAGAAAAACAACGATGAATATACCTAAAAACGTCATGAGTACGTTTCTTCTGAGCATTGAAAGAAAGACTAACCTCCAAGTATCAATTGAATAACTGCCCAAACAGGAAAAAATCCGTTCATCAAAGAATCAGGTTCGACACGGCCAAATTTATCACGTGTTAAAGCAGTAGCTTCATCTTTTGTCAGTGGTACACCATGGATACTTTCGCCATAAATTACTACAAATTCATACCATGAAAGAAATGATTATTAACAAGGAGAAATTACTAACTAGTTGTCAGTACTGTTAAATAAGTTATTAGAAGTCCACTGACAGTAGTTATAAATGAATTCATCATCAAACTAAATTAGATAGAAAGTGCGTTCTTAAAATAAACTCTTAAAATATGAAAATGACAAAACGTCGCGGTGATTTCTTACATTAACAGCAAGCAATCGAGTGAAGCGAAATAGTTGAGAGTATAACCTGTTAAAATGATCGCTTCTTTTCGATGTAAGAACAGAACGAATCGAAAAATATTGACGAAATGTACGGTGTGCATGTGACCGTGTCCAACATACTTCATGGAGGACGAAAATATACTCATATTCAAAGAACAAAATAAATCAACACTCATAGATGGAGTACGAAGAAGAGATATCCAAATGAATTGATCAGCATGATTTTTTTTCTCAGATGCATTTATATGTTGAGTGCATGTAAATAGACTGTAGGAAAATCGTTTCATTAGACGGTCATTGTCAAACACCGGACAATATAAAAATAAAAATAAGGAAAAACAAATCTTCAAAAAACTAGATATGTAGGAAAAATTATCTACAGATAAGTGTTTATTCGTCCGAATGAGCCATGTCTTTAAACATAATTCATTGACACAAACCTAGAAAAAACAAAGATATGAAAATGAACTATTTATTCTATCAACGAAGAGGAGAATACTAAGGTGAGATATTACCATTCATAGAGAATCATTCGATGGATAAAAAGAGTGTGTTAACTAATAATATGGATCATCGTCATTTTTATTAATATTCGATGCTTGTCTTGGCAGTGATGGCGGAAGACGCTAGAAAGCAAAATAAAAGCAATGCAGAAAGAATTCTTCATTCAATTTCGAAACAATGAGTATAACAGGAGAAGAATTCATGGTCACAATTCACAGACAACATAGTTGATCGATTTCAAGCTTTGGAAATGACAACTCGTTGAACTTATAACATATATTGTACAGAATCCGGTCAGAGTGATAGGAAAGATAACCAATCCAGGATTAACTGTGAGTTTGTAATGATCTAATCTCTGAATTCTGTGATTATTCGTTATGAAAGAAGAGAAAACGCAAATGTACTTTCCGCGATTCACTTAAACTAATACAATAGTACTGATTATGAAATAAAAACATGCATAGCGTGTATGAGAAAAGAGGAATTCATGCAAATAGAATTTAGTATACCTCCTCAGTTTCATCTTTTTCTTTTTCTTTTTCTTTTTTCTATAGACAAAACGAAAGAATAACACGAAAAGAAGTGGATATGAAATAAATACCTCTTCAACGTCATTTTTTAATTTCTTTTTCTATAGAAACAAAATTTCGGATGATTATGAAAGAAATCAACTTGCTATGGAATTTTTCATACGTACATAATCACTGTCATCATCATAATCGTCATCCCGTGGTGTAGGTTTACTCGCCGGCACGATAGGTACAGATCGTTGAGTGAGACCATGATCTTTTCGAGTATTTCGTTCCATATCACTTTTCCTAAATTTCACCGACAATGTATCAAATAATGGCATAATATGAAGATCGATGTTCTAGTTTACATTCGAAAGTGTTCTTCTTGACAAAACTTCATACATTCTTGTCGTGTGGTTGCGATTTTCTCATTCAGATTGAATATCTAGATTTGTATTACATTTCGACAGATGCTCGTTTTTCTTCTTTGGCTGTACTTACCTCTTGTGGCATGGTTTCTCTCAAGTTCATTAAACGAACCATCTTTTGATCGACATCTCGCCGCCACATATCAAGATCAGTTTGTTTGTCTCGCATTTGATTGGAAAGTTGTTGTTCAGTCTAAAATAAAAGATTTATTCTATTTAAATCTCAAATCGATTACAGAAGATATTCAAAGCACATTGAATTCTGCTGCCAAAGCTAACGGATGTCTCATCTCACTTACATTGTTCATACGTTGCGTCATTTGTTCTTCCAAAAGATTCAAATCAACACGTAAACTATTGACACGTTGTTCATGTTTCGCGAAAGTCTGAGATGTAATTTCATCATGTTGTTGAATAGATTTTTGAAGATCATTACGAATCTGAGAGAATACAGATGCATAAGCCAAGCAAGACGCGCAATAGTACAGCAACATACTTTTTCATTGAGATCACGTCGAACAGCAGCAATATCATCAGTAGTAGGCAACGATGAAACACGAGTTGTAAGATCGCGAACTGCTTGAGCACCGCCTTTGATTTTATCTTCATTTTGTTGTACACGCGCATCTGTAGCTGTATGTCGTGTGACAATATCTCCTAGATTGTTATTTATTGCATGAATGTTTCCTTCGGCTTCTCGTTGAGAATGTTCAATTGTATCCAGTCGTCGATTAATATTGATTANCCATGCGTACATTGAAGATGCGCCGATATAGCGAACCTATTTTTCATTATTAAAAGAGGGATTCATCGAAATGCACACGTACTTTGCCTGAGCGAACTAAGTCGTTCAATGCTTCCATTGTTTCTTCTACGAAAACACGTATGAATTTCGATTATTCCTGTATTGTTCTCCTTACCAATAGGTGTTTCTTTGTCGAATCGATGAATTTGATAGAGATCGATGTAATCCATATTCAAGCGTTTCAAGCTGGCTTCACATGCGGCGAAAATGTGCTTTCGACTAAGACCTTTTCGATTCGGACCATCGGCTACTTGATGAAATACTTTCGTGGCAACGACGATCTCTTCTCGAATAGCCATGTCATTCAAAGCTCGCCCTGTAACTTCTTCACTCACACCAGCTGAGTACTAAAATAATCAAAAATATGTCAACTAATTAACTGGTTTTTCCTTTTTCAATTATTCATTTCTAACCATATCCGCAGTATCAAAAAAATTGATTCCGAGCTCCAATGCGCGTTTAACAAATGGTCGTGCTTCTTTCTCTTCAAGAACCCATTCACGCCATTTTGGTGTGCCGTACGACATCATGCCCAAACAGATTCGAGACACTTGTAAACCGGTATTGCCCAGTCGAACATAGGGCATTCCGCTTTTTTGCATGCCTTCAACCACGGATATCTTCTGATTGTCGATGGAGCTCATCGTCTAAAAACAAAAATACGCGAAACGTTTTTTGCATTGTCATCTTTATATGAAACTTGCTGTTCGAGTCTATAACAGCGGTGTGTTTCTGTTTCGTATTTGCCGTCCTTTCGATGATGCACTTCTGTCTCTTTTCGTTCTTTTTCAGAGAAAGGATAAAAATAAGTTAAAGAGACGCAAATATAAACTGGCGGTAAAAATTCGAGATGTGTTAATACACAGTCGTCCTCTTTCGAAAAACTTCAGTGTAGAATAAAAGAAAAGAATCATTTCTGACTTGGACTGACTATTTCGATTAAAATAAATGTTTGTTAACACATAAAAATACACACAATGAGATTTTTTCGTTGATGTACAGAAAATTTAACTGTCAGGTAGGAGATTAAAGACGAAATCTTTGAGAATGTCGAGACTAATTTCATCTCGAATTTCAAATACTCGATGACCAAATTCTTCGGCAATCAAGATATTGTGTACATCGTCGTCAAGTAAAAGAATTTCATTGGGTTTTATTGTTTTATGCCGTCGAGTAGATAATTCCGTAACTACTGATGATAAATGATATTCTTTACCAAGAAAGTCGTTGTTCATATTTGCCACGAATTCAGGGGTATTACAACGAATAATAATTCGATCCGTTTTTCTAGAAAATATCCAAATTGACTATTAAAACAGACATTGAATCGATTCTTACGATGTTTTGAATGCTAGTTGAAGTAGTTTTCGTATTAATTGTTCTTGAGCTGAGAATGACACAATACAAACATGTAGCGTATGACCAAATGCTGATGAATCAAGAAGTTCTTGAACAAAATAAAAGAACGTCGAACGAATGTATTCTAATAAACTATCCACTGTTCCTTGATAGAAACCACCCGTATGTATCGATAGAAATGTGCTATCGAAATCGATTGCGATTAATTTAATGTTCTTCTGAAGGATACCTAGGACAATATCACGAGCTTTAGACCGTTGTTCGGAATTCTGTTTCGAGACATTGATACGTGACGATGAATTTTTCTCAGATAGACTGGTATTCGAACGACGAGATTGATTTTTTAATCTCATTAACGATATGAGTGATGTAGATGATTGAGATCGTTTCGTCGGTGCGACAGGAGGTGATGTTGTTTGACTTGATAAAGAAACTTTTGTTAAACGAGACATATCTGAAATTAAAACAATTGTTAATCCATTGTCGTAAGACGTAAGCAAACGTTGAGGATACAAGTATGCATACTGTCGTCACGAGAGAGAGAGAGAGACAATAGATCAAACATAGTTTACATCGTTGTATACATATTAGTCTAGTACAATGAAGGTAATTGTACACGCGATATTTAGGTTGTAATATACAGATTTCTTTTCCTTCGACTATTATAAATGAATGTAGAAAGGTGCGAAGTAATCTAAAGCTCATCTACGATAGCCAGAATATATTTTTTCTCTCTGCTATGAATCGTTTCTATGATTGAAACGACGCACAAGGTTGTTTTGGTCATAACAAATACGTCGATCGATACAAAAAAACATGCCCTTGGACTTCAATGCTGAAAATTAAACAAATATATATCTCTTTTGTCACTAAAAGACAAAATATAAGGTCAGAGAGTGATTCAATTAATTATTTACTTTCAATTGACCTATACATATGTAATAATAATAATGATATTTTCATCGACTACTGGAAAACAAGAAAACTCAGAAGACGCCAGTTCGATTGGAATTACACACACGAAAGATGTTCTCTTGTGGGCTATGATGTTCTGATAAGAAAAAAGAGAAGACAAATGAACTTATACATAAAACTGTTCGCGTTTCGCTATTGATAATCAGTTTCCGAGACATAACAGATCGACTGGTTAGATGATTATGCTGAAGGTTACGGATAATTTATCGCAAATGACAAAGAAAGACAAAGATCATGTCGAACCTCTCCCCGCATTAGGAATTACGAATCTTTCACTTCGGGATCAAAATAATTCGAATGACTTACACTAGGAAAAAGTTTTTTTCTATTTAAGTCGTTCTAGATCGTGCATGTTCGTCTATGACACGAGCGAATCGGTCTTACTTATCATTCATTCAGAAGCGTTGAACATCCGACATAATTTCCTTTTCAATTAACAGTCAACACGCAAGGTCTTAATAGCAACAAGAAGCTCGTCTTCGACTTTGCGTCGCAACTCCATACACAAAAATAAACAAATGAATCATTTATTCGATTAGCACGCTATAGATTCATATACATCAAATATAAATTAAGCTATATGCATGGTAAATCGATTTTATGATTGATTTGTAACACCATATTCCTGTTCGATGTATACATTGCGAAAAAGAAAGAGAGTCACGTCCTATTGATTGCTTTTTAAAAACGTATCGCACCTCGAATAAGTTACATACGAATATCAAGGATTACATGTTAACTTCGATTAATGACATATTCATGATAAAGTCAGACTCGTTTAGTCAACGGGGAGAAATATCATCGATCGATGGAAAAAAGGAAAATCGAATCGGATAGATTTATTAAATTAGTCCATAACCAACGAAATAAATTCGATCGGAGATGTCGCCCAGGTTTCATTCGTAAAAATTCCATTCTAGTTTTGATTGTTACATCCAGTAATGAATATACCGTCGTTTCGCTGAATGTCATTACTATTTCTGCTATCAAGTTAATGAATTTTTCTTGTCCTACTTTGTAATTGTACGCGTAGATCGTACTTTTCTATGCGTGGAATGTCCTATTCATATTCTATATTAAAAGAAAACTGATTCCTTGTTTGAAAATCTTTTGAACAAAGTTTATTTTTACAAGAATAGTAGATTATGTTCATCGTTCATATTCGTATTCAATTAAATTCTCTCAGTTCCTTGTGGACATTGAACAAGTCGATTGTTTATTTTTGTTTCATTCAACAATCACTAGTTATTTGTTGACAGTATAATAATTGAAAGTCAACTAGCTGAGTATTGATCCGTTTGCTAAGGGAGTACTCATTCTTTGTAGACAATCTAGACGATATTGAGCTTCTTTAATGAACAATTACACAGGTTTCTTGTCAAAATATGAATCTCTAGTTTGACATAACGTTCCCCTACACTTCATATGATGAAAAAGTAACATCTGTTGACAATTTCCTGTTCATCTGACACTCGCTTTGTGACTGATGATTGTTTTTCTCGTCTGGACTTTTTATTTATCGATTTTCAAAGTTATGAAGTTAGTGCCACTTGAGATATTGAAATCGATGCATTGGCTACTCGAATGATTACCGACAAGTGATGGGAGTGAGAACTTTTAGAGATATTTTCTTGCCTTTGGAGAAAAACTCGCTTTCTCTCGAGGAATATTAATGAATGAGAAGGAGAAAAAACGAGGGGAAGAAGAAAAAAAGCATTTCCATAGACACTCTTATGGTAACAAGTAGTTGTGAACAATCTGCGAATGTTGAGAATCACACATAAATGAAAATATCCTCTCAGACAAGTAACTACGATTGCTATCTTCTGTAATCAATTATTTGATGTTGTAGATCATGAATTGATTGACGTAATTCGCACTTTGGCCGCACAAAAGCATGGAAAAGGTTTAACCTGATGACTTAATCTTGTTATACGCGTGAATTCTTTTGTCTTTTCATTAGACTGATTCAGACGATTTAAATTTGTTGTTGACAACTGCACAAAAACTCTTTCTATACGTTCAAAAATCATCGACAAATAATAATACAATTGAAATTTCTACACCAAGAAATGCAGATGGAGGTAAAATGAATTTTCCGTACGTCCAAGATTTTTAACTCTCTCTGTGTCTCCTTTATAAGGGACGCAGCTTGTTTTATAAGACATGAGATCAGAAGAGTAGCTTTTAGTAAATTAGAAAAAAAAGAATTCATGTTCAAATAGTAAATGAAGTTTCTCTCAAATGGCAGGTTTTTCATAATAATAATAAAAATAATGTCATATTATGTGTGATAAACCCAGACCACAAAAGATCAATAATTCATATAAAACTTTTTCTTTCTTTTGTTCTCAGCTGATGAAATCGAACCACTTCGAGCACACGAAATTGTTATTGTTATCTGCGTTCTTTTGTTATGGTTTGTCTCAATATTCATTTTCATTCGTCACTCTAATATTTTACGAATTCGTCACCGTGATATACCATACCATTCGACCGCAGCAAAAACGTCTGTAAATATGAATCATGCTGGTATTGTCAAAGGCAATAGCGATGCTATTCTTCAGCATAAATCACGTATTTCATCGGCAGGTGGTATTACACCACCTGGAGAGAAACGCATTATGAATGAACCGAAAGTATCGGAAACAATCGAAACAATTTCACTATCAATTTCACCATCGTCTCGAAAACGACGTTATGCGTCCCTACTTGACAAACGTATATTGTCGATTACGAAAAATTCATTTGATAAACATGATGATAAAGAACAATTACTTGACCCACGTCATATTACAACGGAAATAAAAGAAAATTTACTTGATTTACAACAGAAAAGCATAGAGAATTTGTCGACTATTAAACACTTGACATTCCGTTCTATAAATGACGTGCGTATTCGGCAACCAAACGATAGCAAACGTGTGTTTGCCAAAAAACGATGCATCCAAGAGTCACCTGTATAAATCCTTTTCTGAATGACGATTGTATCGATGTAAACATTCTTTTAGTCAAAATATAAATACTGTTGATCTATTACATTCCATTTCAGAGATATATATATAAAGTAAGTTAAGCTAAGGGTACTACGTTCGGTGCGACTATAGTGTACGTACAGCGAGAAAAAAAGCGAACGAGACAGATGTCGCGATGGTGTTGTATCTAGCTGTATCTATCAGCACAGTGGTTTGGGGTTGTAATTTTAGTGGATCTTATTGATCTACCATTCAGAATGAAATTCACTATAATAGTCGTCATCTACTAGCTGTGCTTCATTACGTGAAAAATTCTATCATAGTTTGAAAATGTCCAGTTGACTTTTTACTCAGATCATGCTATGGTTGTCAGTCAACTCAATTCTGAACCTATTGAATCGAAGTCAGATGCAATATCAGCGACAAAAGCTGAAGATACATTCGATCCACATACGACAAAATGGTCTGATGTAAATCTTCTCAAATTTGGAACTTTAATTGCTGTTTCCACAACTTTTGAAAGTGCTATTTTCTACCCGTATGTCGTTGTTTAATAACACACAATTTCCATTATTCTCATAAAATCTTCCAACTAGATTCTTTGTTTTGAAAACACGCGAACAAAGTGATCGACGCAATTTAACTCTTCTACAATCCTTTCGATATCATATTCGTGCCAGTATTTCGAAAACAACTACAACTGGTAGTATATCGTCATTGTATCGCGGGTTTTGGTTTTCAAATATCGCTGGTTTACCCGCGTATGGTCTCTACCTTGGTGTTTACATTTCTACGAAAGATCGATTGAACGCTACAAATAATACATCAGCACGATTTTATGCACCCTTTCTTGCTGGTGCTCTCGGTAATCAAGAAATGCTTTTTCGATTCAACTTATGTGTTTTCTGTCTCTTTGAATTGTTTAGCTGATGCCGTTAGTGTGTTATTCTACGTCCCTAGCGATGTGATTGTTCAACGTCTCCAAGTATCTGATAGTCCTTACAAATCTTCGTTTGATGCAATTCGTAAAATCTATGTTAATGAAGGTATCAAAGGTTATTATCGAGGACTTGGTGCCACATTTATCGTCAGTGCGCTTGCATCATCTATATGGTGGACATCTTATGAAAATGTCAAAACTCTTCTCTATCATCCATCAATATTACATTATTTTACATGGAAGAAATCGTCAAAGGACGACACACATGCTGTTCATCGTCTTCCACAGCTAGCAGCCGGTTTTGTTGCTGGAACAATCACGTCCGCATGTGTGAATCCACTTGATGTGGTGAAAACACGAATACAAACTCAAAATATCGATACATTAGGAAAAACATCATCGACAGTTCTCTATAGAAACACGTTTCACGGTTTAGCGTGTTTATGGCGTGAAGAAGGCATAAATGGATTGTTCCGGGGTGTGTTACCAAAGCTGATGTCTCGCGGACCTATATCAGCTCTCAGTGCACTTGTGTTTGAACTAGTTCTTTACTATTCGAGGGATAATTTACATTGATTTTAGTTAAATGTCTCATGTGTTCCTTTTTGTTACTACCCGTGTAATGATGCCTCAATATAAAAGTCAAGCTTTAGTTTTGTATTTAAAATCCAATGACTTGCAGACTAAATAACTCTCTGTGATGAGTTCAACTTATCGTTCAATATTATTATTTATTCAAAAAGAAATTTGTTCAGTTCAATGTTACTGTGTCAGAGAAAGTAAAACAAATTACAATAAGATTTCATGAGAAAAAGAATTATCACAAAGGAGATTCAACTCATCTGATGTAGATCGAATTTCCTCCCTGTCGAGGCTGGCAAAAGAATCGTATCTGTTCCTACAGGCACTCGGATTGGCATATGATCAGGTATCAGAATTGGTTTACACTCAGTGATGCGATTATCACTATTGTCAGGCAGATTTTTTGTTACAAAATATAAGAAACAGTTCAAAACTAACGGAATCAATCCAAGACCGGCTGCGACAAGAATTAGAAAATTTCTCGAACGACTAACTGTAACAGAATATAAATAATTAAAAAACGAATTACCAAACACATTTAAAATTGTACTAATCTCCGTTATGAATGTATAAGCACTATTGATTTCGCTGGGTTCTAACCATTTTGATATGATCGAGTATGTCAACGATCCTTGATAGGATGTAAATGGTGATATTAGTAACCCCGCATATAATTGCCAATTATAGTACGCTTGAGACGTCCATAATGCTGACATAACGAAAAATATATGGGATATGCAACAAATAACAGCATCGCTATAACGTGTATAAGTTAAAAACTTCAAACCAACAACACTACCGATGCACCAAATAATTGATGATACCGTATTGTAATATCCGATTTCTTTCGCTAAAGAAAAACGATAAATTTGCGAATAGGGTCAAATTTGCATGCAAGTCTATTGATAAAAAGCACTCGATGAATGGAAGTAATTGGAATAAATATGCATATCTCGATATCGTTCTTTCTCGCTTATCTTTCAAGGTTCACAGAGTACTCTCAAAACCTTTGAGTTTGTCGATAGAATTAAAGCACTGTATTTACCTGACCAACAGAATGGATAGTTGAGTTGAAACCACAGGAATGGCACACTGAATGCTAAAGATGCAAGAATATGAAAAATAAACGCTATCAGCGTAATGATCAAACTAAGCGATCGTTTTCTTGACCGATATGTATGACGTGGAGTGAATACTGTACATATCTCTATTAACTGACTACATTTACTGTCGATCTTCTTCTTATAATGAGAGGAATTATTCGACAGAACAGGTACAAACGAGTCCGATTTCATATAACGATAAACAATGAATATTGTTAGTAACTGAAGAAATAATGCTGTCCAGTAGAGATCGATAAAACCACGATATTCAATCCAGAATCCGATCACGAGTGAAATAAAAGCACCAACGGCTGTACATACAACACCAATGTAAAGAAATTTCGATGTTCTTTCGGATTCTTCCGTGCTATCTGTAATGATCAAGTTCAGAATAAAACCAGACACGTTACCACCGCCGACTAAACTAGATACAAATGCAGCGATATACCACCAATAATCAGGCAACTAACAAAATGAGGAACAATCGATTCAGGCACAATTTTGTCTTCAAAAACCTACTCGATAGTGTATCGTAAACAACCAAATTACGTATTGAAGGACATTCCCGAACATTGTAAGAATGAGTACAAATTTCCTTCCCAATTGATGTGTATACAATCCTAAGATGTAAGTCATCGCAATTGTTGGAGCACTTGCGGCTACAGTTTGATAGAAGAATAAATTTGAAGATTGTTGTTGGGCCCATTGTTGAGCTGGTGCCGAACTGGATCGATGTTTACATTGATTAAATTCCTTATTATACGACAGTGACGTTGTCATTCCACTCACTGATTCTAACGTTTGAAATGAGCCAACAGCTGATGGGTTGTAAGTAGTCAAATAGTAGTTATAAATGTATTGACCGATAGATGAAGCTAAATAGTAATAAAGTGTCTAAACAGAAAAAAAGATTTCTTTAATGTAAGTTTAACTGGAATAGGGGAGCTCGAGGTGATACTTACTTGTAGACACATAATGATTTCAACTAAATGTGAATGAAATAATCGATGTAATGAGCAACGCAATGAAAAACGCATGATAGTTTCGTTCCTATTCTAAGTTTCCAAACAGCGTAAATGTGTTTTTAATTGATTGCCATCGTGTTTACTAATATCAGGTCTATTCACGAATCTATTCTTCTCACCATCAAATATCACAGGTAACCAGTCATACAAGGTACCAGATAGTTTCTCTTACTGATAGGAAGTAATTAGAGTATGAACATTCGCTCACATACAGTTATGAGGCATCGAATGATGTTAGAGTACGACAAGGTTTGATAGATGGCGTACAAATTTGCCTAACCAAAAACGTGAATAGCAATGCGACTACGGTTAATATGAATGGAAAGGTTTATTTGTATTTATCGAAACAAAACAAAAAAAAAGAATACAAGCATTCTGATCCAGACTGAATTTCTTTCGGAAAAACAAATGAATTTATCTATTTCTTTCGTACGAATGTTGTGCCATCACCAAGACGTAATTGGCACACATCCACTGTTTGATCGAGTTTGATTTTATCATTCAACTGTCGAATGGTTATTGTATTGATATCATTTTTGCTTGGATCAGCGACAAAACCTGTATAAATTGTATTATCTATTGCAATGAGACCATTAGGACGTACTAGACGAAGACATAAATCATAATAGTTAACATAATTCGGCTAAAAGAAGTAGAAGTAAGCATTTATATATATACACGATAGATCAAACTACAAATGAACCAACCTTATCACCATCAATAAAAATAAAATCGAAGCTATTTTCTCCATACTGTTCTAATAACTCATTCAACGTATCTAATGCGGGCTTGATCCGTAAATCCAATTTCTTTGCAACACCAGCCTTTTCCCATATATCACGTCGAACATATTTATCATCAATATCTAAGGTAACTACTAGCCCATCATCAGGAACCGCTAACGCCATGCTCATGGATGTGTAACCTGAAAGTGTGCCGACTTCAATACAACGCTTGAAATGACTAACTCGAATTAACATTTGAAAGAATTGAGCAGCATCAGCCGAGCCGATCATCAGTGCGAATTTTTCTAGAATATGAGATTGTTGTTCATGAAAGTGTATATATATATAGGAGATTTTACCTGGTAAAGATCGAGTATATTCGATCAATTCGTTTTGTTCAGCTGTTGGCCGAAAAGTATGATCCATGATATAGTGATCGATTGGATCATTTGATAGATGGGATTTGATATCCACTAAATTTGTCATTTGTGTTCTGATTCTCTTTTTTTTTTCTTATCTGAAAAGATTTCAAACAAAACATGTGAAATACTATGATTCTGATAAAATCAGTTTGTTTATTGTTTAAAAAAAACAAAACGAAAGGCAGATTTATCAACGAAAAACTACTAGAACATCAAAAAAAAGGAAAAGTACTAAATATAACATTAACAAACATCCATTGCTTGGACGAAATATAAGGAAAATTCTCTTTTGAAATGTTGAAGAAAGAGCATGAATAAAATAGACAAAGAGTATCGAACCTGATGATCATATGACACCCAATGTCCCTTATATGTTTGTTCGTCACGGCAACAGATAAACTTGTTCACATGATGGCTGAACGATAAGCTTTCTCTGCTGCGATGGTTTTCAAGTTCATTCCTAATGATGAAGATAACGTTGAAGAGACAGCTTCAACGAGTAATTCTCCATTTAATGCTTTTGTTAGGACCATGTTATCACCATCGTGTATTTCCATATAATCACTTTGATCAATATATGCGTCGACACCGGCACCAGCGCGTGGATAGTTTTTAACGAGTGCTTTGTGTTCTTTTAAGTCTTGTTCGAGTTCTTCATAGGTTAAATCATTCACGAATGTACATGTACCGATTGGATTGGGCATAGCTGCACGTTGATGACCATCACGTGTTAACATAATCGATTTGGTTGCTTTCCAGATTAAATCTATGGTGAACAGTTCATGATCAAGTGTAAGGCCAACGCGTGACATTAAACGAAGGATACGATCACGTTCTTCTATGGTGATCAAACCTCGTTTCCATGCGACGGTGACTGAAAAAGCCATGTCGATGTTGATGGCGTGACCATGACGAAGTGGAATGGGTGGTGTAAGTTCAAGTGTTGGTGACCATGTATGTCCGAAAGCAATAACACGGTCAAGCATGATTTCATGGAGATTTGGTACCCTACAACGAAGAAGCAAATGAATGGCTGATCTTGATCGATTTGGCAAGGATCTTACTCGAGTTCGAGCATCTTTTTGATGCCAATATAATTGATTTGTTTAGCAGCCTTGCGAACTTCTTCGGAGGCGCCATCTAAATAACCGAAATGTGTTGAAATTAATTCTTCACCATATTTGTCGAGTAAATCGAAGACGGTTTTTTCGGCGACTGTTGAAATTTTGACTAATTCAGCAAATCCGTTGCGAATATGTCCTTGGGACAAAGTTTTCAAGAATGAAAAATCAAGAAATGTGATCAATGGTGCATGATATGCGCCAAGTCGATTTTTAAGTTTGCCATGGTTGAGACCGACCTTGATCGATACACTAGCATCGATTAAGCCGATCAATGTCGTTGGTATACGAATGAAATTGGATGTACGTCGATAGGATGCACATGCATAGCCAGCCACATCTGTTAAGACACCACCGCCAATGACCAAGACTGGTTCTTTACGAACAAGGCCAAATTCGGCGAATGTATCTAGGATTTCTAATTTTGTCTTCATTGTTTTGCGTAATTCGCCACCTTGGATGACTTTGACTGTACATTTAATGTTGTGCACGGTGAAATAGTTTTCCAATGCTTGACCGTACATTTTGTACACGTTATCATCGATGACAACCAAACATCGGCCCCATGAATGATAACAATCGGCAAGATCGTGGTGTTTTGGATCGAAGATGTTGTCGATGAAACGAAAATCGTAGGTAATTTTTTCATAACCTTCAATATGGAATCCATTTGTTGTGGATGAAACAGTTGCTGACATATCCGACATGTTTGAACAATCAAAAGAGATCTGAAAAGCCAACGACGCGAAGGATGATTTTTCAGCTTTCAATGGATGACTAGATAAATGACTTACTTAATGTAATAGAAGAATAAGAATTAATAGTAGATGAAGATGCTTTTCTAACACACTAGGTTTGCTTTCGCTTTGAAATGAGTTGTTCTAGTCAAATGATGGTTCTTATATAGAACTGATCCGAGAAGTTATGCTTTCTACTCTTTAATCCGATTTCAGGTCTATTCTGGGGTCATAATCGAATAGGAGATGGTATTATATAATAAATTTCGCAGATCAAAATGAAAAGAAAATGATGATGGTGTACTTATGTAATCGAAAATACTTCAGCGAATCACAGACGTGCTAGACAAGAAAAAATCGTACTCAAAGTACATCTCGCCATAGCATTAAAACAGGAAAATCCAAGAAATTTATGAAGAGATATCCATTTTAGTTTCCATATATACATGCATATTGGTTAACACAATCACACTGTCAAAGTCCATCGCGTTCATATCGATGGGCATTCATTGTACTCTAACACATACAAGATTTACAATTAATAGGCTTGTATATTGATTTTACACTCTTTCACCCCGTCCAAGTTTTAACCTTACATAATCGAAAAATTTATACGCATTTTGTGACGTATGCAGACTCGATGATAAAACGGATGGAGACATTTTCCTTTTATCTATTCTGTGTCCCCTCGATAGACCACAGAATGTACTATATTGTATAGATATCAACGAGTAGAATCGAACGTGCCTTTGGCTCATTTAAGATCGGACAGGATTTCTCGCCTTTTTCGAATAAGATAAAATAACAAATCTTATCTGCAGACTGGAAATTTTTAGAAGCACGTGCTAAGTATGAGTTGGTTCGATTGAAAATCACTGTATAACACGTGTTCGAAAAACATGATGAGTTAGATAGTCATAGAGTAGGTTGGGCGAGAAGCTAAGATTAAAAAATGCATAGTTTTCTCTCTTACATCATAAGATTGACTTTATTTTAGATGAAGTTTCTTTCCCGAGTGCCATTCATAGATCTGATTAAGCAGAAAATTGTGAGCCTGGTGAGCAACGGTACAGTAGGCATATTATATGTGATTGTTTGACAATGAACACATCTGCTTTTCGTAGATATGATAAAATTAAGTCCAGAGGCAGTTGAATCCTTTGATGCAGCAAAACATAGACAACGATCGATCGATAGCTTTGAACAAACGTGGCCTTGGTATCGTCAACTTATAAAATCAATAGCTTATTCTACACAAATTCCATCTGATACATTGAACAATTATGTTCGAACCATTGGCATTCTTCTTTTACTTGCGATTCTCTTTCCATTCAGTTTATTAATTACGATATTTACAATAGTTTGCTCAAAATTAATCCGTCTTTTCAAACAAAATGAGTCAACACCAAAACCAAACCATTCTAGCAAACGAATTCTTATCTCTGGCGGAATGATGACAAAAGCACTCGTCTTATGTCGTGGATTTCATCGAGCTGGCCATAAAGTTATTCTCGTTGATGAAGCTATCAATTGGCTCACAGGTCATCGTTGGTCCAATTCTGTCGAACGATTTTACATTGTTCCGTCACCTGAAAAAGATCCCGAAGCATATATGCAATCACTTGTAGATATAGTTCAAAAAGAAAATATTGATATGTTCGTACCAGTCACTGGTCCTTACCATGCTCACATCGATGCACAAGTATGTTCACGTGGAATAGTTACTTTTCGTTCTCCAACACCTTCATACATTCACCTCTTCTAGGTCAAAGCTCGTCTAAAACAACACAATTGTTCAACATTTCACCTGAATACTGATGAAATAACTCTTGTAGATAACAAGTATTCATTTACTGACAAAGCTCGTTCATTGGGTTTACCCGTGCCTAAATCTCATTATATCACATCACGACGTCAATTAATGGATTTTAATTTCGATCAAGAAAAGCGTCCATACATCTGCAAGAGTATCATGTACGATTGGCTTGATCGAGGAGCAATGATCACATTACCACGAGCAACACGAGCCGAAACAATTGAATATATCAATCGTTTACCCATCAGCGAAGAATGTCCGTATATTCTACAAGAATTCATTCAAGGTGATGAATACTGTACACATGGCACATGCTTGAATGGGAATTTGGCATTATTTACTTGCTGTCATTCGTCAGCATGGCAATTAAATTATAAACATATCGATCATCCAGCTATTTTGCAATGGTCTACAACATATGTTCGAGAATTGAAATTAACTGGTCATGCATCGTTTGATTTTATTGTTAGCCATGATGACGGTAAAGCGTATGGAATTGAATGTAATCCACGTGTTCATTCGGCAATTACAGCATTTTATAATCATCCACGTATTGCTGATGCTTACTTCCCATCTGATTTTCAGACGACGATGATACCATTGCCAACAGCACGTGAAACTTATTGGTTAACGCATGAATTATGGAGAATCATTCGAAATATTCAGTCAAGTGATCAAGTTTGTCAATCATTACAGAGAATATTCTACGGTAGAGAGGCAATCTGGTCGTTTGATGACCCGTTACCGTTTCTCTTACACTATCATGTTCATATCGTATGTCTTCTCTTGGATAATTTACGACCAACTCGTATTCGATTTTTTCATAAAGTTGATTGCTGTCTTGGCGAACTTTCATAATAATAGTTTTTCATTTCGTTGTTGTTGTTGTTGTTTTTACTACTATTATTATTGTTTTATTTCCAATAAAAAAAAAGGACGTTTAAGTATTAAGAGATCAATTTCAAGAAGTAATAAGAAATATGAAACTAATATCACAATAGGAAAATATTGACTAATAACCTTGGCTCGTTGGATATATAAGGCTTGATACAAATTGCATGGGGATTCATCGATTTTATCAACGAATATGATGATGTTTATTGCTACCATTGTTATTGTTTTAATTCAACAACACGTCCAATTAGCTTTTGCAGGTACGACTTTCGATGGAAAATTTCGTTTTTCATTACGAATTTCTCTAGTTCAATGTTCCGCGAATCCGTGCAATCTTATTGCGGGTAGTTTCGATGCAGCAAATGGCTATTGTTGTTATGATATTCCACCGTACAATACTGATTCCGTGTGCACATGTCCAAATGCTGCAGCTGTCCTCAATGGACCTTGCCGTAAGAAACGACAACAACTTTCTTCTTACGAAATCTTATTTTGTCTATGTAATTTACGGAATATAGGTACAGGTGTATCACCAAATCAAGGAGCTTGTAATCGCACATGTATTAACGGTGGCGTCTGCAATGTCGTCAACGGTCAACAAGTTTGCTGGTGCACACTCGGCTTTTCGGGTTCATTCTGTGAACTGCAAGGTTAGTCTTTATCATTTATAACTCACAGTATTGTAACGATGTATTCATTTAGGTATCTCAGCTCGTTGTGCTACTGGTGTGTGCCAAGCTGGAACTTGCGTTGAACAAACGATAGGAGCAAGTCTATTTGCTTATTGTCATTGCAATCCAGGATGGACAGGTCAAACATGCAATCAATGTATGCATCCTACGACCTTATTCATGGACCCTAATTTTGCATTTCATGCGTCTCATTTAGGCTATTTTACATGTACACAAGCCGGCGTATTTCCTGATACAGCTTATTGCTCAATTGGTCGATATTTTTATTGCCCAACTGCAGGCGGTGGTAAGAGTAGTTGTAATTGTTGGTTCGAAATTGTTTATGAGATGTTTTGTGTTTCAGCACCTATTAGTGCCATGTGTCCAGATGGTCAAAAGTTCGATCGTCTAACAAACAGTTGTAGCACAACAGCTACCTGTTAATAACATACGCCAAATTGATAAGTTTGAACTTTCGTTTTTATGAAATTTGCTTTTGTGTTTCGTGAATAAATCAACCGAATAAATAAAAGTCGGTCAATGGAACAGATCATTTTGTCAATATGTTATGGATAAAAAAACATTGTTCATTGAGTATATATTGACTGTTTTCTACGTATAGATCACCTTGAAAAGAAAATATTTTTTATTGTTAGAACGAAATTAAGCCCTTGAACCGGTTGGTATTTATTTAAACTAAAACTAAATATTTACCAGAACGAAAACATATACTGCTCAAATGTTGAAGCTGTACAATAGGAATAACAGAAAAACGAAAAAAAATATTCTTTTGATACAATCAAGAGGGTAAAATCAAAAAAGATAAAAACAAACAGATATTACAAAGAACAACAACATTAAGAGTCATTATGCTACAACGGCAACTGGATCCGCTGACGTTTGATCATCAACTTTCTTCGAATTCTTCTTCTCGTTTCGATTCATCCACATCAATGCAAAATGCATCAGCGCACTTGTTAGAAAACTAATACCACCAATGACAAACGGGATATCGAAACTGTTCGTAAAATCTCGAATAGCACCCATAATCTAGTGTTTAGTTCACTTTAGATGTGAATGATAGGAAAGAAAAGAAACTCACTGGTGGAGCTGTCAATGATGTAATACCACGAAACATTAAAGTTAAACCTAACGCACTACTGTAACGGTCAAGGCCAACGATTTGACAGACAATAACAGGGCTTAATGATACATGAAATGCTAGACAAAGAAAAAGAGAAGTCGATTAAAAACTGTCGGTCGTATCTTTTGTAAGATTTTAAATAGAAGAAGTCGTGATTCATTTTTTCTTACCGATAAAACCGCCCCATATAACACAATATATGATTAGAAGCGAATATGTCGAACAGAATGGTACAAGCAATGTCGAGATGCCAGCAACAGTTAAACCAATGTTATTGACTAACAATGGTGACATGTAAGGAAATTTTGTTATCCAACCAGAAGCAAATCGACTGGCTGTGTTGCTGAAACCTAGAATGACACAGGACATGATACTTTAATAGAATCTTTGGATTTGATTACCAATCAATGATAGTAGAAAAACAGCGCTTGATTGAAGAATTTCTCTTTCTAATGTAGCAAATTTAACTACAAACAGATAAGGTGTGTAATATCCAATCATGGAACAAACATTGGCCTATTCGATGAAATGAAAAGCGACTGAATTTTGAAAACAGTCAATGTCAAGTTTGGCATATCATACCAAGCAAATAATGATCATTCTTTTATCGCTTAATACTTCAAAATTCGTCATCGAACTAAACACATCCCAGAAAGGTTTCGAAGGACCTTTCGGATTACCATCTTCTGGCACTTTCGTTGTTTCTTGAATGTATGTTGGAATATCCGGCTGTGATTGATACTCAGGTAAGGTCGTCACGTCACCTTGATAGAGCACGTCATCTTTATAGCAACTATCATAAGAAAGCAAATATTCAGGATAACATTGAAGATAATGACAACTTACGGTCGAACAGCATCTTCAGCTTTAATGCTCCGTTTTGATTTTGTTGAAATAGCTGAATCAGCTCGTTTTCGTTTCGATAACAATTCTTCTGCTGCTTCATCGTGTATACTAGGATTCGATCGACGAGCAGATGAAGTTGCCACAGTAGTCGCTGCTTCTACTTTTTCATTAAGTAGATGTGCTGCTGCCTACAAGAAATATAAGAAAATTAATAACACTTTAGTAACCATCGACTTACTGTCGTCGGGAAGACATCGTCTTCTCTATAACAAGACAAAAAGATAGATTGAAATTGAAGTTAGTGAAGAGGATCAGTTCATTAATATAGATTGTACAGAAATGATTTACTCACATTTCTTTCAGTTGCAATACGCGTCGTTTTCGTACCGGTTTTAATGGCACCATAAAGGCAGAACAAAGAACACACAGCAAGAGAATAACTGATAGTATAAGTAAACCATATTTCCACCCGAAAATATTGAAGAGAAACCGAGACAACGGTCCAAAAGTAATCGAACCAATTCCTGTACCGGCCGTAACGATACCTAAAATTTACAATTAGTCATCTGAAATTAATCCAAAGAACTCTTTGTTCATTACCAGTTGCTATAGCACGTTTCTCTTCGAAATAATAGCCAACCATAACGATGCTTGGTAAGTAGACAAGCCCCATGCCAATTCCTCCGATAAAACCAAATAATAACCACATAATGTAAATATTCGGGGAGAATACAGATGAAGCAACCGATATAGCGGCAATAATACTTCCAATAATCCCGATCGGACGGCAGCCCCATTGATTACACAATGCCGAAGCGATAGGTGCTAAAGTAGAACACAAGAGGAAAGAATGAAGCATAAATACTAGATTAAAGGAAATAAATCATTACCACTAAGTAAATAAAAACCGCAAGCAAGTGAGATAACAAGTGACACAGCCCATTCTGAACACTCAAAGTGGTTTTTCAAGTCTTCGGATATGGCACCAAATGCATACAGGAAACCATCGACAATTAAATTAATAAACTACAACAAAAGAAATGTCAATAGTGAGGTTTTAAAAAATGAAAGCTGGAAGAAATTACTTACAAAGCATGCAATAAGAACTATCCAACCAAATCCACCATCTGGCGGTTGTGTGATATAATCATACTCATCATCATCAGTATTTCCCGATTTCTGTAATGGTTTCTTTTCAACATTTAACTCAATTGCGTCCTGTTGACGCTTTTTCTGGACTTTATCCGACATGAAAATAGTTACTGGAGAAGAATACTGTTCGTCAATATGTCGTCAGCATTTAATACTAAACAAAGAACAATAAAAAGTTAGAAGTAAGGTAGAGTGTTATAAGAAAAAAAGTATTTCATGATAACAACATATGAAAAGATGCTGCATCTGTCAAAAACATTCTGAAGGTGACTCTGTGATAAAGTGAGATATGTCGAAATCAGCTTTTGCGAAATTGAAACGTCACCTTTTCAAGTACCTACTAATTTGCTTCAAAATTTAAATGCGATTTCTTTTTCTTTCTCATTCTATGAAACAATAACAAGTTCAATCTTCACGCGCATGACTATCAGCTACAAAACGTGCTGCAGAAGAAGAAATATATTAGCATCCAAGGACATAACATATATATAGAGCTATTTCTTTCTGGTGAGTGGTAACGTTGTTCGTAGTTTCTTTCTTGTCGTAATAAAAGCAACAGAAAGAAACGAGAAGAAAAAAAATGTATCGGAACAAAACGAGGAGATTCGTATGTCCTTTATTACAAGGCTATAATAAACACACCTTTAAAAGAATTAATTCATAGAAACATTCTTTTAGCGATAGGCTTTCTTAATTCCCTAGGAAACGACTTAATAGCAGATTTTTACGACGTCATGTCAAAGATTATGTTAGACAGCGGGAAAAAGTCGCTGATATAATGTAAAACAATGCAAAAGCAAGATGTTCGTCATGGCAACTTTACGATTTATCGAAACAAAAAATCAGTGACACGTGCATTGATAACAAAGAACGAACGAAAATGCAAATCAATCCTTTGTGGATATATGTTGAAGCTCATACCTTGATCCACATCGAATATGATCCTATTCATACGGCCATGTATCTTACATCATATAAATACATACCTCTTAACCTTGATTATCTTCGATAATCAGATACACGTAATATAGATAATCGTGTGTGATGAATGATCGAGAAGGGAAGAAATGTTGTTGTGATGAAAAGGAAGTATGAACGTTTTTGTCCTGATAGATTCGCTGAATGAACAGAAGAAAAAGAGAGAAGAAGAAGAAAAAGGAGGAAAAACTTGTTCGCCGCACTATTCGCTGCTTATGTGGATCTACGCAAATTGCTCTTCGATTACTACATACCCATCTGCCTGTTAATCACACACACGCACCATAGGAGGATGCCGGATTTGTTTTTTCTTCTCTTTTCTTCTCTGACAATGAGAGACATGCAACGACTCTTGTACTCAGTCTCTTAAATTCAATTTAATTAACACTTAGAATAGAAATCAATATACGACAACAAATGAAATCCAATTTTAGCTGCTTTGCTTTTCTTTGGCCCATCAAATAGACAATACACTAATCGACATTGACATAAACAACGTTGTATTATAGGGAAAATTCTGTTTGTCCTCAGCTAACCATAGAAACTAGTGAGCTAATAAACAAAATATATGTCATATTCCGTTTTTCGGATGCACACGACAGATGGTTTCAATTGAATAAATTATACAATGGGCGTCAGTCTGATCATTGATATCAAAAAAAGAACAGAAATACAATCGATTTCAAAGCACAAAATAAAGCCTACCGCCAACAAATCTTTTATTCGCATTGAAAAGCTACTGAATGCATAAAAAATACTTACTACTGATTGCATTTTGACGTCAACATACTCAGTCATCTTCAACATGATATAAATACACAGAAATTCCAAGCGAAATGTAAATATTGATTTGCGTAACTTTTTTCCTTCCTTTATTGGCGTTTGTTTTTCTTTACTCTTCGTTTTTTCGAAAAAGACACACACTTAAAATAGACAACATTGAAACGAATTTGTTCACAGTCAACAACGGAAATCGACTTGAGCCAAGAAAAGAGAAAAAAAGAAAATGAACTGATTGAGTATCGACATCGAAAGAAAAACTAAATGTTAACATTGTTCGAAACCCACACAACGGAGAAAAAGAGAAAATCAAATGAACGGATACGAGAGAATTTTCATAAGACAGGCACCGGAATAGAATCGTAAACATACACATGCACACACACCTGAGAACAAATCAAATAAATAACTATAAACAAATAAATTATATATGTATACGAAGACGCAGAAGAAACGATGAGTATCGAACGAGATTCGCGAAAAGAGATTATTTTGTTCCCAAATGAAATGAGAGAAAAACAAACAAAGAAGAAAGATATGACTAGATGATAGAGAATAACGATAAATCACAATAGATAGACAACTTCACATACAAATACCACTAAATGGACAACGTTCTTTTTCTTGATCAGTTTTACATATGCAATAAACTTGTGGGACATGATGTGAATCCCAATTTCCTAATAATTGGCAATCAAAATAGATTCATTTCAACTAGACAAACAAACCTGGTCCGGCAAGCACTGATATATCATGTAAACAACAAGGTATACGTTGTAGTAAACGAAATTTATACAATAAACTTCGAGCCTAGAATATCAACGATATTTCTTCACATAGACTTCATCATTTGTCTTACTTTTTTCAATACTATCGATCCACTCATATGCATTGCAAGACTATTGAAATGTAAAAGCATATCATCTGTACCTAGATTCTGTTGAACAATATCTTCGCCGTAGACTGACATGATACTTATGCATATGAATAAATGAAAATAATCTGTTTGATAATGAGACCAGCATGCTTCCCACATTCGTAATGCTTCTAAATAAAACAAATCCTTTTTTTTTTAGATTGATCACTGAGAGGAAAAAAAATATGTTTGGCCTTGGGGTGTATTTGCAATCTGCTTATTAATTATTTAAGTTCAGGCAAAGATAGATGTTAACAAAGTTAATTCGCGTGGAAAGATCAGGAAACTGTGATGCACAAACCTCGTTCGGGAAATTCGCGTTTGAAACATAACAATATCCATCGGTGAGCAAATAGTAAATCAAGTCCATCAGATAATTTGGCACAATGTTCATAAAATGCAGGCGACATCAACAATAAAAGTTCACGAAGATATCTCTACAATAAGTTCAGAATTCATTTACGAGATTCGATGCGATTGATTTCAATACATACTAATTGCTTTTCCATGACATCATCTGTTGGCGTAGAGATGAAGATCGTTCGATTCATTAGTCCAACAAAACACCAAAATGCATCTGATTCATGTTGGATAATTGTTAGTATGGGCGCTAAAAGATCGGACATGCCTTGAGTATAGCCCATTGTTGGACAATATGCTGCGTAATTCAAAAGAATTTCTCTAAAAATCCAATGAATCTACACTTGAAGAAAATGTCAGTTGTCAATATTAATTACTTCATCACTCTTAAATTTGGATTATCATCGCCTTTGAAGTATGGATGCGATCGATCGGTGCGTACAACGTCTTTTTCAATAATAGCTTCGACATCATGGAAAAATTGAGCTTGTTCAGGGTCGTCCACGGCCGTCTCTCTAATTGAACAAAGTATTTTGAGCAAAATCCTATTTCAAAAAGAAATTTCCTATACCGTCGTGCTCGAATCTTTTGATAATGTAAAAATTTATTATGCCTAATTTGTTCACGTTGATCAAAGGTTGAATCAAATGGATAGAGATGAAGCAAGAACGGCCATACTTCCTTAGCTACAGATGGATCAATTCCAGCGAAAAATATTGTCTAAACAGAAAGCAATTTCAAGGACAAACATCATAATGCACATGGTTTCCTCTAGCATAACGCATGTTTTTATAATCTATCGGAACTATGGTTCACTCTTCATGGTAATATTAATAAAAGATCGAATCGGAAATTGCAGTCTTTCGTGTTCATCGAAATGTCTGTTTAAATCTGGATAGAACGTCAATAACAAGTCGACAACATGTATACGAAACAGATTTCTTCTGCATGATTAATAAGAAAAATAAAGGAAATTTATTTACTTTTCTCAGTTGATGATTATCTTCAATTTGTCCTAATGAATTCATATATGTTCTCCAATTATCCGTTGTTATCAGATGATAACACCCTTCTTCGGGATGCAAATCACTTGACTCAATTGTTGGACGTACGACATTGAATTGATGACAATTAGCGAAACCACGACGAGTTTTTTCATATGCAAATAGATTCCATTCATTGAGAATTTCAATCAAACGATCCAGACCACCATTATGAAAATGTAACACTTTATATTGAGATTCACATGACGCAATTACTAGTTGTCCACTACCACTTGCTGCAGCCGGTAGATCATCGCAATAAAATAAACGTAATGAACGCATTTTACCGAGATCCACAGAAAATACACCACAAAATTGTTCGGCTACTGTTCGTACTGCTTCGTCGTCTTCGTTAATCGAACAGTTTTGCTCACATATGCCGGAAGCATTCTTCCAAAGATTGGTTTCTTTCATAAATGGTAAACTATCATCAATCGCACGATTCGGTGACAGATCTGCTGTTTCACTTGTTTCAAATGCGTCGTCGACGTCCTGTTCGTCTAAAATCTCATCAGGTCCTTCAGTTAAATCTGATGTAATCGAGGCTTGTCTCATATAAGATTTATCATCTAGGGCATCTTCGTATTGATCATCTGATGAATGACGGCGATTTTCGTTTTCTTCTTGTTCGATAGGTGATAATAATGGATTATTAGAATTCGATGCATGATAACCACTATCAATTGTTCGAGATAGCGAATGACGTGGAGTAGATGTTGGTGGCTGTTCCGGATTTGTGTTCATCGATGGCGATGAGTTTTCATCCGATGTCGGTGACAGTTGAGATGTATTCGAACGATTTTTCAATGTCGAATTCGGTATCCATGTTAAAATTAAAGTCGAACCAAATTGTGGGCTATTCTGACATTTAACACATAAATAACCTGGATGATGAAGTGTATAGGAGTGCAAACGCGAGGGTGGATGCACACAAATGTTATTCTTCGAGAAGATAATTTCACCATCTAGTGGAGGACATTTGTTTTTCAATAGAGATGTTGTCGTGGCAGGTACTGTGAAGGACGTCGTACGTTGTGTTAGGAGATTCGAAGCACGACGAATGATTGATGTGACTGCGTTTTTTGATGTTGAAGAAGGCATTTGATTGTTTCGGGGAGTTGAAGGGACTGATGAGATTTTCTTATTGAAATTCGACATAATTAACAAAGAGATGTATACTAGAAGAAGGAAATATTTGTGTGAATAGAAGGATTATTGAATGAAAAACAAAAAAACTTGATGATGACTTTTTAGGGTCTTTTGTCAAAGAATCGACGAGAATTTTTGATGAATAATAAATATCAAACTAGTGTCATCTTTAGAAGAATGGATGAGAAATCTTTTCTGAGAAGTATCTTTACATCAGACGTTTCCAATGCCATTCTGTTTGGAGTAACAATGATAAACATTCAATAATTAGATAGAAAGGAAACCTTTTTCGTGTGAAAATCCATTGGCTGGAATGATTGTCCAATGAGAATTATCGTTGACAAGCTGAATTGTATATACAAACAAAATGACTGAGAACTAAATTGAAGATAATAATGCATTTAATAAAATGTTGTTAACAATTTAGCTTTTAAAAGAAAAAAAAACAAGGATATTCATTTTCAAATGTATTAATAATTGATTAATTGACACTTAATATGAAATATATTTTCAACTGATCGAGTATGTAACATTTTCCTTTGATCGCAAGAGAAGAAATCAAGTTGACAGATGTATTTATGCTCTGAACTACAGCCTTGTTTTTTCTCTTCTATTAAATCGAATGATTATGTGCGATGATGTTCATATTGAACATGAAGTCTTATCGACATAGATATTCCAGAGTATCTGTTGCATCAGCGGTTTGAAAAACATAACGTACATTGCTTATTGCGCCGACGTCTACCTGCTAACCTAGTTATTGCGTGTTAGAGAGAAGAAATTATATAACATATGAAAGAGGTTACGTACTTTAAGGTCGCTCAGTTATGCACAATGTTAATCATGGCGTGACTCATGTCTGAATGGTTTATATGTGTAGTTATATTTTGTTTGTTAAATATCGTTGTACTTTGAATTTGACAGATAAATGAAAGAGAATCAGCGAACGGGTTGTTTGTTGTCAATCCTTTGAGAACTTCTTACTATGATTGCTTAGATAACAGTGTTGTTGTTTTTTTAGGAAAAATATTACTGATGAATTCTCACGATCCGAACGACGATTCCGATGATGCCGCTATTCTCGATATTACAGCTGATGAACAACCATTAATAACTAATCATATCGATGAACCTAATCCCGTTTTATCGACACCGAATGTCGATACCGTTCTTGTTCCATCACTTTCTCGTTATCGTCTAACGAACATTCTACGTATTCTTCTTTTCATTGAATTTCTGTCATTAGCGATCATTTGGTTCATAGGTAAGACTTAGCCATATTAGATATTGAAAACAAATGAGAATTTATACTTTTAATTATAGGCTATTCAACACATTCCCTTGTTGATGATATCATTCATTACACTTTAACCTCATCGATATTCGATCTTGTTGCAGTCTCCGTTTTGAAACTTGCAGTTTCAGTTATTTTACTAACCGAATTAGAAACATTCGTCATCAAGCGGTTGTATCATCCAGATGCACGTTTACTATTTACTTTTATCCGGTATTTCACTACAGTTTTACTTTTATTGTCCGCATCCTGTTCCTTAGCATTTGCGATTGTCAAATTAATATTCGTCTTACGTGGATCGAGTTTAAATACACTTTACCTATCAACTGTGTATATTTTTCTTGTCTTCTCAACGATTGAATTCATCGGAATGATTTTAATGATACCTTATTTATCTCGACTAAAATTACTTGAGCAGGAACGATCGACAGTAACCAAGAAAAAAGTCGATTTAAAACGATTAATGACATTAGCTAAATCGGAACGGTTATTTATATTCCTTGGTACTGTCTTTCTGCTGGCATCAAGTGCCACCCAAATTGTTATACCATACTACTTTGGTAAAATTGTTGATGATGCACTAAAATTCCAATCGATGCGTTTGGTCAATATCAGTGTGCTAATTCTATTCGGTGTTAATTGTGCTGGTGCATTAGCTTCGTTCTTTCGTTCATGGCTATTCGGATTAGCTGGACAGTAAGGTTTAAATCATAATTGTTCATTTCATTTTCGTGTCTGTTTTTTTCTTTGTAGACGAGTCGTCTTTCGACTTCGTCAGAATATATTTGACGCGATTACAAAACAAGAAGTCGCCTTCTTTGATGATACTCGTACGGGCGAATTGACGAATCGATTATCCAGTGACACACAGGTTTTGCAGAATGCTTTAACAGTTAATATTTCGATGCTTCTTCGATTCGTTCTTCAAATTCTTGGTAGTCTGGCTGTGATGTTTTATTTGGAAGTGACGTTGACACTTGTCTTGATGGTCGTTGTGCCGATTATTGTGCTCGTTGCAAGACAGTATGGGACAATTGTACAAAAGTTAAGGAAAAAATTTCAAGACGAATTAGCTGCAGCAGGAACAACGGCAGAGGAATCGATATCGAATATTCGTAAGAACCCTTTAACAAGCCTTCTTCAGAAGACGAAGTCAAAACTATTTACTTTTGATCTTCTTATTAGGAACTGTACGCATATTTGGCGCAGAGAAGAAGGTTAGCAATCAATACTATGAAAATTTGCTGAAAACATACGGAATCGGAAAGAAACTAGCATTAAGTGATGCGACATTTATGGGATTGATTGGTTTATTAACGGCTGGTGGTATATCTGTTGTACTATGGTAAGACAGTAAACTTGACTACTCGGAAAATTAAAATTGTTCTCTCGTTCAGGTATGGAGCCAAGTTAGTACACGACCAAAAATTAACTGCCGGCCTTCTTGCTTCGTTTCTGATGTACATGTTGCAAGTTGCCATAGCGTTTGGCATGCTAGCGTCGTTATTCGGAGGTAAATTGACTTGTCGTATTGTTCATAAAGATATTCATTGCTCTCTTTTTCATTCTCTCAGACTTTATGCAGGCCGTTGGTGCTAGCGAACGAATATTCGATTTGCTTGATCGAAAACCAAAAATAACCTCCGAGACAACTGCAGATTGCTCGATTAGACCGACAGATTTTGATGGCAACGTTAAGGTTCAGAATGTTTGTTTTACATATCCAACACGTTCCGATCAACAAGTTCTTCGTGATGTATCATTTGAAATCAAATCCGGACAGAAAGTAGCTTTAGTTGGACCATCGGGTGGTGGCAAAAGCACAATTGCATCTTTAATTGAACGATTCTATGATCCTGATTCCGGTACTATCTTATTCAATTCACATCCATTAACATCGATCGATCCCGAGTGGTTACGCACCAATGTTTCCTTTGTTAATCAAGAACCATCCTTGTTTGCATGTTCAATACGAGATAATATTACATTCGGTCTCCGCAGAACTGATATATCTTTAGAAGAGATTCAGTCAGTTGCGAAACAAGCGAATGCACATGATTTTATAGAAGAATTTGAAAATAAATATGATACATTGGTAGGCGAACGAGGTGTTCGTTTATCTGGTGGTCAACGACAGCGTATAGCAAGTATGTCGAAGATATGTTTTTCTTCCTGGAATAAATCGATATGTAATGAACTTTAGTTGCACGAGCCTTACTCATGAGTCCGAAATTACTACTACTCGACGAAGCTACAAGTGCGCTAGATGCCGAAAGTGAACATTTAGTTCAAGAAGCTATTGAACGAGCAATGATAAACCGAACTGTGCTCGTTATTGCACATCGGTTATCAACTGTACGTAACGCCGATCTAGTCATTGTTATCGAGCATGGTACAATTGCTGAACAAGTAATACGAACAAACATTCCATAACGAGCGTTCTTTTTCGTTTTTATTAGGGCACACATGACACACTTTTGGCGAAAGACGACGGTATCTACAAGAAATTGGTTCTCCGTCAATTGATGACAGGAAATGATTCCATAACACTGATCGAATGAACTTTACCGATGATTAAGAGCAATGTCTTTCACTGGATTGATCAAACATTTTTTCTCTGCTTTTAAAAAAATAATGAAATAACTAAGCCATTGGATTCCTTTTTCTTATTAGTATTTTTTTATTCCAGATGGCAGGATTATTTGACGATTGTCTCCCATTGTCGTATTATTATGAGAAACTTAATCTAGATCGATTTGAGGTGAAAGAAAATCGAAATACAATCGCATCAATTGCTGCTGGGTCATTGGTATGCAAAAAAGTTTCCTTTGGGTTTGAATGCAAACTATGATTAATGTTGGTTTAGTTCGCCACTGGTTGGTGGTTAATCATTGATGTTTGTGTACGATATTCGACGAATGATGAATTTCATAAAGCTCTTCTGACAATTGGAATTGTCGCATCATTGGCTTTAGTTTTGTAAGAATTCTGTTTTCATTGATTTTTTCGTCTCATTTTTTTTCTTTTTCCCAAAGCGTCAATTCAATATCGAATTCACGTTTCCGTGGTGACTTTTATCGTGATGGATGTGGCGGTGTAGTACTTGCACGAGCCGTTCTTTTCCTATCATTTCTTCTCGTCTTCGGCAGTGTCATTGCTGGTGCATGGATTATGATAGCACTTTATATAATTCCAAATGCCAAAGATATATATCCAGGTGTGGCACTTTTTATTCAAACATTACTCATTTTTAGCAGGTAGACATTTCCATTTGTCTAAATAACAACACTTTTATACGACATACCTTTTGTTTTTAATTTTAGTACACTAATACTCAAATTTGGTCGAACCGAGGATGACTGAATCTCTTTCTTTTGTAAACTATATTCTTAATTGATCTTGTTCTTCACTATTTGTCTCGACGTATTAATATACATTTCTTTTCTATTCAATTCTCCTTTGTCAGAGTACACTTCATTCCGCAGGGTTAAACATCCCGATATGGAAGGATAACTCATGATGACAAATAGAAACTGTACTTGCGATCATCTCCTATTTAAACGGTTCAAACCTTCCCTAGTTTCAGTTACGAAGTAGTTGATGTTTTACAAGTTCTAAAAAAAAAAAGTAAATAAAATACTTACACCAAGATACACATGCTACTCGCGTTAATCAATTCACATATACTATGACAAAATACAAATAACAGTAGGTGTCTGCCATGTTTCTAAACCATAAAACACCGGTTGATGAAACACATATTGCTTTTTTTTTCATGACTGCTGGGAAAGTTCAGGTGGTTCTCAGCTCCGACGCTCTTTTAGTGAATTCAAACCTACTAGCGACGGAGAACTCATATGCTAATTGGAATATTTATTACATCTCGAAGGAAGGGAGCAAGAGAGTAATATCCTTACCGATCATCATCATCTAAGAGAAAAAAAATGACTTGTTAGTTTCCCTACAGTTTCTATAATTATACAACGATTTTTTGTCACGAAGATTACATTTATAAATATAAAATTCTTCTCTTTTTTCTCTTAAACAACGACAAAAAGTGCGTATTTTTCCACATTTTCATATCACAACATCAATTTCCTACATTCACGAACGAATGCATCAACATCAATGTGATTTTATCAAAAAATGGTTTTTAAATGAACTTTCTATCATTATTAAACAATAGTGTATTATACTCATCTCTAACGCCATAAAAAAATCAGACTTTTCCTCTCTCTCTCTCTTTTTTTCTTTTGCAGTTTTCCCCCATGCTAGTCATTGTTTCCGGTCATAGACATTTTTTTTGTTCGTTCGTGTGGCCTCACATCCTTTCAACTGGAGAGAAAAAAGAAGCAGAAGAAACAGAAAAAGAAAAAGCAGAAAAAATGATGTGGAAAAACTCTAATGTCGAGTAGTTTCCTTCTTTGTGTTAGATTTAGTTGAGAATATATTTAATCAATGGATGAAAACTTCTTGCGACACTGTTATGTTATACGAAATTCCGAACATCAACAGACGCATAATCATCGTTATACACGCTTTGATGATCACCGTTCATACACCGAACAACAATCTCAACAATCATTACCTCCTGTTGATAAATACCATCTTGTTTACTTTGCGCTATTCTGTTGTGGAATTGGTTTTCTTTTACCTTATTCGATCTATATCACATGTGTCGATTATTTTCATTCACAATTTCCTCAAACGGCGATTATATTCCATTTGAATTTTATCTATATCATCGTCGCATTTGTAACAGTATTGTTTAGCAATATTATTGCGAACGTTCTGTCTGTTAAACGTCGTGTGATATTTGGTTATTGTCTCACGTTAGTCATCTTGATGTTTATCACAATCTTTTGTATTGCCTTGGAAGTTTTCTCCCATCATTTGTCATATTCGATATTTTTACTATCGGTGGCTATTTTAGCAATCGGATGCACATGTAAGATTTGTATAATAATCATTCTGATTCTCATTGTGTCTTTGGTTTAGTACAACAATCAAGTTTCTATGGATTGACAAGTATGCTACCGTACCGATATACGCAGGCTGTGATGACAGGTGAAAGTATGTATATTTTGTTTTGTAAAAAGAATAGTTTTGTGAATGAACAAGTTTCTGTTTAATAGGTTTTGCTGGTTTACTCGCGTCTAGGTAAGAATATTTGCGCTTGGAATGCGAATTCTCTATGATTTTGATTTCTAGTGCTCGAATCAGTACGAATTTGTTCATGCCAAATGACAGTCATTTGAGCACGATATTATTCTTCTCGCTCGGTCTTCTATTCGTCCAATTTTGTTTTATTTTTTACATTCTAATGCAACGTTCGACGTTCATTGAATATTATGTTCGTCAGTGTGAAAATGCGAAACGAAATGAAGATATTGAATTTCAAATTCGATGTCACGCGGCTTCCATCAATTCCAAACAAACAATCGTTGACGAAACCGTCAGTTTCATCGTAGTTATTTCTCACTTTTCACATTGAATGCGTTCTTTTTTCAAGGAGGAAACACTCGAGTCGAATATGACATCTGTCCGAGAACCTCAGTTTGGAATTCTAACTGTTGATACATTCGATGATCAACAACAACCGATTATTCCTACACATTACGAATATCCAATTAAACTATGGTTTCGAATCAAACGTAAACTACTTGATTTTCTCAAACGCATGTATTTAACATTCGATTTTTCTTTGTAGGTGAATGGTATCGTCGAGTCGATTGTATGCGAACTATCTGGCCCTATATGATCTCCATAGCATGTACATATTTAGTCACATTATCGTTGTTCCCTGGTGTCGAATCTGAAATGATCAATTGCCAGTGGCGTGAATGGTTACCAATTATTCTAATGGCTTTATTTAATATATTTGACGTTTTCGGCAAGATCTTTGCTCTTGCTGCTCATCAACTTCTAACACCGATGAAATTGGTCATTTGTAGTCTTCTACGTTTGATCTATGTGCCGTTGATGATTCTATGTATTTTACCGAAAAGCTCACCGCTGTTATCGAATATTTTCTGGCAATTTTTTCTCTCGAGTACTCTCGGATTAACAAATGGTTATTTCGGTAGTGTGCCGATGATTCGCGCACCATTACCAATGATTGAAGAACGAAAAGAATTAACCGGAAATTTAATGATGTTCTCCTATTCAGTTGGCTTGACATCTGGAAGCTTACTGTCCTATTTACTAGACGTTATCATTGGTCAAAGTACTGGTGTTGATTGGTGTCAACCACTTACAACATTGAACGAAACAAAATCGAATATGATCGTCAATAGCAATATTACTGATAACATTAGTTCTTGATGTTCTTATTGATCTATTCTCATTTTAGTCGACGAGAAGAACAATACACACGATGTTCGACAGAGCAGGCAAATAGGAGCTAGAATCGTTTGGAAAAATATATACTTTCTAGCATCAATCTTTCTTTTAACACACATGTACGCACATCTATCCTTTTTTTACCTCACGAATCTGTTCTATCATCTGTGAATATACGGCCCACATGAAATACATTTGGCTGCGTGAGTTCTACACATAAATATTCAATACAATGTCAATTGTATTATTCGCTAGTCGAGTGGAATCATTCTAACTGCTCAGCGTCGACAAATGAACTGAGTTAATTTACTTACCTAAACTTGCAAGTGGCCCTCTCTTTGCCAACTTAATGGTTAGCAGAACACAATCTCTTTTTCTCCGTATCATTGTAACACTTGAAATAATTGTAAACAACCATTACACACGATACTTGGAAAGAAATAAAAATCTCACGTAAAACGAAAAACTAATTTTCGCGCTGTAAAATAGGTCATTATCTTATGGGCGTGTGCGCTCGAACAAGCAATCGTTCATGGCTCGCTATTACTATGACAGAAATGTACATAGATTCCGACATAATCGAAAACGATATCCACACGATGGAAACGACGATGACAATAGGTTATTTCTAGATACATCAACAAGAAGACATTTTGAAAGTAATACTATATTTGATGGCATGTAGTTTTATTTTCTGTTTTTAATTTTCCTTCCTTTAGGTACCGGAATGATTGTTGGAATTGAAGAAAGATCGTTCAAATTAACAGATTGGTTCTCGATTGTTTTCATGCTTCTAGCTGCTGTCATTTGTCTGATTGCTTCGATTGTTTTGTGTAGACAACAAATGTATGTGTAGCGGAAATGTTGTTTTCTCATCAAGTGTATTTGGTTTGATAGTGATCATCGATATCACGCGTACTCACGCACAAAACGACGAGAAATAACGGATCAGAATCGAAATAACAATCAAACATCGTTGAACATAGTGGATGTTGCTGAATGTATTGATAAGGATATCGATTTCGTTGAAGGACTTCAGATATTACTCGCAAGAGGAAGTTTAATACTGAACGAAATCGATGCTCAATTAGTTAGTTTATTGAGTTTGTTCGTTGAGTTTTAATGATGACTGTTTTCTTTGTTAGCTCAATTCAATGACAACCTTCGATCGTCTTCAATATTTTCAAAAATTGACGAATTATGTTAAGTCATAAGCGAAGCTTTTCTCTGTTGTAGATTAAAATAAAGGCATACACGCTTATTGTTTTTGGTGTTTTGTTTTTACGTCAATCGATATTTAGTCAAGAGTTTGAAAGAAGATCATCCGTGGGTGCTCCTACATAAGATTGAAGTACGAGATAAAAATACAAAGATTAATATCGAAGAATGATCATTTTTCAAAGGTCAGATCAAATGCTTTTTACCCTAGTCGATTATTTTGCTAATAAGATGCGTATAAAAGTAAGAGGGTAGACGGCAGAATTCATTCTTTACGATTAATCTGCTAACAAACGCCACGATGATTGGTGCTGTAATACTTATGCTTAGCATTGCATCAGCTGTAGAATCCAAAGCATTGAATGTAACTGGAAAAGGTTGGTCTACTGTTTATGCGGTCTGCTAATTAAAATGAGTGCTCGATATATTTAGGACAACAGGGATGCTGTGGTCCATGTTTCTTGTTTGGCTGTCCGGAAGGTCAATGTTGTTCTCAATATGGCTAGTAAGTGATTTCTAATGGGGATATTTTGCTTTTACATAAGAATTTTATGATTTATTTAGTTGCGGTGCAACCCCAGAACATTGCCAAGGAGCAATTACGCAAGGAAATTGTCAAACTAAGGGATGCCCAGATGGTTTATGTTGTTCAAAGTACGGATTTTGCGGAAATACGCCAGAACACTGCGATAGAACTCCCGTGACAAATGGTAATTGCAAAACTGTAGGATGTCCACCTGGTCAATGCTGTAGTGCCTATGGATTGTAAGCAAAGTTGAAATATCTATCACTACAGATGATATCTGTACATTGTAGTTGCGGTACCACACTGGAACATTGTGGCAATGTGGATCTAACAGTTGGACAAGGAAATTGTCAACAAACAGGATGTGCACCAGGCCTCTGTTGTTCAAGATTCGGCTAGTATATTGAGATGATGATCGAAGAACTAGACATGCGTATTTATGCGACTTTTCCTTTCTAGTTGCGGTCGAACGGCAGAACATTGTTTAGGAACAGCATTGCATCCTACAGGTAACTGAGAAACACGAACTTCTTCGTTCAGAATAGTTTGTCTTATGCAGGAATCAATGTCGGTTGTGGCAATTGTGTTGGCGGTAATACTGCTAATTGTGGAAATGGATGTGTTGGGAAAAAATAAACATGTCATTTGTATTCGAGCTTCTTTTCTTTCCACAAATAAATAGTACACAGAAGCAATTTTGCTTTCTGTTGTTATTGAAATTTCATTTTTGTTCACTATAAAACACTTTTCGATGACTTATACCAAACTCAGACTGTTCGATAATTGATTCAAAATTATTGATAATATCAAAACGTGCCCACTTATTTGAAATTGATAAGAAGAAATTAGCGGACGTAATTCGGTCATTGATATCGACATAATCTCGCCCAACCAACAGCATACACTTCGAGCTTTTATAAATGTCCTTCTGCGTACTTACACCACATATCTGTATCAATGTCAATAAACACGGTAAAAAGTTTTTCTTTTCTCGATATTTTAATCACAAATATCACGTAGAAACAGAGTTTGTTATCTCACTTTTTTTTTGGCTTTTAAACACGCGTGCATAAGGATAAAAATATGACACTCAAATCTGAAATTCCCGGTCTAGCAATTACAGGATGCGTATTGTGTGGCTTGGTAGCGTTGATACACATTTACATCTTCATTTTGGAAGCAATACTTTGGCGAAAACGAGCAGCCAAAGTGTTTCGTCTACCTCAGTCGATTGTCGAGGCGAATGCTGGTTTGGCGGCTAATCAAGGTTTTTATAATCTTCTTCTTGCCGTTGGCTTAATATGGGGTCTCGCAGAACTCAATGGAAGTATATTATTATTCTTTTCGGCAGCTATCTTTACGGCTGGTATTGTTGGTGTGATAACTGCATCGCCTCGCATTCTATTCGTGCAAGTTATTCCTGCCATAATGAGTTTTATTTTTGTTGACTTTGGCTTTTTTCCAACAAAAAATTGGTCCTATTGGAGGCATCCATTATATTTATTAATTATTCTTATCGGCGCTGGTCTTGTTACTGTTGTTCTAAGTTTGATTATCAAGAAGTATTTCTTGGGAACCGATTCGAATACACCGTCGAAACTAGCGCCACAGGATGTTGAATTGTAGCGGTAAAGAAATATTGAACAGATGATACAAACAATAAATTCACTTGTGTTAGCTTTCGATGAAATATTCGTCATTTTTATTCTTTATTTTCAGTTTAGATTGACAAGGATGCGAGTTTTTTCATAGGTAAACTTAATATTCACATAAACAGATCAAAAACGAAAGGTGAGTGTACGTGTAAAACGCGTAATGCCTGATTAACATATTTCTATCATTGAAATGAGCGGAGTAATTGAAAAGACAAATAAATGTTCAATGTACAATGTGTGCGACATGATTAACAAAGCATTGTCATGCCGAGAAGAACTTTTTTGGACTGGAATGATTTACTCGTATCTGTTCTATCACTGTCCATGTCCACCTGTACCAACAGAGTGTCCGCCATGAGCATTCTCATGTCCTAATTGTCTTCCTCGTTCAGCTGGATCAGGATTCATTCCTGGATGTAGCTGTTCTTGAGAAAATTGAGATGGATCTGACACATGTTTCCCGCCGACTGGTTGGTTACTACCTGTAGAAATTAAAGATGAATGAGTTTTGTGATTACTTCTCGCGAGGTCCTAGAGTACATACCAGCACCGCTGCCGGCTCCATGACCGCCCGTGCCTACAGATTGTCCACCGTGAGCATTTTCGTGACCAAGTTGTTTACCACGTTCAGCTGGATCCGGTGACATGCCTGGATGGGATGGATCTTCTGGTCGTTGATCGTCTGTTTTCTTGTCACCAAGTTGCTTAGGTCCTTCTGACATAGTTTGTTTTTTTTCTCTTGAAGAATGTAAATTGGTGCGTTAAAATCAAAGCGTAAATGAAGTCAAACAAAAAAGAGCACAACTATTTATACGAGTAAATTTTTCTTTCTTTGAAATTGTTCTAGAATGAGTCGAATAAGAATAGAATTCTAAGAGTGTACTCTTTCCCCTTTTACTTCTTTTATCGAGAGTATGGTACGGTAAGAAAATTTTTTATGATTCCTCTTTGTTTATTGGCCGCCGAAGAAAACGAAGTAAAGGACACGTGAGGGGTAACATAAGTGCACATGTCCATGGCCACTACAACTGGTGCTGTCTTCTTTTAGAAAATAATCTCGCTCTTTTTTTTTGCATTTCAACTTGCTATAGTAACGAACAACTGTCTGTCAAAACAAAATACGTCGTTTCTTTGCAGCTAGATACAATGTGTACGAGTATATAGAGAAGAAAAATTCTTCAGAAGGTGTGTCCGTTGCAATGGTTACAAAGTCAAGCAGTGAAACTTTCATCCTTAACGTATGAATCTCATGTTATATTCTAAGTCGTAATTTACGTTGAGTTACAAAAATAAACCCTTAGAGAATCTCATGATTTTACAAAAAGAAGTATTCGCTGTCGTTTGATTCTAAATTTAAATACAAATACAATTGAATTTCGAACATGATGAGATGATATCTGTTAAAAGAGCGCGATGAATGTTTTTCTGATATCGATCTTTGTTTTTTCTTTGCTTGGAGATTGATGTGGAACGTCCATCCTGTATTCGATATTGACGTGAATATAAAAAATGTCTCACTGGATAACGAAACGATGTTGCAAACGAATTTGCCTTTTCATAATGTCATGATAATGGTGTTTTTCAGTTCAATTTGTTTCATCATTTTTCTGTGTGTTGCACAATTGATTTTTGGACTATACCGAACGTATTTTCAACGATCGAATAAATATTCCAAGAGAAAAATAAGATCAAAAGCAATGCCAATAGTAAAACAGCGGCATGAATCGAGTTCAGTTCAATCTTATCAATAGATCACAAACAATCGTATGCGTTTTTACTGTTTATATACCGTGAATTAACTTATAGACAACAGGGTTCTGTTGGTGTAGCGGTTATCACATCTGCTTAACACGCAGAAGGTCGCAGGTTCGACACCTGCACAGAACACTCTCTTTTTTTTCTGTTCTTTCCTTTCGTTCTGTCTGTCAATCGCAGCATCACCAGCAATGATAGATGCCCCTCTCTGTAGGACATCCTTTTTCTTTCTTCTAAAGGAAAAATACATTATTCTGTAGAATATTATCCAGATCTCTAGATTTTTGCTCAGGCAAAAAACATCGAAAGCTGACAATCAAATATGAATAGACTCAGTTATATAGTTCGGTCTTTGTTTGAAAAGGAAGTTCTCCATCAATATTTTTCTCAACGATAGATATTGACAAACGAGCGGATGTGCTTATTCTTTCTTTTATCATTTCTACTTCACAGTGACATAATAGGTCCTTTCTATCAAATATGTTTCCTCACTACGTCTTTTCAATGCTTTTGCTTTGCTCAGTGCATCATTGACAAAGTCAAAAATCTCTCTCATCTGAAACCATCATCAACGTTCAATATATTACTTGAAAAATACTGATGAAGAGGCAAACCTGAGTGGAATAAATGCATTTTGCTCTAGTTTGATAGAAGTCATGGTTGACATTGATCGTTCAGTTGCGATGAACTGAAGAAGAATGAGAGGAGACTGCTGCGCACTGACACGTACATCGATTTCATCGACAAGGTTTTATGGTTTATCAACAATTATATTCCATATCTAATCATTAGATTTGATTAATATTGAGGTGCGTATTTCTATGTGTGTAAATCATTCGCTTGAGGTTAGGAAATCCGTTTCCATAATTTACTAATGAGACTTGTTTTCGGAATAATATTAGCTCCAGCACTTCTTTTATTGACAGAGCACTTCTTCGAGGGAATATATAAGCATCTCATTGCCAAGAAGTTCTCAAGTTCATTGAATCAACTATTCTTACCATCTTTAGTCAACTATTGTTCGATGCATTTGTTTTTCTCTCTTCTTTTGGCTTGTATAATCTGTCTGACTCTTAATTAGCATTATTAGTTGTCGAGGTTGTATTTTAAATTTAGCAAATAGGTACACCGAATACTATTACCGTCATTATTGTGATTGCTTTTGTATCCTACTCAGAATAGTTTATAAAAGAGCAGTGTTATCTTATTCATGACTTCCCGAACGGAGATATACGCAAAGATGTGCAACATGATTTCTAAGAATATTATCCAGCATGAAAAAATAAGCAGGCCGCAAAATTTTCAGACATCTGTCGTTCCGTAGCAGATTAGTGTTGTAAGTTTTGAACCTAAGTCGAATGAAAAACAGATAGTCAACCGTTCTCCCCAAATGAACAACAACAACATAAATTAAAAAGACGCCGCTTGCGAATATCAGATATATTAGCGTACATTTTAATCTTCAGCTTAAAAATATTCATCAGTTGTAACATAGAAGATCGAGAAGCACACTTCATCGTCGGTGTTTCATTAGGGATTTCATGACCAATGATTAATTACCCTTAGGTTATAATTATAGTGTTTTTGTTCCACAAAATGAAAAAGTCCGATGCATCGTTGTTCAGCTACTCTACCTCGATGTAATTAGAAGTATTGAATGAGACAATTTGCCGACGAGGAGACAGATTTTAGTTCAGTTTAGTTCATGTGCTGAATGTTGTTTCTTTAACAGATATATTTGACCATAATGGCAGTCGGAAATCTCGTTCATGGACTACAATAAATAAAACTTTTACAACGAGGAGAAAAAGCGAGTTTAGCGAGAAGAATAGCATGCTTGACAAAGAGGAATAGAGAAGATATTTGTGTTTTCTTTTGCAAAGTTTGCCTTGCTGAAAAAGCGTATTAGAACTTTTTTTTTCAACATTTCTACTTATTTACTAGATCGAGATAAAAAAGAAAGAATGAGAATAGAATTGAAGCAGCTTTTCCAAGCAGTATGATCTCATTTCATCAGATTACCGTTAGCTAAAAACAGTGGATTGCTGCGTACGAAGTATTTGTCAGTTAAGGACAACAACTGTGGAGAAACAGAAGAAGAGAAAGAAATTCATTTTCATACTTGAGAAAAAAAACAGCGAAATTATTCCTACTAGTAAATACGTCATTAGTGAATATGCATTCCTTAAAATATCCTACGTGATACTCTCTATAGAATAATAAATTTTGTCTTATTCGTTCAATCTTTATACTTAGACGAGATAACTGCATCAGCAGAGTGATGAATTAGCGACGGTGTATGCTTTACAGACCTCTACTTTTCAGTACACTGGTGTTTGACGTACTGTATGAATTCATTAGAATAAAAGTACGCCATCAAACAGGAACATCGGAGTAGCTGTTGGATGAAAGACAAAAATTTTCTTTAAATTTCAATGATTGTGTTGGAATAGAAAACTGAATAGTTTAGTTTAGTGTGACTTGTACTTGTAATCTACTTTCTTTCCTATTGTAGTTAGTGAACAAATATTCTAGTCAGCATGAAAGGGACAATAAAGAGAAGAGGAAAAGAAGGCGAAGGAGAAAAGAGAAAGAAAATCACTGTTGGTTTTTCTCCTCGTTCTCTATTCAATCACTCATTTTTGTCCTTTATGTTCGAATTGATATTCTTCTGGGTGTTCAACGGATTCAATTCGTTAGCTCTAACTACCTACTAAGATGACGATGATAAATAGGATATATTCTTTCTTTTCCTCTCGTTTTCTACTGCTTCACACTTGAGGATCAACTTCCCGCAGATTTTACCAGACGTTCATCGATTCATTTCAGATGCAATTGAGTATATATACATATAAAATATATTATATTTAACTTCTATTCTGCGCATACCTTTGCTTTTGAGCGCCGATTCGCCGTTTTCACCATGATGACGATTTCCACATTATCATTTGAAGTTGTAGCTGTTTGTTTTTTCATCATTTTAATTATTATATTAACAATCGGAGGAAATCTCGTTGTTCTTTTTGCTTTCTACAATGATCCACATTTATTGACGCCATCAAATAATTTTCTTTTATCCATGGCAATTGCTGATTTACTCGTTGGTCTCATAGCTATGCCATTCCATTCGTAAGTTATATGAATAAGGCTCAATGACGAACTGACACTTTTTATCATAAAAAATTCATTTAGATTTGCTCAAATACGAGGTTTTTGGCCATTTGGTGAACTTTTCTGTAAAATCTGGTTGACTATCGACGATGTCGCAACAATGGCAAGCGTACTATCAATTGTGGCTATAACTATCGAGCGTTATTGGAGTATTAATCATAGTGTTCATTATCGTCGTCATACAACAAAGACTCGAATTAGAATATTTTCAATTCTGATTTGGCTTATTCCATTGATTAATTTTGCACCGGGCATATGGTTACTTGATCACATTGATACGGCTCCTGAAGCAAACATAACGAAAAAAAACAATCTAGAGTGTATCGGTGCATACCATTCGCACGCTGTTTATTTAATTATTGCTCAAATCAATTTTTTTGCATGGCCGTTAGCTGTTATTCTTATTCTCAATGTGTTAATTATTGTTAGTCTCTATCATCGATCGCAGCGGTTTCCAACCTTAAATAGTACGACGGACAAACGCAAACCGAATGGCTTACGAAAGGTTAATGATAAAACTGACAATCAGTCAACGAAACAAGAACAGACAATCGAAAACGACGACGGAACGTTATCGAATAGTAACGAACATAATTATCAAACATTAAACAAAACCGATACCGAGGTAATTCATATCATAGATTAATCGAAGAAAATCTCTCGAATGAGTGCATCAAGTATACATCTAATTCCATAAGAGAAAAAGATTGTTGACGTAAAAGATTCATTAGCTTGTTCCTCATCTGATGATAAAAATATACTTCTTAATTGAAAATCTATATCTTTTTCTTTCTGATGAAACTGATAAGAAGGAAATAACTAACTTCCGAAGAACAACATCTAATCCACATTAATATACACAAAAGTCGATAAGATTGTTAATGTGCATTTTGCTTCCATAAACTTTCATTTACCACTAACAACTTTCATCTTCACAGGTTCATGCACACGAGCATCCGGTTAGTACTATACCACCGGTGATCAAGGAAGTGGAAGAACCTTTAATCGAAGAAGAAGCCGTTAAATCCCAGCCTATTGATGTTGTCTCATCATCGGTTAATGTCGAAAGGAGATCATCGTCATCGAAGCTTTACACTCGTATTAAAAAGGCTCTTTTACCTTCGTCTTCGTCGATGGTACCCGGCTCTCGAACAACCAAATCAACGCAAACACTATGTCGACAAGTACAACGAAACGACCGAGCATCGAATCCGATATTTACATGGCGTCATAATTCATTTCGACTATCGAAACGCAATACAACAATGAATAGCGGCGAACAGCGCACCGTTCGCCGTTTAAGACGAGATAAACGTGCTGCCACATCACTTCTCATTCTTGTTCTTGTATTCATGATTTTCTTATTACCTTATGTTGTTGTTGTTGTTGCTGGAAGTATATTTTCATTAGAAATCTTAACCGATACAAATGGACAATTATATTCAGCTGTATTTTGGCTTTTATGGCTCAATTCAACTGTCAATCCAATTCTCTATCCATTTATTCAGCCAAAATTCCGTGACGCGTATAGAAGACTGTTTTTAAGGATTACGAGACGACGACGTCGGTTAGCGTCTCTTATTGCTGACATGCAACGAAATAAATGATTTATTAGATTTCTATACAAACGTTATATTACTAAATTACCACTAAAACAAAAACAGAAAGAAAAAGATTTCTTTCTTTCTCATAAGCACGCCGATGATACATAAGTTTGTATGCAAAAATTATGTATCTGTTGAATTGTACAAAAGCAACGCATGTATTTTTGGTTATTGTTGTTTTTTTTTTTCAAAAGGCGAACGCATAATATATATCTTTGACATTTTCGGTACTGTTTAAACTAATAAATCAAGTGAATGATCGTATTCAGTTTGTCAGAAAGTCTTTTTTCAAGTATCTATCGTGTCAAAGTGGACCAGTAGACGGATATGAATTGTATTTCGAATAATCATAATATGTTGCAATGTTTATTCATTCTTCTTCATATAAAACCTTTGTCACAAATAGAAATCATTCGCCATTGATTTGTAATCTTCTTTTCTAGATGTTTCAAAGTCTTCAGTACCTTTATTAACGCTCGAGTACATCGGAAAATGACATCGAGCAAAATGCAGACTATCTTTTATTCGTTAGTAAACAACAAAAAACTCTAAGACAGACAAATAGAAATGATTATACTAATCGGATTAGTCGTCATATTTCTGCAACGGATAATGAGTGAAACTTTACATAGAATCAATTGCTTATTTTTTCGTATACAAGTTCTCTTTTGCTTGGTCTTCTCCATCCGTTACTTTTTCGGGCTTCTTTTCTCGAAATCCCAAGCAATAGCAGAGTACACCAAGAAGAAAAACAACGATGAATATACCTAAAAACACCATGAATACGTTTCTTCTGAGCATTGAAAGAAAGACTAACCTGCAAGTATCAATTGAATAACTGCCCAAACAGGAAAAAATCCGTTCATTAAAGAATCAGGTTCGACACGACCAAAGTGATCACGTGTTAAAGCAACAGCTTCATCTTTTGTCAGTGGTACACCATGGATGCTTTCGCCGTAAATTACTACAAATTCATACCAACAAAGAAATGATTATTCGCAAGGAAAAATTACTAACTTGTTGTCAGTACTGTTAAATAAGTTATTAGAAGTCCACAGATAGTAGTAATGCATGAATTCATCATCAAACTAAATTAGATAGAAAATGCGTTCTTAAAATAAATTCTAAATATATAAAAAATGGGAAAATATCGTGGTGATTTCTTACATAAACAACAAGCAATCGAGTGAAGCAAATAGTTGTGAGTATAAAACCTGTTAAAATGATCGCTTCTTTTCGATTTAAGAACAGAACGAGTCGAAAAATATTGACGAAATATACGGTGTGCATGTGACCGTGTCCGACATACTTCATGGAGGACGGATATATATTCATATTCAAAGAACAAAATAAATCAACACTCATAGATGGAGTACGAAGAAGAGAAATTCAAATGAATTGATCAGCATGTTTTGTTTTTCAGATGCGTTTATATGTTGAGTGCATGAAAATAGACGGTAGAAAAATCGTTTCATTAGACAGTCATTGTCGAACACCGGACGATATAAAAATAAAAATAAGGAAAAAGAAATCTTCAAAAAAAAACTATATAAGTAGGAAAAATTATCTACAAATAAGTGTTTATTCGTCTGGATGAGCCATGTCTTCAAACAAAATTCATTGACACGAACCTAGAAAAAAAAACAAAGATATGAAAAAACTATTTATTCTATCAACGAAGAGGAGAATACTAAGGTGAAATATTACCGTTCATAGAGAATCATTCGATGGATAGAGAGTGTGTTAACTAATAGTACGGATCATCGTCATTTTTATTAAAATTCGATGCTTGTCTTGGCAGTGATGGCGGAAGACGCTAGAAAGCAAAATAAAAGCAATGCAGAAAGAATTCTTCATTCAATTTCGAAACAATGAATATAACAGGAGAAGAATTCATGATCACAATTCACAGACAACATAGTTTGATCGATTTCAAGCTTAGAAAATGACAACTTGTTGAACTTATAACATATAGTTTATAGAATCGGATCAGAATGATAGGAACGATAATTAATCCAGGATTAACTGTGAGTTTGTAATGATCTAATCTCTGAATTCTGTGATTATTCGTTATGAAAGAAGAGAAAATGCAAATGTACTTTCCGCGATTCAATTCAACTAATACGATAGTACGGATTATGAAATGAAAACATGCATAGTGTGAATGAGAAAAGAGGAATCCATGCAGATAGAATTTAGTATACCTCCTCAGTTTCATCTTTTTCTTTTTCTTTTTCTTTTTTCTATAGACAAAACAAAAGAGTAAGAAGAAAAGAAGTGGATATGCAATAAATACCTCTTCAACATCATTTTTTAATTTCTTTTTCTACAGAAACAAAATTTCGAATGATTATGAAAGAAATCAACTCGAAATGAAATTTTTATACGTACATAATCACTATCATCATCATAATCGTCATCCCGTGGTGTAGGTTTACTCGCCGGCGCGATAGGTACAGATCGTTGAGTGAGACCATGATCTTTTCGAGTATTTCGTTCCATATCACTTTTCCTAAATTTCACCGACAAAGTATCAAATAATGGCATAATATGAAGATTGATGTTCTATTTTACATTCGAAAGTGTTCTTCTTGACAAAACTTCATACACTCTTGTCGTGTGGCTGCGATTTTCTCATTCAGATTGAATATCTAGATTTGTATTACATTTTGACAGATGTTCGTTTTTCTTCGTTAGTTGTACTTACCTCTTGTGGCATGGTTTCTCTTAAGTTCATTAAACGAACCATCTTTTGATCGACATCTCGTCGCCACATATCAAGATCAGTTTGTTTGTCACGCATTTGATTGGAAAGTTGTTGTTCAGTCTAGAATAAAAGGATTCATTCTATTTAATTCTCAAATTGATTACAGAAGATATTCAAAGCACATTGAATTAAGCTGCCAAAGCTAACAGGCATCTCATCTCACTTACATTGTTTATACGTTGGGTCATTTGTTCTTCCAAAAGGTTCAAATCAACACGTAAACTATTGACACGTTGTTCATGTTTAGTGAAGGTCTGAGATGTAATTTCATCATGTTGTTGAATAGATTTTTGAAGATCATTGCGAATCTTAGAGGCAAGACAGATGCATAAGCCAAGCAAGATGCGCTATAGTAAAGCAACATACTTTTTCATTGAGATCACGTCGAACGGCTGCAAGATCATCAGTAGTAGGCAACGATGAAACACGAGTTGTAAGATCGCGAACTGCTTGAGCACCACCTTTGATTTTATCTTCATTTTGTTGTACACGTGCATCTGTAGCTGTATGTCGTGTGACAATATCTCCTAGATTGTTATTTATTGCATGAATGTTTCCTTCGGCTTCTCGTTGAGAATGTTCAATTGTATCCAGTCGTCGATTAATATTGATTATTTCAGGTTTAGTACTCTACAATTACAAACAGCGAAAGATCAACTAAATCGAACTGATCGTTTCAGGACATACTAAGTCGCGAAGATCTGCCATACGTGTGTTGATATTATTTATCGATGATTGAATGGCAGTGAGTTGATGAGCAGATTTTTCTTCGGATTTGGTGATGTTATCAGCTAATTCTTTGTACTGATGTTTACTGAAATGAGACCATATGTTGATTCAATTGGTTTGGTTTAGTGAATGTAAACATTGATTTACCGCGATTTGATTTCTGCATCGAGTACTTTTTCGATCTTGCGTCGACTTTCATCTGTTTGCTGTTCGATTAGAGTAATACCATCGTTCAATTTGCGTAACGATTCAGCATTCTTTCTAGTTGTATCCTACAAAAAAAAAGAAGTTCGATTCGCAATCAAGTTCACATCCAACGAAAATTATAGATTAGTTCAGAAAAAGATGAATTCAAATCAGTATGTTATTCAATCCGTCAGTTATTCGTTGAGAGGCACAACTCGAAATACCCTCATTTCATTATAAATTTTCGATTGTTCATCATGTGTAGTACTTTTTAATACATCCATTTGTTGTTCGATATCGCTTTGAAAGGCTTGTAATTGTCGTTGTCGTTGTTCATTTTCAATTTGCTGATTCTGTTCAAAGAATTTTCAAAAGACAGTTTTGTTTTCTTAGAGAGAATCTCTTTGGAAGAAGAACCTTAGTAGATCTTTGCGCATTACCTTTTCAATGTCTTTCGCTTTGTATTCAAATTCATCACGTAAACGCTCTAGTTTATCCGTTGTTCGTTGTATGGTTTGAGCATTCGTATCACTGATCTCTTGCCGTAATCGCACTTGAGTCTGCTCGACTTGATTCACACTTTCTCGACGCATATTCTCCATTGTTTTTACGATTTCAGTTTGTGTCGAACGTGTCGAGTTGATGGATGATTGAAGATCACTTACTCTACAAAATAGAAATCTATAATGATCTTTTTGGCGATGTCAATTACTTTGAAGTAAGTTGAGTCTCGACCAGACGACGATCTTCGCGTTCGAAATCTAAACGCGTCCGAATTTCGTTGAATAAATCTCGATATTCATTTAACCTGAAATGATCAATCGCTTATTATTCTAGTTTTCAACAATCAAGACTTACTTTTGATCAGTTGCTGCACGAAATGAATTGAAGAGGAGATCACCCGCATTCATTGTTTCTTGTTGTTTTCGGACAAGATCGTTCTAAATGACATAGAGGCTCTATCAATAAGAAAACTATTGCTCAACTATGAGTTACTATGGTAACTAATCTTTCAATAGAAACAAGTTTTACAATGAAACTTACGGTTAACCGTTGATCGTCTTCTAGTTTTCTCGTCTTTTGTCTAACTTCGTTGGTTAATAGATTGATATTAGCTGAATCAAGTTCTAGACGACTTCGAGTAGCTCGAATTTCTTCTCCGATGTGTACTTGTGTCTTTTCTAACTGTTCTCGTTGTAAACTATTCTCATCGATTTGTTTACGGATACCTTCGACGCTAAATCAAAGTTAATATTTCATTCCAATCATTATCATCAATAAAATATTCTATTCCTTTACCTTATTGCTTGCGTGTCACGCCGAAGAAAATTATCTTTTTGCATGGCAATAAGCTGTTGTTCAAGTCCTCGAACGCTTGCCGTGGCAGTTAACGATGCTTGATGTTCATCAATAAATGTATTTTCGTTTCGTTTGATTCGTGCTGTTAGTTGTAGTATAACATCGTTTTGGATGCGAATATTGTTCTCAATTTGTTGACGCGCGAGACGTTCTTCTTGAAGTACTGTTTGGCTTTGTCGTATCTAAGTAATTAATTGTTAATAGTGATTATAAATAATAAATGAAATCAAAGAAATTTACAGCGTTGAATAATTCAGTTTGTAAGCGGATTACTTCTTCAAGCAACGCACGATTCGAAATTTCTGTCATTTGCAAACGACTTTCTAATTGCTTTACTTTATAGAGAGATTGATTTAACGAATCATCAAACCTGAAAGAATAGTCATAGTCGAGAGATTCGGAAATCAAAAGAAAGTTGTGGAAATTTACATTGGCGCTGGAATGCCTGTTCGTAGAGGTAATAATGTCGGATTTGGAGTAGATTGAGCATTTATTGGAGGTAACATCGAAGGAGGGAAACGTGCATCAACAGGTACAAGCTGAGAGGAAGTTGGGGATGCAATAATTGGCGGTTGAGGACTAGATTAAAACAGAACAGACAAGATGTTCTTCATTGGGAAAGCAAACGCATGAGGAGACATACGATCGTGGCAAATCAGGTAATATGGGACCAGTTCCTGGGAAACGTCGTTGTGCATCCATTGATTTATCTCCTAATTAGACAGAAAACAACGTTGATATCGTTGGGCAAATTGCTGAGTATTATATATAAGATCACTTACGTTCGAACCACTTAATAACTAGAGACTCTTAAAAATAACAATAATGCTGTTGAAATTCAGACCTTGTGTGACAAATTCATGCGATGAATTGAAAGCGTTGCTGGGAATCGACCTCTTTTCTTCCTCTTAGTTACGCGTTGATATTTTCATTCACCGGTGAATGAAGGTAGAGTAACTACACCTTGAACCAATCAATCGGCTGATGATTCATTAAAAAACAAATTTTGACATGAGAATAAACAAATACTATTATAACAACCGAAGTCTTATTGGAATATTTTATTGTTTAACAAAGAAAAGAATCTCTCTATGCCTTAGAAGAGCAACATACCATGACGTCTACGATCGATTTTCCAAGAAGGTATCTCCCTAACTTTTGTTTTCTGCGGAGCTCCAAAAATAAGATAATATTCTTGTATGTGATGGAGATTTAAGAAAAGAGAATATTGGAATGTGAGCATACGTAGATGTAAGCAAAAGTGCATTCATTTATTATTTATACCGACGTCATTATTTCTTCGTTCTCTTTGCCAAACCTGATCGACTATGTTTGGAAAGCGTGTCAACTTGTAATGGCTTCGTTGTTTTCTTTGTCAAAATAGCCTGCTATACATAGCTTCACTACACTAAGAACTTAAGACTTCACTCTCTCCCACATTAGTTCAAACGTCTTAAACAAAAGGTCAATCGGTACCAATTAGTTAAATCATGCGTAGTGTAATACGTTGAATCGAATGCATGCGATCGAGTTCATGCATAATGTTAGAATACGGATGATTGTAAATACGACGGATATACTTCCTGATAAACACATTCATGATTATGGGCCAAATTACTTGAGGGCTTCTTTTGAAAGCTATATTACTTTGAATGATCGGCATACACTAAGTTTATTTAACTGAAATAAACAAGTCATATTGAGTGGCGTCAAGAAGCATACACAAAAATTATTTTGTCAATGCAGGCGACCTCCTTAGAAACCGAATCGAATTCCGATCAACGTCGGATGATTATCCGCGAATTCGGTTTCAATACATCGACTCATGGAATCCCAGGTATCGCACGTAGCCAAAGTCTACATAATCGAATCTTTTGGTCAATTTCATTCGTTGGATTCTTCGGAATCATGAGTTTTTTTGTAACTCAAGCGATTCTTGCTTACTATAGTTATCCAACACAGACACTAGTGCGTTTCGCCAATCAATGGCCACAACCTTTTCCAGCAGTGACTATCTGTAACTACTCTCCGTTTCGCTATGATCAATTCATTGGATCCTATTTAAACTATACGAATACTTTCAATCTGACGAATACAACCAATACCGATAGGATTGCATTTACTCAACAGCAAGCGAGTTATATCTATTCTTATCTTCAGTATAAACTGAATCGAAATGAGTCCGTAAATCAAATTTTCTTCTCACTAAGTTCAATGTTAATCAAATGTATTTACAATGGTAAGAATTGTTCGAGCGATGATTTTGTTACATTTCAATCCCCTACCTATGGCCGTTGTTATACATTCAATGCTCAAACATCTGCCATTAACAATGGCTCGATACATTATAACAATGAAAATGGACAAAGTGGCAAACTCCATTTGGATTTGTATATACACAGTCACCAATATGTTCCATTCATTTCCGATGGTAAGGATATAAACACCAGTGTACAATATCATTCTAGAAGTTCTTTTCTCGCATACACGTAGCAACTAGCATCGTAGCAATGGTTCATGATAATACACAGTTACCACTCATTGATAGACTTGGTGTTGAATTAGTCGCAGGACGAAAACATAAAATAGCATACAGCACAACAACAAATACATTTTTGCCATCGCCATACACTACCTGTACTGAGAAAAATAATCTTGGTATGCAAGCCATGTTCGATCAATTCTCAGGTGCAAATTATTCTTATGGTCAACAGATATGTTTTCAAGTTGCAAATCAAATATACACGTATGTTTGATCAACACGCTTAGATATATTTACTCAAAACTCGTGCGCCATTCGTTACCTTTAGATATGAACAATGTGGTTGCGTTAGTCCTCTTCAATGGCCGACGCGTTATATTGTTCCTCTTGGCACTAGCAATGTTATCTTCGCGAATTTATGTAATGTGTCTGATCCGTGTTATTCTGCAGCAGCTACTCGGTTTCGAAACTCAAGTTCTGTTACAGGAGAGTATGCGAAGGATTGTGAATCGGAATGTTTTACAAATGATTTTCCCATACAAATATCATCCAGTTCTGCACCACAGCAGTGGTACGTGAATGATATCAAGCAATTCGTTGAAATATCGTCGATTCCTTTACCTGCTAATTGGTCAACAACTTGGTTAACAGAGATCCGATCGAATTATGTCGGTCTTGACGTTGTATGCGGATCAACTCAGGTCGAAAGTTACACACAACAAGCAACATTGGGTGCTGTTGATGTTATCTCAAATATTGGTGGTCAAACAGGTCTTTGGATTGGAATTAGTTTTCTTTCATTGATGGAATTTGCCGAAATGCTCTATCGGCTTCTTCGATATCAATTTCTGAACGTTTTAGAGAAAGTATGCAGAAAGAATGTGAAAAATTAGCTGAGGTATATTTTAACCATATAAATAAAGTTCTTGATAAAAATCCAAATGAAGCATTGACTAAGCAAACGAAACTCATATGATTTCATCATTTAACTATCAAATCTTGACAAATTCTTTGTTCTTTATTATTTCTTCTTGTAATAACTGCATAGGTAGTCTTCATTATTATCGGTTGTCTCGACAATGACTGCTCTACATTGTTGCGAAATGACGTTACCAACTACACAGAACAGGATAGCAAAAAGTTATTTGCCAGGGATGGGGATCGAACCCATGCTCACTATTGTGAATTGGATCTTAAGTCCAACGCCTTAACCACTCGGCCACCCTGGCATGTCCTTCTACACTCGTATTAGTGGACACTATAATAGCCCTGGACATTCTTCATTTAGCAAATCGCTCATGTCATATATGATTTTCATTGTTCTTATAATGGAGGTGAAAGAAATGCTGCACAAGCTGTTCGCCAAAAGAAATCAAATTAGAATTAACGAGTTGCCTTCCGACTAATATGTTCTTGGGGAAAGTGCTTTTATTCTTTTTTTCAAGAAAAAAGAAAATCTTGAACTTCAATTGGTCTTCCATTTAAAAAAATTGTGCTGAAACAAAGTCCTTTTTTTCAAAAACAATAAAAAAAAAGCTTTTAAAGTAATTATTAGCGTCTCATCAGAAAAAAAGAGAATATTATTTTCCATATTTTTTTGTTTTTCATCGAGCAAAAGAAATATAATAAAAGGAACTGTAAAATACCAGCATACTTCATTTTTAACAATGCCAAACATTACGTGCTATCTCATTCTTATCATCGGCTGCTTAGTTCTCGGTGTTTTCTCGGGAAACTATACTTATTATAATGGTAAGTCAACACATAAATACTCAATCGTTCTTTATCCAACTCTATACCGATTCCTTCTTTGAATAGGATTTGCCTACAGCTCAAGTAACCAAACAGCACCCGGTCCAACTCTGAATGCTTGTGTTTGCCAATGTTTGCTTTCAAATGGATGTTCAGCCCTGACATTTTATAATTCCTCTGGTTCGTGTATACTCGTTTCGGACATGAATATCACTGAAAGTGAGGTTAGTTTAACCAATGGAGCTACATTACTATTGGTAAATGCACAACTTGTTCAATAATTAATAACTGGTCAGAACCGAATGAATATATATAAACCTAGTCTCTCATTTTTATGTTCGTTGTTGTCATTGGAATAAAACTTCAACTCTCTTCCGCTTTTGCCTACTTATTTCAAATCAGAGACAAACGTCGTTCAAAAATAACTTTTCTTTTCTTCATTTGTTAAACGATGTGAGAACAAGCGGCTTTTATCGACTTCATTTGAATCTACAGCTCGAACAAAAACACGCCGGGATACATATTCTAAATAGAAACATAATTATTTGTGTCCCATGTTTAACATCTTTCATTGCAGTGCATTGATGTAAGATTAAATAAGATCGTGGGTGTTTTGTTGATTTGTGTACAAAAATATCTACGATAAAGTTGTTTCGTAGCCTACGGGAAATGTTTATGAAAAGATAAGCATCGAAAATACTTCATGCACACTGAGAATTGCATACGAATGTTTCTAATTTGTACACGAGGAAGAAAAACGGCGTCCTCTTTATTCGTTAGACGTTCAAGGTTTCTATATACAAAAAAAATGAAGAAAAACAAACAGAAAAATCATGTCTTTTCAGTGAATTGTAAATGGTGGATAAAATTTGAGAACGGTCGGTGTTGATCCATTCGTTAGTAATTCGATCTTGAGCGGCGATTTTTTTAGTGATGAATCCGACGCTAACTGATGTAATGTATGATGCATTGTACCAGTTGTCGCAGCATGAAATGTTGATAGTAATGGATTTCCTTTGATTCCGCTACTACTTACTGTACTACTGTTTTCACGTTTTGAATACTTTCGAAGATGCTCAGGCCGTTGTAAATGTTTGCAGTATTGAACGACAGGTGTTTCATCAATAGCCGCATGACCAGCGAGAAATAAGCCATTTGATAGGAAACTATTCGTTTGTTTAGTCCGTCCGAATTGTTTGAGTAAACCCATGAGACACGAACGAAAATTCTTTCCGCATAGCGAGTAAAGGAAAAAATTGATTGCAAAATTTGTATAAAATAAATAAAATGTTAACATTTCGATGATCGATTCATAGGAAGATTTTTCATCGTATGTATCGTCGTTCGAAAAGAAAAAATAATAAACTTTCAGTAAATGCATAGGAGTATTGAGTAGTAGAAATGTTGTCGAAATGATTAATAACATTTTAGTTATACGTCGATGATATTTCGAACGACGTAGACGATGTTCGAGAAGATTATGCAGAATATAAGTTGATGGTTGAATGTAATTTCGTTCCAGTAAACGATCGTATTGGCCAGATTTAAGGATAATTAACGAATTAAATGTAGCGATAGTTAGAAAAGGAATGATAAATGTTAGAAAGAAATCAATTATATTCATTTGACGAGTAAAACGAAGCCAAGGACGAAGAGTAACACAACGCGTGTCATATGAAGGTAATGTTGATCGTTCGGGATCTGTTGTTTCGATACCTGATGTCCATAGAGTAGGAGAATAGAGGAACAAGGCGAGAAATGTCAATAAGACAACAGCATAACGGGTTCGTGCTGATGAATTATATTGAGAACGTTTCAATGGATAAGCAACAACGACAAAACGTTCAGTAGTAAATGCAACGGTGAACCTAAAACGATGATTGTTACATTTATTAATGAAGTTCACCGTATCAAACATCGGAAAATATTTCTCCTCGGGCACAAAGTTCTATGTTCCTTTATAATAAGATAACTAATTGATGAGAAGATTATATATTCTATATAAAAATTTAAAACTCCTACCACACTGATAATGAACTGAAGACGGTCGTTAGGTATACTGTAACTTGACATATTCCGTTATTGTGAAAGATAAAAACACGAATATTTTCAAGCCAAATTAATGCCAAGCAGATTAAATATCCATTGTCCGATATTGATAAAGCTGTAAGGTATAAACTACAACTTAAACGTCTAAAATCAAAACAAATGCTTGCATTGTACTTCACATTTCTCATTGCTCTCCTCTTACCGAAGTTTACTTCGAACGAACACATAACACGATATTGAGTTACCAATAAAACCAAGAGTAATAACAATTGCCATATACATAACACCAAAACGCTTGAGTAAAAGTTGAAAATATTTCACAGAACTGCCACTAGACTCCAGATTCTGCATTGATATTGTGACAACCGATATAACAGATGATTCCATGTAAACACTTGCATTTTCTTTCAACATTCTTATCTACAGACTAGAAAATCTAAATAAAGCTTATCGATAAACGATTTACTGTTAGAGATTGGTGAGACTCGTATGGCATACCAGACAAAAAAAAACATAAGTCCAAATTTATCCGATTACAATGGATAACGCAGGCGAATAGAAAATAATTAATAATAACGACTGACACTCATGTGACTCCTCTTTCGTCTGTTCATAAGAATACAAAGAAAAGATTTACCTTAGCACACTGATGATGTCATAACTTAAGCCGGAAAATACGCAGTAGGAAAGCAAAACAGTAAGATGTATAAACAAAACGAGTATATCATTAATTGTTCTCGTTAGTCAATCACAAGTCTAACAAGAGAAACTAATGAAATGCAATGGATTTTGTCTTCAGACAAACCTTCGATCTGTCAGCAGACTGGGCATTTTCCTCAGTTCGAACATTAATCCCGACGTAATGATATTCGAGATCTTATCAGTCTGCCTTAATATCTAACCATGTCATCTATTTAACTTGTACTACTTGTTTAATCAATTACATAACAGTCAAGAACAGAACTTCTCAAATGTCTCTCTCTCTCTCGTCTGTTCGTTGGACTTATTCGTTCTCATCACGATAATGTTCTTCCTGAAAATACGATATTGTTTCAACGAGGTTTTCTCTTTTCTCTCCTGACTCTCTTTCTCTTTCTCTTTCTCTTATTTTCCTTTTCTAAACGTACTTTATATCAAGCACTTCATACTATCAGTATGAATAGAATTTTTGATGATATGAACTCCCTGGTTCGATTTTTCCTTACTTGAAAATAATATGCGCATATATGTTGCATAGAAAAAAAAAGAAACAATACACAAATAAATCTTCAGAAAGTTCTCATGAATGAAATTAGCTAGTCAATTCATGATTATTGACATACTTAGTCCTTGTCATTCATTGACATAGAACGAAAGTTGACAAGTATACTGGACTAGCCATCACAAATGCTCAAACTCAGCCGGATCTAGTGATGTGTACGTCTGGTTTTTTTTTCAAATCTGATTCTCACTTGTAGCCAGACACTTCATTGTTAAGTAAACAAGGACATTATAACCTATTGGATAGATATGATTTAATGAACCTCGAAAATAATTGCTGACGCGCAAAGACATTATTTATATGAGCTGATTCAATGCCTCAGATACATTTGAGATACATACAGATTGTGCACCTAAAGCATTAGATTACCTGTCGTTGTCAAAAATTTTGTGTCTATTTGCCTAAGGCGAGATGTGAAATAGATAAACATAATCTAGCGTAGCAATGACAAGCCTACATACACACACGCACATAGCAACTTCGAACATATGCGCGTGCACTTATCATAAAAACGGATAATCGATCTATGGTTAAGTGTAGTGCTGCCATTTATTTGTGCATTTAGTGTATCTTTTGAACGACTGTCATGACCATGAAAACTGATATTATGAACATGTCTGATTTACGTACAAGAGATATAGTTGATGTCGAGATAATATCCAGCAATGGAGAAGAGGCAGAAGTAGAAATAGTGAAGCTTTTAGTGTCAAATGAGAAAACGTATAGGCACTACTATCATCAGAGAATCAAATCAAGGCCTTGACTAATTGAGACATACACATACATCATAGGCTAAGGCCGTCGATACCACACGCGTCGACCAGTCGTTTTTCGAAGTAGTTCACTTTCTTTCTTTTCCCTCCTATTCAACCTTCGCTTGTCGGCTTTGATTACTCGATAGCTTCAGAAATGAAATACAGACAACTACTGTAGAAGTATTCTAATCGACAGACAAGCATAAGGTGGAGCAGTAGGGCTAGTTCGAGAAAAGTGTAATCTCCATCTTATTATAAACGACATCAATCTCTACAATTACGATATTTCGATTAAATATAATGAGTGTATGTTGTGCATGAGTTGTGAGTGAATGTGTACAGATTTTCGATAAGAAAAATCAGATTAGGTTTTTGCTTTTTTACTGAAGGTTCAAGATGTTACTTTGTGCGACCTTTAAGATATTACCTAGATGAAAGAATACTGCCTAATTAACTAGACATTTTCAAAATCCATCATTTAATTCCAACTGTTACGAAAACGAAAAAGATTTCCATGCTAAGACTTCTCTCGATATCCAATCAATAATAGTGATAAGGTACAGCACGGACATAAACCTGTCAGAGGATGAGTAAAGCAAAAATGAATAATCGATTGGTTTATGTGGAAAATAAATGTCGTCAATGAACTTTAATTACAAACCTATATCCGCGAAGAACGAGAGAGGGAGAGAGGATAGGAAAGAACTCAGGTCATGATTAACATGTCAACACCAACCGATTGATTGATCTTATTGTGAATATGGTTGTTGGAAAAAGAATATATTTCTATCAATTATCGGAAAGTGATAATGTATATCTTATATAAACTAACTAACATCATACGTCAAATATTGACATGTATGGAATGTTAACAGCAGCAAGGCTAAAGCTTCCTCGACAAAAACATTGCCATTCAATCTTTATTATCCACATGACTGATCAGACATGATGAACTTGAATATAACTAGATTTAATGACAAAATCAATATTTGGATGTACTTCTTATAAGATAACAAAGTAATTATTTTTTTTATTCGCGCCAAATCTTTCTTCTTCTGACCTTTTTTGTCTGGCGTCTGATGTCTAATTGCTTCATAGAGAATTTTAAGTACACTAGTAATCATGTGCATATACAAACAGTCATGATATCGAAGGTTATGAGATTTTAATAAAGATTTCCTAGTTAGGAGAATATTCATATCCATAAATTATAATGAAACGTCGTGCTTCCGCACGTCATGTTGCTATTTCTAACCGGTATTGGAACCATCGATGTACATAATTCAAGCAGAGTATTCATGAAATATACTTGATTAGGTGTTTCACGACGCATCGGTATGTTTTTCTTCTAATTAAAAGCAAAAATAAAAATTTCTCAGCAAGAACCTGAGAATTGCTCTTACATAGCCCAGCCAGCATATATTTTTACACAAATCAACGCAAGAGCATGATCGAAGTGCCATCATCGAATCTTTGACGACAATCATTGCTCACGCGGTATATCTTTCAGAATACACCAGCGTATTTCTCGATTTGCGTCGTGCCAGAATTCATCGAGGTTCCAATCTCTTACTAAGCTATTCCATTTCCAATGAATGATTCATATTCACATATTTTATTTATTATTTAAGTGACCTTTATCTATTATCAAATGAGAACTATTACAAGGAAAAAAAGATACGAACAAACAATAATACGAAGAGAAAAACATTATTGTTCGAGTTTTATCATAGTTATCGCTGCAAAATGAAAACAATTCACAATGAAATGAAAGATCTGTACATCACAAAAGAGAGACACTTGATAGAAGTTTATAAGGGAACTTCTTCAAATAATGAAAAAGGTTTTCGTCGATATTCAAGAATAGATTCGAGCACCCAGTCTGACGAAACAAAATGTATACCTAATGATCGACATTGATCATAATTGTGACGTCGTTCGGACACATACATCATATCACAGAGCACGATGATTTGGTGCTTATCAAGTAATCGTTGTGTTACACAGGTTATGATTTGTCCACCACATGTGGTGATTAAATCTTCTAAACGTTCATTCGTCATTCGTATATCAGAGTTTTCTGTACATTTGATCATAAAACAAATATTTTCGAAAAGCGAATGACGATTTGGAACGAAACGCGAACGGCGCGGTCCACCGTGTGGAAGAACATCAGTATCGTCGCCTTCGATCTCGTATGAAGTTTCATCGAGAATTCGGTCCTGATTAAGACAATCGCTTATCCAACGGTACGATACACAGAAACAATGATGAGCAATAGCCTCGATTAACTTCATGGACAATGGCGAACGTAATGGACTTTTTTCATCGTTGGTAATTAGATGCGTTGTTCGAGAATCGATAGAAGCTGTTTGACAAACACGAGAAGAGAATTTTTCGATAAATTTCTCGACTAATTCCTACAAAACAATCAACTTGTCACAATTATCGTAGAGTTTTACTATACTTACTATCTGATAGCTTTCGAGGCATGTAACAGCAAGAACAATTCGAGGCGCTGAATCATTCTGTAAGATTAGCAGAAGAGTGAGTTAATTATCGAATTTTTTTTTCGAAAAATGCTTACGCGGAAGAGAATTGGTGCATCGTCAGAATCCATTTCAGCTATTGTTATTGTTGCAGGTGTGTTTGATACACATGGACGCAGCATTTCGTTAGATGTAACATTTTCATTCAATGATCGATTCGAAGCCGTTTCAGATTGCTCAGAACTTGAGTTGCCTTCGCTTGAACTCGACAAGATTTGTTGATCATGATGAGCACGTTGTCTATGTGACTAAGGAAAGCAATTTCAAGTTATTCAAAATATCTTTTGATTTGTCTTGACGTTTACTATACATGACACTGATCAGCGAATAGTCAATTATTAGCTATGTGTTTAGTCTAGTATTAACTTCGGACCCATTTCAGTATGTGCTATGTCTGTATGAGATCAATCCGACAAGTTGTAACAGATATAAATAAGCTTCTGATAACTACAAGGTTAGAATAACTAGTCGATCTTGTTTTGATTAGATAATCGAATATCAAACAGAGTTAATCATATTTGTATGTATGTGTATCTCGAATGAAATCTTTGATTGACTTACTTTGAGGTAATCCGATCGAAAGAATTTGTTACAGACATCACACTTAAGTTTCAATCTTCGTTTTGGTTCGCGAGATAATTTCACACTGCTTCGCGCGTGCGACTTTTGCTGATTCGTAGCCCATGATTTATTCAACGCTTGTAAAGACTGCGCATCTTCATCCGAAACTACACCTAATGAAATCAATCGATGTTCGAAAAGTCACTTTCGTGTTTGACTTGCAAAATCTACCTGAATGGTCACGTGTTGCACTTTCTTCATTCATTTCCAAAAGTGATTGATCTTGTTCGTTGATCAAAGGTGGACATTTACCTTTGTGAATATTTCGAACATGCGTAAGAAAATTCGATCGTTTGGAAAATTCATGTCGACATGTTGAGCAATATTTGTTGGGATCTATTGCCTTTTGTCGATTATTAATCCAGATAGCACGTTTCGATTTGTTTTTTAAACCCAAAATTGCTTTCATACGCTTGTGTTTCGATTCTATAAATCAACAATATCCACGAGAGAAGATCGTAAATCTTTTTCATACTTAAGCGCTTGATGCTCTTCGATGTTATCGATTTTCGAGGATGGGTGAGCGTTATTTCATTGTTATTGCCATCGGTAGTTGCTTCATTCTCATGCACATCGTTGTCATTATCAAAAATGCAGATTGTCGAAAGTTCATCTGTCGAAAAAGAAACTTTTGATGAGAAAATATTGGGCTTTTAGATAAAAAACCTCTGGTCAGTCGAGGAATACGAATAACTGGTTGTACCATTTTAGTTTGTTTAACCACAGATTGTTCCATGCGACTGGTACGTCGTTTTAGTTTATGAATTTCTCTTTGCATTTGCAATAAAATGTTCGTCATGTTCATCATATAGTGTCGATTAATCAATTGTGTATGATGAAAGAGGCGTTCAAAACGAGAACGACGTTTAGCAGTCAGATGGGAATGATCATCTAATGCAAAACTAGCTATTCACGACAAAAGAATCTTTTGCAAGTTTTACTTTTTAACGTTGATGATAAGATCCTATGTCGATCTTTCATGGAATGTTCAATTGTACTCGTTGATGCGATCGATGAGGGCGATGGAGTGGCCTCAAATGAATGATTACCATTGATTCCCATAGCTAATCCGGTTGTTTCGACAGATATTTGGTCGTGAGATTTCGTGCAATAAGTTTTACCAGAAGAATCTACTTTGCGAGTCGTCATGGATGACATTCTTTACTCTCAATCGAGAAAAGAGTCGGGTTAACAAAGCAGAAAATCCGATTCCAAAATAAAAGATCTAGAAGAAAATTTTTACATAAGCAGTCTATGATCGCTTTATCATCTGAAATAAGAAGAGGAACGCCGATAAGTGGTTCTTAAATGAAGGTAATTTATTAGAAAAGACTTTTGAAAACAAAAACTTCTCTTTACCTCGTTTGTTTTCTTTTCCTAACGATAAAAATAAGCATTCATAGAAGAAAATTCTCACGCAGATGTAGATTCTCTTTTCTTTTTTTTTTCGTAGATGTTTCAATAGGGGAAACAAAGCCATGTAGAACAAGAAAAAAAATGAATCAAGACGCTGGAACAAACGAACGAGAGTATACATAACAAATACAAACGAACATTCAATCTCGTTTGCTTTGTTGTTCATTTTGATTGGTTGATGGGAAGGTATTTGAAGCTGTTTCATTCTTTTCATATGAGGAAGGTTTTAACCACGATGGTTGAAATTCATTAGCATCCGGATTTAATGTACTTTCTTGATTTTGCTCCATCTACATATAAACGAGACTGTTCGTAGACTCCCCTAATTATGAAAATTCTTACTGAAGTTTGCAATTTTTCGTCATTGACATTCTCTTGAGCCATGTAGTTCCAACATTCTTCCATTTGGGCATACAATTCTTCTTGCTAAATAAAAAAAAAGTCATATAAATCTCAGTTCTGTCCATCCATTCGAAAACTATTAGCGTGATTTAGCGAGCGAAAAGCAAGCAGGTACCTCATCGTCACCTAACTCGTCTTTGAAAGGAAGACTCATTCTCCAACATTTAGAATACGGATGTGTTCGTTTTGCTTGCCAACTTTCTTTTCGAATACATCGCATCATCATAAGTCCAAAACGTGAAATGCCTTCGGATAAGTTTTGGTTTTCATCTGATCTACCTCGTTTTGATACTTCTTGAACGCGTCTTGTACAGCATCCGAAAAGATCGACTCATCATCATCGTGTAGATTCGATTGATATTGTTCTCTTGCATCTAATTCAGCAACAATTTCGTTGGGTAAGTTATCATCAAAATCTTCTTGATAATACGCTTGTTGATAGAAATCATTTTCATAGTTACTTAAGTAGAAAAAAAAACCAATATTTTTATCCAATTTTCTAATTAAACGTCAAACTTACGACTGACCATGTTGACCGACTGACTGTCGTTGAGAAGATCTTTGATTATTGCTAGAACTAACATAATCTTTCACAGACAGAAGTCATTCGAGATGAGATTCACATACACTCTATCAGTTGTTTGTCGATCATGTCTTTGATTTGCATGTGTATGATTATTACTGTTATTATTATTATTATTCGATGATTGTCGAGAGGATGACATCTAAAACAAGGTAAATATTTTTCTCCGTAATACTAAACGACTCTTGCCTTCGATTCAGCACTATCTATTTCTCGCTATTAAACTTCATGCTTCAGTAATCACTCTCGTGTAGTATAGGTTACTTGACTGATCGAAAGGACAAAGGAAAGCAAAAAAAAACAACATTCGTGTATAAACGTCGTACTATCGTCCATTCGATTTAGAGACAAAGTAGTTCAACAATGGTTTTCGCATCCAACAATTCGTTGTGCTTTATTTTATCAATAAAATTTAGTGAAAAAACTTGCATTACTGATGGTTATGTGAAAATCGACTTAAACCAATATTTCCTTGAAGTAGATGTCGCTGGATAGCGCTCAAGCATCATCGTTCATGTATCCGAAAAGTGTAGAGAAAACATGGCTTGGAATGATTACTTGTAAATCACGTCTAGGGCGAGTTGTGGCAACTGTGTAATGATCAAGACGAACGTTCTTCACCTTTATTCAACTCGAGAGTGGCAGTGTTCTCTTACCTTATGTCAATATTGAATTCAGCGCCGGTTTTGATAGAAAATTTGCTATTCTTCGATAGATAGATCAAATAGAAACATAATACATTGTGACTTCAGTGTCAATAGTTGGTGGTGACAAAAAAACTCGACTTCAATTAATTGATATACGACACGCGTTCTACTTCTTTCAAGTGAATTATTTCCAAGAATAGTCATTATTTTCACGTGTTGAAAACTCGTGGGTCAACGCAAATGATCAGCAAAGCGTACAAAAGCTTGACTGAATTTGAATTCGTGACATATGTTGAAAAGAGTGCACCGGTGTGAAATTTGTTTTCGATGCTGAAACTGTTTAGCTGATATGTGTTGAAAATTGCTTGTTTGTTTCCGAGCACTGGCAAAGCCCAGTGAAGGACAAAACTGCAAAGTCGAGTCCATTTTATACAAAAATTCTTTTTTGTCATGCCTTCGAAAAAGAAGTGTCGAAATCAGTATATATGCGGACGCGTGTTTTGTTCAAAAGTGGAAAAAAATGTTTTTGAAAATTAAAAGACAAAAAAAAGTTGCAGAGAGACAGAGATTAAAAAAATTGCAAGAAAACCCAGAAAAATATGTGGTGTTGGGAGTGTATCAATGGGAATTTATGTGACGACGACGACTCTTCTCTCTGAAAAATTTTTTTCTGCGAATATTAAAAAAAAGCGCGCATATACACGTTTACGTGTAACAAAATCTCCGGACGACAGCAACAACAGCGACGATGACGACGATGATATAGTTCGATATTCGAAAAAGTGTCTTTTTTTTAGTTTGGCATTTAAAAGAGTGTTTTATGTAGAGATCTGTCGTTTGACAAAACGGATGGTCAACAGGCAGATGGCAAGAAGGAAGGCAATTTGTGGAAGATTCTTGAGACTTGGACTGCCGCCATAAGCTCTTACGTCTTGATCGTATGCATATTCTAAAGAGAGTGAAACGAACAACGATCGATGTCAAAGCAAGTCGAAAAGCGAACTTACTAAAGAATGCAACGAATGGAATGAATGTAGCCCAGAGGCCAATTAAACCAAGTGCTGCAAGACAGCAAAGACAAGTAATTGCTCCACCAAGGCCGCCTATTAATCCACCGGCTCCGGCTGGTGCTCTTGCGCTGAATAAAGATAATTATATTAGTACAATTCTATTCATATCTGTATGTATAGGAATGTATATACGAACACTTACCGATCGAACATATTTTCACTGTACGGTGGACAGCAATCTAAAAGACACAGATGAACAGAAACTTTATCATATACGAACGATCACTATGAAACGAGAAAAAAACGAAGAAGGACTTTTCTATTCTTCCTCGTTTTTTTCAAAAAAAAAAAGTAAACAACTTCTACTAAATCTTCGTAGACCTGTATTCTCTCCCTCTTTTTCCTCTCTCTCTATCTCTCTCTCTGCATTTACATATACTAGAAACAAATAGCACTCAACGCTTATTATTGTTTGAAAAAAATACATGACTATGTATCATTTTACATTCTCCTTACTTCTCTCTCTTTTTTCGCCTATCTGAAGGAGACGCATCTATACACATTCACGTCATGGTTGACGGCATCTTTTTCCTTCGTGGTAATCGTATGGATACTGCGAGTGCATAAGAAAAAAAAAGGGAACTGCTATTTCTCTTCAATATGCGTGACTTCGAATGTATGAGACACCGTGTTACCTTTATTGATGGCAAAAAAATCAGAGCAGAGAGAGAAAGAGAGAAGGGGACAGAAAATCGAACTAATGCATATCAGTCTGCGTAGTTCGTGATGAGTATGCAATTGTATGACGAAAAAAAAGGCAAAAAAAAATCTAATTGGTCATGCGTAACATAGAAAAGCATGTGTAGGTAACAGAAATACATGTTTCTACTGATGAATGCATACGTAAGCAAATGCAAATCGACCTTGACAGAAAAAAATTGAGTTGTGATTATCATCAATGTTTAGACAAACGAAACGAACAGGTTTGCATACACCTAACCACATGTACATATCTATATCTCTGATAGGTGAACATTTGAAATATAAAGAATGATCATGTCTCAAATATAAACGATCTAATTGAGTGAATGACTTTGAAGAATCAATTAAAGAGAAGATGGAGAACGATGAGAAATGTTTCTTGAACACATACGTATTGTTCGCTGTTTTTCTTTTATATAAACCGTAGACACAAGGAAAAAAAGTGTAAAAAAATGACAAAAAATTGTGAACAGGTAATTGTGCAGGTTTTAATAGCAGCAAGTCAACAGTTGAGAGATATATTTCTTTTTTAATTCGATAAAATAAAAACACAATGACGACGATGACGATGACTGATGATAGTTGACGATATTAAATTACACATGGATACCTGTTCGAGCGAAAATCGGTTTTTGGCGCGCAAGTTTGAAAAGAAAAAGTCGAAAAGAATTTTCTCATCAGAAGACAAGACGAAAATATAGTTGTGTTGCAAAAAGTGTAGATGAAGAAGTAAAAGAAAGTGTTTTTTTTTCTCAAAAAGATTCGCATATGTTCGTAAATTTCGAAGGCATAGAGGTGGTGTTGAATTAGTCGTATGTGTTCACCAGTTAATTAGTAATGGCAACACCACGTCGATGTTTGGTCAATACATAGATGGAGCAGAGAAGTGCACTGAAGAGAACGAAGACATTGAATTCTGTCGTCATTCCGGCACCTGTTGCGTTTTTACGAATTTGATTTTGAATTTGGTCTAATGGAAAAACGAAACAATTTTTAATTACAATTTGTTCATAAAAATCAGAGTTTACCACATACTCATGTAGGCAGCAGCAGCAATCATTGTAGCAAAAAGACCAAGAAGGGACAATGCTGACAGGCAACCAAGACAAAGTAGTGGACATGCTAGGCCTTTAAGTAATCCACCAGCGCCACCTGGGCGTGGAGGTGGTGCTGCTCGTGGAATAAACGTGGGTCTTCGCCTAAGAGAAATTGAAAACGAGTCATTTAGGCAAAGAGATCTTTTTGTCTAAAGATACTTACACTGCATATCGATTGACCGAAGCGTAAGGACGTCGGGCGGACATGTTGCTGATACGTACAATGAAAGTCCAAGTGACACCGACTTAAACTAGAAAAGAAAAAGAGAAGACGAAAACAACTTGTTTGACAATTCTTTATTGTAATCGTTCTTCTAAACAGTTATTGCCTCTTGGCACTATGTACAGTTTCTCTCTCTCGTCAGCACGGTCGAACATGCATCTAGATTCTCTCTCTCTCTCTCCTACTTCTCTTTCTCTCTCTTTCTCTTTTTCATCTCTGTTGTTTTTTATTAATTCAAAAAAGGAAAAAGAAAGAAAACAACTGATCACTACATATCTACCATATGAAAGGAGAAGAGAGAAAGTCAATATATGTTCTATCAATTGGACTAAAATTTGTACGAAACTGTGAAAAACGAAATTGAATGATAGAGAAACGAGAGAGAGAGAGAAGCGAGAAAAATGATAAGGTAAATAAAGACCTCCAAAAACATGACAAGAAGTATGACGTCGATACTACCTATCAACATACATGCAGAACGATTCTCGAAGGTAATTCATAAACATACATGCATGTAAAGTAATGCGCGTTCGCTCAAGCATGCCGAAATGCTGACGATCGTGTCAGTGGCAAAAGGTAGATATTTGTGAAAGAAGAAGTATGACAAAATTTGAAAGAAGAAGAAGAGGAGGCAGCGAGAGAGGGAGAGAAAGAAGCATGTAACGAACATTTTTCTCGCATGACTTCGATATACTGGAAAAATGAAACAGTTAGAAAGAAAACGGACGATATGTGTGACGTTGACAACATAGCGCGTAGGTTGATGAAATTCGTCAATGTAAGGAAGGATGAAGAGAAGAAAAAGTAGAAAAACATGATATGGTTTGGGTGATGTCATTGAGATATGAACTGGTCATGATCCACAATGATGAAATGTGACTATATGTAAACAATGTAGATCGTAATTTGTAATTATCTACCGAAATTAATTGGTAAACAAAAACATCAACTATGATTTTTTTCAAAAAAATAAATTAGTAATTATTTATAGTAGAAAAACATTTTTTTGATTTGAAGAAAGTGTGTATGATGTATGAACGAATGGAATCTTTTGTTTAAGATTCGAGAAAAAGAAATTATCTTCCAAATTTTTATAGGTTTTGTTTCTTCTCATGCAACAGATAAACAATCACGGATATTAGTGGAGATTTTCGTTTTCCACAAGATATGCTAAGGCTAAATACCCAAGATTTTGTTAAGCATTTATTGATAGGATGTCATACAGTTATACAATACAATACAACAGTTGTTTCTGTATTTATGAGGAATAAAATGAATACGAAACATAAGTACTACAAACAAATACCTAGTATTTTGTTCATGAAAATCGTTTTTCGATCAAATTCACACTACTCTTCTTTGTAATCGATACGTTTCTCTTTTGGCCATTCTAATGTATATTCCAACGGCAGTCGACAATCCGCTTTGGATTTCAGGAGACATTTCCATTCCAAATTGTTTTGATCGTTCATGGTCACAGTATAGACAGTATTTGCTTGTTTAGTACGTAGATCGGGTACGAGTAACTTGACTTTGATCTTCTCATACGATGATCGAGGCACTTGGTCGTAGACGTGAACTGTTATGTCACTTAGTTTTGTGTTGACAATGCGTGTCTCGCGACGAACTGTTTCATGATGAGTTTTCGAAACTATACCTTGGGTTTCGGTATTGGTTTTAACTGGTTTATACTCGACTTTGACACTAGCATCGGTACCTAATGGTAAGTCAAAGGTATCACCCATGCAAACATTATCGATGGTACTATTTGTAACGAAATTATTATCCATGAAAACTGCAACTGGCCCGGCGAGAAGTTGTTTATCTGATGTATTCGTAGTTGTTGCTTTGAGATATGCGTGAAGTGATAATTTTGGTACGACTGTGTAGACGAATGATGAGCTGAGATCGAGAACTGCTATTGTTACTTTGTGTGGTTTACCCTAAAAAGGAAATTATTGTTACCAAGCGGTAATGACAAATGTTGAGAAAACTTACATCAGCTTCAATAGTTGCGCGTCGAGGTATGGCAAAACTAGAACTTGACATACTGGCTTCAGTTGTTGTTGATAAAACGTTGACTGTGTTTTGTGCTCTAACATGATCTTCTTCATCTTCAGAGATTTGTTTTGAAGGAAGAGCTGATCGACCACGGAAACTCACAAAGCCTTTCGCTTTTCTTGATCGTGGTGCTTCTTCCGCCTCTAACCCACAAGCACTCAGTGAGTATTTCATATCAGATAGACCTTCATCCGACAAAGTACAATCGTATGAGCGACTCTCATAACGAGGCTGATAGTATTCAATTTTCAATGTAGATAATTTTGGCGGGGCGCCTCCAAGTGACGGCGTAGCTGTTGATAACGATAGTTGTGCATCACTCCAGTTTTCCTGGCTTTTATTAGTCTAAAGCATAATATACATAGATCACATGATATTGTCTAGAAAGATATTTCTTTCTACAATACTTACGATGATACCATAGTAGGTTAATTGTGTTCGTTGGTTTGAAAGATCCGTACTACTAACACGAACATCGTAACTTGCTTTCCATGAGCAACTACTTATTAAATATGATAGTTCCAGATCCACATCAACATTGCCCGTTCCTATATGTACTGTAATGGTCACTTCACGACGTTCTTTTCGACGACTGGCATCACTTGCTGCACCATGTTGATCGATTTTCGTTTTTAATCCATCTTTGCGTTCGATCAATTTTTTAACCTCCTTCTCCTCTTCAGTTGTTCGATCGTCCAATTTCGCTAAAGTCTTACGATAAAAATCCATAAATTGATCCATGGCATCGAGATCATTTGACTTTATCTCCCCATCTTGATTCATCAGTTTCGTCGCTCGGCCATCAAGCCAGGCTCGTTGTTTATCAAGACGTGCTATTTCTCGTTGATGGGCAGTGATATCCGCTACGACCTGTTGAAATTCATTCTGTAATTGATCCAACGAAGTTAAATCGACATCTGGTGATGTCTTATCATAGCACGTTTGATACGAGACTTCAAGGATCGTACATGCTTTACCCGTTCCTCCACTGACATGTAGTGATGTTTGATCAACGAATGGAGAAAAACCTTCAAAGACTAAATCATAAGTACCTACAGCATCAAAATGATGCTTTAAAAGTCGTGTAACTTCAGCACGATCGTTGTAAACCGTGACATTTTGTATCGGACATTGTTGATTGATATTAAATCGAACAATTGATGTTTTAACAGCAGGTTCCAATAATTTATTTTCTTCTCCGTTAATCGTGTTTGTTGTTGTCGACATCGTTTCCTTGCCTAAAATAAGTAGTACTACTGGTGGAAGTTTCTTTGCCTTATACGAATAATATTGCTTGGAAGTTTTGCAATGATTTTGCTATTCTATATTCTTGACATAAATGAGGCAGTGTTATGACTCATACAAGGTTCTTTTCAGACGTGAAAAAAAAACAAGAAAATAAAAGGCTTGAAAATAAGTAGAAGTAAACGCACGGTCTTTTTTGTTATCCGTTATGAGTCATCATGTTAAAAAATAGAATAAAATGACAGTTTAGTATATTATTCATCGGACAAGATGGCTCAGCTTTGGTGTAACCTTTAAAATATCATAAACTTTATAATCGAAGCCAAAAAAGAGTACAAATAGTCATCCAATCTCTATAGAAAAGTGAAAGTAGCGCTTTAGTCATCATTATACTTTACTGCATTAGTCGATCAGAAAAGGACTTCTCTATATTTATCTCTTCCAGACTAGCGTCTTCTCCTGCTGTAATGTACAGGAATCAATGATAGCATCTAATCAGTTAAGACAAGCCAAATGTTTTGGCGTAAATACCAGATGTCGTTATCAAACAGAACAAGTACATTGGCCTACTCATATTTGTGGGTAAAGATAATCTCTAGTAAAGTTCATTCTCTTCCTATGAAACCTTCAAAGGTTCAACTATATTTTTGATGATTTGTCACTTAGTTGATGATTCTTTCATCATCAAGACGATCACTAATCAATCGCATAACGCACATCTGTAATAGACATTTTCAAATGATCAAAAGAATCGGCTATTATCGATGCCGTTGATGTCGACACGATAAGTTGTCGCTCTCTCTCTCCCATTGTAGCGGAATATATATACATTGAAAGTCAATAGTTCATTCACACGATTCATAATCACTTCAGAATTCATATTATGGCTTGCCTTACACCAAATCGTCGTTTAGAAACAAGCACCGATCGCCTTCTCAAACGTGTACATCTCTGTACTGAACGTAGTTTCGAACGAACACCTGTTCGACATCGAACTTCAAAGAGAAAAACAGTGGAATTCTTGTCGTCAACGCTTTCATCTGGTATCACACTATTGAGCGCTAGTGACCGAACTCTGGTTGGCGACTGTACTCTTACTAATAGTTCGTTTGCGTCACTCGATAGAACATTGACAGAAAGCATTAATCGTAAAGTGAGTCGATTGTACCATACGAAACTAGCAAACGAAACATTCATCTTTTATTTATTTCAGAGTATCCATAATGATACAACTAACACGACACCATGGGAAATAATCGATAGTATGAGCAGTGATAGTTCAAATTTTAGTATTATTACAATGAATCAATCCAATGCATCGCAAGTGACAGTGATCAGTAAACGATCTAAGAAAGGTAGATAATTTTGATGACAAGAAGTATGAAACAATCACAATATATATTTTCGTCTGTCTTTAGCATCGGCGCGTCCACCGTCACTGTTGACACGTATTCTCAAGCCATCGCTGCCAAAAGCGTCAACAACAGGTGTAAAATTCGTCAACCGATGTGTGCGTGATATCGATCGTTTGAACGATACATTTGGTCAAGAATGGATAACTCTTCCAAACTTTGTCTAGAATTGAAAAGAGCCTAATGTATTTTGAAATATAGTCTATTTTAATTATCTGTGAAATAAAATAAAAAGTTTCGTATAGAACTGTAAAAATACTTTAAAACTATGACCATGAATAATAGTATGACCAAATGAGCGTGCACGAAAGTTGTATAAGCACAAAGTCTCGCGGAAAATGAACACGGTTGATCAATGATGTCGTAGCCCACCTTGCAAAGGCATATCTGTATCATGATCATACTTTTTGTCAATAACCTTGACTTCTTCGCACCTTATCAAAATAGGCATCGAAATTACATGGTCTCTCTCAGACCTAATTGTCGTATACGGATACGAAACAAGATCGCGAATCACCGGTGTAAGGTCAAGTTATATGGCCGTAAGCAGTACTTCTTCATCTTTTTTTATTCCAATGACAGAACAGAACTAATTTATCAATCGATCGTTCGGCTTCTAAAAGCATGTTTTCAAAGCCGTTCGTCTGCATCATCGTTTTCTTGGGATACCTTCTGAGTCGGTGCGCTGGCCTTGGCGAAATTCTTGTAACAGGATCAAATCCCAATGTAACTGGTCTTACATCGAATGCTACTATTTTCAGAACAACTTCATTGTATGACACTCCGATTACAGTGTCACTAGCAGTTTATCAACGAGAAGTAAACGATACAATGAAGGAAACTCTACGCGTAGTCGGTGGTAGTACAAATCTTGATTCCATGGATCGTTGTATTGCTTATGGCGTTTCATTCAGATTCTTGGGACAATATCCGATAATTATGAATACGGAAACAGGAAATGGAGGGTGCAATGCTATTTTAGGAGAAGAGTGTGCAGAAAATCTTCGCCTTTCGCTGCGAAAATTATTAAATCCAATCGATGCAACTGCTTGTGGGATCAATCTAGATACCCTTTTGAATATACATGAAGGGTGTCCTAAGAACTATGGAAATGGAGTTCTGGTCAGTTCAACTTTTCTCGATGATGGCTCGTTTCTGTACAACAATCTATCGGTTGCAAATTCATCTCAAACATGGATCTATGAACAAAGTCCACCGTCGCCGACTGGTGATTACGATGAAATTACTAAATATTTCGTTTTCGTATATTTTCTTGGACGATCTTATACGTCCGAAGTTGTGGATTCAGCTATTGCATGTTTGTCCATCTATGATCAAACAGTTCCACTCGATAACTTCGCAAGAGATTCTGCCAACATTGACATCTCATTCATTTTGTTCATTGTACCACATTTCTTTTTCATTCTCTTTCTATAAGATACTCCATTCTTTGGCTTTCATATCGAATAAACAGTTTTATTTCGAGTAAAAATCAATTGAGATTGAACAACGAAAATTGAATAGGAAATTACTATCTGCAAATAGTTCTACAATGGAGAAAACAATAAGCAGTCACTAGGAATAAATCCTTCATCATTGCGTTCATTGCGAACCCAAATCCAATGTGGATGTGTGGAACGAAGCACTTGTACGCATTCATATTTTCTCACCGTCAAATCCTGACGAAATGTGGCTATATATGACTTAGTTATCGAATACCACCGATCGATCATTGTCGATGTTAATGGTCCAGTTTGTTCGTCACAATCGTCATTGACAACTAGAGTTTGGTCTTGGTCGTGTGCAACACAACGGCTGCTCTCCGCTAATGGTTTATGTTCGAAAAGTGTGTCATCGAGAAATATCTGCGACCGGTCAGTTATGACTAAATTATGTGACACATAATTTATGATCGATGGATCACACCTTATATGACATGATTTCGGTAATAAAGGACTGTATGAAGAATTGCTTAATGTTGATATACCAGAATCGATTGAATCACCACTAATGGATGATATTGTATCATCTAAACTAGTCTTGAAGAAAATGACTTCAGCAGTGTTCGATGAATTTCATGATAGAACCTACATGAATAAACGATGACGATTTCGATTGTTTATTATCGTCACAGATTTTTGATGAATTGTCATGCTGATTCGATGTTTTGCTAGTCCCAGAAGAAATTTCTACAATACAATCAGAGTTGGTTAATGAAATAGAAATGTGTGGGTAATGACATACTTTGACCCGTTTTACAAAAGATAGTCTTGATTCGATATAAACGAGCATAGACTCTGGCTGCTGTTTGTTTCATTTTTTGACGATTTGTATATTCACTGATTTCATACGAATACATTTGCCTGCTAATAAGAATTGATGTGTATGCGTTCGTTTTGTTTTTCAAACTGATGCATATTCGACACCTTTTGTTTAATTGACCTGTTTGAGATAATCTATTCGTTCTTTCTTTCTCCGTACATTGCATTAATGGACATTCTTGCCTATTGGCTACATTTATATTTGATCCTATTTCGATTAATTAATGGACTCATTTTGTCTGATCGTTCGTTGTTTGATGATAACTCATGGCGAGAAAGAAGAAGATATGAATTGTTGACATCAAGCAATGTCTAATTAGTCATTTGTTCAGCTCAAATATTGCAGCATAAGAAGAACTTCTCGTTCCAGACGATTTGTTTTCGAAGTGGAGAACGTTGGCTTTATTATGATTATTAATGATAGATAGTTGAAAGAAAAGCTTCCTATCAATCAATTAACACTCAACTATCGAGATTATATCACTATGGGTGAGATCAGGCAAAAGATACGTATATGTGGACAAGTATACGACTGAATTGTGAGATTTAATCATCTATTGATTGTTTATTTTGGCAATTTGATGAGTTACTCAAAACAAATTCATTGAGAAAATATCTCAAAGTATTCACTTGAAAACACAAGCTTTAACAATTTGTTAAAACGTTGTTTTGTTCTACTTTATTACTTTTTCTGACGTCAATCTCTGTTTTTTCTTTATACAATCTCTTGTATTACACATCACTCATCGTGCCGAGAGGTCGTATAATTGTAATTCACAGTTCCATAGTTGTTTGAAGCAACTGGTTTCCTTAAACATTCTTTAGCCTATTAAGAAATCGTTCGCTTAGCAGATTCAGGGCTTTAAATTTAATCATATATGAATGCGAAATCTCGTTTTACAAAGCATATTTTAGCATCACAGTAATCATGAATGTATACATGTCATAAGAAGCAAAAAGAGCGCGCAAGGCCAATGAAAAATAGTCCAAAATCAGAGTCATGAAAGACTATTTTGACGCATAGTAAAGTCGTAATGAACTCGGCTGTGTTTGTCTAGCCGTATATGTTTGTTGTGTAACCGGTGTGTATCGTGTTTCATTATTTGTTTGATCATTCGGCGATAAATGCTGAGATGTTGTCAAAGGTTTCCGGTGGCAGTACCATCGACAGTCACAACATGTATTACATGGATTGGTTGACGCCGGTTGAATATTAACAAATATTTGATTATGACTTGAACTGTTCGAGCTTTCTCCTCGAGTGGTGTTTACTTTGTAAGCAACGTATTGTTCGTCGGGTACTTTTGTACAAGAAATATGGAAATAGCAACACCAGAGATGTTGGAATAAACATCGAAAGAACGCTAACCATGAGAGAATCATTCGACGGAGCTCGTCACGGAAACGTCGTCCGCATAAGCAGTGCAAGATAATATTGGATGAAGAATTAAGTAGATCGAAAGTAATTAATAGACCGTAGGTTTCACTTAGAAATCCTGGACAATCATCACCGGCTAGAAATTTCTTTTTACAATAAATAAATGAGAGAATGATTTGACCAAACCAGGAATTAATAATTGCAAATAAACATTCGACCGTAATCACAATTAATATTCGTCTTGTGTCATCTGTTCGACGTCGACATTGGATAATTAAACCTGCTGTCAAACGGTTCAATTCCTGAACACGATAGACTGATATCATATTGCTCATGATTGTTATTAATGATGGAACTATACTTCCGAAGACTAAATTCTCACAGATTTATTCAAATCAAAGCAAAATTGTTCGAAACTTACCTAAGATGAGTGTATACCGATTGAAATCAAATGTTCGACTATAGATGAAATTGAACGCCCGGTCGAAGAAGTTCGGTTCTTGTGGAAAAAGACATTCATGAAAGTGGTATTTTCGGTAGACATCATTCCGTGAAATGTTGTGTCCTGTTTTGGAAAATATAATTCTTTGTATTAATTTCACAACTGATCTATCGTGTTGGTCAAAATAAAATGACAGAATGTTCATTAAATCTCCTTTCGCACAGGTTCGATTGGCTTCTGTAAATAATATTTGACTTTTTTGTAATCTTTCCACGGCATACGATACGCATTGATAATCATTCGAATGCTTGGGTATTGTATTCAGTAGCATGTGTGTAACATTGTTCATTCGTCGATTCATGTAAACAAACCAGTCGTAGCTTCGATCTCGGCTGACGGATTTCGAACAGAATAGAGTTAATCCGCCGAATTGAAAAGCGTAAGCAAGAAAAAATGTGAGAAAAATGATGAGGAATGTTCCTTTGTATTTGTATTTATCGGTGTATGTTGTCGGTAAGATTTGAAGTTTCAACGAGCGTTTGATGAATACCGTTCGTTGAACAGACATAATTGACATCAAGATTAATGAAAACCGTAAATAGATTTCAGGTTGAATGAACGGTACAAATGCCTGGGGCCAGTATTGAGTCGCATAGGCGAATATTCGAACGAGGAATGTTTGCGAACAGGAATTACTCGTGCTGTTGCGGGGCAAATCAAATAATGTATTCAGATAGTAAGGTACTTTCATCAAACGAAATAGTAAATAAATCGAGTCAGCTATTAGTAAAACGATGAAAAATGGTGTAATAATACGATAGCGGAAGTTTCTTCGAAGAAATACTAATATACAGAGGCCATTGCCGAATGAGCCAAAAATGAATAGGCATAGACCGATAAATGTACACGAAAGTGCTAACATTTTATCTGAATAGAAGCAGACCGGATAGAGTTATGGTGGCTAATATGTCTTCAGACGGGCGAAAGAAAATGAATCTACTTTGACTTTTTCAAATGGAGACCACGCAACAAGGAAATTTGCTTTAAAACGATGTCGGAAGAGAGACAGAGAGAGAGAGACAAAGATGAAAACATCGAGTTCATGAAGAGTGAAAAGAAAACATGCTCAGTGGATGTTTATGCTAATACGTCGAAGTGCAAAAGAGAAAGAAGCTATTTGTAAATCAGCTTCTTTGCTGAGTTGTTCAACCACTCGGAAAACGAACATTCCATGCATAAAAAGAGAGTTTAAAAAAAGGAAAAATAAAGTAAATAATATTGACTGGACACATAGTTATTATTAAGACATGAAATTTAAGTAACTTTGTTATTCTCTTACTTGTGGATTCTCACCGAATGTCAATCAGAGAGCTCGTCAGTCAAATTAAATCGTTGCTTTGATGTTTATTTATATATTCGATGATAAAGATTGAGGCGAATTTAAACGCACGTTTGTTATCGAATTGTTTCTAATCGTTGATACATTTGTAGCCACCAAATGGAACTGAACACTGATCAGAGTAAGTGGAATCGCAGGAGAGATGCAAGTTTATATAATCCCTTTTATCTGCATCTTAGAAAAAGCTCAAAATGTATCAATCTATCTAAGTCGTTTATAAAAGAATATTGGATGACGCTTAACACGTAAATAACCAAACGAACGTTAAATTCTTATATCTTCCGTTTCCTGTTGTTAGTTTTGTTTTCAGTAAAGACAATGTCAAGTACCGGTTGTGTAGGTCTTTTTTCTCCTATGAAATTTAAATTTATAAGTTCAAAATGTTATATACAAAAACTAAAAATATGTCGCATAATTCATTTGTGCATAATTCCGTCTTCACTACTCAACACGGCTGAACTTAGTTTCCTGTTTTGTTTTCGAGAAGTGTACAAGCGTACTTATGGATGATAGTCTATGAAATAGCTTAACGGGATGTTTCAGATACAGTAAAATATCCTCGATAATCATTACAACTGTGTGGGTAGAAACGTCGTTTGCGTTACCCGACTTCCACGTATAAGGAAAACATTCGACAGTGGGATGCAGAAAAGTAATGAGGCGTAATTACGTGAACACAGAGGTCAGCCGGAGGAACTATGTCGTTATTTGATAAAACAGTGGCACATTTTCGATAATTAGCGCTATTTATCTTGAAGATGAATGTCTAATTAGAAAAGGAGCAGCCATTTTGTTCTGTGAACTGTTTTTTCGCTGTTTCTCTGTTTAAAGGACACAAAAAGAAAGACATCGTAATACTTTTTTTACATGAAAAACCATTAAGTAGCGGTCGAATAAACTTATTTCAAAGATTGTTCGATGAAAAGAAATACTTACATTTGTGTCAAACAGAGTGTTCTTTGCGAACAAGTCTTACAATGCAACTCCATAGTTTATTTCTGGCCACACATTTGTGATGGCTGTGCTTTTCTTCATCTCGAAACTATATTTTTTCTGTAAATGCTCCTCACAAAGAAAAACATTTGTCAACAACGATAAAAATCACCGTGACATCATCGTCGAACGAAAAATACACTATAAACGAGCTTTATGTCATCATGATCTTCACGGCTAAATAAAACAACGGCCTGTCGACTAAAAATGAATCAAATGCCCTTCCAGCATTATTGTTTATGCACGAAGGGATTCTTATCCAAGATCGAATAAAAGAGAAGTAGAGAACAAGAAAAAGTGGTATGCGTCAGCTAAGAGATAGCACTTTTGTTCGTACATTCGACACTTTAGTCAATGATTGCTTTCAATCACATCAAAAAGTGTTCTTTTGTCTTTCCTAACGATATTGTTGACGTTGCTAGAATACACATTTACTTATTAGTGCTCTGCGTTGCTTGAAAGGATTGCGGTAAAACCGTTCTCTTGGATATAATCATGAATTGTTGGAATAAGCATATCTTTCATATTGGGCATTACCTAGAAGAAAGGACGCGGATGAATGAAATGAGAATTGTCTACATTGGTGTCCCACTAGATATCGGCGAAATGTTTCACGTAGTTTTTCTTCTAATTTGACTTTTACACGATAGAATGGCATACGATATTCGCCGAAATGCGGTGTAGCCTGGAAGAAACACAGGATATACAGTGAGGTCTGCGAGGAGAAGAAAAAAAACAATACGGAAAATTGCATCGTTGGCATATCGAGAAAACTAATCCAAAGACGATCGGATGGAATTGGTGGAATGTTAAGTAACAGAACACCATGAAGATGGTTGAGTTCGAATTTAATTATCAGTGTCATCCTAGTTGTTTTTGTCGCGGATATTGTCTTTTTTGGTAATACAGCTCTTGAAAGACACGATTGGCGTCGAAACCATCGATTTGGTGGCCAAATATGTTGACGCCATGTCTTTTGCGGAAGAATGTGCTTAGATTCTCGACTGGTTGTTGATAATTTCTGATTCCTGAGATGAGACTTTCGACGCCATTTTAGTTTAATATTCAAATTTAATTGAAGTTTTCCATTATAAGCTATTTTTATGCGTGACCAAAAGCCGTGTTCATCCATCCAGAGTTTGAATACGTCCTTTTTTATTCTAAATTGTTGTATGGTTATGTTAATTAGGAAATAACTTACTTTGATCTCAGGTAAACGGTCGCCTAGGTCGAGATTAGTGATGAAAATGTGTTCAATCCATGAGAATTTGATTTTTCCCAGTTGTTTCTGCAGAAAAGATTGCATTCGTGCAAGATATTCTTCATTATCGAATAAATCGAGAAAACATCGAGTAAAAAAAGCGTTCAACAGTAAAATTGGGTTTTCAATCTCATGTGGAATTTGTTGTAGATATTTAAATACAAAATACAATAATGGATGATTAACACTTTGATACGGATGCACATTGTCTCGGTAAAATGATCTGTTTGTGTTAATATCACGATTGGATTCGTTTGTCATTGGATTAACATTTGTTTTTCTCCCATGGCTTTGCTTCTCGAGCCATTGTTCACAGTATTGCTGTTTCTGATAGCTTAGTAATGGAATGTCTTTGTTTAATTCTCTGGGGTATACACTCGTTTTCTTTTCACTGAACTTAGGCAAAACTTTACGCATAATTTCAACTGGTTTTATATAAGATAGTTGATCCAGTGCAGTGAACCGATCAGACCGTTCAAGGAATTTCATCGTACATTGTTGATATCTTTGATCTTCATTTGGGTCTGTCACACTATTTGTTCTTCTAGAACAGTTTGCGACACTGATCTATGTATAGGATTTGCTGGTTTTCATTCAAACTGACAAAAAACGACCTACCTGCTTTGTGCTTTGAACTGTTTGATCGCGCTCTAATTGATACTGAATCTCGTCTTTCCACAGATTTAACTGAGACGCGTAAGTAAATCGATAAAACCATTCTTCTTTACTACGACATGTTCGTGCAAACAAGAATAATGTTTCATTCGTCTGACCTTGATTCTCCGTATTCGATGAACTAGACAAATATTCCGTGCGTAAATAACGTAGGTTTCGCAAGACAATCGGTGTTTTCTTCGACCAATATTTCGATCGAGGAACGTTCACCGGCGACAAACCAACTTTGGCTTCATCTAGATTGTACGATCGAACTTGGCTGAAACGTACTTTTCCATGCAGTTCTTTGTCATTTAATTTTCTATTTGGTTTTTTCAATGATTGAAAAATGAACAGAATATTCTTTCGAATTTCGATTAAACAGAGCTTTGTTTTTGTATATGAAAATTTCTGTAAGTTGTAAACCTCATCGTCTAATTCATACATCCATGTTTTTGTTAAATCAACTGAATTTGTCGAATAAATTGTGCTCCTTTGAACTATCGAATGTTTGTTCAGCGAAAAGAGATTCACAAGCAATGAGATAATATTAAAGGAAAAAAACGATTTCGTTTTGGTGAAAACATGTAAGAAAATCAATCCGAGAACAAAACCGACCAGGAAATCAACGAGAAACCATAGATATTTCATCATATGTGTCACTTAGAAACATGTGTCATAATTAATTGGAGAAGACTGTCATCTGTCGAATCTGGCCGAGTGATGTTCGTTTAAGATCCAATGAAATATTTCAAGATAAAGAATTGTTTTTTTTTGCTTCGTTAAATCGTGTTGAGATGGGTTTACAACTTGGGAAACTAATCGGTGTCGATTTTGCGATCCAATTTTTCGGTTGGATCGTCTCAACGAAACTTCGAACAGAGAAATTTTATGATTTAACAGGTAACTGAGTTTCGATTCAGCTAATTGATATCCAAATCGGTGGTTTAGGCTCATTGACATTCATCTTATTGACATATTTAAGTCGTAACGCCAATGGACAAACTTTACGGCAGAAAATTCAATCAGCTTGTGTGATGATTTGGGCTTTGAGGTAATTTTACGTTTCTGTTGATCAGCTTGTGAATTCAACAAGTAATCTATTAAGATTGGGTACGTTCTTGTTTCGTCGAATAATGAAGCTTGGCAAAGATTCACGTTTTGATCGTATGCGCAATTCTCCATTACGATTATTTTATGTCTGGATGATGCAGGGTGAGTTCGATCAACAAAGTAGTACATCGATTTCTATTCGTGTTCATCGCAGGTGTTTGGGTATTCATCACACTTTTGCCTACTCTTTATCTTAATCAAAAACGAGTGGATAAATCATTGACAAAAACGGACTTCATTGGCTGGGCTATTTGGTTGTTTGGCTTCGGTTTCGAAGCTATAGCCGATCGACAAAAAATGGCATTTAAAAGTAATCCAAGCAATCAAGTACGAAAAGGAAATCATTGTTTGATCAGAAAAATATGTTTGTTTTGTTTTAGGGAAAATTTGTTAATACTGGCTTGTGGAAATATTCAAGACATCCGAACTATTTCGGTGAAATATGTGCTTGGTTTGGATTGTATATCGCCTCGTCACATATGTTGGTTGGAAACGAACGAATTTTCGGCTTCCTGTCACCAGTATTCGTAGCGTCGTTAATCTCATTCCTTAGTGGAATACCGATTTTGGAGAAAAAAGCGATGAAAACATATGGAAATGATTCGGATTATATTACATATCGAAAGAAAACACCGGTTCTTTTTCCATTTGTTAACTTTCCTGCTATCTAAGATTTTCACATTTTTTATAATAGTTTTATCATCGTTCTTTATCGAAAATAAGACTTCTTTCTCTTACGATCTAATTCAACGACGGAAACTGCTCTTCATCTATCTCATCTTGTGGACGGTTCAAACCGTATGATACATTATGTGTGTATTTGGTTATCTAACTAATGATACATGAGAATTCATATTCATATCTGTTTGTTTTGAGAACTTGTTAACATACCAACAGTTCTACACGAATCGTTCTATCTCTAATTGGTAAATACTTGAAAGATAATTGGCAAAAAAAGAATCCTCTACCATATACAAGATTCATTCGACGAACCCAATAGATAAATATCACATTGAAAAATGCGTTTTCTATCGATAGTGGCCTTCTGTATCGTTTGTGTACAAACGAAAGTTTTTGCTGAATTAAGTCCGAGCGCATGTTCGCTCCTTCGAACAGCGACAAGTATTTCGACCATAGTACCTGAAATTGCTCAACTTGCCATGCGTTATTATCACGTATCGTCATCTCAATCTGAACATCATCGTCAAAAACGGTTTCTTTTCGGTGACAGTCTTAATCGAGATAGTGCCGGAAATCCGAAAGGATCTGTTCTTGAACAAATGGTAGCCAGTGCATTCAAAGATGTCAATTATACCAAAGTCGCATTACTTATCCTACACAACAATGAGTCTATGAGTAGAATCCGACAAAATATTGACGGTGAAGTTATTCTTCGTACAGCATTGCATAATGTTGATTACGAGAAGCTAGGCCGTAGTCTCTGGCATGCCGTTGAAGCTGAATTCGACTTGGAATATATCGTTTCCAGTTTTATCAATGTCACACAGCTCGATACAATTCATAATGAAGTTGTTACAACTGGTGTCTTACCCGATTGGGTGGTGAAACGCATTCATCCGAACTTGAATGCTCAAACAGTCGATCGAATATTCGAACAATTGAAGAATATTTCGCAAAAATTCTTTACCATAATGAATAGCTCAACAAATTTAGATCAATATTTGTATGAAACAATTCGACAACAAGGACTTGTACCAATGGAAAATATTCTTCAAAGAATCAAAGTCGAACAACCAACGACATTGGATCAACTTGTTGAGATTATTTTGAATAATGTTAATAAAGTTGTTATGGTAAATGATATAGAAATTGATCGGAGAAAATCAATAACTCCTGTTTATTTTAGGAAAAACTTTCCGCCATAAATAATTCAACCAGTGTCAAGAAAACCGATCAAGAGTCATCGGAAGATACACAAACAACAATGGCAACTGATGTCGCAACTGGAGATGGTACATTTGATGATGTGAAATTACTTTTCTATCAATGCTCAATTGCTGTCGATTCGATTGGTCAAACAGCACGAGTTGTACTCAAAGCTCTCGAACAGCTCTATTGTACAACAGTTTGGGAATAAGAAACATTCGCTTTTCATGCTTCTTACGTAATAAACAAGCATCCCTCTTCATCCTAATCATGCTTTCGCTGTTCTTCCAAAGTTTTCTTTTTCCTCGCGACACAATAAAACAAGTTTTTCTTGTGTTCTTCTTTTTTTTGTACACATAGCAATGGTTACCATGACTCTATCATATCATCTGACAAATTGATTTGCTTTACGTTGGTCAGTCCAACGACTGAAACCAACAATCTCAATGGTTCGGCTTTATTCCGACAATACACTCATTACACACACACACGCACACGTGTTTGTTTGTATATATACGTAGATGTATATATAACTTATCTAACTCTACATAGAAACACATTTTCCTTGAATTGGCCCACACAGATATTGAAAGTTTTGCACAAGTGAAGGTGGGAAAGAAAAGACCGCGAAATCTTTTCTGTTACTTTAAAGGAATAGCATAGTTCGTAATCGTGAGAGAAAGAACCAAACAAACAAGAATGAATGAATACACGTTCATACAAGTGAACAAAAAAAAATAGAAAAATGGGAGATAGATACATATATGAATGCGATGATAATATGTACAAAAAGAAAGAAAGAAGAAGGCTAGAATCAATATATATATATGTATATATATATTGCACACAAAGCAGTCGAGTAGGACATGTCAATGAATAGAAATAAGGCTCTGCTTGAATGATGAAGCTCAAATACAGGTTAGATGGAAGAGGATATCTCTTATCGTGAGAGATTCACTGAAAAAAGCACTAAAATGAAGATGAAGAGAAGAAGAACGCACAAAAGGGAATTACTGATATTTTTATACGTGTTTACAAAAAATGTTATGACTTTTTTTTTTTGTTTTTCAGCTTTTTCTCAGATGTTTTAAATCCAAAGGAAAGACCAAAGAAGAAGTAAGGAAAGACACGAATGATATGTAGCTGGGCCGAAGGAAGGACAAGAGACAAGATGAGGAAAAAAGAAACAAAATAAATAGAAAATAACAAAAGAAGATATTTGACTGGATTTCATCGTCATCACCGTTGACTTTATCATTACCGTTTTATTCTGCAGTATTTCGATGATCATTATCAGTAGCAGTTCTTTTAGATAAAAAGCAAACAGCATAGAAGACAAAGGAACTTTTGAAAATAATAGTTTTACCTCTGATGATTCGTTCGCTGAGTTTGTGGACGATGCAATAGATTGTATGATGCTAAGAATTGTTGTTGATAAGGAGTGTAATATGAATTCTTTAATTGGTTACCATTCGTATACTGTACTAATGATTTATTCATTGAATCATAGCTAAAAATGAACAAGGGTAAGAATTGAGTTGATTCAGTGTGAAACACGCACTTCAGTCGACCGTATTGAATGTATTTTACTGTTCGTTGTTCATTGAGATAATCACGATAGATCGTCCGCAATCGTTTTCGATACATAAGTGTATTTTCACTCACAGTGATAATTTTTGAGAGAATGCTAAAAGTAGAGCACGTAAGTTGATGATACGAAAGATCGTTCGATTCGGAATGACATACGAAGGAGCATTTTTCAATGTGGTATTTTGTTCCGAAACACTTTGGAGTAACTTATCATAAGCTTCGCGAAAAGCTAAGTTGATTTTGGGTGTCAACCATGATGCTTTACTTATATCATTTTCTAGAACAAGACAAATTTAGAAATGAATCGATTCACTTGTTTATCTCTTCTACATACTATCATTGAAAGGATCGACAATACATAGATTATTGATCGTTCGATGACCACAACAGAAATTTTTAAACAACTCCTCTTTATTAATAAAACCAGCTGGACGGTCAGGTTGATGAGGCGTTTGAACTCGAATGCCCGTTTCCGCATAGTTAAAATAGATACCATATAATTCCAGAAAACTTATCAACATATGTCCGAGATTGACCTGCTCGATTGTATTCGACGGTTGAATAGTATGATTGATATTTTGAATGAAATGATCATCATCAGTATCACTGACATTATTATTACAACTTTGATTATCATCGGAGGATGTACACGATGCAGCTGACGAGGAAGGATAGGATGTCGATGAAGAGAAGTCATCCGTTGTACCTGTTGTACTACTTGTTTTTATCGATGACGTCGATGTAGTTTTCATGGCCTTTGTCGATGGTGTAGACATACCTGACGATGATAAGAATGGCGAATAGAGAGAATTTTGTTCTTTTTTGTAATAAGTCTATTTTTAGAAAAAGAAAATGTTTAATTAGTATGACGAACGTGATTTTGTATGTCTTACTTGAAAGAAACAGACTAACATAAGAATTAATGAATAACTGCTGATGCCACCTGTCCATACTTCATTGAGATTAAGTTGTAATAAATACTGTTTTAATACGTAGACAAGATATTTCAAATATGGATATTCTTCGAGGTAATGCTAAAAAATTTTAAGCAAAGATGACAAATCTTATCTAAGATTAATCGACATATGCTTAGAAAGAAGAAAGAAAGAAAACTGATAAAACTTTCTCAATCATGCTTTCGTTATTCGTATCCCAAAGTCTATAAATTTGATTTCTCCGGATACGTACTAGAACAAGTTGAGCACTTCGAAGGCCATTGTTCATATTGAAACTCATATCAACTTTCACATCGGTCTTTCGATCAGTTAATTTAATAATTGGCACCGTTGCTCCGTTGATTATTTGAATGCCTTCTTGTGTACATATACAATGACGACAAAAGGCTTCACGTAATACTAACATTAAAGCTTCTAGTTCTTCCATTGACCAAGAACGACCTTCTTTTGAATGAACGATTATATCAATGTCACTACAAGATGAACATGAAGAAAACATTTGTTTCAAAGATTCGCCATACCTCATTGGCAAATACAATCCTGTTTTATAACTTCCATAAATATTCACCTTATGAAAAGAGAAGATAATAGAGAAAAGTGAAGTTGTAAAACAAACAATTGCTTACAGAAGCTGAAGGTAAATATTGATTAATCACATTGGTGATTCGATTGATCACCTGTTGTCGCACAGCATGTTCTTCTTCCGATGGAATCATAAATTGATAAAATTGTAGAATTTCGTAATGCAAACGATAGAGACGAACCGACATGAATGGTGGCGCACTAAATAAAGAGAGACTTTCTAGGAAATCTCATGATGAAGAAGATACAAACGTCATCAGATCGAATAGTTCAACAGGTATCTGTGTATGCCTCCATGGCGGACATATAAATCGATGATCTATTTGTGCTGGTGCACGTCGTAGTAAAAATCGATCGTGTAAACAAACACCGGTTCGATCGTGCATTGTAATAGTTTGTTGAAATATTGAAAGAAAAATAACAAGAATTTGCTATACCGACAATAATAGAGGTGTGTGTGGTTTTGTGTGTAGGTGTGTTTTGAAGAGTTAATGCTGAAAAAAAAGAAGCTTGTAAATCAGGGGGTTGAAAATCGATGTTTTCCAAAGTGACATATGAAGAAAGAACGATATAAGATGTAAAAGAAGTGTTTAGATGTGTAAGAATAACGCGGATTGTTTAGATGCAACCATAAATAGTTCGAAAGAAAAAGAAAAAGATTTTCTCAGGAAACACGTGGGTCTGGATGCGTCTGGATTATGTGGATGGATGAGTATATCTGCTTTTTGATTGGTTGAAAATCCACCAATGACAACTGGAACGAGACAAACAACGAGAAGAATTCTGAAAATTCTTTGTTTGAAAAGCAGAGAAATATTTTGTTCTATGAGAGAAAAGCATTAAATATTAAAAGAAAAGTTTAACATGAAACATGAGTTCAACTTTTTTCTCGTGAAATAGTTCAGAGAAACTTCTAGATTTTCATCTAGACAAAAGTTATAGCTAGAAGAGAAGTATGGAGACGAATGTATGGTTTGGTTGCGTTGGAAACATTCTTTCTGCTGAAGTTTTTTTGTTTATTCTCTACAACCACATCAAACTCTCGAAAATGGAAACTGTTTTCATTGTCGACATGTCAGAATCAAGGAAAAAGAACCATTCTCTTATCCTACATCTATTTTCATTAATAGAAAAAGTCAGTCTGGCTACAAAATCGACTTGGCTGAGTAACTCTCGCGATATCGAACAATCTCCTCATATAAAAGAAAACTGAAACCTCACATCAACTAAAAATTGTAATCCTTCAATATTTGCATAACAAATAAAACCCATAGAAATCCTCTGTTAGTAAACGCAATCAAAAATGAAAACTTGTCAACGAACAGATTTCGCTATGCCTTACTGAGCTATCTATACATTTCGCATTCGCATGAATACAAGCGCACCACTTATACTCACAAACATCAATCCTATTATTATTTGCCAGTCAACGTCTCTAGACAGTCAAACAGAGAGACGAAGGTAAAAATACTATATATAAACTATGTTTGTTGTAACAAAAAAAAGAAAGAGAGAAGAGAGAAAAAGAAAGAAATCATTGAAGAACACAAAGAAATACTAGTTACATGGAAACTGTTTGATGTTACTGGGCAAGCTCATCACAATTTGCTACAATACTTACAATCATAACAAACAATAACGATGTCGCATGTAGCTCACGAAGCATGTGGTGTCGATGTTTTTCTTTGTTTTAATCCCCAATCGACGCAATGTTCATCCGTAGCAACGCTTATCAAACAGCACTGTTCCACGTAAGTTGTTTGAATTGAGCCAGACTAAAACCAGCGAAGGAGTTCAATTTTAGTCAAGAAATCATTTATCGAGCATCGGACAACATTGATTTCACTACGAATTGGTACGAATCGATACCAATTCAAATTCTCCGCTCGAAAATATTCGTACCGATCATTGACGAGCAATGGTACTCATCATTTTGGTGCTCATGGATGCTTTTATTTGCATTGGTACGTAAATGCAGGAGAAAAAGGAAAATATCATGAAATTTCTCTCTTTCAGGAACATGACAGTAGTCATAATCTGCCATTAATAATGCCTGTTATTTTACCATCATATGGTGAACGAGCATCAGAAGCCTTAATTGAAAAATTAACAAAAAAATACAAAGCAACGATCCTTCTCAGTGAGGTAAGAACATTCGGTTTGTCAATCCATGTGATCGTACACTTTTTTCTTCATTTAGCACGAGCCAATTAAACAATCACTTGAACCGTTGTTTAAACTTGTTGAAATAACCATCCATACACCTGACTGGCTGTTAAAAAGCGACAAATCCAAACGATACGTCGACAGTGAACGTCCATTGATATCCTCTGAGATTAATTTCTTAAACGAAATGCGACATAAAGAAATCTTATTGATGAAAGGTACGCTGATGTTTCTCTCAAATCTAACTCATATCTCTCTCTCTCATCTATTTTAACAAGAATTATCTTTACAACAAGAACAGAAATTACCTCCATCGAAGAAATCTTCCATGAATCAACATGTAGTATTGTCTATCCCATACGAACAATTATCGGCATTTGTATTCTCTGCGATCTATGAAAACTTCCATATAACATGGTTTGATGTAGTTACTATCGATCAACGTCAGTATTTCACATTTATTTGGAATGATAATCATCTCTTTCAAAATCGTACGTCGGTTCTGTTTTACGATCTCAATCCGGCACAATTCCATGAAATAACCTTGAAGATGAATCGTTCCGAATTCGACTTAATTCATTTTGATGTCTATTGTCACAAGAATGAAAATATGTTTCGTTACATTTGTCTGTTCTTACGTCATGAATCGAATAAATCCTTCAATAAGTTATATACACCTGTGATTGAATATCGATGGTTAAATGAAAAGAAATGCAATGCAGTGAACATCCGTCCATTGTTATTATGTGGAAATCTGTATTATTCAAATTTATTTACATCGAAAGGTTACGATCACAATCGATACCATCGTATAAATCTAACGGAAAATGAATTACTTGAAGAACATACGAAAGCGTTGATCGATAATTTCAAGTTAGTTGATTTGAAAGTTTATCATTTGAACAACGGCGATTATCGGTTTATTGCTCTGTGGACAAAAGAACAAGAAGGTTCGTCGATGGTTGTACTTGGTTTAACATACCATGAACTGATCGAGCGATTGAATGAAAAACAAATACGACCGAGTATTATCGCCAACTATGGCTTATTAGTTGATGGACAACAATGTTTTGCACTAGTTTGTAATCAATATGACACTATTCGATGAAACTAGGAGGTTTTTGTAAGGAAAAAGAACACTCGTTATCTTTAATGTACACGATCGGTTTTTGAATGACGAACTAAGAGAAAAAAAGCCATATTTTGGGCGACAGATAACAAGTGAGAAAAAATAGAATTTATTTGGGAAAAAAGAAGAAGAAAAACGATGGTTGAAAAGAAATGCATAGAGAAAAATGGGTGAAAACATAAAATGAAAAGTTTCTATTTGGTTTGAAATAGTAAGAAAATGCATAGGTTTATCATATTATCAATTAATCGATTTTCACAGCGGAATATATTTGAACAACAAATGTATACGAAGCAATAAAGCCGATTGTACCAGTGAGAATCCAGAAAGTAAAACAGATAACTAATGTGTAACCGAAATAGAGTAGAATTGGAACGAATTCAGTTATATCAAGCTAGAATAAAGGAGAGTCTTCATCTGTAGAACGTATGATTCAATTGAATTTACTTTGGAATAGAAGTAAAAGATTGAATAAGCAAAGATGTAGAATGCACAACCCCCTGAGGCGATGAATGATCGCCACCACCAATGATAGTCTTCTCCACATAATTGAAAATATGTTATGACAATAGAGATTTGTGAACAGGCAACTAAATGCACACGGAGTTCTTCGCAGAATTGCCTTGTTAATCACTTACTGATGATAATGATAAATACAAGAAATAGAAAACCGAATAAATAATAGTACTGATTTTCCCATATCGCCTAAATAGATGAAAACTCGAAATTTTCTCACGATTTGCAAACTATCCCACTTTCATTTACCGTAAAAATAAAGAACAATTCAATGAACATTGCACCAAACGGAAGTACGCCTAACAGATAATTTCATACAGAAAATTCATTCTTTTTGGCTATCAAATACCTTACCAGCGATGAGTGTACTAAATAGAAACAAAATCGATACATTCATTCAGTTTCTTTCATTTACCTGATGACTGGATGCATATACCACTGTTGCTCAGGTATTTGTTTTGGAATTTGATTGGTTCGTACCGGATGTTCATACGGCTAGAATAATGAATAGTTTTCGTTTGTCATTTGACTCGCGAACATACTAATTGACGATAGGCAAAATAGAAGCCAATATAGACGAGTGGAAAAGAAATTCCTAGCCACATAGATAAGATGGCAAGCATGGTTGTGAATGGTACAGCACCTGATGAACGTTTGCCCCAAATGAAGAAATTCAAAAATAGACCAACACCACAAACAACCGATGGATAGAGTGTAGCGGTCTAAAAGATGCCGTCAATCGGATATGATCAACATTCTTAGAATAATCAACTCTCGACATACTAAAATCGCAGTTCGCTTCCAATTTGTACCTCTCATTGTTTTATAAATTCGACCAGAAAAGTATCCGGCAATCAACCTAGTCAGTATGAAACGAAGATGTTATTTTTCAATGTGAAAAACACATTTCGACATACCCCATAAAGACGTAGAGAAAACAAGCAGCTGTAATTAAAGCACCACGCGATGACGGTGAAAGCATTCCAAGTGCGGCGAAAACTGAATGACAAAATGCACGATTTCTTTTGTGGGAACATTTGCTCAGATAAAATACAAACCAATGACAATAAACAGCATCAGCAACAACTGAATACCTGACCCGATAAGAGCTGAAAGAAAATTCTTAGCCATCGGTGGACGAAAAACATCACCATGAACTCTAAAAACAAACGAAACCAAAGAAGAAATTCCCAAATAATTCATCAAATATTCAACGAACAATTTCCATCCAGTTTCTTCGATACCTTCATCCTAAATCAAAGAAACATGTAGACTCAAATTTCATCCGTTTCAGAAAAAAAACTAACCAAATCTTCTTGGTTATATCGTGCAATATCTCGTCGAAGGGTTTTAACAATAATCATTGCAACGATACCAGCAAGAAAAAAGATGACAATAACTGAATTGATGATAGAAAACCAATGGATCTGAACATCAGACATTGCCAAATACGTATCCCAGCTAAAATCATATAATACAATTTAGGAACTACAGTGCAGTTTCACTATTAGATAAAAAGCTCTACGAGATCAATTTATACTCACCGACTGGCCCAACGTGTATCACTTGGTACCCATTCGACTTCATATGTTGTTGTAACTTTTGTTTCCTCTAAGCAAAGCGAAATTTTTCTGACATAAGAAAGAATTTTTCATCCTGATAACTATACGTTCTGCATTGATTTTCATGGTATCAACTCCTGATTCTATTGTACATGAGACTTCATCGTCAATTTTGATCCGACTGTGGCTGATACTTTTTGGTTCTACTTCAAAACCAACAACACGATATCCATTTCTTTCAAAAAGAAAAGTTCGATATTCGACTCGATAATAAAATACTCATACTCGGATTCTTTATGATAATGTAATCTTAAAATCAAATGATTATTCAAAAAGACATCGTTGGAATCTTTCGTGCGTACTCCTAAGCGATAGCCATGTTCATATAAAGTTTCTTGAGTCTCGACATTTTGAAGTTTCGTAGCACTTGGTAGATTATCAACAAGTCTTGAAAATAGTAAAGATATTTTCAATTGATGTACTATCGAAGTTTTCTCAGATATCTTACAAATGAACATAGTATTTCTGTTCGATACGTTTCGATACTATTGCACTTTGTTCTTTGGTTAAGACTATATCTTTACAAAGGATTCGACAAGGAACATTGACATCCATTTCCACCTAAATAGCATGAAATCATCAATTGATCGACGAAGACTTCTCTTTTGAATTTGTTTTACTCGAAAATTTGTATTCACAATTCGATCACCGCGGAGAACTTCGCCTAAACGGTAAATTTGTTTATTTTTCGAAGATAGGTGTAATTAGCGATAAATTTACCGAGATTTTCTGATTTATATTGAACACCGTCAGACGGTTTACAATGAATGGGTAATTCATAATAATCATAGGGTAGTTGAGTCTTTGAGCTCGTCATTTTAACTGCCTATATGAAAGAGAAAGAGAAAGACAAAATATCAACAATGTTCTATTATTTTCTTGGAAAAATAGTGGAATTACTTTCACATCAACATTGTCGCCTTTCTCAAAATCAAGCGGAGCAACGCCGGGAATGTAAAATGAACGAATTGGCTGAATTAAGTATATCAAACATAAGCAACTGCTTAATACTTTGTTGAGCATCTTCAAACTAGAAAAAAGTGATAAGTGTAACGTTATTTGTTCATGCATGAATGACTGTAGTTTTATGAGTATACACGGTAAGCATGATATAGAAAGTGAAGGTAAAAAATATGTACAAACGAAAAGAGAGAAGGACATTTTCTTCAGCAAAGGGGTTTCGTGTAAAGTAATCGTTTCTAGAAAACGATGTGAAATTGTTTAATGTACAATGTGTATGATTTATATGCCACAAAAAATATTGTCTTGTTCTGTTTGAACATTGAGAAACTATCGTTTTCGTGCGAAAGTGATCGATTTGAACTGATGCGTTCGATAAGTTTACGACGATAATTGAGTGAAAAGGAGTCTTTTTTGCATTTTCTGTTTTGTTCATGTGTGACTATAGTAATCAATGTAGAGGTCGTTGTTAGGTGATGATTGCCGCAATGACATGATGTGTGCGTATGTGTATGAATTAATTTGGTCTATTTGTGTCGTCTACTGATCAAATATGGCAACAAAAAAAAGTAGCACATTTAAGTCGAAAGCACTTGCCACTCGGAAAGTTGAGAAGAGAGCTCTTCTGCCTGAGATGTTGAAAAAACCGAATCTTATGAATAAAACTGAGTTGAGTACAGCAAAACCTGTGATTCAAAACAAATCGGAATTCAATCGATTGGTTACAGGAGATTTTACTGAACCGTTTTCGAAGCAAACATCGCGATTGTTTCGAATTTTTCTCAGTTCCACTTTCTCCGACTTCAAAGTTGAAAGAAATGAACTTTATCGACGAGTTTTTCCAACAATCAAACAACGCTGCGCTCAACTAGGCTATGAATTTCAAGTTGTCGACATGAGGTAGGCCAACAGACGTTTTCCTTGCTTTGAAATCTAAAGGCGATGCCTATGCAACACATAGATGGGGTGTTTCCGACACGGCAGATGTTGATCATACCGCAGATCTCATGTGTATGAATGAAATTGAACGATGCATCGATCTATCAGTTGGTCTTAATTTTATTTATTTGGTTGGAAATCGCTACGGGTACATGTACGTTCCATTAGAGATCGATCAGGATGAATTTGAGAAAATTATCGATGTTGGTCGCCAAGAGAAAATCGATAATATCGATCTTGTACAAAAATGGTTTCTATTGGATCAAAATTGTCTTCCACCAAAATATGTTTATGTCGTAAGTCAATGTTTCATCTAAAGTTCATCTGTAGACTGTTCTGTTACAGCCGATTACGACGCATTATAAACACTTTGAAGAACAATCAGCTGAACAACAGCAGGAAAAGAAACGATGGCAAACGGAAGAAAAAGCTTTGTTAAAAGCACTACGAGACGCAGTCGACAGAGCATATGAACAAAAGCGAATATCACATGAACAAGCTGGCAAATATTTCGAATCAAGTAAAAACTCTTAGATAACTTAAGACAATTCATATCGAAGAGTTCTTCAATTCATTTAGTTACTGAACGAGAAATTCGACGAGGAACCATGGCATCTAATACTGCAAATGTCATCGGTGTAGTTCGAGATTTTCTCAATCCAATTGTTGAAACACCTGCAGATGCGAAGTTCTTTGGTAATTCTCTCTAACTCTCGCTATTCTCGAACAAGTTTCCTTCGATAGATTCAGCAAAAAACGAACGTATATCGAATGCAATCAATCGATTGAAAGCGTACTGTGGACAAGTTACACCGCCAGCACAATTCAAACGATATCTTGTTCCATGGGTAATTACTGTACGAATCTACCGATAAAATATTCTCATCTGAATTTGAATTTAGAAACTCGGTGGTTTAGATATCAGTAAAGAACAATCACACAAACAATATATCGATGAGTTCTGTCAATTCTTATCGACAATGATATTACAAATGGTCGAGAATACTTGTAGAACATTGGCAAACAAAACTCTTTCGCCGTTTCACGAAGATCTCTTACATCATGCATTGTTTTGTCAAGAAAAGAATCAATTTTTCTTTGGCAGAGAAGAATTGTTCTCTAATGTTCACGCACGTATTGAAGCTAATCGACGAAACGTTGCATCGCCCATTGCCTTCCTTGCTGAATCGGGTTGTGGAAAAACATCATTTATGGCACGTTTAGCCCAAAATTTGCGAGTATGGTATCCGACAAGTGCTGTATTTCTCCGCTTTCTTGGCACGTCTGCGCAATCGACGACTATCGAGCTAGTTATTCGTTCTTTATGTCAACAGTTGAAATTCGTCTATGGTACCGATGAGGACGATGCAGACAACAACGAAGACGATCAATCATTGACATTTGCCTCGTTAGTTCGAATATTTCACGAACGATTACGATCTCTCTCACGAAAGCGTTCGAAACTTCTTCGTAAAAAATCAGTAACGCCCAAACCGTTGTTTATTCTCCTGGATGCTATCGATCAATTTCAAGATACATCTAAATATTCCTTTCAGTTCGAATCGTGGTTACTACGCTATCTCCCTCATGATGTTCATATACTCATATCATTTATTCCGACGATTGAACGCGTCAATTTAAAAGATTTATTCACTCAATTCATTCGTAATGATGAATCAGCATTATTCCACATTCCACGCCTTCGTCCCATCGATTTCGAAAACATCATTCGAAGTTCACTAGAAGTCAATCATCGACAACTATCATCGGAACAATACAAACATCTATTGATGACGGTTGAGCATAATCCCAAGCCGTTGTATTTGAAATTATTGTTGGATATCGCACGAACATGGACTCATTTTGCTGATGAGTCTTTACAAATCACCTTATCTCTTCCTGAAACGATTGAAAATGCTGTTGAACAATTATTTGCACGTCTAGAAAATCGTCACGGCAAAGAATTTGTTCAATATTCACTTGCATATCTCGTCTACGGGTTGAATGGTATCTCCGAAAATGAATTAGAAGACTGTTTATCTATCAATGATATTGTGCTTAATGAAATCTATGCTCATCATGATCCGCCCATTCCAAATGTTGTTCACGTACCGTCACTACTCTGTCAATCACTACTTTATTCGATTAAAGAATATTTGAGTCGCAAAAGAATTCATAATAAACATATTTTATCGTTTTATCATCGAAAGTTTCTGGAAGCAACAAGTAACCGTTACGAACATTTACGAAAACAATGTCACGAACATTTAATTGAGATCTATTGTAACGACCAAACAGCTTATAAACGAACAATAACACTAAAAAAACGAAATAATATGGTTATACAGGATGCTGATCGGTTAATCAGTTCGCAGACGACCAATAGTCTTAATCAAAGAAAGTTAGTTGCTTTACCTTATCATTGTTTAGAGTTCGGCTCGGGAAAGGATAATATTCTACGAACAGTATGTTTTTTTAATTTGAATTTTCTCTCGTGTCAATTGAAAAGCCTTGGTCACACGATTTTTATCGATGCGATTCGACAATGTATACGACTAAAACCTAATTGGGGCGATCTACGATGTCTCTATCATGCAATATGGTCCATTGATGACCAGATGATTGCAGATACGGATGTAACATTGATTATTTCCGAGCAAATCTTAGGTTTTATTGATGATCAACAAACAAGTCGACTGTACATGAAAACAAACGAACTGAATACCAGTCAAGAGCTTGAAAAACTTTTAATCGATTGTCGACATTATTGCAGTGAACACGATAATTGTTTCCGTTCGTTGTATGCAAGTTTTCCACAAGAAACAGACGCATTGGCATGGAGTTTCTCCTCAGTCACGGATGTTCTATATCTGAACGAATTCTATTGTCTCGTCGTTATTGATGGAACATATGATACGGAAAATAAACAGGTCAACAATCTCATTCAAACTTATACTGTCGCGGTGATCAATTTGCATACTGGAAAAGTAAGATGTCTCATTTGAAGTTGGATTAATCCAATGTTTATTTTTGCATTAGGTTGATAGAATCGATTTGGATGAAACATTTGACAAGATATGGAGTGGATATATCACGAAAAACGGAAATAAAGTCTACTTGTTTGGTACCAATGATCTGAAAGTGTATAACACTCGCTCAGGCGATATGATAGACGAACGATTATTATCATTTGACAACAAATCATTTTGTAATAAAGCATACTGCTTTACCAGCAATGAAGAGTAAGTCACTTTTGTAAGAAACAATTTTCATTTGTAACACGTTGAGTTTCTCATGATTTTAGACAGTTGATCTTGGCCAATGAATGGCGTCTGATTGCAACGGATCAAACAGAAGAAAATACTATTTACCGGGTATGCACTCAGTGGAATAGGTTACCATCCCCCGCAGTTCTGAATTAGTACTACAATAGAAAGTACTGAAATGTAAAATTGCGCTCCGTTTCATGTCATCTGAGCTTCATTTTACGCTAAATTACGAATCAATTCTGTTTCCAGCAAATTGAGTCTTTTATGTTTGGAAATGAAAGCCCCTCAATATAGATTTTCTTAGAAAGAAAAGATCATGTTTCCTGATAAATGACTTAAATTCAACTAGACTAATGAGAAAGTTGCGTTCAATGCATCATGTTTCTTGTGTATCGTTTTCAGAGTGCCCGAATCCCAGTGAAACACTCCTCGTTTGACATCAAAGATACTTTAAATGTCAGTGTATCACTTCGATGTGTTGGTGCTAACGATGATTATGTTCTTTGCTTGATATTCGATGAGTGCAATCAGGCGCTCATTACTCTCTGGGCATTGAATGAACATGTAGAAATCTTGATCATGCGTTTTGCTTTTCTTGATCTCGAATTCACTTCACCTGACTTATTCGACTTCCCGGTCAATAACAACGAAATTCTGTATCTTGCTACTACTGATGGTTATCTTCGTACGTTTGACCTAATCAAAATCAAATCCAATACCAAAGTTCAAACTTTGACTACTGAGGACACACTCATTCCACAAGTGCATATTCTTCCGAATGAGGAATTAGATCGTCTTGTATGCTTGTCCAATGACTTGATTGCGATATCAACAAAGAAACAAGTGATGCTATTCGATCGAAAAGATCTCTCTACCATTGTACAACAAATCCCGATCAGCGAATCACGTTATGCTTGGAATATGATCACACAGGATGAACATCATCATGTTCTGATCACAACCGATGCTTCTCAACAGTTCATCACTATCTATCGTCCAGATCAAACATCGAAATTGAATGAAATGCAAGTTAATTTCCGTGCAAATGTCCAAGATCTGAAATTAGTGCAAACAACAACAATGATGGACAACGACGAAAAGAAAAAAGCGTATGTTTTGATACTACTCGACGATGAAACTATTCAACTACTTGATACAAATCAATTATCTCAAGCGAGTTTACAACCAACTGGATTATTCACTAAAATTCGCAACTACAATGTAAATTTCCTCTTTTTCTCTGTATTCTCATAAAACTTTTGTTCTTTAGATCGGCAGACAATTCGTCGCTGCATGTGAATATGATACTCCTCATCCGATCGTCATGCGGTCAACAAATAAACCGTCACACACCATCGAATCTCTTTACTCTCTCGATAAACTTCAGATCGAATCCATTGCGCTGTTTGACAACGACCAATATTATATTATTCTCACCGGTGAACAGATTGTTTACAGTTATTCAGTCCACAATCTCAACGAATTACTTTTCGAGTATGATTTAAAACTCAAAAGTCAATTGAAATGTTTCTCAGTAGGAACCTTTCATTCAAATCTCATTATCTTCATGTTTATGAATGCATTTATTTGTCTACGAATCAAGTACGATAACATCGAAACGAAATTTCACATTGAGTCAGAACAAATCTTTCCCATTCGAAATCGCAATGTCGAATATTCGATGGAATTCACGCCCAACAAGCGCTTTCTCATTCTTAAACAATATGTAAATCCAACGAACGGCGAATATCTGAGTGATTTTCGCGTATTCTCATGCGATGAACAAGCTCAACTTACAGCCATCAAAGAACCGATTACTTATATCAAATCGAAAGTTTCCAAAAGCGGACAAATCACTTCATTTATGACCTACACATCATCAATGACACGCTCTGAACTTTGGGTTGCTTATCAAGGTTCTATTTTGCATGTTCGACTACCGTCGATTCTAGCTGAACTTGATGTACGTTCGAATTTCCATTCGTGGATGCGCCATTCACTTGTTCTATACAATCACACAGCGGAAAAGTATTGCTTATCAATTAGTATTACCACTTTAGCTATTCAATCGCCGAATGATTCATGTCTGGCTTCGGGTGCTGATGATGGATCGATTGTTATTTGGTATTTGACAACTGATCCTCGTTATGACGTTCTAGAATCCATTCATAACGATCAAGTAAACCTGACTTTCATGAAGAAAATTTACAAATCGAATATCACTTTTTAGATTACTGGCTTAATATTTGATTCGAATTCCAAACGATTATTCTCATCCTCACGAGACCGTACTCTTGCTATATGGTCTCCAACAACACTACTTCACGTGCTTCATGCACATGTACCCATTGATCAAATTAATCTCTTCTCTTCTTCAAACATTCTACTTGCTCACGGTAGATTCTGGGGCTTCGATCGACTTCTGATGTTCTATATTGATAATTATTTGCCATCGAACGCAACAATACCAAAGGACAGTATCAATAAAGAATCAGCAAATACGAGCAATGTCGCCCCATCTGAAGTTGCAAGCTGGGCTTTATAGTAAAAATAAACCAAGTAATTCCATATGCGTGATAATGCTTTACTTCTTTGTTGTTCGCTTTCTTTCTACGCTGTAATTTGTCGTTGTATATATGTGTGGGCTCGAGTAAGAACGAAGTCCTTAGAAACTAATGTTTTTGTCTACTGACGTCAAAACTACCCCACAATATACAGATCATCGACATTACTAACTTAACCAACGTAGAAATACATCGACAAAAAACAAAGATATCTTTTGTGACACATGACTTCTTATTAATAAACTAGAGGGAGTACCCGCTGCAAGTAAGAAATATTTATGTCGAACATCTCACGTGTTGAAGAGCTATAACAGATAGAAAATCAATACAATTAAAATTTCTACGCTTCCACTCCTTATTTTTCCCACAGTGCATCGCATGAAATGGCAGTTTCGGCTATATCTCTTTATGCAAAAGAGTTACCGAAGCTAATTTCTGCCTCAAAAATCATGAAAAATTCCTCCTTCTCTGATATTCATTTTCCACTCCAGCTATTCATTCATCGACCTCTTCCTCAATCTCACGTCATTTCATCCGTTATATCCTTCGAATTCACCTACCCTCATCATTTATCTTAATCTTTTGAGATCCTGTAACACTATTGGTGAGTTTCGCAGACTATCTGTAGCATGCACTGAACTATCATAGGCGTAGAGAACACGTGGATTGATGTCTTTGAGCGCTCAGACGGCCTTCGGCCGCCTTCGCTACCGACCCGCTGCAATTTTACACATCTCGCAATCCTATTGGTCAGCTTCGTAGGCCGCTTGTAGCATGCACAGGACTCCCAAGCACAGGTCGAACATGTGGATTGTTGTTTTTGAGCGCTCAGACAGCCTTCGCTATTAATTTTCTCAATTTTGGAAATGTCGCATTCCTATTGGTCCGTTTCATATATTGCCTGCAGCAAACGGCTGGTTCCTTTGTTCTCGGGGAAAAGTAGATGTCGACCTTCCTCTGGGTCTCAGGAAGCATTGTGGAAAGTTTCACGCCGATAGCTGCTACAGGGACTGAATGCATAGCGAACAGACAGACAGACAAACTTTCTTCTTTATATATATAGATACATATGCCCAATCGTCAATCTTAAAGACGGGAGATTTTGTTTTGGAACGTTGCAAGCGAAAAAGAAGTCGAGCAATCAGTGCTGATATTTTCTTTTGTTTTTTTTTATACGAACAAAAACAACAGAAGAGATCAAATGAAAAATAAAAACATCTATCCGACAGAGAAAAACAATATATATATATATATATATATATTAAGAGACACAAAAATCAATGTTCTATGCAGAATGATGATTTAGCTTGAATGTGAGAAACGCGTTGACGGTACTGGTAAGAGACGATGACTCAAATAAATGCTATTCTGACGGTCCTGTAATGGTTTTTGATTGCGTAATAAAATATATCGTCGAAGTGTCAGACAGCTGAACAGACGAACAACTTCACTACGAAATCGTTGACCACAAATGGTATAAACGAAGAAATTCACACAGAACGATGCAAAAAACCAAAGACGTGCAATATTGACAGCATCGAGCATCCATGCTGGTTGATGTGGAATAAATAGGAAACAGAACAATAATAAGTGATAAGGTAAATTAAACACAAGAAAAACAGTTGATGCTGCTAATAACATTTTGGTTGTTTTGGCCGAAGCCGTTGCACGACATTGAGTCGAACGTATGCGAACTGTTGTATTCAAATCTTGTAATGGAACGTTTCTTGGTGCAAAAGCGCATGGTAACGAATGGTTTCGTCTTGTTCGATTCTGTCGTTGTAATGGCTGAACAGATAAATGAAAATTGTCTTGTGCCGGCTGTTGTTGTTGACTGAGATTATTCAATTCATTATGACTACTATTTTTTGATGTGCTAATTGTATTAATATTTGTTGTCGTGTTACCATTATTCATTTGCGATAATGGAACAGCATCGGATACTGATTGTCCGGATGAATTGATTGATGTTTTTGCTGAAAGCGACAGGCCAGGTGTGGAGATATTCGAGAGCGGCGACTTTTGCGAGAAGGTAAATTTCGAATTGAGTTTATAGACGATGGCGAGATTCATACAAGCTATACACGAGAATGGGATAATAAATGTAAATAAAGTATCCAAAACAAGAAATGGAAATAGCAACGGTTTATCCCGATCTTCTTCACATGAGACAATATTTGTCGTATTTGAACGAAACTTGGTTGTTGTTACAGGAAATGATATTGAATAAAATGAACATGCGAAGATTAATAAAGCGATGGCAAGTATACGATTCGTACGTTGTTTTAGAAAATTGGTTGCTTTTATTGGAAAGAACACGGCGATAAGACGATGACTCGTATAAGCCAATGTAAAATTCGACGATAAGAACGATGCTATATGACTTAAGTAAATTGTAATCATACAGACAGGTATAGTCATTACCGGCGCACGTAATTCATCGAGAAAAGCGATGACTAAGATCAGTATGAATATAAGATCAGTGATTGCTAAACATGTGAGAAAGAATGATGAGCGTAATGAACGTAAACGTCGTTGTGAGAAGACAATAATTGTTGTCGTATTGCCAACAAGGCCCGTCAATGCAATTGCAATATAATATGCCAGTTGAAGTTTCGATGACAATGCCATACTCACATCAACAACGCGAGAATTGAATGATGGTAACGATGTACTAGTTGAAAGAGTTGCAGAGGAGAGAATAGGTGTTAATGAAACCGAAGAATTGTTAGATGCATTGTATACATCTTGTGAACTAGAAAGAAAAGCATTTCTTCATTATCATCATCATCATTACTATCACCGTCGTCGACTTCCTTTTTTTCCCTCTATTTTTGATTTTGCATTTTTTTTCTGCACTTATTAGAGAAAATGTGTTTGAAAATTAGAAAGCTTATTATATCCTAATGGAACTACTAAATTTGAGAGCTTGATAAGTGAAGGGAGAACTCGACGACTTTTATCTGTTTGTGATATTTTACATTTTCTTACCTATAATTGTGCTCCCAGAATAATTTTTTGCAGAAAAAAAAAACTTCAACGGAACAAACATATCTTATCTGTTGTTTACTTTAACAGAAATCAGACGCCTCATAGATGATTTCTGTTCTAATCAGTTATTATTTTATGTGTCTGGAATATGAAATTAGTGTGCTGATCGATTATTACTTTTTCTCTTCTAACCAACAACCGAACATGACAATTACGATCTAATTACTCGATAGCTTAATAACTGAAAAGTTTTTGTTTTGAAAAATTCTTTTATTTTAATACGCTAAACTTTCTTGAATTCAACAAATATTCCACGGAGAGAGAAATTTGCAAGTCAAAATAATATCTCTTTAACTAATAATTAAATAAACTCATGCGAAAGATCAAAAGAACCATACTGATTTGTCTATTAGGAATATGTCTCTTTCTCCAGATGAAAAGTTTTGTCCTATTATCATAATATATAAACAAGCGGAAGAAGAAAACAATCTTTTCCAATGATATATCTTCGTCTGCTATATTGATTCGATCGTAATGATTACCAACTAGCGGTTAATTTAGAAAAGTTTGTCCTTTTGTAAACAGTAATTTGTTTTCACGTTCGCAAGGAGCTCAGATTGAGAAGAACAAAACGGAAAGAAAATAGAAAAGATATTTTTATAATACATTTGTACGCTCTGGATGAAAAATATTTTTCTTTTGAATTATTTCTATGGTTTTATCCTTACGATCATTTTTCACAGACTATTTTTATCGAAATTAATTAATAATACGAGAAAAATAATGTTCCTTTCCCTTTTTGTTTTCTTTTACCTGCTTTTATTTAGATTCATTTGTTAGTTGTTCGTTTGTCAGCAATTGATTAATTCCTTTAGCTTATCTTAACTATTAAGATTCGAGTCCAATATTGAGATGATGTTAATGGTAGTAGAGAAACTAGATAAAGAGAACGAGAACAATATTATGCAGCGTGTTTTATCTTCGTTTTGTTTGTTGTTTTTCTTCTTTCTGATAGATGAATACAATATATAGACATATACCGAAGTATTAGAGAAATGAAAGCAGTAAGTATTGATGACAGAGAGACAAATCATAGATGATGGACATACGATAGAAGAGAAAAGAGAAAGAAAGGAGCGAACAGAAAGAGAAGGTTAGACAGTGGGATGTACTTGAACTTTTTCTTCATATACTAATGTGTGTTTTAGTAGAAAAGCAAATATATTAAGCATAAAAATCTTGATTGAATGAACTGAATACTTAAACAGATGTTCGAGGATTATACGCTGCTTTTGTTCTCAATCATAAAGGAGCTCGGATGATATGAGAAAAATCCTTTCGGTGTAATGATATTATTATTATTCCTTAGAAAAATATACTAATTAACCTATGAATCCTGCGTTGATATTGTCAGTTCTCTTCAGCAAAAACAACATAGTCTCTCTTCGAATCGTTGATGTCGATCGCATGTCGTTATTACAATTGTCTATCCATTAGTAATCCACTGGTTAATGGATTACATTTAGGTTTTTTTGATATGAGAACAAGATGGTATATCCGTCAATGATAGATATAGTCGAGAAAGTTCGTCGATTACTAATAAGATTTCTTTCGATTTTGAACTGTGAATCAGTCAAAGAAAAGAAACGACTTCCTATCAAGATTTCATTACCCTGAAGTAGCAGTCTTAGTTGCCATTAGTTCTGAAGATAATATCCGCTTTTTGTCTTTGTATTAAAATCATATCAGCGTCATCATTCGATGGGGAGTAACCAGCGGTGAGACCTTCATCGTTGTTGCACAAATGTTGATGTGTTTTTCTTGTTCTCCGTCGTCTTCTTCACACCGTCCGGAGAGTGCACTTTATGATATGACTATCAGTCGACGAAAGAAAAATCGATAGTGACACAGGAGAGCTCGGAAAAATAGAAACACCAAACCAGGTATTCTGTCGTGAATGGCTTTTTTTAACATCTCTTATTGATCGTATTACTTTCCTTACGTTGTAACGTCTTTTTAACCGAGAGACTAATACAAACAATTGAGAAGACCAAAAAAGTAGGATTCGATTGAAAAGTGTGAGGTAGTCTACTTTTGACGAGAAAGTACAAGCAACAAATATTCCGTATGAGGACATTTCCAAATTGAAATTTCAGGGAAGGAAATTGTAATTTTAGTGACATCCTCAAAATTTTATATCGGAAATAAGTAGAATTCTTACAATGAACAATTTATTTTCATGTGCGTCTCGCTGTCTGATTTATTTTCGGATCAACTTAGAAAATCACAACTTTCATGACAAATCAAGCAACATAAAACCATAACATTATGGAAATCTGTGCGTCTCCGTTCTATTTCTTCATACCCAAATGAAACAAGAAACGTTCTCCTCCCTGATTGCGTATTTAGTTTTCTTTCAACAAGTAACTCGTACTTGTAAAACGATAAACATGTTTGTATATTTAATCAAGTGGCGTCTAACGAACTCATTAATCCTAACGAGAATTTACTTCTCTCCTCTGTGCCAAGACAACCGTCTAATGATGAAAATAAAATCGAGAGTTTACCTTGTTCGTCGCGACATGTTGAAATGTTGCATTCACACACGAGAATAGAATCAAATATACGAATATAAAGACATACCCAGCTGCTGCCCAGTCCTAGAAATGACAAAGGAAATAACTCTATGTGTTCCCTCTTATACACGATCCATCAAAAAGCCTTCACTTCTCAATTGGATATTTGACAGTTCCTACCAGCACACTTCATGATTCATACTGACGATCAATCATGACTGGATCGTCGTAGCCTAATCAAAATCAAATATTAGTCGATCTCAAACGACGTTTTTATGTGTTTTTTTTTATGACAGATATAATTAACTTTCAAGAAACAATTACAAATGACTAGAAGTTCGATTTTCTTCGTCGGAATTGATCATATCGACAAATCATCATCAAGGATGACGAGCAAGAACGAAAGAGAAAAAGAAGCGTTGAACAAGATCCATATTATTGTTTATTTTTAGATCTCAGCATGCAGAAGTAACGAAGACGATTCTGATACATCATATGCTATAAAATAAACAAACTTCCTAGCTTGATCTGATTACCATCTCCGTGTGTATTTGCTATTTCGTACTTAAATAGCAGTCAGCAACGTGCCCAACAGATAATCTCACGTATTCTATGCAATAGCGTGTACTTCATTCATTATTAGTAGCGGTGAAACGTGTTTGGTGACCATTATCTTAGTCGAGATCGTCGTTACAGCTAAAGCATACTTTGAAAGAGCTCGTAACGAACAACCTGATATAGATGTATATTCAAAAAAGCGGAAATAAATTTGAGAAGAATAGGGGGCGTGTCAGAGACGTTGCAAAGATATTTTGAATTGCTAATGAGAAATTAGGGATGTTCCTGAAATGACCGTACTTCGATCTTGATCTCACGTGATTTTTTGCTATTCAATATGGCGAATTCTATTCAATTGACGACGCACACGTTTTGTTTTAGACTATGTTTTTATTAATAAATTATATATCATCATAAAAAAGAAAACGTTTAATGATTCTTGTTTTTGGATCGACAGGTATTAATCAAATCTAGAAGCCCACGGAAAGTATTCACACAAACACGATATTTCAAGCGATAAAATTTAGGAAAAGAAACAAACAAACACACACACACAAGTAGATAAAAAAAATTTTCATAGAACCAACATATATGACCTAATTTTGATTACTTGGACGACGACGATGACGATGCGATTGAGCACTACCAGGTGGCATGCTATTTCGATTGGTTTCTTTTAAATGATTCTCAATGTTAGAACGCGCTTTTTGCAATACATCTAATGTTGGTTGGACTAGAACAAACAAAACAAAATCAGATCCAGCGTCTATCAATCGCGCTTTCTGTTCAAGTGGAAACTTCCATTCTAGTTCTCATGACTTTCTAACACGAGAAAACTATTATCACATTCTAGGAATCAGATGTCTACAAAACTAGTTCAAACTACAGACACGCACATACGAAACATAAAGAACTAGTTGGAAGCAGATACACAGAGTCCAATTCAAATATAAAACAACATCAAGACATGCAAAGACAAACATATTAGTGAAATTAATGATTCTAATGGGTGACAGATCTTCCGTTGATTGACAAACATGAATACTTACGTAAGAATGCCATATATTCGCCTGAATCCGTTCTTTTCCGATTCATTTTCTGCAAGAATTCAGATTGAGAAATAGCAAAAAGTAGAATACGCATAGAGATACAGATGAGGAATAGACGTTCGAGTGAGACAAATGAAAAAAAAACCATCGAAGTTCAGTAACTTACCGTTATTTGAGCAAGCAATTGATCGATATATTCAGAATGTTGTTTGTATTTTTCTTTCAGATGTTGGATAATTTGAAGATATTTTCTTTGTTGTAGAAAAAGATTTTTATTCTGAAAAAATTAAATTTTATTCGAAAGAATATTGTGGAGAGACCGAATTACCTCTTCGATTAGACGTTGATCAATAAATGGATTTTCGCTACGTTCATCTTTTTCGGGTAAATGCGTCTGACAGTATGTTTCGATTAAGTCAAGAGCATGAATCAAACGTTCATCAAACGAATTCAAACGTTCTTCCAGTGGTTGTCTTGACGTAGTCTAAACATTGAGAAATAAAAACGAATTTACAATTCCTATGTAGTTTTAACAATACATACGCCCTGAGAATTATGTAATTCCGATGCAGTAGCTTTCACATCAAATTTAATATCTTCCATAGTTCGACGAAGTTCATTATGAATCTTGATTTCGCCAACAACGTACGGTCTGATAGCTAAAATCGATGGTAAATCGTGATAATATGAAATCGAAAATTCAGTTTGAATACCTCTTTCAAACTGATGAGAAATCTCAATTTTTTCAAGGTCGGCCACCGACGAAGGGACTATTCTTGAACGTTGCTCATCGACTATAGTTGACGACGATGATAACACGTTCTCCGTACCCATCAAACCAGAAGCGTCAATAAATTGATGATCGGGATATGATATTCCATGACCAGAGAATTTGAATGAACGTGGTGATCGTGATTGACGAATGTTTTCATCAAGTTTAGCTTGTAGTTCGTTTTGTTTGATAATATTTTGTTCAAGTTCGCGACGAAGATGACGAATTTCGTCTATTAATTGTGATAGATCACTGGTACGAATCACTGTTTCACCTGTACTTGTGTCTAAAAGGATTCATTTCTCGTGGTATCAAATAAAATATGATGCAAAAAAAACCTACTATTTCCAACTAGTCTCTGTTCTAATTCATCAATTCTGTTTGTATAATGTCCTACTGTTGATTTACAACGTTTGAGTTCATTGTGTAAACTTTCATTGTCATCGTGTAATCTATAGAAATAGTACTGTTGTATGAGAAATACTGTATTCAATTTCTCTCGTTACCTTCGATTTTGTTCTTCAAATTGTCGAAGTTTGCTGATTTCAGCTTTGAGAGCATTATTTTGTTGCCGTAAGCTTTGTAATTCGACTGAATTGTCTCGTTCAAATGTAGGACCTTCATCCTTTCGTACCGATCTAAAAAGAAAACTTAGCCTCCAGACCAACTGGCACGCGCTCTTACTCCTTCAGTTGTTGATTTAGTTGTTGAATAGTCTGATCTTTGATATTGAGTTCAATAATGAGCTTTTGAATATCATCATCTCTTTTCGAGGATTGTGGTGGATGATCATTGTCATGTACAATGGCACTTTGTCTATTGGATGCAGGTGCTGAAAGTAGAAACAGATAACATTTAAGTTCGATATCTTATGCATGTATTCGTTGTGATAAAAGAATAAGATTTTCGTCTTTTTTTTAGCAAAAACAGAGCAGCGATAGCGAGATGCATTAGACAAAAGATTTCGTGTTAGAGAAAATAGAGAGATGTCTGAGGAGTTCTCCTTCCATATCGGTCTAGATAAATCCATGAAAATATCAATAAAATGAACATGAAACAGCTTTAATGACTATACTTTTCTTTTTTTCATTGCCTTGAATGATATCAATGTCTAAATCGATAATATAGTCATTAATCGAATCCATCATATGATCTTTGCGTTCATCGAAAATCGGCAGCTGAAGATCGGGTTTCTAAAATATGAAAGATTTGTATTGACTTGATGGGACGAGAGTGAGAACGAACTGGAATCAGTTTGTCGTAGTTCTGCACGTGTTTTTTCAGAAATTCAATGGCGATTCGTTGATCTTGTAAACGTTTCTCGTATTGTTGTATTGTTTTTTTGTTTTTTTCAATAGTTTTAGAAAGTTTTTCCAATTCACTTTTCAATAAACTCGATTCATTTTTATGTGAGTCAATGACAAGATTTAAATTCTAAATTGAATACGAAGTATCAGTCTGACAGACTGTTTCTCATAGAAGACGTACTTGAACTTGTTCATTAAGTTTTTCTACAGCTGGTATTTGAAGTAAATCCGGTGTACTGATTCGAACACGCATTTGCAATTGTTGAATATGTTTCCGTTGATTGCGAATGATTTCTCTCAACTGGTCAAGATTAGTAATATCAGTTAGATCATCACGACTGTTCTTCGATTCGTTTACACCAACGATTACTGAGTCATCAGCACTATGGCGTCGCTGGCGATGTGATGGGTCAGTTAACCCTACACCAAAGTAAACAGTGTTTTCGACAGAGATACAATAAACACGAACCTGCTTCGTATAACAATTTTTTATATCTGACCAAATCGCGTTGATGATTCCTCGATTGAGTTTCACTTCTACCGAGTTGTTCGGTAAGCCGTGCTAGTTTTGTTTGCCATTCAATATTGGATCGTTCTAACAATGCGATTGTTGATTTGATATTTTTCGATGGTTCATCGTTTCCTGTTGACGATGCATCATGGTGTGCTGTGCTAAGATTTTGTTCTAACAGCGGCAGAGAGAGAGAGAGAAAGAGAGGTTTAAAATCAAAGCAGATCATATTCAAGAAAGACAAAGTAGTGTGAAGCATTAGAAGAAGAGAAAGATGAAATAAACAATTTCAAGCAAAAGACCTGATGTAGATCGAGCATTAGCATTGATTTTAGTTGAGCGAGCAATATCCATACGAGATTTGGTTCGTAATTTGGTGAGTTCTTCTTGATAATTGGCTAATTCATGCATTAATTCGAGTCGTGTAGTCGAGCCATGGATATCCATTAAAGCATTGAGTTTACGCCATAGGACTTGGTTGACATACAGTTGTCGTTCGAGTTCGTGTCGAACTTGAACCAATTGTTTGTGAAGTTCCGTGAGAGATGGGAATTTTTCTAATATGAATTGTTAAATACGAGAGAAGCTCGTTGCACTAACAGACTCACCTTTCAATTGTCTGTTCAATTCTTGGTTAAGCTCGGTAGCTTTGTGAAGTTCGTATAGAAGATCTTCACGATTTAAATAGTCAAGATCAGGTCGTGCTAGAAGATAAATTTTTGTTTGGAAATGAATTTATTTCGACTTTCTAACATTGCGTCACTTACGTCGAAACTTCGGTTCACGGCCGGCCGTTCCAACCGCTCCTTGACTGTCGATAGGGTCCTTTCGAACACCTTGAAGTTCTTGTTTAAGTTGTTCAATTTCCTGAAGAAATCGTTTTTGCAAAAAAAGATTCTTAATCGTGGCTCATTTCTGACCTGATCTTTTTGTTTTATTTCAATTAACAATTGGACTTGTGATGACCGATCGCCACCGGCTAACGGATTGTTACGTAATTCGTTTAATCTTTCTTGTAGCATGAGTCGTTCTTGTTCTGATCGCTAAAATCAACGATACACATGAAAATTTATTCGGTTTGCCCTTTTTTTTAATTGAATTTACGTCTAAGTCTTCTCGTTGACGGGATAATTTCTGTTCCAAATTTACAATGTCAGATGTCAGTTGCTTTTTCATTTGCTAAACAAATAATCAGACATGAATGCATAAAAAAAAAGAGAAAAAAAGAACTTGATTTACATCGCAATGACGTTGTAATTCGGCGTATTTTTTCTCAAGTTCAACACGATCATCACGAGCTTCATCCAATTCTTCTTTTAACACACGGTATTCACGATCGTGATTCTAAACAGATAGTTTAAAGCATGAGAGTCAACGTTGGTTACTGTTGGAAACTGGAATATTTTTTTTTCCTTTTCTTTAACTTGCCCATAGAGAGAGTCTATCGTCTCTTCTTTCTTTTACCTTCCTGTCAAAACGCAACTATGAAAAACCGGCACGGTGCTTTTCTCGTCTTCATTCTCTTCTCTCTATTCGTCCAATTTTTTTCAGGGAGAAAATGATGATAAACATGCAATGAAGGGTGAATGAGCGGAGAAATGAACTTGCGACGGAGTTTATCATTCTCCTTGGACATACAAGCTATGGTGCTTCATGAAAAGAGCAATCTTGTCATTGTCGATTCCATGAAATACTATAACAATAATACCTGTAAGATTAATTCGTATCGTTCAATTTTGTTTCCCATTAGAGCGATCTCTTGTTCATATTGATTGATCTGCACATGTGATGTACCAGACTGTCGTGCCTAGTTAATGTTAAAAAGTCGATATGATTAGTAATCTTACTGTATCAAAGAGAACATTTTTACTCTCTCTGATTCATCTTGCAGATGAGCGATATCGTGATAGAGTTTCTGAAATGAACAATCGAGTGTTTATCATTCTCTGGTCAATTCTCATCTTGTTCATACTGCTCTCTCAGTAAGAAGAGTTTGAATGTCAGCATTCAGGCGGGTGATCTCGTGTCCATACTGCTTAAGATCATGTGCTTGTCTCTAAAGAAGGGAACAGCAATCATTCAGATTTTAGTCAATGCATTCCGAGCGATCGTACGTCGATTGTACTATTAGCATGTTCGACATCTCTTGTCAGACGTTGTAATCGATCATGTCGATCTTGAACGTCAGCTTTCAAGTTTTGAATATGTTGTTTATACTCGTCAACTGTTAGATTATGTTTCTCCATCATGCTCTCAAATCGCTTATTACGATCTTCATGTTCTGCTTGTATTTGTGAAAGTCTTCGATCAAAATCAATTGCATTCTAAAGTCAAAAACCTTAGTTGGTTTCACTTTTTTTACCCCGAACTACTTCAATTACTCGAGAAATCTGTGAATGATCTGCTCCACCTATCACACTGTAATCTGGACCAAGATGATCGAATGTTTGAAGTTCTTGTTCCAATCGATTGATATGAATCTAAAAGAAACAAAACAGCTCTCTGTTGTTCACCTTTTGTGACAAGAGCATATACGCGAAGTTCTAATTGAACATAATCAGGTTGTTCACTGTCGATATTTCTTTGAGCTTTCAATAACTAAAATGAAATAATTGTCTACTTTGATTAAGACTACCAGCAATGGTATTACTTGAATGTATTCGTCTTGTTTCTGAAGGCGCTCTTGTAACGTGGCAACCTAAATATTAAAACAATGGATGATACTTGGTTGCTTCCAGTGTATTGAACATTTCAGATATATTTTGCACTCTTTACTCACAAATCCTGTTACATATGTCTTACTTCTGCGTATGTTCAATAAACAAAATAAAAACGGAAAGATTTTAGTCAAAGAAAAGTTGTCAAGATAATAGAATTTACATCATATTCTTTTTTTCGTTCTTCGTTTGTTCTATACAACAATGTACAAATATCAGGTAATGAATCAAAACGAAAGAAAGATTTGAAGAGCATCTTAGATATTTGAAGTTTATGTTGAACAAATACTGTCGACATTTTTTTTTCTTTCAATATATTTCTTGCATTTCTCTTTTACTTACCCAATCGACATAATTGATACCTGAGGGTTGCGAATCGGAAGGACCGGTGTTTTTCTACAAGAGAATTCGAAATAAAAATAATTCAACGGTTACATTTGTATTACAGTCTTTATCGGCTCAGATATAGGTGGTCGACGCGCTCGTTCATCTTCTAATTCCTAAAAACGAAAACATACAATTGAGAAACTGTATTCTTTTGCTGCGTAACCTACATCAACACGACGTTTTTCACGTTGGAAGTTATCGTCAGATTTGCGTAGGGCTGTTTCCAAATCGTATATCTCTTGTTTGTATTTCTACGAAATAAAAGGTCAACATAGTTAAATGATTACGAAATATTAACCAAAAATGTTTACTTCGACCGCACGTTTAACGTCTTGTAGCTCATTGTCCGCTTTTTGATATTGCTTTTCAAACTACAGGACAATAAACAGCCAGCATGCGTACAAGATAGTGAAGAAAACAATATTACGTGTATCATTTCGCTCTTAGCACGTTGGTAATTGGCTTCGGCTATGTCTCGTTCCCGTGTGATACTCTAGAAAAGATAGATGGTCAATTATAGCCAAAAGAATTTGCATTTCTTACGTGAACATTCTGTTCGTGTACTGTGTTCGAATCACGATGACGTTCACGATACTGAAAAACAAGACAAGATTTTCGTGAATCTTTGCTGAGAGTATGCTGTACTTGATTTTCGTAGTATTCAGGTAATTCAATATTGATACGAACATTCAATCTCTCAACATCATGTTGAAGATTCTAGAAAGGTATATGAATGTTTCTAAGTAGTTGAAAGCTTCTTTACTGACTGTATTTTGGATGCTCAGTTTACGATTTTCTTCGTCAGTTTGACGCCATCGTTCTTCGGCTTTTTGAAAATCAAGTTTCGCTTGTTCAACTTCCTTTTTGGAATCCTAATTGAGAAAGTAGACGATTTTTGAGGATAAAAGAAAAAACTCGTATCTATCGTACTTCGAAATGATTCGAGCGCCGATTGAGTTCGATCTTCAGCGTATGATTTTCATTTCGTAACGCATCTAATTCGGCTTGTACTTGTCTCTCGTTGTTTTCGTAATTTTGAAGACGAACTTTGTATGTGTTGATCTGTGTACTCAACTAAATTCAACGGACACATTCGCAAACCAAAAAAATGATCTCAAATTTACTCGGTCGTGCTCTTGCTGTGCGGTATGAACAGATGATTTCTGTTGCTAAAAGTATTCGAATAGTGTTCATTTCTATTTTCATGCTTTCTTACTTCTTCCAGTTTGCTGATTTCTCTTTCATAGTCCTAAACGAAGAAATCGTTCATCTGAACAAGATTTATGGCTACAAAAGTACACTCACTTGTTGTTTAGTATGGAATGTACGTTCTTGTTCGCGAAGTTGGCTTTCTAACTATGAGAATAGAGTAAGATTTTAATGTTAAATGCAACACGAATCCCCAGTGAACGGTACTCGACTATATTGTTGCTGTAGCTCATTGATTCTTCTTAAATCACCTTCACGATCACGTTTATTTTGTTCCTGTGCATCCTAGAACAAGATTAAATGAAGAAAATTGAAAGAAAAAGCAATTAAAGGTCTTACTGCTAGTCTTGTTGCACAATGTTGTTGTTCCTTAACGATCAAACAATGTTAGAGAGATTAAATTTTTGAAAGGAAACAGTTACTCTCTCGAGATCGGTTTTTAATTGTTCGATTTTAGTCAGATTTATCTTTATTTCTTGTTTCTTACGCTATCAAATATCAACAAATACGTCCAACATAAATACATGCAGACAATGCATCTTACTTCAATAATTTCTTCCAATTCTCGGGTATCTGTAGGTGTCTTCGTTCTTTCCTAGAAATATGAGAGTGATATTATCATAAACTCGTCTCTATCTAATCCTAGCATGCACGATTAGTCATCATTGACTAGAACAATTTTTAATATACATACTAGTTCTCTGTATTTCTTCAATAAATCAGTATATTTTTCTCGTTGTGTATTAACTTCTTCCTGATACCCTCGGACACGTTTTTCAGATGTCTAAAAACCAGTTGATTATCAAAATCATTCATTCTTAGTTACTCAACGAACTAGGTATTGTTCTTGTAGATCATTGATTTGTTGCTTCAACGTTTGCACTTCCTGTACATATCATTAAAGAAACATTTTGTTAAATTATGAACATAGAAAATACATACACTTCTATGCTGGCTTTCTATGGGTTGTAATCGGCTGATTTCGTCGTTGAGTTCTCGTACACGACGTTCACTATCACGATACTATGAAAACATGACAGATTGCTGTAATATTTTCAATTGACAGTACTTGAATATTTAAATTATGTTTCTCTTGTTCGAGTTCCCTGATTGTGATTTGATATTTTTCACCAACACTACTAATCATGTTTGCTTCACGTTCTTCATATTCCTAAATCGTACATACTCAAAAGTGTACCAAGAAATGATTGTGGTTCCTTACACGGATTTTAGCATCCTTTTCTTTCAGTAGTGTCCGATGCTAAAATAAATATTTTCATCGAATCCAATCTTGTTGGAAAAGTCCTTTTTTATATTTACTTCGGCGTCGATTTTCACTAATTGTTTAACACGATTAGCGATACCAGCGACGTTAACAGTATCATGTCGAAGTTGTTCGGTTGTTTCATCCACAACAATTTTCGAATCCTTGTTAAAGAGAAACCGTTTGGCATCATTCAATAGAAAACTCATTGAAATATTCTACTTGATTCCGTTGACCAGTTGTTGCAGTCTAGAAAGAAAAACATCATTGCTATACTATTTACTCGAATGCGAATAAGTGAAAATCTCACCGCTGTTGTATTTGCCGGTACCAACGACTAATAAATCACAAAAAATATTCGTTGTCTAATCAAATCCTTATCGTGTTCAAAACAACATACATCACTGGATTGAATGGTAATACCTAGTGCGGACGCAAGATCAGCAATCTCTTGTCGTAATTGCTGCTCTGTGCGTCGTAGCGTATCACACTCTGCTTGTAGTTTCTACAAGAATTTCACTTATGAACGGCTATTCAATCATAAAATAATCACGAACATTGTGATCATATGCAATTTGACCGCTAATGGCATTGGATGAAGATGATGATTTACGTCTCAGCTCTTCAAGTTCGTGAGTTAGTTGCTAAAACGAGTTTGATATTGAAATTCTGTGGATAGGTAAGATCTTACAGCAATATATTGGTCTTGTTCAGATATTTGCTGGAGATATTTATCAACATTAGCATCCGAGTTGACTTGTCCTTGCTAAAACGAAAAACAGAATTTGATAGGCATCAACAATTTCAGTTTAATTTAAATTTGTATCGTTCTTCGGCTGATACATCGAAAATCGTGATTAATCTAAAGAAGCATTGACTAAAAGTTCGATCGGTATGAGCGCAGTTAAATAATATACCATATCGGTGTATAAAGAGAGAGCGAGCGGAAATGAAAAAAAAACGAAGCAATATGGTATACAAACCATAGGATAAAAAAAGCGGATTCGGGCTCGTAATGGCTAAAATGAAATGTGTCGTTTTTATAAGAATAGATCGTTGGCTCATGCATGTTAATTCGTCTATGCAGATTTTATCGATATGAACTCTACCTCGTGTTGATATGTTTCGTAATGAGATGATGAACGCGATCGGTGTCCTTCAATACGCTGAATAGAATTGTTTTCGAGTCAGATTTAGTCTGGAAATGAAATATTTCAAGTCTTACCGCAATACGGTCATCATAGGTCTTCTTCAAACTTCGCAGAGCGCCGTCGGCTTTGATTCGTTGGTCTTCATATTTCTTCAAATCTTCTTCGTATTCTTTTTGTGCTCGATAAAGTTTCTTGGTGATAATTAGATAAAAAAAGACTAAAGTTATGCGATCATGATGATAGATTCTTACTTGTTTTAGTGAGTCAATTTCATTACGAAGTTCTCTTTCACGTGTTTCAAATTGAACAATAGATGTATTGGTTGCACTTGTGACTGACGAAGTAGGTGGAATCGCCGAAGTATTTGCAACATTGCCGTTTGAATTCTGAAGTAACCGACGAAGTTCTGCATTTTCCTGACGACATTGTTCGAATGCCGACTTTAATTGATGAATATCATTATTATCAACCGTTCTGTATGATGTTGAATGACTTGAAAAGAAAAATTAGTATTAAAAAACCGCGTAAAAATCAATACTCGGCTTTCTCATTCTATCGCACAGTAGTTCAAACGACACATCAGATTAAACTATGATCTCTCTCTATAAACAAATTGAAATCGAAGATAAATACTCGGTATTGTTCAAGAAAGAATGTATGAGGAGTGCTTTTGTAAGTACTGTCGAACAATAGTTGTATTTAACAACTGAAATCAATTTCGTTTGCTTTGGTACACTTGTCTCGAAGGAAAACATTGCACTTAGAAATTGCATTACTCGATGTCCATATACGCGTCCACGTATTCCAGTTCGTCATCACTTGCATCTCGAATCTCGGCTGATTGTGTCGCACCCATGTTCGAACAAAATAATTTGAACACTTTCGACTGCCTTTTCGGCTTGTTTATGTCATCAGTTCGATTTTTTTTTCATGCATTTTCTCTCCTTCTTCTGTTTACTTCTACGATTTCTCTATTCTTTTCAATCTAGTCACCAGAACAAAGGCAAGACGAGAGTGAAAGTGTAGAACATACAATTTAACTGAGGGAAGAAAAAGCTCAAGAAAAGAAACGTTATAATTATTCTATTACAGATGTTCACGGACTTCCAAGTTGACAAAACTAAACGCAAACATACCGACTTGACGATATGGCTTGACTAGTACCAGTCGGATTCGAATCGATTTGGGATTGGTGATGGTGCTGATGCTCAGTTCGACTCGCCGATGATGTGTCTACATCTTGCCATTGATTTTGTTCGAGAAAAAATATTCGTAGTTTCAAATCGAAATTTTCACGTCGAAGATCTGTGACTTCCTAGAGAATAAACAAACGACACACAATTCATTGGGGAAGGTCACCTCTTGTTATCATTGAGTATTTTTATCCTTCAAGTAGAGTATTTTATCAGAAAAGGAGTCAGAGATAGAGTTGTGCCCACGTATTTCTTATCGCATTCTTTCATAGGTAAATAAAGGTCTGTTTGCCGCTTTACCGCAGTCGATAAATAAATCTCAAAACAAGCAAATGTAAAATAGTTTTGGAATATTTATTTAGAAGTGAATCGTTTGTTATGAATGCCAATACAAACACTCACACTCGAATCTGTTCGCCCAAATTTTGTTTTACAAATCACTAAGCTGTCAGAATTAGAGAATTTTCAAGAAACAAATTCGTAAACGAGTCGTTTAATATGATCAAATTTTTGACCTTAACGAACAAGAAACTTACTGCAGCCATTTCGCCCATTGGCCTGGAAGTTGTTGGAAGATTAAGATCCGGATTTGCACCTTTTTGCATTTCTGAAGTTTCTGCACAAAAAAGAAATACATGACTTTCTTGTTCTTTCCAAATGTGTACACATACCTCTGCCAGATTCATGCGACGAGTGCTCGTCACCGCGGTTACTATCCATGATTGGTATCAATCGATAGTATTCGATGATATATCACTGAAAAGAAAGAAAATTTTATGGAACGAATTCGAATGAAAGAAAAATCTTGATATGAAGGGCCTATTTACGATTCGGACATACTCGATAGGCTTAACTGAATGACGCTCATCATTCATTGACTTGATTCTCGCTAAAGTATTATTAACAAAAGTTTCCTTTCTAAGTAGACACTTTTTTGAAATTAAAAATTCTCTCTGTCGGGTTATATAACATCGTAGTACATCGACATGACACAATAGTGACTATATTAAGGAAATAAAGATATATGGAAAATGTGTTCTTTTCTTTTGCAATACTCTCTCGCTCTTGCACAAAAGACGATCTGGAAGGTTCTTTTTTCATACATCGAAATATCATAACTGTAACTGAAATCTTTTACTACATCAGTCTTACCTATGCAATGTTTTATATCTTCTTCGTGAGATATCTTGTATGCGCCATAGTTGTCGTTATCTATTTCTTTTCTCTCTGTTTATTTGGCGACTAAAATTTTTTTTCTCACATGTCCTTTTTTTCCTAGCGTGGATAAAACACTCGCATAGACATGAATAGTGTCGACGCCTGCTGTTGTTCTCTCTCTACCTACCTCTCTTCCTTCGTTGGCATCATTACCATTACATCGTCCAACATCATATATATATCATGGTATGTTAACTATGGTAAAGAGACTGAGAAAAGAGAAGAGAAAGAAAGGTAAGTAGACACAGAACAAAACGACGAGTTGTTCGTAGGAAAAAAGAATTACTATTGTATCTATTTATCTCTTCTATTCGTCTGAAATACTAACAGGTGCACGTCATCATTATGGACGAGTTCATCGTTTGATCTTCACACCTGTCCAAATAAGTCCAAGGGAGCAAAGAAAAGTACTGCCTATCCCAAAGATGTCAATGAGCACATTTGAACCGATTTCAGATTAAGAAATCAAAAATTCAATAGACGTGTCCACTATTACCGTGTATTATCATACCTTATTGACACAGTTTTGATCAAAAGGAGCGTACTTTATACATAATGAATAATTAATTCCGTCGTGAATTCATCAATCGGTTATTCGTTTGTATTTATAAGAAATCCAAATTGAACGTTGATTCAATAAATAACTTTCAATGTACAAATTCGATTATCCTGTATGATCTGCGAAGAAACAAAACTAGTGAGATTCACACACTCACACATCATAACAATACCTTCGAAGGGAACAAGAGTAAAAAGAAAATCTATTTACTTTGCTTTTATTTTACGCATGAAAAAACTTTTCGGATGATTACGTTGAGAAACTGTACTACGTACACACTATTTTTCGTAAAAAGAAAACTTTCTTTTATTCTCCATATATTTTATACGATCATGCCCTATTGACGAAGTCGATTATGATGAAATGCGAACTGTTATTTGCCGTTTTAGAATACATATCAACAATGACAATCGATAAATTGTTGCAGGACGATACAACTATTCACCTTGATTTGTAAGAAACATGAAATCTAATCGAACAAGAACAAGACTGAAAGAGTTGAATTAATTAGACAATCGAATGTTGCAAGGTTATGTGTTAAAATCAATATTGGTCTTGATTAGAAAATCATACAATGGGTAACATTCATTTCACGTTGTTCCTTCTTGCGGTTTTCGCCAGAATTGAGAATAAGTACGAACTCATGGTCAATGCATCAACTACCTTGATCTTTTACATTACAGAAATATGATTTTAATACTACTTGATCACTTTTACATGCTCAGGGATCAAATCGTTTCTTCTCCTTCAACACATCGTACTTATTCGTTTACATGTCCGAACAACTGAATCAGATATAACAGTTGTTGAAAACTAGTATTTGACATTTTCGACACATTCATCATCAAGTCGATGAATTGTTTATAGTGGAGATGTACAACTCCATCATTCCGAACTCGATTGCCGGTAATATTGTTATGTCTGAGAGAGATGTAGGTGTGTTTATACCAATCCATCTTCACTTTGCATAAAAATGCTCTCTAAAAACATATAAATATTTACTCATGAAGTTAAAATACATCACCATGAGACTTATTCTAATCCTACACAAACTAATAGCGCCATCTGCTGCTCCATTGAAAAATTACCAAGGGAGATGATTTCACATTGGTAAAAAACAAATGACTGATCAAATTATATAAGAAAGAGACATGAATAGACAAAATGTTATTCATCTTCATTTCCCTTTCTTTTTTTATTAACGCATTCAAAAAGTAAAACAAATCTGTTAGTTTCTAGATAAATTGATGATGGATGGACACCTCTCAGTATATTCGATCATGCAACCCAGCGTAAGCGAAAAACAAAAGTTTCTTTTTAATGAATTTACCAATTATCTTTTAGTCGCTTTGTAATTACTGGTTCACTTTTGATCTTTTCTATTCTGTTTGCATCACGACTTGATGGATACATCCAGATTAGTTATTGGCTCGTCTTCTTGCCATTGTTTATTTGGAAAATGTTGGTGATTTTCGGTGCTTGTACAGGAGTTTTCATCTGGTGTAAAAGTGGCGAACAAAATCGGTATCGAAACGAAAACATTTACTTTCTTTTGAAAAATAACTCATTTTTCTTTCTCACAAGAATTCTTCGATCGCCAGACAATGATTGTCGAGCACTGATCATTTACTTTTTCATGCACATTCTTCTATTCACATTTGAGATCCTGACATGTGATAAATTAGAAAATGGGCTCGAAATTCAATGGATTCTCTGTTTTACTCCATTACTTTTATGTACAGTCGTTTCGTTTATCTCGTGCTTATGGTTATTGAAGACACAAAGAAACTTCCTCGTATGGAAATTTGGATTCTCGAACGAATTTCACTTTCGTCTTTTCTTAGATTCCAACTTTCATTACAATCAATGGACTTTTCTTTCTATTTTTTCCATTACGTCTCGATTATTTCTCTGTATGGCGATATTCTGTATGTCATTAGCTGTTGCTTACTTATCATCGAAACTGGTCTCCTCGTTGTTTTTTTTCAGATTGTTTTCATTCCAGTCTGGATATCCTTGTGCATTGCTATAATCTTTGTGTTTATCAAAATCATTCTTGCTCTTGTGCATCGATGTTCTCGCCGAATAGTAACTAATCAACGTGAAATAACGACGATCACTGAAGCGATCCTATATGCACTAATGTTCATCCCATTAGGTATCTTTGCAGTGAGTTTATACAAGTTAAACTTTGTTTTTTGAAAAGATTGAAACTGATTCTTCTGTCAGATATTACTAGTCGAACGTCTCGATAAAGAAGAGGATCAACAACTCAGTAAATTATCGTATAGCATCATCGTAATACCATTGTATATTTCATTGATCGCGTGGATGATGTTTTCTTTCGGCGCTTCTGACGGCAATCCATGTGTGTACTAACAATTCGAAAAATTGAGAAGGAGCTCTCTGTCTGTTTAGGGTGGTTTGGTCTTCGCCGTGATTTATGTGAGATACTTCTTGGTCGATGTCCGGTTATTTCTCTTTATTTCAACAATCAGTATAAATTTGACACGCGTACATCGATGAATGATGTTATTATTGATCTAACAACGTCAACCAATGAGAAAAATATTGAATCAATCCATAAAAGTAAATTAACAGTAGTAACCAAGGAAAAGAACCTTGTCACACAACATCAATCCGCGTCATTACTCGAACCTGATTAAGTAATTTTCTTTGTCGGTTTTTATTTGTACTTTGTCAGTGATACGCATTGATCAGTTCGAATTTTCTATTGTAATCACGTAAGAAAAAGATTTTGTTTACTTGTTCATATTATAATCGGTCCACTTGGTAAACGAAGACGATCAGCAAACTTATATCCAATATGATTATAATGAAAAAAGACGATCAAACCAATAAATAGTGAAATTGGTAGAGCAGGTAATGGTCGATGCAAGATTACAAGAATAATTGTTGTTAAAAGTATACCCATAATTAAACATAAATAGATAATAATGATAGTAAATAGATTGCACTGGGATGTGAAAACAGTTTTCGAGAGAAGAATCGAATAGAAAATGAAATCTCCCAAGCCCAACATTGATTCCCGTACTCGACGTTTTTTTCTTGGCTGTTGGTCAGGAGAAGCATTGATATTTCGATTCATAGTGGTTAAAGTTAAACTCGTATGCTTAGAGATATACTTCAACACATTCGATGAGATGAATACTAAGTTAAAACTTGACAAATAATTCTGTGAAGATATTGAATGATCGTCATCAAATGGATTCATATTTTGATTTCGAAACCATATACCTGTCGTATAGACCATCATCGATGGAACTTGTAGTTGCCGTTTTTGAAATAGATTTATCAATAGATATAACGGACCGAATGGGAGTAAGACAGCTAATATATCCCATACAGCCAAGAGTGGAAGCAATGCCCACGCAATCCATTCAGGTGCAATCTTCAAAACGTACAATATCATTATGATGCATTGATAAATCGTTACGATTTGTTTCATCAAATTCGGTGCTAACCAAAACATGCATAGAATGGCAATAGTTAGAACATTATAAACATAGAAGATGATTGTTATCCAATCGATTGAAGAATTGATTTGAGCAATGATCATTGATAAGATGGAAATATTCAGAAGGGAAAAAACACAAATAACTGTGAAAAATAAGTAAATATAGAGGCATTTCAAACAGTCGTAATAAACAAAGATAACGAGAAGGCATGTGGCTAGTGCGATGATGCCAATGATGATTAAAGCGATAAGAAACGATTCGGATGTGATTTTTGATATTGATGCAGCATTAGGACCTTTGGAAGATGAGATGAGACCAGCATCTTCGAAAACATTCGACTCTGTATAAAGATCGTAGAGTAAGATCGATAATCCGGCGGAGATGAACACAGTAAATGATACGGGATAGACAAGAGCAAGGAATGAACGTGACCAATAATCGATATCAACTAGAGAAGTTTGGGATTCTTGAGGATCTGATGATGGTCTAAAGTGATTCAATTTTCTACAGAAGAAACTGAGGAATGAACATACGATTGTGATGAATGTGAACTGAGCGATGTTTTCTTGGTGAGAGGAGAATCAGTTGACATGTTGATAATTAATGCGCTCAATATACAAAGTTAATCGCATGAAAATCTCGATCTAAATCCTATCTGTCGCAACGAAAGTTTTCAGTAAAATAGTTATACTTGACTACGAAAAAGGATTTGTGAAACAGTAAGATTTCCAGTGACATCTTTCCGAACGTTCGACAGAATAAATTCATTCGTAATAGAAATAGAATGTCACAAGAGTGAATCATCACTTATTGTTATTACGGTTTGTTTGATTGATTTCATTTATTAAGAAACTATAACTAGTATTTGTCTTGAGTGGAAAGTTCCAATGGCAGCTTATTACACATACAATTTCCTACCACCAATATCATCAGATTTAGATTCGCTTATACATGACTTTGAACGAGAATCTGACTATGATTATCAAACATTTGCATCTGTGTGGCAAAAGCATAAACTCGAATTTCTCTTCAAGTATGTTTGCTTTCTACATACTAATATCATAATTAATAGCATATTTTGATATTTAGAGCTGCTGACATTCAACCAAACTCATTTCGTTTTGTTCGTATCGCTGAATTAATTGTAACCAACGACGGTAGGATTTATTTCATTTTAGTTTCTTGATGATTCAATGACAGTAGCTGCTTCTTATCTTGGTCAACCATGGCGTTTGCCCATCCAACTCGGTGCACTTTACTGCTTGTTTACAATCTATATGTATCAAATAGAAGAACCAAAAATTAAAGTACGAATCGATTTTAATCTATTGACCGAATCAAATCTTCTTCCTTTGAAATAGATTCGCTTGCCTATTGACACATTAAATTCCTTTCTTGATCAAATGGAGTTATCATCAGCGATACCAGCTGATGCAAAAACGATTTTATGTAAGTTAATCCATGAACATGCTTTTGTGATTAGTGCAACGAGACACGAGGTATGAATTTTCTAGTCATTACAATAAGTATACTTTGTTATTTCATTGATCTAGATGGGTCCACGCTTCTTCACAAAAATGAACTATATGAAATCAGGCAAATACATGCGTTCGGATGTTTTACTTTCATCACGTTTGAATATTGACGAAAAGCTCATCACGGTACGATCATTGAGGAAGTAGGTCATGATAAAATATTTCCATAAATTTAGATGTGTGAAGAAGCACATAACTTGTATACCAAAGCAAAAGACAATCTGATTGAAGCATCCGGTGGCACGGATAGTCTCCCTCAAGAACTAACATCGATTCGACCCAATTTTATTGAACAGTTGAAAAAAGAATTTGATTTAGAGAGATCCGACGATCAATTCGACCAAGAAGAACAGCCGGATACTGAACCTGAGCCAATACCTCAGGTAATATTTAATAATGAAGTTATTTGTATCTGGACTTCATTCTTTCTTCATAACATACGTCGTCATAGCCTTTACGAGATCGTAGTAAAAATCCGTTGCTATATTATACGAAGACTATTTTACATGATTTTTATGATTGATAGAAGTAATTATATTAAAATCCAAGTGTCTGTTAAAATGTCGTGTATAAGATCCTGTAAGTTACAATGACAATTCTGACTGTATAAATACACAGAATTACATGCAACCGATTTCGGATTCTATGAAGAGAATTGTTTTTGTTTGCATTGGGTTCTGTTTATTTTAAGAACGAACGAACGTCCGGCAAACTGTTCATTGTTAATTGTAGAGCTTGTCACGCATTATTTTCTTGTGTATCTTGGTTTTAAAATGTACGATGCAAAATGTCACCAATTCATTCGGATAAATCAGTCTTTAGTTATGAAAATTCAGTATTCTTTAACAGGATTCTGTAGAGAATTCAATCCAAAGAAATAGCAACAAAGAAGCTATAGACAAAACATAGAGACTCTCATTCATTCTGGACTATCCGTGAAGATCGTCTTTTTATGGCATCGTGTTTATTTTTGTTTCAGCGTGGTCCATCGATTGGTGAAACTCGAAGTCGAATACGAGCAAAAGCAGAAATGATTGCAAAGCCAAAAGCTTCCGCTTCAGTTAAAGAAGAATATACGTTCGATGATGATCATGATGATTATAATAATGATGATGATGCCGATGAATGTAGTCTGGATATGATTGCAGATAATGTTAATAATGATAAACGTTCTGGTAGGAAACAAAACACAAAATCGATAACGACACGTAGTCGTTCGAAGAAAAAACGCAATGACTAAAATATTTTCATATTCTATTCATCTATTCTTCTTGATCTGTCACTGATTGTAGATAAAAAATATACTAATAAATATGACAGCAAGTCATACTGTACCGGTACTTATGCGTGTACTTTCAGCATCTCTAACTTTAGCTAAACGTGCTGGTCAAATCATCAGAGATGTTCAGTCCTCTGGGACAGGTCTCGACATTGTTGAAAAAGTACCATAGGTTTTTTTTGTTAAAATTTCCCGACTAATTCTGGTTTGATTATATCGATTTCAGGGACATAATGATCCACAAACAAAGGCGGACCGCGCTTCGCAGCAACTGATTATTTCTTCACTAGTGAAACATTTTCCACAATTAACTGTTCGGGGCGAAGAAGTAAATGATTCTTTGTATTAATGTGTCCCTTATTGATCATTTTCAGAACATTCCACTGGAAAAATCTGCTGCTAGCTCTGATATTGATGATTTGATTGGATCTAATCTTGATGAAATTTTGAAAGCACCATGTCCAACCGAATTTCAAAAACTAGAAGAAAAAGACGTAATGAAAAGGCTTGAGTCCGACACCTTACAAGTTTTATTTCTTTTTCCGAATAGCTTGTCATATGGGTTGATCCATTAGATGGAACACGGGAATTCACTGAAGGTCGTCTAGAGGGTGTGACAGTATTAATTGGTGTGGCAACACAAGGCAACGCCATCGGTGGAATCATTCATCAACCTTTTTATGAAGATGGAGGCCAATCAGGACGTAGTATATGGGGTCTTGTTCATGCCGGTGTTTACGGAAAATGCGACATAAACAAGACACCATTACCTGGTCGAATTGTTGCTGGAAGTTTATCGCATCGTTCGAAAACTGTTATCGATGCTGTTAATGCATGTCAACCAACCGAAGTTTTACAAGCAGGTGGATGCGGATACAAAGTAAATAGGCTGTTCTGTTGACACTATGATAGGTTCATGTTCGTTTAAGTCTTTGCTAGTACTTGAACGTCGTGTTCATGTTTATGTACATGCTTCACGTGGCTGTAGTCTTTGGGATACATGTGCACCGGAGGCTATTCTACGAGCAGCCGGTGGTCGATTAACTGATGTATTTGGCAACGGCATTTCGTATTTTCCCACTGATCAAACATCAGTGAAAACCGGTGTTCTAGCAACGATGGCCGATCATGACTGGTACGCACAACAAATTCGAGAAAAAATTAACAATTTATAGCAAAAATCGGATGAACATTGTGATGTCTTTTATTCCTATTGAGCTAATCATATGTATCTTCCTTCACTATACACTCAAAAATTCTAGTAGCCGTATCGATTATATTCATCATAGTCTTTATTTTCTCATTATTGACTGATTTGTGTGCAACAATACTAATAACGCAAGATATCTCTCTTATCAAATTCGATATCTTCAAATATTACGAACGTTCTGATGATCACAATTCACTTACAAAACCTTGTATGTATACGCATAACTTGTACCATTGACAATTCATTGATCAATAGTCATTTCATGTAAAGAGATTCTTTTCTCATCGCTTTGGTCTCTTAATGTTTTATTTTATCTCGATCAAATCTGGAGATACATATCGCAAAGTATAAGCAACAATATTCATTTTTGCTAATAATTACATGGTTATTTCGATTACAACTAACAGCATGGATCTAGTTTAGTCGACTATTTCAGAGCTTAATTAAAAATAAAGCCTTTAGAAATATTTAAAATATTCATCGGAGGAAAAACGTCGTCTCATCAGTCTATTTTTAATTATCTTTTTGATGAAATTTTAAAATAGATCATTTCGTTTAATTATCAATTTCTTTTTTCTTCTTCTCTATGAATATTTAAGTCTTCTTAAATGCTCAGTTTTCATGCGTTGTTCAAGGTAAACAAATTCTTCTAACGATCGGTCAAATTTATAATAGAATATACATGGAATTTTCAAAGGAGAACATTATCTTTAGGTTAAAATACTTTCTCTCACTGGCTTCGATAGGAACAGCTTTGCTCTCGACTTCCGAAAGCTTCCAATAACAATAGTATCAATACGTCATCATTATTTCCTCATTTTACCAAGAAAGAGACGATCTCCAATTGCAAGTTGACTGAAAATGTTAATATGGTTATCGTTCAAAAGCACACCTCATTCTTTTGATTTAGTACAAGAAAAAGTGAAATGTCAATGTTCTTAAGCTCGACATAATTAATCCTTTTTCATTCCTGTTTCAATCGGGCGTTGAACTGTTGTTCCCCCGAGGTGCAGTTATTCTTTCTACCTTGTTTTCTTCGACAGATCCATGTGATGATTCAATCAATGGCGTCGTCAACTAATCACCTTCTGCTCATCGATTATATTCTTCGAACACACACACACACGTGCAGTTGGGTTAGCTGATATTTTGATCAATTCGAAACGATAAGAAGTGGGCGTTTACCAGCCATGAAGGCAAAATCAAATCTTCATTATTGTCAGGAATTTTTCTTTCTCGTTCACATATGCAGATTGTTCCATAAATGGTTAGAATGCTTGTCACTTGTCGTCTGGAGGCAATGGATCAAATAACATCATATAAAGCACTTCGATTACTTGGAAAGGCTCTTTTTTCAGCATACATATACACATACAGAAGAACGAGAGAGAGAAAGAGAGAAGAAGAAGAAGAAAATGAGACGAAACAAAACGAAGAAGTTTAGTTAAATGAGTTAAACGGCTGCTTGAGTAGCAAGAGATGTGGCAAAATCTTGAAATGTTGGATACGAACTGGTCGCTGTTGCTGCTGATGATGTTAAAGATGGATTTTGTTCCGAGCTGTCATTGACACTTGGTTGTGCCATTGTTGGTTTATTTTGTGTTGTAGTATTATTATGGAAAGCAGCTGCTTGAGCGGCTGCATGTGCGGCAGCAACGGCAGCTAGTTCGTAGAAGTTCGAATGAAGGAATGAGGCCGCATCGAAACGATGTGCTGGATTTTTCGATGACATAGATAGAGGAGATGTTGATGATGATGATGCCGAAGAGAAATCACTGGGTAATGGTATAGACATGGGTAATGGACGTTTAATTATGGAATTGTTGGATGAGGATGACGAGGATGTCGGCGGAGGTGGTGGGGGAGCTTGCAACGATGCAGCACAAGCAACGACCGAACTGATTGACTGACTAGCTTCGACTATTTGACGTTTAAGTCTGATAAAATATAGAGAAAAAAAAAGTTTAGCTTCTTTCTGAAAGGAAAGTATTTGAACGACATACTTATTTCGTCGATTTTGGAACCAAATCTAATGAGAGAGAAGAAAGAAAAAGAATTGTTTATTAAGAGCGAAACAAGTTCCTCTTTTCCGTTGTTTCACTTACTTTAACTTGCTGTTCAGTGAGACGAAGACCTTGTGCCAAATTGGCACGATCAGCACTTGATAAATATCGCTTTCGATCAAACGTTGTTTCCAACTGAAATATCTGCGTACGTGAAAACACTGTACGTGTTTTCTTCTTCCGATGCATAATCTCATGTAATTCATGACTACCGCTGCCATGATGACTATATTGATTGATTCCTCCATGATTATGTGAATATTTGTGATTGCCATTGTGTCGATGACTAAGATCGTTATCTTCGGAACCTGATACAATGTCGTCATCGTCGACATCGCTTGTTGTTAAACCTGAACAATCGCTGCTAGCTCCATCATCATCTAAATGACTTAAACGAGTATGTTTATTTCCAGTTGGTGGTGATGTTGATGAATGTTCATCCGATGATAACGATCCACTATGTTTGCGTTTGTTGTTATTTCCGTCGATAAGTAATAAATGAATACCTGAATCATTATTACTCCCGTTTTCATTTGATGATCGATGATGGTTACCTTAATTGACGAAAAACAAAAACAATTCGAAGAAAAAAACAACCTTTTTTTTCTATTTACCAATGGGTGTTGAATGATGATGACGTTTGACTTTAAAATTACTACAGTTGAATAATGGCTGTTGTTGTTGTTGTTGTTGCTTGTCAAGGATGCTGTCAATTGAGAAGCTTAATTTTTTTTGAATGCTTGGATCTTGCTCAACGACAATTGCTGTTGCATTACTGTTCGTCGTTGAATGAAAAGGTAAAATGGTCTGTTCTTCCATTGATCCGTTTGGTTCGAGTTGATTTTATTGGTAAATAAAAACAAATCTCAATTGCTAATCGACTATTTTCTTTCTTTTTTCTTGTCTTCGAAACCCGTCAGGTAATAAATTATCGAACGAGTGGATTTTTTCTCTTCTAACGGAAATTACACACAAGCATACATAGACTCTTTTTACTTTCTTTTCATACAATTATCTTCCCGCTGTGTATGTGTGTGTCTCTCTCTCTCTTTCTCTCCTTTTCTCTTTTTCTCTATTTTTCTTTCACGCTCTCGCCAATCGATAACAAGAACCAATGAAAAAAAACTTCTATGTTCGATAATCGTTTGTCAATCGGCCAATCGGCGACAATTGCTCGTTCGTCGTTGTCTCCTTGCGTGCGCTTTTTTTTTTATAGATCTTAAGAGAAAGAAAGAGAAGAGAAGATGACAAAAATGAATGTAAAGATGTATGCGAGCAACATAGATAGCCAAGTGAAACAAAGATGAAAACTGACATTGTCAAATGGAGCAGGAAATGGGCTTGATGTGCATGCTCTTAGCTTCCTAAGGTGATAATCGACTAAATGACGAGTAAAAGAAGAAAGAATGTAAAAGCTCAATTAAATCAATTTGCCGACCTGATTTCGTCACGCTCACGTAAAAACTAATCAATGTTTTCCGTGTGCTTTTCTCCTCGTCCTGCACAAAGAAACGAAATATCTAACAAACAAACATTTTCCTTTTCTCGTTATCGATTTATCAATCAGTTAAAATCAATTAAACTTATTCGATTTGCACTCGTACCATCTGTGTGCAATGACAAATTTCAACACAGTGCATCTATTCATATTTATTCATTCATTCATTCACTGTTTAGCCTATTAATAGTTTTTGCTCTTTCCCCATCTTCAATACATGTCGCAAAGGGCCTCGCTTGCTTTATTTGACGATGTTGTGATGCTGTCATTTGATAATGTATAGAGAAGGGACATATCTTTTTCCTTTCGTTCTCATATGTCAATGAAAAATGCGCACTAATCGGATTTGATGAAGCAACTGTAGTATATACGCGGAAGGCAAGAAGAAAATGAGCGCGCTTCTTCACCTATCGATTGCGCGAGAGTGAGAAAGAAAAATAGAGA